CTCAGCGCGCAGCGCTCGATGGCTCACACATGAGATGCTTAGCGGAGGTCAGCTTGATACCGTGTGCCTGCATAAAGTTGGTAGTTATCTCATAGACTCCGACTGTAGAAGGAATGGCTGAGCTTGTAGCGGTACATCAGCTGGTTAAGTCGAAGATGTATTTTGTCTGGAAGATGCCGGCGTAGAAGAGATCGCAACGTCTCAACACGTTTTGTTAACCGAATCAATGGTAGGTCGGTATAAGGCGGTATACAATACATTTGCACATTCTTTGAGAGGGTAGTCAAGTGCGATGCGTCGGGCCCTTTAACACGAACAATGGTCAATCGGGGTCAAGTTTATTGCCCATTAATACACTTACACACCCTAGTTTTTCTGAAGTTAACACAATCCCACACTGCCATAAGAATAGCTCCACTGTCGTCTGCGCTCAACACGTTCAACAAGGGGTATTGGGCGAGCCTTGCAGGTTCGTTCAAACATCGTCGATGCCTTCCGGGTACGATTTCTGACAGCCGTCCTAATTCGACGTAGACCAGGGTCCAGGGCGATCCCTGCTGCAGCGAAAGTCGGGGGAAGATCAAGCTAGCACTAGCTTTGAAATTACCGATAGCCGATAAGGTCTGCTAGCTTCACGACTTCTTACCAACAACGGCGCATCTTCGAGGGATCTGTACAAGATAGATTATAAATGGGCGATCACGATTGCCACGACTTGGCTTGCACAACATGCACAACAACTCATGGGACTCCACAAACCAGAAATAAGACATTTGGAATGAGGCCTAATGAGGCTTGAGGGTATGCTCCGCGTGCGGATATTTCCATTGCAAGTCGGAAACACCAAGAGCGAGTATGGGCGTCCTCCGCATCAGCGATAGATGATACAACCTGGACAGATTTGGTATGGCCTACGCACGCAACCAAGGAAAGTTTCGGAAAAGCCAATGTTGCGCATCCCAAGTGTATCAACACTATGATAGATGGGGGAGGCCGTGAGGATAGGGACATAGGAGTGACTGGCCTATCGCTTTCTAGAAATTATCGTCAACCATTTACGTAGGAGGTAGTAACGAACCAGATCATTACTCTACTTGAGCGTAACGCGCTAGACAATCGACACCCTGAAGAGAAGTTTGTACACGGCGAATTGATGAACTCGGTAGATACGGTGAATTAAAGACCGGGGCTAGGACCATAGTCAGATCTCACCACAGTATTCGCGACTGCTCCGCGTGTACTCTGAGATGAGCGTTGCTCCAAACTTCTAGATCAGACAAGAAGTATTATTGTGATGAACTTTGTCGCGTTGGAAGACAGAGATCCATATCGAGCACGTTACCATTCTTGCGCACATGCTTAGACGGAAGAGATGCTGATAAACGCGATCGTACGGTGTGAACGCGGTAATTCCACACGTATCGATTGACACTGAAGTGCTTGATTTGTTTTAGCGTCTGCGTGGAAGCAACGTCATCACCGAAAAGCAACAGGCAATATGATGTCGTTACCGCAGATCACACGGTGTCGAACCTAGCAGGGATTGATCTAAGTGGCACCGAAAAGTCGACGTCAGAGAGACTGAAGTGGGGAAAAGGAATATCTAGGCACTATAACATGATGAATGGAACTTAGCTAGGATTGAGTCTGAGCCACTGGTACGCTCTTAGAGGCTTCACACGCTGTCCACGTACCCTATATCGCGTAGATGGATTCTACATGAACTAAGTTACAATGGTTTGAGGAGTACGAGTCCTGATCACTTCCGTTATCCAGGCGACGCCTAAAGAATTCCAGGGTTAGCCTAGCATGTACACCAATACGGCACCTATAAAGTATCGCGGCTAGAACAACCCCGCTGATTGGGTCTCTGACGAAAGAATGGTGCGTACGCCATACACCTCGAGATACGCTCTTAGGAGTTCATGTGATCAGGGGGAAACAGGGGGGATGGAGGTCATACCAGTGGGAAGTTCGGTCATCTTGTGTGCATTCGAACTCATTGGGACCGCCAAAGTTACACGGCTCGATCCACTTCGAAAATTCCATGACATTCTACTTCCCGCATGCAAAGAATGATTCCCGATCATAGGAGGATGACTAGAATATATGTCTGAAATTGTGAGCATACGGCGAACTCAATCCCAGTGAGATAAACAAGGAAACCTGACCACACTCATATATCATCTATGATTTGGGGGCCGCAAAGTGGACAAGGAGCTCTGCTTCATTGAGTGTTAAAAATACTTTCATTGGAATTAGACACTGCTACTCACGGTCCTATGCTTAGAAACCATCTTAGATCGTCTATGAAAGGACAAGGCCACGATTTCCGGGCGGATGATGGAGACTGGGCAAGGTTTGACCTACTCACCCCGGCGGACGTCTGGCTCCCGCTCCGTATTTATGGCGAGGAACTGGGGAAGTTTCTTTCGCAATATACATATTCCGCTATATGACATATGACGTCCGAATAGCTGTTGCATCCATGTTGTACCGAGCGGTGGAAGGACGGGCCCTTGGGAGGAAGAAGATAAGGAGGGAAAATACGAAGACAGATCATGGAATTTAGCGCTAAATTTACAAAACTCTCACCAGCATAGCCATTTCAAAGATTTGAAAGACAAAGATGGAGCCCGAGAATTTGCAGGCGTTAGAATGCGGCCGCTTTCGCAAATCTTACCATCAAGAAGCTGCTGTTCAATGAGATGGAAAGTACCATGCCAATTGCACGGATCAACGAAGGGAACTCCGCTTCAAAGAATACCCTCAGTAGGTCGAAAGATCATTTTGTCGGAGTTGGCAGAGTCAATTTTATTCCAAAGTCAGAACTGGGATAATAAAAAACCATGGGACCAGCCTCCTACCCAGGCTCTCGTACAGCGGTTGAGCTTGATCGAGTGAGTTGGTAAGGGATTCTGTCGCAAATGGTAGTCGGTAGTTTCCGGTGTAGGTTGATCCGAGGATTATGCGAGAACTTAGTTTTGCTCAACCGCTGTAGAGAGCCTGGCACCAAACATTGGTCAACAGCAGACGTCAGCGTTACAGTGACCGCCGGACTTCTAATGTAATGATATTCAGGAGCTCATCAGGGGCTCAAAAAAAAACATAACCGCGTCACGACGCGTCGCGACGCGTTGCGTATACACATCTACTACTCTCGAAGCCTCACGATGACCAACAGAACCTCATCTGCACCCCTTATCCCTTCATTCTCTCAAATCCGCGATGCTACTCTTGCAAAATTTCAAAAGCAACCGTGCTTGTGGCAGCTCAAAATTGCGCGGGCTGTACTAGAGCGCAAAAAGGACATTATCTCAATAGCTGGTACAGGTATGGGCAAAACCCTTACCTTCTGGATGCCCTTGCTGCTGCGTCCGAAGGGTCATGTACAGATCATTGTCACCCCACTGAATATACTTGGCAAACAAAATGTTGACACGCTCGCGAAGGCTGGGCTGAAGGGAATATTCATCAATGCCACCTCTGCAATGCCTGGAAATTTCAAGGTACATACCTCCCATGCCTTTGTGCGAATCCCCGCTGAGTGAGTAGCAGGCAATCGAAAATTTGGAGTACCAGGCTATTGTCGTCAGTCCCGAGCAACTGATGAAAGCCGGCGGCGGCTTTGAGCGGTTATTCAAAAACAAACTGTTCACATCAAAGATAGTCAGCATTATCTTTGACGAAGCCCATTGCATCAGCGCATGGGGAAGTTTTCGACCAGAATACAAAGATGTCGGCAAGCTCAGGTACATGGTGTCGAAAGACGTGCCGATTGTCGTTACATCGGCAACCTTGCCCCCCCTTGTCCTCCAGGACGTCGTTTCCACACTACAGCTTCGAAAGGACGATATCCTTACCTTTCGCAAGTCTGTTGACCGTTCCAACATCGCCATCGTGGTCCAGAAGATCCTAAGTCCATTGAGTAGCTTCGAGGATCTAAGATTCCTGCTCCGTAACTGGAAACCAGGCGGCCCACCCCCTCCAAAATTTCTGGTCTTCTTCGACAATATTAATGAAGCGATCGCGGCATGCAATTTCATTAAATCACTCTTACCGAAGGGATACCAGGATAACATTGCCTGGTTCTGTTCTGACATGTCGGATACATTCAAGGATGGGCAGACCAGCAATCTGGAGAGTGGTGACACATGGGGGTTGTTTACCACCGACTCTTTTGGCATGGTTAGTAACAACGCAATCGAAATATATAACAGTCATGCTGACCATTAATTCTGCCCAGGGAATGGATATCCGGGATATAGAAATCGTTGTCCAGTGGCGAGCGACTTGCTCGCTTGCCACCTTATGGCAACGCTTGGGGCGTGGAGGACGTGACCAGTCAATAGCGGCAGTTGCGATTTTCCTTGTTGAAAGGGAACACTTCGACGATGACCGGCTGTCAAAGGAGCTGCGAAAGAAAGCACGTCAGCAAAAGGCTGCCAACGGGTCCTGCACGAGACACTCATCACATTCTAGTACTCACCATGATGCTGCCCGACCAATTCTAGTCAGCGTGAATCAGAACGTGGGCGACGCCGATGAGACAGAGGATGACTCGGATGTTGAAGCGGAGTTAACAGCGCGGTATCAAGAAGTGAAGGTTGGTATCAAACGAAAGCGGAAGGAAAAGAGGGTGGTGGAGTTGGAGCCCGCAATGGACGACCTCATCAATGCTGACCATCGACGTTTAAGGTGTCGGAGGATTCCCATCAACGCACATTTTGATAACGCGCAGGCAGGTGAGAGACTCCGTTTAAGCGCCGATCACGTTGGCATTGGCACACCGGCCTTTACATCCTAAATCACCATTTCCAGATAATGCCCCTGGTGCGTGTAATCCTCCCAGTACCCACGCATGTACACGCTGCACTGTCCGCTCTCCGCCTGCACAGAGCTGCTGTGATCTCTGCTCTCCCTCTCTTCGTGACCGCTTTGTCGTTGCTGCTGCCAAGCGCACAAAACGCCCTGGACGATCGCGTCTCCACAAGTTCAATATGGGCCCACCAGATGCGGTACTACAAGGAGCACTGGACGATTGGCGTGACGATAAGACTAAATCGATCTACGGGACTGCGTACTGGAATGAGATGGGACCCTGCCTCATCCTCCCTAACGATTACCTTGATCGCATCGTCCAGTGTGCGCACGAATTCAAGATATGCGACGTGGATGACCTTGTGAAGGAGACGCGCTGGCCGTTAGCAGCGAAGTACGGTCCTGAGGTCATTGATCTCATTCGTCGACACGGTCCACAGCCACCAGCAAATCCTCCCCTCGCCACGACAGCTCAATTGCCCAATCGTACTGTTGGTGCTGCAGGAGACCAACAGGGTCAGAGAGAGAAGACACGTAACAAGTGCTCGTCGTGCGGGCAAGCGGGTCACAATGGTGCGTCTTCTTTTATTAAGCAAATTCTATGTTCTGATTTTCTTGAAGCACGCAATCGCCTGTGCCCTCAGCACCCTTCCCGTTCCAACCTCAACTCATCATCTCGCTCAGACGCTGGCTCTTCATCAAAAGAGAACCAACCTGCGCAACAAGATCATTCTGCGCACTCTGAGGCTGTGATGCCGTTAACGCGCACCCCAGCCCCTCAACTCGTATTTCCCATTCCACCCTCTGTCTTTTATGGAAACCCTTGTTAAGAGAGGCCTTCGTACATATCTGCTACCAATACTACTAGAGGTCTATTATAATATCGTCAGCGTCAGGTCGTGCACTCAATCCATCACCGACAATGTCATCCAGCTCAATCTCTGCTACTGGGACAGGTGTAGCCGGTAACTTGGCCGCTCCCTTGTCAATCATATCATCAATGGTGAAAGCAGTCCGCCGCCCAGGTTTGATCTTGTGAGGCGAAGCTTCGGCAAGGTGGCGCGACACGGACTCAAATGTGCGTGCCATATTGGGATCAGCGTGCGCGGACGTCAAATGGGCGAGCAGAATATTATTACTGATTTTCTCCTTTGCATCATGATAGACCTGAATCAAAGGTGATTCTTTGATGATCCGCGCAACGGTGCGATTGGAGCCTTCGCCTCCATGCTCGCTCTGTAACGGCAAGTCAGCAATTGTTTGACAGAGAAAATTTGACTCGTAAAGCGAACCTTTGTTTGTAAATTGTTGAACTCCACGCACCAGTCCACTGCGCGCCATTTGCCGTTCTTTCCTGTGGGATTCACAAGGATATTGTACCGAACGGCGCAACTGCAAACTCGATGTAAACTTTAGGGTTTCACAATTTGCAAATGTCCGAGCAATCACCTAAGCCCTGGTGGATAGACAAATCTCGTGTTGTACAGATATTGAGTTAGGTGAGTAGCGTACTTGTGTTTCCCGACCGCCTTGAAGATATGGATCCACGGAATGAAATTGGCTTCTACGCGGCCGATATCGCCATGATTCATTGCGTACGAAAGTTCCTCGTAGAGGAGGCAGTACTTATTAAGTAGGGTGGCATTCTCCCATTGTTCATCTCGCTGGCCAGTTGGTTGGCGGCGCAATCTGCCGAGAAGACGTGAGGCGACATATTTGCGTGCGGCAATCGCTGCGATGCTCTGTAATTCATCGAGAGATGGTTTTGACTTAGCAAACTCCTCAAGTGAGGTATGCAAGGGATTGCGTTGAGCTGCTTCGACGCGCCAGCAGTCCAATCGACGACAGATTCCGGTATGTTGGATTACTTGGTGCATCTGGCGGAAGGTGGGCTTGCTGGAAATGGTTCCCGTCTCTTTGGGCCGAAGAATCGCGATATCCTCCATCATGCACGTTTCGTCCAGACGTCCATTCAGTGACTGAATGAATATCCGCCAGATGGCATCCGCGCAAGCCATCTTGACGTGGAACAGACCAAGGATAAAGATGACAAACTGAAAGCGACGCCATGGCGAGGATTCAATTGAACGTCGAAGCTGGAGTGATTGGATGCGTTCACCGGTCCCCAAGTCCCCATGAAATAAAACAACATAATCTTTGACATCCCTCATGTCCTTCGTGTCAATCCCCGCAAACTCCGGGTCGTGGATGTCGGCGATCCCTGCCTGGGCAAGTATCTGTTTGATTGCACCAATATTTCCTGCGACGGTGGAATTATTCACATCCATTGCACGCATAGGTGTGATAGGCGTCTCCACGAGTGGGATTGACTCAACTTCGGGTGGTTGCCCTATCTCGGAACGAAAACTGGCGAAGTACGATGGCCCATGGTTCACCAGATCATGAAGGAACATCCATGCATTGAATTCTTCGCTGGTCGCGCGACCCGCTGGCTCAGCCGTATGTGATGCCGGGGCATGAGGTGTGGTATTAAGGGGGTGGGATAGCCCAGGTGTGTGTTTGGGTTGCACGGCTTTGAGAAGCTCTTCCCAAGTATGGCGCGGAACTGAGCCATGTGGGTTGAGCGCGGACTTCTTCCACAGATCCTCGCTGCAACGTAAATCATCCAGAGTGATGCCGTGTTGCAAAGGAAACACAAGCGCGGACGTGAGATGCTTTAATGAATCCCCCAGCTTTTCGACAGTCGAAACGGACGGCTTCAAGTTTACATCAAAATTATCATAGCCAAATCCGACTAATAGACATCTTCCCAAATGACTTATCGTCTCAGCTGACTCCTCGTACAATGACTGAATGGCGCGGTGAATCGACGTGAGGGAAATGGAGATCCCCATGCGAGCGAGTGTCTCGACGACCTTCTCGGGGGTTTTGCACGAGTGCAGGAAGACTCCAATAACACTTTGCACTGCATTGGCCTTTTGATTCATACTCTGAAGTATGATACTGAGAACGACGACAGCTTTCTGTGATCACAACGCGCGTGTAAGCTCAGGAAGTATGATAGGAAATGTATGAACCACGCACCACATTAACGATGGCTTGTCGTCTTGCCAATGAAACCTCACGGTGCGATAAGCGCTTCGACGAAGTATCGGAATTCACGATACCATCAACCTCCAGCTCACCCAGCGCTCGCCAATAATCCGCCTCATCATCAGCACTGTCCGCCTCGTCCTTCCCATGCGTCAAAGCCTCGCCACTTCTCGCTAACATTGAACATAACATGTGCCAGAATAACGGGGCCTGTTCGCTGAACGTTTTGGCGGAACGACTGATGCTGAATTCGTCGATTTTCGTAGAATCGGAATGAAGGGCGGAGCCGTTGTACACGCTGTTGGGTTCCGCGAGAATTGAGCGTAATTCCTGCTCGTAAAGCTTGATTGAAACCTCGTTAGTGTATCGATCAAATTCGCGCGTCTGGAGGCGGTGGTTGGCGATTACTGAGCATAGATCCACAGAACGAGAGATGATCGCTACAGAGAGCGCGTGTCCGGAGTACAGAGGACTGGTGATGAGTCGTATGAAGTAGTCAGGTAGCGAGTGCGGAAGGTTTTCGACAGCCTTAATGAAGTCTTCGAGCTCAGTCAACGAAATGCTGGTCATCGCGATCATACAGTGCTGGTCATCGCAAGAGAAGGTTATGCTGTGCCCCTAACGGCAAGGCGGCATTTCCTATTTTCGAACCCAGTCGGTCACTGTAACACTGACGTCTGCTGTTGACCAATGTTTGGTGCCAGGCTCTCTACAGCGTTTGAGCAAAACTAAGTTCTCGCATAATCCTCGGATCATCATTCACGGAACATACCGACAGTGTACTATCCTCGCTTTCATACTCAGCAAGTCCCATAAACTTCGCTCTAGGATCAAGCTCAAACGCGTACGAGAGCCTGGGTAGGAGGCTGCCATGGGACATACTTTGTGTTTTACTGTCCATGCGTGCCGAAGTGCCGATAGCGTCAATACGGGGTCTGAGCGAAAAGCAGGCGGTGCTTTATGATCATCCGATATGAACCCTGCAATGTTGCTAACCCATAGATGCTATTGCCCTTATCCCTTTCATGGTCAGGCCGCATCCCCTTGGTATCATGCTTTGCCATGCGTAGACCGCAAAGACGCGTAGACACCGCGTCGAGTGTGTGTGCACATAGGTTCGAACAGGTTCGACCCTCGTAAAGGCTCGTGCGGTTAAGGATTTAAGGTTAATCAGCAACTGTTTGCGGTACATATGGGAACCAGGTACCCACGAATAGACAATAGGGAAAACACGAGAAATCGTCATCGAAGGGTAACAGGTACTGTACTCGGAATATGTTATACGAAACCCATCGCCGCATGTCTGGAGACAGATTCGGGGAAATATAGGTGATTGACGGAGACAGATCAGAGGACTGTCAGCGGCGTGTTAGTGGAGGCGACATCTCTGTTCGAAATTCATATGACAATATAAGACTCGACTTACAGTGTCAGCAACTCTCGGTCTTTGTTCGTAGCTCGAACGGGGCGGCAAGATCCTTGGAAATACGTTGAGGAGTCAATTCTAGACTTAGATCAGCAATTGAGGATATGTATCATAGTTGTAGACGGCGGCCAGGTAACTCCATGAAACTGCGTAGGCTATGCAGTTTCAAAGGCCTAAAGCATCTTGGAAAAGCTTGGTGCGCAGTACTCTTCGAACGGGAGGAGTCGCCAACACACGCAAGGATTCATCTGGATTCACGATACACAATCGCGATAACTATTCGCAAAAAACCTTTATCGCATGCAGTTCCGTCAAGTACGGGCAGCGAGCCGTCTCGCACCAGTCGTTTCCATGATTGGTATTGCATAGCCTAACACGCTCCTCTTGTGTGCTTAGGATCCACTTATTTGGGCATCCGAGATGCACAGGTGTCGTAGGGATGGCGGCGTTAACGGGAGAGGTGTCATCGCCCCAGTCCTTGGGACGTCCGTGAGAGGCCGCGGAGGAAATGGTCCCCCACGTTGTGCATGCTAATGTATTGATCAGCGACAAGCGTTGTGCATGCTAATGTATTGATCAGCGACAAGCCATTGGCCTATGCATGTCGTACCCTTGGTCCGGTGTCGGATGTTTGGGTTAATGTCGGCCACGAGGTAGGGTATTCGCTTCCTCTCGACATAGCTCGCAGTTTCACCCCATATGAGTACTCCGGACATAGGGCATGATTGGGAGGTTCTGGGGGAGTGCCAGCACGGTGGTCTGACATAATACGAGCGAAGAGGGTCTATTCGTCTGCGAGCGTAGAAAAGGTAAGGTAAGATCTGGGGTGTTTGTAGACGAGATAACCGCGGTACCTAGTTGCAAACTCGCCCGGAACCACCTGCGCTGCGGGTCTAGGCTATACCCAAATACCCAGAGCACCTATTATTGGTCGATGCCTAGTACGTGCTGTTCAGCTGTTGGCGCCCCCCGCAGTCTTATCGGTGGGTTGGTCAGGTGAAAATTTGGGGTGCTGAGTTTATTTCAAAGTATTTATAGGCCAAGCACAATTGTGGTCTTGGAAGTAGCCGGAATAATATGTATTAGTGAAAATTGTGATATAGAATATACTGCGCTCACTAGATGGTATATTCGGACGTTCGCTACACATATGGAAGCGAGGTTCGACGCTCCTTCGCCAGGGTCCTATATGTTAAACGTTAGGAAGAGATCGTAGCGAAGACATGCATCAAGGAAGGCATGATGAAAGGGTGGTGCGTGAGTCGACTTATTGAAGTTGACGCCAATGCCTTCTCTCATCAGCGCCAAGAAGGCGCCGATTTCCACAGGGACAGGGCAACAGCGTTGGGTGCAGGCATCAATTCAGGCGAAGTCGGTGCCGTGGTGTTCGTGGCATGAACACGCCTGTGCTTCACAAGGTCTGAAGTGGTAGTCATCGAGCGGTGGCCAGGAAGGGAGGAGGAGGGAGGAGGGGGATAGGCAGAATGGGAGGATAGGCTTGGGCGGGGATAGAGAGAGACGGCCCATGTAGGAAGGGATTTGGACTTTCATGTCCACTGGCTTTGTCTGAGATCGACATCGACATCAATCAATGGTGAATCCAAGTGAAAGTTGGCAATTGTCGGATGTCGGACTGCGTTATAAGGTTAAACTTCCGGAGGTACATACCACGGCGAACGCGAACTATATCAACCTTCAACCTTCAAGTCACAGCGTCCGTTGGCTGGTTCGATTACGAAGAACGACGATCGGACTGCGGTCAACGTGGATAGTCATGAACACGCTTTGAGACTGAAAGTACTTATGCGAACAGAATGTACGCGCCAACGTGAGTAGTTCCAGGGCAATGATGAGCCTGCGAAAGGATACCATATCTGTTCCCGACACTATTGGTAGCTATCCAGTGGCATGATTCGACTTTGTGCCGCTGATTCATTGGTTGTAAGCCTCCCATGAACCTCCGTGGATCATTCGTCGTCGTATTTTAGGTAGGACCGGGGTCGAAAATCGCGATTTCTTTGAGCCCAAGCATCGATTCATGACCATGCAATGAATGTACCAATCGACCTCTGAAGCTTTACTGAGGTACAATTTCAATCGTATAGTCCAGAGTCGTGAGCAGTTAGTGCACGTCTACTTCAAAGATAAAATGGACATGCCTTTTGACATGGGACAATAGCTAGCAAGCACCACTCACTCCTGTGTATGAATGGATGTCCTGTGGCCTTCCCGAAACATCTCCGGAGCCGACTCTGGAGTCCGAATGTCGCAATCAGCGGTAGTCGCTCCTACTTGCCATAGAATGAGGCAGTAAGTCGAGATGCAGGTCGAGACATCGTTAACGGTTCAATGGAGCAAAGTTCCAAATTACGAGACCGTAATGGAATGGAGGCTCGTTAGTATGAAGTGCTCTGAAACTTTGGGACAGGGTCCAACAAGGAGCTAGGAACAGCGATCTCATTGGTTCGGCCAGGATTTCTCAGCCCGCTATTGGCTGTCTGGATGTTTGACTTTATTTGCTCCAAAAAAAGCTCTTTCTCTTCTGATTGGCTGGAGTGAGCGCCAGACTTCGCTGCAAGTAAGTGGTCATGTGAGCCCCCTTGATACCCCCTGATAGGGCACCCAAAACTAACCAGGGGCCGAATGAGGCCAACCGTAGGTTGGGCGATGAGGCCCAACCTGCAAAGCAGCACTTAAAACAGCTTGAGAGAGAGTAATTAGTGTGGGAATGGCCTACAATAGTTGCCAACATCCCTTATGCAGTGCAAGATGCAACAAAACAAGGTATGAAGCACCAAAGTTCAGATAGTTGCAATTGGGGATTCTGAACATGACCCAGATATATGTGTCCCAAGTGTTGAGTATGCACCAGTCTTCAACGGTCTCGTACATGCCGTGCTCCTAGCATCGAATGTCGCAATCAGCGGTAGTCGCTCCTACTTGCCATAGAATGAGGCAGTAAGTCGAGATGCAGGTCGAGACATCGTTAACGGTTCAATGGAGCAAAGTTCCAAATATGAGAGTGGCGTTACAGTGTTACCATATGCGCCTATTCCCACGCTCACACATTGCATTCTGGCGCCATTTCAAACTTGCTTTACTTCCAAGGCTGGTTGGAAATTACAATACGAGCACTGAATACTGAGCAGGTAAGCCCGGCGATCAGTTATTCCATAACACAGCTAACGGATGTCTTCGGAATTTTCATTCATCAAGGGGGATCATATGAATCGTGATTAACGTCCTCTTAGAATGAATGCACAGCTCAGCCACTTCTTTTTTCTCGATGGTACATATGTTGCATTGGATCGGCGGCCACAGACGCCGTTAAAAAATGCGATGGAAGCGTTCTTATTATTGTCTGCGCGCTCATGTCTTGCATATAAGCTACCGCAATGCTACTGGTGCCTTTAGAAAACTTCTTGTACTCCATCTCATCCTGCAATGGATCCTCTGTCAATAACTGCCGCCATCGTGACATTCATAGATATTGCAAACAAGATCAGATAAAGTAGGACTCCTGGTACGCAAAGTTCTCTATAGTTGATTGATCATTGACGTGCAGATTAGCGACAAACACAGGACCCTCAGCGAACTAACGAGTGGCATTGTGATCGAGCTCCTCGGATTGAAGATGCTGTCCGAGCGCCGAGAAGGCCTCGAAGTCCTTGATGAATCAAACCTTGACGCCGAATTGACCGCCTTGCTTGAAAACCTTCCATCGTGGGTGTTCCGTGTTGACTTCTTCAGAGCTGCTGAGTGAGTCGATGTCACCCTTAGCCAACTAACAACTGTGCTTGAGCGCCGCCTAAAAATAGAAAAGTCTCGCAACGCCTCCAGCCCCTGAAAGCGGTTTTGACGAGTGGATTGAGCATCCCAAAATTGAAGCTGACATAGCTTGTCTAAGAGATCATGTCTCGTCTTTCCACAGACGATTTATTGTGAGCCAACAAATTTGTTAGCGTGACCAGACCCTTCATCTTTCTCCAGAAAATTAATTCCATTCGCATGGAGCGTAGGCTCCTGCTTGCCATTGGCGAGAACGGATCCAAGATAATTTAAATGGAGGGGCGTATATCGAGGCACCTTAGTGGTTTGCTCAGATTTGGCCTCAATCCGCCTCAAGTAAGTGACCATTTTGCCATTAGGATAATTCTTTCTCATCCGTCGGTTACATAGTTCTCGCACGACATGGATACGCAATTCCTTTGTTGGGGAGTACGCCAGGTTGTGGATGTCATCGGCTGTATATGGGCCAAATGTACGTTCACACCTCAAGACGTCAACGGCGACTCGGGTCTCAAGACGGACTCGCGTCCGTCGAAATTCGATATTTATCTGAGCGCAACGTGTCTTCCATTATGCACATTTCCCGAGGCTAGCTGCTGGCGCCAAGTTGCGACGGAGGCCCTCCTTACTACTCTCAACTATTAGCCTGGGACAATCAACCTTATAGAAATTGGGAGACATAGGTAGTATGTAGCAGAGCATCTACGTAGAGTAGAGTGGTAATAGAAGTATATGTATATGTATGTAGCTACTGCACTGCAACTTCAGACGAGGGGTCTTCGATATCGAACTTGTGCGAAACACGAACAAAATCTAAGGCAGCATCGCTGTCGTCCTCTGAAGGTCTAAATGCAATTATTCATTTAGCGGTGGCTGGAACTAACAACCGAGGGCGACCTGCCCCATTCCGTGGGTGAGTTCGTCGGGTTGACGAATCTCTCGTGATACACTTCATTGGCGTTTCCTGGCGAGCAAAAACATGATAACATTGAACCTGATGGCAAGCTACACTATATCGCATACACACGAGTATAATAAAAATAATCAGTAGATGTGCCGTTAGCACGAGAACGGGTCGAGGCTGATACAGAAAGTCCATGCGGGGTAGGTATGATGAAGGTTGCAGGTATACTTACGTAGTAATGATAAAAGACATACAATTGACAGATGCAGGGAGATGGAACGGTAACACAGTGATATCCGGGAGAGATATGAGAGCTGGGTGTCGCTGGATGAGAGGAGAGATCGCCATTCATTTCGTAAAAGTCGTATGTTCTTCTCTCTTTCGTGAAAGAGAAGTGATGGGAGTAGTTGGAGATTGTTGTCTTCGGAGCTGATAAATCGATGTTGTTCAACCGCAAACGAATCAAAGGAACCGGATTTGGTAGGGCCCAGCTGGCGCGGCTACTTCCTCGACTATTCCTTTGTCTTTTTCAATGAACATTTTAGGCGTCTTCGTGATGAGGGTAAAACCTCCGCGGACTTTCGGGTGCGGGTATTTGTGCTGAGGACCACATATCAGCCTCAACATCGCATGATACTGAGTAGAATTAGTCATACCTGAACCGCGCGTTCCGGTTCCTTGCCCTTTGAGGAGGCCTTGCGCTTTTTGCCAACCGTGGTGGACCCTTCGTAATCGTCATCGACTTGATCTCCGTCTTGGGATGAGGACGCAGACGAGGACGCAGAGCTGTGGGCCGCACGACGAGGCTCCCGGGTGGCGCGAGACGGCATGCGGGCGCGGCGGCGCGGCGCTTTGGCTTTGACAGGGGCGACAGGGGGAGCCAAGGAGTGTCCTTCCTCGACGTAGCCAGATGACGAGGGGTATGGATTGCCCACCGTTTTAGCGGGTCGGGCCGTAGTGGAGGCATCATCAACTGGCACGTACCCCGAAGGTGGGTATGGGTTTGATTGATTGACCTGGCGTCGAGAACGCCTACGTGCGGCAGGAACAGCAGGTCGACGAGGGCGGTGTCTACCTTGGGTAGTATTTCCCAGACGTGCCACAGCCGATTCACTTGCATGTTGCGTGACAGATGGCGGAGGGCCTCCTTGCGAGTCGTTCGTTGCCGCATTGGCAACCATGTCCGTGGCCGTGGCCGACGGTTGATAGTGGCCACCGTTGTAGGGCATAGTGTAGTGGGGAAGAGAAGGGCAAAACCAGACAGGGAAGTTCATGGTAGCGACTGCTTTATAGTCTGGTGGAGGGACAGTAGGGTGCAGCAGGACGGGTGGTACTGGGGTGCAGACAGGTAAACCCATATTCTTGTAGTCTGGCGGCGGTGGATAGACAGTCAAGTAGTGTAGCGGTGAGATGTCATCAGGGAGCCCGGTAACGGCTGAGATGACAGGAAGTAAAGTCTGCTCGCCGATAGCCGCAGGATTCGGCCCATGTTCGTGATCCACTGCAGAGTCGGTGACGGCGGTGGCAGTGGCGGCAGCTCCAACTAGCGCTGGAGTTGTGGCCGACTCGGGTTCGGCTGGTGGCTGAGATTCCCCGATGAACGCAGACGCGTCCGCTTCCGCTTCGTTGCCTGGGAGTAGGGATCCGGATGGTACTGTGGGATAGTCTTGTGTTGTTGCCTGAGTCCCTGTCCAAGTATCCGGTAGCGTCACATTTTCGGCGGCGTCTGTTCCGACGGTGGCAACCAGTGGCTTGGGGGTGGTTGGTTCAACTGGAGAGCTGGAGTCCCCGATAAATGGCGCGTCCGTGTCAGACTCGCTTGCTGGTGAAAAGTATGTCTGAGGCAGCACTGATATACCACCGCTGTATATATTGTCACGGAAGGTGCTTCGGGCTTTCTCGAACAGAAGACTGAATTGTGACGATTCCTTGAATGGCCATGATTTTGGTTTCGGTAGTGCCAAAGGCGATCCTAAGTATTGTTCACTGTCCGTCTTGAAGAAGCCTGCGAGGGTAGCGTTTAGAGTGGGTTCGAGAGTTGAACGACCATCGCCGATGTAGTTTAAATCCTGCAGTATCACGGTTGGGTTCTCGGCGAGGTACTTAAACGTTTCCACATCGTTCAATCCACCAAATACATCTAGGCCATCAATGGGTGGAGGTAAATTTTCTGCCATGTCTAAGAAGTCGTTGCAAATAAAATCAGTGGGCGCGGTTGGGGTTTAATGAGGAGAGTGCAACGCACGACTTGAGCTAGGAGTCCTGTAATCGCGGTCACATGAGTGGACAATACCATATTTGGACTACTCATCCTGTATTACATAAGGTTGTGCCACACCTGGAAGCTAGACGCGACGCGACGCGTTCATCAAAATACAGTCAAACAACAATTCGGTCAAGATCAGCCTTGAGAGCACTTGCGTTTGGCTCTCAGCTCAGAGGTTGATGCAGTGCGTGAGTCCATCTGCACGACATGGGCTGTCACTGAGATTTGGAATTATTTATGTGCTATATAATTCAATCTCAATTCGATTCAAACCTTGTCAGTGTTGGGGTTTTGTTTCATGAATACAGAGGAGGCTTACCTTGCCAGAAATCCATTGCATGCCAGTTGATATACTTGTGCCCGTACAAGTCAGCCATGCCGCTCAATCGTTCGAAGTCGTACCAGCAGCATATCATTGGTCTTCTTGCCTTCATAAAAGGTGGATTTCTTGGTCCTGCCAGTGATGTATCTTTGGTGTAAGTTGCTGCAGTCACTTCATCGAGAAAGACAAAGGAAGGGTGTTTTCACAGGCGTGCTGAATTACTGCTAGACACCGAGCAACGCACACGCGAAATGCTGTTGGCAAGTCAGTTCGACGCTGAGCAAGGGTGTATACTCTTCCCGGTGAGTCTCCACCATCGAATCAACGTCGCCGCATGGGTAGTCACTGAAAGCCCGAAGTCCTCTGTTGTGCATTTATCGTTACTTGTCAGTCGTGAAAGATGATTTACGCAGGCCGAGCAGTTCGCAACACCTCGCATACAAAACGCAGATCTTAAGGACGAGCGTCATCGATCCATTGAACCTAAAAGGAATCATAGAGTTCTTTAACTTTACGATCCTTCGGAAACATCAGCTCGACTCACTCTCCACTGCGGATTCCATGCCGAGCTTGGTGTAGCTTGTCTCTCACCGTCACGGCCATGGTCGGTCGAATTGAAACATGTAGGTACGGCGAACTTCGTTTTGAGGGATGTCAGAGCAGTCCATACGGATTAGGGCCTGGCCTTTGTTTGTCTTATTTCGGTGGCTTCTCGTGAATCATCAATTATCCCCTTGTCTACATCCATGACCCCCCTTGAAGCAGCTGGGCCGAGTTCTGGAGTACTAAAGGTCCTTGAATGACATCTAGTAGCGCTGAGGGCGATCCATGGACCATCGCATGAGATTGAGGTCGATATCTGAGGTATGAGATCGTGAATTGGAGTGTCTTCATCCAAGCTCCCGCATCGCTTAGTGTCCGGCGTCGCCTCGCAGTCAATTTATAAAGGGTCTCTGGGTTCAAGATTCGGTTCTGGAAATAAGTTATACGAAGTGCCCAAAAGAAATCGAGAAACACAAGTTCGAGATGACGCGTCAAACGGGCACCGTGAGGCTCATGCAGGCCCTAGATACAAGCGGTTCCAGAGTGATGATAGGGCATTCCACGTTACTCGAATTCCGAGTGCGGTTGCTCGTTGGGCGGCGTAGCGAGCGACGGTCGATGTAGCAGCGGGCCAAAGCGGGGGCTGCAACTCACTGAGTTGACGACGCTTTCGGCGCCTAAACTTCCATCAACGACTCCACTGGCAGAATGACTGGAGCACTGTAAATCAGCGTCTGGGATGTTGAAATGAGCCGGTGAGGTCGCGCGAGTTCCGAGTGAGCAAGTAGATATATATTGCGTTTGACTGGGACTCCAGCAAACGCATGAAGAAGAGAATACATGCACGCGCAAACTATCTACGTAGTCACGTGGACCCCTGTAGCCCCTGTACCGCCTAGATTGTCAGAATCCAACATGGGATGCATATGCATGAATAATGTTGGGGATGTCCACGTCTACTCTGTCGATATGGTATGTCTTCGTATTCATTGAACTCGAGACCATTGTTGGTATACGTATACGATATAGAGCTCGGCTGCCAATGTCTCCCTGCCTGCGAAAGTTCGCTCCAGCGTCTACTCTGCCTGCGGCCCGCTCATTCGATTCATGTCGAGTCCCATTCGAGGATGATGTTCGTACAAATACAAGGCGTGACTAGCCCACAGAGGGTAAAAACGCTGAATGATCACAAATGGTTCCTTCTCAATCCGAGGACATCGCTTCATCATTAACTATCTACTCCGTGTCTCTATTGAGTGTTACTTCCGGTCAGCATCAGTACACCGACACCACGATTTTCTGAACGAACGAACAACTAAAGGCAGTGAATTGTTCCATGGCACCGCTGTTCAGCCTTTGGTGATACTTCCTTGGTCCTACCTCTCGCTCTCCCCAATGGCAATGATCGCTATCCTACGATGCGCCGAACTTAGATGATCCCGAGGTTGAAAAAGTGGAGCGATTGCATCTGTTGAGACTTTGGTTCAGAAACAAGATCAGGCTACTTACGGTAGCAAGTCTGTTGCGAGCATAGGCGTCCTTTGCCAACTACTTGACCTAATCCCCTTTACGTCGACATCAATTGGCAGTACCCTCCCGCCCCGATCTTATGGTCGCCGATGCTCGCAGGTGCTCTCCGATGGGCGTTGGATGTTCAGCGCCCCGCCTGCATCTCTCGTTCCAAAGGAAAGCGAAGAGTGTCGGATGCATCATCCTAGTGGGACGGGAGAGTGTTGTGCCTTTCGCGAGCCGCTAGATGCTCAATGGACCCGGTTGAGTCTTCTGTGCTGCCATCCCCGCCCTGTCTCGCCGCTGAGTAGATGAGGGTTCCTCTCGCAGCTGGCAACACGGTAGCGTCAGGTCAACAGGTGTCCAGATGACATGTACCCAGGGCTACAATCGCTTGAACTGCGAAGCTGTCGGTATTTGCAATGAGACCATATCCCATTCTGGCCAGAGAAACCTCAATCTTTACTTCGCAGATCGTCAACGGCGGCCTTCCGGAATCTGACTGTCAGAGTCGGCGGTGATCCCGCCGGCGAGTCCAATTCCCCATTCGACAAGAAAAGCGTTGCTAATACCGGCGTTGTTCACGTATCGCCTTGGACGATCTGCTCGGGGACGTGTCACTACGGTGCCAGTTCAGTTCCTCGTTCGACCCGTGGTCTCAATTATCATCTTCGTTTGCCCTGAGAGTAGAGTGAAATTACTGGTAGTGTGTCAGTGACGTTCTAAGTGTACCGAGTATACGTGAGTTACCGGTTTTGAACATTGTGAATTGATATGTAGCGCATCGTTGAGCCCTAGAGTCGATGTATGAGGGCGTGCATATTCAGTTCTGCTAGGCTGCAACTTCTGGAGACGTGGCTCTGAAAATATAACATATAACAAACACTGGGAAGCACATACCAAGTTCGAGGTATGTTTCGCCACAAGACTCATGCGGCCCAGATCTCGGCGGGTCTACTTAAGATGAGGCGTTTCGCGCTGCCCGCGTGCTGAGGGCAGTTACTATGGGCGGCGTAGTGAGAGGTTACGCAGGAGTTGTTGGAAAGGGGAGTGTGCAGCGGGACAAGGTGGCATTGTTACTGGCGTCCTAGGTGCCAGCCGCGTAGTTGACGTTGCTGACACTCAACAAAAGGATGTTCTCCTTGATCGTGATAGCTGTCGGTCTGCCAAACGCTGCACGGGTGGTCGACCGGCCTGAACTCTCGTAGCACACTGCGCTAACCTCAACGTTATTATCCTCCACAGATCGACTGCACGTTCACAAATTACAGGATACCAACAACATTGGCCGCACTGCAAATCACAGCGTCAACACATCAATCAACATCAATGCATGGGTAAGAAGGAATGAACATTGAGGGTCACTCACCTCAGACCTGCTCAGGGAGGTGGACATCACCTCCCTTCCTCCTCAGCCCAAACGACCTCCCTCAGCTCCTCGATATCACACACGAACGCTCTCCTCACACTATGCACACCCTCCGTCTCCCCTCTGACCCACTGAGACCCAGACCCCATCTCATGTACGTATAGCCCAATCCCTCAACATAATTCCACACCGAACGAACACAAACACGACGCACTGCGCGAGCCCAATCCCCACTATATACGCCGCCAATATCGGTCCTTTCGACGGGTCCAGGAATGGATAGACTGGGGCAAGATGACGTCAGATGCCGACGTATGGTATTTACGTTGGAGAAACGAGCAGACAATAGATCGGTCGCCGAACAAAAGCATGGTGAAAGCAGACATACCGTATACACCTTGGTTGGCATTCGTGATGTAGGCGACGCACAGGTATAGACCGAGGAGGACTACTGTGATGGGGAGGTAGATATATGGGAGGTTGGTCTTCCTCGGCTTTACACTCGCGCTGTTGGTAGCGGAAGGGGAAGAGGTGAGAACGAAGGTCTCGGCGAGGGATACTACGGCGTTCAGTATGTGTTGAGACGTCGAAGAATAAGCTATCCAAGGGTGAGAAATAAGCAAATGGTATCTTTGGAATTCGAATGGGATCAGGAAGGTTTACCGGAATAAGAAGTCGCGAAGGTAGATGGTGATGAGAGAAGGGCCCAGTAGATGATTGTTACCAAAATAGCTGTATGCGAGCCAACGTGAATATGGGCATATGCACAGTCGAGGAAGACAGGGAGATGCGAAGGGTACCAGCAAAGCTCAACAAAACCGCTCAGCAGAAGGAGTATGAGTGAAAACTCACGAAACGTAGTGATCGTACAGTATAGGACTTCGTACGCCAAGCTGGATACCTTCGACCCTCTCTTTTCACCTCCGCGTTCTTCAGTTTCGTTGCGATCTCCGGTCTCGCCGAGCTCTGCAACGGAGACGCCTTCCTTCTCTTCGGCTAACTCTTTCTCTGAGCGGGTTTCTTCGTCGTCTACACGGTTTCCTTCCCTACCGCGGTCCACGCGAGCCTCGTCCGCAATATCACGACCAAACCAGACCATCTTCGCCACACGAACGGCCTGAATAACGGTCCAGGTCGTCACGCCAATAAACGACAGACTCGTAAAGTACGAAAAATACAGAAATTGGCCAGCGTCTCCTCCCCCACGCGCATGGGTAGCGGAATAGATCATTACTGTCAAGCATGTTGAGACGGTGAACAACGCTATCACGATTCGGACGAATAAGAGGGCGCGTCGAGAGATGAACGGCGATGTTAGGTATGACATGTGTGGGTCCCCAGCGCTGATGGTAGAGCCGTGGGGGTGATGATGAGAATGATGGTGAGACATGTTTGTTCTTCCTCGTGGTTGTCGATGGACAGTTCTCCTCTCGCCGATACCCAGTTCACAGCGTATCTCCTGTCCTGTCTTTTCCTGAAAGATAAATGCCTACAAAAGAGTCCTAAACGTAGATTAGGACGCGTTTTGGGACGGTCAAAGACACTGAAGGGCGGGGCAGAATACAAAAGGGAAACTTTGCCGCTCTCGAGCTTGAGGGTACAGTTTTCGTGTGCACGGACCTGCTCTGCTGACCACAGCTAGCCGACGCAGAGGAACGTCCGTGTTTTGTGAACTATGCTGTGGTATGGTTCGAGAATGGAGCGGTCAAACCCATATGACCCTGTGGCGCGTGTACGCCAAGTTGTGGGGGAAACAAACAAAAAAGCTCGACTCACTAGATGTCCTGGCTCTAGCTCTTTATTATGGGAGAAAGCAAGAAAAGGAGAAAGAAGGAGAGTGTGGCGAAGACGAAGAGAGGAAAATGGGCAGTGTGTTGCATATGGTCCGGCGAGATCGATATCTCCACGTGATTATCACCACACCAGCAACACAGGATCGTATATCAGCCTGACACGGACTAGGAAGTAAATAAAGATAAAGATTGCGGGCATCCGGCCAGTAGAAATTCGAAGGCAAGTGTGGCGTCGAATTTGTATAAATATCTTCATATTGATCACAAATACTACAAACGGGGCAGGTGCTACATCATATGTAAAATAACACTGTGGATACAAGGACATTGAGGAAAGGCCTCGGCACGCCGCTCGGAAAAGAGATATGGGAGATAGAGACGAACGAGCACTGGAAACGAAGGTATAAATCAGAATGGGCTAATACGTAGAGATAGAGCGGCATTGGAAAATAGAACATGATGAGGAATGAACAATGAGAATGATGATTTGCCGCAATATCGTCGGCAAGCATAGCAAACAGCCTCATACTCCCCTCCCAAGATGTGTGTTTCCTTCATCAGGGTATTCAGCATTCGTGATTTTATCGTACACAAGTCGTACGCGGAGAAATTCATCTGAATGAGTCCCCCGGGAGTGTTACTGAAATTTGACATCTCGTCGACATTGGCTTACTAGACGTATGTTAAAATAAGGCCGCTAGTGGTCGCACGATAACCGAGGAATCGAGTATATGGATTCGTCTGACTGGGACTCCAGCAAACGCATGAGAAAAACGATACAAAGCCGCAGAGGATATCTACGTAGTCACGTGCCATTCAACCCCCTGTACCCCCTAGATTGCTCAAATTATGGCTGGTTTGGGAAACATGTCAGGCTGTGCTCCACTTGTTTCGACTTCCCCCAATATCTGCGATACTTGACATTGTAGTGAATGTCTTGACACTAATGCCACTGCCATGGAAGACTCATACTCCCAATTCAATCGTAGTATAATCAAGTCCTCTTTCAACTCCACTCCACATTCTCGCCGTTGCTAGGTATCTGCTGAATTAATCTGGTACTTGTATTGACGAATCATTATCACTCCGATAGGTAGCATGTCTACATCCTCATGGAGGGGATTGGCGTATATGGGCGCTGTGCGCCCTACGTGTCTTCTTATACGGATGGGTTTACCTCAAGGCAGAGCCATATAGCTTATTTCCCTTGGGCTGTGCGTTTCCACGTTTGACAGTGAGAAACGAAAGGTCTTCTGCGCAGTCCAGTCCACAAGTTACTTCATATGAGTATCAGGCTTCGTTTGACTTCCTTCCCTACCTTTTCGTAAACCGTATGGATCCGTTGTCAATAACCGCGGCGGTCGTCTCATTCATAGATGTCGCGAAAAGAATCAAAGACTCCGTGGACAAAGTGAGTTGCTCATTTACTTCCTTGCTTAACAATACTATTGAGCACTGGTCGTGTGAACTAGACCGGGTCCAATCGCCGAAGGCTGAAAGAACTCACAGACAATGTAGTGGAAGAGGTTGCTAAACTCCATAAATACCATCATCTCAAAATATCGTGCCTTGATGATGACTCGGTATGTTCTTTGGAAAGCTTAGAGACGTATGTTCTCTTTCCTAGTAGCGTTTCTGGGTCCGTCATTGACGTGGACACCGGATTTTCAGTCAATTGCACAATGTTTTGGGACGTTGCATGCAGAGAATAAAACCCCGCAAACGCGGACGTCTCTCTTCGATCAAGGCGTATGTCATTGCATGGCTACAGAACACCGAGATCGAAGCCGAAATGGTTCGCCTCGAACAATGTGTCGCACACGTTCATCGGTGCTTTACTGTACGTACGACGCTGAACATGCTTCATCTGGGCTCACCGGTCTGTTTAGTATACAGCCTTCACGCGTATGGAAGACAATCTCCTTATCTTCAGCTCAGAGCATCAATCGAGGATGAAGCAAATGGAGGGCTTGGTAACCCAACTGCTCCTCAACTCGCATACAACAGGGGTCTATCCTTCTTCCGTGAGCAAGTGTACTCTACTCCTTGAGTTATCCTTGTTGACAGCCATTATAGCTTCTGGATAACGCTATGCCGAATGGCATTGAATTCCAATTCCTCCATCTACAAGCCCAGAAGATCGTCATCAACCTTAACTATATATCAGCCACCCATACCTTCACAGAACTACCTGACAGCCGACCTGTTGAACTCGCAACCATCGTCCAGGAGACACCCCCACCAAGCCCCATGCGCACAGCCATGATCAAAGTCCTTCAACTTCAACAGCTGATCCAACTAGAACCTGCCAGCCTTTCCGATCGGGAAGGTGCTACGGAGTTACTGAGGATTGGCAAACACCTGCGGGATCTGGGTTTAATGGAAGATGCAGCGGCCATCAACTCCTGCGCGACGGCCATTTATCGTGCGCTGATGCAGGAAAACCCCGCCGTCTACATGCCTTACGTCTTTTGGGGCTTGATGAACTTTGCTCGTCTTCGTTATGGGACACAGATGGGACTCGATGCAGTTGAATCTGCATATCGCCTGCAAAAGGATATGACCCCCGCGTCGCGACAAGAGTCCTCATCTCAACTCGCCTGGTCCATGTGCCATTACGCCGACCATCTCCTTGTGAACGGTCACTGTGAGGAGTCCGTCGAACACGCGAAGGACGCGCTTGCAATCCAGCGCAACGTGTCCGAGCACTACTCGGAATACGACTCTTTGGTTGTTTGGGAGGCTTCTGGACAGGAACATGCGGTGCTTTCGTCTACCTGCCTGGTCATCAGGACGTTCAGTATGGCTGTTCAGGAAGGGCTGTGTCTGTGTGCTTTCGCACAGAGTCTTGCCGCCGTGGGCCGCTACTCGGAAGCCTTTATGGTTGGCACGGAGATCATCAGCTGCTTCACCGCCTTGGCCCAGTATGATCCTCGTTCGGCTGTCTTCCCCCGTTGGGTCCGTGCTGGTCTTGCGAACCGCTCAAGATGGGTTTCGATCATCCGTCCACCTAGCCAACGTCCCTCATTTAGTACGACTGCGGATGAAGAGAACCTTGGGGCCCTAGACAGCACTGAGCATCTGTGAATGAATATTCGCTTGATATTCGGGGTTGGGGTATATGATAATAATTTTGCAAGTCGGCACACCGCCCAGGAGAGCCTTATAGGCACTTGACTATTAACCTGAATGAATCGAGCTTAACGACATATGTGGTGGGAAGGGTGTGTCTGAGAGTAGGACGATAGGGCCCTATGGATAGGAATATATGTACCAGCCCTATGAATTATTGATATAAAATGAGTCCATTTACAACGGACCTGGGAGGCCGCTTGTCGCTTCAGAGCAAGAATGCGGGCCCATTCCCGTGAAACAAGTACTTGGTCTTCGAACCGAGTTTTGAGGACGCGACGGGGACCAATGGTTTGAAGTGCCATGTGCCACCGCCTTCACGAATTTGTAAAACAGCGGCCTTTACGGCCTCCTGGTGCATAGTAGGCGAAGGATCCATACTGGGCGGGAGAGTCGCGGACTCAGGGATGTCGCTGGAGTGATGGAATGAAGCAAGAGGGAAGTGGGAAGGAAGGGTCCTGTTGTTTGTCGGCTACTTCGTGCCAAAGAACGCACTATAAGTCCGTGGAATGTCTGCATATCATCCTTAGTTTCCTCCCTCCACTATCTCGTGAGTAGTGGCTCCCTGGATTGCGATATTTTCCTCTTCTCATTTACTGCCCAGGGCGACTGACTCGTAGTATCGATTGATGCCGTTCGGAGTGCCTTACAGGGGAGGTTCAGAAGTGTGGCTTGCTGCGTGACCGGATTCCTCTGGAAGCACCGCAGTCAGACAACAGCCGCCTCAATTTAGGCTGCTCCGGCCTTGCTCTCATGGTCGCCGATACTCGCATGTGCTCTCCAACGGGCGTTGGATGTTCAGTGCCCCGCCTGCATCTCTCGTTCCAAAGGAAAGCGAAGAGTGTCGGATGCATCATTCCAGTGAGATGGGAGAGTGTTTGTTGTGCCTTTCGCGAGCCGCTAGATGCTCAATGGACCCGCCTGAGTCTTCTGTGCTGCCATCCTCGCCCTGTCTCGCCGCTGAGTAGATGAGGGTTCCTCTCGCAGCTGGCAACACGGTAGCGTCAGGTCAAAGGTCCAGGTGATATGTACCCTGGGGTACAATCGCTTGAACTGCGAAGCTGTCGGTATTCGCAGTGAGACCCTATCCCATTCGGCCAGAGAAACCTCACTCAACTGTCTTTACTTCGCAGATCGTCAACGGCGGCCTTCTGGAATCTGACTGTCAGAGTCGGCGGTGATCCCGCCGGTGAGTCTGATTCCTCCTTCGACAAGAACAGTCTTGCTAATACTGGGGTCGTTCACGTATCGCCTTGGGCGATCTGCTCGGGCGTCCCTCGTCTTTCATTGCAGTCCCAGTCCCTCATTATGGTTCCAATTAATCATCTTCGTTTGCCCTGTAGAAAGTGGAATAATTTGTAAAATATTACCTCTATGTAGTGTGGAAAATTCTAGAGACCGGCCTGGAAATATGATGAAATCCGAAAAAAAACCTGAGAAATACATACCATGTGTCGTATGGAGCGATGGTCAGCGTAGCAACCTGTGTCGATGGTCCCGGTGTCAATCACCCATGCCAAGCTCTTAGGCGATGTCTGGTGAAAAGTTGGAATCTGAAATACTTGCATTGGTAGATCTTCGTCGAGATATCTACGACAATCCAAGCCTCCCACCTCTCCGGCCATCCGCCTCCTCGCTCGCAAAGCAGCACCTATGCGCCAACCACAACGCCCTGGTCGCATCCACCTCATCGACTACACATCCCACACCCACCTCACCAACCCGTCCAATCACTTCCACTCCAATATCTGCCTTCACTAACGTGCTAAAAACCTTCCCTGCGATACCCCAGGCTTCAGACGGCGAAGCAGCAGCTCCAACCGCCGTACGGCTCAACCCTCTGGATATAACCGTAAGTATCGCCATATCATGATGCACGACCACCTCCCCATGACGTTTCAGACCCTCCACGACCCTCTGCAAGACGTTTCTCGGCAACCCCCCCTCGATAACGACACTGGCGTGCCCCTCGCTGGTATTGATCATGCACACTACGACGCCAAACCGCGATAAAACAGCACAGACACCTGAAAGAAAGACTTGAGAGGTTCCGCAAGAATGGGAAGTGTGCAGTGGGACAAGGTGGCATTTCTTGCTGGCTTTCTGGACAACGGCCGCGCAGTTGACATTGCTGATACTCAACAAAAGGACGTTCTCCTTGATCGTGATAGCGGTCGGTCTACCGAATGCCGCACGAGTGCTTGACCGTATCGACATAGATTCAAAGCCGAGTGCTGGGTCGATCAAGGTTCCCCCATCTTCTCGACCCCCAAACCATCTGATACGGACTGGGATATTGTTTGCTATCAACTACAGACGATACCCTGGTAAGATGCAAGAGGCAAACAAGGAATGTATGAAGTTACGACATACCTTGTCTAAAACCTCCTTCTGCACCAGCTTGCCCAGAGCGCCAGCCTCCTCTGGCGAAATAAATGGGACTAATGTCGCGGATGGCACCTTCTTTGGGTCTGCGGTATATATACCTTTGAAGCCACCGCCTACCCACTTGTGATACTCTTTGGCGCGGAGGGCAACGGCGAGATAAAGGGCGAGGCGCGTAGATATGGGCGTGGAAGTGAAAGCAGCGGCACCGGGAGGAGGCGTCGAGACGACTAAAACCCTCGACTTAAACGGCGCAAGCTTTGCGAGAAGAGTCTCGCTGTCGCTACCATCCGGTAACCCAAGGATTACATGCTCAGCCTCCGCGCCCTAATTTCAATATGCGATGTGAAAAGATGAAGCTTAATCCAGCAGAATCCTTACCTGGTCCAATAAGGCCGCTGTCACGATTTTGCTCAACAATCTCTGGCTGAGGCCCTCCAATTGTGACCTCAGTTGCTCAATGTCCATTCCGCGTGCTCGATTATCCTGGTCTGCGTGCTTCGACAACACTCAGTGTCAATGGCCGCGAAAACCCCTAGATGAACCTAAAGACTCACTCTCAACGCTTCACGCATCCTCTCACAGTCGTCTCTAATCTGTACTTCCAATTCCCCTTTAACCTTCGGAATGTTCATTATGGCCGATTTGGCCGTGCTGCCGCTGAAGTCTTCGATTGCGTCGATCACATCGTGCAGGAGGATATACGAGCTCTTCTGGTGAGCGGAAGGAGCGGAAGGGGGGAAATTTCCAAGGGATTTCTTCTTGGTGATACGTAATGGTTGAATGGTGCTTGTGGCGCAAAATTTCGAGGGTACGACGGCGCTGCGTATAGGGATCGAGGACACGTTGGGGATGGGGAATATGGCCCTTTCTTCGCCACATACTATGATGACTCTCTGATACCTTAGCATTCTGTGAAAGGTTGTGGTGAGACAATAGGTGATGGCTCAAAACGACCTACGGTATGATACTCCTCACAGCCGCAGCTATATCTTTCCCCGTATCCTTTGAACCACGTCGGGTGAGATCCAAACTGTGAATAACCCATTTGCATCTGGCCAATCCTCCACTTCTCGGGGTCGTATCCCTTGAGCTACTAGCACCGTTGGTACCAGAAATGGTTGATGAGTGCGAATCACCTATGGACATGGCAGGATCAGGCCCTAACACACAGTCTGTTGCTTGATAATATACGTACTTGGCGAGCAATCCCTCCACCATCGTCGGAACGGAGAAACACCCAAGAACTTGGAACTGGATTCCTCGAAGCCAGATTGGCATCATTGCATCGCTACAGCGCAAGCGAGGCTTCAAAGACGACTAGGTTTGCTCCTCATTCTTCTCCGAGCATGGTAGATAACATCGAATTGATGCCCAGCCCAACCATTGCGACGGGTGTTTAGCGACGGAGTTGGGGGGCAGATTCACGGATGCCCGCTCTGAACGCGAGCGGCCCTAACAGACTTGGGCCGAAAAAAGAGTCGTGGTTTTAAGCCGAATGGAAATGTCTTGTTGTCGAGCATTTGAGCCGCTATGTCCCATGTAGTTCACTGTTGTGTTCAACTTGACAAGTTGACGGGCCTCTCGGCGCAGTCTGATGTGACCGTGACTCAGAGATCACGAGATGTAGTCACGTCGCGTCAAAACTTGCCACAGACTCTCTTGTCGTAACTCATTTCAATTCCGGAGCACGTGAAAGAGCCATGTCGTCGCAAGATATTCAAGACTATATCACGAAACAAGTCTCAATAAACAAAGATATTGTCAGTTCTATGGTCTAGATGTCTTTTGGGCTTCATTGACCATGCGACGCAGGTAACTTACCGCACTCTGAGTCGCGCTTTCTTCATCAATGTCAATATCGCAAAGAAGTAGGCCTGATTGGACTCGTATCATAGCGCGCCATGCTTACTACTCGTGCTAGTGAGCTTGTTAAATTCCACGCCAGCGTTGAGGGAGAAACCTCGAGTGCAACGTATCTCCTGAGCGGGGACCTCAAACCATCTCTCTCCTATGATGACGAAGATACTATGGACGTCGACGACCATGGCCTTTCATACAATCAAGTTGCGGATACGGAAGAGGACAGCGAAGAACCGATACGCACCGCGATAATGCTGGTGTCTGAGAGAGATCTCGAAGGTGTGTGCACTGATAGGCTTCGTTTTGTGAGATTGAACGTTTCACGAGCAGACCAGACGTTGCTCTTCACCCATATTCACGCACAAACGATTCAATGCCTGTCCCCGTCGCCTGTGAACGACGGGAACGTTTTGTCCCCTTTGACTGACAACATCCGGAAGGTCGATAACACTCAGAAAGGGATAGATCACGCGAAAGCGTTGGGCAAAGTGATGACGAAGGGCAACAAGGTACGCCGACACGTACATTCCGTCAATCTGACTATCCTCACTGATGTCTCTCAGGTCAAAGTACCGAAACCACTCGCCAAGCTCCCCGCAGTCCCAAAGCTCGGGTTCAGAGCACCTGCGAAAACAGACATAGAGGAACCGAAGGCTAAGGGAAAGGAGAAGGCGAGGGAGAAGCAGACAGTAGTGAAGACTGAGAAAGGTGCAGAGAAAGTGAAGGTCGCTCCCAAGGCGACTGGAAAATTAGACTTCAGCAAGGCGAAGACGAAGGAGATGAAGGAAAAAGAAAGAGAAGAGAAGAGGTCGGATGTGGTGAAGACGAAAGCCAAAACGGCTGCGGCGAAGGAAACGAAGAGTCACGCGCTCAAAGAGAAAGAGAAACCGCAAGTCATGTTTTTTGGCGCGGTAAGAGTTGTCCTTATGTGCCGTCGAACCCATTGCTTACTCCCGCTTATGGTATGTATAGGCCGCCTCGACTTCGAACGCGTCCGTGGATGCTGATGGCACGAAAGCTAAGAAAGAGGTGAAGGAGGAACCAAAGGTTGTCCGATCAACTCATTATTATCGTTCCATCTGACTTCGAATCACAACAGAGGGGCATCAAACGCAAGTCCCCAGCGCGCGCAGAGCCCGACCGCTCGACATCCGACGACGAACAAGCACCGCGGACCCGAGTCGTCAAAGGCGCTATACTGTCCGACGACGACGACGACGACATCCCTCCGCGCAGTGTCCTAAACGCAAGGAGGAAGAGCCGGGCCTCTTCAGCAGCATCAGCGACGTCAGTCCCGGATTCCGAGGTGCCAAGTGAGACCGAAGGGGACGCGGGGAATTCGGAGGCGGAGCGCGCGCTGTGGGCTATAATGGATATTGACGACGGTCAGTGTCAGACTAATTTGATTGGTGAGTGAACTCGTGCTCACGCGTTACTGTATTTCCTTCTATAGACAAGGTGGATCGGGCACACCGTGAAGCGTTGAAGCAGGAAGAGGAAGAAGAAGAAGAAGCGCCATTTGACGACGATGTCGCAATGAGCGACTCAGATGTGCCGAAGCCGAAGCCTAGGGCGCGCAAAACCAAGAAACTCATCCCTGTGGGCTCGAATGGTCTCAAGAAGAAGCGCGTAATGAAAACCGAGAAATTTGCGGATGATAAGGGATACATGAGTGCGTAGGTGTGATTAGGCATTCACTACAAACTTATCAGGTTTACAGTAACACGGGAGGTGTCCGACTACGAGTCGGTGGACGAAGCGGAGGCTCCTCCGGTCAAAGTGAAGAAAGAGTCGAAGAGCAAGGCGAAGGCGAAGGACAAGCATGACTCGGACGACTCGAATAATGCGGATGAGGATGATGATGCAAAGGTGAAATCCGATAGCAAGGGGAAAACAAAGGCAGAGGCTAGCAAGCCCGCCCTCGAGGACGTGAAGCGCGAGGACGGGGTTGTATCGAAGAAAGAGGCGCCGACGGTGAAGAAAGCTCCGAGTCGCAAAGGGCTGAAAGCATCCGGTGGGAGCAAAGGGAAAACGCAGCAGAAGAGTCTTATGACATTCTTTGGCCCGCCGAAGTAAGTATCTGCGGTGATATACTCGAGTAGTCTATAATACTATAATATCAACCTGTATCATATGTTGTGTGGTCTGGAAATGCAAAGTGGGGTCTTTATCAATTAGGAGTGTCTAGGAGGGTTATTATTCGCGCGCACGTGACGTACAAGACGCGAGTGAGAAGACCACGCGACTTGGACTTGGACGTTTCAACCCTTCATTTCAGTGTCACCTTCACTCTTTCTTTCTCTACACTACAATGTCTCGTTTAGCATCAACAAGACGTACTGTCAGCAAACTCCCATCTGCAGATTCTTCCAAGTCTGTAGCGAACTCGAAGCCACCTTCGACCCTCGACCAGCTCACGTCGGAGCTAGCTGGCCTGCGGATAGCTGACAAGAAGGGGAAGCAGCGGCAGGCATCTGACTCCGAAATCTCTCCAGAAGCGCGCAAAGTACAGGCCATGAAGGGTGTTAATGCATCATCCCAGAGTCTGTCGAAGTTCGCTCAGTCGGGATGGAAGCGAAGCAAGCCTTCCAGGGGCACCTCGCTGTCCGACGTGAAGAAGTGTATCACGGAGGCAACGAAAGCACTAACATATCTGCGTGGATTGGATGAAGGGAATCTGGATATCGAGAAGTCGGCGTCGAGCGTAGTGGGCAAACTGATCTCAATGGAAATGGTGAGTTTGGGTGCGCGTCTTCCCCGTTTATCATATTCATGGAGGCTTGCCAGTTCGATGAGTCTTTGTCGATGCTCTCAGATATGCACTCTAGGCTCAACACCCTTGTTGACCCTCGGATAATGAAGATATCGCCAGAGCCAGGGCAATCTCATTTGCTGTCCATCTCGCTGCCCGAGAGTACGCATCTCCCAGGCAGCTCTACGCTCACGCTCTTATCTACCTACTTCTTACACGTCGTAACCGCCCTACTACACCACAGCTCCAACATCCAAGCACTGATGTCACATTTTGCGGGCCCTTCATCACTGCTTGCATGGGCACCACAGTTACACGGCGCTGTAGATGCGAAACATCTAGACACTATCATGACGCGTACCTACACGACGTTGGTGAAATCTCAACCCGCTAACCTGTCCCCTGGTGTTACGTTTACCCTACGCTGCCATGGATTAGCATGCTTGATCTATACATCACCCCAGACTATCAGTCCCGACACGTTCTGGGATCAGGCTGTCAAATACGCAGGGTCCCTCCTGAAGTCGGCCGGCCAGGACGAGGATGCGGTGTCGCTGATATCCGGCTCCTTTGAAGACCTCATGTCAAGAGTGGACGTTTGGAAGCAGGGAGCTAGTTTTACAAAGAGCTCGCAGTTTATAGCTTTCTGCGAATGTTGGACGGCGGTAGCGAAGCGGGTATGTCATTTATCTCATCCATTCTTATTCACTAACACTGCTTCAGGCAGGTAAAGTCGAAGTTATGGCAAGAGTTGGCGAGATCATATCTCGGGCTAGCGCACACTCGGATCCCTCCATCCCATCGACGCATGGAGCTCAAGCGTCGGTCCTTTCACCTTCAAATCATCGTATCGCTACAGCTGCTTTATGCGCTCTCCTTTCGCAAACAGAGGTAACCCTTCAGCAAGGGAATGGTATCAGCCCGGGTGCCGTCGTCTTAGTCGAGAAGTTGATACTGGAACTATCTAACGCCAGCTACATATGGTCGAGTGCCGTTCCATCAGCAGAGCTCGAGGCAGTGGGAAAGGCCCACCGGGCGTTGGAAAGGGTCCGTCGGACATCCATCAAACTATTCGAGGATGCGAAGTTGGATGTCGCCCTTCGGGATGCATTGAAAAGACTGCAGTCCTCCATTGTTGACCTGATGGCGAACACTTTATCTCATGTGCGTAGCTCTAGAATATGCGATAAGCGACCTAACCCTTTCGTCCAGGACGTGACACTGGACTCATACACACAGATACTGGATTCGCTGTTTATTCTAGCCCGTACAACACTCGATATCCGTAACGCGCACACGCACGGCGATGCTTATGACTATCTCCAGCGAGCTGCGACGATCTTGAATATTACTGGCCCTCCCTCTTCGTCTACGACCATCGATCGACCGAATCTGTTGCGTTGCATATCCGGTGCCTTCCACAATCTAGCTGGGACACTCTACAATGCCGAGCGTTATGGCGCTGCGATTAGATTCCTTACTCGCGCCTGCGAGTTGGGTACGCGTGCCCTCGCATGGCGCAGAGAACAAGTTCCTCAGTCAGGGGAGAAGAAAGAGGTTGACCAGAGTTGGCGGCAGCTTGAGGAGCAGTTGTATCGCCGCTGGGAACTTCTGGGAGTATGTCACTGCAAGATAGGTGATCATCTTGTACGTTCGTACATCTTGGTATATGGACAGGCGTTTACCGGTGATCCTAGGCCGGATACAGAGCCTTCCTTGAGGCCATCAGATCGTTCCCATTCTCCGCGACGAACTTGGGCCCGCTCTCCGACAAGCAGTCTATCGCGACTATCTTCGGGACTTCGGGTAGTCTCAGGCAGTTGGCCGTGCTGGTCGATCGCGCGACATACATGGGTACCTGTGAACTCTTCATTCAACCACCACAAGTCTCGCTCCTCCATGCATTCGATGACGATGAACACCAGGATCCTCGTGTCAAGGGTGCTTTGCTAGAACATCAACTCGCTAGTATCAGCCCCAACCGGTCTAAGGAAGGAGTGCTGGCGGTAATGAGACAACTGCTTCGTGACCTGCTCGATCTGTATGATGCGGCCTCGATGCCGATACGACGGACGAGGACGCTAGTTCAGTGCTTAGAGGTTGCCTATTATGACGTTAGCACTGCTACCCTCGAGCAGTGCGCCTTCGCATCGTATGTTGAAGTGGTGGAGAGTGTTCAAGAAATGCTCGGACGACAGGTTCGCTGCGGCCTCGCTATTCACTGCGCAGATTACCTGACCCATTGTATTCCAGGACGTTGGTAATGATCAGGCTTTAGTCCATTGCAAAGGTGTGCTCCAAGCATCAGCGCACGCATGGGCTGCTATCCACGCCCACCGAGGGGCGGCTCCAAGTCAAATTTCTCAGGCAACCTTTCATGCAAATGAAGCGTGCAGCGCCCTGGCCTCAATCATTACAACTGCGAGCAGGAAATCTTTCGGCTCGGCAAGGAAGTCGTCATCTGCAGCCATTCGACGGGTTTCCAGCCCGAAAGTATTCAAAAAGCTACCAAGTCCAAAAGCCCCTAGGAAGGCGCCGCCTAAGCGGACTGTCCCCAGAAAACCTCTGAAGGTCCTCCCTAAGATGGGTAGGACGGCATCATCCTTGCAGCCCAATGGCGTACCCCAGACACCGAAGGCACGGAATACGGAAGGTACCATCCCCCAACAATCTGTCTCGACGTGTGTTGACTTCGAGCAACTACAGAGGCGCCGATTGCGCTGGCAGCTGCGACGACCTCACCTCCAAAGCAACGAGCATCGGAGGAGTTACTCGGATTGATTGATGTCCTTCGTAAGTCATTGAAGCGATTCAGCATTCGGAAAGCCGACTTCCTTGAACAGAGGCTATGTCCTGTATGCTGGGCTTCATTGGGCTCACGTTAACCAAGATTCGTACTCTGATCGCGTTGAGGCGCCTCACTGACAGCCAGTCCGGATACGATGCACTAAGCGATGGTGTGTACATCCCTTAGTAGCTCTGTTTCAATGACTCACATGGCCCAGTCTATGTATCTGCGTCAACTGAACTTGCGGTGGAGTACGTCAATCTGGGGAAAATGAAGAAGGCGGCTACCATTCACAGACAGGTCCTCAATGTCATACAAACCGGCAGTGTATCGGCAGTGTCCCGCGCGAAATTCTTCCTTCGATATGCCCAAGCACTCGCCCTCTGTGAGAACACGTCGTCAAGGTAGGAGACATCCCACATTAAGGCCACTCGAAAAGACAATAACGCCCCCAATCTAGTACCGAAGCTTACGCGCAGGCGATGGAAAGTTCCAACGAATTTCCTATGGAGGAGAAGGGCATGTCAAGCAGCCAACGCATACATATGAGAGTCACCCAGTTGGAGGCTGCCGCTATGGCTACCCGCACGTTTGCCGTTATACAGTACTCGAAGGTATTGGTGGCTCCGCACCCTAAAGTCAAACCCACTCATTCCAGACATAGGCGGACGTCCCATTGGCACTGGATAGCCTTCTGCAATCAGTTCGCTTATACAATCGTGCTCTCGAATCTATGGCTCGCCTCAGTCCGTCGCCGGGTCCTTCTACCTCAGGAGATGCGAATCCCTTCGAAGATACAAGTCAACGAACGTCCTCCCCTCATGAGCAAGCTATGGAACGAGTCAACCGGCACGAGGTGCCACCGGCAACACCCTCACGTAGGTCGGTGATGAAGGGCTCGGAGTGGGGGGTGGCAGATGGACTTTTCAACACTTTCTTCGCATTAGTCGATGCATATTCATCCCGCGGCTCGCCTCGCGAAGCTCTATTCTTCGCCGAGCAAGCACACGATCTTGCCGACTCGTTGAATGCCCCCTTGTATGCTAGCCGAGCACTAGCAAGGATGGGAGAGATATTGATATACCAAGGGCGATACCAAAAAGGCTTCGACAACGTGAGCGAAGCTGGGAAGTTACTAGCTGACATGCAATGCGCAGATGTTGTGGATATCGATCGTCTCCATGCTGAATGGTACAGGCGCACCTCTCCAGGCCAGAATGCTAAGGAGTTGTATGAGCGTGCCAAATCTGCGCTAGAAGGTCTGGATCGAGCATATGGCGCATATGATTCTGGGTCCGTGTCGATGCATAACAAGCTGCAGCATACTGACTTTGTTTGTAGACCCCGCAGGTCATCCCTGTCCATGGTTGCAAAAGAGCGAATTGCACCAGTGCTTTTCGCTCGGCTCCTCAGCCAATATAGTACGAATGCGCTACATGATCATTGGATAATTCTCACGTATTCGATAGTATGGATCCTACGCGACGACGATGCCGTCGAGAAGGAGGCTCTATTAGATACTTTCTTGTCCCTACCGCCATCGCCATCGGTCAAAGCCGAGCAAGCCGCTCTCGTAGCCAAACTCACTATGCACAATGTCTATGAGCGATTCGGGATGGATATGTTCCTCAGCTCCATCACAGAGTCAAGTTTGTCATTACCTTTTGTCCGATATCCATTTCACTCAATCATTTATGCAGCAATCGCCATTCCCATGAGCATGTCACGCCCAGAGGGCGTCACCCCATCCATTACCCATGATATCCCAGGTCTTCTGGAGAAAGCGTCACAGATGTATTGGTCAGAACTTGATTTAATTTCAACGCAGGGCGAGGTTCCCAAAGTCCGTAATGCAGCTGTTTCTCTGGCTATGATTCAAGCCTTGCAAACGTCCTTAGGCAAGAACGGCGCCGCAGCTTCTAATATACTGGTTAACCTTCTGGGTCAGTACTTTAGAATTGCAAGAATCTTTCCTCGCTGATATAAAGACAGATGCTACCACCGCCATATCCCTTCATCGAGAGATGCTTGATGTGGTTCGGCACAAGTTCGATCAACTGCGGTCCACCAATGACCTGCAGTGGCCTTCCACGGAACGTCCAACGGGCGCGAAGGTCGCAGTGCCTCGATTTAGTCTCGACGATGCGGACGGCGACTCCGAGGACGAAGCCGTGGAAGACCAGGCGACCAAGGAATATTGGGAAGCTTTGCGGAGCCACCATCAGGACCAAAGTCTAGACTTGACTACTCTTTCGACATCCCGTTCAACAGAACTTCCGCCCAACTGGACAATCGTTCACATTTGCATCACGGAAAATCGCAGTACTCTGTTCATCACACGCCAGAATTGCGGTCCAGATCAGCCAAAGCCGTTGGTTTTCTGCGTACCGATGCAGGGCCGCAGGGAGAACGACGGAGACGAAGATGAAGAGCACCTATCATTCGATGATGCGTTGAATGAACTCTCTCAGATAATCACGTTGAGTGATAAAGGTACCCGTGATGCGGCACATATCAACAGAGATGATATAGTAGGTAGAGAGCAATGGTGGAAGGAGCGTAAAGAACTAGACACGAGGCTGAAAGAGCTGCTCTCGAACATCGAGTTCTGCTGGTTGGGTGCATTCAAGGTATGTCATGGAGATTGTGATGTCCATGACTGACTGAGCGTTGCTCCTTAGACAATCTTGAATCAGAATCCAAGGCTGGGTTCTGACGATCTAAAAGCTTTAGGAATGCAATTTGAACGGATTTTCCAGACTGGACTACATCTACAAGATAAAACGAAGCCTAGAAGCAAAGGGAAAAAGCAGAAGGCATCAGCGAAACCGGCCCATCACTTCACCATTGACGACGCTCTGCTTGAATGTTTTTCTACCCTATCTCCAAAATGTCGTGACGAGGAACTGGAGGATCTTGTGTATTTCATTCTCGACCTATACCAGTTCCATGGTGTCCCTGTAGCGACTGCAGAAGTCGATGTCACGCAAGTCGTTGTTGATCTACGAGGGGTGTTTGAAGATCACGCGCAACGAATGGCACAGCAGAAAAAGAGCGCACCACGGCAGAAACCGAAGCTGGGCGACGACGAACACATGTTCCTCATCCTCGACAAGAACTTGCAAGGAATTCCTTGGGAGAGCATTCCTGTTCTGCGTGGACGTAGCGTCAGCCGCATACCTAGTATGCAGTTCCTCCTCGACCGGGTCCGCTTCGCCAATATGAGGCGTCCTGGGCATAGCAAGAAGTTCGTAGATCCCCGCCAGACTTACTACGTCCTCAATCCAAGTGGCGATCTTACGAAAACAGAGGACCGATTCAAGGATTGGCTTGATGAGATGAAGCGCGACGCTGGTTGGGATGGTGTTGTTGGCCATCGCCCTAGCGAACAGCAGTTCTTGGATGCGTTATCGCGAAACGAACTTTTGATGTGAGTCATTCCTTCTCATCTACATATCCCCAGATATACTGACAATGCCTAGATATTTTGGTCACGGGGGCGGCGAGCAATACGCACGGTCGCACAAAATCCGACACTTGAAGAAATGCGCAGCGACTATGCTTTGGGGGTGTTCTTCAGGCGCACTGAAAGATATGGGGGACTTCGATCGAGTTGGTACCCCATACAACTATATGCTTGCTGGATGGTACGTCGTCTATTCTCTGTTGGGAGCACAGAGCTAATGAAGAAACACAGCCCGACATTGGTAGCCAATCTCTGGGATGTGACTGACCGCGACATTGACAAGTTCTCTCAGGCTGTGTTTGACAAGTTACGACTCAATAGCCAGGACGTCAAAAGTTGGAAATCAGATGATGACGAGGGCTGTTCGTTGGTGACGGCTGTTGCAGAGGCGAGGGAGGTATGTAAGCTGAAGTATCTCACTGGGGCCGCCGCGGTTGTATATGGGGTACCTTTTTACCTGTAAATTCCTGGGTCTGCGTACGTTTGCACGTATTTTGATTAGTGTCGCATGCCAATACAATCTCGGTGTGGGCTTGATCAACCTTCAGACTAGGCTTCTAAAACCATCCGCTCGTAAGTTATGTTCGAGCACGTGACGGGCGCTAAGGCGCGTACAACAGCAAGCTTGGATGTCGTACTCGAAAACTTTTACCGGGCCTGTAGTGAAACGAAAGGTTCCGTCCTTATCCTGGACGGCTTGGGCACCTTGCTAAGTGGCAGGGTTACTAACGTAGCTGAGTGCCGGTGGCTTCTATATGAGGTCATTGAATCGATTAATTTAGCTTTGATGTGAGGAGGTAAACTTTGGTGGGCGCTTTTTATGATTTAAGTAATGATGGGAGAAAATAGGAGTGTCCTAGAATCATTAGAATGAGCTATCTAAGCCAGCAATGCTTATGTCGGCAGACTTAGTTTAAGGGCACATTATTAAACATTCTGTCAGGCTCACTCAGTGCAAATGAAGGACTAGGTACATGACCAATGGTCAACAGAGTGGTGTTTAGAGAAGCTTTGTACTATCAAAAATATGTGGAAGGTCACAACACATGAGATGAGAGGGAGAGAGAGAGGCAGTCAAACAGTTGATAGGGATAATGTATATTTGAGTACACTACTCAAGCAGTACATGGCAAGGGGTCTTATATACAGTTGGAGTTGGGATAGATTATGGTATGTATGAACAAGTGAGAAAGTGAGAGTCTAAGCAAGCACAGACCTAGGTAAAGGAGGTAAAGTACATATGACTTGACTTTCTACCTCCCTGCAACAGAAGGCAAACATGGAGGATAGGAGGCGTTAGGGGGTCGTATTGGACGCTCGGGGGCTACTAAATTACCTAGCACCCCAAGGCCTACGCAGGCAGAGCTCCGGAACCATACACTTTATATGTTATCAGCGAGACATATTACAGTACAGTTTCTACAAGGTGACGTTAAATTGCCCCTCCCAATGTATACTAGACAGTAAATGATTTTACTCCATTCCATTCCCGCTCCCGCTCCGAGGTGAGTATCGCATAGCACCCACAAATAAGTCGCTACTCGCAGCTACAAAGGTACAAAGGTGGGGGTTACACAATATATGGATTGTAACTCCAAGAGCGCTTGAGCATGCAAGAGCACAATCTTTACTTCGGAAACCTCCGTTTTGATCTATGAATTGCAGCCCAATGTGTACCGTACGTACGCACCTAGAGCACGCGAGTAACCTTCATGGATACCGAGTACTTGTTACTGTAAGTAGAATAAGATATGCGCGCGTGTATGCAAACAAGCCGCCGTAACACACAAAGCCCCGCCAGCGCTCAGCGGTCGCCAATATTCGATATTCGCCATTCGATGATATAGTAAGAGATAAAGGAATAATAAAAGAAACAGCGAGACCGCAGTCCAATGCCAATGCCAAGGTGGATGGGATCAATACACAGGGATGCAAAATAGGAAGAAACATGCTTAATACGATACGATACGATACGATACGATATGATGCGCGGAGGGCCGAGCGTTCAGGAGGGGCGGAAGAAGCAATGCTAGCAAGGAGTGCTAAGGAGTGGATGATGCGATGAAATGATGCAAGGGAAATGACGATGCAAAGGACAAGGAAGAGAGAAAAGGGGGTGATAAGGAGTGGCTAGTCAACTACCATTCCAGTAATGGAGAGGTTATAAACAAGGTCAGTCGCAGGTTTGGCGTACTGCGAAGATGACGGGGCCGGGGGAATGGGTGACGGTGAAGGAGTGTGTGTTTACGCGTTGGATGCGTGCGTAGAGTGATGTGATATGGTACTGTTATGTGTGCTGTAGCTACGCGAACCACAATATGTCACCATAAATATGACACAATAGAATTAGGAATAATGTTGAGGGGAGTATCGATTGTCGAAGGGATGGGGCGGGGGAGGTTGAAAATGCTGTGCATAGTGGGTGTGTTACGTGTTGGCGACGAGGATGATGAAGATGGTGCAATACAGATAGATGAGTGATGATGATGAAAGGCGGCGACGGCGTGCGGCGGACAGTAGATAGTGAGCAGCGAGGGATCAGTGCGCGAGGGAGGAATTGATGTAGGATATGCTATGCGGTCAACGTGCGGTCAGTCAGTTACTCAGCCTTCTCTTTCATCGTATCCCGTTCTTTTTCTGTCATAAACGCAGCGCCGCCCACACCACCCCGCATGATAGCCTTCATAAACGAGAAGAACCTATCTGCATACTCCGCAGCCGGTACCGGACTTATTTTATGCTGCACACACCCCATCAGCACCCATCAGCAGCCATTATTGATTCATGAGAATGCGACTCACCCGATCGTCCTTCAACCCCTTCCAGAAGTGCTCGAGCTTCTTCCTCACCCCATACGGCGTCAAGATATCAATTATCCCAAGATAATATATCTTTCCATCCGGGTCGTCCCTCGACCCCTCGCCCAGCACCTCGTTGTTGTCATCGGTAGCGCGCAACCCTCCCTCGTCCTGGTAGAAGAGGAAGCCCTCACGCTGCGTGTCCCCGGTGTCTTTCTCAGGGAGTCGTATGGTCCCCTTGCCTTTCCCTAGCCGCTTTGGATCAGAGGCGTTCATCGCGCGACGCATGGCCTCCGCATCTTTCGGTGCGTGCATGGAACGTCGAGGCTTGGGCAGGTCCGGCTAAACAGTTTTATAAACGATCAAGAAGCGTTGAAGAATGGAAGTAAAGCTAAACCTACCGAGAAAACTTTCAACGTCTCGCTTCGAACCCCTTCCGTGTTCCCCCTCTTCACGTCGTGTATCCCAACCAATAAGCTGTAATCCATAACATTCACCTCTTTTAAAAACTCCTTATCCCGCCTCAACTGCTCTTCCAGTAGCGCCCGTTTCTCCGGGCCTAGCTCTAACTGCCGCCCCCGCTTGATCCAATTTACATCCTTCAGCACCGCCCGCGGGTTCTGCTGCAGCTTCTCCTCTGGATAATACCGGCCTACCGTGCTTCCCTTCAAGTCATACGTCTCGTGGATGTCCCTATGCGGCGGGAATAAGTTATTCATGATAACGAAATGTATCTTCTTCCCTCGAGGCAGCTTCACCCGGTGCAGGCCGTAGAACCGCGATACCAGCGTATGCGGGTTAGTCTTGACGTGGTCATAGTACTGCTTGAGAACATTCCTTAGGAATGTCGCTTCTTCCTTGCGAATGGTCTTGATGATGAACCGATAGTCCCGCGAGAAATAGAAGAACGAGCCGGATTTACCGGGCGACCCCAGCTCCGAAAGGATGTACTTTGACGTCAGTGAGAGAAGGTAGTCCGCAGGGTCCATATGGAAGATGTCCTCTCGTAAGGTGCGGAACACCCATGGAGCATAATCCTTGAACTTGAAGTCGTACGTCGTGGAAGGTGTGAGTTCATTACCGACACTATTGAAACGTGCTAAGTAGCGTAAGGGGTATGGAGAAGGGAAACGTACATATCGAACGAGAACTTGTGCCGCGCAGTGAAATCGTCGTCGGTCAGTGGGCGCTTTATTTTAGCCTGACACCGCGATACCTAGTAACGCAGCTCGGTAGGAGTCAGACACGAAATAGAAATTGAACTTACACCGATCCGTATCCCCGTGAGCATGTTGTACATCAGCACATAGTTGACGTGGTCCTTGCCAATCAAGTTGCCCACCAGTGGGGCGTCTTCGCGAGCCCTCGCGTCGCGTTCCCTCTCCATCTCTTCCTTTTGCTGCGCTTTCACTCGCTTATTAGCCCGCTCCCTTCTGATCTGCTCCGCTGCCATCTGGATGTCGCTTGCCAGTTCTCCATCCCCAGTCGTGCTGAAGTGTATATGCGACGCCGAAGGGTACGACCCATGCTGTGGGCGCAATGACCCTGTCGTGTTCCGCCTCGCAGGCTTCGCAGAGCCGATACTCGAAGGTGCGCCGTCGCGTGGTGCGGATATTGATATCGATGGCGGCGGCGGATGCAAGTAACCATCAACGGAGACATGGGCGCTCTGCTTCGACGTACCAACCACGAATGTGTCTTTTTCTATTATCGTGCGTGTCGCTGTGACTCGCTGCGCTAGTCGAGCATCAGTCGAAGAACGCTGGAGGACTCCATTTGCTGGCATACAGTCGCGGACAGCAATTCTGATATCTCGAGATCGAACAATTTTGAGGGCGGGATCAGATTCAGAAGAGAAAGGCGGCTCGCTATGGAAAGGGAGGTATTACAGTCAACCTGACGGTAATACCGCCACGCGAGCATATTCTCAGCACGTGTGAGTGTGAATTTGATGAATCTGATTGGCTAGTTGAGTGCGTGACCCCCTGTCGCAACAGGGGCTTTGTAACATTTAGTCGCTTTTCCATGCGTTTAATGCTAGAATGACTCAGGGGACTAATTCTGGATATGTTGTCACTTTCAATCTACTTCTCTACATATGATCTAGTACTATCCTGATGCTCCTGGTCGCGGGTGACTGGGTATTGTTTGATATCTTCCAAATCATAGTACAGAATTATCTTACCCTGTGTTTGACATAACACATGGTGCAAATATATGCCACTGAATATCTATTGCAAAAGAATTCCTATGCACTGTGTTAACCAGCTAAACTCACCCAGATGTGTGATCTTGAATGGATTTACAGTGGAAACATAGTGTTTTCGTGCTTAATTAAGGGTCCGGGCGAAGCCCGGGGAGCCTTGGGTTCATGTACGATTAGTCTTCCATCATTCTGCTGTAGCCCCAGCACACTACGGAATTCTCTCATTCTTCAGGTAGGTGAGGCTTCTCTTCCTTCCCTTTTTGGAATTTCTTTATTTAATCTCTTGTTTACTCCCCCCTTTGAATACCGGCGTCGAAAAACACACCGAGGTTTTCCCACAATACATAAGGATCCACCAAATTTTTGGCGATCTTCAACTGCATTTTGGGCCTTCGGAAGTTCTGGTGGGGTGGCTGTAGAATACACGCAACTATGTCAACTTCTAGGTTGGTTGATGAGGCAACTACTGGGCAATGCTTGCTCCTTGTGCACCTTCAACGGATTGAGAAGCGCTTCTGTTACGCCTCGATCTGGATTCAGCAATTCATGCATAGTATGGTGAAGTCAGGTCATCTTTAACTGCGCAGAGAGAACCTGACAGATACAGGCCTAGATCTTTTTGTAAGGGAAACGGTAACCCTCTGCCCCCGCTATCTGCTTACTACCTTTCCCCTGACCCCTTTTCTCCTTGAGTGTTCTGCCTTCGGGGTTTCCTTAGTCACCCAATTTTCCTCGAAGTAATTATGAATGGCAGCACAGTTGCGGTTGGCAAGCTGGCAATACGGAGATGACCAAGTGGCTTGACGTAACGCTGCATATCATGAGGCGATTGTGTTAGGAGTACCATGTATAGGCTTATAGGGGATATCAGTATGAAATCTCCGTCGAGGGAGGAGTCCCAGAATGGAGCAGGCAAGACTGAAAGCTGGCGGATTCAGCGAATTGTGGGGTAATATATTGCTGGGCGGTCGATTTTGGGCGTTGGCTGGGGCTACTCAAGTAATTTCAATGGAATTTGATCGGACAACCTCGAAATCAGTCAAGATCTCCATACAGCAGGATGAGCTGATCTAGGCTGGTAAACCATCCTCTCTTCGAGAGTATGACAATCGATCCTCTTAGAAGAGAGAGCTGATCCCCCTTATGGAATGGAGTTTGTGTCCAAAGTTCACCCTTTTTACTGTAGGCTCACAGCAACCCTCTCTTGTCACTGTTCATGATACCACATACAGTGCGAAGGGCGACGAAATCAACGGAGGAAGTGATACAGACTCGCGCTAGCGAAGAATCGATATCAATTACCCGAACGTGAATGTTGCTGTATGGTGCTGCTGTACAACCTGGGTGATGTATGGTGTTCAATTTGATTTGCTGAATCAAGTTTAATGTATACACCTACCCGCTTACAGCCATCCGTATCGTCCACCAACGAGATAAGCCGGGCCCGCTTACGTGTTTGGCAAGGTGAAGTACCTCGGGAGCATGTTCATGGCGTGTCTCAGCACCATCATGATCATTTCCGGGCGGTGAGTATATGTACCACCTTCTTGTTGGCCGTATGGTTAGGCCAATGGAGCTAAGGTTATTTGGCAGTACTCCAGTAGTACTCCTCATGTTCTCGTAGAACAACCGTACAACCGGCCGGCCGTCTACTTCGTTTAAGGAAGTAAATGCTTATTCTCACGCTATATCATGGATTACCTAATTCGACGCTCCTTGCTCAAAACCCCAACTGTTGCTCCTCGCGTCGACAAAAAATGGCAGGTTTGTCGGTATCGTGTCGATGCGCTGCAGCTGCTGACGGCGTCTGTGGCAGATCATCCCAGTGCGCTGTTTCTCGTGCGGATAAGTCGTCAGTGACAAATGGAACCAATACCTGGAGTACTTGGCAAAGGACATGAGCGAAGGGTGCTTTGCCTTGCATGTATGTATATGGTTAAGCACATCTCACTGCATGGATGAGCTTCAGCTGAAGAGGTACTGCTGCCGTCGAATGGTATTGACACACGTTGACCTGGTTGAGAAACTGCTTCAATACAACCGTACGTGTTCTGCTGTGTTCTATGCGTCCGATCACGTCGTTTGATGCCCACCGAACCGTAGCTATGGAACGATCGAAGGATAAATCTGGTTTCGGGGTGTAGCACACATACGATTGTTACCTGACCATTTGTGCTGACAAGGAACCGGCCCTTTTTCGATAAGTGAGGTTATCGTCTGTCTGATTTGTGATCATTGATGAATTGCATTCTTTCTGTACATGTCGTCGTATTTTGGCCATAACATACCCATAGGGTCATATAGCTTGAGACCGTATGCAAGACAAAAAACCAGAGTTTGATGTTGTTCAGCTCCGGAGTTCAGTTAGGTCTATTCTTGACCGAGAGGCCTGGCCTGGAAGCAACTGGGAACACAAGAAATAATATTAATGTAGGTCGTTTCTCCGTAAGTTAACCCGCCGCCGGTCTAACATATTATGTCCGTGCCAAGTCTAGTTTCCGCAGTTGACTTGCTTGTGAAAAGACAACGGTGGCGAACATCCGCGTCAGCTTCTTAAAGCAGTAATCACTTCGGCCCGTTTACGATTAGGTGAATGTGCTGACTGTACGGAGAGGACCAGCGAGTATGCATCGAGTATAAAACCATTTCCAACGAAAGTGATACCCCAATTTTCGCCTTCCCTATCTTACATTTCATATTTTATTCGCCCCGCTCATTATTTGGCCGCAGAGATGCAGCCCACTGAGCAACCCCACTTTCAGGAGCCCGAGCATCATCTGGATCAAATACCCGAAAATGCTGCTGTCTCAGAAGATGTTTCCTCGAGCGCGCCGACTGACTCAAACATTGTAGATAGCCTTAGGAAGACGCCTCAGCATCCCCACCACGAACATGCACCACATCACGGTCGTCCGCGACGCGGTTCCAGCGTCTCCCACGTGGACGTAGACTTCTTTGATCGACCCGGCTTCAATGAGCTTCAGCGAACCTTGACGGAGATATCGCGTCACAGGAGGGAGCAGCACAAGGAGGACACAGAGAGTTCCACCGATTCGGATGTGACATTGGCTTTGGGAGATGGTCCCTTTGATTTGGAGAGGACGGCGCGGGCTATAGTGATCAAGTGAGTCGTTGGTCCTTTAGGAAATTTGATCGCCTCCTAACCATATACAGGCGCGAGGAGGCTGGTATCAAGAAGCGCCACCTTGGTGTGCTATTCAAGGACCTGCGCGTGGTGGGCATCGGTGCATCCGCATCGCACTTGCCTACGCTTGGCAGTGTCTTGAACCCCGCCTTGATATTCGAAAGCATACAAACCGCACGTCACCCGCCTTTGAAGGACATTCTTAGCGGGTTCGAAGGAGTTGTTCGTCCAGGGGAAATGCTTCGTGAGTTATCTTCTGGCTTTTGAGCGTCAGTGGCTCATTTTGGTATGCTAGTGGTCTTGGGGAGTCCTGGATCGGGATGTAGCACTCTTCTCAAGAATCTGGCCAACCAGCGCGGCGAGTACCATCACGTTTATGGTGACGTCCATTACGACTCCTTGACCCCTGAAGAAGTCGCCAAGCACTATCGCGGCGACGTGCAATATTGTCCTGAAGACGATGTCCACTTCCCCACCCTCACAGTCGGGCAGACCCTTGCCTTCGCCGCCACCACTCGTACTCCGCAGACCAGAATCTCCGAGACCCGAGAGGAACACGCCAATTTCATGACGACGCTGTCCACCACCGTTTTGGGTTTGAGACACACGCTCAATACATATGTTGGAGATAACGCTATCCGTGGCGTCAGTGGTGGAGAGAAGAAGCGTGTCTCCATCGCGGAAGCAATGGCCATGCGTAGCTGCATCAACGCCTGGGACAAGTGAGTGTATAAATAACCTCATACGCGTTACAGTCGGCTTATGTATACATGTGTTCTTAGTTCCACTCGCGGTCTCGATTCCTCGACTGCCTTGGAATTCGGACGAGCTCTCCGCATTACGACTGATATCGACAGGAATACCACTATCGTCTCGATCTATCAAGCCAGCGAGAATCTTTATCGCCTCTTTGATAAAGTCTGCGTTATTTATGAAGGTCGTATGGCTTATTTCGGTCCCGCTGATCGTGCGAGGCAATATTTCGTCGACATGGGCTACGAGCCTGCCAATCGACAGACAACGCCCGATTTCCTCGTCGCCGTCACCGACGCCAAAGGCCGTATCCCTCGGGCTGGTATCACCAATCAGCCTCGCAGCGCCGCTGAATTCGCGGAGCACTTCCAGAAGTCCGAACTAGGTGCGCTCAACAAGGAGGATATAGAGTCATACTACAGCGAGTTCGTCGGATCGCCGAAGATGGCCGAACACTACAAGGAGAGCGCTAGGCAAGAACGCGCAAAGACCGCTAGGAAGATGAGGTGAGTCACTACATGTTTGTCTGCTCTGATATTTCTAACCTAGTCTCCTAGCCCGTATACGATCTCTGTCCCCATGCAAATCCGCGCCGTAATGCTTCGCCGGGTGCAGATCCTGATGGGTAACAAGACAGCTACCTTGATGAATTTGGTGTATGTCCTGCCTTTCGCCCCCCCTGCGTTATGACCGCCTTACCCTGTATAGGTCTTTCATTTTCCAAGGTATCATCATGGGCACGGTATTCCTCAAGATTCCGGAGTCAACGGATGCATATTTCTCTCGTGGCGGTGTTCTTTTCTTGTACGTCTACTTACTTCCTGCAGCTCCTTAGCTTGGCTCTGACAATCTTCCAATAGCGCGCTTCTTTTCTCTGCTTTATCCAGTCTTGCCGAGCTTTCTTCCCTCTTCCAGCAACGTCCCATCGTTCTGAGACATCAGAAAGCCGCACTATACCACCCTTTTATCGAAGCCGTCGCCCTCACAATCGTTGACTTGCCTATTACCTTCCTCACTAGCGCGTTCTTCGCTGTTCTCCTCTATTTTATTGTTGGACTACAGACATCCGCCAGTCAATTCTTGTGAGTATCATCGCGCTACTTCGAGCAACCTTCGACTAACAGGGTCATACAGTGTTTTCTATTTATTCTTGATTACGCTGGCTTTGACGATGAAAGCATGGTTCAGGGCCATTGCTGCAGCCTTCAAGTCTGAAGCTACGGCTCAGTCAGTCTCTGGTGAGCCCCTTCACTTTCACGTCGCCCTTTTTGGTCTCATGCCAATACCCCACAGGTATCATCTTGCTTGGGCTTGTTATCTACACGTGAGCCTTCTTCCCTCGTGTCTGTATGTCGTCGACTAACCCCCGTGCAGCGGTTATACCATCCCGAAATCCTATATGATCGGCGCCTTGAGGTGGATTACCTACATCAACGTAAGTTACTTCTTGCGTTCCACAGTATTCGTATCCTGAGCTAATTTCTACTTTTAGCCCCTTCGATATGGATTCGAATCCGTGCTGTCGAACGAGTTTCGCACTTTGAATGGAGCTTGCGCAAACCTCGTTCCTCAAGGCCCCGGCTACGAGAACATCAGTCTTGACAACCAAGTTTGCGCTACAGTCGGTGCCGTCTCGGGCCAGAATACCGTGGATGGCAACGTGTTCATCGAACTGTCGTACGGGTACTCGTATTCCAATACCTGGATGGTGAGCTCTTTGGACGATTTCTGTATATGCTCTATGACTGATCACTCCGGTGTGTAGAATTTCGGCATTATCCTTGCCTTCGGCATCGCGTTCATCTTCGCCCTCCTTATATTCACCGAGTACAATACGGCTCTTTCAACAGATACCTCAGTGGTCCTCTTCAAGCGTGGCTCTAAAGCAGCTGGGTCGATTGCCAAGGGTGACGACGAGGAGAAGAATGAGAAATCCAATGCCGGCATCCGCGATCTCGCGTTGTCCAAGGAGGAAAAAAGTAAAGATCAACTAGCGAAAGCTGAAGAGATGACGGACATCTTCTCCTGGCAACACCTCAACTATACTGTCCCCGTCAAGGAAGGCACTCGGCAGTTGCTGGATGACGTTTCGGGCTATGTTGCTCCAGGCAAGCTTACGGCCTTGATGGGCGAGTCAGGGGCGGGGAAGGTCTGTTTAATTGATTTATCTTGGTATAATTGCACCGCTGAATTACACCTTTCCGTAGACTACGCTGCTTAACGTCCTTGCCAAACGAGTTACCATGGGCATCGTCACAGGCCACGAATTTGTTAATGGACATCCTCCCCCCGCCGACTTCCAAGCGCAAACTGGATACTGCCAGCAGCTAGATACGCATGTTCCAACGGACACCGTCCGTGAGGCTCTTCTTTTCTCGGCGAAGCTTAGGCAACCTGCTTCGGTACCCATTTCAGAGAAGGAAGCTTAGTGAGCCTGCTGCCTTTATTTCTGTTCGCATTGTGCTCACTCTTTCAAAGCGTCGAAACATGCATCAAGATGTGTGGTTTAGAAGGTGTTGCGGACGCCTCCGTGGGTTCCCTTGGTATTGAACATCGTAAACGGACCACCATCGCAGTCGAGTTGGCCGCAAAGGTATTTTTATCTACTCTTTTACACTAGGCATGTGTTAATCTTCTCCTTTAGCCTAAGCTACTGCTCTTCCTCGACGAACCAACATCTGGTCTGGACTCTCAAAGCGCGTGGGCAATCATGTCTTTCCTTCGCGACTTAGCGGACCACGGGCAAGCTATCTTGTGCACGATCCATCAGGTGAGTAATAACAACTGCTAGGTAGGGACTTCTCATTGACGTTCATTTAGCCATCGGCCGAGCTCTTCCAAGTCTTTGACCGTCTTCTGTTGCTCCGCAAGGGCGGGCGAACCGTGTACTTCGGCGATGTCGGTCAACGTTCTACGACCCTGATCAATTATTTCGAGAAAAATGGATCGCGAAAGTGCGACGACGAGGAGAATCCGTGAGTACTTGATCTCCACAAGTCTGCACGGAGCTAAACTTCTCTCAGTGCGGAGTTCATTTTGGATGTTATCGGAGCTGGCGCAAGTGCATCTACTGACAAAGATTGGCACGCCATTTGGGAAAGCTCTCCCGAAGCACAAGACGTACAAAGGGAAATCGAAGAAATTCATTCCCACGGAAGGAGTAAAGGCGCTGTGGAGGCTGCTCTTCAAACGAAATTTGCTTCGTCTTGGTTCTTCCAGACCAAAGAACTCCTTCAACGCGACTTGAGGAACCACTGGCGCGATCCAACCTACCTCATTGCTAAATTCGTTCTGAACATCACGGCCGGCCTCTTCATCGGAGTACGTGGTTTCTCCCTTTATCCTTGTTCCGTTTATACTCACATCCAACTAGTTCACATTCTTCAAAGCCAAGAACACTCAACAAGGAACACAGAATAAACTTTTCGTAAGCAAGCAGGCCAACTGAATTGAAACTTAATTGACTCTCTGTCAGGCTATCTTCATGGGCACTATTCTCTCTGCTCCTCTGTCAAATCAGTTGCAGGCCCCTTACATCGCAATGCGCAACATCTACGAGATCCGTGAAAGACCGACGAGGATGTACAACTGGACAGCTCTTATCACATCTCAAGTCCTAGCCGAACTACCTTGGAACATCCTAGGTTCTTCACTGTACTTCCTCTGCTGGTTTTGGACCGTTGGTTTCCCCAACGATCGCGCCGGATACACTTACCTCATGCTTGGAATCATCTTCCCCCTCTATTACACCACGTTCGGCCAAGCCATCGCCTCCATGGTATCCACTACCGAGCTGGCTGCGATATTGTTCAGTTTCTTGTTCAGCTTTGTGATCACTTTCAACGGTGTCCTACAACCATTTCGGTTACTTGGCTGGTGGCAATGGATGTAAGTTCTGTTTATGTTTTATCCCCCGGACTTCTGACGAACATTTAAATAGGTACCGCCTTTCCCCCTTCACGTACCTCATTGAAGGGTTACTTGGCCAAGCCCTCGGTCGCAGCCCAATTGTCTGCTCCGACATTGAATACGTCACCGTCGACCCCCCTTCTGGTCAAACATGTGGCCAATTCTTTGAGCAATACATTTCGGGGGCTGGCGGTTACTTGCGCGATCCAAGCGCTTCCTCTGGATGCCAGTTTTGTTCTTTCGCCACCACCGATGAAATGCTCGGTGTCAGCTTCAATATCTCCTACGATCATAGATGGAGGAACGTTGGCATCATGTTCGCCTATATCCTTTTCAACGTAAGTCACGCTTTGAACATCGGTCTTATATATCTGCTCACAAAACCTTTGACAGTTCGCTGGCATCTACTTCCTCACATACTTGTTCCGCATCCGAAGACGCAGTATCTTCGCCTCCCTCAAAGCTCGCTTTTCACGATCATGAATGTCGCCTAGCAGTTTTCCTACCCCATGCATGAACTGAGTATTTTTCACTAGTTTCTTATTTCTGTTCACGTTGGTACTTCACTATGAAGATAATGAATTCTCTAGATCATAGATATCCCAAATGCCCACTTCATTCAGACTTGTACAATATTAGCAAAATTCGTCTACATAGTATTACGCCTATTTGTTCAGATATCCTTCGTAGACTTACATCCGTCGACAGACAATGCAACAGAACTTTCCTGGCTCCCCGGTACTATAAGCAATCGTTGAAGTCGGCATCTGTGAACACTGTTCACTTTCTAGAGCATATCGGCAGGCTTTGTTGTCTCCTCCTTTGGCACCGTACAGACAGGGTGATGTGCATCATTCGCTCGTTTTCGCGGGTGCATACCGTGGACCATAGACCTGAAAGCAACCGTGTCGCACCCACGATGCTCACCTTATCTCCCTGATTCCCCCGTCTACAGCCTAGATGTCCAGCGCGGTGGGCGATGCGTCTCGCTCGGCGGATGAATTAATTGCTATGTTGACGAAACTGTGAGCAAAACGAGTAAAAGGCGTCAGGCACCAGGCTAACTTGATTCTTGAACTGGCATCCAGACGGCCAGGCGAGCTCTCTGAAAGGCAGGTGAGCGCTGAGCACCATACCCTCGTCGATAAAAGTTGATGATTATTGGGGCGGATCTAGCACGAGATCCTGGAATCAAAGGCTGTTACGCCGTTTCGACCTTGCGTTCTGCCCTCAATACGGCTTCCCCAGTACATAAGCTTCCGCTGGAGGTGTTGGGAATTGATATTCAGCGAGTTGGTGTGGCAGATGGTGCCTCAGGAAAACTTTATCCTCGATCTGCTGCAGGTCAGGAGGCGTATGCCGGGCCAGCCGATCCACACGACATTGCCAGTGGTACTCGAGTCAAACGAAGCTGCCTCAGACTTTAGATAGGCTAAGTCAATCATAGCTTGCTAATTCCTCCTTGTGAGTACTTCTGGGAGCTTGTTGTTGGTGGGTGACCTATCCTAATCCAGAGTTGTGCATGGGCGCGAGGTTGTAACCGGCGTCAGTGTACCAAGATTTAAAACCACCCCTTGGGGAAGTTGAGAATGCCTAAGACTCGAAGGCCGTCAATGCAACTCCCCAGTGGTCACCGGTCACCAGCGATCTATTGTTTTTATTTGTTTTCAACAGTCATGTTTCAATGTTGACCAGCACGCCTTGTTATGTACGGTTTGGGCTTACAATTGCAGCGGATATCCGTGGCTTCTTAGTACTAGTGCGTTAAATATTTTAGTATCAACAGTAACAAGTAGAGAATGCAAAGGAGTATTGCTAGTTGCCTTCATCGTCGGAGCTAGCCACATCACTACCTGTGTCTTTATCATGTGTCGCCTTCGTTGACGTAGATGTAGCCGCCGTGAATCCAGACAGGGTTGTTCCGGGTTTCTTTGCTTGCGAAGCTTTCCATGCATGCGCCATCTGTAAGAACTTGAATGAAGTCGGATTGGACTCTCGTTCGTCGTCAGCGAAGACCAGATCCCAGTCTGAGGAGTCTTTAGCGACAGGTAACAATGGCATACTTATCAATAACGTACCTTCGACGGTTTGTCCGGTGTCCTGATCCACGACGCGACGTTTGCTGACAATTGGCATCATGGCTTGCACCTTGGCAACATCATCTGCGGAGCCGTGGTTCTCTTCATATGTCTTCCAGACATTGAGTAGTGCAACGCGCTGGTAGTGGTATAACGTGAGTAGAGGGGAAATAACACGAATGCGGAAACGTACCTCATTCTTCAAACCCTTGGACTTCAAATCCTTGTAGCCCTTTTCGAAGACTTGACGGGCACGTTCAGGATCGCCGGGCGCCATCTTAACCTCCGCGTCCTCATCCTCCTCATCCTCGTCTCTCTGATCACGTGGCACAGGGATAGCCTCGCCTTCGAACATTGCATATGCGATCCAGACTTTGACGTGTCCACTCAAAGAGATGAGGCGCTCGTAGAGGGACCTCGCAATCTCCCTTTCTCCTTCCTCGGTCTCAAAGTCGATATAGGACTTCCACAAAAGTTCGGGCATGGCGAGAGGAGACTGGGAGACGCCGAGTTCGTAGATAGCCCGGGCTCTCGCAAAGTCTTGGAGTTGAGTCTCCAACTCGGCGTATCGTATCCAGGCTGCAGAATTGGCGGAGTCGAACTGCAACAAAAAGGAGCTGTGAGCGGGGAACTGCCCATCGTAGCAAGTTGCCTACTTCAATATACTTTTCATAAAGCTGCCGAGCACGGTCGAATTCCCGCAACTATGGAGAGTTAGCTTTGAAAGGGAGAATGATTTAAGTTGCCGGTTGAACTCACGTCAATTTCCAATTGGATGTAACCCTTGAACAAAGCCTCCTTGGGACACATTCCTATCGATGCACCTAATATTTTCCTTGCAGCGGGCAAGTCGAGACGGCGTAGCTCGAACTTCGCAAACATGAGCCAGAGTTTTGCGAATGTAAATTGTTTATGTGGAACGAGTTGGAGTGCTGTTTGATACACTTGTCGAGCACGATCGTAATCCTGCCGGAGAAACATCAACGAGCAATTTTTTGCTTGGGAGTCAGCGGCCGTACCTTCGTTTCAATCTCCTCAAACAGAGCGTAATCTAACCACAAAAAGATATACCGTCTCCAATGACGCTTTTCACCGCCTGGTGGGACTTGAGCAACAGCGCGCTCGTATACCTCTCGTACCCGCCCAATCGCAGCCTCCTCTTCCTCCTGTGTTGCTCCCTCGTCTTTCAGATCACGATATGCACCTTCTTCTAACCGAGCATAGTCGAACCAGACATCGTAATTGCGACCATCATGTGTCACTTCTTCCTCGTATTGTATACGTCTCTTGCCTAAAACCGTATTTTCGAGAGTAGTCCTGGTGCCATGCTGTTTCTCGAACTTGGTGTAAGCGGCGTATAGAGATGCTGATTTGGATCTCGGGATGCGAGAAAGGGCAAACTACGCGGATAAGCGGCATATTGTCGAGTGATATGTAGACTCACCTTATATATGACACGGGCGCGCTCGAATTCTTTCAGCCGCGTCTCCATCTTTGCAAACGCGCTGAAGACGGCCTGGGCTTTCTCAACCTGTTCCTCATCGTCCCCGAAGAATTCTAGAGCCGTTTGGAAGACCTCCCTGGCTTTGTCCGACCGTTGCCTCTCCTCTTCGAATTTTGCCCACTTAACCCATACTCTAGGCTCTGGCCTCACAGCGATCCAACGCTCGTATATGGTGCTGGCTCTGTCTAACTCATTGTACCGCTCTTCCATCTTGATGTAAGCTTGCCAGGCCTTATCATCGGGTTCCCATTTCATCCACCGCTCAAACACCTGTCGTGCGCCCGGGACATTTTGAAGTAACTCTTCCAAGTAGACGTATTTGTACCATAGTTGATCGACCCGGGGAAGCAGTGTCACTGCACGATCAAAGAGGTTGCGAGCATGTTGTACATTTCGGGATTTGAGCTCCATCTCTGTGTAACTGAGCCATAGTTGGATGCTTCGAGGGTCGACATCGAGAGCTCGCTCGTATACTGAGCGCGACCGAGCGAATTCATTTTGAGAAGCCTCCCAGTTCGCGTACTGCAACCACTCTTTTCTAAACACCCGTAAGGTACACTGAATGAAAAGACGGGACTCAACACGCACATGCTGCCCCTCGTTCGGCGGATACGTTCTTCGAACTCCTTCCGCTTCCGGCCTCGGTATTCATTAAGTTCTTCGAAGTCTTCAACCCGTTGCTTTGGTGCACGAAATGCGCTCTCTTGCCGCTCTTGAGCCTAGAAATAATGTGAGCTAGGACACCGCAATCCGCAACGGTTCCGGTGTACTTCGCGTAAGATCTGCTCAGCTGTGATCTGAACCGCCGCAGGGGCGCGGTTTTTTATCCTGGAAACCAATGTCAGTATATTAGATAGGGCTCTGAGTATAACTCACCTTGGAGCGCGACCGTCCTGCATTTCGTGGTCGCAGTTCTGAGGCTCGAGGCTTGGTTCCAACTTCCTATCGTATCACTCGAAAGGCAAATTATCACGTGATCAATGAAAGTTAATGCTCCTTAATGCCCCTGAATACTCCTAAGACGACTCACTGGCCTTGCACCGTAGACACTCATCCGTAGTGTTTATTGCTTATTCTTCTACGTATTGCATGATTGTATACGAAGCTTCAACCGTTCCTTGGTTGAATGTTCGGTGTCCACCAGGAGGACCGAGTCCTCGGGATTCCGTTACAGATTGCATACGGGGAATTGGAAGTCAATGAATGGTAACCAGAACCCGCCCACATTCACAACACTTCTACGTGTGGCAGAAGGCTCTTTGTCATGTGCTGACAGTAGCTGAGCTAACAAAGGTAGCTTCGCGGGTCTCGGGCGCCGACGAAGTTTTGCAAGGAGAGAATGAAATCGTCAGCTCGCTAGCGCATGTGGGCTTAATCTGATCTGTATTGCCCAAAAGCCAATTGGAATGAATACACACGATCTAGAAGTGAGTGTCGGTTCATTTCCAGTCTAAGACCTCTCTGCCCCGCCAAAGACATCTTGTAGCAGGAAAAGATGGAAAATCCAAGCTGAAGGATCTCTTCCTTATCCGGGGCAAACGTTGGATTGGTGGACGCATTTACGGTCCCTGGTCCGCTCTCAGTCAACAGATACCCCGGCCCATTCTTCGTATTCGGCCTCTTTGCGCTTAGAATCCCCTTTCGCCCCTTTGCGCGAGGCTTTCCGAGCTACCGTGGTATCAATATCCCTACCAGCAGCTATATTTTTCAAGCCGACTAATGCAGCGTTCGCTAGAAGCACGCGGAATGAGATTATATCAACGGGGACGACGGAGATTTCTTACATTCGCCAGCGAGTAAATCGTCTACGATGGGCCGACTTCCTGACGTTATGTACCTCGCAGATACACCGGTAGCCAGTAGAGGCTGCGCTAGCATACGTTTTAGCTCGGACTTGAGACCGACAATTTTCGCATGCTGGACTTTACGCGCGCGTTTTGAGTTCTGAGTACGTTGATCTTCCGCGTCCCTTCGGTAGCAATGAGACGTCAATAATCAAATATCTGAGGAATCATTGACGAAAACTCACGAATCGAACATATCTTCATCGAGTTCAATCTCCATGGCATCTGCAGTCTCCTTGAGCCATTTCCGATCATGATTTTCTTTGGTGGCCTTGTGGTGTGCTGATTCAATCTTCTTCGCGAGTTGCACACGAGCCTTCAGTTTGTCGAGAATGGTGAGTTCGAGCGTCAACTCCGGAATGGATGATTCGTCTATTCAATGTGTCAGCGGTTAGCAGCGTAATGAAAGGAACTCGCTACACACCTCGGTTCAAACTACCCAATAAAGCTCGGACAACTTTCCTCTCCTCCGGGGCGCATAACAACAAGCTGACACCCTCCATCTTCGCTCGGGCAGTCCTGCCGTTACGGTGAACATACGTATCAGCCGTTCTGGGGATTTGGAAGTGTATAACGTGGTCGACTGCGGGGATATCAAGGCCTCGCGCAGCTATATCCGTGGCGAGCAGAACTGCATTGGGTGTTGTCTTGAACCTATTTAGGGTAAGCATCGGCGTTCTAGGGTTATGCAGTGGCGACGTTTACCTATCTAAATTCTTTAACCTAGCTCTTTGCTCCATCTGCGAATGCAACGCTAGAGCTTTAATTTCGAGAGTCTCGAGCAGAGGCATGAGGCGGCGGATGCCGTCAATAGACGAAAGGAAGACCAGCGAACGACCTGGATATCGCAAAAGGAAGTAGTAAAGGTACACATCCTGCTCGGCGTTCGGGGTTCATCGTTAGTACTTGACCGGATGACGAAATGCACATGGGAAACGGACCTTGTCGGAGGCTAGACATTCGATTTTGCTTTCACGCAGTGTGCTAACAACGCCACCTTCGGGACTCAGATCAATGACTTCGGGATTGGAGTCGCGGAAGTCCAGTCGCATCAGAAGATCATCTAGGAAAGCGTTAGGACCTTGAGTACTACAAACCGTCGTTAGCGTACCTAACGTAGACGCGGGTTCTTGTTTCTTGCGCCTACTGGTATTCTTGAAGTGCTTCTGCCTTTTCTTCAGGTTTCTTTGAAGGTCCTTGCTGAGAGTGGCTGAGAACACGAATGTTTGCATGCCATCTGTTCTAGCCCCATGTTGGTTATCTTCGTTCTCAGCTGCGGCTTCAGGATCATCATTGAATTGGGCATCAATCTGATCCTCTCTAAAGCGTCCAATCAGTTATGCAATTCCAATAGACAACTGGAACACGTACTGCGTCTCTCTTAGCGTCAGCCTGAGGATATTGTCCAATTCAGCGAAATGGCCATGTTCGATCATCCTATCAGCTTCATCTAGAACAAGGAACTTGATGGCTTTAATCTCCTGAGCTAAGGATTCATCCTGCGGGAAATATCAGTCATATTTTGATCATGTATCTCAGAAGGCGTTTTTGGGTTGAGCTTACTTCTTGGATAATGTCCCACAAGCGACCTGGGGTTGCAACTAGTATGTCTAGGCCGCGATCCAAGATGCGACGCTGTTTCTGCGCGGACATCCCACCAACGATGGCCGCAATGCTGACCAACGGCGGGGATTTACTAACTTTGCTTGGGCCATCGGCTTTGCCTGACTCGTCACAAAGAGGGTTCGTACAAGCACTCAGATGTGAAGATACTTGCAGGGCCAACTCCCTCGTCGGCGCGAGAACTAAAGCACGAAGAGTCCTCCGCCTTGAGGTCTCGAGTTTTCGGGCGTTCAGTTTCTCCGTTATTATACTATGGAGAATGGGGAGCCCATACGCCAAAGTCTTGCCAGACCCCTAGCTAGCGGTCGTGAGCAAGATGATGATTGATGTGGTAGTGTACTTACCGTTTCCGCTACACCTATTACATCTCGTCCTGAAATTGCAAATGGTATAGCTGCCGCTTGGATCGGTGTAGGCGAAACAAAATGTCTGGCATGGAGGAATCGTAGAAGTGACGGATGGAGTTCGACGTTCGACCATTCAGGTAGTTCAACGATTTCTGCAAATCTCTTCAGAAACCTGAAACCTAGGCGTTTGCTTTATCAAACAATAGATTACCTTCCGGAATATCTGGTCGCTCCTCACAGACTGGTTCAGGCGTCGGCTCCTGAGTTGGTAGCTTAGCATCTGATCTAGAGGTCGCATCTTCCTCTATCCCAGCTTCGTCAATATCCTCTGGTTCATTAAACACCTTCAGGCAAGATGTATGAGCATTTGGAAGGCCACAATGAATCTACAAGGCATACATTAAATCGGGCTACTCTGCCGCCGTCAGCAGTCTCTTCATAAACCACTTCAACTCCTTCCACTTCTTCCAAACCAAGAATCCCATCGTCCCCGTCGAACCCAGATTCAAGCGGACGCGAAGCCGTACGCCATGGTAGCGAATCGGGTGTGGAATAAGTAGTCGCTCGGGTGTGGGATAATTTTCGCTTCTTCCTCGCCTTGAGGATACTCGCAAATGCAGTGGGCTTTCTCTTTACTTCAATTGGCGTTTTGGAAGGCATCGGCTAGTTCGTGCGTTCTGAGTGCACCAAAGCTTTTGAAACGATAAACTTCTTCGTGAAAATTAAAAATAGAATACACGTGATTCAGGGGGATCGCATGAGGCTATTCACAAAAGAAATCCAAGAAATCATTGCATCAATGCGATACACCAAGAAAACGCCAGAAGCAACTCTAGTACAGAAGTATCACTCGTAGTATCCCCAAGATGCAGTGTCCAATGTCCACAGTAATTCAAACGTGCTTGATCATCGGATCAAGTAACTAGTAGCAACGGCCAACGTACATGCCCCCGCACAAACAATGAATCCAAGGGGATAGCCCGATACGTTGTCTTGAACGCTAACACTCCATAGCTAGTAGAACAGTGAGCCATGATGCATGGAGAACGGATCACAATTAACGCATGGTTATAATCACTCACCAATCCTCCCAAAACAGGCCCGAAACACCTTGCGAGGCTAACAATACTCTGCGCAATTCCATTCGCATATCCAACAGCGCTCGGTGGCGTCACTACAAAAATTCCAATGATGACTACTAGCGCAGAGAACGGAAAGCACTGGAACTTACTATAGTTTAATAATATTGATATGGCAGTATATGAGAACGTGATAGCACAGTACCGCACAGCCCTAGAGTACGATCTGTCAAATTTGTGCATGCTTCAGTTGGAAATTTGGACCTACGTGCTTAGTGCCAAACCTATGGCGATGAACACGGTGATATCAGCCTCCCACATAAAACGATTAACGTAGCATCCGGAAGTCAATACCCACCTGCCATGACTATGAAATTTCCATCATCTGATGCACTTGCGAATGGTCGGTACAAAACAACGGTCAAATACGACGGAATGAAGAGAAGTGATCCGATCCTAAACATTGTAAGGTGGGAGAACCGTCCCCTTGGAGGCCTAGAGCGATAGCACGGGTGCTGATGAGAGAAGCCACGACCAAACGAACACATACTCACCCCATATTCCTATGAAAGCGCCATCATACTATGTCAGTGACACGAACAAGGAAGTGAATGGTGATCAACACTGACGGATACAGATAGAATTGATAGGCGATCTGGGCGAGGCACATTAATGCAACTGAGCAGTATCACACATCAGGTTATTAGGTGATCGGCGTATACGGTCGTCAACCTACTGAGCTGTGCGAAATGACCAGCGTTGAGGTTGAGTCCACCAGCCTCGTAGTCTCTGTAACAAGGGATTATAATCAACGGATACAAGACTAAGAGGGAAAGACTTACGAAACGAGGTATGACATGAAGACTTGATCATGGGTAGTAGAGTGCAGAGCCAACAAGCCATACTGCGCGATGATCATAATTGGCAGCTGCCTAGCTAGCGAAGGTGGTTTCTCCTGCAATGCCTCGAGATCCCCGACGTAACTTGACTCAGAAAGCTGTCTTCCTTCAGTGATAGGAGGAAGCGCATCACCACCGCCGTAGGGAGACTCGAGCTCAGTCCGCAGGAGCAGCTGTTGGGCATCTAAGACAGCTGGAGGTGATTTCACACCAGTATGAGCGAATATAGATGGAACGCTTGATGAGAGACGTCTTGTCATATGGTTCGCATCAAGGAGTTGATTAGATGATGGACGGCGACTCGTTCGCTGCCGTGAAGAAGAATGAGTCGATTGCCTTGGGCCAGGAGAGGTCGGCGACATTGGAGATGTCATCCGGCCGCGAACCGTGCCCACAGATTGAGAACGTGGGCGGGGGGCTTCCCCTTCGTTCTCGTCTTCATCTCCGTCGACAACCCCCTCTTCTTCGTCGCTTTCAAACGGATCTTCATTATCTACATTCATCGCGGCAGCCACCCACAAATCCGCAATGTTGGTAACGGCATTCTCGTTCGCCATCAGAATCCTCTGTGCGAAATTGAGATCGCTACCCTCGTTCGACGACATCGCCCTGCTTCCGGCCGTCTGACTGCCTCGTCTACGCAAAGAGGTAGCCATACTCCCTCGGCGAGTGGCGAAGGTTACGTTACTTCCCAGTCTACTTCTGTAACTTCCACTGTAGCCATATGCAGAGCCATTTGCTCTACTTGTCTTTAGGAAAGAGTTCTTAGGTTGATCTACTCGTGATGTAGTAGAAGTAGTCGATAACGGCACCGACTGAGGCGAACTACCTTCAGGGAGAGAAAAGGATGGAGATTCGTGATGTTGTCCTCGATTCGGGAGATAGCCGGAGAATGTCGATGAAAGCCTCCTTCTGAAAGAGCTTACGAAGGACCGATTGGAGGAGTCATCGAGGGGGGGACTATGCGGAGGAGTCTGCTCTCCTTGAATATGTGGGCGATCATCTGCTTTCTCTGGTAACAAGCGAATTGCACCCTGACGAGATCCTCCATCACGCCCGAGAAAGCATGCGAGGACGGAACCTTCTGGCAATTGAATACCGTAAACCTCACGATTGGTAATTGACATACCGATAAATGTTATAGTTGCTGCTAGCAGACAGGGCAGCAGATAAGGGTACGTGACGAAGATCTCTACATCTTGGAAAACCGATGGCCATTTCACGACTGGGCGCTCGACTGTCCAAAGGCTATTAGTATAACTTATTCCTTACGGCAGTAGGGCCCCAGACTCACAGGCTCCGCCAATGATAGCACCTGCTACACCGCCGAATCCCCAGCAGAATCTTGGGTGAATGTTCAGGAATTAGTCCGTTTGTTTGACAAGTTTGCTTACCCTAGAATAGCATACGCTCTACCCTCATTACTTGGATCGGTCACAAACGCCACTGAACCACGGGCAACACCCACGGCACCAGCAAACACCCCCTGAAGAAGCCGAATACATAGAGCTTGCTGTATCGACGTGGAGGTTCCAAAGATAGCACAAGTAACTGCACTGCCAAACAGGGACACAACAAGCACAGTTCTACGACCATGCCGTTCAGCGACGGTTGCCTGTACAGCTTTAGTGATAAGTACAGCAGGTGAAAGTAAGAGGCCACACTCACCCAAAGAAGGGACGTCAGGAACTGTGTCAAGAAGAATCCAGACACTAAGGAACTGGTTAGACATAGATAGAACGCGGAGGCTATGATTCGCACACATACCGATAATTCCAGTCCAGAATGCAACTTCAGAATCGTCGTTATACTCGCCGAAGCCTATCGTGGTTCGTTGAATTGGAGTACTGCCAATGACTCCTTCACACACCTTTCACCATGAATAGCAGAAATGGGGTAGAAACGTTCGCCGATAGGAACTCTCCCAGCATGGTCTAATCGATGGTCCCATGATCCACTGCTTCCCGTGCGATTCAACTAGAACTCACGTACTATGGATAATACAATCATAGATAGCACCGGCAACGGTGTTGCGTATGCCTCTCCTGAGGACTGCATCACAGTTGGAACGGGGGGTCTCTCCGAGAATTCCTCCCCATCCTCGCCGTCGTTCCTTCCAAACGAGAAACTTGGTCTGCGCAGGCTTCCTCCAAAGGACAATCGTCCGAGGAATCGTCGAACGCCAGGTCGACTCGACTCGGCCTCGTCTGTATGTTCTGCAGTATTGATATCGCCTGTTCCAAAAACGCGCCGTGGTGGTATCGTAGACATATTGTAGTGAGTGAATTAGTGGAGATGCATAGGCGTAGTTGTCAGAAGCAGTGGACTGGGCGCTGAGCGCGTCCGAGTCGCTGCCAATGACATCGTATCTCCCACGGTCACAGTCAGGAACAGTCGATTCGTCTCTCACGGTCACAAACCGTCACAACGTTGTTGAATGATGAACTCCTTCGAACTGACTTGTCCAGTCCGGTTCTGTTCTTCTAATGAACTTACGCTCTTGGGGATCGTGGATCGTCGACATGGAAGAAGTCCATGTGGTGCGCAGTATACCTCCCGGTTCCATCAACTAGACTATCTCTGTTGCTGGTGTGGGGCTTTGCGCATCGCTATAATGTACAGTATATCGCGCCCATCAGTATCAAATCTGTTTATCGATATCATGACCAGGGCACAAACATACGGATCAGCGCAGCGCCAACTTGACAAAAGGCGGGAGTACCTGAACTCTCCCAACAGCCACCTATCCAACCGTCAATGATATTACGTTCCGCGTGAGCTTTCCTTGGGCTAAATCTCGTTCATCTACACCTTACCTGGGAAAAATAGCACTCGACAGAGCAGTATCATGCACCAGCGCATCGCGAGATGACGCGCCGGCTCTCCGCGAGCGTATATACAGACACGATGGCATCATTCCTGTGCGCTCGACAGGCAGCAGTATCGAGAATCAACGGACCCCCTAGTCGGGGTGCCGACGCGTCGGTGAGGACCAAGTTGATTCCCACTCACGGTGTTTGCCGTTCATAATAGGCAATTCAGTAAAAAAAATCAACTCGTCGTTGACCGGTTGCGACGCCATGCTCGGAGGCGTTGGGGGTGGTTGAAACCAAGTTGAAACGGTGCGAATTGACCGGTATCCGTTCCTGTCATTCCAAGGGTTTATGGACAATGACGTTACCCAACATAGGGCTTGGTAACTTAAGCTATGTGATATTGTCAAGCTTTTCCACGCGTCCGATTCACGCAGACGTCCGTATGCGCATGCTGTAAGTTCTTTCAGATCTACTGCTAGGAGTTTTGCAAATGATCTACTGCCAAAAGGTACCTTTAGCCCCATGTATCATGTCAAGCGCACCACCCATTTGCTCAATCACCTCGGAACAGGAACAAAAGTGGCTACCAAAATTGTCACGATATTATGTCCCGGACCACATCTGTCCGTTTGTGCGTGCTAGAGTTTTCCCGTACCTCTCACGAACGGGCACTCTTATTGTCCTCAACATTTTCGGCCCCAATAATCTACCTAGTAGACTCATGCGTCGGGGCGTTTTACAGGGTGTACTTAAATCCAATATGTGGTCTGAATCCTCCATTGTTCTTCCCTGTCAATTCTCACCATCGTATATCTCAGCCATCTGGCTAGATTATCTTGGTCGACGAGTAGATGTTCCGTCGGGAAAAATCAGGACGGACCCCTTGGTATACACCCGTCTTCTGAACTTCTCCCCATTGCGCGGCCCAGCGTAATGCCGCTTTCAGTCTCGGTGTTCGCTTTCTTCCTCGACGGGTGTCTTTCCATTAAATGGCCCGAATGGTATACATTAACCGTTGTCCGATAAGACTTCGCGTAAGAACGTATGTTTGGCCCGTGTCAGTAGCCAATTGTCAACTAGCGTTCACCTCTCTCATGCCCATACACGCCAAGGTCACACGGCATCCCTGATCCCCACTTACACTGAATGTTTCACCTTTTATGACTCAATATAAACGTGGCAGATATATATTGCGTCGGTGAAGTATATTCGTACGTAGTCAGTTTGACATTTTCAATTTGACAGGGTTCAAGTTGGCGCCCTTCCAAGCGAGATTGCTTCGAATCGCCTGGTTCTGAAAGGCATCGAGAAGGCATGAGCGTGAACCAGTCAAATTGGGTTTTCATCTTTGTGTCTGGACTCTGTACTATTTCACAAGTTGGCTGTGATTTCTCGGTCGCACCCTTTCGGACATATACAAAACACGGAACCAAACGACCATTTTATCCGGCGGCAGGGTACCATATATGGCCCTTGGTTGCCAGGCTCGATTTCGGTGCCGAGCCAAGAACAGACGCAGTGGTCGTGTGTGGAAGCAGCTCAAGTGTTGTTGCAGTGCCAGTGATCTCCCACCATCGACATCAGGAGCTGGCGCTGTGCTGCAGCTTGACGTCGACGACTACGAGCAGCGGCCGCGATTCTGATTCTGAAACTCTTCTGGCTGGTCTGGCGATATCCGTTCTCTCGCGTGCTTCGAGATGGAGCGAATCTGCACGTAAAAAGGCTGAATCTGCACGGAGACCGCTTACCCTGATGCCTGGCAAGCGAACTGGCTATATGAGATCTCGAGTCAAATCAATTCTATGGCCATGGCGATATTCTCGGAACTGGCGGTGTTGGTAGCTTTGCGTGTATTTTGGGGCTGACAATGAGATCTCCATGCCCAAATCTGTACTTCATTTCTGTCATGGCAAGCCTGAACCTCTGTCGCGACGCGGACCGAGCCACCACTTCTTCCTTTCCTTTCACTCTCTCAGACTCGTGCCCGCCAGATCCGTGCTACTCCCCAGATCCATCATTCTATAAAAGCTGGCTATCCTTTTCCCCTGTTCCCTCATCGTCTCCCCCTCCCGGATTTACTGAGCTCCACTGCACACATGTCAGCCATCGCATCCTCCTCCGCCCAGGCGGCCCCGCCTAGCAAGATTGTTATCCCAGACCTCGTCTCTCACTGCACCTTTGAGCTACGAGTCAACCGCCATCGCAAAATCGCCTCCGCGCAGTCAAAGCGATGGCTCTTCCGCGGGGACAACCTTACTGGCAAAAAGCGGGACGCGTACCATGGACTCAAGGCTGGCCTGCTGACTTCTATGTGCTACCCAAACGCGGGTGCCCCTCAGTTGAGAGTTTGTTGCGACTTCATGAACTACCTGTTCCATCTCGACAACCTCTCCGATGACATGGACAACCGGGGTACAAAGTCAACAGCAGATGTCGTACTGAACGCACTTTATAACCCGAAGATGCATCAGACGAAACGTGTTGGCAAGATGACCAAGGAGTACGTATTTACCTTAATCGTTGGTAGTCAATCTCGTACTCACTTCTATTCAAAGTTACTGGCAGCGACTTATTCGCACCGCTGCTCCGGGTGCCCAGCAGCGCTTCATCGAGACTTTCGACTTCTTCGTTAGTGCCCGTCCATACACTCTCATGCTCATGACTAATATCCTGGTCCCCGTAGTTCCAAGCTGTATCTCAGCAAGCGCGGGATCGCGCTGAGGGTTCAATCCCCGATCTCGAGTCCTACATTGCTCTGCGCCGCGACACAAGCGGATGCAAACCTTGCTGGGCTCTGATTGAATACGCCAACAACCTGGACATTCCCGACGAGGTCATGGACCATCCCATCATCCGTAGCCTCGGAGAAGCCGCCAACGACCTCGTTACCTGGTCCAATGTAAGTTTTCCCCCAATACGCTAAAACCACGCCTTTCTCATTTCGTGTTCTTTCACAGGATATCTTCTCATACAATGTCGAACAATCCAAGGGTGATACGCACAACATGATCCCTGTTGTGATGCATGAGGAGGGTCTCGAACTCCAGGCCGCAGTCGACTTCGTGGGTGCACTTTGCAAGCAGTCAATTGATCGCTTCGTAGAGTGCCGTGCGAACCTGCCTTCTTGGGGCCCTGAAATTGATCGTCAAGTCGCAGTATATGTTGAGGGGTTGGCCGATTGGATAGTTGGTTCACTACACTGGTCGTTTGAGTCGGAGCGCTACTTCGGCAAGTCTGGTCTCGAGGTGAAGAAGAACCGCGTCATCAACCTCCTTCCCCGACGGTCATAATGCGCATAGTGGATCTGTTAAGCGCACTCCACTTGACGTCGCCTTCGCTAGTAAGTGGCATTCGCTTCATTTTGATGGAAATTGTGGCTCATTGACGTTTACTCGCTCAGTCACTGTCATGCGATCAATGTTTTCACCCTTTCCCCCTCTCCCATGCAACTTCTATCATTCCTACAAGACACCCGCGACATGCGACCTTAATCATGCCTAAGATCTTGTATAACAGACAAAAGCGACATCATTGGGATCATTCCCGCCACAACCACCCCTAAAATTCCAAGTGTATCATATCTTCAAACAAACTACTCCTACATTCGTTCTTCTACAATTTCCCGCAATGCCGGATTCATTCTCTGTACGCATATCGGACACACATTCGTTCACCATTTTCCACTTCTGTAAATGGAAATTCGACAAGTACATATTTATTACTATCCACCATTCATTTATTCATATTTGTGTTTTCCTTTCATTCGTTCACTCCTACATCCTATCTACATTACTACTTGGGTTTAGTTGATCTTTCTACCCCGTACATTCGTTTTACTAGTTACACACCCATCTATGGTATGCATATGCATCCTCTCACTATTTTGGCTATACAGGCAATTCCTAGAGTATTTACCTTGTACATAGCCTTGCCTACCTAGTAGTAGCAGTAGTTACCGCAACTTAAAGATAATAATTCACTATTGGTGGATCCAAACCATAGCAGTGTCTTGAATGTTTGAGGCTGCGCAAACTGGACGGTGTTCTCATACTCAACTTGAAGCGCTCACAGCTAAATAGTTGCTATGTGTCTTGATAGTATAGTGATCATCAAAACGTCGTCGATGTCAACCTGGCTACAGGAAAATTTCTCTGGGCTCTGGGAATAGTACGAGTCACGACTTGCAATATGAGCTGAGCATACGTTGAGGCCCTGGGGCAATGCATGTAGACTCGAGACACGGTCTAAGTGAACGTTGATATCAGTGTCCTTGGGGGGTGGAGGCATCGCTTGATCAAAGTCCGTGACGTCCGTCCGGCAAGTTGCAGACTCGGAATCAAACATATGTTATCTAGCAAATATTTCTATTGGGTCTCGCTGAAGTCCGAGGGGGCAATAACACGGCAGCCGTGCATCAATGTGCACGGTGGGGTGATTCAGAGTGACTTGGGGGCTGTTGGGACGTCTACGGAGCTGTTGATTGCCAGGAACCATCCGGAACGGAAGAGTTGGGGCATATGCCTAGCAATGATGCTGCTGCCATAAGTACGGTGCTTCCAAGTGGTTCCAGCACAGACAAATACGGACACGATCAACACCGGAGGGTACCAACACTGATCCGTTGGCGGTGGCTATATCCGGACTTGAACTGGATGCTGTGTGGGTGCTTGACCCTGGTCCCTGGTGATACTGCTTCCGTCGAACGCCCACTTAACGCATTGTAATGTCGAACCAACAAGTATCATTTGTTGGCATCCTCTCCGTTTCGAGTAGTGCCGCTTAAACGAACACCCATGCCTGAATCAAGGCAAGAAGTTGCTACAGATTCGTGAACTTCAATTAATCTATCTCCCTGAATCCTCGACGGTACTTGTCCCCGGCATCAAAACGAAGGCTAGAGAATGGTGTGCCATGAGCTCCATTCGCAGTTATGAAAATCAGGAAATGGGGTCCGCGACTCACAAGCTGCATGGAAGTCTCGCCGTGTTCATTCCAAGCCAGCTGGGTATATATGGTGGCGCATTAACCAGCATTAAGGCCGTACTCACACGGCCTGGTGAATAACTGAAGGGTCTATATTAGTACCTCACCCATCGTCCACATGTACAAGGCCTCGGGATAGACTGAACCGTGCCTGACGGACCGCAGTTGGACAGCACTTTATGTTGACGACTCACCAACTCACAAGGTACACCTAAACGTGGCTCACTACGGATATAAACGACCACTTCCTCCCGAACGGGGATGCCAAATAAAGAGGGGCTTACACGGCGCACCGACAGCAATCGATAATCAACCGCAGCGGTAGCCTCGACTCTTGATATTAAGGATGCGCCCATGGCCGCCGCGAGCGTGAAAACTGGACAATAAAAAAGCGGATGCTGTACGTGAGAGCGCGATTCGTTTCACAGCACAGAAGAAAACCTACCAAACGCGCTTGCGCTCCCTCCCGCCTTCAGCCTGGATATTCCCGGGGTCCGCCCGTCCGTTGTAAGCGTTACCGTAATCATTTATCCATGGGCGTACAAGCCACATGTGGATAGGACCGGTGTTCTGCCTGAATCGATTGTTTAGATATTATTTTCAATAACTCATACCCCATGCGGTATTCGACCGACGCCATCATGGGCTCAGAATAGGTATTCACTTACTATTGGCCGCGAGATCACCCATACAACGAGATATATATCGTGTAGCTGTTCGACACCATCGACATCGTCAGGATCGCTGCGTTTACGACGGTCACGGACGCGTTTTGGTCAGCCATCCGGCGCAAGGTCGTCGCACGCTAGAAGCCCATACGAAATGCACGCTAACAAATAAGTAAGTATGATGGAAAAACTCATGATCCCCTTGCAGACACGACACGACACCTCTCAAACCCAAATGATACGCACTTAAGCATTGGGAGATGCCCCACCCATCTCTGGAGGCAAGCTCCGTGCTTGGCTGAAGCTTGATGATCCTCGGGAAGGGCGAGTCCGAATCATTGATTTCGTTGCTAACGTTCCAGGTCCAGTTTCAATCAAACCCAAGCACATACGAGTCATGGCGCGTTCACAGTGCTCTATTGTTCTGACATACGGCATTAGGGATGATGTTGATCATCTAGATGCTCCACGCGTCGCGGGAAGGTACGACCAGAGATGGAAGCTATTATGCAATTTGTAGAGTATGGGTGTGCGACGAACTAGACCTTCAGGACATTGCTGGGAAGGACACAGTCAGCCTCATACTAGTTCGTAGCTGATAAATCCACTTACCTCCAAGCGATGATGAAGCTGTAATCACTTGAATAGGCATAGGATGACGAGTAGGAGAACACAGTTACTATGATATCTCGAGGGATACGCCTACGCGTCCAGAACACTTCCAGATGGATCAGACGATGCACCATACCACAGCAGAAACTCTGTCCAACCACCGAGTGGTAAGCGTCGCATTAGTCAACCCGCCCTCCAACGAGTGATACATACTCATAAAATGTCCTATAAATAAACCCAACCGAGACGCCCAAATCCCTCACAGCTCGTCGCCGGGAGTATCGCGTCCCGCCAGCTTGTCGTCGTATTTGCGTAGTAACAACCTCTCCACCCAGCCGCCTTTCGGAAACTCCTTCTCCCACTGGTTATGCAGATGGACACCAAACACCTTTCCCAAGACTCTATCCAACCCCCCACCTTGCTCAACGCCGAGACCCATAGTCCACTGCCCCTTCGAGTTATCCTGTGTGAATGGATCCGGTAGTCGATTGTCTAAACGACACGAGCGCCCATCGCTGAAGCAGAATGGTAGGACTTGGAACGGCGGGATGGATGACGCGACTAGACGGCGCCAGAGTTTGTGATAGAGGAGCGAGCCCCAATCCGTCGATCCTGAACGCGGCGGCGTGGAAATGTTCATGATGTGGAATGCTTCGCACAAGTAAGGCGAATGTTGTCGGAAACGCATTAGTGCGCCGTTGAAAGGTTGGTACTTTTTGTCTGAAGGAATGGTTAGGTATGAGTGCCAGCATGAACTGCGGGACGCACCATAGCAGTCCCACTGTGTGACGAACTCATGTTCCAGTAATGGCTCGAGGTCTCTCGTTAATAGCGAATCCATATCTATCCAAACTCCCCCGAAATTCCAGAGCAACAGCAGTCGAATGAGATCGCCGTCCACCCACGCTTTGGCATCTTTCCGGCCCAGCAGCGGGCTATCTTGCAGCTCGGTACCTTGTGCGAGCGTTGGAATGTTCACAACGTCAAGCTTGAACGAGTCGGGGTACCGGCGGAGATACTTCTGTAAGATTTCATTCGAAGACAAATCGCCGTTCGACCACAGGATCAGCCGGGTCGTGCTAATGTCTTGCGTCGCGAAGTACGATTTTAGCATCCATTCCTGCCGGGGCCCGAAGGGGGCGAGATCCACGCGCCAATAGGTGTGGTACTGAACGCGGTCTTCTGGGGGGATCCGTCTCGGTGTTTCCTGAACCGTGTCCTTTTTTATCGTACCGGCAAAGTCATAACAGTCCATTCCCATCCTCAGCGGCATACCCGCTTGCACCGAGGTCGTCCGCTTCCCATACACCCCGTCGCTGAGATTATACTTCGGGCTCACTCTATCGGGGTCGAAGCACCCAGCCAGCGGCGCCAGCTGCTCGATTTCCTGTTTGATCCACTTCCGTTCGTAGAACGCCAGCTCGATATGCGGCTCGTATACGAAAAGCCCGAACAGGATGAGTAATATAGCAGCCGGGACCGCGAATTTCAGGAAAAGGAATATTGATCTTGGGCGACAGAAGACGTGGGGTTTCGGGTGGTTGTCGTGTCTAGACCTAAGGGATGGACGAGGTGAGGGCGGGGGTGTAAAGGTAACACCGGGATGGTGAGATGAGGAACGTTGTCGAGCAACGGACGCGTACATTGGTAGTCGTTCATATCCTCCGCGCGACGACATGGTGGCCTTCGCTGATGTAATACCAAATTTCTGGTAACGATATGGACAATCCGCGGGCTAATTTCACTCCTGAACGCTCACCGACGGCCACTCGCCCGTTCTGAGGGTGACTGCTGGACAGTGGAGAGTGAAGTACTGGCAGTGGTCGACACGGACTCACGGTGCTTGCCGTCGCCTCGAGACCATCAGTCATGTGATCAGGCGCGATTTCTTTGACAGACATAGAGAGGCTAGTGAGAAAGGACAAAATATATGATAAAATAGATTCAGGCGGATAAGAAACCGCTACAATACTCGAGAGACAATTTGCTTCCGAAGCGTCGTTCTACAGTACTGTGTAGACTGTAAGAGACCCCTTAAAAGCTAGTCACTAGGGAGGGGCACTCAGAGATATACAGCAAAGTCCACTGTTCAGTGTTCACCGACTTATCATATCCAGACTCCTAATGCTAGTATACCATATACTACCGTTCGGGATTGGTGCTAGATGTTGGCTACGAGTTTGTCGGGCCTTGATTATCCCTTGTCACAAGCGTACGACCCCCGATAAGCACCTGGGCGTGTGGAGTAGATGTAGATGCTTTTGCTAGGTTCACGGCACGATCCGCCTGCTCACCGTATATTTGTGCAGCAGCGAAGCACGCACGTTGCATGAGGCAACTTGCATGAGGACGACGCGCGGTCGCTCCAACTACTTTGCCCAAATGAACGTACAATGGAGCGGTTTGCACGGCCTTGTCGCTCAAACTCGAGAGGTGACGACAAGGTCAGTAGCTACAGGCAATAGTTGACCGTCGTGTTGCTAAAATGGAGGGCTGGGCAGTGCCGTCGACCCAAATCGTGGTATAGAAGCTTTGAATTGTGTTTTATTATTAGTATGGGCGTGTATACCAGACGTCATGTGTTGTATGTAACGGGTGGCTTTGTGTGATGGTCCAATGGTCGATGATGCGGAAAGAACGAGAAAAGGGATATGAACACTACTATACAGGGATATTTGGAGGCAAGGCAAGGGTACGCACTGCAGAAATTAACGTAGCTGGGATATATGTACATATCGCCGCACCGGAGGGGGGACGACGAATGAAAAGAGGCGGGTAAGGAGAGTGTATGTGTGTGCAACCCGTCGTCGTACCGGAGCTCCAAAAACGAGAGATTCGAGAACCGAGTAGGAGATGTCGGAGTGTCGCGATGCGGTGCTTGGTGGCTGAGCGAGGGGCGATTGAGGCCTTGAATGAAGTTTGCTTATGTGCAGGGGTCGGAAGTCGTGGAGGGGGTGAGGTACCAAGACTGGGCTAGTGGGGTATTCGGGTACCAAACTAAGCCACCTCCGCCAAATTTCAGGGCGCGCGAATCTTGGAAGAGGTAAGGATATGTGGGTACGACGGTTGTCGTTCGAATCGACATTATATGATACAAAAAAGTGGGGGCATGTACATTGAATTCCTGATCAGAAAGGCGCAGAGGGAAGGGGTCGGACTAGGCGCAACGGCGACGTATGGCGGGAACGGGGTAGGCGGAGGTTGTAAGGGAGCTAATCGTTGCGTTTGATGATGGTCATCAACCCCGGTACGCCCTTGGCGTTGTCGAGCGCGACGGGTTTGTGGGGGTCTGGAATCGTGGAGCGTGTTGCGCTTGCTTGGTACCGAATCTACAGTATACTCAGTAAATACAGCAATTGTGGTTAACAGCGATGCGAAAAGGCGTACATTGACCTTGTACGTCCCATTCGAACGGTTTTTGCAGATTGTGCACTTCCACCTACGAAGTGACCAGGTCAATACCCAAACTCAAAGTCGGCCCCTGCGCACAGAAGAGGGGGCAACGTACGATTCATCGACGAGCACGTTGGCACCCAAAGTCTCCGCCCGCTCCATCAACGCCGACCTCGTTGCCCGAAGCAAAACCAGGATATTCACGCCGCCAATGCAAGTGTACACGTCCGTTTGCGTCATCGGCAGCTTCCTCGACAGCGTCGCGTTTTCTCCGGAGAGCGACGGATCCGTGACGGGCTCCAGCCCGGAGCAAGACTCGATGTGATTCGGCTTTCCTTGGGCGTTTACTTTCGCCTGCGAGGAAGCTCGGCGCATTTTGACGAACATGGAAGCTACGCCGGGGAATGTGAGATGCATGGTCGACGGGGCTGAAGATGCGGGGGCGGTGTTGCGGTGAATGAGTGAAGAGTCTGAAGCGACAACTGTAGGCGATTCGGAAGAAAGTCTCATGCTATGGCGGGAGATTGGGGGTGCGTAAGAAAGTACCAGAGCGAGAAGGCAGAGTTTCGATTTGAGAAACGTGTCCAGTCCAGAAAAGGGGCGCGGAGTTTATATCCTTTTTGTGTCGTGGAGTTGCGTCAGTTGGGGCCAACTCATCCTCGACGGGAGCGAATAGTATAATATCACATTGGGGGTTTGGAGAGGAGGAGCAGGCAACTTAAAGTACTATTTGAAGCCCATGTGTATCGCTATATACATCATACTGAGCATAAGGAACAGACGCCCGTGTGTGTACACATGGCTCGCTCCGAAGTTGTTCCTGCATGGTTTCACAACTAATTCACAGAAAACAGTAATACAGTCGTTTGCATAATGTTATGAGGACAGGTATAGGAATAGAAAAGCAACATTAAACTAATGTTGGAAAAACCCTAGGTCCAATTTAAGTACCTTGTAAGGGTCTTGCAATGTAGGCATCGCTGGAGAAGACTGCATTACAATTCCATGATACATAACAAGCCCTCACTAAAGGCACCAGCCGCATCAACCAAGGATGCAAACGTACGGAACAGCAGTAGTATCAAGAATAGACCAGACAGTGGGAGGATAATCACGGAGAGCATCTATGATAGTGTCGTAAACCATAAATTAGTTGCTAGAAACATTAAGAAAAAACATATACGACGAATACGGTGAGTGGATTACGAAGAAGGTTCTCCCTCATCCTCAACCTCTTCCACCATTACTCGTCTACTTTTGGGTTTTGAGTCGTCCGAGTCTACCTCGACGATCGACGCGCCGGCGCCGTTTGTTGATATGTCCTTTGCCTTTCCTTTTCCCTTGTCTACTTTCTCCTTCTTCTCGCTCTTCTTCTTCTTGCCCTTCTGCTTCGGCATGTCCCACTCGTACAGCGGTATGAAGGAGTCGACCTAAATGCCTGTAGTTGAGTAGATGCTCCGTGAAACACAAATACGGACTTACGAATCCGACATCGGCGAATAGTTGGGGGAATATCCAGATTCCGGGAGATGCGACAACGATGGTGATGATGTAGAAAATGAGGCGGACGATGGCGATGGCGAAGAACAGCGCGAGGAAACCGAGCATCGCCATGCTCAGATACCACACGCCGAGGCGCATGGTTGGCGGCCATAGCGGGAACATGACACCGGCGAAGAGCAGAGCAACCATGCCGATGCCGCCGGCGTACGTCGTCCATTGTGAGCCTTCGTAGAACCACGCGTAGTATTCGTCCGGGACGAACATCTGCTCCTGGATGATTTGTAGGTGTCTGGGTGACGAGGACGACGAGCCCGATGGGTCACCCCGGGCGACTCGTAGATAGAACGCGAAGGCATTGACGGCGTGCAACACCGTCCGCGCCTCGTCTTCGTTGGTAACCTTAGGGACGCCTTTCAGCTTCTGGTATTCCGGCGACAACAGGGCCTTCACGGCGGATTTTCCTGACGACACAGCAAGTTACGCCGCACATTCTGCGAAACACCCGCTCGGCGTACCTTTGAAGTAGTCCAGCCGCTTCCCGTTCATCGCTCCGACCCGCACTTTGACCCCGGCGCCCCCACTGCGCAGGAATTGCGCGACCTTTTTTATCTCTGGTGGTGATTTGGCCTGTTGCTCCATGTCTGAGGACGAGCTGGGCTTTTCGGCGATGTCTACGGGCTTGAGAATGCGGTCAATCATAGTATTTTGCAGCGATTTCGACATGGTGGAGGCTTACCTTGGTTGCGGCGAGGTTGGGCTGCTTTTAGAGAGGTCGCCAGTGACGGGAGGTATTGTACGAGGTGGCGGGAGGAAGGAACTGCTGGCGCCACGTTGGCAGACAGACTCAAGAATCCGACCGAGTCGAGACTCGCCCGACTGGGTGATCGCCTGATAATATGTGGCGACTCTCGAGCCTCAAACATGTTTACACGACGTTTGTTTTAGGATCATAGAGGCCCTCAATCACATCTTGCAAGAAATAGCAACACAGCACAGCCAATATTGTTGCGCGACCACACAGTCCAGCATTCAGCGAGGGGGATTATATAGCATTGGATCCTACATAATACCATGAGTGCGAGGAGGATGTGAGGGTAGAGGATGGGCGGGATGAAGTAGACATAAATTGCATGCAAGGTCATAACATAACATATTGAGCAATCAGCGAAGCGAGAAGCGTGGAGCGGCGATGAATTGACCAACAAAAACCAAGGGAGAAAGAATAAAATGCAGCGTGCATAGAACACTGGAACACCAGGGGGAAGCGAAAGAAGGTGATAAGTAAAGCACAACAAACTCAATGGCACAGGGACTTCCAAGTGGACGACGACGCTCGGCGAGGAAATTACTTTCCGCCAGCTGGCGCACCGCGACCCCGTATGCTTCCTCTGCCTCTGTATCCACCACGGTCACCCCGGTTCTCGTATCCCCCACCGTATCCACCACGATCGCCATTACCCATACCACCTCCGCGGCCTCGCGACACTGGCCTGTCACCCCGCTCCTTCTTGGTCTCTACGTTGATCCTTACAGGGCTGTCAGTACCAACATCAATCCTGATGCCTCCTTCACCACCCTGGCTATACGGAAGCGAAGCCAGGATAGCCTTGCGCGCAGAGTCCACCGACTGAAACTCAATGAAGGCGCAGGCTTTGCTGTGGACAACCTCGACCTCCTTGATCGGCCCGAAGCGCGTGGTCAGAACCTGGGAGAGCGTAGCCTGGGAGACAAGGTCGATCACACCCTAAGCACGAGAGGTTAATGCACTTGGAGATGACATGGGCAAGTAATAAACGTACTTTCACGAAGCATGACGGAGTGGTGATCGACGCAAGGATACTCGTGGGGTCTCCTTTAGGGCCGCGTTGGTATTGATGAGGTGGACCGCCGCGCGACGGAGTGACTGGTGACTGAGCACCGTTCGCAGGACCAGGACTCGGTGTAGCAGTGGGCGCCAGAACCTCAGTCGTTCCACGGACCTCTTGAGCCACGGCGGAACCCCATTTCTTCGAGTTCGCTGCAGCTAAATTGGCCCAAGTCTTCGGTTGAGGTGGTGCAGGAGCGGGTGTGGGGGCCGGAGGTTGTTGCTGGGGAGGCGGAGCGCGCGAGGGAGGTGCGGGCGATGGGGGTGCTTGCGCTGGTGGGGGAGCGACAGTTGGTGGTGCTGGCGACGGTACTTCGACAACAGGTGGTTCGGGCTGAGCTGGTGGAGGAGTGGGGGATTTCTCGACGACGGCAGGTGCTGGCGTTGGCTCTGGGTGGTGCTCAGAGACGCCATTCACTTTTGGAGGAACGACTTCTGCCGGGACGGGAGCGGGAGATGGAGCAGGCGAAGGAGAAGCTTCTTCCACTGGTGCAGGAGCAGGAGGAGCTGGTGAAGGCTCCCGGATCTCCTCAGGTTTCGGCTCATCAGCATAAGAAGCATTGACCGCCGACCACGTTGGCTCTGCGACATCTGTAGGTGCCGCTGCGGGGAGCTGTACCACGGGCTGTTCTTCCTGCTGAGCAGCGGGCTCGGAGGTTGGAACCGACGAGGGAGCTGAGGCAGGCGTCGCCTCACCCGGGGCCGCATCGTCTGAGTCTTCCACGGTATCTTCCTTGAGGAAACGGAAGATATCGTTCAAGACGAAGTAACCGTTGGGCTGCTCCGCCAAGAAGAACGTCTGGACGAATTTGCGCCAGGGCTCACCACGGTTGGACATCTCACCGATGACTTGGATGATAATACCGCCATTAGCTGATGCCTGGGCGTCAACCGAATGGATGAAGACTTTGCAGTCTTGGAATCCAATCGAGGTGATCTTGTTATGGATTTCCTGCCAAGAACGTCAGAAACGGAAAGCGGTAGAAGAAATCGCTAAAGCGAATGTACCTGTTGACCGAAACACGGCTTCCCATCCTCGCCCTCTGTACCATGAATGAAAGTGGAGGTTTTAGTGTAAAAACAGTGCAAACGATTGGGCTGTTCGTTGACAAAGGTATAGTATTGAGGAACAAACTGCCAGCCGACTTCAGAAGGAACGACGTTCTGGTGGATGCCGGTAGCTGGATTCGTCATCTACATGGCCATAAGATTTCTGCGTCTCTGGAATACGATTTGGGCGACGACTCACGATGAAATGGTACTTTTGGGAGGAAAAAAAGAATCTAGTGAAGAGCTAGAGGATACAGTGGAAGGTAACGGATGTTGGCGCACAGAGCAAGTCGTCAAGAAGCCAAAAAATATTTTGCCACACAACAACCACAGCTTGGACACGCCGGTACCTCCGTTTCCCACGCGCACATGGCGCACTTACGTCTCGGACCATCTCTTAGACCCTGGAGAATTGTAAGTCATCCGTGATGTTGTTGTACGTCTCTGCTGCACAAAATTCGTACACTATGTACTCCTCAAACAAGATACGCGCTATCAACCCACGAGGCCCAGTCACTGCCCACAGCGGTCGCAATCGTGTACCCATTAGCCTGACTCTGCGACAGCACAGTTGCAAAGCTCGGTCGCTGGGCATTCGCGACGCCTGAACCGGTCGTGTTGTATTCAGCAAAGAGAATGTCGCTCGTGCGTTCATCACCCGTGTTCCATACGGACCAGATGGCAGGGTTCAGTGGAAGGGTGACAACATTATTCGTATAGATGACTCTGTGCAGAGGTAAGCGATGAGAATGACAAATGAAGGTGAGCATTGACATACTTGGCAAAGGCACCCCAAGGTCGGCCAAGGTAGACATTTCCAGCCGTGTTAGAAGCAGCGTTGGGAGCAAGGATGATTTTGTTGGCATTCAAGACGTCTTATTTATATGTCAGCAACGGCGTAAGTTTCGGGGCAAACCTCAGAGCTCACATATAGCGGCGTTGTCAGCCTCGCGTCCAGAGGCAGTGATCCAGCCTTTGCTGGAGACCTATGTATGAATGTAGGTTAGTGGGACGAATGAGCAAGTCTGAAAGGTTATGAGGCCTACAGCAATGGTATTTCCGCCGAAGTAGGCTTGACCTAGAGTCGGGATAAACTGTCATGAGAAACACAAAATAGGTCATCCGAGCAGCTAACAACTGACCAAGACGGCCGAATATGAAGTCAACAGCGCCCTACAAGAATCATTCAGCATGGTTTACTCGAATCGAGACCCGGACGATGGTACCTCAATATATCCCTTCAAGTACACCTGCGTTCCTTGGTTAGAATACCTATCCTTCTCGTGAGACATTCGACCCAAACCCGTTGAAAAAGCAGACGCACAACGTGTCCTGGAACCCATAGAAGCCGCACGCATATAGCCCGGCTCTAGAGCCATAGTTGCTGATGGCAATAGCTTGCGAACCCTGGCCGAAGCTGTTCTTGACGTTCACGTTGTACATCTTGAAGTCGTTCTTGTGAATGCGGATTGTGCCGCTGGCATCATTTGAGCCTGCCGTGCTGGCAGGAACACCTGCTGTGATAGTCACGACATTCGCGGTATACGAGTTTGTGTCCGTCGTGTAGCCATAGATCTAGGAGATGTCCTTCGTTAGCACATAAAAATCATCAAACACTGGAGGTGGAGACTGTACGGTGAGTGGACCCGGGCGCGTAATAGATGTCACTTGTCCAGAGTAAGTACCCGGGAAAATGAAGATAGACCGCGCAGAGCTATCGTTCGGCAGAGAGGCCAGCGCCGCGTTGATTGTACTGAACTCCCCAGATGTTGTGGTTCCTGCACGGACGATGATGGCACCCGATGGGGGAGAAGTGCGCGAGGCCGCCAGAACAAAGTCACCGAAAGCTAGAACGCAGGAGACAGCAATCAAGAAGAAAGCTTTTACCATGATTAGAAATGACAAGAGGGTGGTAGAGCATCTTGTCCAAAAGTTCTGGCATTTTATATGGTATCCAGCGGCGATATAGGTCACAAGGTACGCAGGTCGTTTCACCGACGATGCAGGTCATCGGCAGAGACGATATTTCGTTAGTGGAGTGCCGGGCCGCTGCATCTTTGCGGATCGCTCGCGTCCGTAGTTGGCTCGTTTAGCCGAGAACATGAGATGCACTTTGAACACCCGAGTTTTTGCTGGGATGGCATCAAGTCCCAGGAATGCCAACGAATAAATACTCGTCGCTGTTTCTGCGCTCGCCATATAATCGGGCTCATGGTTGAGAGTGGAGATTTAGATTCTATTCGTGTCATGGGAACAGACTATAAGAATAGAAGTGGTTCCCGTTTGGCCACATTCTCAGACGTCCTCCGATCAGCCTGCTACAACTATAACCGGGATATTAAAGCATGCATTCCCTCTAATAAGGAGCCGCAGCCGCTTGACACTATTGAAAAGCTGTTAAGATACATGTCGAAAGGAAGGGAAATGATGACACGTACAGCCTTCAGTTGCTCGAGATACCATGTGCAAGAAGGAAGGTCAGCTTTGTCGAGGCACTTTGTGAACTCTAAAAATTCTATTAACAGAAACCGACGTATGAGCCAAAAAGCTGTCGCACCTTTAGCCTGGATCTCGCAAGTCGGCGCCATCTGTTGTTGCTGAGTAGGTACAGCTTGTTCTGCTGGCGCTGCTGCGTGGCTGCTACCACCGAAAAGCATGTTCGAGAGGCCATGGCCAATGGTTGAACCGATAGCTACCGAACCTGCCGTAGCAGCCATTTGGGCAATCATTCCGGGTTGCTGAGGTTGAGCGGTGGGTGCTGCTGCAGGGGGTGCTGGGGCATGGTGAGCTTGCGCTGGAGCGTGTCCGGCCGGGGCAGCAGCAGTGTGAGCACTGCGAGACTGTGGTGGGGGTGCGGCGGCACGGGGAGCTGCAGAACGACCTCGGGAAGAGCGCTGTACGTCGGGTTAGGCCTTCTCTTCAGCAGGACATGCAGGACGCAAATTTAACTTACAGCCATAATATAGATTATTGATAAGTAAGGATGAAGGTGGTAGATGGAAGAAAGAAAGAGACCTCAAGAATATTCGTGAACTTGGTCCAAAGAAGACGCGTGGACGATGCCGGTCAAATTATATTCCCACGATCACGCTATTCAATCAGAATGCGCGAATTTGAAGCCTGCTCCGACGCGACCTGGACATGCTACCTTCATACCTCTCAGCGACATGCCGCCGCTCCCCGTCGCTGTTCCGCACATTCGCGACCGCCACTAAAGAGAAACAGCCTCACTCTCAGGCAAAAACGCAAGTCAAAGTACGGCCGACAGCTTCAGCATCCCAAACCACCACAAAACCCAAGGTCCCTTCCGCTGTCAAGGGCAGGGTCTCGTCTGAGCATGCTGCAAAGCACCCTTCACAGCCCGCATCACAAGTGCACTCGCATCCTGAGTCAACAAAACCCCATGCGAAGGCAGCGCCGTCGGTAGTCACCTCGGGGAAGGAAGCGGAGAAAGAGAAGTCGGAGGAAGAGGTCCTGCGGGAACAGATGGCCCAGATTGACCAGATGCTGGCGATGGAAAAGCTGTTTCCGACGACAGACCCGTGGGCGCAGAGGGTAGACACGCTAGGTTGGTCGTATGTGTTCACAGGATATTCTAACAATTTACCATTCCACGGTGTAGATGTCGAGCTGCCTTACGTTGTCAACCCTTTTAAACCCTCAGAATACCCTTCATGGCGAAGTATGTTTGAACAATTCTCGCAAAACCGACAACATTCATTGAAGAACGCGACCAGGTAACACACGTTTCTTCATTTCCCCGATATACGATTCTCATCAGTATCCCCAGTATGTGGTCGCTGGCTGGCGCAAATGCGTTTCCAGGAGTTGATCTGTCTGGTGCAAAATTCCGGCATAAGCTCTTCAAATGGCCGTGGCATGTCTTCCAATGTCGATCCACTAAACCAAATGCTTGGGTCGCACCTTTTCGCGCCGGCGCCCTCGAGTCTTACATCGAACTAAATAACGCTCTTGCCGCGTAAGGCTCATTCACGCTTATCTACACTACTGTACCGGAATTGACGGGTTTTCCAGCAACGACGTCAAACGTATCAAAACATACGCCATCGACTCGTATCAAGATACCCAGCTGAAGCTACTGAAGAAGCGAAGCCAAGAATACCTTTATAAATGGCGCTTCCACGGTGAACTCTCCCCCACACGGATCCTGTCGATTCGCGCAATGGAGGGGTACCTCTCGCCCGAGGAGCCGCGCTTTGGCAACCGTTTCATGGCTCACATACTTGTTAAGTTTGACACCGAGCAGGTTCGTAGTTCGAGCTTCGTCTCGTACTCCACGCATAGATTTACGCCTTCAACAGAGTCTGGAAATATACGACCGCAAAGGCCACCCTCTGCATGCCCACAAACCAGAAGATGATCACGGCAAGAAGACCTGGTTGAATGTTCCTGCCGAAAAGCGACGAGTGATAGAGTACCTTGTTTTGGAAAAGCGGATGTGGTATGACGGTCCGTGGACGTTTAGAGACCAGCTATGGGAGAAGGCAGGAAAGGCTCGCGTCGCTGCGTAGCAAATCGACAAGCTTATTTAGTGGAGTGCTATATCCCCTTGCTTGTCAATTCACACACTTCACACCCACCTAGTTCTTGAGAATTACTCGCGGTTTCCTATTTTCGGGCCTGTCGATATCAGAAGGTCAACTGGCAAGCAATCTAGCTCCTTGTCATTCATCGCAATCAGGAGCTGCGACTCGACAAGGCCTCAATGGTCTAGAGGTCGTGCTGAACAGACTGTTTTCGGTGCCTGTGTCTCAGTCCAAGACGCGACCTATAACATGTGGCTATAGGTCAACTGGTAGTCGTGAATTTTGTGGGCTCAATCAGATGGTAGTACAAAGGCTATAAAACCAGTTTGGGTGTAGCCTGAGCAGTTTCACAACTCACATCACTCAACCTTACGTCCACACTCGACTTTCTCAGAATGAAGTTCTTCTCCGCTGCTTTCTTGACCTTCGTCGCCGTCAGCGTCGCAGCCATGCCATCGCAGACTTCGACCGGTGACGACATTGAGGAACCAGTCAAGCTCGGATTGGGCGCACCATGTAAGGGGTACTTCTTTCTTCGCGGAGGTACTACTTTTCTGACCGATCCATCAATCAGGCATTCGCTCCAAGGTATGAACTGCTCGCTACATTATCTGTGGCAGAGGGCATCTGACCAACCTCGCCGTTTACAGCACCTCTGTAAGAACCTTCGTCTAGTAATCACCTGGTCTCTCACTAATAACGTATAGGCCTAGAGCACCTCCACTGCTGCTACTCTCATGCGAACCCCGACGAGGAGAAGGAATACGGAAAGTAAGTGCCTACGAGCTCTTTATACTCTACCTCTGCACGAGGTTGACCGCCTATGGACGTAGATGTCTCCCCCTTAACCGCGCCTGCATTGCTTGAAGCTGCCGCCACTCTGCAAGAGTAAACCATCGGCATCGTATATATCCTAGGCAGACTTTCTAATTGCAAGCGTACCTCGCATACATTCTCTCTAAAAGGGGTCCCAGGCCCGGACAAATAAAGACAAAATCAGAGAGTGTAGCGTCGGACGGCTGGCCTCCGTCGCGTCCAGATTTTCTCCTTATTTCCTGTGATTACGCGCCGATTGGATGCACCTTCATTGTGGCTTCCATTTCATGCCAAAATGAGCGCATTTCCACTGAAATCGGTAGGACACTGTTTTGTTAGATGGGATCTCTTAGTACTGCCCGTACTTTGGTATGGATCGTGTCGGTGCTCCTAGTACTGCTCAGATAAGTTTTTCTACAGCTATAATCATTCCCTTCTCTCCACCGTGCCCCCCCTCGGCCGCCCCATCCCCGAGCAACTGTTATCGACTGGTATTTGCATGGAATGTGCACACGTCGTCTCGAGTATTCCTCGGGATTCTCCTCGTGGAATATGTATGCTTTACTGGTCCAACTCTGTCATCCCACAATAATAACATCTAATAAATGTACTAGCACTTCGAAGCGAGCTACCGCCGGCGCATCCTGCGGATCCATACTTCATTCAATCTTGGTTGAATGTCGGAGGAATCAGTAGTATAAGCTTCAAAATAAGTTTAGGCACAATCAGATCACTGAGGCACTTCCATGTCGAGTACGTTAGCTTGTTCTCGAGTCTCGAGCGGTAAGGAGTGCGTCGGTGGTACTACAGGTCGCTTTGATCCCCTATCACTTCACTGCCTTACGAAGTAGCGCTGGAGCGGCATAGCCTCTCCACTATCTTCGCAGATAAATACCTTGAAGTCCATTAACGTCCCGTGTACACGACGACGAGATCTCCCATTGTTGCTGAAGCAGCCGTATTCCAAATTCCACCCTCGAATTCCATCCGATCGACTGAATTGAAGCCTCGCTTCTTGCTTTCTGCCACTATCGATCACTTTGACATAACATCGACACATGCCAAGAAATAACACTTTAATCCTCCTCCTCGTGGTATTCATATTAGCCTTTTGCCTTACTGGCAATGGCGTATATGCCTTCGGGGCGGGGAATATCCCTTCGTAAGTCACCACCCGAAATGATTACAGGAACCGCCTAACGATGGGTGGCGCAGTTTCGCGTATATGGAAGGCAGGGCATTTCGTCACGGTGATATCGTGCGTGTGTGATTTCCTCGTGCTTTGTGCATATCTGAGGCGGTAGTGTGCCTTGACAGGAAGATATTCTATCCGATCTTGTAAAGAAGGGAGGTGGAGGTTTCGCGTTAGGAGCGTTAATAGGCAAAGGGGGATCCAAGTTCAGTGGTTTGGATGTTAAACGGGTCTACTTTGGGTGCGTTGCACCTTTCAGATGCTGATGTTGAAGCGCATTTACATATTGCTTGGGATGTAGTAATTGGCTTCGAGATTACAGTCAAGTAATGTCGTCTTGATTTATGATCTTGAAGTTTGGCTCACAATGTCCAATAGGCCGTGGATATTGCTGGCTTGTCGAAGTTGCAGCTCCAGGTAATATCCACTCTTGCTGGACATGCATGGAGCATTCAAGTATGTTGACTCACCCCTAGACAATCATCAATCTGTGCATGGCTCTCGGTTTCATGGTATGCTGCATTGTCGTTCGTACTTAGGCACAGAAATATAACCTTCTTACAGGCCCACGGCTACGCGACTGGCGAATTCGAGGTCACTGCCGAACGCCTTGGATGCTACCTCCCAGTGAGCCCGTTTTGATTCCATTCACCCTAGACGTATACATATTATATGCGTAGACTGAACACATTGACAACCCAAAAGGCTACGGTGATGGCCAAGACGCTCGACAAATTCACCCGGGACTTCGTGGTCCAGTCGACGTACGTCCCCTCTCTCTGCCCTGACGCATATTTCCAACCCAAACTCCTAGCCTATGGAACTGGAAATCGATCCCCGCACAGGCATGAAGAACTATATCGCAAACGGTCAGCATTCCATTCGCTGCCTTCGTACGGATATATTAACCGCCTTCATCTCTAGAAAATGGTCGTTGGGACACGTCGAAAGCATTGGTGAGGCGTACACTCGAAAAGTGTATTCATCTTGGAAGGCAGTATCGATCTCAAGGAAGGAAAGACGATGAATACGAAGCTTTTAGGTTGTTGGGTACAGCTGTATGCCTCCTCTCATTCTGTTAGGGCCGTTGGCTCACCGTACGACTCTAGCTCCATACATTGGAGGACTTTTCAGCACATTCGAACTTCTGCGAGCTCGCGCTTGTTAGCATGGGCCACCACCAGGTGTTCACCCATGTCGGCGACCAAGTACGTGTACAAGCATCCAATGGTAAATGGGTCGCTCCTCTCGTCACTGGCACCTTCGGCTCCAGCGATTTCATCCACTCGTTGTTAGGAGAGGCTACCGATCATCTTGTACGTACCAACCTCACTCAGCCCGCCCTTGCCAGATGTCTCAACGGTCAGTTGACCACCCTTCTCATTATAGAGCGAAGCCTCCGTATCAGATCTCAACCGACAACTCGACACAGCCCGCTCCAAGTCGATGTCTACCCGCGGACCTGGCGGCAGTGCCAACCCCGCAGACTCTCTTCGCAATCTCCTCTTCTCCCTTCCAGGGGGTACTGGAGGGGATATGAGCAGAGACATGGAAGGCATCGAGCGAATTCGGGCCGGTTCTGCGCCAGGTGGAGGGGGTAAGAGGCCGGAGGATATGAGCCCGCAAGAGTTGCATGCGGTGCTGTGGCAGGTGCTGACGTTCAGAGATGGTGTGGTGAAGAATATATCGAATACGATCGGTGAGCCGACCTTTCGATTGGCCTTTTCGTACCTCTGCTGAGGCGGGAATCCATCGACGTCTGATGATCTGTGTCTGTAGAGAAAATCCCGGGGCTGGGACCCCTCATCGAGAAGTTGATGGATTCTATCTCTGGTGAGTTACGTTCTTCCATTGTCAATCAAGATCATTTACAACCTCTTCCGACAGTCTTCGTATTCACCACGTTGGAAGTAAGTAAAACTATGTTACCGCACCTGAAGGGCTGTGCTTAACCCCGCTTCTTTTAATAGCCTTTCTTGAAGCCAATCATAAAATCCGCAAGCAGTGGTTTGACCGCAGCCTCTAGTGAAGTAATTGATAACCATGATCAATATGAGGTATGCACTCATTCCCTGTTCCTCACTCCTTTACTATAATCTAAATTCGTTCTAGGTATTCAACGATCCTCGTGCTGTACGTTTTGGGAAACCTAAATGCTTATGCTGACGTGCTAATGTCAATCCTTAGTCGGATCCTACCCACTCTTTCTTAAGCAAAGATCACTTCGTACGCCCATCTAAACCACAATGTGGCGACCGGCGCGCTGATTACTATTTGTAGAACCTCATCCTTAATGAACCAGCCGGCCGCATTGCCCAGATCATTGTTGTAAGATTATTGGTCACCTAGTTCACTTCACGAGACCTGAAATTGATCCCCAGAAATATGCCGTGACTGAAATCATCAAAGCTTGGGACGATACATCCGTAAACGTTCACAATGTTACGGAAGACATTCTCCAGTGCCTGTACGTACCACGGTCGTTCATGCCCCTCGCACATCCTTAACTTTTCTCCTAGCTTTCACCCCGACTTCCACAATTCCAACTCCAGAATACAGCGCGAAATGATGCAATGTATGCATGACTGGGTGAAAGGCCTAGGGGGCAAGCAGCATCAGATCATCAGCCGTCTAGGCAAGAATGAGGTCCGCAACCACCAGAACACGCGACTTGCTGGAGAAGGTGGTGCTCCTGAAGCCCAAGGTACCTACGCGCACGCTCAGGGTATACAAGCCCAGAACGCGTTGCAAGGTTATATCGGTCAGATCCCTGGTGTTTCACAGGTGCAGTCTATAATTGGCGGAGGTAGCGGTGTGAAGAGGGACGGCCCTGGCGGCGGTGGATATCCAGGTGCTGGTCACGGACCAAGTGGCGGACACGGCGCTGGGTATTCGAGCCCTCCGCCCCCAATGACTGGCCAAGCCGCGTCTTACTTCAATGATGCTCCAGCGTCGTCCTACCCAGGAGCCGGTTCGTATGCGCCGCCATCCGCCCCTCCACCAGGAGGTGCTTCCTCGTACGCGCCGCCCTCCGGACCCCCTCCACCCTCGGGCAATAGGCCCCAACAACACTCAGGCTATAATCCCTCGTATACATCTCCTCCACCCTCTTTCCCGGGTGGACCCCCTTCTCACCATGGCGGGCATGGACATCATCATGAACACGGTTCTGATAGAGGCCCTTCATTCCCTGGTGCGCCTTCACATGGACCTCCAGGCGGGGGTCCTGGTTTCCCCTTGGCACCAACGTTCCCCGGTGCGGGAGAAGGACATGGTGGGTATTCCTCTTACGGTCAGCCAGGCGGGTTCCCTTCGCCTTCTGGACCACCTCCAGGTGGCTTAGGTGGTTTTGGTGATCCATACGCCCAGCCTCCTGGTGGAGGCATGGGCTTCCCTGGCGCGGAACCATTTGGCGCACCAGGAGGACCTCCCCCTCAATTCCCTGGCGCTCCTCCACCCGGTGGGTACAGCTACGGAGCTGCGTACAGAGGCGGCGCTAGTGGAGGCGGCGGATGGTGAACAAGAACGCCGGCGGAGACGAAACGACCAGTGAAGTTTATAAACTAGAAGAATAAGAACGTTGTAGTCAGCACTAGTGTATGATTCGTTTCGAAATCAAGTAAATATACGTATTTAGTCCTTGCGAACAAGTGGTCCACGGGACCGTCCAACGTTGACGTGCAAAGCTAGTGCCTGGGTATATATTGGGTAGTATTACACGAATAGTGACTCCAGAAAACGAAAGCATCGACGTATAGAATAGATAGGTTGACTTACGCCACATTTAACTCCCCGGCGTCCCCAGACTATTAACAATATAAAGTGTGTTCATGCCAGTACCAGTGGCTTTGTATGACAGCGGATTGCGAGAAACAAACACAGAAAAGGTGACGTGCGAACAAACGAGCGAATCCTGACAAAAGGAGATGTGTTTGGGAAGGTGTGGTCTACTAAATGAAAAAAAATGTGAGACGAAAGTTACCGCAGCAAAGGAAAGGTACTAACGTACCTTTACAAATGAGGGTTGACGTTGTTCTACGTGATGGGGGCCGGGCGGAAGCTCATAATCTCTTCGTACAAAAGCTCCTTCAATTGTTCTCGGCTGATATCGTCCTTGTGCACTAAGGAACCAGGAACGTTAGGTCTCAGGGTGAATACAAGGTCGACGGAAGAGAACATACAATCGAACTCAAAGAACTCGGGGTCAAGTGGAGGTGCCACGGGTTCGTCATCGGGGTCGTGCTATTGTTAGAATTTCTCAGGTAAGTTGATGTTGACTGGCATGATGAGGGAATACGTACGTATGCTTCCAGGTAAGGGTGAGCCAATGCCTCCTCCACAGTGATTCGTTTTTTCGGATCGAATGTCTGATGAAGGGAAAAGATCAGAAGCCTTGTTCAGTTTAATTGGATCCGAAAAGCCTTACCAGAGTCTTGGTTAGGAAATCTATGGCCAAGGGGTTCGCGTTGGGGAAGAGGGTAGCGAAGGGTTTGCGCTTGCGGAAAGGAAGCGCGCGAATATAGTCCCGGGATCGCCGTGTAGTGATGGCGTAAAATTCGTCCAGTGTGGGCGTTCCCAAGACATCGAGAATTAGGCTGAGTTGATGGTGATAGTCACGACCGGGGAAGAGGGGTTTCCCGGAGAGCATCTCCGCCAAAATACATCCCACTGACCAAACATCGATAGCCTAATTGTAGCCCGGTATAAGCTTCAACCGCGCTGCCGCAACAAGGTGAGGAATGCCCACCTTCGTGTATTGCTTGAATGTTAGCATAATTTCTGGGGCCCGGTACCACCGTGTTGCTACGTATTCCGTCATGAAGCCGGTTTCCGTGCCAGATGGTTCCGCTGTCTTCACCGATCGGGCCAATCCGAAGTCACATACTTTGAGGTCACAGTTGGCGTTCAAGAGGAGATTTGAGGGCTTCAAATCTCTGTGAATAACGTCGGCAGAGTGGAGAGCCTTCAGTGCACGCAGTGTTTGATAGATAAAATATTGTGCGTGATCATCAGAAAGGTCCTGTGTTCGGATAACGCGGTGCATGTCCGTCTCCATGAGTTCTTGGATCACTGAGAACAAGAAACATGTTCATCATTGACTCATCAGCACCGCGGGAGACTAGAACTCACAATAGACTTCTTTGAAAGCCTCTAACGATGGCGGTTTAACGAGATCAAGAATGGAGATGATCTACGTGACAGGTGAGCGACTAGATCGCAATGGAAGGCACTTGAGACACATACATTCTCGCTGACCCCGGCTTCACTGAGAAACTTAAGCAACTTCAGCTCGCGCAGCGTCCGCAGGCAGAACATCGAGTGGTCGAACGGTGCAATCTTTTTGATCGCAACTTTGCGCCCGCTGGGCTTGTGCAATGCTGAGCAGACGATGCCGTACGCGCCTTCTCCGACGACATCCAGTACTTGATATTGAGATCCTAAAAAGAAACAGAGGGAATCAGCCTTGTATTCGATTTTCCGGGAGATGTCTAAGGCAGTGGCTCACCAACGTTGAATCTAACTTTCCTGGGGGCCGCTGCGGCGGGCTTGGTAGCCTTAGCGGGCTGCTGCTGCTGCGTCGTCGTCGTCGTCTCAGGCATCGGGTATGGGTGGGGTGAGAGGGAGATGGTGGTAGGAATGAAGGAAGAGACAATAAGGTGGACCGGTGTATATGTACGATCCTATTGAGGAACGATTACAACAACCAACAATTGCCTTTTTGGGCAGCTAATCTCAGTCAATTATTCCGTCTCCTAGCATTTTGCCATGGCAATGGGATCACTGGAATTCAGACAGTGAGCTGATTCCATGGCCCCTTCCAAGCAACCATGGACTGACCATATCAATGGCTGTACCGACATCTGATGGCCTTCGCCCGGGGCCGATGTTGAGTCTTTAATCCCCTTTCCTCTGGATCTAAGCAAACAAAACATTGCAGGAATCGGAATATCGTACAGGGAACTCATATGTTCTCCTCGAGAAATCACAGTTCACTTTCATGAAACCGTGCCTCGGTCAACTTCGATGACAGAGGTGCCAGCTGGATCGCCGACGGCCTAGCACTCAGATGTCGCCCTCAGTCTCACAAACCTGAGGCGCGCACGCCGCCAGCCAATCGACATTGGCCATGACAGGCGTTATCAGCGCAGACCTCTGAAACACACAGGAGTGCCGTAGCCTTGCAAGTGAATGCGAGCGCAACTCGACTGGAATAAAGGTACGAATTTGTGTCTCGAGGTTTCACCCCTCTGGATCTGATCATGATTTACGCCAAACGCTCCGTTAGCCGCGTTGAACGTTGATTCTATACTGACAGTCTTTTGGGTTCGCCTAATGAAAAGCAGCATCACAGAAGCGGCGTAGATATCTCAGCACCATGATGAAACGCAGATTTCGGCGTTCATTCGATTGGCGTATGTGCAGTTTACCACCGGGTCGGGACAGTTTTAGGCAACTCATGGCGGTCTTGAGGGGTCCTGGCACTCTTTCTCTCGCAGTCACTGTCACGTCCACTCGATAATGCCCTCAGCCAATGACCACAAACCCGGGATATGTCCCGTAGTGTTATTTCAGCCAAATACCACAACAACATTACGGCCAGTGACTAGTGGGGATGGTTACTGGTGAGTCCGAGTCTTGAGCCACAGAGTAGAACATTGATTGTATCGTTATATGTAGGATCCCCACTTCCGCGCCCATGAAACTATATTACCGTTGCTGAACGTCAGTATCGGTACATTCCCCGCCAAGCTCTTGCTAAATTACTGTTGCCCCCGTCATGGTTCGTAACGGTAAGATCACTTGCAACCAGATTCTGCAACGGCGCTTCAAGTTCCCATAGACGGGACCCGACGCCCCCATCGTTATCATAATTCGCAGACGTAGGTTCATACTCACAACTTCCTAACACTTGCTGGTCGAATCATAGTATGTAAGTCTTCGCTGTTGGTGTCTCTGACTCGCCGACTAACCCTACCCTTGCTATGGAGTCAGGTCCGCTTTTGGTGATTGCGATCTTGAGGGGCGCTCAGTCACCGTCACGTCGACTCGATGATACCTCTCAGCCAACAACAACAACCCCGAGCCTGGGATATATCCCGCAGAGGTATTCCGGTTATATTGCTGGGACTTATGAGTTACCAGAGGCGGGGCCCGACTCCAGGTCTGCCCGCCGTTATGACGACAACTCGCAGATATAGGATACCACTTATATCCAAGCGGGCCGACACGATCTTGAGACGATCCAGGATATTCTTGGCCACAAGTTCAATACTCGAATTGTGGTCGGACTCATACATCGTTATGTTCCACTGCTCGAGGAGTATTCCAGATGACCATCATATCCTAGACTCAGATTTACAACTCGCTGAACCAGCACTTGCTACGATTTTATATTGCCGTGTCACATGCAAGTCTTCGTCGTCTCTGTTCCCGGCAGTTACATCTCGCCTGCACCGTGGACTCTCAACTGACTCGCAACTTTTCTTTATGTTGATTTTGATTCTGCAGGCGGTAATGCTCCCGACGATCTCAAGACATTCTCATTACGACTATTTGCCGTCGATCCCCTAGATGCCAGGGCGCTGGTCTATCATATGCCTTTGTTGGTGTCCCATCCCTTCGCTCTGGCGTTTAAAGAACTATGGTGCACGCCCAGGCTGAGAGCATGGAATAATAATGTCACGCATCACACAAGGACCCCGACTTCCTAAAGGACATGGCCACACGGCACAAACAGACCTGACCAGCGGTAAATGTATGGAGGATATCAGCGCGTAGGTCTTCTTTAGCCGGTTATTATTTCTCGCCGTTTGATGCCCAAGCTTTCCCATTACTTCTCGCTGCATATCTGGCTTCCTGGCTGCGCCCTCTGACCGACCGGGGGGTCGGCAAACACGTCACGTTGTTCCCATGGCGGGGGTGGATATCTCACAACCCACATGCATCCATCTCGCTAGGAATATGTGAACGACGTAAGGCGCCTAAAGAACACTTGCAACTCAACAATCACCCAATCAATGATGGCAGCCGCTTCAGACGCCTCTCCGTAAAGCTTCGACGGAGGAAAGCACGTTGCATGCGTGTTCTGATAGGCTACCGGCTACCTGCCTGCAGTGCAAGTCACGACCACGTCCTACCGCCGTGAATCCAGTCGACTCAAGTACGAGTGCATCAATACTGGTCAGTATTCCCCGACCGCCACCCGTGTTGTTTCATACCAAAGATGGGCAAATGGTGTGTTTCGAGGACTTGGTAATGATGGTACTGGCGTTCTGCACGCCGAATGGGTGTCCATCAAGAAGATAGACTCACTATGGTGGTTCTATCATCCAAGTTTCGGCTAGATTTGTTGATATAAACCTAAGGATATCAGCGTCGCACATCAGTCAAAAGGACGGGCAGGGCATGATGCGATGTGCATGCTGCAAATGGTTTACCGCGTCATATTCATACATATCCATTGTATCAATGCTGCAACACTGGATGGATGCGATGTAATGACCCGCCGTGATCGCAAGACTGCAGCATAACTAAATGGGCGGAAATGCTATGTGGAAATGAGGGTCGTTTCGTAGATGTCGCAGGTGCTGGACGAAGATTTGAGAAGGGACGATCACAATATGCGCACGGTGTGCTGTGGGTAATTAGGAAAACTGTACATCGCAGTATATAATCGTCAGGGGGCATACGCCGAAGAAGATAGTATAATTGCCAGTTCGAGGCCCATTACAAAGGTGATTGTGTACTTATAGGGACATGGTAGAGTTCATTCGCTGTTGGTTCTTTATGTTTCAGCCGTAGTGCCCCAACGGACGCCGAACCCTAGCTTGACATGGCGTGAGCCTGGGTACCGTAAACGCAGTCCACAACACAACGCACCGCGGACATAGCAATGTGTTTATGACTCGAATAAGCAGGGCTCGCCTTGGAAAGTTTTGCTGCCCTCGAACGTGCACCTAGACTGTTGTAAGCATCATGAAATCGAGAGGTATAGTTTAATCACGTACAATCCATTGTCTGGACCAATGTAGCAGCATTTCAGACCCGCCTTGCCTAAAATCATGTAGCTTAGTACACGGGCATGAAATCCACATGTCCGTTAATTACAGGGTTTCTGGTGAGCATAAGCGCGTCAGTTACGGTCAGTAACAGTTTCGACATAAATACAGATGACTTACAGTGCCAACAAAAGTCCCGCCTTGAATGACATGGTGAGCCAATGCAAAACCAATACCTCAATAGTACTCACATTGACCACCGAAATCAAGGCCGTCTTGAGCAGCGACGACAGCGACGAACAAAGAGAGGATGGTAGCAGAGAAGAACTTCATGTTCAGGCTTAGGTACTTGAGTAGGTAGACAATGAGTACCGTTGGCCAGGCTTTTATACTGTTTGACCCCAGATCTGAAAGCACAATCCTTACATATTGCTCCGGGTCTCATGTGATACCTAGACATCCGTGGAGCCCTCCAACCTCGTGCCGGCAGGAGAAACAAGGGGGAAAGGCGGGCCTTAGTGAATAAGGAGGCAGAGGGATGAAACGATGTGGGAAGTAGACTGCCGAATGTCGAGAAATGTATGGACGGCGAGCGCGTCCCGCTCATCTTTTCGCTGATATTTCCGTCCTCCATGGAGCCTATCGCCTCCATTTGCGCCGACCGAAGTCGGGGCGCTCGCATTAGGACGGAGCACTGAGTGGAGTATGCACATCGTACGGAATGCATCTTACATCACGTAAAGCGATTGGCGACAAAATGAGGGCGCTGGCGGTAAGTGACGTGTGATTCCGAGCAAACATCGGAGCAAGTGATGGAACGAGGAGTGTACGGGCATTCCCGTACAAATTAACAGCCTCAAGTTTCGACGCCGATTCAATGCGCCTGTGTATGGTTCGCCAGTGCCGTATACACTGTCTAGGCCGGTCTCGGACGATGAGCAAAGGGAGGCCTGGAAGCATGCACATAAGCCCAGTTAATGGATACACCGAGCAGGCGTACGCACGAAGCAGCCAACATCTATACATGTGACATGGAAGCATTCCTTCATGGATGAATTACTGTATGCTGAACAATCAAGCTGGGCGGCAGGAGGCGCAGGGCCAATTGAATAGCAGACACGGCGCTGTGGTCACGGGAAGACAATGATCCCGAGTCTCCTCCATGGATACATCTTCGACCGAAATTTCGCATATAGTCGCCGCAGCCGCTGAAGTGATGCGGGGAAGAATCACCTTGGTGAGTCCAAATTTATTGCATCGGGCTAGAACGAACAAAGGCTTCTAACAGTGATCATCTCGACACGAATGCCAAGAGATGAGCAGGACACTAGAGGAGAGAACACATCACCCATTCGGTTGAGCATCAATTATAGCGCGCGTGGAACTTTCTGCTCCCTTCTTGACAAAGAGGTCTGATTGAAACCAAGAAGAGGATCATTCTTTTGCAATGAGAATGATCGCTACAATCAGGCATTCGATGAAACGACCTCTCTTGTTGGGTGTTAGTCGGCCAGTAATCACAGAAACGCACCAAGCAGTGGCAGCATCCAGTTGACACGGACGATATGCAACTTTATTTGGGATCTAATAGAAGCAGGACGGCTTCACGTACTTGCAAGTCGCCTGCGCTCTTTATAGTTCATTCCTCTAAATAGACGATCACTACAATCAGCCTCCTGATGAAATAAATTCTGCTGCTGGGCGTTAGTCGGTCTTGACGTCGCTGGAAATCACAGAAGCGCACCGAGTGGCCGAATAGTGGCAGCTGCTTGACCCAGTTGATACGCACGACATATTGCCGACATGGAACTCGGTTTGAGATCTGATGGAAGCAACACAGCTTCACGTACGTGGGTACTTACGAGTCACCTGCACTTCCTATGAACATCGGGACCGGCTTGATAGACAGCTTGATGCAGATGGCACAAAGAGTCTAGGTTTACATTGTGCAGGTTGCTCAGATAGATAGATAGATTGTGATTAGTTGATACAATTCTTCTTCGCGAGAGGGAAAGGGTGAGTGGGGGAGGGGGAGGAGGGTGAAAGAAGGGTGAGGAAGTGGACGGTGAAGACGGTGAGGAGGAGAGGAGAAGGAGAGGAGGGAGAGAGAGAGGAGGGTGGAAGGCAAGAAAACAAGAAGACTAGTCCTTGAGGACGGGCTTAATCGCCTTTTGCATCTCTTCGATCTCTTTCCGAACCTTGCTATTGAACAGAGCGACCAGTTCGCGGTTCGCATCCAAGAGCTTCTTCAACAGCAGCATCATCTTGTGCACCCGCTGCTTATCATGCGACTGCAAAACCAGCTCGTCAGCGAATCCAACAAAGTCATCCAAACCATTGAGCACAAACGACTTCGAAAGTGAGAGGGGAAGCACATATTACATACCTTGGTGCACGCAAAGCACACGATGGCGAAGGACGTGATCACGTCCACACTGTACCTCAGCTTTTCTATAGTGTCCTCGACGGTCGTGCCGGGGGATAAGTCCTGCCCCCCGGCGGCTACCCAGTCTTCCAGGATGCTGGTGGTGCAGTCCGTGATGCTCTGAGCAATGATCTTAGTATGGCCGAAGGCGATGGGGTGCTTCCGCACGACCTTCGCGACGGTCTCGGTCACAGCGAGCTCTGAGTACGAATACAGACAAACATATATCATAAGTATGAGGTTGCGTTCGCCTTAGATTCAAGAGAACAACGGTATTTGACTGACCTTTACCGCTCTGCACCGCGCATGGGTCGGGTTCATCGAGTGCTTCGAAGTAGTACGATAAGGCTTGGCTGTTAGAGGCCGTGTACAGTGTCAGGACGTTCAGCGGTTCAAGAAATTGGATGAAATAAGGAGACTGACGCTGGGTGCTTCTGTCGTTCGTGGATGCGGCCCATAAGGAAGAACACGATGCGGGGGTTGGACTCAACGTCCCATTGCGGCTGGGGGAAATAATGGTAAAACATGATGGTGTCCATGTTCCAATGGTCCCTCGGAAACCCTAGCTGTGTCGACGGCCGATCGGGGGAAAGGCGAACATCCTCGTAGTACTCCCGGTTAGCAGCTGCCAATGCCGCCACACTGTCACTTCCATCGTCGCTCCCCGCGTCATTACGGCTCTGCTTCCAATTCCTGCACTCATCCACGGCCCAAGACATCCACTTCATCTCCACCTCCGCATCGTCGCTCAGCACCCCCAGTTTCGCAGCGATCGCCATCATCCGTATGAGCTCAGGCTCAGTCAGCGGCGCCCGCTTCCTCATCTCGGAAAGGTACTCCCAGGCCGTATTATACACTTTGTACGCGAACGCGCCCTTGTCGTTGTTCTCGAGGATACGTGCGTAGAGTATCAAGAGCCCTGTGACCTTGAGGTGCGGGTTGCTCCCTAGCTCAGCGACAGGGCGATGCAAGACCGCGAAGATGGCGCTGCGTCAGAAAATGTGCTTAGCAGTACGCACTCGCAGGCGGCAAACCCCAACACACCTTTGAAGTGCGGCCCCAGCGTGATCGAGGTCCTGCTCCGCGAGATACAGAAGAAATTCCGCAACGTCCTCCCGCACGTCCTCTGGCCACATCAACATTCCTCTGAGCCCGATATACCTGATATAAGTAGTAAGAATGTAGACTGACGCTTGTCACTTGGACCTTACAATAACATTACTCTTTTTGCCACCCAACCACCCATGCATACCAACGCGACAAGGCATAACCTATCGAACCAAACGTGCCATCTCTGTTGGACGTAGTATGTTCCACTCGAGGTCTGACTAGTCGAATATGTTCGTCGAGCAAGCAAGCTGGTACGAGGTATGTGACTGCCAGATATGCGATAATCGCGTAGTTGAAGCTCCTGCTTGCGAAGGTCCCATCTGTGAAGCTGCTTCGCCTTCAAACTAGGCGTCGCCGAGCATATCGAGTAAAATGCTGGCTGTGGTTGAGACCTGGGTATCGGTATCCTTTTGCGTGCCAGGAACAGGGCTTGAAGCATCTGCCTCCGGATCCGTTCAAACCACTACCGCTCGAAGATATGCGTTACTGCAGGCTGAGGTGTTAGGCACAGAAGCTCTGGCAGTATTTGTAGGCCACCGGGGCGAAAAGACTCACAGAAGAGTGCAATCTGATCATGCCGCGCAGAATCGTCAAAGCTGCCGTGCACGCGGTGCAGCCTAAAGCTCGCGAACCTAGTTCTAAGTTAGTGGTTGCGTTGACTCAGTTGGCGCTTATTTACTCAAGCACGTTCATACAACATGAAATTCAAGAGGGAGATTATCCGCCATCACCAAGTGCGTCCTACACACATCACCCACCCGTCAATATTTGGATTAGGTTCCAAGCCCCGAAACATTATATTATCCCCGAGATAATCCACCCTCCGTATCCCCTCCACGAACCCAGACTCGCGATTCCCTCGAGAAGAATGTCTCGCTCCGTATGCCTGTGTGCACTGTACCTGCCGGACCTGCGGCCAGTCGTCGTACTCTGACTGCGACACATACTCCTGGAAATTCTCGTACACCGCGTTGTACACATCCTCGCATTTGATGCCCTTCGGGTTGCGCACCATAAACGGCCAGAGGAAGGGTTGGATGGGGTCGTCGCCGATCGCGTTGATGAACATGTGTGTGAGGAACGGGTGGGTCGCTGGTTGCATCCTGTCCGCCGGTGAGAGGGGTATCATTGTGTCAACGGTGCCGTAGCAGAGCATCGAGGGGTCCTCCCGTATGTCGAACCACAAGGACATGGGCCCGAAAAGTTGGTGCTCAAGGAAGGGGTTCAACTGGCATTCCCATGGAAAGGGCAGCGGGTCTTGTGGGTTGGGCTCCTTCCACCTCGTCGGACGCGGCGGCAGCGCGGGATGCTGTGTTCCAGAAACCCATCGCTCTGGGTGATCACCGTCGGCACCGCGCAGAGAGTCGAACATTTCCTGGATATCGACAGGTGATGCCTCTGGCGTCGGTGCTGGTCCTTATGAGCGGATTTAGACAGCGCACTTGTAGTAGCACTCACAGGAATTCCTTACAACGACGCCGTTAACTCTTGGACAAGCGTAATAGCCATATGCTTTCCATTCAGGAAGAGGCACTTGGTCGTTCATGAAGGATTCAGTGGCCGGGACCGATACATTGCGCTTGGCTGATGATGGTGATCCTATGTCAACAGCAAATGACTCGTCAACTTCTTTGAATTTGAACGGGACCTGTTAGATTCAGATTGAGATTAGCGCTAGACGCACCTCTAAAGTAATCCAGGAATCTCCACGCTTTGCGACGACGCTTCTTTCCACGATTACCGTCATCTACTGCAACTGGCCTCGCTGAAATGGGCAGTGCGGACTTTGTGGGAGGGAGAGCCTGGGTGGTGACACCGGGGGAAGCGACCCACAATTGGCTGAGATCATTGATTGGGCGATAAAACCCGCCGAATTGCATCCATGGCTCTCGTTGGTCGCCCCCCGGAGCATTGGGCATCGACGGGGACCACTATGCCCTTGAATACGGCAAGATTGAAGATACTGAAGGTGGTCTCGCTAGATGTTGTGAAGGGGCATGGCCCGCTGGATTGTTGTTTGCTTTGTCTCGATTTGTGGTAAATTGCCCTCAGGCTGCGTGTCGAATGCATCAGTCACAGGAGGGCGATGAGGTTGCGAACATAGCCGCTTGATGGCAAGCAGGCGCGTATGCTTAATGGAGGTGTGCTGATGAGAGTTTGACTACTTGATGACTTTTCACTGATTGTATTGAACAGATCTGAAGTAAATTGACTACCGTCACCATCAAATTACCACCAACCGACATGGCCAGTTCCGTTACTCTAAAGGCACGGTACCCACAGAGCAACTTGAGATATTAGCAATTATAGGTTGTTGTCAGGCGAGTCGGAGTCGGACCGACCAAGGACTTGCAAAATGTGGCGATTCCGTCAAAGCAAACAAACAGGGTCTATAACCTAACCCCTTGCCAACCTCCAGTCAACTATACAATGCACGCGTTAACAATGTCCGAAGCAAGTCTATCGCTACACTTGGTGTGTGTGTCATACAGTACATAACACGACTTGTATGTGGCCTTGACGAAAGGTCAGCATTTAACCTGCTTCGAATCGAGAGTGATGCTCACCTTAAATGTCCATCTTGATTCCCAATTCTTTGATTTCTCGAATGTCCATGTTTACTCCCAGCTCTTTGATCTCGCGAATATCCATCACGGCCGTAAGCTCTACTGGCTTGTCGACACTTCGGATATCCATGACTGCGGTAAGTTCTACTGGCTTTTCAGCACGGATATCCATAAACGCTGTGATTTCCCCAGTGCCTTCTCCTAAAAATCAGCAAAGATGTTAGCATCGCGGCCAGCCATTATGTGGAGATGACCACTTACTAGCAACAGGGAGCGCAGCTGATACGGCAACAAGAGCGAAGACGGTGAACAGGCTCCAAGAATGCATCTCGACCAAAATCCCTTGAGTATTCGGTAGTAGCTGAATAACCCAGCGCTCGAGCTCAAGATGTGCCTTTATACTCTCAGAACGCCATCGCAGAAAAGACTGGGTGACTCCATTACGCCGCCGACCACTCTCCAAGACCACGCATATGATTCATGTGCACACAAGCCGCAGCGCTGGAGTGAGCCAGCCCAAATCAAACCATGGGCTTCATGTGCTCGGTATTCACGTACTATCGCTCCCCCCAATCCTCCGTCCTTTGAGGAGGCATAGGCACCCCCGGTCGTTGCCGCGCTGTGGACCACGAACATCGGATACCCTCCCTCCTGAAAATCGCCATCTCTCCCCAGCTCTCCTCTTGTGATCGATACACGATATACACATGTGCCCGATTCGCGCGACCCTGATCTTCAGAACAGCCATCGCAGTACTTCGCAGCATGGGTGTATTTGATAAGGTACTTATAATCCACATCGCTCCAGCGAGTCCATCGCGTTTCAGGTTTATACAACTTCTTCGCCCCTTCTTCATTCTCTCCCCCAGAATCGCATACGTATTATGAGCGCACAACGCCCACCATACGGTCGCTGGATCGCCTTGGGATTAGGAGCTGTGCTATTGTTTCTGACGGCACTTCTACTAGTCAAATCAGAATGGAATCATGAAACCTCCAACTATGGTGGCGTTCCTCCCTCCTTCCCTCCTCCTATTATTCACCTGCTGAAACTAGGCCGAACGCATGAACTCTCTTTCTCCGTTCCCTTTGGAGAGGAGAGTGTCGCCATGCGTGTGGCTACGGGTTCACGCTATGGTCTGGAGCCAGATGCAAATGAAGAGTGGGACAGGATACTGCCTAAGCATGGCCATCTGGTGCACATAGCCTCGACTCCCACAGCGACGCCAGAACCATACACCGTGACGCTTCTCCATCAGCTGAAGTGTCTACAGATTGTCAGGGAACAATATTTGTCTCCGCCAACCAATCCAATCACCTCTCGCACACGTCATTGCATGAATTACCTCCGCCAAACATTATATTGCCGCCTGAACATGGGACTTGAATCGGTGGAGGATGCAGAAGGGAGGGCAGCGCGCGATTACGATGCTGTTTGTAGGGATTGGACGAAGTTGTACGACGAAGCCGACCGAAATCAAGTAGCATTCTCGTCATGGAAGGAACGTCAATAATTGCATATGTAACACACTCGTATATACGCTTTGTACCAAGTAAGTAACTAGATCTAGATCGATAATACCCCAAAAGTATTTCTTAGAAAGTCGATAAACGATAACCCAATAATTTAACTCCCAAGTCTGAGTCTACTTCCCTCTCCTTAAGCCTGTGTTCGCGTTGAGTTCGTAAATTGCGTCGTCGAGTCGCCGTAGCTTCCGTCCGACTGTTTGAACTTCAGCTGGACGTTGGGCAGGCTGTCGAACTTCTCGTTCTGGTCCTCCGTGTAGTCTGTGTGCGTATGGGCGTGGCGGTGAGCGCCCGGGCTGGCTTTGTTGAAGTTCAGCGCCGTCATCGGGGCAGTAGTAGCCGTTTTGGAATCCCAAGCGCGTCGCTGGGCCACGCGGAGGATGATCAGCATAGGCGCCAAGAACTAAGAAACAAAACATGTTAGACAAAGAAACATCATAGAAGAGCAATCAGTGCATACCTGAGCCATGACCATGTTGGGCAGGAACATGTTCGACACGACGCTCTTTGCGCCATAGCCACCGATGAAAATGAGGGAGATACCGGCATACAGCGCCGAGCTTTCGATCAACATGGCGGCGATCGAAGCGTACGGGACGGACATAGCCTGAGGGCCCAGCGCTTTGCGTAAAGAGTGACGGAACATGAGGAGACGGATGGAGATCATCATAGTGATGAGGACGTTAAGAGCGACTGAGAGGGAGAAGTACGGGACACCGAAATCGACGGTGGTCTTCGTCCATAGATGAGCCCCAGGTCGAGACGATCGGTAGAGTACCAAACATCCCGTGGCTAGTGGACCAATTAGCTAATGAGAAAAGGGATTCTTGGGAGCATACGTACCGACAGACCCAAGGTACATAAGGATGGGCACTGCAACGATGTAGAACTTCATGTGGAAGATAACCATGCATCGGTAGAGCTGCAGTGATACCGATTAGTGGTTGACCTGATCATCGATCACTTCTGAACATACCAAGAAGCCGGCAGCTAGCCAGTCGCCTACGATAGCGCACGCATTGGGGATGACCGTGATGGGCTTCCCGTACTCGGACAGGGCATATGCGGTGGGACCACCAGGCTTCATCCGATTGTCAACAAACATCAACCGCAATGAATTGAGATTCATGCAATTGTACACGGAGCACAAGACGAAGAGCAAGATCGTGTACGCGATGAGAGGCCACTTGCGCGGCCCGCTTTGTCGCGGACGAATCGCAAGCGTGTATATGATCTGCGCGAACACGAGAAAGAGGATGCCTACATTGATGTATCAGTTTAGGGATGTACGATCAGACGTCTCTTAGCCAGCGTACCGTAGAGCATCTGCGAAACGCAATCCCCAACGAGGACGGCCCGTTCAAGCCATATTATTCTGTCCGGGAGGTTTGGGCGGTTGGGATTCGACATGTCCGCAGATAGTGGCTCTAGAGAACGAAGGTAGAGAGGAGCGAATGAAGTAGACCCAACACGGCCGCGCAGAACTTATAGACGTTCTGAAACAAAGACTTGAGTTGAAACGCTTTTAGTTCCGTCAAGTGCGAGGGAGGAATGATTGGCGAGCGATTCGGTACGGAGGGGCGATGGACTGGGTAGGGTCATCTAAAGCTTTGGAACGGGATCTGCCAGTCGAGGAACCACCCCATGCATCCCCATGCGTCTGATCTATTCGAGGAGCATCTGAATAAGTACCACGGAACAATATCATGTGGACATGGCATAGTTCACAGAGCGTCTGTGTAAGCAGAAGGAAGGTGCTGGTGTCTGTGCTTGATAACGAAAACGCCACTTGTAACCGTAAGTAAAAGCCAGCGGATCGTCTTGAACAGGAGTACTTCACGACCAAATGGCATCCACCGTAACAGAAGGCAAGATCCCATTCACCGTTGGAGACGAAACCTTCGAAACCTATTTCAAGGTTACTGGCGACGTTCAGCAGGCCGAGAACGGACCCGTGGTAGTCCTGCACGGTGGTCCAGGGATCTCCCATGACTACCTGTTGCCGATTGCCGATCTTGTCACCACCCATAGTCCCAACGCAGTCATCTTCTACGACCAGCTTGGCAGCGGTCGTTCAACACATCTCCAGTCGAAGGACACGTCGTTCTGGACCATTGACCTCTTTATCGACGAACTCGAAAACTTGCTCTCTCATTTCGGAATCGCCGATAAATTCAACTTGATCGCACACTCATGGGGCGGTACTTTGGCCTCAGAGTTCGTGGTTCGTCGGCAACCGAAAGGCTTGCGTCGGTTGGTCCTCATGGACTGCCTTGCGAGCGCGAAGCTGAGGAATGAAGCCATCGGTCGGTTGAGAAAGAAGCTGCCAGAAGAAGTCCAGTCGACGCTTGCAAAGCACGAAACGGAGGGGACGACCAAGTGCGACGAGTACAAAGCCAATATGCTGGTCTTCTGGGAGACCTTCGCTTGTCGCATCAAACCATTCCCACAAGAAGTCACGTACTCTCTAGGTCAACCCGAGATTGACCCAACCGTCCTCGACGCGATGTGCGTATTAATTATCGTTGCCGGTTTGTGATCATTGATGGAACCCCCCCAGGCGCAATGGCGAAACGGGACTCGCAACCCAATGGGATATCACTGACAGAATCCACTTGATGCGCCATGTACCAACCTTGATCATAAACGGAGAACACGACTACATGACCGACGAGGTGTGCGCGCCATTTTACTGGGGAATCGACAAGGTGAAATGGGTGAAATTTGCGCAGTCCAGCCATATGCCACACTGGGAGGAGCGGGAGAGGTACATGCAAGTCGTCGGCGACTTTTTGGCTCATCCATAGACTGTAGTTCGTAGTCCCAATAAGCGCTCAAATTATGTACAACTTCGCCTGAATCTTCCACAAAATGCCCAGTTTGAAACAATGGAACAGTTACAAACGTGTCAGTTCCATGTATTCCTCCACTTGACCCAGTCCTCATATCGCTCGTCGAAGATGCTGATTGCAGTCTCCCAATCCCTGCAGACCAGAGTTTCTCCGACTCGTTCTTCCTCGTAGTCGGTTTCCATGAAGTCCCCTTTCTCCACCGAATCGGCGGCTTCGCAGAGGATCGTCTGACGCAAGTAATTAAGGCAATGGTTAACGTGTCCTGCGCTTGCCATCGTGTCGTTGCGGTTGAGCAGTGCATATTGGATGCGGCGCACGCAATGCATCTGGTGTAGGAACGTGAGGACGAAGGCTCGATGATCAGGTCCAAGTCGTGTCCGGCCTATCCCTCTGGGTATAGCGTTGATCATATCCCATTCCTGTCCTTCTATGGGGTCTGAAGCGTTGAAACCGAAGCGAACAGTCTCTTGGAGAGTCATCGCGACGGGGTCAAGTTCTCCGATAGGATAGATGGGTGGGTAGTTCATTCCCATATAGGAATATGCAGCTTCTAATCAATCGTTCAGACATTGTACATCGAACTCGTAATGGAGACTACCTTGTTGTGCGCCCTTCCATGGATGGAAGAGCCTACGCAGGACGAGGATTACGTTGAGTAGTGCTAGCAGCACCACCACCCAGACTGTAGAAGTCGCGCGTTTCATCGCTCGTCACTTCAGCACGACCATCAGAGTGAAGTCTTGGCTATATGAACACATATGAAGCTGCAACGAAACATCTGTGATTGCTGTAATCACTTGATACTCCATTAACCGTTCTGGAAGTTGACCCAGGTTCAGGACGGTTCATATGGCTCAACATGGTGCACTAGGGCGCTCCACGAGGGCAGGCAGATGCTTCCATTGCTGCTCGCACATCTCGGAGTCGTGAAGTGTTTGAGGTGCGATGGCACAATGAGGTGCAGTGACTTTCATTTTCTAGGTGTCTGCCACTCGGTGAGTTCTGATGGCTTCCTACAAACTTCTTCCAGTATCCCCCGAATCCCCCGTACCAAATGACGATGAGGACCTGCCCCCACCGAAGCCATCGATGCTCACCCCCCGAATCTGTCTCCTTGCCTGCATACTATGCACCGTATTCAACTTGTTACTCTCTTTTCGCTTCGAGACGGCCAAGTCTAATGCGTATCCTGTTGTGACATACAAAGATATACAATCTCTCCGCCGTCCTTCGCAGTTCCTTCGCTTTGACGAGATCAAACGCCCTTCGCCGCCTGTACACAAAGAATTCAACAACTATCCTATACTTATGACCCAGGTCGATGCCGCCCAGAAGGATAAGGTGTTCGAAGATGATGTGAAACGATATATGACTCCGATAGGGACTATATCACCAAGAGATAGACGTGTACTTATCACGGACACGGTACGAGAGCATAGCGTCCTTTTACTACGTCCTTGTCTCAATGGCGGACCCTATAGATATCTACGGTGGTTCAGTTTAGAGCAATAGACTACGGGATGGAGCGATGCGAGCTACGCCTTGCGTTGCCGTCCTTCGACTCCCCCCTACTCTCGGGAAACCAGACGATGGCATTATCAGTCCATCGGCTAAACGCAACGATACCACTTGATGTCTCCACTCTGTCGCACACCTCGAAACCTATAAGGATGACGAAAGTCGGGGACATTCATTTGAGCAGTAAACTTGGCGAAGTTTGGCAGCGGTCGTTCTCATGCAAGACTGAAGAGGTGCTATCCTTCGAACTAACGTGCTCACCGGAGACCACGACGAAGGGATGTCACATCGAGTGGTGGCAGAATATGAAGAAGCCTAACCCAGGTATGCTTCGTTTCGTGCATCGTGCTTGCGGCTACAATGAAAACTGAGCGTGTCCTGCGTGCCTGTAGGCCTTTATATAATTCAGCATTCGACAGTTTGAATTCGGTTTGATTTACGGAGGAGGCATTTGAGCATTATTTGTAACATACTTCTTTGTCCTTGATTTCTTTTTCGCAAGGTACATAGCCTGTATACGGCCGAAGGGCAGCGAGGTTACTCCTTATTTTATTTTTTTGGCTTCTAATCCCCTACCATCCCCTATTCATGTTCCGCACGTGATGCACGCGTCGGCGGAGACGGACTCAAGTCTCACTGACCCTTCGCTCCGTTCCCGCTCATGAATGTAATGCCACCGGTAATTCGACCAACCTTCGTATCTACGTCTCGACAGGCATGCCGACCCATGTCATTTACTTTAAATCGTCGAAGTAGAGGCGTACCTTCGTATCCACGGGCGATGTCTTCACAACGGAATTTCGGCGTTGATCTTCAAGACGACAGTGCAAGTCGTCGCTGGCTCTGGAGGGGCACTACTATAGGTCTGTGCTTAGGCACGGGGAGCCTGGCGTACTGGCTGTAAGTACCAACACAACCGTTGCTCACAAAGCACCCGAATGCTAAAATACAAGCCACCACAAGTCAATACGATACTGAAATATGATACAGATACACAATGTGGCGAGAAAGCAGGGAGATATGGCCGGAAGTGGTCGCACCCGACCTTCGTCGTGCCCTATACGCAAAGCGCAAAGGGGATTTGGTAGTTAGCGAACAACATTTCCGGAGGTCAGTGGCTCTGCCTCAGTCTCAGTCTCCGGCGTCAACTATGTTATTGACGTGGGCTCTCAAGGGCTCTCCAGTTACTTCTTCCATTACCTACAGAAGACCTACGAGGCGACCCGCATCTTAAGGTCACCGGAGTAGCCATTGCTTTGGCTGATCTCCTAGAAATTCAGGGAAAGACAAAGGAAGCTTACGACACATATGCGGATGGATTTGAGTACCTTCGCCGGGTGCAGTTAAATTCCCCATTATCGGGCCCAGAAACCCTGCGCCTCATTTCCATCGCATACAAACTGGGAGAATTGGCCGGCGAGCTAAAATTAACGGAGGACGAAGAGAAGTGGCTAGTTGTGGCCGTAGAACAAATATTGAAAGATGCTGGGCGCAGCGCCGGTAAACAAGGTTCACTGCAACAAGCAAGTAGTACCACGGATACTCAGAGTTCCGGTTCTCCCGAAGGGCTAGCAGGGATTGATCTTCCAGGTTGGGCTTCTGCAGTTGACATAGCCGCGCCATTGGAAGCTCTCGCTGAATTTTACGAGCAGAGAGGCCAGACTGAGTAATTCCTTGTCTGTGATGTGTTTCTCGTGAGGCTGACTACATTATATAGATATGCCCTGCCTCTGTATCTTCATAGCGCGTCGGTTTTGGTCCCGCCGAAGTCCGAGAAACAGACATCGCCAGAAGATCAATGCCGTGGTGCGCACCTGTTACATTTACCTTCGGAATTCGCATTTTATTCACTGCTCTTTGCAGGCGCGAATATGATGCTAAAAATATCCGAACTCATCTTACGCGGTCCTGAGAGCAAGCACACTCTTCATTCAGCGGAAGCTTGGGCTCAGAAGGGGCTGGCCGTCGTACAAGAGGCTCGCTCTAAATCTTGGGGGACGGTGCCTATCTGCGAGGAGATGCTTGTTGCTGCTTATCACGGAGCTGGCTTGTTACGGGAGGTATGAAGTGCCTAGAGTCCTGTCTATTCGTCTGATTTGATTTCCCCTTTCCATAGCTCTCAGGGGATGGTGATGGTGCACGAAAATTGTACAGCGCAGCGATTGTCCAGGGCAAGTCACAGCACATGACCCAGGAAGTTGACATGCTCCATGAGCGCATCCTAGCTCTGCGACCCCAGAAGTAAGCGATGGTCTTTTAGCTGTAGCACGGCAGTGTCAATGATCTCGACGCTCTATCGGTCGCACCCGTATACATACACTGGGACCACGTTACCCAGGGTGAAACTATTTATGTCCCAAACATCAGCATTCGGGTCGACATTTCCTTTTGTACCAACGGCCACTCTATCGCCTTCAATCAATGCGATCAATCCTATCTTTCCACAGGCTTACAGAAGGTTATGCCGCGGCTGTGCATGAGCCATGCCGAGATCCCTCTTCATCCTTTGACTTGAAATCATGATTCTTCCCTTCTAGGCTGGCGGAGAGCTATAAGTCGAAAATACTAGGTGGGCTCCAATATCAATATACTCATGCAACACATTATACATGGGCTGACTATTCTCGTCCTAATTGGTAGAATGGCTGTTCTGACGTAACCTAGATATGTTGGCAAAGGGTTCGTCTAAATGGCAGTGTCTGAGCGCTAAGGTTGTGCTTATAAGGACCAGCCTTCACAACGCTAGGTTAGTCAACCTTCTCAATCACAGTCTCTGCCCATAATGGATCCCTTGTCCATTACTGCATCGATTGTCACTTTCATAGACATCGCGAAACGGATCAAGTCTTCCGTGGACAAGGTGAGGCTACTATTGGGGAGCCTCTTATCCGGCACTGACGTATGGTCCCGGATATCCAGATCAGTCAAAACCGTCGAACGCTCAAGGAACTGACAAGCAACATTGTTCACGAGCTCACGGAACTGCAGAAATTGTGTCAACGGAGAGAGGGAGTCCTTGATGGATCTCATCTTGATTATGATCTAACCTTATCACTGGAGGACCTGCAATCGTGAGTAACTCTCGATATGTTAAGACGCAAGTATCTCATCAGCAACCTTTATATATCAGGGAGCTAACAGACGTTCTTGCACGATGCGTTAAAATACTGGAGCCGCATAAACGGACACGCTTTCACACTGTGAAGTCGGGGTTCATCGCGTGGATTAAGAATGCTGAGATTGAAGCCGACATATCTCGCCTCAAAGACCACGTCACATCCTTTCACAGACGATTTACTGTGAGTTAATTCATCGAGAAACGCTGAAAGGTGTTCATGTCGCTTTTAGTATATCACCTCTATGCGCATGGAAAACAGCCTTCTAGTCGTAAACACTGAGAATAGAGCGAGGATGAATCGAATGGAAGGGCTAGTATCTCGGCTCCTGATAGATTCACATATATCCGGAATCAGGCCTCCACTGGTAAGTAGTTACTCATGCACCACTGCCTTCCTAGTTATCAGGTATTTCTTTGCCAGTTCCTAGACCAAGCCTCGCCGGATGGGATCGAATTTCAGTTCCTTCGCCTGCAAATCCAGAAGATCGTGGATAACCTCAGCTTTATCTCAGCTTCACGTACCTTCGCGGTCGACGACTTCGACGGCAGCTATACCCGGCCGTTGGAATTAACCACATACATGACACATACTGGGCCCCAAGCTAGTCTCATGCGGGTAGCGGTAATCAAAGTCCTCGAGATCATTCAACTACTAGAATCGAAACCCTCGAGCCTCTCCATTCCAGACGGCGCCGAGCAGTTGCTGGATTTAGGTAACTACCTATGGGACTTGGGCTTGAGTGACGACGCGGCCGCCATTGATACCTGGGCTATCACTATCTACCGCACCCTCATGATGGGAAACAACACTGCATTTATGCCTTACGTTGCTTGGGGTTTGCTAAACCTTGCGTCCTTCCGTTCTGGGACGCAGGACGGACTCAACGCATCCAAATCTGCCGTTAGCATGTATAAAGCTATGGTCGACACAATTACGACTTTCGACTACTCATCACATCTTCCGCGGGCTATACGCAACCTTTCCGTCGAACTCATGATCAACGGCCTTTACAAGGACTCGGTTGAGTCCGCGAAGGAAGCTCTTGCACTGCAGCGCAAAGTCTCAGATTCTACACCCCTGTACGACACATGGATTCAATGGGAGGCCTCTGGAGAGGAGATCGTCGTCTTTTCCTCAGCGCGTCACTTCCAGAGATCGCAGAATATGGCGTTTGAAGAGGGAATGTGTTTGCAGCAGCTGGCTTGCAGTCTAGCCATGGTCGGTCGGTACAGCGAAGCCCTCATCGCCGGCAACGAGGCATTCAACTGTTATCAAGCATTGGTCGCCAATTACCCTGGTCATGGTGCATACGATGGTCGGCTCAGGGACATTAGCGAATCCCGCTCTGGGTGGATCGTCATCGTCCGTTCCCCAAGTGACCCCAGTCCTTTCGCTTCTGTCGACGATACGAGCTCTGAGGACGGCCAGTCGGAGACCACTGACATAGAAGAAGAAGTTCAGACTTCCGTCCTCACATCCGAGGACTAACCTCCAGAACCCCACCTAAAAGCGATACCCTTGTTTCTACATATACCTACATCAAGCTATCTACATCATTATGTTTCCTCATCCCATAGCTCGTTTCAAACATCCTATTTACCTTACATTCCTCATACGACATGCACATTGTATTTTACCATTTGTTTTGATTTGGGATTAGGGGAAATGCGCGGCTCCATCAGCCACCAGTGTTATTCGTGAAATCTTTCACAAAGGTGCTTTGCATGCTATCTCGAACATTACATGCAATTTGGATTCAATAACAAATGGTATATCGAGGTACACTAAGATGATAGTCCGTTAATACAAAACGAAGAGTGCTGCTTCGAGTCCAAATTTACGTTAAAGCGGGGAGAGTTTACAGATGGTCAGACTATCTCTCGTCATCTGAGTCAGGGAGTCGGCCCATATCATCGTCCTGTTGCGCTCTTGTCCGCGAAGGGGGTTCGGTTGCAGTGCGACCGCTGAAGAAGCTGTCGCCTGTCCCAGGGCGAGCTGAACTGCTGTGGCTGGCGCCCTGAGGATGGCCATATGTCCGCCCTATCGCGCTGCTCAATTCCATCTGCTCTTCATCCTCGTCCCCAAGATCAGGCAACACTCCGAACTTCCGTTGCGCCGGGCTGAAAGGAGTACTTCCGTTCGCACTCCTGACAGATCCGGCCCTTCGTCGTTCAGCATGGCTGGCGGAGATGCTTGTTGCTGTCGCGCTGTGGGGGCTGGTTTGTTGGGGGAAAGCGACATTGTTCAGCTTGTGCGCTTGCTCGGCGTCTGGGACGGAGGTCGGGGAGCCTTTGACGACTCCTGGGCGCGTGATGCTGTACAAGAGGACGTTGAGAAAACCGCTCGAGGAGAACAAAATCCCTGCAAAAATGGTTGCCCCGGGAGGAACGCTAGAGCCGGAGAAATCGAGCCATCGGACGATTGATACGGGGAACACGGTGATGATGTAGACCAAGGGATAGCTACAATGACTTATCAGCGCAACAAGGTCTTGGTAGGTACGATGGGAACTTACAACAGCATTTGCATCGCGCGTCCGTTGGTTGCTTTGGCTTCCTCGTCCTTTATTCCTTTATAGTAATCATCATCATGGCGGTCGAGTTGCGAAGTCTTGACAGATTGCCAGCCAAATCTGCCTTTCTCGATGACAATGACTCCGCGGAAGACCAACGCGAGGAAAACATAGATCGCAACCTGGATGAAAGCAGCGGCCCATAACCAGAAGTATTCTAGTCCAATGCGTTCGCGCGAGTATGTCTCGCTGATCCAACACCCTGAGAGTGTGTCAGCATGAAGGATGAGACCGGCCGATGAAACTTGGAGGACTTACAATATCCTGTGTTGCTGTAATACGGTGCATCTGAGGTTTGGTGCAAACCAGCGGGAATGGCGATGGCCAGGACAATGAACGTCCAAATTAAGCTGACGACAATGAAGGGAACCGGGATGGAGAAGATCCGCGTTGGGGGATGCCAACGCAGACCCAGTACTAGGAAGGTGTGGGTTGCGATTGTGAGGGTGGTGAGGGCGACGCCAACATCTCCCATTTGCTTCATCACACCCTGCGCCGTGCAAAGCGACCCATCTGCAACCGACTGAATCCAAGCATAAGAGGAGCAGTATAACGTGATGATGACGGAGACGTACAGCATCAATTATCCACTGAATATTGAGGAGACCACCTATGGAATTGTGCAATTCAGTAAGCAAACAATCCACGAGACAAGAATACTACTGACCGGTGGCTTGGATGAGTTCTGCCACCATGAGGTTCCTGAAATATGTTGACCCGCTAACATCCTGTGGTTCATTATCGACACTGTCTGTGTCTGAAATGGGTCCCCCTGTAGGCCCATGGCCATCTGTACGCGTATCTTGTCGTCTGGTGAATGAACCGTACTACAGACAATGCTGTGTTAACACGTTGGGCCCGTTTGCACGTAAAACCGACGCGTACCAGAATGTACAGCAGCAAAGCTCCGGTTGCGATCGCCGAGAGACTAGCCACTTCCACGATCAAAAATAATCCCAGCCGTTCGCCGAAATCGAAAAGGTCGGCCATGGAGAGTGGTGGGAGGTGAAAGCTAGCAGATATCTAGCTTTGCTGCCCGCCCTATAAGCCTCTTTGCGAAAACAAGGGCGGTGCCCCGTACTTTGACAGACACCCAATCAGCGCGGGGCAAGTCATGAGTTTCTCCATGATGATCTAGGGTCGAGGTTGATGTTCCGGCGCTGGAATCTTATCGTACAGCCTCGTATAGCCAACAGGCAACACCTGCGTCAACGTCAACGTTGTTCAGATATTTGTACCGCATGTGATGGTAATGCGTGGGCCATTTCAGTCGATGACAGTGGAACTGCAATACAGCTACGATCACCTCCTATCAGCAAACCCTTTCTCCACTTCTTCTGCAAATTCACCCAGCGTCTCGAAGCGCAGCGACCATTTACCTTCACCAAGTCGTTTGACTCTTTCCGGATCAAGGTCTGGCGAATTATCCTCAACATTCAGACCCATCCTCGTTCCTTGTCTATGGATCCAGACACTCTTAAGCCCAAGCTCGTGAGCTGGATAGATGTCGTGGAATAGGCTAACGGCCACTACCAGGATTTCTGACTTGTCTCTGACGTCGCAGTCGGGATCTTTGATGATGCACTCGATGGCCGCACCGATTCCGAGCGGCGACGGTTTGTAAGCTCCGGTATCTTGAGCGGTCAGTACAAGGGTAAATGGGGACTTTGATTCGGGATTCCGACGGGGGTGGAAACCAAGGGATGGGTCGAGGGGTGTCCTCGCTGGCTGTGGTTTATGAGCGTAGAGGCTAAGATGTTCTGTGTCATCGGATAATTTAGAGTGCGTGAATGCGAACGACTGATGGTCAACATTTGATAGGACCGTTAATTTGTACCGCTTAGCGAGTGATCGCAGTGCGACGACGGTGTCGGAAAACGGAGGCCAGTCGCGTATGGATTCCGCGAACTTAATCGCGTCGCCCTCAGAACCGCTTGTTCCCTCTCCCGCTGTACTCATTTGACGGTCCAATTCCTTGTAAGATTCCTCCAGGACCTTGGCGTATAGCCAGTCCGGATGCTGCTCTTCCAAAGTGGCCTCGACGATGCAATATGCCTCCAAAACATCTTTCCGAGACCACGATGCGCAAGCAGGGTTCTTCTTGATAATTGGAATGAGCCCCTCGTAAATCGGCGACTCCCAGTCGACCAGGGTACCGTAGACGTCAAAGATAATTGCCTTGAACGCTGCCAGGTTGAGGGCCATTGTTAAAGTGATGATCGATTGGTGAAGTTCAAATTTGATCGGCGCTTAATGAACGGTGTTGCTTCAGAGCGACGATCGCGGAAGGTCGTTCGGTGCACAGCTTTATATGTTTCCATCCATCAAGCCTTCAACTTTAGACATTGATCACCGAAACAGCTTACCATACGGGATGGACAATGTTGCAATGACCCTTTGCTTGCAAGCGCTGGAGCGCCACCACCCGAGTCGCTTGTGGACGATTTCACCAATCCACATGCAACGAATGGCGACCGTCGTGCTCTCGAAAACACACCGTGGACGATAATCCGTTGCTGGCGGTGAGGCACTATGCTCAGGCTTGCAGTAGCGGTCTCAGGCGGTGGAATATGCTTTTGAAACCATTCGGTTGCAGCAAAGGGTCCTGCTAGCTAGGCTGCACATGCGTGGCGATGGGACGGCAATGGGGAAGCATCAAATCCCGAAACATCAACCTGCTCAAGTGCGGACTTGGTTTCGTCTCGTTGTAACCAAGTTGTAACTCCCCGAGAGGAAACGCGGGCCCTGTCTTGGCAGCGCTCTTCACGCTCCAAGGTATAAGAGGCTTTGAATTTGCTGGATGGTCCCTCAGCAGTTGCCCACTGGTTGTCTCAACAGCTCATCTTCGCCAACCACCTTCTAAGTGCCGGTCACTTTGAGGTTTTCTCTCTTTCGACTCTACGACTCTTTTTACGACAAACACTCTTTAACTACATTCTCTCTTCTCCTATTACCCCTACACCCTTATCACCATGGTTCACACTTCATCCGCCGTTGTTTTTGGTGCCATCGCTCTCAATGCCGCTTCCGCGCTCGCTACCCCCATGAAGTAAGGCTCTATCCAGTTTTATCATCGAGTCGTGTCTCATCCCTATTTTTATTAGTGTCGTTGACACTACCAGTCACCAGGCTCGCGATGTCAATGAAAACAACTCTCAGCTTGAGGAGCGTAGGATCGGCTCCTTCTTGGGCAAAGCCGCTCCTTTCTTGCCGCTCCTTAGCTTCATCCCCGGCCTCGGCGGACAACAACGTCGAGATGTCGACGAACTCGAAGCTCGTCGCTTGAGGGATACTCTCAAGAACGCCGCGCCGTGGGCACCATTGGTCCCTCTTGCCCTTGACTTCTTCAAGTCTAAGCCAGCACAAGCCCCTGCTGAGCCTGCCCCGATCCCTCCCCAGCGCCGCGAAATCGAGGAGTTCCTCGGCCGCGATTTATCTGATCACGAAGCCCGTGGCCTGGGCAAATTCCTGGGCAAGGCTGCTCCCTTCATCCCCTTCCTCAGCATGATCCCCGGCTTTGGCGGACAACAACGACGCGACGTCAATGACCTCGGCGTCTGGGGTCCACTCATCCCAGCTGGCTTGCACGCAGCCAACGGTGGTGAGCGGATGGGCCCTCCTCCCCCTCAACGCCGCGAGATCGAGCAGATGCTCGAAAGGGAATTGACCGACGTCGAGGCCCGTGGCTTGGACGGCATCCTCGATACCGTCAGCCAGATCGCCCCGTGGCTCCCAATGATCGGTGGTATGCTCCCCGAAAGCAAGCCCAGGCCACCTAAGGTCCCCACCAAGCCTGCTGCCCTCCGTGGCAAGCCCAAGCGTTCAGAGGAAGCCGACGAGTCACTCGAAGCCCGTCGTCTACGCAGCACCTTTGACAAAGTGGCACCATGGGGCACTGTCATTGGCATCGGTGCTGATCTCATCAGGCAAAAGCTGTCTCCCAAACCTGCACCTGCACCCGTCGACCCGAACGCACCTGCACCCGCTCCCGTGCGCCGGGACACTCAAGAGGACAATGAACTCGAAGCGCGTGCTACTCCCAAGGGCGCAAAGAGTGGGAAATCGACTTTGAGCCGGATTGGTAGCGGCCTTGGTACCGCTGCTGCATTCGCCCCTCTCATTGGCCTTGGGATCGAAGCAGTCAATCAGGGACAAATGCGACGCGACATTGACGAGCAGTTCTGGGCTCGTGGCGTTGAAGATGATGAAGGCCTCGAGGCACGCGATTTTGTTGAAGAATTCTCCGCTCGCGGCGTCGAAGATGATGATCAACTTGAAGCACGCGCCCCTCCCAAGGCTGGAAAGAGCGGAAAGTCTACCTTGAGCAGGATCGGTAGCGGACTTGGTACAGCTGCCGCATTTGCTCCCTTGATCGGCCTGGGGCTCTCTGCGCTCACCCAGGGACAAAGGCGACGCGACCTTGAGGACCAATTCTGGGCTCGCGATGCTGAAGATGACGACCACCTCGAAGCACGTGCGACTCCCAAGGGTGGAAAGTCCACCTTAAGCAGAATCGGCAGTGGCCTTGGTACAGCCGCTGCATTTGCTCCACTCGTTGGCCTTGGTCTCGATGCCGTCACTCAAGGCCAGATGCGACGCGAACTCTACGAAGAGTTCTTCGCTCGCGATGCCGAAGACGAATTGGAAGAGCGCGACTTCGATGACGCCGACGATCTAGTCGCCCGCGACTTGGAGGAGCTGTTGGGCCGAGAACTGACCGACATTGAGGCGCGTGGCTTCGGAACGAAACTCGGAAAGGTTGCCCCTTACGTCCCCCTCATCGCTACTGGCCTTTCATTGTTCGGTGGGATGGGCCAGGCTCGCCGCGATGTTTCTGAAGAGCTCATGGATATCTTCCATCGTGAACTCTCGGAATCTTTAGAAGATTTAGATTGAGGAGGGATTATGCATATACCCTAGTGTCGATACCTTATTTACATGAGCGTAGTCGAAGAGTACTTGAATATACATGGGCTGTTGGCACTTCATTTTCTTCAGTTAGTCTTGGCTTGGGCAGAATCGGGTGTTATAATTTGACCCTGAGAAAAAACCTCTCCAGTAAAGTTTCCATTGATCTTCACTCACGACGCGCCTTCGAAAGCTTGCGTTGGAATGAAGTTCGCAAGGTAAGCTGCAGGTATTGTAATACTCATCTGTGTTGACCTCTGCGTACTAGGTACCTCGAGGAAACTCAGGCGCGTCGCGTTGCTTCTAATCCCGTTGCAAGCTAACATTCCGCCAATTCCGCATAAATAGACCCCTGAATGGAAAAAGGCCTATATGTTTGTATCATCTCTTCCACGTCGTCGGGTTTCCTATCGCTGAACGACAAGATGAAGTGATTATCGCGGGCTCAAGAAACGAATTACGGCAATTCGACGAGCTTCTCTGCAGACAGTCGATAGCCCCGCTGGCTCCACAACGCACTTGTCCGTGAATGAAAGCCCGAGATCTTCAAATGACCATAACGACAATGGACTGAACGGTCGATCGACGGTAACGGAACAACGAGGACATGCCTCAAGCCTCCAAGGTCAGTGTCCGTTTGTTCCGCATGCCTAACTTGGCTTAAACCGGATGGAAGACAAGCCAGTACGAGGTGAACGACCTTCCATGATTTCCAGACGATCGCAAAGTCAACGGATTCCTCGGAGCATGAAGAGCAGAGGCTCTGCTTCTCGAGGTAAGTTCCCTTCACCTTACTTAACTTCTGGACTGAATATCCGAGTGCATTCGCGCAGACCGAGCACCCACCCTTTTGAATGGTCCGTTTACGCCGATGCCCCTTCATGAATTACTTCCACTCTTGTCCTCCACGGAGAAACTTTTCTTCGCTGCCCTTGATCACGAACTTGAGAAGATCGAAGCATTCTACGAGAAGCAAGAGAAGGCCTTACAAGAACATACTCAGATGCTGAAAGAACAACTTAACGAGCTCGCTGAGCACCGGAAACAATTCTATGTGAGCTTTTCGCGTATGAGTTGTGGTTCTAAATCGATGTCGGTTTGCGCAATATAGGAGGCTTTTCCAGAGCATAAGCAAACGCTAGCATCCGCACTCAAGCAATACCAAAGCGGTCTCAGATGGCGACTTAGACTTGGGAAGGCTAAGCAGAATGGGTTAGAACAGACTGTCGAACTCAGTTCAGCACAACCACCGTCGATGGAGAGACCTACAACTAGCGGCACCGCCTTTTCAAATGATGATAGCGACAACGCAGGCCCTAGTAAAGGCAATGCATTAGACGCGTCCTCCCGGTTGCTGGCTCCTGATGAGTACCATCATGCTAAGAAGAAATTACGAAAAGCAGTTGTCGAACACTATCGGTAGGAGCTGTAGTTACGCCCCACCTGGTAAATCATTAAATCAGTCCCAGCGCGCTGGAGGCACTTAAGAACTACCGGGTGCGAGCTTCATGATCCTTGCCGTCAATGGCCCTGTGTCTGACCTTCGGCTTAGATCTTGAATATCACCGGGTTCAGGAAGGCCCTCAAGAAATTCGAAAAATTCACCAAGGTCAGCTTTTCAAGGCTGCATGTTCAGTATATAGGCTGACCAGGGATTAGATTCCGGTGCAGCACGCGTATATGGCAGAAAAGGTCTTGTTTTGATACATGGCGCAAAGCCGAAGTTCTCAACGAGTGTACTGCAATATGTAGGTTGAGACCAGCGCCTTCTATTCCGACAAAGCGGTCAACGCCATGATCGAGGAAATGGAAGGCGTCTATACCTTGAGGTTTGGTATGCGCCCAAGTTCTTCCTCTTGTCCCGTTGCTGAATCAACTTAGAACAAGGCGATAGAAAGAAGGCCCGTGCACGTTTGCGAGGATCAGGAAAAACCAAAAGCCACCATTTCAGCACTTTTCGCTCTGGAATACTGTTGGGCTTAGCACTACCGGCCTTGGTGTCTGGAATATACCATAGTAACATCATTTCTTTCGCACTCTCTGATGATGCTCATCTTTCCTTCAGGCTTTCTCCAGGAAACAAGGGATGAAATACCAGGATGGGACGCGCTTCTCTTCGTTTATGGAATGCTGTTGATCCCTGTCCTCTTCTCGTTGCTGGTCGGCTTAAATTTGTTAGTATGGTCGCGGTCAAGGATAAACTACGTCTTCATCTTCGGTATGTGTACCCTCAGTCAAAACAAATCCATCTTACACTCAAGATAGAGCTGGACGTACGAACAAGGCTCGATCATAGGGAATACTTTGAGGTATAATTGTTCCCGGTTGACCTTCCCTCCGTTAATTTCTTCGTAGATCCCCTCAATCTTATTTGCAACCTTATGCTATGCATTCTGGCTCTCATTTTCACGTTTAGGGCTGCCTCCAGGCTTGACTACTGTATGGCCTCTTGCTTGGTTGGGCTTTGTGGGTCTTGTGTTCTTCCAACCGTTCCCCTTCCTCTTCAAACCCTCAAGGTTCTGGCTTCTACGGAAAATAGGAAGGCTACTGATGTCGGGGACAAGACGTGTGGAGGTATGTACTTCCTAACTGGGTTGGCCCCTTCACTGTTGACAGATTTTCTCAACTTCTACTTGACGGCGCTCGCAATACATACTCACCCACTACTTCTACTCGCCCTACTTCTCACCGCCCATCGATATAGTTCGCAGATTTCTGGATGGGGTAAGTATCTCTCGTCTCGAACCCTTTCAAACTGCCGTTTTTGTTTACACGCTAATGCTTGCGTGATTTTTCTTTTTGTCTTCAGAGACCAGTTCTGTAGCCTGTTCTTCACACTGTCAAACTTGTACCTGTTCGCATGTGTTTATGCCCGAGGTTTTGACGATCAGTGGAGGCGATGTGGAACTTCCTCTCCCAATTGGCCCGCTGCATTCGCGCTTGGTATACTACCCTTCGTAGTTCGCGTCGTTCAGAGTTTACGGCGTTATGCCGATTCTAAACTCCCCACCCATCTGGTTAACGTTAGTCCGGCTAGCCTTGCTCTGGGATTCAACTTACACTTAAGCGAAACTCTAGGGTGGAAAGTATGCATCCGGCATCGTCAGTTATTTCTTCTATTTTCTATGGAGACACAATGGTGGGTTTGATCCTCCACAACCGAAGAGTTGACCCGATTGTGTACCGTGTAGGGAGTAGAGCAAGCTTAGCCCTTTGGTGTGTCTCCTCCATCGTGTATGCAATCTACGCTTCCTCTTGGGTACGGCCCGCACATATCTTCGACAGTCAGCGGACTTAATTGAGCACATAGGATCTTCTGATGGATTGGAGTATTTTGCGCTTCAAGTCAGATGGAAGATTCCCCTTCTTGAGGCCAGAGCTGGTGTACAGCGAATCGATACCCGTGAGTGGCGGTCCCCTCCCGTAAACCGCTAGTGTTGACCTTAATAATAGTTTTATTACTTCGCCATAGTAAGTGATAGATAGTAACGCAAGAGAAGCATCGATTCAGCTCATATTTTCAACTAGGTTTCTAATGTTCTGTTACGATTCGTTTGGGTATTCTATATCCCGAGTCGCGGCCCTAACATAATGTTACGAACCTTCATCGCCGGTATACTGGAAATGCTTCGACGTTGGCAATGGAATTTCTGTGAGAACATGGTTTCTCCACTATTATAACGAAGTTTTCTAACGGACGATGGGCGCAGACCGTCTGGAGAACGAGCACCTCGGTAACGTAGATCAATACCGCATTACCAGAGAGGTTCCCCTCCCATATTCCTTTGACGAGGCTAGTCAGGACGACGATAACGACGAGTCTGACGCTCAGGCCGGGGTGGCTTCCAGTCGAATGGCTTGGTTGTTCTATCGGAAACGTCAATCCGAGCAGAACACCAATAGTGATTCCAACTAGGGTATAAAAATAGGCTAAACCAACATAGCAACTAATTCGACGAGGAAACTAACGAGCTCTTCATCGCATGGAAGTGGCTATTTGATCTAATTCTCGCTCTATCAGTGAATTGGGGGCCTTCTTACGCAACTCCCTTCACATAGATCGGTGTTTAGCCTAGTTATTGTCGTGGAATAGATTTAGACTTACATCAATTTTGCCTTGTCTCCCCGCGTTTTGCATTCTTCACCTGCCTTGCGCCACTCGCCACATTTCACGTATAGGTCTGGCCTCCGAGGTGAATCGCAACGAGAAACATACGTCGCCGCTTCTTTTGAGAAACCCTTCTCAACGAGATGGTTCACGAAGGGTTCGTAACCGATCGGGCTTCGTTTCGATTTCGTAAACGCCTCAAGCCCTTCAAAGTCGCGTGTGGAAGTCAGGGCGTATAACTTGAGATACCAAAACCTAGAGACTACTATTCATCCTGGTTATAAAAGGGTGACCAGGGCTCCGCACCTTTTATCTGGTACCTTGAAATCAGACTTGACCTTATCAGCCCGTTTGGCCATGCCGTTGACGAGGCATGTATGAATGGTGTCGTTGACGCTCAGACCGGAAAATGTAATCTTCCCATCAGTCTCTTGCTCCAACTGCATTTGTAAATTCAACAAACGAACGCTTTCGTCCATCATCTGTGGCGGAATGACCGTGTCAGGGATGATGGTTGCTGGATGGGGCCGCGTACAAAAGTTACCTTGGCTTCAAATGCACGATCTTTATCTTCTGAAAAGAATTTCTGAGCCGCCTTGACAGCGTTGATTTTAGATGCCGGGTCCTGAAAGACTGGATAAGCACTTGAGCGTTATTGTGAATTGGAAAGCTCACAAGGATTTGTGTAGATTCCTCTAGAGATAGCACTGCGCTTTCTACCCGGCGGTCATCGGAATAGTAGAAGTCCCTGAGCATCTCTCGGTTTTGTTCTCGCGCATAGACTTGCAGGAGGCGGCTTGCGAGTGTCAGTCGCTCTCCTCCATCTTCTATGAGCCTGAAAAAGGTACCGAGTGGAAGTCTGTTGTATAGGTGTAACAAGACGTGATAGACTGACAAGCGTTAGCCGTTGAATATAAATAGAAGTTGGGGGTATACCAAGGTCGGTGTCACCACTATCAACAGCCTTGATAAGCGCGAGTCTATCTTCCTTCATCGTCAGTAGTAGTGGTACCTGATCGGACGCCCTGGACTCATGATCAAGCAGCTAATGCGGGGTCAGTAGGGTCGGGGCGGCGGGGGCGTGCTCTACCTTTGTCGCTAAACCAGTGCGACCCGCCTCCCAGGCGCGTTTGGCAATGTCCGCAAAGCTCACTTCTGGACCACCAAGTTTACGGAATTTATCCACGATAAGTTGACAGACCTCATCATCCGCAGATGCATCCGTGACCGTTGCTGTGCCAGATCCTGACGGCCGTGAATGGAGGACTTTAGCACTTGCCCAGTGCTTCAGCACGGCATCCGGCTTCAGCGACAGGTAAGTTGAAATTCTATGCGCAAGTAAGTGGAGGTTTCGAGCGGTCAATCTAGCAACCAAATGGGACGGTGATGCATGGAGGTATCTGGTCTCCCGTAAGAAAGCGGACATGAACAAGTGTGAAGATGACGTACTGCGTATACGTGAGTGGAACACTAATCTCGTAGAATCTAACTGAGTTAAGCACTTTGAGTGTTTGCCCCATAGTTACGAAGTCCGAGGGATTGAATAAATCGAGAAAACCGCGCCCAAACTTGGCGGCCTGACCGGGGGTAAATGTGTGTCAGCAGAAAAAGGACAAATCAACGTACGTTCATCAGTCGTCGTTGCCAATATGGCTCCCATTCGTGGCCTGCAGCGTCGATACACTCGTTCACCGCTGACGCGAGCTCAGGGCGTATGCTACGAATACTTTCATCAGCTTTGGGTGACCGCTGCGAAAAGCTTTCCCATGCATCATATAGCATCGCTGATGGAGAAGTCGAACCTGGCCGAAACACGGACACAGTAGAAGCTGAAAAAATATGTTTAATATTCTTTGGGAAATTTGGTACGTTACAAACATTGCACCCACCGGGGACCTTTTGCACCAAATCACAGACCTCAGGGCTCATCAATCGCACGCCGTCTGGTTCGGTGACGGCGAAGATTGGTCCTGAGTAAAAGTATCTGATCATGGTTTACAAAATGTGGAAAGCCCAATAAGAAGTGAACTCACTCAAGGGTATCTCCAAAGGGCCCAACGAGAAGCGCAAATGCATCCCAAGTCACCAAAATAGCATCATTCCCGCACCAGACAATCTGCCGCACCGAACCATCGGCATGTTGGGCGGTGCTAGTATCAAATTCGGCCATGCTTCGCTGAAAATCCGTGGACACAACCAATAGAAGCCCAGAAAATGTGAGAAGAGCGAGAGATTTTCCGTTCGGAGAGGGGGAGAGATGAGTGAATGGGCCGCGAGAAAGTCGTTGGTCGACAACTTCGAGGTTATCAACGCTGTATATGGTGGCCTCGACTGATAAGAGAACCTCCACATGCCGCGAAATGTTAAGATCGGGTGGAATCACCGCCCATGCGTGCGGTGGTGATGTCAAGCCTGCATTGATTGCTGCATCAGACAACATGCCGGAATAACGGACAGTGGCTCTCACCTGGATTAGCCAAAGACAGCGGCCTCGCTCCTTCCCATCCTTTAACTTCTAACAATGTCAAGGAGCCAGTGATAGCGACAAGTCCGCTTTCGTAGATGCATGCATCTACAATTCCGAGTTCACCAGCTTCGCTGCCGAGCGAATATTGCTGGTAATCTCCTTGCAGGTCATACAGGCGGTATACACCTTCCTCGTTCAGAATGACCAGGCGCTCGTCATCTGTCCATCCAAACCGCACGATTTTGCCGTTGTCCCACTACAAAGCCAAGTTTTAGTTCAGAATATCTGCCACAACACGACATTTGAGTATCCACACTGAACAGGAGCATGCCATCGCCAGCTGGTGAATATATTTGAATTTGGGCCTTGTTCAGTGCAGGATTCGTGCCGCCGATGGATATAACTTTCGTTGTATCACGCATCATTGCTAGGACTACAGTCAATGTCCGTAGAATATACACGACGCGCTACTGCTCACCCAACGGGCCACCATACTTGCAACCAGCAACTATATATTCGTTCAGGTTGGGAAGCTTGCCAGATGTAGAATATAGCTGCTGCCGCCGGTAAAAGACATTCCCATCTTGCATGGCGGACCATGATGCTGTAGGGTGCGCTGTCATCTTGCTCAGTCGTTGACGGAGATGGTGAGGAGACCAACTGCCACCGACTGAGGAACGCGATATTGCTGAACACGTGCCAAGTAGTGAATAGGAGTCAATTCGACCGCTCCCGTTCAAGCTTTGGCAATAATTTATGACTAGATGTCTGCTTGAGATCTACGGCTCATCGTTCATGATACCCAAAAGCAAACGAGTCATGCAATAAATCAACGTACGGTAAACGGACTAAAGGATGCATCTCAAAATGCCACATCCGATATGAAAATGTGCATAGATATACAATGGTATGAGCATGGACTATATATAGCGATAAATACATAGCATGGTCCTCAGAGCGATGTCCATATAATGAAGAGAATCTAGGTTATCTTGACTGGAATGCGGACGCGAAGGTCATCTTGCCCGAATAGTACAGACACGTCCACATAGTACTGTTGGATTGCTGGTTAACAACCGGCGTAATAAAATAGGGTTTCCATTTGCTTACCTTCACAGATATCCCGATCCAGTCAATCGATGGTAGCATAGCCGAATTTAGTGGTATCTTCGACTTGTGAAGGCCGTCAGGAAGCATATGTTGGGTAGCCAGACTTGGATGCTTCTGATCACCGCACGGATTGCGCGGACGCTTGGGAAACCCGATGCACATGCTTGAGTGGAGTGAGTTCGTCTCTGAGAGGCTAGTTTCCATGGGTAGCCTTGGTAGAGGTTTCTCACGTATGTCCTGTGAACTGTCGGTGTAAAGCGTCGGGGACGATGGCGAACGGCGCGGCCGTCCGCCTACGCGCTTAAGGAGTTTAGCAGACCGTGGCGGCTCATTCTCGTCGATCGATGAAGTAGGCGTATGTGGTGGAGTTGGTGGGAGCGTTATCGTTTGTTGAATTTGAATTTGTTGAATGAGCGACACGGAAATAGTTGCATCGGATGCAATCTCTTTGACGAGAGAAGGTGAACGAGGGGTCGTAGTGAAAACAACGAAGAAAGGTATCGAAGTCCCTCTCGAGAATGTAACAAGGCTGGGAAGCGTGATCGCGACACGGTACGGTATCGGGCGATCCGATCGAAGAGGCATTTCCAGCCACGAATCTTGACTGACAGGAGAACAATCAAGTGACTGGAAGTCCCTTTCAGGCTGCACTATGATCGGCGTCTCTAAGCTATATATTGGCAACTATCAGTTAAATTAGAACAACATAACATAACGAAGATATCACCTTGTTGATAGTTCTATACCCTCCGCCGGTTCCCAGGACGCTTGAATGATATATTGAACTTGGTGCCCTGGGGTTAAGGATTGACGAAGGGGGTCCGCATCGTCCAGTTTGAAAGATGAAGACGACGGTGGCAGCTCCTCTGCCGACCTACAACTTCGGGGAAGGTCGAAGTTGAAGGAGTACGACCGTTCTGCAGAGGCATATGTTGTCCCGAGACTGGATCCACTTGGGCGCCGCCGTATACTGGCAGCAAAGGCGTCCCTAAATGCCGAACGAGGTGGCTCAGGCGACACTACTATCGCCGTTGATGCGGCTAGGAACACATGGCTCTTTTGCTCAGCATTGTATTTCGACGATTCGCCCTTGTTCGTATAGAGGAAGGAGCCTTTCATCTTGAAATGACATTGCCATCAATATCATCGTTGCTAAGAATAATACAACGCCGCTCACCGAAATAACCAGTCTGCCGCTCGAGGAGCAGCTGGGATCCAGTATGACGCGCCCTCGTATTTGGTCGTGGTCGCTGAACACAGGAAGCGGGGGCGCATGGTCCATCTCGCATGCCTTCAGTGATGGACTTTGTATCTGCATTTCCATTTGCAGTGTCCTATGACAGCGCGTTAGCACGGCCACACGAATAGTAAGACAGGGTGAGCCTACCGATATGTCGAGACATGGGCGTAGGCAGGTGCAGGTGTGAAGCTGGATGGTGGCTGCCGAGACTCGCCACTTGATACTGAGTCAAATCGACGACGAGGTATCCTTACAAGCATGGTGTTGGAACAGAACGTCAACCAACAACCGATATGGACGAGCGGCGAGTTTTATTTGCCTCGGCTGTCCCAGGAACCATGGAGGCTTTCTGTGAATGTAAACCTGATGTAACCTAAATTTTCCGCAAAACATTCCTAGCGTAAGGGACGGAAAGAAGCCACCGCTTCACTGATTTCCACTCGCGGAGATGACGAAAGATCTTAAAGGAGATTTCGCTTGGATCGGTGAGAAACTGTGAGAAATCGTCCCAAGTGAGCGGATCCAACTCTCCGTTAGAAATGTTGAGTGGGGTAAACAGTGTATCAAGAACGCAAACGGATATGACCGTGCATCGACCGACGATGCTAAAGAAGAAATCCGGAACATGCTTAGTATCGGTGCCATAGTTTGAGATATCGCAAAACATACTTTCAGATAGATAGTCTCAAAGCGATAGTGCATTGGAGGCACCATCAAATACACTTTCTGTATACCGAAGGGATGAGAAAACGTGTCCCACATCCACGTGTGGTTTACCTAGCAACTAGACTAACAATGCTACTTTTCCCAGGCGACCTTTGGGTCAACATACTATTCGTTGCTTGTTTTCGAGAAAGATCCGTCAACTATCGATGTTTTCTGATCGCCAGCTACTTGGCAGCCTTCGAACATGCCCTGTCCGAGATCTGCGCCGCATGTGGGGAAGGGTAGCGGTTGGGGACCTTGGGAGTCGATCCCGGGACTATGCGCTCTTTGCACTGTACAAGAACACATAACACATAACCCTTAAAGAGAAATTCGAAGAAGACGGCCTGAATAAAATAACTGATGGACGTTTAAAAACCCATGCGCTCCTTTGGTCACATGCAAGCGATGGATTTTGCGGAACTGGAGAACACCGTTAAGCATTGCAGCGAGGATATCGTGCGACGGGAAAGACGAGAGCGGCGAATACCAAAGGAGGGTAGCATAAGAAGCCACAGGGGAGCGATGGCATTGAATCGTGAGTGTGGCGACGGACTCCGAACGCGGCGAACGCGATCCAGTTATCTGGCTTTTCCGACAACGAAGCATCAAAGTTCGAGGCGTACAAACTCTGGGGGAGGAAAGCTGCACTGTTCTGTATAGAAACCAGCCGCCGGCGTCCGATCCCTGTGACGAAAGCCGCAATCGTATGGAGCACGGGGGTTGACAACGATGGCTCAGGTGACGAGTTGCTTGAGAAATCGCTTGCTATAATGCCTCTGTCGGACATCTTCAGTTGAAAACGACGGAATGAGCTAGATATCCAGATCGGATACGAATATATTTCAGTTCGCGCCGCAACACCATGCACATGATATCTCTTCGAGAGCTTTTCATAGACACCCGCTTTTAATTTGAGTGGTCACCCGTTTGACGATAAGCTTCCTGAGAATGCTTTTAGAGGTCGAGAGACTCGTGGTTTCTATATTTCCCCGATCGAAGAAACTTGGTGCTTCCCTGCTCACAGGCGAAAGACAATAAGACCCTCCGGGTCAGGCGCGCGAGGCCACCAAGGGTTCAATGGTACACCGGTGCGCAACTGGACTTTGAGGGTAGAAAGATGTGCGACACATGTAGGCGGATACATCAGAATCCAGGGTTTATCGAGGACCAAGCATTCCCCGACCGCATGCGCTTGAATGGAGAAGATTCGTTCGATTCCTGACAAGGGTGTCATGACAAGGGAAGAATGGCGAAGAACTCACGCGAAAGCGGTTTCGAAACCACGATCGGAAGCCCGAGGCTCATAGCGTACCAGTGGGCTTTGAACGGCACCGTTGATAACAAGTCACATACTAGTAACTGACATGTCAACTGGCAGTTTCCAACGGAACAGGCTCACCCATAATTAAGTAGCCTGCGGGAAATTGCATCGGCACTCTCATGGTCTCGTCGAATGTATGGAAAGTGTGGTCAGCTGAGGCTGTCTCTGAATCTCCGCCAGAGCCAAAGGCTGTCCGGCCTGGTAACCTCCGCAAATGTTCGCTGAAAGCTGTAGAGGAGGAAAGATGAAGACTTGTCAAATCGATGTTCTCCCTCCGTGTAAAACGTGCCTTGGTCTTCTGTCTTCCTACATAGGAGTAGGGCCTGCTTTTCGCAGCATGTGCCCAACTCAATGGCACGAAAGGTGAGCCTTATTGTCTTCACGAAAACGGATTGCCCACGCTGAGAGTAAATCCACTACCATGGGTGCCATGTTGGTGCATTTCCTTCAAAGATTCAAGGATCAACGCAGCCACCAGTGCTCAAAGAAAAGTACCGTACCGGTCATGGGTTCGGCCCCGGAAACAAGTCGTTTTGAAGCCCACATGGGCTGGTACTATGCTTCATCAATGCTTCGTACCCCATCACTACTTCGTACCCCTTGAATTACTCACCCATTGTCTCCTCCCCTGCTAAGATATTCTCGGAATATGATGTAGCAATGCCTACGCACGCATTCGTACCACTTTGAAGCAATGCACGACCATATTTCAAACGGTAGAATCTTGGCTGGTGTCACGCTCTGCCGCAGAAGCCGCTGCGGACAATGAATCTGGGATTGATTTATCCTGCGTGAGTTCCAATACCTTTTCCGCTCGTCCCTGTGATCGCCAAGTCGGAGTGCAACACTGTGACGTGACGTTTGTGACGCTACGAAGTAGTGATGGGGTACGAAGCATTGATGAAGCATAGTACTAGTTGACTTTCAAGAGTCGAAGAAGACGAACGTGATGATCTCGCGCCTGTCGGACGATGCCGAGCGCTGATAAGATTAGATTCGAAGAGTAATCAGTGACTCTTCTCAAGAAACCTTACACCATGCCGTCAAAGGTGAAGGTCCTCGTCACGGGTATGCGACAATAATCTATACGAGAGCTCTGCTGAATGTTTCTCCAGGAGCTTCTGGTGTTCTCGGTTCCGCTGTGAGCGCTGCCTTGAGAGATCACGGCGGCCTCGACGTCACTTCTCTGTCGAACACACGAACCGGAGAGGGCTTGATCCAGCTTGATCTTCTTGATTCCAAGAAAGTAGATGAGTTTATTGAGAAGCTGAGACCTGACTGTGAGTCTTGCGTTTCTAAAACAAGTATCCCCATTACTTGGGCGTTCGAACTTCGACGTCTCGTGAGCGGGCATGTTGACTACGTATTCCACATCTGCAGGGGTCATTCATTGTGCCGCGGAAAGGAGACCAGACGTTGCCGAACAGGTACGCTGTTTGCCAACATTCAATCCGTTGACAATCTTCTTATCGTTCCCCAGGATCCTCAGAAGACACAAGCTGTAAGCTCCGACGCATCCAGCATTGGAAAGTTCAATGACATGCCCCCCAAAGTTGAATGTCTCCGTGCCGGAACACCTGGCGAAACTTTCCAAATCGCTGGGCTTCCGTTTAGTCTATATATCCACCGGTGCGTGCCACAATTATCGTGTCATAGCTGGATCCATGTAACCCTTGAACTCGCGACCTAGACTATGTGTTCGATGGAACTTCTCCGCCGTATGCTCCTTCTGCGACTCCCAACCCACTCCAACTTTACGGACGCACTAAAAGAGATGGGGAATTGGCCGCCCTTGGTTTGAGTGGCGCAGATGTCATCGTGCTCCGCGTCCCAGTCTTGTACGAATGGCTATCGTGTCTAAGTAGATGCAGAACTCAAACCATTCCCGTAGATATGGACCCGCGCCGAAGAATTCCGACTCTGCCGTGAACATCTTAATCGATGTCGTTAAGGACCAATCTGGAAAGCAATACAAGATGGATCACTATGCCACCCGATATCCCACTAATGTCCTCGATATCGCAGGCTTTTTGGCTAGACTTACGGGTTAGCTAAATGGATGTCACTCCCCCGCAATCTAATCATGCACCCACAGATTTCAAGGGTGTTATCCCTCCCATACTGCATTATTCCGCCGCTGAGCCATTCACTAAGTACGAAATGTGCTTGATCTTCTCGAAGATACTTGGTTTGCCCCATGGTCACATCATCCCAGACGACCAACCTCCAACAGGAGCAGGTGCTACCACTCGTCCAAGGAACACGCAACTGTATACGAGGGAGACCGAAAGCCTCGGCGTCGAAGGAGGGTTGGGCCTGACTTTGTTCGAAGAGTGGTGGTCTGAGTACCTCAAATAGTTGACTGAGCAAACTGTAGGATGTCCAACGGACCAAACTTGTACAATATGGAAGTAACGAATGCAACGTGACCTTCGTCGTGTCTATAATATTCTTTAACTAAAGTCTTCCGACAGGCTCTGCCCCAATTTCTCAGGTTTGGTTGCCTTCTTGTCAGCTCCCTATATTTGCGTCAGAACACAGAGCCATTGCAACAACGCAAAATCATACTGCATCAGGCAAATACGCTGCACAGGTGGTCAGACACGATGGCTCTAAAGAAAAAACTACGTAGACCTACCTTTTCTTTGCTCCTTGTCTGGTACAACTTTGGTTGGTTCTTTATGAGAATTCACGGAGGAAAATCCCATCGGTTTTTCCTCCCCTGTGGCCTCAAGGGGAGGAGACTGCGTCCCAGAGCTGGTTGTAGTCGACATGTTTTTTGAGAGTCAGTCGTTGGGAGAGAACGATAAGGATGGCTGCTGCTCTTCTCGTGGATGGTTATATAGGCTTCGGGGCGATCCACAGTGACATCGAAGGTGACATCAGCGGTTCCTTCTGAGCGGGCAGGGGGCCCCTATTGTACCACCACGTCTCCTAATCTCCTTAAGTGAAAACCAGTCGTACTTTCAACGGCATCATGTTCAAGTCATATTCCAACGGTAGTGGTGCACGTTGCGCTGGAAAATGGACTACTGTGACGGTACCTCAGTACCGTTCTTTGGGACCAGGTCGATGACAGTGCAACTTACGTGTATACGTCTCTTCTGAGTCTGTTTCGAATGTATTAGCGGTAAAGGAGGTTTTAAGTCGAAGTTCCAACACAAGGTTCTCAGAAAGTGACAAAAGTTTCTGACGCGCCTTTCTGCCGCAACTGTTGGGATTAGGTTCACACCCCGTCAGTTGTGGCGCGTTGTGGGAGTACTTTCTCCTTTTCCAAGAAAGCTTGTACAGGCGCCACCTAGAATGGCCCTGATGTGCTTTTTTCCGCATAAAATATTGGGTGGGTAAAAGGAACAGGCTGATCATATGCTCCTCATGGTCATGGATCAGGCGTTGAATGATCCTGTCATGGAGGTAAAACCTCGGATCCAACGGAGGCCTCGAACACAAGGTGTGTTGATGTTGCTGCTCGTACCATGAGAGTACCACAAAGAAATATGGACGGAGGCAGCGATAAGGAGGAAGAGTTTTATATGAACATGAGGCTCTGGGGTTCGAGTTTGGCTTTGAGGCATTCGAGCGGTAACTTGCAATCGAACCTGGACGTAAGTCGTTGTCAACACAGCAAGAAAGCCACGTGGCAACGGAGAAGTTACTTTTTGTTCTGTGTTCAAATTCAACAGAACGTCGGGATATAAAATGCTACGTAGTGGCTGTAGAGTGTACACTAACTTCGAAAGCATCGACAAAACTGGTGTGTAGATTACGAACGATGTAAATGTATATGTAGATGATAATAAATTATGATTCCAGATTCCAAAGTCTATCTTTTCGTATTACCGTTGAGCCAGGTCGTATCAATGCGTCAGACTGCTGCGAGCGCGGATGGCTTCGCCCTTGTAGTATATCCACACGGGGAAGGGGATGCCTAACACGATAGCCAGGCCAGCGAGCAGCGAATTAGCGCCCCCAAATCCAAGACGGTCGTACATCTGTTTCCCAAACAAGGGGAATATAAAGCCAAGAAGGGAGCGGAAGACCTAGTTGATGGATGTATCAGCAAATTTTTATAGGCATCGCAGAGCCAATCGGTCGACATACAGAGGCAGCAGCGGTCGCACTAGCAGCGTAGGTGAAAGTGTCGACCAGATACAGCTGGATGGGCAAGCTGGGAAATGTTAGTACGGAACGATCGACGACTATCAACGAAGTGGTTACTGACAAGGTGGTCATCATTCCTGCATGGATTGATTAGATATTTGTGACATCCCAGACATAAATGGTTACTCACCGAAGCCAAAAATACCAGAACCAATGATCGGCATAATCCAGTGTATCTTCGCCTCAGCGGACCAACCGTACCAACTAGCCATCTCTCAGCCACACTCTCATGAAGGAAGTAGAGACTACTCACAACAACCCGATGGGAACGAAAAATGAACCAAAGAACAGAGCGGGGATCCGCATTTCGGGCTTGCCTTTACCGCCGTTCCTCTCGGAGAGCTGGGTGGATCGTTAGCACGACTCGACATCGCAAGAAAGAGGATGTCAAGTATCCGTGCTCACCTTGTGATACACTTGGTCGGCAAATTTGGCGCCAAATAGTGTAGCAACGAAGAAACCGATGCCGAGTCCGAGGTACGCAAGACCGCCCACGCCAGGGCGGAACCCGTATGTAGAGCTGAAGAAGCCTAGTAGACATTTGGTTAGGCTACAAGATTATGGGATGACTCCAGGGAACTTACTGGCGAAGGTGGCGAACATGAGGTAATAGATACCTGCACGAAATATGAGTATAGTGTTCAGCATATTCGAGTATAGTATCGGTACTGACCATACATGCTGTAAAGAGACGCGATGAGATCGAGGCATCCAGAGAAGGATAAATAACCACTTACAAAGCCATATACAGCGATAAGATAAAGCAGATGAAACTTCTCGTCAAAAGTATAACCGGACGCGTAATGTTTACCCATAGTACGTGCCAGTTGTTGCCATGGGCCTGCATTAGAGCAGGGTGGCGCTTGGCCGCAGCCTCAGGATCAGCTGAGTGCTTGGCCAGCCTCAGTCGAATGACTGGAGCGTATGTTTCCTTCAGAAGCGGGATACCGATGACGGATGATAGGGCATTGAACGCGGCGATGACGACGAAAACATATTTGACACCAATCGTCTGCGCGATAAAGCCACCGGCGACTGGGCCAATTGCGGGACCTATAGGTAGGGAGCGTTGTTAAGTTAGCGGGTGACACTCCATGGAGCTCGGTGATCTACCGATTAGAGGGCCCAAACTATAGACGGCCATGGCAGATGCACGATCGCGTTCTGAGAACAAATCACCAATTGAACCGCCTCCAATGGCGATTGGAGCACTCCCGGAGAGACCACCTAGTGGCTGGTTAGGTATAGGACAGTTGAAGAAAATCGTGACCCACTGAGGAAACGGAAGCCGATTAGTGCACCGGTGTTTGGTGCGAAGGCACAACCGAAGTTGAAGGCAATGGAGAACAGATTACCAATGTGCAGTATCTATAGGTTGTCCGTGTTGGTTAGTCTGCTGCTGAACAGATGTGGCATGCGTACCCATGTTCGACCATAGATCTCGGACAATGGAGCTAAGATCAATGGCTAAAATATAGTTAGTCGGTGAGCTATGAGGATGAGTGTTGGACTTCGGCACTCACTCCAAGTGCAAACGACAACAAGAAAATACTCAACGTCATGGCGAGTGTCGTAGAGTCCGTTATACCATATCGTATCGCGACCTCCGGTAGACCCGGGGCCATCATGGAACTAGCCAAAGGGGAAGCAAAAGTATATAGTGAAACCTGCGGAACCGTGGCTCAGTAACTTCATTCCCTGGACATCAACGAACGAAACGCACAATGCTGACGGCGGTCCATTTCTTGCCAAAGGACCAGTTGCGAGGGTTAAGTGGATCATCCTCCCAGTCCTCTTCCAAGTTTTCGAGGGCCTCTTCCTTCTTGTCCTCAGGCAAAGCCGATTCACCGTGCCCAGGGTGCTCGGCATGGCTTGGAAGCTCCGTTGTGGGGACGTTAGTCGCCGACGATGCATACGAAGCGGCAGTGGCGGGTCTCATCTCCTCAGTCAGCGACATATCGACGCGGAAGGGAATACACCAGAAACGAAGGCAAAGACAACGACCAATCCCAATAATCCATACTCGGGTTATATGTCGTCTTTGTCCGTCCGACGCAAGGATACTTGACGTTATGACTATTGTGTCAACAGTAGTTTTTTTACCACGATAAGGCACCTGTGTCATAACATCCGCGAAAGGTCTGTACTAAGCTGGATTCTAACTTCGAATATGTATCGGTATAGGCCGATGGCTTCTGGATATTCATTACGACGGTGAATTGTTGATGAGGACAGCACGACGCAGTAGAAGCTAGCCATTTGTATTGGACTTGAGTTTGACTAGAGTAAAAATTCGCCGGGCCGCGGGTGACATGTACATGCTCACATACTTGGATGAGCCCACACGTGGATCTCGCTTGGCAGCTTCGTACGTTGAGTTTCCTGATGCGTCGCTTGACCCAGTGTGCGGTATTAACGGGACACCAATCCAAGGGGAATCTATACTGTACGACTAGAGCGAGATTAAATAGATATACAAATACACTAGGTTATCTACTATGTGTGCGGTATGTTTACACGCAAAGTCCTGTTTGCATCTATGGATAAAGCAAAAGAAAGTATGGACAACATAGATCAAGCGGATGTGGAAGTGTTGAGTCCGGGGTCAATGGATGGAAGAATGCGAGGTCATCTACGTGAAAGCACTTCCCGAAGTCGTTGGATGACAGCGGCGGCGTCCACTGGAACTTCTTGATCGTGAGGAGGGTTGACGGCGGGTATATCTTTGTCAGTGAATTCCCTGGCGCCGCAGATTTAGCGGATGTTAGGTTGATACAAGCTAGCTTAACTTTACCTATTACCCCACCATGCAGAATATTTCATTCCCAATGAATTAGCCAGAATTTGGCGCTCGGAGGAAAATGTGCCCGTCGGGTAGAATTCCATGAGCATCGTCCGTTCCGAAGGCTGGAGAAACGCAGAGTCTAAGAGATGGCTTCCGTGCACGCCCAAAATTATCTATACAAACGAAGTATGAGTGAGTTGTATTGAGGATGTCGGAGGAAATAAATCACCTTTGATTGAGAAATCGCGTTCATACGGTTATACCATGAAGTCTCGTGATCGAGGCTAGACACAATGAAAACATCGTGGCCGAGGTCTCGCTGAAGCTGCTTCAAACCGTCAATTAGTGCGAGGTGGTCTTGGGTCTTGATCTTGGTGCCGGTATGGTCCCATTGCCGATGTAGATATGTAATAGCTACTTTCCCCTTTCTGCGGCGACTTTCTGCGGACAAGCTTTCGAAGAAATCTTGCAGCGAACGTCTGACGGGCTCCAACCAGTGTGGCGATGCAACAAGTTCGAATGGGGAAGAGAGAGGAGGTCGCCCAACGGGAAGAGCCCTTGCCGCGGCTTCCATATTCGCGACGACAACACGCTCTAGTTTGAATGGAGTGCCCATTTCGTGATAGTCCAGCCAGTCCGCTTCGTATAAGAGACCCATGGAGGGGAAAGCTATCTTAGCGAGAAGGGGATGGAACCCCGTGTCTGAGCGTTGACGTGGTATCCGTATGAGGTCTTCACGAGTGATCTCGCGACCGTCGGCTGAAGGTTCACGGTCAGAGTAGATGGGTATACGAGGAAGTATTAAGCGTCGGGGAGACGGAAGTGTGGTGCGACCTAGGGCGTCTATCGATGGGTCTAGCGTACTATATGTTCGCCAAAGGCTGAGCAAGGTAGTGTTGTCTACTCAAGAGTTAGACTTTAGACCCATTCATTACGAAACAAAAGCAAACTGACCTGGCTTCGAGTCTGTAGATAACCAGGTCACCCCTCGAACTCTAGAATGCCGGTGAGTAGGGATCACACTCGTCATAATAATAGACTTACTTTCCACCGTATCTCCCTAGCATGGTTGGCGCCTGGGCAGGCGAGATAGTGACTACCGGGACGCTCGACGTGCCGATAGCAGGAAATCGCTCGGGGAAGTCTGTTACAACGACCAAAGACTTGTTGTACATGAAGACGTTGTCTAGAACGGTAAAACCTTGCGATCCGGGATGTGAGTAGCAGCATGAAGGTTATAAATAACAATGCATACCGGGTACATGTCTTATCAGTCGTGTCGTCGGGGCGTTGCTCCCCCAGAACTCCAGAACGTCGTGCATTTCGCCATCTTCCTCTGTCCGGACATCGTCTATTTTCCCCCTGTCGTGCCAGAGTGCACCGTAGATATCCCCGCTAAGTACCTTGGTGCGCTCGTCACCTGCAGTGTGGCCTTCGTCCCAATGCCATTCGCCGTATATGAACTTCTCCAAAGAATCCCTCCACTCAGGTGGCCGTCTCCCATCTTTTCCGATGATTGACGGGCCTCCGAGACCGAGCTTGCTGAAGACCGCGCCTTGTTTTGAGATAGGGTCCAGGCCGAGTTGTCGTATCGAATTATCGAGGTTGTAGAAAAGGACGAAAGTCGTTATGGAAAACAAAAGGAGTGTGAGTTCTCGCCTCGTAGGTGGTTCAAGCCAACCCATGTTCAATGGCGAAATTGGAGTATCGAATAAAGTGCTGCAAGTTATTATGCTGCCGCTGCATGCAGGCCCAGGGACAAAGGAACGTGGTCTGGCCCTTGGTGCCTTTAATCATAAGCGCCCGGCATAATTTCACGTGATAATTATTGTCCCGTCAAGCTCAAGGCTCTCCAACTCACTACTCAACGCAAGAATGTCATGGCCGGGAAATGTTCAGCGGCCTTCAGGTCCGCCAGGCGCGAACAGGCGAAACAGGACCAACAGAATAGCGTCTTTGACTCATAGAGATGCTCTGTCACGACCGCCAAATATCCGCCGGACATCTGTCTCTGGCCTGACTTCTGGCGCACCGAAGACACAGCGAACATCGAAAACATCCCAGAAGCTGGTTGTACTGCCCTCTGCGCCGCAAACGAGGCCACTTCCTACCGCTGATGATGAAGACCTGAAGTTTGGATATGAAACCGATGCCGGTATCCGAGAGTACAAAAGCCAGGCCGAGCGGATGAACAAGGACCAGCGGGAGCGTGCAGGCTTCAAGAGAATAACGTAAGTCTGTCATCCCATCACACTTTTGTGCATGAGTGATACAACGGACGATGCAGGGCGTATTGTGTGGCAGAATCGTTTAGAATGAAATTGCTGGCTTCATTTGTTAAACGAGAACACAACGTCTCACCCAGAATATTTGATGAAGCCGTATATTGCGTGAGTGTACTAATTCGCTACTATATGCATTGAAATTGATTGTTGGCAGATGTATCACCTTCCCCTACTGCCCGGCTACGGTCCCGGCTCTAATTTCCGATCATCTATACCCGTTCCTTCGACGAGTGGCAAATCATTGCTGACTCGACTGTCGGAGGCAGAAGAGAATGGATACCAGGGGACATACTTCAACGCGGAAGTCGGGAAAGCACCAACAACTGATGGGTATATCAGCTCTTCGCCTGTGCAGAATCGACGAACACCTTCGAGTGCCCCCGACACTCCCGAACATGAAATACCCGCATCTGCCTCAGAACTGGAACCTATGACAGCTTCTTCGGAAACGGAGGCTGAGACGGAGGCGGAAACAGAGAGAGCTTGGACGCCTCCACGCCCCACACCATCACCCATGAGACCCCCAGAGGAAGAGGTAGCAGAAGTCGTTTTCTTTGAATACGGTGTTGCCGTGTTCTTTGGCCTAACAGAAGAACAGGAGAAAGGTATATTGGAGGATATTGAAGGCGCAGGCGTTGTCCGACGGAAAATTGCTGAAGAAGACTGGGAAGTGGAAGCTTGCCATTTCACCGTACGTACACCCTCAAGTCTCGTTCAAAGGTCACAGCCTAACATAAAGCCAGCACGATCCACAAGTCACGTACCCGCGCATATATAACGATTTTTTCAGTAAGATCATCTGTCTAGTTGGGAGGCCACGCATATTCACGCATTTGTAGCCCTTAAATCGCGATCCCACCTGCTAAAGCTTTCCATCGCACACGCGCTCGCCCAGTCAACTCTACTAGCTCATTATGAGTCCGAGGCGCGCCGAGTTCTAATGTCGCCTAAAGCAATGGCGATTCCAAAACAACTCGCAACATCTGGTGCCCTGCAGCTGCGGCGTCATGAAGCGCTGAAGCTCACCGGTAGCTTGTTCAAATTGAGGAGGGATGTTAACCTTGTGTCTAATGTCCTCGACGTACCGGAATTGTTTTGGAGTGAGGCCAGTTTGAAGGAACTCTACGACGCTGTCCGAGACTACATGGAAATCAAACCGAGAGTACAAGTTCTAAACGAGAAGCTAGGCGTGGCTAGTGATTTTGTGAGTCAGCTCGTCAATGTCTCATCTCTCTCTTATTGATGTTGCCAATAAGTTGGATGCTATACACGACCACCTGAATAATTCCGCAATGGAACGTATAACGTGGATTATTATATGGTATTTATCAATGATTAAGTTCTCCTTGAGGTTTAGTTTCACCTATTTGTACAGGCTCATTGTCGTCGCATGCTTAGTGGAACTGGTAATTTTTTCACTTCTTCGTTCTCCTTGCTACTGTCTCATGTGATGTTCTTCTTTTCAGGGCGAGGTGATCGCGCGTCTTGTGGTCCATGCCACCCTAAATCCTTCCCATCCTATCCGAACTCTCTCGCGCGACGAGGCCTTGCGAACCCTGGAACGTATGATGGTGCAGTCCTGAGCATGCGGCCCAATCTCCCAACCTGCAAAACCTGTATCTTTCGGACTTCGGGCGGTAAAGATTAATTATGCACCATGGCCAAGATCCTCGCCGTTTGTTTCATCTACGCTTTTTTGTCCTTACATCCTCGAAAGCACTCTATAGGAGATTTCTAGAAATTAATCAGGGGAAAGGAAACTTCTTTATTGTCCTCGGGCCATTTGGCTACAACCAACAACTCCTGCATTCCAACCCTTCGATTCGTAGCTCGATCACATTTGCATCTACACACTGATTGGGACTTGGTAGACTCCTCTGGAAGCTTTCCGGTATAGCGCAGTGACTTACTGACCATATGCGATCTTGAAATTTCCTTTAGGTTTCCTTTTCAAGCTCAAACCTTGAACATCGCGTTCGCATTCCAGATGTGCGACAAGCACCATTTACTAACAGTTTATTTGCCCCAGAAGTTGAGTTGTTCAGCTAGAGATCGCACTGCATTCGGACCTCGGCACTGTCAAACACTGGCGCGTACAAGTACCACTGTTGTTTCGGGGCGCGAACATAACGTCTGGAATGGTTTCCCGAGCTTCGCAGACTACCCCCAACTCCTCACGAGGGTGCAGGTACTAGCGGTATAACACTGTTATGCCACTTCCTCGGTCGTTCTATCAGGAAATCCCAACACGAAGCAAATAGCATCCAAAAACCTTGCTCTCGCGACGTGTCTCCGATGACGAACCCAACATGTCTGACGTTGATTCATTGATTCGTCAAGTGTAACAATGAATTCCATATCTCCTCACATCCCCTCGCTCTCTTCCGTGGAGACATGATGCCCATGTGGTAGCTACTCGCCTGGCGCATTCCTCGGCTGCGCCGGTGGTTCCATCCCTGGACCCCACTCATGATCCGGACGTTCCATTCAATGTTCAATAGTCGGATACATCAACTCATATCTCCATCATCTACACATTACGGCAGACGGTCGAGCGCCGTGACTAGGGACCTATTATGATGTGAAGATGCCGACGGCGACACTAGTTAACATGGGCGCTGGAAAGTGCGGGCACCCTTCGCCTCTTGTGTTCCTGCTCCCAGTGATGCCCGTTGCAAAATTTTAACAGCGCATATACCCAATCAAATGTCGAACCTCCCGTGGAACCTTTACATACGCACCTGGAATCATGTGTCTTCATTGCAACACTGGCCGCCACTTCCAAGTGAACTGGAGCGCCTCTGGGGCATCGAGCATCTGCAAAGGAGAGACCTCACCCAGCCGCACAGTGAAGCCTAGTGAACCCCCCAGAGGGGTCTGTGGGTTTCGAGGGTCGCTGGTTGCTGGCGCTATCTTGGCGCTGCAGCCACCGCCGTAATAGAATGAAGATGTGTTCAGCCAAAGCAGCGCCCCATGATGGATCATGATATTAACTTGGCGTGTTGTCTCCCTCGTAATCATCGGTGGGCGTCTGGGAGCTACCCGCATCTGATATTTGGACAGTGGCCTATATAAACCCTGCGGTTCCAACCAAGTGACAGCACGCCTTGTAGCATCATCCTAGATATGCAATTCACCGCCGCTTTCTTCGTCCTGGCCATTACCCAATGCATCTCCGCCATTAGCCTTCACCCAAGGCAGGAAGGTGGCTGTAAGTGGCTCATAGTTCTCTTCGCATTCGTGGCTAACTTGTTTGTGTTTAGGCGTTGCCGAGGTTTGTCTACGTATTGTTCCTACCTCCTAGTGTATGCTCACCATATCGCATGTTCACTCGACGCGTAGGCTTGTGAGTGACGCACTCTTCGGTGAACGTCTTCATAATGCTAATATGGCTTAGGTGTGGCTACTGAGTTCAGTGGCCCCGTCCACTGCTGCCCAGCTGTTCCCGACCTGATCCAGCCGCCGTAGGCGCTTCCACTTCCCGTGCCAGAGACACGTCTAAAGTTGATTCTAGATGCCAGTCCATCTACACTTCTTGCGAGGGCGCGACCTGTACGTCAAAATCACTTAAACTTCGCTAGCGAATCTGACTTAACCTCCGACTTTCTCACCTGCAGGCAGCCCCGGTACCGAATGGACAGTATGTGACTTTTCTATCAGATGTTTCTTTGGCGTTGATTTCATTCAAGATCACCTGTGCTGGTGACGACCACTGCTGCCCTACCGCCAACGGCGCTCAGTATGTTAACCATTTGCTCTCCCAATGTTGGACTAATGATCCCTTTTAACTCAGCTGCCAGCCCTCCGGCGAGCTCTGCGGGATTCTCAACTGAGCATCACCCGCCTCGGAGCCATGGGAGCACGCCCGAATCATTCACGCCCATTTCCTACGATTCGAAAGTAGATAGCCTAAATGACCCATACCACCTACGTTACAGGGCCTGCCGGAGACTCGGAAATACATCTGTTAATTCATCAATCCCGACACTCCACCCAGGCACCTAGGTGTCCTCCTGACTGACTGACTTCTGCGGTTTCCCCGTCTGCCCGCTCTGGGGGAACTGTTACGTTGAACCCAAGGAAAGAACGTTTTCTGGGCCCGCGATGCGTTCCCCAACGCGTTCCAGCCCTGCAATGGTACTCGAGTATAAAGCCCAAGTAAGAGTCAAGCCCTAAGTATACCACTAAGAATACGACAGCTAGTATGTTCAGCCTCAACCTGTTCGTCACCGTCCTCCTTGTGTCCCTCGCAGGGAATGTTGCTGCTCATTGTACGTCCTCGCTTGAACCTACGTCCAGCCGAACGATGATCTTTCATTGCAGCATGTCTCACGACTTCGGTACGTACCACTCCTCGTAAAGCTACGGGGTACTACGAGGCCCTGACGACTTGCACTTAGGCAGAATGTGAGCAGCGCGTCGTCCGTGAGACATACAGGCATGGCTTGCTCACTTTTACTTGACTGTAGGTCTTGAAGACCATCATTGTTGCCCAAGACCAAATGACTTAGGGACTCCTGCTGTGTAAGAAGACAGAGAGACCCCCGCGGAGGCTGAAGCTGACTTCCCCGGTACAGTTGCACGTCGATCTGGCAATATTGCCCGTATGGAACATGTAAGTCGATGCTCGCACTCCGACAAATCACAATCTACCGCTATATTGACGCACGTATGTTTCCGTTTGTAGGCGAGCCTGGCATCCACGGGGTGAGAACCACGACAGCCCGTTCCCAAGTAGACACTAACCTAGATGCTCGAATGCCATATAGATCAAATGTACGTTAACTCTATCCTGAACTCGCTCAGTGGGAACAGGACACTGATATTGACGCGCCACAGGTCCTGCTGGCAGCCACTGCTGCTCCGACAGGCGTGGGGCTCGGTATGTGCTGGCATTTCCACGCGCGGACTAGCTGCGAGTGTTCTGACGACCTCTGTGCTGTGCTTAGGTGCCAGCCTTCTGGGGAGCTCTGTAACTACATCATTGACGACATCTAGACCTCACACCAAGGCAGATGATCAGCGCTCATCCCGAGGGATGTTGAATGTAGCTTACGATTACTGAATCTTGACACCATTGAGGTAGAATTCAAGAGGAAGTCTAACTGAAAAAAAGGCAAATAAGGTTGCTAGTTGTGGCTTAACTTCCATAACTATAATGGATCAGCACTTGTTTCAGTCTACTTGCATGAAGGCCACCCCGACCCTACCTCCTATCCTAGGTATGCCGCGCAACTGCGTCCCCAAGGAAGGCATCCCATACGTGCCACCGCACTTCTTGTACGGTTATGCCTTCTCGTACGATCGCGAAAGCCTCCGCGGAGCAGTTGTGGCTTCTGGACAGGTTCAATTGTTTTTGGAGCGAGGCGGGAACAACCTGCGCTGCGCTGCAAGTTCAGGAATATTTAACCATCCTATACCAGGTATACATTCAACTTCAGACCGCCATGGTTTCCTCGCTCTCACCTGTAGGAAGCGAAAAGACTGGCATTGAGATTCAAAGTGGGGGTCAGGCCCTCCGCAGGAGATGTTTGTGTCCATTATGGAAGCGGGAGTTGATCCCGACTTTGGCTTTGTCCATTATTAGATACGACGTAGATGTATACTCAAGTGGACTTATTCCGCTCTTTGTTTTCATATCTGGGAATCCTCTCCATGAAGTCGCATTGGGCTGCAGAAGCAAGGCCAACGACCTGTGGAACAAATGGACTCATATACTATACTGTTACATTCGGCAATGGAGTCGAGTCTAATGGTTATGGCATGGCTCGAAAGAATGTCCTCGGCAGGTGCTAAAGTACTTGAAACTCTAATAAACTCATGAGACAGCGAGTCCGGAGAAAATGGAACCCGAAATATGGCAACAGAAATGAATGCGAGCGCAGGGTGGTGGGAGATAGTAGGAGATGCGGGTGGGTAGACGAATGTTACTTGCCGCCTGAAGTCTTGAAGAGGATGAGGCCCGCTAGTGCTATTGAGTAACCTAACGGCATTATTGTTGTTGTATTTAGAAACGGGTGCGACAGTATTAATAGCGGTGTGGTAAGAGACTCACCGATGACTTGCAGCGGCGTGATCTGGGCCCCGAAAATCAAGACTGATCCGGTGATTAGGAGGATGTCCTGTGACGGATTACACACGCCCGTCAGTAATTGAAGTCTCGGAAGCCATCGAATGACGAGATAATTATATGCTTTTGGGGCTTGGGTGGCCGAAACGGTACGTGCTATCAATCGAATGACACAGCACTCACCTTGAACACCCCTGCTAGCGTGAGGACAAGACCACTCCCAACGCCGACCAGGAACACGGCTGCGACGTTCAGGAGGAACGCGACGGACGCGTTCGAGATGAGGATGAGGGGGCCAATCCGTGCAAGTTCGTAGAAGGGCTCCAGGCCTTCGGTGAAAGGGAGGATAACGAGGTTGATGGCCGCGCAGACGGGTGCGTAATAGTGAAGTGACACGAGGGGATCCATCTTTAGCCCATGAAGAAGGATCTGTATCATGACAAGACGTGATGCTTCGAACTGTAGACGCTGGATGAGAAGGACAACGGGCTCGCATGATGGTTGCAACGTACCGCGACGGCTGCTGCCTGGATGATGAACCCAAATAAGTTGAATCGCAGTTCACCGTGTGATGCGAGTGCGACACCAATTGAGATCATCAAGACAATCATCGCGAGTTTCTTATTGGGCTCTTGAATACGGAAGGTCCATGAAATAAGAAGAATGGCAACTGGTGTAAAAGCCTGTCGGAGGACATGAGCAAAGATCTACAGGATTTCAAAAAGCACACACCTTGAGCATTTGTATGTAGGAGACACTCAGATACAGATACGCCGTATTGCTGAGGATCAGACTACCGCTGAAGAGGACACCGATGGGAAGAATGGACTTGATGAACATTTCCTTGGTCATGTTAACGTCCTTGGCGCCGTCGAGCAAGGGCGTTGTGCGCTGCAATATGCGTGTTCCTATCGTCTGTATGCGTCTCGTTCTTATCGCATCCCTCCGCCGATACATGGCTATATGCACTCACAGCAAACGTGAGGTGCCATGTCACCAACCACACAGGGAACTTGAAGTTGAGAGTGTTGTACAGGTAATTGTTGTAGATGATGACCGACAAACTCAGGACGATCCATACGGGGATTATTGCGGCAGCTGAGAGCTTCGGTTTGGGCTTGGGCGCCGTCGCCTGTACAGGGGTGGGCAGCGCGGTGTCCTCCTCCTCCAGGAGCGGCTCTTTGAGCTCCATCTCAAGCTCCTCCTCGTTGCTGAACTTGTCGGCGCGTTCTGGAGTCGGCGAGGCCATGATGTCGGGTCGTTATGCAAAGAATCAGAAAAGCTGCAGGTAGAGGGCGTGTCAGTCGTGGTGGTGGTTCGGGAAAGAGATGGACGCACAGCGTAGGGATTTGGGCACAGGGGGCGGGAGGCGGAGAAGGAACGAGGAAGAAAATATAAGAGAAGCGAAGGCGCACGGATACAAACTGCCGCTGCCATAATTCCAGCTGAGCCGAAGACATGATGTAGCCGCGCACGCCACAGGGGCATATCAGCCATTAGGTAAGCAGGCGTATCTATCACCAACCATCTTGGGTATCTTTTTCCCACAGTCCAGGCCTCCAGCCACTTCGTTTCGATCGACCACCTCTCGGGAGGACGCCATTCAAGCAGGCAGCCCGCGGTCTGTAATATGTCAAGCCTTCAGGGCTATGTCGACCGTGCGTGAGCTCAATTTGACACGATTTCTCTCATCTTACGCCATCGCGCAGGTCACGTATTATTGATTCTCCAGGATGGTCGTGCCATCGTCGTATGTCCTCCCCGATGCTCTCGAATACACCCCGCTAAAGAACCAGATGCTAGGGAATAATGGCTGGCTTCGATCAGAAATCTAACGTTGTGCTTTCGGAATCAAAAGAGCGCGTCTACAGCATGGATGAAGGCGTAGAGGAGATACCGCTTGGTTTATATCTAGTGAAGGGAGACATGATGTGAGAGACCCGATCTTCATTCCGAAATTCCCGACTCACATCTACGCGAAGTGTCCTGATCGGTGAAATAGACGAGGCCCTCGACAAAGCAGTGGATCTCTCGACGATTCGCGCAGAGGCAATTCCACCAATCCGTTATTAATCTCAGGGAGTTACACGCGTCGATCAGTGAAGCTGGGAAGGATCGGTATGTCAGGCCGCGTTTCGAGGCGGACGCGTGCTAGGCCGCTCCATCTTCCAAAGGGGTCGGCCATTACTCGTGGCGTCGTCTAGGAGCGTCGAGCGTACGGCGAAGGGGCATGCCAAGCGGGTTGTGGTTCCCAGTCTTTTTTCTCGCCTTCTCCGGAATTAGGGTGGTAGAGCTTATAAAATTATCCATCACCTTGAACTCTAGTAACCGTGTCCTTTGTCTTGCTTTCGCTCATACTCAAACCACTGATATCACCGCTTTCCTCGAACACTTGCTTCCAGCAGTGTCCCGCTTTCCCGCAGTCTCTTCATCTCTTCAACGCACTTCCTGTTGTAATAACTGCGATGATATATTTAGGTGAGTACAGGGCTTGGAGACAGCAGTTCTTCTCATAGGCAGGGTGGACGTGGTCGCGCGGTGGCGCTGACCGACCAATCTTGCGCGCCCAAAATGTCATCAATCCAGGAATTTCAATGAAACGCTAAAGAAACATCCAGAGAAGTTCTACGATCATACGGTTCAATTAATAACTGCCAACCCCGTTAACCTGCATCCACATTAACACATCAGCAACCATTCGCACAACATGACACACAACACAATCAACACGGTTAACAGCTAAACAGCTAAACCCCACCCACCTTGTCTTTGAGAGTCTGAATGAACTGCTGGTAGCTCGGCAGGACGTCTGCGCGGTCCTGCACGAGCGCGCTGAGCGCCCATAGCCTCAGCGGCTGCTCGCCGTCTTCCTTGACGATATACAGATGCGGGTAATACACGCCTCTGCGCATCTCGCGGGTCTTCTGGATGACAGCACTTATGCGTTGTGAGATAGGTGTGTCGATAACAGGAAGCGTCGTCTATAGCAAACGATCCCGAAATCAGTTATGTTTATGTTCAGATTCGAGAGATGAGTGTTACCTTGCCACCGCGAAGAGCCTCGTAGTTCGGTAGACCAAAGACGTCCGCCACCAGCTGCGGCACGGCATCGCGACCGATCCACAAGAACATAGTCTGGCCGTCTTCGATCAAATACAAGCCGTGCCTCTCCATTCTTTCTGACGTGAGGGGAAGAGGAGGGGGCATGATGACACCTTGCTCGCCAACAGTCCCGGCCTACAAAACAACAATCAGCTGCGGTGAGAGATGTATAGGCAGGGGTAAAGCGTACATCGGGGGGCATATTATGCAATGAGTAGAAATTCGGGTAGATGTAAGGTATCAATAGCTGAGATGGAAGAGATGTGAGGAGAGCTTGAGAGTATGCACGAATATCTGGAGGTATTTGTGCACTTTGTCGGATACCAACCTATAAACGAACATTAACACCATTGTCCAATCTCATCAATGTCTCTGACACTCACGTTCTTCAACAAACCAAGCACCAAGACAGGAAGCATCTTCAAATTCTCCGAAATCGCGAGCTGTGCACTTGCGCCGGATCCAGCGGCCGTCATGCTCGTCTTGTAGGTCGTCAGGACTTCCACGAGCTTGGCGAAGATGTGATCTCTGCTGTCTTCCAACTTGTGCGTTAGCGAACGCTCAACAGCCTTGTTCGCTAGGAGAGTCGCAATCGCCACTTGGTCAGCAGACGCGAAGACTTCCGAGAGGTTACTTGTAGTGGGGAGTGCCAAGGTGATAACACGAATTCGGCGCTCGCCGTAGCAAGTAGTGTGCAGCACCGCGGTTTGTAGAACAACAAACGGAGTTGTGATGGTCTCTTCGATCTGGATTTCGATAGCGTAAGATTGATCTTGCGGAACGGCGGGCATAGCCAACAAATCCGTCGACCGAACGAAGAAATTGCCGTGGAACGACGCCATCCGCAAGCCTACGCGACTATAAGTTTAAACCGACCACTTGTAGCGGTAGACATACCTCGTGAAGCTCGCACACGCATCACAGCTTCAAGCATGATGGGCATGGCCAGGACGTCACCAAACTCACGAGCGAATTTGATAGCGTCTTCCGATTTCGCAGCATTGAAGCCAGGATAGTAGTATGTCTGCCCAGACGTGTAATGGGGCAAGCATGCTTAACAAGACGGATGAGATGAAGCAATTACACAGAGGAAGCGAAACGAACCAAGACTCGCAACGTCCTGATAAGCAGCGCTGAATAGGAACATATCAACGGAAACCTGTGCGCGTGAACATTCAATGGCGAAGGTTTTGTAGAAGGGGGAAGCGGCTTGTAGAAGGCCAGATTCCTATCGACGTCGTTAGACCTTCAGATCGACAACGACATGCCCGGCGCACCTTTGATGTCCCAAGAATCTTCGAGTCCTCGCGGTTTTTCAAAGCACCTTGTCCAACACTAGGCAAACTAGAGGATAAGACAGTGATCTTTCCCCCAATGTGCGACTATTGATACATCAGTTAGGCACTTGTAGCAGAGGGGATAGTATAGAGAAATACCATCAGTTTGAAGCCGGCTTGTAGAGCAGGGCCCATCGCGCTACCAACAGTCATATTGTCCTGGAACATACCATTGATACGGCCTAAGAGTGTTTCAAGAGACTGTCGGCATTCCACCAAGTTCACCAGCAGGTCGGTGGGTTTCGGTAAGAAGACGTCTTCTACATCGGCAACCACGAGCATGGTAGAGTCCGCCGATCCTGGAGGGATGGAGAAGAAATACAATGATGTATCGTAACAGATAATTGATATTTTGGTACGGCCGTCTTCATCTGGGATACGATCGAGGTTCTCAAGAATAGTGCGAGTGGCGGTAGCAACCATGCCTGATTGTACAGCAGCATGACTGACATCAATGAGGAAGACGTACACTGCTGGCTGAGGGGGCCGGACCATGTACTCAGTAGGAGCGACAAATTCTACGACAGCGTGATTTAGTTCTGCACGAGACCAGCGATCGCCGGGCTGGTTTCGGACTTGGTCCCAGTCAAAGAGTTGGGGCACTTCATTCGACATGTTGCACATGCAGCATCGCCAGCGGTTGCCTCCATCAATGAATTGCACGTAGGGGTTGATGTACGTTCTGCATCGTCTGCAACGCGCGATAACTGTGTCGGTGACCACAGGAACAGGCTCCTCCCCTTCATCGAGAGAGCGGTAGGGTGTTAGGATCAGGCCGAGAGGAACCTTGGCTTTGTTGAGAAGAGATGATGTAGTCGGGATCGCGTTGAGGGTTGATCGTTGGTAGGATGGGTGCGCATTGGCATGGGGGGAGGGCGATATACAAGCATTGGGAGGCAACCGAATTTCGGGTGGAGGTTGTAGAAGCTCGCGGGGGTCCGGGGGCGACGTGAGTAGGTTCGTGGTGTAGAGCTGGAATTGCTTCTGACCACCCATTCCCATTTGACCAAATTGATCTGCTAGAGCATTCACGGCTCCTCCTCCAACGGCGGTCGGCCCGGGACCATACGCTGGTACGTTACCATACTCCGGTGCAGGCTGTGGTTGTCCATAATATGGCTGAGGTGGTTGCTGCTGCTGTGCAAACTGGTTTTCAGCGGCCAAACCTGGCGTGAAGAGTTGTCCGCCCGCAGGAGGAGGCGGCTGCATGGCGCCATAGTTAGGATCTGGAGCTACAGCATCACCGTAATAAGCATGGGTCTGACCCGCCGCGTACTGGCGTCGTTTTGCGTGATGAGTTGGAGGCGGAGAGCCAGACGTGACCAGATCAGCTGGCGCGGCTGGTACCATGGCAGGCGGCTCCCACTGTCGATGGCCCGACGCCGTTTCTGCTCGACATTAGGTACTCCCAGCGGGCATATGCATCGTGGATCTCACCAATGAAAAGGTAGCGCTGATTCGCCGGGTCCCTAGATATGTATATGAAATATGAGCGTACATCGGGGGTAAAATACTCGATCCTAACCATTCAGCAGCCCATCCTGGCGGTAATTGTTGAGCTGGGGACGCCATTTAATGAAGAAAGAGAAAAGTCTATGAGTTGGATGTAACTTTGGCGTTCATGCAGTCTTAACGCCAGAGACCACGTCCTCGCCACGTCAGAAATAAGCGCAAACACGCCGTTGCACACCATGTACAAACAGCTCAACCCACGAGACAGGGGACTCAGAAATTAATTAACAGTTGCACAGGATGCGTAGCTAGCGCAGCAGGCGTCAAAAAATATATCGTGTATCATCTACGTGCGAGGGCGTGTCCCCGGAGGCTTCAGCTTGTCTAACCGCTTTATCAGGACACCAGTACACGTCTCTAGCGCTTGTGTTTCCTCGAGCATCGCATCCGCGCACCCTCCCCACCGTATCTTGAGGTTTTCATCAATCAAATACACATAGCCAACTTTGCTGTTCGTCATGCCTATGGCATCCCGAACGTATTCCATATTTTGGCTGGAAACCAGGTAATATGGATGTAATTCCGGAGGAATCGTACTGCGAAGAGATTTCGTGAAGAGATTGACAAGGATGGACTTGAGAAGGTTCTCCTGTAAATTGACTTGAACATATTGGAACAATGGGTGGGTTCCATAATGTTCGTAAGTAGGATCTACGAATCCCTTCGCGTGTATCTGGTAACGAGTTGAGTTTACAACAAATGGAAGGGGGACAATCGAACCTCAGAGATCTTGGTTCCGAGCATTGCTAGAACTGTTATTCGGCCCGCACACATGGTAGTCGTGTTCACGGCCTTTTTGCCAACCAGAGGCTTCCCGGAGATATTCGGGAGGTATAGCGCTTTCTGGAGCACGGAATGAGATCCTACGGAGAAGTAAAGAGCAACATACGCACATCTTCGCGAATTAAGGTCTGTGGGGCTATCCACGTCTTCCCACCATGTCGCCGAGTGTTGTTCAGGTCATCGAAGTAGCCTTTCGCGGCTTCCTTGATGCTGGGACGCTGTCAGTTCAATAGCGTGTCGTTAGGCAAAGCAACCGTACATATGTCTCCTTTCTTCTATTATCGCATCTTGGTTCATATATTCCTGGAGCTTCTCTGTCCGTGTTTTAGTACTCGTCCTTGGGCGCTGGACCACGCCAAGCGGACGATTCAGTAGAGGCAGGGGGTCATCTTCAGTCGTTGGTGAAGGTTTTGTCTTCACTGCATTTGCGCTGCTACTGCCCCATACGGCACTCAGATGAAATGAACGACGCGAGCAGCGCAGAGATGGCGCGCAAGAGCGGAGGAGGGACATGATTTTCCATTCCGTTGCCGAAATTGTGGCGCGTGACTGACTAGCAGTGCCGTGAGAATTCAGCATTGGCCACGTGATCTACTATATAAGGACGCGATGAGCCAGGCCAATACCACACTCGTTCGTTGAACTCCCTCCACCACCACCATCACCAAACGCATTGTAAATTTCTCGCGTCTCTTACTGTACAAACATGGTGCGCATCTTCTTGTCAGTTCTGTAAAACCCTCAATTTACCCGTTTCCCCCCTCAGAGCGGAAAGGGTATGCAGCTGTCTAAGCTATGTCTTGTGGCTACCTTACTGAAGAGTATCGAACAGGCAAAGCCGGAAAATCTACCAGCGGGGGCAAAGCTGGCACCGATACCAAATCACAATCCCGCTCTGCGAAAGCCGGTCTCCAATTCCCCGTCGGTCGTGTTCACCGTCTCCTGAAGAAGGGCAACTACGCCCAGCGTGTGGGTGCAGGAGCCCCTGGTACGCGATATGACTCATTCTTCATCAACGCAACAATCTGACGAATGCGAACAGTTTACCTCGCTGCTGTTCTGGAATACCTCGCCGCCGAGATTCTCGAGTTGGCCGGAAATGCCGCCCGCGATAACAAGAAGCAACGTATTGTCCCCCGTCACTTGCAACTCGCTATCCGAAACGACGAAGAGTATGTATTGAGACCATGTAACACGCAGCCCAACTGACCAGATCTTTAGACTCAACAAACTCTTAGGCGATGTTATCATCTCCCAGGGTGGTGTTGTACCATTCATCAACCCGGAGTTGTTGCCATCCAAGTCCAAGTAAGCAAATTCCCCCATTTTTCTGTGGCCAGTGAACCTATTACACCCCAACAGTAAGGGCAAGAAGGACGGCGACGATGTTTAAGATGTCCTCAATTCTCTCATTTTCTCCCGTTGGATGCCATGCTCCATCAATACTTTACTATCACCTTTTTGTATACTTGTATAGCCTCGGTGTTTTCTTCACCGTTCTGTCGGTCTCCAATGTAGACTATCTTACGTCGCAGTCAAATTTGAACATAGTGAACGTCGAAATACGAGGGACATAAACAGCAACACGTTAGTCCTGATACAGAAGACTGAAACACATCACTTCTTTCTGCGGGTCGTTGTCCGAGGTTTACTTCGGCGAGCCCCATCATCCTCAGACGGCGTATGAGCAGCTGAAATCCTAGTCGAGCGTCTTCTTGTTCGTGCCCCTTCGTCATCCCCCAAGTCCGAAACAGACAGAGATGAGCGCGACCGTCTCGACCTTCTGGTATGGCTCGTCTTCTCCGACTGCGAAGGTAGAGGGGCGACATTGTCGTCCTCCTCACGCTGCGCTGTGTTATTATGTGCGTCATCGTCGCTATCCTCTTCGTCCATGAGCGAACCAGGCAGGCTACGCCCAAGATCAGAAGGCTTGCTTTCCCGAATCGCCTTACTCGCACGAGTCGACTTCGTGGACCTATCCTTGCTTGTATCGGCCGGCCGTCGTGAACGAGAAGGTTTGGCCTCGCTGGTGATACTAGCCCGCGTAGACCGCGCCTTGGCTTTCGGCAGACCAAGATGCTGTCGCTGCACCTCGGCTTTCAGCTTCAACAGCTCTTCCTCTCGGTTGAAGGGCTCTTCGTCCTCCGCATCGTCAGAGTCGTCTTTATGGCTAACTTGACGCCCGATTTCAAAGTGGCCTGGAGGCGCCGGCGTCGCCGAGTGCTCTGATGGTCTTCGGGACTGTTCGACGTTCTTCTGCTCTCTTTGTGCCGGTGGCCTGTTCCCGAAGACGGAATAGCTTAACTCTTCCACCGGGGACCCAGGCTCATCTTCCTCATTTTGTCCCCCTTCATCTTCTGCAGGTCGTTCTTCATCACCCACACTCTCGGCATCATTGCTTGCTACCTCATCCATCGCCGCATCTGCTTCGGCACCCGAGCTGTTCTGCACGTGCTGTCGCGGTGTACGTGAACTTGAGTCCTCCGCGACCAAGCTCCTCAGGGGAGGATTATAGAACGCGTTCCTCACACTACTAGCTGGTGTAAACTGGGTTAGAAGTTTCGAAGATTGGGAGTTGTTGAGGGTAGATGATAGTCGTTGGTTGGAGCCAGTGGATAGTCGCGCAGATCCTGTGGGGAACGATAATCGTGGCCGAGACGCGGAGCTGAGCGGCGAGGCACTTGTGACGGGCACTGGCGGGAAGCTGACCCGAGGTTGCCTGCCGGACAGTGATCCCAGAAGAGCAGATTCGCCAAGAGGTTTTGTTTTAGAGGACGAATCCACGATTGAGGATGCACGTAGAGGTGTAGAGGTGCTGGCTGCGAGGGGGCGCGAAAGAGAAGATATCGAGTCGAATAGACCTCCATGACTTTTCCTAGCGGCAGTCTTTGTAGTTGAGCCACTGCTCTTCGGGTACGCTGGAAGGGGGACGTGGATCTCTTCCCAGGACATGCTTAGGTCCGCATCAGGCGCGTTGTTAGTGCGTTGAGTACCTCCATTCATGAGGTTTGTAGTACCACCGTTACCAGGCGGACCATCCATCTCGGCGTCCAAGAGGTTGCGTTCAGCAGGCGTAAGCGTCAAGTACACTTCGCGCATCATGCGGTTTCGCTCCTGGATACGTGTCTGTATCAAGGATGCATCGTCATCTCGTATAGAGGTCGGGCCTGCTGCTGAATTGGCTGTGAATTCCTTGTCTAATTTGATGGCGTCCGTGTAACGCCCGCATTGTATCAGTCGCGTACAAATGAGATCTTGTAGGACGATCTGTGAGAGGCGGCTCAACGTAGGTAGTTGGGACAGATATGACTGCTGGCGTCCCCCAGACGCCGGCGACGCGATGGAAAGTAGTAGCTTTTCTTCGAAGGGGGAGATGGGAAAGGCGAGAAGCTGCGCCAGGGCAGACATCTTTGGGATAGCTAGGATACTTTCAGCGACACTGGTTCGATATGGAATAACGGAAGGACTCACGCATGAGGCACCATCCTACAAAATTTCTGAATAGTCGTTCCCTTGTTAAATCAGTCTCGCCAAACGTTCGCTGGTGCTGCCATGCTTCTAGGAAACTCGATTCTGCCAATGCGTTGGCGTAAAGGTCAATATCATCTGGCTCGGTGAGGATAGGTTTCGCCGTCCGCACGTATTTGAGGATAAGCGGTGAGGCATTGGGCGACGTGGAAATGGCGTGAAGGATTTTGGAGACAAAGTCGCGATTAATCCGCGGATCCGATAGTATGGAAACGGCACGCTTTCAAGACATCACTTGAGGCCTGTGGATTATACAAGGCGCTGAACTCACCGGAATGTCTACGCCCGCATCTAGGTACCAATACGCATCCGACAACACCACAAATTGAGGGGGAATGCACCTGTCCTCGCTGAACCTGGCTTCACGCCCGTCGGAATGCCACTTGAGCAGCCAGTAAATCAAACACTCCTTCTTCAGGGTGTCGTAGTTCGATGTTTCAATAACCCCGAGCAGCCGCTCAAGACCAGAGACGTTGTGAGGTGGAAATAGTGTGTCTGGGTTCTTTACGCCCCCGGCAGAGAGAAGGAGGTCGAATATGAAAACATCGTTGAGCTGGGCGCGTCGTCGTTCGATGTCTTGAGGTCGCGTTCCGCGCCAAGGAAATGTATGTGGCGAGGTCTCGAAATACGAGAGTATTGGGGTCAGTCGGGGCACTATAGCTGGGTCCTACACTCCGCTGAGCCTCTTCTCTTCCTTGAAGCCGTCAATTTTGACTCACCACTTCCATTGGATTTTGCTAGAGAAGCGACACACACCGAAACCAATGAACGTTGTTTTTTGAACGCCGTATACCACGTGGACATAGGAGTACAATGATTGCATACCACAACCACGAAAAACATTTCATTTTCATAGCGAACGGTGAAACTGCATTGAGTTTGACGTTTTCAAACCGTCCGAAAAGCTTGGGGTCATTCGAAACGAAATACATAATTCCATTTTTACTTCTATACTGACCACTAAATCGTTGTGATCCTGTTTCTTTGGCAGTGCCAGGCCTTGACTGACATTTCAGTCTTCTCGCCTCTGAGTCCTGGGTACCAGCGTCCATAGAATAATCATCAAGACCATCATAGCAACCAGCCTTGCAAGGTATCATATTAGCACCGTCTAGCCGAGAAACTTGCAATTGACCGGCTTACAAGGGTTGCAAGCTTTGTATCCCGTATTTGGATGCCAGCGCACCAGTCATAAATGGTATGACTGCAGAGCCTGCCTGCCCAAACCCGGCAATCCACCCGATGGACCCAGTCAGCAGCCATCGAGGAATGATGCGCCCAGCGTGGTTCATCGCAATCGGGTAAAATGGGCCGAGCAGGACACCGACTAGCGATACGGCGACCGCGCCCCCAATTAGCGAGGGGACCAGCCATACGATTAGCTCGAGGCTAGGTATAGAATATACTGAGCACGAGCACGAGCAGAAGTGGAGCCACCTACCCGACCGCGAGGAACGTGTATAGATATAAGACACGCCGCTCTCCGATCTAGTTGTCCGTAGTTAGTAGCGTCCGGTTTCGCGACGTTGCTGCTTACCTTCTTGTTGACCCAGAGTAGGGCAACGCGACCGACTGTGAGACCTGTTCCAAGTTAGTGTGAATAGACAATTGATTCAGGCGACGGTAGTATTACCGCCAAAGAATCCAGATGATATATATCCTGACGAAGGACCTCCATGCCTCACATCAATAATGAAGGTGACGATCCATCCACCGATGGTAACTTCGACCCCCACATAGACGAGGATAAAGAAGGCCAAGAAATGCACAGTTTTCTGGGTCAGGATCTGCCGGAACTTGCTGTGCTCGCTACTGTCCTTCTCACCGAGCGGCTGGCCCATCGCGGTTAAACATTCTGCGATAATGCGACGTGAGTGACACAGATTGTGGTATCGGCAGGAAGGAGTGTACCGTCTTGCCCTTTGAACCGGAAGACCATGGCTAAGGTGACGGCGTTGGACAAGGCAATCCCAAGGGAGACCAAGTAATGGAATGACCACCTGTCTATCTGCGCGAATTGAGTTGCCACAAGGGGGGCCGCGAAAGCCCCCAAACCTGAAGCAGCAAGAAATCGTAAGGCATTCGTGCACGGTGCTGACGCAGTCAACCCACCGTAGGTAGCGTGCAAGATTCCCATCTTCGTCTCGGCGTTCTCTTTAATGGACGCGACATATCCATTGGCTTGAGCATCCTTGAGATCGCGTCATTCAACGGTTTGCTATGACGTGGAAGCGATGTTTACCTGCATCGCGATGCCAGCCCCGTTGATAACATAGGCGATAACGAACACAGGGAACGGTAACGCAGGTGCTTGAAGAGCGTACGCGATTACCTGCAAAATAGATCCTGCGCAATGTCAACAACACGACGGCCTGAGAAGTCCGAATGGTTTGATCACCTAGCACAATGACCTAACATGTTCGACAGTAATGAGAGTCAGGCGTATACAATGAAAGGAGGACCCAACCTTGCCGAAGCCAAGTTTATCAGATAGAGGGACATTCAGCAGTGCGCCGCCGATAAAGCCCTAGCATAATAATATTATGGACTCCGGTAACCTAGTGGAAGGAAATTACTGACCACACAAGCAAAGACAAAAATCAGCGAGACGACTGCAAAGCCGACCTGTTTTGCGCTTCAGATCATCGTAATCAACGGGAAGAACCGTCTGCACCGACATCATAGACTTCCCGAATTCTTGGAAGTAAAGGTCCGGTAGTCCCATCGTTCCAGCCTGCCATGAATAAGCACCAGCACAGAGTCGCAAACTGCACGCGGGCTGTCATGGCTTGTTTCTTGGGCGACGTCTGCACATTTTCCTGGAGGTCTTCTGTCGTCGGCTGGGCCGTTGACTGAGAAGAGTCTCCGTGATCATGTAGCCGCCTCGGAAGTGATTCTACCTCGTGGACAGATTCAGAGACAGACTTCGAGATCGTCTCAATCTCCCTCAGCTCGATGGTTTGACTCATGGTGGTGGTGCTTAGGGAAGCTAGTGAGTCGTGAGTGAAAAAACACGTCGGCTCGATATATAAGTACGAGACTGCGGGAAAATCTCGGATAAATCCCCACAGATTGATACCATTTGTCAGCGCCTTGGCACAATGACTTCGCTTGACTCTGTTCGACTCTTCTAAACGCCAGTCCAGAAGGAACTTGAAGTGTGGCCGTATCAAAGCACTCGCCCATATCAACGGACATTAGGCGGAAACCAAGAATAAATTTACAGTAGCATCAAAGGTGGGATTATGGTACGAAATCGATAGGAAGGAGTACCACATACATGTGCAAGCTGGCCGACTGGTAAATTTCAGAGCCTTTTGAGGTTGATCAGCATCCGTGTTGCTGTAACCGAGGTGATAGAGAACCCATATCCAAACGTTATAAACGTCTCTAGGCCCTGTCAGTAAGAACATAGTCAGAGAAATACAGCCTCAGAGTGATGTGGACTTGCAGGAAGTTTGATTAATGCTATAGTCAGGGCGAGATATATGGTCAAGATACTGTCAAATCAAATATATCAGCATCAATCACGAGAGTGGCTTTGAGTAAGCCTACATCAGGAAATACAGAATGGAGTCCCGCATGAGCACATGCAGAAGAGTTGATCTTCTGTAGCCAGCAATCCTTTGGGTTCTGATATAGGTTATCCCGCGGACGAGCACCAAAATGAGGGCAGATGTGTCAAAGGCTACCGCCGGAATGCTAGGGAATATGAGCCCTGGTAAAAGTCTCGAAACAATATACGTACAGTCCCATGTAGAGGTGAGACACAGAGCCGCGGATTGCCTCACAAACGACGATGTTCGAGAAAGGTAAGGCAGTCCGCAACAACTCTGGAGATAGCATGACACAAACATACAACTCTGCGGCTGTTGATCCAAGAAGCAACATGGCTAAGAACCAGGCGATCCACTTTTCTCGATTGTAAAGCCCATACACCCTGAAGCCCAATATCGAGTGAACTGGTATAATCAACGAAAGGCCTTGTATAGATGCAGTATAAGCACAAGAACGTGGAGAAGCAAGTTGAAACTTACATGAAAGTGTGACCAGGTTGTGTACCCATACTTGACCTTGAAAATGAACGGTTCGACCTGAGGGTACTCAAGAATATGTACCAAACTTACAGCTTGGTACACCAAATATGCGAGCATGATTAATTTAATGGCAACGGATCGCTGGGGATGAAACACGTACAACTGCGGAAACAAACGGATTAATCAGCGAAAGGACGAGAGACATAGCCGTGGACCTACTTGCTTAGGTAGGCTTGAAGGTATAAACACCCCTGCACAACGACGGAGAAACGGTACTAAATACGAAGCAGTGTCCCAAGCTCATGGGATATACGCACCCATTGTATGAACCACTTGCCAACCGATGGCTTGATAGCGATTCTGGTGGTAGGATTAGCCATTTGCTAGTGTTATGAAGACGCAACATGCTAGCTCACCACAAAGAACAGCACCCGTGGATATGACCACTTTCCAGCCTACAAATGCTCAGTAAATCGTAGGGGGCTATACAGGCGATGCACAAACCCAGAACAGTTCAACCTTTATTGTATCAGTGTTGTGAACGCGGATAAATTGACCGGGCCCTACCTCGTCAGGCAAGGTGATGATATAATCCCATATAAGGACAGTAAATGATGAAACTAAACAAGCAAACATATAGTCAGTACATTGAAAAGGTTAAGCAGCCTGTGTAGACATTTACTAACGGTGTACATATTGTGTAGTGTAGTATTGTCGATGGCCAGTGACAATCCGGTCCATGATGGAGAGGGAAGACATGTTGGCGATGCGAGGGAGCTTGGGCTTGAATACTTCGAGCTCGAGTACTCATATATAGTACAGAGCCAGAACCGATGGAGAATTGAAGTAGCCCAGCAACTAACATAATGGAAGACAGGGCTTTAGAAGCGACCCACCAATGCATCACGGCAGGATTATGTAGTCGCTGCTTTGTTTGCGTTGTCGTTGCTCGTAGGTGTTGTTGTGAGCATGTGTCACAATGCACTTCTTTCTATTTCAGCGTGTAAGCGGTGCAACATGCTGTATGAAAATCTCACTGAGAGCGAAACTAAATCAAGGCTTAATCGCTTCGGCGGCCGGTGTCCTGTGCCTGTAATCTACGAGATTAGCTGACCCACATCCATCGCAAGGTATCCTCGAGAGTTCCAGAGATCGCGAGGTATGGAGTTCCTAGGCAAGCCACTTGATACCACCTCAGTAATCCGGGGATAGAGCTGAACTCGCGCAGCCAATAGTAAGTGATTGTCGGTGGTTGGCCAGATGCTGTTGGGCCGAGTATTGAGCACGCTTTTCGACTCTTCCATTACTTCGTCCCTGGCGGCTCTAGACTCATGAGTCAAGAAAACAGTCGTGATTGGTAGGATTCCCCCAGGTTTCCGCCGATGAGCGCGTTGTGAGCGCGGGTTCATTGTGTTGGATCATCATGCGGCTCTAGTCCCAGTGGTCTCAATGGCATGGTTTCTGATATTGGGAAGGGTGACTATGACGCGATACATTGCCGCTGGGAGCTAGCGGGGAGACGCGCGTTGGCCCTTGGGCGCGTCCTTCCACTGAAATGGCGGACGGCACAAACACGACCATACAGGGCGCGTGGTCCAAATGGGGAAGACCATCATCAGTTAGTTTGTGACCCGCCTCTATGAACTCGCCGCTTCTTCAAGCGAGGCCTTCATACACAAGTCAGCCATTGGCATACTCCATAGCGCTCAGGTAAATTGAACCTGCATGTCACAAACCCCTCTACATTCTCTTGAAGGGTATATCTCAGCTGGAGGCTTCTGTCGCCTTTACCCCGGTAAGTGCATTTGCACAAGGCCTTCGCCTGCCTCTTCCAAACACCAAAGGGCCAGACTCAATGTGCGGCTGCACCAAAAGCGCACCATCTGATTGACGCGAAGCCACCTGAAACGATGGCTCTTTACAACAGCGTATAAATATGCAAGACGAAAACACAGATCGGAATCACCAAGAAGGGACAGACAATCACTACAGCATGGCGCGACTCAACTGATGAAGTCAAAGCTTCTTGAGGTTAATCAACATGCGTGAGGCTGTCACTGAGACAATAGAGAATCCGTATCCGAATGTTATAAATGCCTCTACACCCTATTGATGCGAGTTCAGCAGTCAACGAACAGTACAAGAGTAACTCAGACTAACCGGGAGTTTGATCCAGGATATAGCCAGACCGATGTACACAACCAAAATGCTGTCGGATTCATCGATGTGAATCAGTAAAAAAAATCGACTACTCAACGCATCTATACGTACACCAGGAAATACAGGGTTGAGTCCCGCGTGAGTAAACGGACGATGTTTGATCCCTTGAAATCAGCATTTTTTTGGGTTCCGAGGTGGGATATACCCCGTAAAAGCACTAAAAGAAACACTGGGATATCAAAGGCTATAGCGGGAATGCTGAGAGACATTGATGAATATGGGTTTCCGTTGAGAGTTTGTGACGTATACATACAGGCCAAGGTATAGATAGGACACCGCACCGGAATTAGGCTGACACAAGACGATGTTCGAGAACGGCAACACAATCCGTGTCATTCCTGGGGATAGCTTGATCACAACATATAACTCTCCGGCCATCGAGGCGAGGAACAATACAGCCAAGAATCCTACAATCCACTTTGCGTTATTGTAGAGTCCGTAGACACGGAGAAACAGTATCAGTTGAATGGGTATAATCATTGCAAGTGCTTATGATCACAATGTAAGAATAAGGGCGGGACGAAGTAGCTTAAAGCTTACCCGAGGATGTGACGACGTTGTGGACCCATACTTGGCCTTGGAACAGTTTGAATCAATGAGCATGGATATGTTGACGATTCACACTTACAGCTGGGTGCGCCAGATAAACATATCTAGTTAGTAAAAGGGCAACAGGTCTAGGCATGGCAAGCTGCGCACAACTGTTGATCCAACCGAAATAATCAGCGGGGGGAGGGGGGCAGGAATGCGTTGACGGACCCACTTTTTGAGGTTTTGAAGACATCAAGACCCCTACGCAATGAAATGAAGTGAACCTGCAACGACTACGCCATGTTCCCAATTAACCATACGACGTACCGATAGCATGGAATAATTGCCAGCCAATTACTTGGTATCGATTCTGGGTGGTACATTTAGCCGATTGTGACCATGGTGAGGATACCAAAGACTTGCTGACCATCAAAAACAGGACTTGGGCATAGGACCATTTGCCAGTCTGGGACCAGACGCTCGGTGAATTGAAGGGGGTTGTTGAAGTGATCCACAAACCCAGAATAGTTCAATCTTTGCGACCACAACATGAAGGTTAAACTGAGGAGAGGAAAATATTTAAGGCACACCTCATCAGGCAAGGTGACAAGATAGTCGCATACAAGGAAAGTCACCGACGAAACTACGTAGAGAAGTGAATATGTGGTAAGTACATACATTCTAAGGGTTGTAGCACTGACGGTGTACATATTGGGTTGCATAGTATCGTTGATAACCAGTCACAATCTGGTCCATGATGGGAGGCATAGTGAGGATGAAAGAAAGGTTATGAAACCCTCTGAGCTCACGTACTTAATATATGCCACAATGCGGACCCAAACATCATGGAGTTGCGGTGTTGCGGCGACTAACATAACAGAGGAACACGTCTCAGCACCGACCAAGGAATGCATTATGACGGCTCACCTGCGGCCACCACTAACAGAGTTTCCTACATTGATCGCAGGCGTCAACGGTTTTGTGTTGTAGTGTCGTTGTCGCAGCGCCCTCCCATCCATAAGCAAGTAAACAAATGCGGTGCACATCTGAACACAATTCCTATGCTCACCGAGAGCAAATAACGAAAGCGTCACTTTTGTTCCTTTCGAAACTGTCGATTGGCCCTTTTCGGCTGCAGTGATGACTTTGTCCAATTACAGGCTGAAATCGTGGGGTTTTCAGTTGTGCCAGGCGTAGCTCTATTGCTACGACCACTCGCTTGTCTGTGTCCTCAATTATTGGGAATTGGTGGGACATTGAGGCATATTTCGAAGCTGTATTTGTTGTTGTCAGGGAACAAACACTAGACGCGACCAAGACAAATCCAGACCATGGTGGGACGCACACACAACTTTCTTTCCTAGAAGGCCACCTTGTGCCGCGCTAGTAAAAAATGTCTCCGGGTGGTAGTTTATTCGCTCGACGACAATCGGAATTTGATGCTGGCCTGAACACCTCAGCAGCTTGGACCAAACATCTCGAACGCGAGGGGTCGCTTTCCGACGAAGAGCTTGATTCAACGAATCAGGGAATAGGGGAGCTCCCTACTCGTCCGGCTCAAGCATTGTATGATTTCCTGGGGAAGCCAGAATTCAATGAACTAACCGTCGACGCCGGCGATGAGATACATGTGCTTAAGGAAGATCTTCCCGATGGCTGGAGTCTGGTGAAAGCCGCAAACAGTGAGGTTGGCTTACTGCCGAGAGCTTATGACACAGTGCGTACATAAACCCGAGCAGGTGGTTACATGCAGTCGCTGGTTACCTTGACTTCATGGCGGACTTTGTGCAAGAAGCAGAAACCACGGGCCTCGCAGCCTCGACCGACTCGACGGAGTCTACGACTCCCAGAAGGTCGCCAGCATTGTCCAAGATTGTTCTCCAGACCACTGGAGGGCACCTTTCAATGACTTCTGTTCGTACTTTGCGAACGAAACGGCGTTAAGCCCCACTCCATCTTCTAAGGCAGTGACATTCTGAGAAACCGTCGGGATCCAGCCACAGGAAGTATTAGTTATATAGTTTGCTCGAGAAACCAAAGCGAGAGCGGTCGAGCCTGACGAGGTTATCATGCTGGTATCCTGGCGTGCGAGCTGACCACAAAGTTGGTGTGGACGAAGAATTCAGTATTGGGGGCTATATTGCGAGCAGTATAAGATTGAGGCAGGTGCGGTATGGGATTGGGGTATGCATGAGCGGCATGGGTAAAGCCTGTAAAGCCTAAATTCGTTGCTCAGCATGAGGCGCGCACATACCAATGACAACCACCCCAGCAGACTCCGGCCGCTGGGCAGGTTCGTGCGAAAGGCGCAACAACCAAATTTAGACGGGGCACCTACGGCGGAATCTGATCTAATCTGATTGTCTCTACTACCGTTACACGGTCTACTCGCGACAAGCAAGAGACGGGTTTCTATGAGGCGAGGTAGGTTGTTGCTTCTGCCTCATCTCAGTATGGCCCACCTGACGTCGCATCGCTCCCTTCGCTCAGCCTCACTCGGACGGGTTCACGGTTTCTATTCTTGTTTGGTCGCCTCTACCTTGCTGCCACGAAGCATACTCCTCATGGCCTATTCAACTATGCCTCGGGAGGACGGACTCAAGTCCCATGCACACTGAATCCGTGCGACGCCCCACTTACAGCAATTCGGTCAGCCGATGTCACCGTTCCAGCGTGCAAGGAGGAATTCCTACAACTCGCACCCAGCAACGCGGCCCTTGATTACTTCTGCCTTCGCCAGCCAGGGAATTTTATTGTCTCCAGGCGACCCGATTATGGCTTATACAGAGTCGTCGGCTTGATTGAATGGTAACACTCGTCAATCCTTCACTTGTTGCTCCATGTAGGTATGCCTCAACAAATACGGAACTAGAATGATCCTGGCGGCCAACCCATGACGCCTCCTTCCCTGCCGGAGAAGTTGATGACTTGGACGATAACCAACGAGGAAGAGAGACGAAACGTTATCGTCGCCGTCTCGCTCATTACATTCTCAACAACGCCCGCGCCCCATGGGAGGGCGAGACGTAGCCTCTGAAAGTCGCGCTGATCGGAGTGACTGAGAGCCAGAGGAAGGGGTACCTGTCGAACACTACGAGGAGGCTATGGCGCAGATCAAGAGGCATAAGTAGCATGGACCGCTGATGATGGAGGATGATGGAGAACGAGCTCGTGCTCACTGGCCCTTTGACATGGATGAAGAACCATACCTGTGACGAGTTAAACTCAAGATGTTGCTAGGCGAAATAAATAATTGCACCATCCTCCTTCCGTCCGGCTTCCTCATACGAGATAAAGTCACGACACCAAAGGATACGGACTAGGCGAAAGGCGCCCAGGCCGGTGGACACACTCAGTCCAACTTATTTTTGACTAGCACCCCGACGCCGGGCAGGCAGGATGACGGTTGCTCGTGGGCGCGCCATTGTCCATTTAGGGCCATAGATTCCATGTTTTCAACGTGATTGCCCTGAATCACCCTCTGGGTTCTCTTCCCCTTAGTTGTTCATGTGTTCATGTTTTGTAGTTAGTCGCCTGAACGACTGCTCTAAATGTTCGCGAATATCTGAGCCTCCCCTGAAGCCCCTGAAATGAGTTCTACCTTAGACGCCGAGCCTTCAAACTCAAATCTCTTTCCAAGACGCGTCCGACAGCAGCGACATGCAGCAGAATCGCCCAGCTCATGCACGACTGAATAACTTCCACGGACAGAAGAAGCAGCTCCTAGGGCGCAAGGCCGGGAATGCCCCCCCGGCCTGGAGGGGTACAGCGCCAGTTCCGACGTTTCCTGGTGCTGCAAAGGGCAAGCAAGTCGCCCAGAACGGGAGTCGGATTTTCATAAGTAATCTCCCTCTGGATGTCGTCGAGCAGGAAGTTGAGGTGAGCATAGCTGAGCAGCGTGTGGGGGCTGCTTGAAATGATTCTATTGTGGCTTCGACAACTGCAGGACCTTTTCAAGAAGACCGTCGGACCGCTGAAGGAGGTCGTTCTCGTTTACAATAACCAGGGGAAATCGAAGGGACTGGCGATTGTTTCGTTCCAGAAAACAACAGATGCTGCTGTGGCTCGAACGAAGTATCACGGCAAGATTGTTGATGGCCGTGAGTCTCCCGCTTCGATATCTGACAGTTACTTACCTCGCAACATAGGACGTCCCATCAAGGTTGAAATCATTGCTGATAGTGATTCACAGCCGTCACCTTCTACTCCCACTGCCCCGAGTCTATTTTCGCGTCTCGCACCCCCGCCTCCCAATTCTACAATTAGTACTACATTGGGTAGCCGTGTTGGCCCACAAGTGAAGGCTCCTGCAGCGTACGGCCATATTCTATCGGGTTGCACATGACAATTGATATTCACAAACTCAACAGCCCGCTCAGCAACAAGGTCCCACCTACTGCACCCGGGTTGGGGACAGTACCAGCGAGACGCCGAGTCAAGAAAGGTCCCAGACGACTCAACAAACGCCCGGCAGCAGCCAAGTCGAAAGAGGATTTGGACAAGGAGATGGACGACTACCAGGCGTCTTCATGATCGCTGCGGTCTCGACATATCTCTTTCTCTTTGCTGGATTGTACTACGGCGCCGTTCTTAGGCTGGATGAATCATGCCTTCCTGGATTGCCACGATCCTCGTTCGAACTTGGACCGGAATTTCATCTGATCTATTTTGGGAAAACCGTCACTCCCACTTCCACTCCCACTTCCACGGTGTATCTGGCAGCGGTGAGAGTGAATGTAACGATGGGTTGTTACTGATCCTGTATTCGAATGTTGGCCGCTGGGGTGCTTCGTGATGGTATGGATCCATGTATAAAGAATGAATTACTGGAGGTTTCCCACTTTCATACCCATCATGTCGTCCATCCAGGACTTGATTACCACTGTCTATCGACAATACTATATAACACAATGTGTACACTGTCAGTAACGGTGCGATGTATAGCCCTCGGAACGGACTGACCACATGTTCGCCCATCCAGTTTCATCGCTAGCTTTCCTTCTCTGGGACTATATTGTTACATTCCCTGACGAGGTGCGGCTTTCTTTGATCTTTTCCTCGTTTCGATCTTAACATCGTGGTCACGAAGGTTGAACTGTTTTGGGTTTGTGCAACATCTCCACAACATCTCAGTTCACTGAGGATATCGTTCCAGACGGGCAAATGGTCCTATCCACGAGTTCTATTCTTTGTGGTGAGTTCATGTATAACGTCGTCGTAGCAACTGCGGACGGCTAAACGCACACCTAGAATCGATACCAAGGGATCGGCTGGCAAATAGTCCATACCATAGGTGCGCGTGTCATGATGGCATAGAGGACATACCGTATTCAGTGTTGCTCGGCTCGTCGCGTAGGAATAATTACGGTCACGAAACCAGGGTTCGAACAGGTGGGTCTGCTGCTCCATCTCCAGCCCTTCTGTTGATTTACTTCGGTTGAATCTGCAGTTGTGCGTATTGCTACTCTCGATAGCCCATTGACGGTTAACCAATAAGTCGCGCATGCCTGCTGCGATAAGCTGTAAGCCCGGAGTATATCGTTGGCTACACTCGTAGATAAACCAATCAATTTCAAGGTCACGTATGGATGCACAACATGATCATTATATCGGGTGCGATCTCCCCTGCTTCTGCCTTTTCCCTACCCTCATGTTGTGTGCATAACAGCGGTTTCGGGGCTCATACCCGTCCAGTTGATATTGTCCTTCAGAGTCTACGGGCTTTACAATCGCGCAAGGTGGATTATAGCATTCTTCGCCGTGGCGATCCTCGCCACAACAGCTGCGGAGTTGTATATCGTAATCAAGCTATCTCCGGCCGTTACACAAATCAGCATACCGTTCTTGAAGATATCTGCTTGTCAACCGACGCCCGGGACAGCATCCCACCTCTATCTTGCCCCGTATGTATTTTGCGAAACTACAGCTAAGGTTTCTATTCATCTGTATCCCTAGTATTCCGGCTTTGATCTTTGACATCCCTGCCTTCCTTTTGGTGCTTCTACGGGGCGTATCCCACCTCAAGGCCCAAAGGAATGTTGGCTTCAGAGGAGCAACCCTTATTCGCTTACTCGTACGGGACTCTATCCAGTATTTCCTGATGTAAGCGTACTTCAACTCCATTCTCTGTTTCCACTCCTTCTGACGATTTATTCAATAGTATCGTGGTCGTGTACTCCGGCTCGGTCATAGCCTTCATCAAACTACCTGTCCGTCCGATTTGGCCTGCTGCTGTACATTCACCCGCTGAAATAGTACTCACAGGATATAGAAACGTTCGCAACGTTTACATACACTGCCTCTATCATCTCGGTTTCAGCCTCGCGGATGCTGATCAACCTTAGGAAGCATTGAAATGCAACTCATGGGTCCTGGCTCGCAGCAGCACGAGCAGCGTCTTCTTGTTTGAACTTGTATTCTTGTCTCTTGTCTATGTATTCGCCCGTGGTGCTATCTACGCTTTCGTAAATTGCCCTTGTTTCACCCTTGTTTCGACCTTGTTTCGACTTAAGATTGTCGAAGGCCGCGAGTCTCGCGCTTTCGACGTCTGTCAGATACTTACGCCGGTACATACGCAGCAAGGATGAGAACATTGTTGACAGATGATTCACAGTCGTCACCTCCCACCACCAGTCTATTCTCGTGCGTCGCACTCCCGCCGCCCAACTCCGCAACCAGAGTCGAGTGGTACACTAGAGCCGAACAAGGAGGCGAATGACCACTAGGCGTCTTCATGAGTAAGTGCTACTATTCCGACCTCTCCCTTTCTCTTTACTGAATTGTTCGGTCCTTTTCCTTAGACTTAACGAACATATGCCTTCCTAGATGCCACGATCCTCGTTCAAATTTAGAAGCGGGACTTCATCAGATTTGCACCAGGGGACTGTCACTTGGCCCCAACCCCCACAGTGTATTTGGCAACGTGTGAGTGCATGTGCCATGATGGGTTGATACTGATCCGCTATTTGAATGTTGGTCACCAGTGAGGCACTTCTACTTCGTGATGCCTAGATGCAAGCCATGGATAAATGATCACTAGTCAATCCTTTACCACACCGATACCACTAACCCCCAGTAGATCCCCCAGAGCAAGTTGCGTATCATTCCTCCCACTTTCAGATCCACCATGTCGTCCATCCCGCAACTGCTTACCAATGGCTATCTACAATACTATAAAACACAACGTGCACACCGTCAGTAACGGGTCTGCGCGCTGCGTCTCTCAGAACGTACTGACCAGAAGTGCAACCGCCTACTAGTCTCGTCGTTGACTTTCCTTCTATGGGATTATTTTGTCACCTTACCTGACGAGGTATGGCCTCGTTGGTATCCCCACGTTGACAACACTGATAATGTCGGTGTAAAGGTTGAGTTCTTCTGGGTTTGTGCAACACCTCCATACACCTAGACCCCTTCAATTTACTGAGAACTTCATTCCAGACGGGCAAATGGTCGTATCCACGAGTCCTATTTTTCGTGGTGAGCCAATCTTCTATAGTATATCCTTTGATATTCCTGCCTTCCTTCTAGTGCTTCTAAGAGGAATAACCCACCTCAGGGCCCAAAAGGCTGTTGGCTTCAGAGGGTCCAGTCTCATCCGTCTACTTGTGCGGGACTCCATCCTTTACTTCTTGATGTAAGCATGGTTCTATTAAATCCTCAGCACAGATCTTAATGATTTCTCCAACAGGATTGTGATAGTATACACCATCATTATCATATCCTATGTCAAATTCCCTGTCCGTGCGATTCACTTTCCCACTGTTCTATGTCTGCTAAATTCCTACAACAATAGGACATAGAGTCGTTCATGACATTTGGATATGGCTTCTCTGTCATCTCGATTGCAGCATCACGGATGCTGATCAACCTGAGGAAGCATCGAAACTCGTACGGATCTAGCAATGAGGATCGACAAGAGTGATGAATGTGTCCTCAGTGGGGTTGAAATCTGTATCGTTGTTTGTGTATTACTAGTGTACTTTCGTTGATTTCGTTCTCTCATCAGTGTATCATCTCCGCTATCGCGAATTATCTCTAGTTTGCGGTCATTAGAGAGCCCCTGTTTCCCTGTCTGGGTTGTGGGAGCCGTCTTCCTTGCTTTTGGTAAGTCCACTCCGGGATGAGCTCTCTGATTCTTAATGCTGATTCATCATACAGTACTGTGATGGCACACAGCACCCTAGTGACATCTTTGATTGAACTCCTGTGCGCCCAATCTGCTCTTCTATTGTACCTTATCCGCTAATTCGCTGTCAACAGGACATAAAAACGTTTAAAGTATTCGAATACGGATTCTCTATCGTTTTGGTTACAGTGACGCGAATAATGATTAACCTCATTGGACATAAAGGTGAGCAATGGCATGAGAAACGAGATTGTATCTGTATTTATACTTGAATTAAGCTGTTTCGACCACTCATGAACAGGGATCCCCTGTTCTTCTGCTGCCCAGGGTCCCCCAAAGAGCCTTTTACAGCATTTACATACGGTTCCTCTATCAATATATCATCTTGGTTGCAGCGTGGCAACTGCTGACCAGCCTTGGAAGGCATCAAGAACCCTTGCCGCTCCTAGATGGGTGAGCAATGCATTTTCTTGCTTGCAATTGTAATCTTTCTGTCGTTGGAATATTAGTGTTGATTTTGTGCCCTCGCCCGTGGTGCTAAGTAAAACACATTCTTCCATTTTATTCTAGGAGCTGTAACCTCCGATATACACAGCAAAGTGGTGACAGATGATTCACAGCTGGTGGCATCACCTGCCATGACCACTGCCTCTAGTCTATTCTTGTACCCCGCACCCTCGCCGCTCAACTCCACAACCAGAGTCTAATGGTACACAAAGCCGAACGGAGAGGTAGACGATTTCGATGTTTCCGTTATCCTTGGTGGAATTGACCAACTATTTCCCCAGTTGTCGCGATCCTCGTTCAAATCTGGATTCAGACTTGATTCAATATGTACTTGGGAACCGTCGCTTGGTACCAACCCCCACAGTCTACCTGGCAACGAGGTGAGCGAGTGCCATGATGGGTTGATACTGCTCTTCTGTTCGAATGTTGATCACTGGGGCGCTTCTTCGTGATGCCTGGATGTGAATCATATATAAAGGATCACTTACCCTACTTCCCAATCCACCATGTCATCCATCCTGGAACCGATCATCACTGGCTATCGACAATACTATATAACACAATGTGCACAGCGTCAGTAACGGATCAAGTGCTGTGTATACCTATCAAGCGCTATATATACCTCCCCGTGAATGTACTGACGATGCTGTCTAGTCTCGTCGCTGACTTTCCTCTTATGGGATTATTTTGTCACCTTACCTGACGAGGTATGGCCTCATTGGTATCCCCATGTTGACAGCACTGATAATGTCGGTGTCAAGGTTGAATTCTTCTGGGTTTGTGCAACACCTCCATAAACCTAGACCCTTCAACTTACTCACTGAGTACTTCATTCCAGACAGGCAAATGGTCGTATTTACGAGTCCTATTTTTCGTGGTGAGCCAATCTACAGTATCTGCACAACACTTCCAAACGGCCAAGTGTGCTCCTCAGAACCGATACCAAGTAATCGGCTGGCAAATATTCCACACTATAGGTACGCTTACTATGCGCGTGGTCGAAGCGAGCCTGTCATATTCAGTTCTGCCTGGCTCGGCGCATAGGGATCTTCATGGTCACAAGACCTGGATTCGAACAGGTAGGCCCGACGTTGTATCTTCAGCCCTGGTGATTAACTTGGGCCGACAGCTGTGCGTTGCCACTCGTAACAGCCCATTACTAGTTGATAAACCAAGCTGATATGTCTGCTACACCAAGCTGTAAGCTGAAACGTCTCATTTGCTACAGTGAAGGAAGAACTAATCTGCTTCAAGGCCGCGCATGGGTACACAACACGCTCACAATCTCAGGTAAGCTTCGAGCTACTGTCTACTCTTCATCCTTATGACGCTCTACACAAGCATTCACGATGACCACATCTGTGCAATTGATACTGGCATTTAGAGTATACGGACTCTACAATCGCGCGAAGTGGATCATAGGCTTCTTCGCTGTGTTGCTCCTTGCGGCAATAGCTGTGCAGCTATATATTGTGATCAAGTTATCTCCAAAGGGGACACCAATCTCGTTACCTTTCCTGCGCATCATCGCTTGTCAGCCGACTCCTGGTGCGGTATCCCACCTCTACCTTGGCCCGTAAGTATGCTTCATGAATCTCAGCTACCTCCATTCATCTATATATTCCAGCATTACCACTATATGCCCTGATATTGCCGCCTTCCTTTTGGTGTTTCTACGAGGAATGTCCCACCTTAGGGTCCAAAAGGCTGTCGGCTTCGGAGGGTCCACTCTCATCCGTTTGCTCATGCGGGACTCCATTCTTTACTTCATGATGTAAGCTTTGTTCTATCAAACCCGCTGACACGGATCCCGATGATTTATCCAACAGGATTATGATGGTATACACCGTCATCATCATATCCTATGTCAAATTTTCTGTCTGTACGATCCACTTTGCCACTATACTATGTCCGCTGATTCTACAACAACAGGTTATAGAGTCGTTTATAACGTTCGGATACGGCTTCTCTGTCATCTCGATTGCGGCGTCACGGATGCTGATCAACCTGAGGAAGCATCGAAACCCATATGATTCTAGCCACAAATGAATGCGTCCTCGGTGGCGTCGAAATATGTACACTTGGTCTGTATATTACTTTTTGTATTTCGCCGATATTGTACTCTCGTCGGTGTATCGTCTGAGCCTTTGTGAATTATCTCTGTTTTGCGATAATCAGGGAGCCCCTGTCCGTGCTTGTGAGGCGCAAGCGCGGCTTAGATCTCACCCAGACAATGTCTGATTCTACCGCTAACTCAACGGCCTCAGACATAGGCGGTTCAGATTTGTCGAATCTTTACAGTGTTATTAATAGAGATAGGTTAGTGCTACCTTCTGAATAACTGCATACCCTGACTATATTTGAGCTAATCAGTGTCTATGGGCTGAACCTTTCTGTGCCTGAAGATGCGAAAGCGATTATCAAGCCATGGGATCAGCGAGAGGATACGTCCCAGTTCATAGATTCTGGAGTAGATGATCAGGTCAGAGTTCTCTCCGCCGAAGCAGGGAGTATCCTGATTCCTGAATCGTGCACCTGACACGGTCTAGGTTATCATCCACATCCCCTTCTCGCAGAACGTTCGAATTCGTTCGATGATACTGAAAATAGGTGGGCAATCTTTCGCTCGTGTTAACCTTTGCTCGATGGACATTGTGTCCGCAGGCCGAGGGGAATCAACTCCTCGCAGGCTCCGCATCTACGCCAATCACCCTACCATCGTTGACTTCGCTGAAGCGGAGGAAACCAAACCCCAGCTCGAGCTGAGTCTCTTGGAGGGTGAGGTGTCTGCCACTGAGTACCCTCTGAGAGTTGCAGCATTTGCGAGCATAAACACTTTGTCGCTGTTCTTCGTGAGTTCTCGATATAACTTCGCAGCGTATGTATCTTATCGTGCTTCTTGAGAGCCACGCGGTGGGTGACGAGGTATCGAGGGTATACTACGTTGGGTTCAAGGGGGACACGACGTCCCCGCGTAAAGATGGGACTCAGAAACTAGAAATCCCAGCAGCCAATGCTCCGGATGCGTCGCTAGTCGACCGTGTATCGGAGAAATCAGGCAGTCAGCAAACGACAGCTAGGTAATCAATCATGTATAGCAATACAATAGTATCCGCAAGTGACTGTGTGCGTTTCCATCTGACATATGTGCTTAGCCAATATTAATGCTTAACGATAGAGAAATTCAGAAATGAAGCAAGGGAAACAAATATAGCCACCGGGAATTGTGACATTAGAGCCTCACTGAATTACCTCGGCTGTGAAATTCTATAACTGACATGGACAAGCGCAGCGTGTCGAGCGGGAACAGCCTGTAGCCTGCAACGACACATCCTCGAGCTGTAAGTGCATACGACCACATCTGCAACGAATAGGGCAGGCTGAAGGCCGTGACAGTGCCCCGTGAGGCATGCCAATGTGAAGGCATTAATTTCACCGGCGGTTTGAAGCGTCGAGCATTGCCTTATAGCTGGATTCAATGGACTTTCCTCGGAGGTCACCAAGACCGTCTCCTAACGGGTCAACCTAAATGAAGGAGGCAATGGTTACAGCGAAGTGAAAACGGGGTACGGTACGAGGAGCTGAGAATTAATTAGAGTGAAGGATGCCTCGTAAATGGGTCCTAAGATGATTTACTCGGCGCTGACTGTGACTGTAGTTTGGCCTGCATTACGTTGACAAGATAGTTCAAATTGTCACGTTTCTTCGTGATCGTCTCTTCCAGCGTTTCAAGGTTTGTGCGAATGTAGTCCACTTTCGCATTGTAATGTTTGGCTGCCTCCTCGCGCGTCTACCGCCAGTTAGGCGTCGAGCTGAAACTCTAGAGAAGATCGACGTACCTTTTGCACAAAGTACCCCGTGCCGATGTCGACAATTACATGCGTCGGGTTGCTGAGTTTTCCAGGAACATACAGGGAATTGGTCAAGGGAACCAGGATAGTTTTATCTATCCAATAATCGTGAGCTTCTTGCGCGGATTGTTATGAGTTTTCGCGTACTCTGATTTTCGGGCTTGATCTCACTAACATTCTCCACACATGCCTTGAACTTGGCTTGGGCTTGCTTCAGTTGCGCGAAAGAGTTCGTAAAATGGTTCAATTCCTATCTCATGGTTCAGATATGATGCACAATCGATTTGACCGCTCAACGTACCTCCTCCAGTTGCCTCTTGACATCTGAGAGCTGGTTTAGGTCAAGATCTGCTACGTTGATCTGCTGAGGCTGCGCTTGCGACATGGCCTCGATTCAAGTTGGCTGCCTGGCGTTTGGAAATTTCGCGTCCTGGTCCTGCCCAATGGTCTCGTCCATGATCCACAGGCGTCTGAGCTGAGCGCTTCGTCGATGCCGGTTTCAAACACCGAACGGCGGCGAAGGGACTCCTTCAGCCTCAAGTCTTCCGAAAGGCACGTAGATTGCCCGCTCGCGGTGTCAGTCAATACACCATGGTCGCACCTCTATATACAACAGACTCGGGATTGCTCTTTCATGCTGGAAAGATCCTGATAGTAACAGTGGGTTTGCCTGCCCGGGGCAAGACTCATATCTCTCGATCATTGGAAAGATACCTACGATGGATGGGGGTCAAGACGCAGGTGGTTTCGTTGGGGGATTACAGGCGGAAGACTCTTGGAGGCGCACAGAAGCTTCCCTCAGATTATTTCACCCTCGGTGAGCATCGGGACTCGCGTCTGCATGTACTATGGTGCTTACACGGTGAAAATAGGGGAGAAGAGTCCGGAAACAATGGCGCTGCGGCAGAAGATTGCGCAGGGCTGCGAGCAACTTATATGGGACTTCTTCTCGGGTGGAGGGCAAGTCGTGATCTACGATGCTAACAACGGCACCCGGGCAGCGCGTCAGACCCTCGCAGAGAAGTTCGATAAGCAGAACATTCATGTCATTTTCCTTGGTGAGTGACATTCGCGACGCGATTCATGTTAGGATTGCCTAACTCCGGGCAGAATCGTTATGCGATAACAAGGAGATCATCGAGCAAAATATCCGAAGCGTGAAGATCTCATCTCCTGATGTATGTTGCCGAAGCCCCTAGGGAGATGGAATATACTGACTCCATGCCCAAGTATCGAGGATGGGATCCGAACCAGGCTGTAGAGGACTACTTTGTTCGAATTCGTGACCATGAGAAGTACTACGAAACTGTAGAAGAAACCAACTGGCCATTTATTCGAATTATCAATGTATGTATGTTTTGTTTGGGTTTCGCGTAGCATTGCATTAACTGTCAGCCTGCAGGTAGGAGAGAAGATTATGGTCAACGTGAGTGGTTTCAGCACTGGAATCGCGCAATTGTTTATCATAAGCCCTATCTTTAGGATATCCATGGCTACCTGCAGGTATTGTCGCTCGTTCCTGGTAGCCTCTTCATTGACATTGGCCAAAAATATAGTCGCGAATTGTATTCTTCCTGATGAACATCCATAACAGGTTCAGGACAATCTACTTTGCCCGAGTACGCAACGTCGATATTGTCTTAATCAAGCCTAATATGTGCTGCAGTCTGGCCAGTCGCTGATCGAGAGATCGTACAAAGCCGATTCAGACCTGTCTGTTGCTGGCTGGGAATATGCGGAGCGTCTCAAGGATTTCGTCATTGAACGAAGGGCGAAAAGCCTCGCGGAGCGGGGTCTTGACCCTAAAGACCGTCGTTTGGTTGTAAGTCTTACGGCTTTGGTCAACATGCCCAGTGATTTGAAATCGGATTCCAGATATGGACGTCCACTCGCCGCCGTGCACATCACACTGCATGGCCTTTCCTCGCTGCGTCTCAAGCACAGAAGCCTGAATCCTCAGACACGCTGGCGCCGAATCAGCCCACAACCCAACAGCAAACAAAGAATGCTCCGTTGAACGTGAAGGTCGTCGAGAAGACGCAGATGCTGGAAGTTAATCCGGGTATCTGGGATGGCCTCACACCGGACGAAGCGAAGAAGTTTTATCCAACCGACTGGAGCCTATTCTGCAAAGATCCGTATACATTCAGAGCACCCAGAGCCGAAAGTTATCACGACCTTAGTGGTGCGTTGTCCACACATCAATGCAACCCTATACAGTGCTTACCAAATGCTCGTTGCTACTGCATGTAGTACGCATGGAGCCCGTGCTAATTGAGCTAGAAAGGGAGAAAGAAGACCTTCTTATCATCGGCCACGCGTCTGTGATCCGATGTCTTTTGGCATACTTGATCGGTCTCCCAGCATCAGAGATACCGGCTATCGAAATCGCCAGAGGCGATCTGCTGGAAGTCGTACCTGCCTCGTACGGCGTGTTGAGCCACGCTTATCACTTCTGGGATGGTCCCGGGCGAAAGGGTAGTGACGAAGCAGATAATTCCAGCAAAGACGAGAACAATTTCTACGAGAACTACGCGGAGGATACGAAGGGCAAGAAGGTAGTGATCGAAGAGGCGAGTGGGTCTACTTCGGAGCCGGCGACTGTATAAAGGATGTATAGATAGAAATAGAAACATGTATCATATCCCTAGAGGGCTTCAAAGCGGGCTGATCGTCACCGCTGCGTCCCCCTTGTCGTTCTTTGAATCAGAACGATCGTAGACGGAACTAGAACCGTCGTCGAGAAGAGAAACATCCACTTCTTCGAAGGTTTTCGAGGCACCAACAACAGGGAAGAAGTAGTTCAAGGCGAGGTAGACGATGCAAGAGACACCAAAGCCTGTGAAGAACGACATCTGATAGACACGGGTCGCCGCGAGGGGGACGGTTCGACCGGCTGAGGGTGAAGTTAGCGCTCTGACTAACAGGATGCGTATAGGTTGCACGCACTTGCTCCGGCAAATCCAACAACATTGATGAGGATGCCCGAAATATAGGCTGCGTACGCCCTAAATGGCATCATGGCCGTAATTCTGGATGCTGTCAAACATCATGTCGTGGACAATTACTTACCTGAAGTTGAAACCAAAAGTATACCAATACCATCCGTCACGCCTTGTGTCATACAAATCGGCGACTCTGTAATGCCCACGGCGAATCAAGAAGTACTCCGTTATCTGTACATGGGGCATTAGTAAAGGAACGAAGTATCATGCGAGGCCTGGCTTACCATAACGCCAGCAATAGAACTCAAAAACACGGAGTACGCAGAGAGGTAAGACGTAAAACTGTTGCTACTCTTCAATAGATTCCACGGAAGCATGCACAAACCAACGATGGCCGCAATATAGCCGCCACGGCGAATGTTCTAAAAGAGGGCAAAGTTACAATAGATTCTCCTGAAACGGGGGTGACATACTATGAACCGAGGGAATAAGGCCGTGAGATCACAGCCGGCACTGATCGAGTTCGCGGAAATGTTGGTGCTATAGAGTTTATTTTTATTGTGAGACATCATAAAAGGCAGACAGTCAAACGGCCACATTACCCCAGCTAAAGACGCGACATTAATCCAGGATTGTTACAGAAGGAAGCAGAAAGAAACCTACCTGCGCAATGATGAAGGATGCAGAGATGAACCAGACCTATGCAGCCAAGCTGTGAGTAGGCTGTGTCATGAATTACCTTGGACATGAGACTCACCCCGAATCTTGTAGCGCTGGAAGGGTTGTTTTCCAAGAATTTGCCCAACAGGTCTATTGGTGACCATATCGCTTCCCCGTATATCGTCTCGGATGAAGAACTGACGATAATACCAATGAAGCTGACCACCGAGAACGTAATGGGAACGGAGAGCAACTGCGGCAAGAACGCCGCGGCAGGACTTGTCGCACGAGAAGCAAAATCCGGTGCGTTACTTAATAGGAAGTGTGAATGAGAATAGAACACAGGCCGTGATACACAATGTGTTGAACAGCACTTACACGACTAGGGTGGCCATGTTGCTCATGCAAGACATCAAGCTCACTATCATCGCCCAGGCGAGATCGGAGCCGTGGAGCTTAGATGGTTGATGAATGATTGGCCCTACGCCTTTGGCCTTCACGATACACCAAATGAAGAATGTGATTCCAGCAGTTGGGGCAACAATGGCCTTGAGTGTGAAAAGATGCCGACTACAGGACGGAACACGGTTAGTCTGCAGGGAGCTATTGAAGGTAAAAGGTTCGACATGCATTTTGTGGATCGGGAACCAGATTGCAGGGAGTGAGATCAACCAGAAAAGGAAGAAACACATAAAGTCTCGAGTAGTCGTTCCCGAAGATGCAGGGAGATGGTTTGCTGCGAAAGGATTGAGTCATAGATTCGTTCCAGAGAAGCTCAACATATACTAACGAATATTTTGCACGCTTGGCCACATTGCTGTAAGCATTACGCGGACACAATCACCCCCAATGCTAGCTTGGACACCATACCAAATGCTGGATGGAAGTGAGTCTCATAGGAAGGCGTTCACAAAGTGGTTAAAACGTACCACGCCATAGCGCCTCGATTGAACGTACACCACAAACTTCCGTACAGTCCGAAACTGGTACGTGCAACCACAGGGAATGTGACATGGAACATAGCACCCGGCCGGGCATTCAACACAATGAACGGTGCAATAATGCCATATCCGAGCCAAACGCAGATCCAAGCTTGCCACCACGATAGGCCAAGCTGAACCATCGAAGACACGATCATCCATCTAATTACACGCTTGGCGTTAGGAATGGGTGGAAGGACTAGACATCGGGAGAACTGACGTGTTAACGTTGAAACTGTCTGCAAGCCAGCTATGTGAGAGAGTTCGTGTTAGCCGTCCGGAGAAGCGGTGGGATGGGCGCTGTGGAAACTCACAAGGCCACAAAATTCAAACTTCCCCAGGTGCGTTGCTCAGGTGGGACGGGTACCAAGTCATGGTTCTGTGTCGCAGTCCTAATCAGGAAGGAAGTAAACAATGGTACAACTTGCAACTTACTGATAGGAACAGTTGGGAATATGTAAGCCCCGGCTCATGAGGGACCTCGAGACGACGGATCACATCTTTTGCTGAGACCATGACAAGAGAGTCGCAACACACTGCTGCCAGGAGTTCGGATCGAAGCCATGGGTTTTAAAGGTGTGCGACTTGCATGCTATCAGGAGAACCTGTGAAGGATATGTTTGTCCAAGGAGATAAGAAGCGTATAGCCACACGATAAGCAGAGAATACCATGTCGAACCTAGTCCCAAGACGATGTTTGCTGTCAAATAAACTGCCACGATAAGTGGATTTCATATATATGTTGACCAGGACTAGTGATGGACAGTAAGTGGCCTGGTAGGGGGCGATAAGATTATATATATTTGACAAAATACACCAAAGCGAGACGCTGCGAGAGACGATAAACAAAACAAGACGCGTGAAAGAAATCGTGCCTGGGATCAGTGTGGCGTGCGATAGCAGGATGTGTGTAGTGTAAGATGGAGCAGTGAAATCAAATGTACATGAATGTAAATGCCGATGCCGATGTGTGATGGATGGAGCGCAATCGATGGAGTGGTACTTCGTGCTGTATACAGACACTGTCATGTAGGCAAGTGTCTGGCAATTGAGGGACCGATAAAGAAGAAGAGTGTTGCGGCAGCGGAGTAAAGGCGATAGAAGATCGGATATCAGATGGGCGCGAGTCCGTAGATGTAGATTTGGTTGGAATGTGAGAGGAACAGAAACTATGCTCGTAGGCTTAACATAATGAGGCGTGAACTCAAGGGGAAGAGGCAGGTAGAATATATGATGGTTTGTCGCCGAGTTGTAGAGGTGGCACACTGGTAGCCCGGTTCATTTTGCGGAGACGATCGCTGCTTGGGGAGGGGGAGGAGAATGTAAACGCAGAGTAGATGCGCTTGCGCTCGGGAGTAGAGAAAATGGTGTCGTGAGAAGATTCGATGGGGGTTGTCGCTCTTGCGAAGAGTTTAAGATCGGGGACGTAGTCGCGAAGCTCAGGTTCAGCCGATGAGTCCTAGACAAGAACAAATCAATACCTCGTCGCTCGTCGCGAAGAAATGGCGACCAACCTTCACGAATCGTAACTTTGAGTGCAGAGACGACTCAGCGAAGGCTTCACTCTCATCGTACGCCTTGGATACATCGGCGAGAGGTTGAACAGTCAACTCGTAGCAACGCGAGTCGATTTCAACCTGGGCGAGATGCTTCTTCTCGGCCTCGACCTCAACCTCTTCCTCAACCTTGGGCATCGGGGGTGCCCGGCGTGGCGACCTTCTCGTGCCCTTCCTGCTCACCCTTACCCCCTTCTTACCAGCTACCGCATTCTGCGACGATGAAGCCTTGCGTTTCTTCTCTGGCTTGACCTCCGCGACCTCCGCCTGTAACTTCACACCAAGCGGCATCGACTTGCTGGCAAGTGCTGCTGTCTTGCGCTTTTTGCCACTCTGAGCTCCAGCACGTTCACCGGTGACGGGGTTCACATTCTCCTTGTCCAGCAGTTGAGTGGAGTTGATAGATGAGGTGGCCGAGGATCCTGATTTCTTCAGAGATTTGGACTGCACGTCGCCTGCTGGAATGTCTTGGAATACGGTGAAGCTGCGAGAAGCCATGGTCGGTAGAGATAGGCTGATAAGGCGGGCCGACGAGGGGGGAAACCTGTCGCGTGGACTATGTGGGGGGTTGCGCGACGGGTACAAGGTCGAAGGTGTTGTTGAAGCCGTCAATAAACGCCCGTCACAAATTTAAACTAAACTTCAAGCTCCGAAGGTGCGCGAGGTCACAGCAGCACGCGCGGGTCACGTGGAAGCACGACGACCCTGCGCCAACAGGCCACAGCATGGCATGCTCAGTACAGTGTACAGATTATTCAAGTTCAAGTACTCTCCACCGTCAGGTAGATTTCTGGGCATTGCAGACTCCGAAGGATTTCGGGGCAATAAAATCGCTAACCTCCCCGCCCATCGTTTCACGCTGAGATGCGTTTGGTCCGATGATCAAGCGACCAAAGGGCTTGTTCGCTCCCCCGAAATCGGAGACACGAGTTGTCCATAATTTTCTGAGGTACGTGCTCACAACCTACTCAAAATTATATTCCCCTAATAGGCTGAGAAGAAGGCTTCGTTCACTTAGGCTGTTCGTGCCTTGTTAAAGACGGTCTAAGGCGCGCACGAATTCTACTGTTTAGATGGCTGTCGTCGCTGTGCTATGTACAGAATGGTACAGTTTGACTAGCGATTAATGCATGGGCAGATCATCGCCCACCAACGACCCTCGCTTCGCTTGAGCTTACTAGAAAGCGCTCAGTGACTTACAAGAGTTTGTTCGCCCGAATCCCTTGGGCATAGTGGCGACGTCACTTGCGACTACGCTGATATTGACCCCGCTCAGGTGTATCATCTAGTATCACCCTCGCGCGTGCAGTCTACGATTTTCCCGGGTGGCGAATTTGCGCGTAAGTGTATTGACCTCCTATAAGGCTATCTTCGCTCACTAGGAAATGGAATAGTCTTCCTTTCAACAGCCTGTACGATGCGTACCGTATAGCTTGGCTCCGCCAGGGGCTCGAGTGTGCACCCTCCTTAGGCCTCCGATCCTGCTCCGATCGTCCGTACCCGCTTGTGTGCTCGGCTTCTCCCACCTTATTTCTGGGCCGCATCGGGCGAGGGGGATCGCATCCTAAGGCAGACCCTACACCGCACGCTGTGTCGGATATCATAATCGATGACTCCTGAAAACCATGTTTGGTGCGCAGCCCCTTGCCGTGCGTACATCCAAAGTCTTCTATGATGTTCTCCCTAGAACCGCAAGCTCATAAGCATTGTAGGGTCATACTCGAACTTCAGTACTGGGCCCCGAAAGACGGACCAAAGGCGAAATGCTTATGCGTCCTCCGTTCTATTCACGCACAGCCGATTCCGGATGTCTTGCTTCAATCCAGATCTTCCGCAGTGGAGTCGACGGAATATCCAATTTCCTGATTCTACTCTAATTACTATTTGTGCCGCAGGACCTTCCGATAGACGTGTCCTTTCGCGGACCGTGTTATATTTGGACTAAAGCGGAATGGCAGTATAATGCATTAAATGAGCCCTAATCTGTTGACTATCTACGTTCGTCGAAACACCCTTTCAGTCGTGCACTTCGTGCGTGCTTGATCATCCAGCTCTGTTTGCGAACGTCCGAGTTCCGTAAGTAATGTGTTTTACTACCTCATGTTCGCCACGCCGCTAACAAGCGTATGTCACGTTGGTGCTTCAGACTTCGCACTTAACGAGCTTTCAAAGCTTCGAAATTCTTCAATCCCTCCTTTACATTCTTCTCCACTCGAGAGCCAGAGATTCACTCCTCTGTCATTCCATCGCTCTCCCCGCTTCTCATCGACCCTCATGTCTCCGAAGAGCAGCCCCAAGCCTTCCGCACTACACCCCCAAGTGGGAACCCTCATCGACGACGGTGGACTCGAGCTCGTTGAGGTACTCGGCGTTGGAGGTTATGGCGTCGTGTATCGTGCCGTTGACGTCCGCTCTCCGCGTCACTCGTACGCCGTCAAGTGCCTTCTGCATCATCAGAGGTCTTACCGACAACGCATCGCTCACATTCGCGAAATTGCCCTTCACCAGATCGCCTCTGCTCATCCCAATGTCGTGACGCTCCACCGCGTGTTGGAGGAAGAAGATTACACGTACATCGTGATGGACTACGCTAGCGACGGCGATTTGTTCACCCAAATCCTTCACGAAGCTCGGTATCAAGGCGATGACTATATCATCAAGCAAGTCTTCTTGCAGCTCCTCGACGCAGTGGAATATTGCCATTCCCTCGGTATTTATCACCGTGACCTTAAGCCTGAAAATATTCTATGCTTCGACAAAGGGATGCGTGTTGCAGTCACAGACTTTGGTTTGGCGACTAGCGACAAAATTAGCGAAGATTTTCGCACTGGAAGCGTCTACCATATGAGTCCAGGTACGTCAGCCCCCGCAGCATTCCACAGCTGTCGAACTAACTTTCTTTCCAGAATGTCACGATGAAGAGTATGCTCGACGCTTCTCTAACCCTTCCAAACCAACGTACTCCCCAATGTTTAATGATATTTGGTCATTGGCCATCGTACTCCTGAACCTTACCACTGGTCGCAATCCATGGAGGTCAGCTTCTGTAGCCGACCCAACCTTCCAAGCTTTCCTTCGAGACCCCCAAAATTTCCTCCCGACTGTCCTCCCCATCTCCCCCGAAATCAACGCAATACTAGTCCGCATGCTCGCCTTGGACTGGAGACAGCGCATGACCATTCCTGAGCTTCGCATGGCCCTGGCTGAGGTTGACTCGTTCTACTGCCAAGATGTCATCTTCGACGGAAGCATGGCGAAGTGCGTGTGGGAGGCTGGTGTTCAAATATCCGAAGATTCGACGATGAGGGAGTCTACCGGCGAGCACGTGTCGCAGGCCACCGACCTTAAGTCTCGCTGGAGTGCAGAGTCCAAGTCTAGCTCGGATATCGTGTTCGCTAGGGAGAACAGTGAAGTTCCCTCTGATCGCTGGCGAGAGCGGGAGCAATCTTCAGCCAATGCAACATGGGACCATATACCGACTATGTCTGCCGTATCCAGCCCCATCAACGTGGCTGCGTCCACCGTCGCCTCTTGCGCCACCGCTTCGGGGCCCTCTAGCGGCTCCTCATACGATTCTCACGACTCTGAGTCCCATGTTCCTTCATTACCCTCTACCCCTAGCGATTTCAGCTCCACATTCGAGCGTGCCAAACTTCGAAAGCAGCTTCTCACTATCGATACCTCAGCGTATACTCGACCCCCGCGTTACTATGATCCTGGTCACTCTCAGTCCGACGAACACTCCATCATGCATACCGCCCTTGACGATGAATCCTCCTACTACCTTGCTAGCTCTATATCGCACAACATGGCGTCGCCGGGTGCCGTCATCGCGACACCGGCCATTGACGACAAGGAAATGGGATCCCCCTGCCAGTGGGACTTGGGAGATGTCGAGCCGTCGGTGCACATGTACCCCAGCAGTAGGAATTCTTTGGACCACAACAGCATGGTGTGCGAAGACCCTATGTCCGTCTCCCCCATCATTAGCGACTACTGGTCCTCTTCGCGAAGTCAGGCCATACCGATCCCTCCCCCACGAGATCAACAATGTCAGCCTCATCACATTCCCCCTTACGATACCATGACCGACTATTCTTTTTTTTCAAGGCCAGACGGTCGCGACGCACAGCAGCCCCGAGGGTTCTACGCCAACAAAAATAACAAAACTACCAATATCTTCAATCCGGTCCGGTTCTTTCCTCGTCCTAGCTCTCCATCACCTCCGTCGCCTTTCTCGCGTGCCCACGAACGTCGCATCTCGGACCCGGTATCTACTATGGCGCCGTATGAGGCGACGTCTCCGTGCCATGTTGAGAATTGGTGCGCCTTCTCGCCCCCGGGGACCAAGCAATCGACGATCCCGCTCCCCACACGAGAAACCGATTACCGTCGCGAAGCGCGGCTACGCTCACCGCGCCGATGGTTTTCTCCCGCCCGACTCTTTTCCGGAACGGGTGCTTCTTGAACCAATATCATTATAGTTCTTCCATCATCTCTTCCTATTAGCATATCATCACACTTCATCACATCCATAGAAACACACCACGCATTTCACCATATGTATCCGTACCGGGAGTACCATGCAATATTCACACATGTAGTATACACAGCAAACCTATGTCACCAGCCAAAGTATAAACCTCGATGACAATATGACCTTATACTTACCAATATATGCCACGCCTTCTCGCTACCGACAAGCTAACAGAACGTGACCCTTCGTTTACCTGTACAACTCGTCGATGAAAAGGTTGAGTGCCTGAAACCGGAAGATAAGCGATAGCGCAGATGAATGCCTCACGACGTCCTCACCCCCGCCACATTTCACCTGGAGCGCCACTCGTTGCACGGGCTTGTCAGAAGCGAGCTTAGGGTATTGAATGGCCCTTTGAGCTGCTACGTATGGGATGAAAACAAACACCCTTTTGGCCTTGGCATGGCTAAAGTTGGAGAGCAATGGAAATACTGTAAGATCCTATCTTCTCGTGGCGACTTTAGCGCCACTGGCGTTTCGAGAAGTAAGGTGCTTCCCTGACTCATGGAGCCAATAGTACGTTATCGTGATGGCCACCTTAACGGCGACCACTTCAACAGATTATTGACAAATTATGAAGCAGGTGTCAGGAACCTTTAGACAGCCTACGATCGCGGCAAGATGGCATAGCTTGAATGTCGTTCCATCGGCCTCTCGGTCACGAACTGCCAAAATTTTTACGGAGCTTACACGAGGAATCGTGACACATACGTTGCTACTCACATGCACAGCACGCACGGGCCTGCTGGTTCTGGGTTGACCGGCCCTGTGCATCGCAGCGAGCGTCACCGGACTTGCGCAGTAGCGGCGTGGTGAGTACGTATAGCACCCGTACATACAGCGCCAGAGACGGCGGGTAAACGGATGAATTCAACGGTCTGGACGCTACCGGCACATCTCCACTTAGACATCAAAGTGCTTGGGCATTTAGAAGGATGGAGTTTATAGTAAACTTGACGAATGTGAGTTAGCGTGTACCTGATCGATGTACGTTGGAAACTTACTATCACCATGGAGCATCGACACCAGCTACTGGTGTGACTAGTATAACCAGTCAATGACCCTCAATGTCAGCGGGCTATGATGGGGCGAGGTGCCGGTGAATCGAAGAAGAGTCTAACCTGGCTCTAGATAGGCCAGAGACTGGTCCGAAGGCTATGCCGGGATATGAATGGAAATCATCTTCAAAGAGACAAAGGAGACGTTTCGCTGCCTCGACTCAGCGAGTTACCGCACCACAAAACGACCTATGACAACTGAATGGTGGTTCGGGGTCGAGCTTAATTACAAGTTGACAACCCATCATTTCTCACAATTACTTACAACGTGAATGAACTACAGCAGCTCCTCCTCGTCACCCCCGCGCTTGTTCATACTGGGTATGCACCGAGTCACAATGGATGTTACCATTCGGGCAGCTTCCATACGAGCGGTGTAGTTGTTCCAGTCACTTACAGGCAGCGCCACATTCACCCAAGAGAGGTTCCATTCGGGGTAAGATCGGTCCTGCATTTCCATTTCGAAGGAGGCCTAAAGTGACAAATGCTCAGCGTGTGCAGGGTGTCAGACTATGTTTCAATACTGACCAGATCGACGTCCGGAGTTGGGATGATGTCCACCCGCCCAACATGCTGAGCAGTTAAGATGAGTGTCGACAGGGAGGGGAAAGAGAGGGCGAGGGTATCGATGAGGTCCCCATCGAGGATGTAGACACAAAGCATGAGATCGATGATATTCGCTTTCTTGAAAAATCGGCATAGCTGAGCGACCTCGTCCGGGCATAGTTCGCAGCCGTTCATGAGATGCAGCGTCTCGAGCTTGGTGAAACTCGATGACCCGTTCCATAAACCTTGTGTTGTGTTTATATGTCGAAACCACAGCGTGAGGGAGCGCAGTTCTGGGAGCTGGAGGTACGCGAGGGAGACTATTGTAGCGGGAGTAAACGTCGTCAACGTTAATTCGGTGAGCGCGGGATAGTTTGTGTTGATGGATTGGAATGCCTGAATATCGTTGATCATGAGGAAGATGCTGAGCTTTCGAAGTCTGGGCATAACAGCTGCGAATAACGAATCAGCGCGGTCCAACACGAGCCCATTCTAGGAGTACCCACCGCCATCGTGAAGCGCTAACGACATTCGTTCAATGACTTCGCGATCAAACGTACTGACGGTGAGGCTTTCTAGCGTCGGTGCGAAGTACCTTAGAAATTGGCGTATTCGAGGACATGCATCTGCAGAGGGAGCAGGCCCTCCAGCTCCACATGCGTGAATGTGCAGCGTAATTTTTTTGAGATTGCAGAATTGCAGGACGGGCAGCACCAAATGCACCTTATCAGTGCCCACCCAAAATGTCAGAGTCTGCAAATGCTGCAGACGCGAACACAAAAGTCGCATAAACTCAAGCTCGAAGTCAAGTTCGCTGGTGGGAGTGGAATGAAATTCCAGTTTCTCGATGTTCGTCATCCCGTCGGCGGCGTCGAGGATAAGATTGGAGATCTCTTCCGCACCTATGTTCGTACACTCGTCCTTCTTTTCTGGTGGCGGTTTAGGTTCCGGGAAGGCCACCGTCTTCAGAACGGCGTCGGGTAGGAGAGACAGAATGGCGTTCCACCAATGCGGCCTCGATGGCAGCAGGAAGGAGGACCAGTCTTTGAACAGCAGTTCAATAGCATCGGTGGAGATGTACAGCGATTTGACGCGCTTTGCCAGCCAAGGATCCCTATATTGAGGTTTTTTCACTCATCGTATTCGAGAGACTCGGATGCCGCACCAACCTGGCTCTACGAAGCTTGAATACAGCGCTATTTGAGGGAAACCCCATTCGAAGGTTTCTGTACCGATAGTCCACAGCGACATCGTAGAAGAGACGGTTCACCCCGCAGATTGGGAGAAGTTCATATGGCTCCGACAAAAAGGACAAGATATGCCGCCAGATTTCTGGGGGAAGTTCTGTTCGAGACATAGAGCCCAAGGTGGCCATTCTTCGAAGAAGGTATGAACAGGACTGTAAGTCTGTACACTCTCATTTCAATTTCAGGGTCCAGCTGTTGAAACTACGGGCGTGGTCGGCTGTCGGTCAGGCCGGCCAGGGGCATGTGGCAATTCTTGAACTTCCTCTTCGTTAAAGTTGAAGTCGTCCTTGATATATCGTCCTAAAGGCATCGTTACCGACAACCAACAAAACATCAGATATGGTTGGTTTAAACTTTACTCTATCTGGTAAACGGTGACTTAATTCAGAGTACGCTCGGAGGTTGGAATTACGAGGCTAATGGGATTCATTTTTCTGTAGCAAGCCGGATGATTCAAAAACCGAACAGGAGTCCTCTATTTCGTTGAGTGCAAGAGTTTGGCGAAACATCCGCATCGATTGTGAATCTTGCCGCGCATTCGCGGTTCGTTTATTCAATTTCAAAGACAATCCAAGCCTAAGAAGCGGGGTGCGACCATCGCCTCGGCGCCCTCTGTGGACGCAGCCATTCACTGCGGGCTCCACCACGACATTCTACGAAAATACTCAGTCATTATTAGTCCTCGATGAGTTCACCGATGGCGGCGGGATCCAAGCTTATATCGCAGTTTCTGCCCAGCATTTCGACAACATCGTGACATCGGTTGCGCGATAGGATCACGATGTTGCCAGGTTGTTCGGCCCCTACTTTTCTACGGAATGTAGCGGAGAGGGTTATCGGCATCCTGGCAATCGCGATGCACCAGAATGCACCTTTAAATTCAAACCTCAGTCGATATCATCCTGGTTGCCGACACCCAGCACTCCACTAGCTAGCTTGGAAGAAGGCGGTTATACTCCACCGGCAGCTGTGTGCGGCGAGGCGAAAACTCTCTTGACCCCAAGGCCTCACTCGCCCCCATCGTTCCTGCATTCATATCATCGCACGGAGTGGGGCCTACCTTTGTCTTCACTGCGTATTCCTGTGACCCGTGATAGATCGATCAATACTATCAGTCCACAAATTATATGTTTGTAAAATTTATAGAACTAGAACTCTGTCAAGGCTCCACCTGAGGTTGCGTTGCACCGAGACGGCTTGCGACCGCCGCCCACTATAATTTGGCGGTGGAACAGCCCGAGGCCCCTATTCCCAAGTCCGGTCTACTGCGCTTGAGCCTGATCTGATCATCTCCATGCGTGTAGGCACCTCGGATGCTGCACTGCGTGGAAACGAGGGTACTTCTGCGAAAGACAGGAGGTATATAAGGCGCCGCAGAGTCTGTGATTTGGTCCCCCAAGTTTCTGCTATCCCCTCCTTTCGACATCGACACTACTACATCGTGAGTACACTGTAGTGCACATTCACCAATGGATAACTGACAATTGTGATCTACAGGACATCCGTTATTAAGATGAAGTTCACTGCTGCCACGAGTATCTTGGTCCTCCTTGCAGGCTATGTGTCCGCACAAGGCGCGACGTCGTTCACGCAGCCAGTCGAAACGACCTTGGATGAGCCATCAGCAACTCCAACCTTGCCCGGTGGGACCACAGCCGAGTGAATATCCCTTTATTCTCTTTGATCTCTTTCAGCAACTGACCATATCTGCAGGTCGTCTCTAATTGTGGACCCGACAGTGGGCTCGTCGTCCATTGATACCGAACTGCCTATCACGGAGTCAACCGACAGCTTGGTCACCATCCAGACCTCTCTGCCTGGCACCGACTCCACGTCCTTGCCACCCATCTCCGTCACTTCAACGCCGTTGACCACCGCCTCCGTCAGCCGTTCGACATTGCTCCCAGCTAGCGGCACTACGACCTCCAGCGCACCAAACCAGTCGCAAACAGGCAACTCAGCTGCTGGCATGACGGGCAACGGTGTGGCAGTTGGCGCAATTGGCCTCGCGCTTGGGTTGATGCTGTAAATGTTGACCGAGGGTTGTGTTTACGTTCACTTCACTTATTCGGACCCGACAAAAGCATGGACTAATTCGTTCGCTTTGAATGATGGACTTTATATACTTTACGATTTTGCCCTATAGTATCACCAACTTTGGCTTACTGACCACGTATCGTGCGGGATGTCTTCCATCATTATATTCGCCCCCACGTCCATATAACATGCTGCAGTACAATGGATGCGCATGCGGTCCTTCCATTCCGCGGTGCACAAGATTCAACCAGTCATGCGGCAAATGACCTCAAATGACGCCTTCTTCTAGATCGGCGTACAGAGCCCACAATAACTTTTATAGACACTCCATCGTGTATTTACGGTGAACCGTGTCCGTTATGGACCCCGAAACACGCAGTATGGTAGCTGCTATATGGGCACGCGTATTTACACATACACACTAGAAGTACTCGGATTATCGTTGAAGTAATTCCCGGCTAGCGCGGCCTGATAATCCCAATCATCAACTTCCACCGACCGGCCCAAGCCGTACATCTGCAGCATCTCGCGCACCAACTCGCTGTCAGGCTCTTCCATCTGCAGGTCCTTCATGTTCTCGGGGATGGGGGGCAGCGTCTTGAAGACCTTACGTGCCGTAGCCACTTGCTGCAGATACACATCCTTCGCCACGCGCGGAGGGTACTTCGTCTCGTGCTTGATGACGCGCTCGATGGTCTTGTATTCGCGGATGAACTTGAGCGCACGCGCGGGGCCCACATTCTTGATGCGCTCCGAGAAGTCCGTCCCCAGGAGGATAGCAAAGTCGATGTACGCTGCGCGAGATAGTTTCAAGACCTTCCGCACTTCGGCGCCGGAGATTGCGAGCAAGGGGCCAGTTCTGTTGGTTACGTTGCGAAGGAGCGGGGCTTCATAGACCAGGACGTCCTGGGGATAATGTTATTATTGATTTGTGGAGGAGAGATGTGGGGGACGTACGGTGTCTTCGCTAACGACGTAATCCGCATAGCCATTTAGGACTAGACTGCTCGCCAGTGCTTCCGCTTCGAAGGGACCTGTCGTGTCAACCGAAGGGATACCCATCGCACTAATTATACTTTTGCATTCGGCGTACGTCTGAGGTGTCGGCGAGTCAATTCGCCTGTCGTACGAAAGTGAGAGGATCTCGCTCTGCTTGGTCAATTCGAAGAGCTCCTCGCTGTCCTTGGACCCCGGGAGCGCAAGCAGCTGCCTCCAGAGCTGACCTTCGCTCTGGGCAAGTCGATGTTGGGACTTTGACATCAAGATCTCAGAGGACGACGCGGCGTCGGGAGTACCGGGCGACAGCGACGCGAGTTTCGACGCGCCCATTCGGTACTGCGAGTATAGCATGGACAGCGCGCTGGCGAAGCTGTCGAAGTCAGATGAACTTGATTCGAATGTCTCTGACGGCGAGGGAAGATTGTAGTCAGAAATACTAGGGATATCGAACTGCATGGAGTCGTCAGCGGGAGTCCAAGAGACAGGTGACTCCGTGGGTCCACCGAAGAGGTCGTCATGAATTTCAAAGTCAGGGTCAATATCGGTGTCGGTATCGGCTTCCTGCATCTCATCGTTCGGGAAATCCTGGGGATGATAGCCCACCACGGGGATTTGATCATCAGGCATATCTTGGATGTTGCTGCCGATGATTTGAGCAATGCGTTCGCGCTGGGGTTGCGTGAAAGACTCGAACGTGCTGAGGAGTGCGGCGAGTTGCTGAAGGCGACCAAGCCGTTCTTTCTCGACGCCGCCGCGGGCAACCGTCACGCGTTGGACTTCCTTTCTCCGAGCAACCTAAGTAGTGGTCTTCATAATGTATGTTTTCCTGCGAGACGGACTACTGTGCCCACCTCGCGAGCCTTCGCCAAGTTTCGTTCCTTGCCATCAAAGACGCAGAGCGCGTTAACGCCATTGTCGCGCAGTTCTTGGGCGAGCCGGTACCATCCTAGTACGTGTCTGTACTGGTGAGGCAAGGGCGCGTAATGAAACCGTTGTGTTATGAGGGTTCCATCGCTAAAGCGTGGGTTAGTTCGTTTAGAACCTTGGAATACGGACCACTCACATTACAATCGTCTTTCCACTCAGTGCACGGAGTCGTTCAGGTATTTGTTTGAGGACAGTTGGGCTAAAGATGTTAAAAATATGCACGGCCAGCCATTCAAATGTCCCCTCACCAAGTTGTTTTAAGGAATGGAGTGAGCCCAAGCACTCCCATAAGAGTGACAGGTAGCTTGAACTGTAATTCGGCTGCGATGAACTGGTTTGTTCACAAGCGATCGCCTGAGGATGCTGAAAATACCTCGAGCTCGGCCTCGAATGTCACTTATGCCTACTAAAAAGTGCGCGTCGTCGCCCGGCCACAGTCGGGCTCGCTCTGTGGCTGGAAGAGCTATAGCAACTGTTGAATACAGCGAGCTTCACAACCCAGTTCAAAATAGACCTAGCTTCTAAGCAGGGAAACTTGTACCCACGGTAAGTAGTATATTCTCACAGTCACTATTCGCTCACAAACCGTTCAGTAAGTTCAGATTTCCTTCAAACCGAACTCCCACGTCGAACTTAAAGAAGCCACGACAGCACCGTTCAGCGCGTATACGCTACAAGGGTTGCGTCGGGCAGTCGAAATTCACGTACATTATCTTCTGTTCTGCGCACCACGTCTTAATTTCCTCAATTCCGCTCAGTAAAGGTCGCCCGCCATGTCGGTTATGCTCACGAAATTCGAATCCAAAAGTAACCGCGTAAAAGGTCTGTACACTCTCCAAATGTGACCGATGGACTGAGAGTAAACTCTTTGGGATGAAGGTCTCGCGTTCCACCCAACACAACCGCTGCTTGCTGCTGCGCTGCATAATGGGAGTGTACAGTTATGGAATTATCGCATGGGTGTTTTGGTAGATAGATTTGAGGAACACGAAGGTGAGCCCCACGGCCAGCAAGCACGACCAGTAATTTCATCAGAACCCTTTCAGGTCCCGTACGAGGTGTCGCTATCCACCCAACGAGGGCTCTTCTGGCAACGGGCGGTGATGATTATAAAATCAAAGTCTGGGGTGCGCGCTCGTTTCGACTTGATCCAACGATGAATGCTATAGCTTTGGATAGATATTCGTCCCCAGAACCGCAAATGCTTGTTCACTCTTCATGGGCATCTAGACTATGTCCGAACAGTACAATTTCACCACGAGATGCCTTGGATTGTATGTGTATCCACCCTGCCTCACCCTGCCTCAGTTGTAGCATTGATCATATTTCCCCTGCGATCAGCTCTCCGCCTCGGATGACCAGACCATACGTATCTGGAACAGCACCTCACGAAACTGCATCGCCATACTCACTGGGCACTCCCACTACGTCATGTCAGCCCAGTTCCATCCCAAGGACGATCTCATTGTATCAGCATCTATGGACCAGACCGTTCGCGTCTGGGACATCTCGGGCCTTCGCAAGAACACTCCGAACCAAGGCGCGCCTGGGGCCCCGGGAGGACCTAGCGGGCCTGGCAATTTCGAGACTTTCGACAATTTCTCGACCGTGAAATACGTTCTTGAAGGCCACGACCGTGGTGTGAACTATGCTATGTTCCATCCTACCCTCCCCCTCATCATTTCTGCTGCCGACGATCGCGTGATCAAGATTTGGAGAATGAGCGAAACGAAGGCCTGGGAGGTAGATTCATGTCGAGGACACTTCAACAACGTGTCGAATGCGCTGTTCCACCCCAAGCACGAGCTTATTGTCTCTTGTGGCGAAGATAAGACGATCAGAGTCTGGGACTTGGCCAAACGCACCGCGATTCAAACTTTCCGACGCGAACACGACCGTTTCTGGGTGCTTGCTGCTCACCCCAACCTCAACCTTTTCGCTGCTGGTCACGATAGTGGGCTAATCGTATTCAAGCTGGAGCGCGAACGTCCCGCGTTCGCGGTTCATCAGGACACGTTGTACTATATTCGGGATAAGTACGTCCGGGCGTACGACTTCGGCACCGGTTCCGACATTGGCCTCTTGGGTGTGAGGAAGTTTGGTAGTCCTTACGTGCCACCGCGTACCTTGAGCTACAATCCAGCCGAACGGGCTGTCATCACTACGATCACCAGTGACGGGGGTATGTTTGAGCTGGCTACGCTGCCTCAGGGCCAGCAGGGTGATGTCAAGGACTCGAGCGTTGATGGCAAGAAGGGGCCTGGACAGAGTGCCATTTTCGTTGCAAGGAATAGGCTCGCGGTGCTCAACAAGAACACACAGGTCCGTCTGCATTGCCCATTCGTATCCTTTCGTACTGAGCTCAGACAATGTAGTTGATTGAAGTCCGCGATCTGTCCAATTCCGTTCTCAAGACCATCAAGCCCCCAGTGCAGACGAACGAAATCTTCTATGGCGGCACGGCTAGTCTTATCCTTAGCTCAACGTCGTCTGTCGTTTTGTACGACATCCAGCAACAGAAGACCATCGCAGAAGTGAACAGTCCACCCGTGAAGTACGTTGTATGGAATGCGGATGGATCTCTCGTCGCTTTAATGAGCAAGCATAGTGAGTTAGTCGCAATTTCAGATATATCCCAATTTACCGTTCGATAGCCATCACCATCGCCAACCGGAACTTCTCACAGACCAGCTTGATTCATGAGACTATTCGTATCAAATCTGGTGCATGGGACGACGCGGGTGTATTCATCTACTCCACCCTTAATCATATCAAGTACTGTTTGTCACAAGGGTATGTACCCTATAACATCGTAATTTTTGTAGCTTACCATCTTTATTAGCGATCACGGTGTTATATGCACCCTCGATAACCCCGTCTACCTCACTCGTGTCAAGGGCAAGACCGTCCACTGTCTCGATCGCTCGGCTAGGCCAAGGACTATTACATTCGACCCCACTGAATATCGCTTCAAGCTTGCGCTCCTCAAGAACAACCACGAAGAAATGCTCTACATTATCAAGAATTCTAACCTTCTGGGACAAAGCATCATCGGCTACTTGCAGCAGAAGGGGTTCCCCGAGGTACGTTCTTTGTCTTCCGGGTGGGGGTGCAATGCTCATTCATTACTAGATTGCGCTTCACTTCGTGCAAGAAACGAACACAAGGTTTGAGCTTGCGATCGAATGCGGCAACCTCGAAGTAGCAATGGAGACAGCGAAAGAGATTGACAGACCAGAGTGCTGGGAGCGTCTGGCACAGCAAGCGTTGAAACAAGGCAACCATAAGGTTCGTCGCGTTCATCTTTGAGTTATCCCCCGTCTAAAAGGCGCCTGTTCCTTTAGATCGTAGAGAAGGCATATCAACAAACAAAAAACTTCGATCGATTGTCCTTCCTCTACTTAGCCACAGGCTCTGTTGACAAGCTGGCTAAGATGCAGAAGATCGCTGACGCCCGTGGCAACCCTATGTCACGTTTCCACAATGCGTTGTATGCTGGTGATGTAGAGGGGCGCATCGCTGTCTTGCGAGACGTGGGCCTTCGTGGGTATTGAACGCATGTGACCTAGCGTAGACACTGACTTGTCGCGTAGATCCGTTGGCATATCTTACGGCCAAGACGAATGGACTCGACGAACTAGCCGAGGAGATTCTGGAAGGTGCGGGGCTGACTGCCGCAGATATTGATGATGTACCTACCTTTGGCGCGTCAACGCTGAAGCCACCGCCGGTCGTGACAACTACCACCAATCTCAATTGGCCTGTGGTTTCTGCTGGAGAGAACTTCTGGGATCGCGTGCTGGCCAACGGCATGCTTGAGGGCGGCACTGAGCCCGCTTATGTCAACGGCGATGCTGCCGCTGCCGCATCTTCGGCGCTTGATGCTTGGGCGAAGGAAGAGGAAATTCCGGACGACATTGATCCGGAGGAGGGTGGGTGGGAGCTCGATGCTGAGGGCGAGGAGTTCCAAACTGGTCGCGAGGATGAATCGGACGAGCCGGAAGAAGAAGAGCTGGGTGCTGGTGCTGCTCCGGGCGTAAGTGAGGTCGAACATTGGACAAAAAACTCGCCCCTTGCCGCAGATCACGTAGCGGCAGGCTCATTCGATACGGCGATGCAGGTCAGGATCTAGCTTCATTGTCAACTTTTATGAGATACTGACATTACTCGTGCAGTTACTAAATCGGCAGCTGGGAGTTGTCAACTTCGTTCTACTCAAACCTCTATTCCTATCAATATATCGCTCCTCCCATACCTACTTATCTCCTATGGCCTCACTTCCTCCACTCCAGCTTCACGTACGACGCAACCCGGCCGAATCCTCGTTAAGCCGCGTCTTGCCAGTAGTAGCTCGTTCCCTGCAGTCCGTCCGATCAGAATTGACTGAAGGCTACCGTCTCGTTTCTGGTAACAAACTAGCCGAGGCTCAAGAGGCATTCCGACACGTCCTTCAATCCCTGCTTGTGGTGGTTCTCAGTTCTGATGAAGAAGCCAAACAAGTAAGTGCTTTTGTCAATATGGCACTACTTTCTTGACTGATCCTTTGAACAGTGGAGAGACACAGTGACCGCTGCGCGCGAATATTTGCTAGGTGTCAGCATTGAGCTAGAGCGCAGACGAGTCGCTGAGCAGGAGCCGGATAATACCCAACGAAGCCTCGAATTAGCCGCCTACTTCACTCACTGTCAACTTCAACCTCCGCATATGCAGATCGCCCTGCGAAGCGCTAGCAATATCTTTGCGAAGGCAAACAACCAAGCGCATGCCGCTCGATTCTCTAGACGTTTGCTGGAACTGAAGCCAGATCCTAAAATAGTAGCCCAGGTAACCATCTGTCCAAGTCTTTTCTGAGCAAACTTACTCAATTCACTCACTCTTTAGGCTCGACAACGTATCGCTGCGGGTGACCGAAACCCAAGAAATGCCGTCGAAATCTCATACGATGAATTCACGCAGTTCGAGATCTGTGCCGCGAGTTTCACTCCCATATACAAAGGCTCACCTTCTGTGCATTGCCCCTACACGAACGCTTCATTCCATCCACAGTACAAGGGCCAACTAGACCCCCTAGCTCAACTCACGGAGATTGGAGCGACTGCTTCAGGGCTACCTGCTCCTTGGTGAATGCTGCGGTGAACTAGAGTTTCTCTGCTTGTGGACTTGTTCTGTAGCGATGCCAATAAAATACTGTCTTATCCTACATGAAGCGACCACCTTGCCGTTTGATCGTCCGTCCAACTCACTCTATTCCCGCAAGAAGTCTTCCATCTTTAATGTACCTTTGTACATCCCGCACTAGTCTTTCTGCCTGCTCTACCTTCTTTGCTTTCCTCTCCAACAAAGTTGATGCGTATTCGTCGGCCTTTGAAGTACTCTCCTCGTGCTTAGCTACGAAAGTGAGTGAGCTAGGCACCAATACGTACAGTAGACCGGCTTTACCGACGAGCGCAGGCAGTTCGATGTCGTCCTCTGGCGCCTTGAGCGTGTTCGCAATAAAATCGGCGCGTCGCTGACCTGTATAAAGCCAAAGGTCTATCAACAACGAGAGTAATCCGTGTTATTAACGTTAACGCACATTGAGTGACACTCCTCTTCACTCTATCAATAGTGTTGTATAAGGTCTTCGACCATCGGTCAGCTTCATTCCGACGTTATGATAGGTATTTTCCTTACAGTACTGTTTGGGTGGCAAACTTCAGCAAGCGCCGCCGTGTTATGTTGTCCATTGGGGGGCGGCTCGGAGAAGGTAACCGTGTTCTTAAGAACACCGATATACGTCTCCCCCTCTGCAAGCCGGCGGGATTCATCCAGAGTGTTTGAGATGACAGGGAGGGTCTCAGTAGTGAATGCGCGGATCTGGATTCACGTGAGATTTTGGGGCAGAGAAAATCATAAGGCGGCTTCACCGATCTAATATAATTCTGCGAGAGGTGGATAAGTAAGATGCTGAGATCTGACAGTTCTTGTAATTCTTTGTGCTGGTTCCTCTTCGCGAAAAGATTAGATAGAGGTTCGCCTCATAAGAACGTATGCTAACCACAGCCGAAGACAGTTCGTCAATATCAACGTCGTGTTCAGGAGTACGTGGCGAGAGTATGCTGTGGTATGAGCTTTGTGCTTGAGCCTTGCGCCTGGCCCGATCAACGAGTTGATCTCTGAGGGTGCGATTTTAGAAAGATGTGGCTCTGGGGCCGTATGAGAATCACGTACACCATTCTCTGTACGCTGGGACCATCCTCCGGCAAGGATAGTTGTTTCGCTACGGTGATCCGAAGAGAAGGGACTGGGTCAGGAGCTGGTGGTTGACGCGATAATCGTAGGGTATGGATGCGATGGGCATGGAGCGTCTAGGCTCGGTCTGTCAGATTGAACAAAGAACGGATAAGATCCCTACATACGGTGAGTGTGTCCTGAAGATAACTTGAACCGTCAACGCCCGTGGCCGTCACGCCCTCGGGTTCGTTGGGAACACTCGGAAGTTCCTATACATTGATTTACCCTTAGATAGGTTAAGCACCTAGATGTACTACTTCTAACCTGAGCATACACATTGGCTGCAGATTTCCTATATGGCCAGGTCACGCTGGCCAACGTCAATCGAAGACAACGACACGTACCTCAGTTCATCAATGAGTACACGGATTTCAGAGAATCTCTGAAATCTTATATCTTCTTTGCGCGCTAGAGTTTCCAGGAGAAGAGCCACCCGACGCTTCTGGTCCAACTCGGCACGCAACGCCTTTACTTCCCGATCTATTTTATGGTCAATAGCCATGATCCCAAAAAGTACTGCAGAGACCCACTTGCTTGATTCAACAGGTTTGATTGCTCCTTTAGTTGACTTCTTATCGCGACTTCGCTTGTCCTGCCAGCCTTGAGACGTGAAGTCGCTTTCTGGAGAGCAGACCGAGGACTCGAAGCGAGCCCACTAGGCTGCTTCAGGTTTGAGTCCGATAGGCTGTAAAGGTAGACATTGTCTATTGCGATGTCTACGCCAAACAGAGAACCAACCCATGAAGGAAGCGTCGCAAATTGGCCGTTTCTTGGCGTCCTTTGATGGCATTGCAAAGCTTGTATAACGCGTGTGTTTGTGGTCTTTCTTGAATAGTAGAGTGTATGAGCTCCATATATCTGCTTGACGCAGTTCGGGCCATATTCAAGTCGTCGCGTTCCTTCAACATGACTGTAGGGATTCAAAAGGGATTCAAGGAATTACACCCCTGTGCGCCCTTTCAGAAGCCGCCGATCGTGATCGATCGAATGTGCAGGAGAGATCAGTCTGCACTCTGTACGAAGGTGAGTTCACTTGGATTTCTAGGTGTTACACGATGGTTTCGGCGTATGATTATAGATAATTTACTGTTCTCCACCATCTACTTGCAATCAGGGAAGCCGAGGGATCCCCATCCAGTCCAGTCTGGGTGGCAAGCCCGGAAGTGGTGGGTTTTGTCAATAGCCTGCAGTTTAGTGATATCTTCTTCAGTCAAATCAACGATAGTCTTGTTCGCTGCAGGGACATTCTAGATCAGAAAAATCAAGCAGGTGGGCAAAATTGGCCACTTACAAAGGATGCGTTCGTTGGTAACAGACTTCGGGAGGACTGACAGAATCAAAGTAAGCCCTAGTGTTCAGACCATCCAAAACACGACATACCTGTGACGTTAGGCCTGTTTGCTTGAAGGGAAACGAGCACATTGGCGGGAGTGACGTTGTACTTTGAAGCGATTTCAAGGACTGTCTCATTCTTGAGGAGAGGAGATCCATCAGATCCCAATGGCGAGTAAGCAGTGAGAACGATCCCCTTCTTCGTGCAGAAGTCGACGAGCTCTTGTTGAGGGCAAGAACTGAACGAACGTCTGAGTACGACGGTATATTAGCGTATGAAGCGACTCACGGATGGAGCTCAATCTGGTTGACAGCTGGGACTACGGTAGCTACTTCAAGAAGGCGTTCCAAGAATTCGATCGAGAAGTTGGAGACACCTGGGGAATGATAGTCAGCGCCCTTCCAGGATACAGCAAGGATCGGGCGTACCAATAGCTTTCAATTTCTCAGGATGGGCCTTGTAGATCTTCTCCATCGACTTCCATGTATCGAGCCAGTCAAGCTGTGGAATATTAATGCTAGAAAGATCTGTGAAGTTTTATCAGCTCACTGTCTTATCAGGCAGCAGCTTCCCATCTACGCGCTTCATGGGAGCAGGCCAGTGCATGAGCCCTACGAGAAGCCGTTAGCAATCATATGGCCAGGGACAGAAAAGGAGCTGCTTACAGAGGTCGAGGTAAGTTGTTCCCAAGTTATTCAGCGAATCCTCAAGGGCTTTCTCTGCGGTAGCCTGGTCGAAGTTATCAAGCTTGGTGGTAAGAAAGATGCTCTCGCGGGGGACACCAGAGGCCTTGATACCCTGACCGACTTCCTTTTCGTTGGCGTAGGCAGCGGCAGTATCGATGTGCTGATATCCGTTCTTCAAAGCAAACTCCACGGCGTGTTCAACGGCACCGGGCTGGGATTTCCATGTACCTACAAACATAACAATCAGTGGTCTGCATTTCTGCAGGGGGACAGTGTAACATACCCAGCCCGACCGTAGGCATCTCTGCGCCAGTGTTCAGCTTGACGGATTTCGAGAAAGGCATCGTTGGGCTGAGAGATAGGGTGTGAGCAGAGTAATACCGCTCCGGTCAGCCTTTTATCCTCGGTCAAGCTCCTCATCGATAAACTTGATTATGAAGCAGATCAGCTTTTGCATATGGGGTACAAGCGGGCCACGAAATGACGACTGATGCACGTCGGCGCGGACAATTCTCGGCTGAGATTGTAGTTTGCTGTGGAACGCGGACCGGGTAGAACCGCCACTGCTCAAGTACCAAAGCAAATCAGCAAATTTAAAGTACCATGTCAACAATTCGACATCGAAGTACAGTACTATCAAAATAGACTATGTAGAGTAGGACCAAGAACTTTGGCCTATCGCTTCTTAATGATGGACGGATCCACCGAAGAGCCCTAAGTCTACGATCAATCAATGTCGAGGTTATAAATGGTCAGGCACCTACAGTATTTTGATGCGTACTTCACAGAGATAGGAGCAGACCCAGGAGTGCACTACGGAAATAGTGTTAGTCGTGAAATAGGAAGTGGTGCATGTTGAACGTACAGAGGCGGGAGGTTGTCCTCCCCGAGTGTCAACTCGGTATATTTGGTCTGCTAATTGCCCTTGTGCGTTCGAAAGGGAAAGCCAGTCGACGTCTTGAGGGCCGGTAGGTGCTGCAAGGCCCCCAGTACGCGCGCCAACAACAAACGCGTTGGGGTTTCCCTTCGTAGCGCCTTGGGATGTAAAGTCCCACTTCGGGCTGATGCCAACACCCGTGAGGGGATTAATGATGAAGTAGTGTTGGCCGAGGATTGTAGGCGTTTTAGCGAAATGAAGGAGCTCGATCACTTTGGCAGCGGTTAGCTGCTTGGGAAGGAGCTTCCAGACGGTAAAGACATCGTCCTGGATCCTGTCAAAGGTTGATGTGCCGACTAGACAAGAGATGTCAAAGAGTTCGGCAACTGCTCCGGCGCTCCTGTATTTTGGGATATATGTGAGTACCAAGGCTCGGGTTCTGGAGAATGAGAACGTACGTATATGTCCCGGCGTCGGTACAAGTGTAGTTTTGGACGCCAATGGCGACCGAAACGTAAGACGGAGCAAGGGTGGGCTGGACGAGGGCCGTTTGGCCAGATGGGATGGATATTTTGGCCTTCGAAATATCACATCCTGAGGTTTTGATGCTGGGTGCAGCAAGGACGACAGATGCCGCAACAACGATAGAAGCTAGGGAAAGGGCCAACATTTTTCAAAGGAGAGGATGGGAAGGACTGTGGAAGGCTGGTTTCGAAGACGAACTGCCGATGAGGAGTAAGGCCATCTCTGGATGGGTTTTATAGCTTTCTGTTGCCGGGGAGCGCGTAATTGGACGAAGTTAGTTTAGAGCCTTTCGCGTTTCATCTGGAAATTCAATGTCGGTGGGAATAAGTTTTGAGTTCTCCCGCTCTCCCATGCCAGCATGTCAGCGCTATGTGTCTTGTTCAACATCATGTCTTGTTAGTACCTTGCAATCCTTGTGTTGTGCTTGACATATACTTCTCGGAATTCCCGAAGGCGAACGGGCATCACATGTTGTGAGAATTGCGGTATAGGTAGCTCAGGTGGTGCATTGGAGGATGATTGGTAGATGTCGAGCGCTTGGACAAGCAACACTTGATCATCAGATCAGGGATGTTGGAAGTAAGTGAACTGAATATGATGATAAGCTTAGAATTGTCAGGTACACACCCTTGATGGACCCAGGGTGTCTTGGTATACGGAATCAGGATTGGGCTTTCCTGCATTGAGTACAAGAGGACTTACAAAGCTATGAACCAAAGTTATGTTGCTTAAACCCGCAAGGTCACTCGGTGTACCAACGAGCATGCTGACCAGACGAAGGGTCCGGAGCGCCCAAACGATCATACAATGATGGGACGGGTAGTTCCTTCATTTTTGACGGACGTAATGTAAAGATCCGTCATTGGGCTGTTGGTGCCGTCTGGTGGCGTATTAGGTCACACAAAGTGGGTCGTAACCAAGGAAATGGGACCTCACCCGACGGTACCATACAAGTTCCAATCCAATCAGAATCACCACAGATGAACAATGCAACAATGGAGCTTCGATTTCCAAGGATTGGTAAGATTCTGGTCGCAAGTCACTGATAATATGTTATGCGGAAGATTGTCTACTCAGCCTAAAAGTGAAGCAATGATATGATGAAAGAAGGCGACGCACGAAGAGATCGATGGAGGTTTGCACGCCGAGCAGTGGGCGCATGATGGAACTGTCAAAGTCAACTTGAGAAGCGAATCCCGAGGAATGTTGTTGGAAGCGCTTTGCAGCCTGGGTATATTCTCAGAAAACAATGAAGAATGCGATCAGGGAGGATATCAAGCCAGAAGTTACGAATGTGACGAAGGGGCTTTTCCCAAGCTGATGGATTTACCAGCCATACAGTTGGAAAAGGCTGTGATCAAGTCATAACAAGGTACCCCACACGGCCGAACTCTGTATTTCAAGGAACGTTCCCGCGAAGGTCACCGAGAGACGACACGAGCCACAAAGACAGCCACAGAACAATAGCCGACGAGTGGATGATGGGTGCTAGTGAAAACCCAAGTAATAGGTCGGAACCGTGAACATACCAGTCGGGAGAGGACTCATCGTTTGCAGGGCATGATGTGATACTAGTATGCAGGGGTGAGTAAACGCAGCGCCGATTCTGCGACTCCCAGATAAGGAGGTTAGTGAGAATCAGCGCTCAGCTGTATTCATCCCTTGCTTCGGTCGTGGCCGGAAAGCAGACGAGCTAGCGACCTCGTTCAATCTCTTGACGGCGTGTTACATGATGGCTTGATCATATGTGAGACAAGGGAGATTTCCGGGAAAACAACGACACGACAATATGCTGTTCTACTGGATAATGCCCGCAGCCGTGATCAAGATTGATGGACAGATCCACCAAATAGCCCTTGATTCCACAAGTCAAAGCGCGGTCAATTTCCGAGTGGACAGGAACTCACAATATTTAGAGGCGTACTTGACAGAGATAGGTGCGGAACCGGGAGTGCACTACGAGTTAAAGTAGTTGATAACATAGTTGCGAGGAGGGAAGTCGAACATACAGTAGCGGGAGGTTGCCCTCCTCGAGTGTCGACCCTGTAGATCTGGTCGGCCAGTTGACCTTGGACACCGGTCAGGAAAAGCCAGTCGATATCTTGAGGGCCCGTAGGAGCGGGAACACCTCCAGAGCGGGCACCGACTACAAATGCGTCGGGGTTTCCCTTCGTAGCGCCCTGTGAAGTGAAATCCCACTTCGGGCTGAGACCACTCCCAGTGATGGGGTTGGTGATAAAGTAGTGCTGTCCGAGGGTAGTAGGTGTCTTTGCTAGATGAAGTAGCTCGATGACCTTCTCGGCGGTAACCTTGCTGGGAAGAGCCTTCCAGATGTTGAAGGCCAGGTCTTGGATATGGTCGAAAACGGGGGTACCCAAGAGGCAAGAGATGTCGAACAGCTCAGCAACAGCACCGACGCTCCTGCAAATATGTTGAAAGTGAGTATGTGCGGCGCGGCTTTGGAAGAGAGGCATACGTGTATGCCCCAGTGTCGGCACAGGTGTAATTCTGTACGCCGATGGCGACTGAGATGTAAGAGGGCGAGCTTGTTGGCGGGGGTAGCCCAGGAGGCAAGGAAAGTTCAGCGTTAGAGATATCGCATCCTGAAGTTGTCAGGCTGGGGGCAGCGAGGACAACAGAGGCTGCGATAACGATCAAGGATAGAGGAGTGGCAATCATTGGGAGTGTTGAAAACAGCGTAAGTCAAAGAAGACAAACTGTCGGGGAGAGAGAAGTGCCCTCATATACACATTTTATAGGATTTTGGAACTTTCGTTGGATCCCGTAGCGGCATCGGATGCTATGCTGTAGAAAGCAAACGGGTCTCCCAGCCAGGTACAATTCAGTTTCGCATCGGCGTCGGCGTCCATGCTTGGATAAACGTTCATGAGAGTATCAGGACCAGAAGAAGTCGCCATGAACTTCTTGAATACCGGTGAACCTTGGATGGGGATGCTTCGAGGGAAGTCTGTGTGTCGACCCGACCTTGAAACCCTTGTGACCCACAGCGCCTGATGGGCTGGAACATACCACTCCTTTGCCTGCTTGCCACTCCTTACGGTGATATCTGGTAAATGATTTTGACCTCTTACACCACCTCACCATCGTGTCATGAGACCGTCTAAATATGACATCGGTGAACCCATTCAGTTTTGATGGAACGGCCGCCACTCGGTGGTTTCTGCCCCAGAGCTCTGACGGTAATCTAGCATCTCCTAACGGACCTGCTCCATTAATTATGGCTGTAACAACCGACGCCGGCCGGATTGACATCTGGTAGTCTAAACGTAGCCGTAGCCGAAGAGTGGAGTGCTATGGTTGGGGTCAATGATGAAGAGGTTGCGCTCTAGGAGGTTCCTTGAGAATAGCGCAGAGTGGAGGTTGATCAGATATCTTTCCTGTGTTGCGTCCCGGGCAGCCATCTCGGTAAATGGATCAGGAGAGATCAAGCCAAGTCGACGGGAGCTTCCGCTTTAGAGGTCTCAATGGGCAGACAAACAAACTACCAAGAGAGAAAGAGAGCGATCAAATAGGATATCAATGGATCGAGTAAAAAAAACTTCCTACCGGGCGCCCCAACGGGAAGCAAATGACGCAAGCGGATAATGCAGGCGAAGGAACCACTAGGAGTGGGCCCAAACTACGTCTACACACCGGGCCTCATACCCGTAGACGCATCGGGCAGGAAATGAAGGTTACACTATGCAATTCCTGCATTAGCACCCGATAACTTGATCCTAACCTATTTCCACGGCCGGGCCAATGGTGGTAGCACGTTCAAGGCACGGTCGACGGTTGGACGCGCCGGGAAAGTACAATCGGGGCTTCGCGAGACAGCGGGGAAACATACCCTCCGTTAGGGAATATGGAGAAGGCGGAGGTGCCATAGAAGTAAGTCGACGCCAAATAAATATTTATTATCCCAAGATACAGTAGGGGTGGACTCCCGTACACGCGCGATCAGCTGGCTGGCAATGTCAGCGCAATAAAGGCAAAAGGGACAGCAGGATTGACCTTCACGCGAGCTTTCGCCGTTCGGGCGCAGCTGAGCTAAATCCTTTCACCCAATTTCTTAGCCATGTTATTCCTTTGCCTTCAGTTGAGACAAGCCGTGACTTGATATATCTTGCTGAATGCACCCGAGCTCGTCTTATGAGGGGTACGAGGAAGTGGCCAGCGATCCCCCTGCAAGGATACATTCAGCATGACTTACGGTACGGTAAGGTCGTAGCACTCACCAGACAGCCCCCTGAAGAAATGGGCTGATAACTTGGTCGCGTGTGGTGATCCAGAGGACTTTGGCCCAGTCAATGACAATGTCCTCTGAGATGACTGCCTTCTGAGAAGTAGCTAAAGCAACGTCCGCATGGTCGTAGTCAGGCTCCTTGGTGTCTGGTGCAACATGGATTCTGCGGACGTAGAAGAATGGCCGTATGCTTCGCAGATAACTATTCTCAAAACGGAGGTCCGGGATTGCTGGGATGCGTGCTGGATGGTGGTGCACGTTGGAGGTCATCGTTGACGGCAACCTGGTAGCCTGGCTGGCTAATCTGGCACCTTGAGGAGGGTATGAGTCGGAATGGAAGGAGAATGGATAGGATGCCGCACCAGAAGTGCGATGGTCATGTGATCCCCAACCCATTGTTTTGAATCGTGGCGGCGAAGAAAACTGACTCTGTTACCGACGGCCATCTCCTCCGCCAAACCGCCGTCCCAGAGCTCCACCACTCAATCTGGAGGCTTGCAAATACGACTGACTGCGTGTCCCCGCAGTCTTGAGGCCCTGAATGGCAACCAAGGAGGAACAAGAGACGTTGCGTCTGCTGGTTCAGCATGTCTCCCGATCCTTCTATGAAGCCAAGTACACCATTATTCTGGATCAGCTTGCTCGGCATCCGGTGTAAGTATTCTGCGTAGCGAGTCGTAGCACTCTTCTGAACTCTTAGAATCTGCCCGTTGAACACTACTTACCATCCTCTATGTATCCCCGTTTTCGTCGTTTCCCGACTTGATAGCCTCAAGGACGATGATCTGGCGGGCAGGATGGGTCTTCAGGCGAAAGAGTTGAACAAGCTGATGGCAGTTCTCTCGAACGACCGGTTGGTCAAAATGTGCGTAGAGCCCTTAGCCCTGCACAACGATCTTAACACACGTTTCGACCTGGACCTGCAGATATCGTCAAAATGAGCTGAAGGAAGGCGCTCAGCGGTCTGTTGGGAAGCAGTACTACTACATCGACTACGAAAACTTTTGCAATGTCGTCAAGTGGCGCGTCGCCAAAATGTTCAGCATAATTGATTCCACCCTTCGCAATGTGGGCGCCATTTCTTATCACTATCCGCATCTTGTGGGCTGATGCTCTGCTCCAGGAACTGGAACACAAAGGCTATATCTGTACTCAATGCAAGCAATCGTACTCGCCGCTTGACGTCGACAAACTCATGGACACAACTCGCGGGGAATTTGTATGTGAAATATGCCACGGTGAAGTAGTCGACAACGAGAATGCCGCAAGTGTGATAGGTAGCAAAGATAGAATGCAACGGTTTAATAATCAAATGCGATTTATCCGAGATGGCCTGCAGAAGAGCGAAGGTATGGTCCTACCTGCGTGAGTAACCCATCCACCGTCCATGATATAATTGCTCAAATTACACATTCCTTATTAAGCTTCGACGTCGCGGCCTGGGTTAAGTCCAATACCATTGCAGCCGACAATCAAAAGAACCCCAACGCAGAGCCTGGCCTCAAGATCGCTGGCTCGGATCCAAACCAGAAGAAGGATGATGGTGTTGGGGTCATGATATCCATGGATAAGGATGAGCACACAAAAAAGATGGAACGCGATGCCGAGGCTGCTGCAAAGCGCCAGCAAAACGCTCTACCTTCCTGGCATTTGAAAAGTACCATTTCTGGCGACCTTACGGCTCTGGGCGTGAAGGAGCATGCTCGAGAGCAGGCTGCCGGCACGGGTTCGAATGACGATATACTAAGAGGTCTCGGTGTTATTGGTGGCTCGAAGTCGGACCAGACCGCCATCGTAGTGGAAGATGTTAAACCTGTCATCAACCATGAAGCGGACTGTAATGGGTATCCATTATCAAACTTACGGCACCTGCTGATATCTCTGCTAGATTATGACCAGTACTACGCGTCGTTGGCTGCTTCGGCATCGGCGTCTGCTCAAGCTACACCGTCTGCCACGAGTGCTCCCTGGAGCGATTTCGGCGATGCTGGGAACGATGAAGAGGAAGACGTTAAACCATCCGTCGAATACCTTGACTCCTTGAATGACTATCGAAAGCGATCTCGTTCAAGAGAAGACGAAGGGGCAGCAACGAAGTCGAAGTTAGCTAAAACCGACTTTGGCATCGACCTGCCCTATGTCAATCAGCATCTCAACAACGGAAATGGGATATCGAATGACGTTCCTAGTGCAATGAACGGAACGCCAGATGACGACCCGCTGGTCTACGGTAAGAAGCATCACACCCTGTGTCAGTGTTATTATTGACAACTACGCATCGTATCAGTCAACGGGAAGCCTATACCCTACTCCCGAGTCACCGAGGAGGATCACGATCTCATGACACCGGACGAATACACTGCGTTCTTCGAAGTTATGCAAGCTCGCTCGTAGAGGTTTTTGGTCGTCTGGGTGTGTGGAAGCACGTTATGGAGTTTAGGATACTCATCAGCATCTCCGTTTATATATTTTTGATCGACGAGGTGTTTGACATTCGCATCAGCTTAGACGCCTGTATCCCTTAGATTGGTTCGACGATGGAATAGTGTCTTTTTTTGTTAGCCAATGGTCCACCAATGATCCACGCTGCTTCACTGAACCTTGGCGGTTGATGCGATGCCAGCAGATAGTAACTTTCGGAATACACATAACCCAGCCTCGTCCATTGTCTGCCCATTGACCTGAGACTTCCCTTCCAAGACGCGCGGCTTGCTGTTTCACGGCCACTTTGATAAGGGTTCGCCTGGGGTGTGGCGCGCGTGATAGAGTGTCAAAACCTTGCCGCCAACAAACCTTGCATTGATTGGTGAAGCACGAAAAAAACTCGAACAAGGTCGAATTCGTTCACATCGTTGATTGCCCACGGCGGGACCAAGTTTATGCGGCCGCGTGAGTGTACGGTTTAAGGTAAAAGCCTGAGAGCCCCTGAAGGCCCCTGTTTAGGCATGTTGGCTGTTTTCGCTCGCCGCATCAACCCATTCCGCAACCACGACCTACCTTTTTGGCTCGAGCCATTCCTTTCTAATACTTCACCTATTTTATTGCCCGCTGTGATGGCTGGCTACGATTCGTCAAGAGTGCCTCTTGGTCCCAGGGATATGCGACAAGGCCCAGGACCCATCGTCTACGACGTGAGTATATTCACCACTGCAACGCTCCAGCCTCTAGATTTATTGCAGCGATATACTTCGTTCCGGACAAGGTCACCCTCTCCGGACTCACTCTCGCGACGAATGCTGCCATACCACGCGGCCACCCGACCTATGAACCACCATCGAGACATTTACGCTGGCCCGAACGTTTACAGACCTAATGTTTACCGCCCCGACTACGATCACTACGAGCCACCTCCAGAAACATTTGCTGTACGGGACCGCTCAGCATCTTGGTCATCTTCGGGGAAACCTTCGGCGTGGAACGACAGGAGAACGAGCTTAGGTGCTGGTCCTTCACGCGACGCTGACATGTTGGCTTCACGAATGGCTATGGCTCCTTCTAGAATGTTCGAGCCATCTGATAGTTGGAAGCATACTCATGACGAGTGAGTAGGTAAATCATAGTACTGGAGTAACGCCTAATTTTAGCAGGCCACGCCTGATCCCTAGAGTCGGTGGCGACCGTTATCGACCAGCGACCAATGATGGAGGTGCCTATCTTCATGGACGAGCTGACGTTTACAGGCCCAGTTACGACAATTCGCGATCAGTACGACGTCAAAGTGGCTCAGACAGACGTAGTCGTAATTCAGGAAGTCGCCGTTCGCCTAGCCGATCACGATCACGATCCTTGTCTTCTACCTCTCGTTCAGCGGCGTCTCTGAGTCGATCCCCCTTCCGTGCCTCGTCAACTAAGTCTCGCTCTCCAATTCGTCGAAAACGGTCTTCTCCGGACTCGTCAAAGCGTCGATCTCGTTCATCTTCTGCATTTTCTGTGGCATCATCTCGTCCATCAATACCACCACCTAATGTTAATTCTCACACTACTGTATCACCGCCTAGTCGCAGCAATTCACCTCTTCCCAAGGCAGACCCAGATTTGGGTGCTTCTGAGGAGCAAGCCCAACCGCCACCCCCTAGTGTAGCCCCTGATGTAGCCCCTGTATCTCCCCTTTTAAGTCACACCACCCAGCCATCGTCTATGCCAATGGAGACCGCGAAGCTGCCCGAGCCGCCTAAGGAAGAAGTATCTAGTTCTTCGGACATACCGATTACCGCGAACCCCACCTCCCTCTGCGCAACGCCATCATCTACAGAACCCGCGATCCCCATCCCCACCTCACCCGTTGCCGCTTCACCTCAGAAACTAGAGGAGGAGGCTGAGGCAAAGTCTGCTACCCAGCTAGACTTGACAAATGTGCGCGATCCTGGTCTTACTGGTGAGTCTCTTCCTTTTGTCTGTAAACTTCCTAGTTATGGTATATCAGTGGATTCCCCGCCACGTGATGCACATTTAGCCACCGACCAAACAGTAGACACTGCGAAGGTAATAAATAGCTCGTTGTTAGTAGGACCGGTTATTCACCTCCCTTCCAGGACAAGCCAATGGAACCTGACGCGACCCCGGCGAAACTCTCAACCACACAGGAGCCTGATCCTTCCCCAATGTTAGTAGAACCTAATACCTTGCCAGATTCCAAATCGGAAGTTCCAACTGTGGCTGACGCCCCCGTCCCAACGTTGGCAATCGAGCAACCTCCCAATGAGCCTGCCGAGAATATTGTGCCGCCAAGTCCTGAACGACCTGCTCTGGACGAGATACCTAAATTTGCTGATACAATGCACGAAAGGCTTCGTATCGTGGTGATGACCCGCTTGGCCCACGATACGCAATCCCGCGAAGAGATCATTGCGCCAATACTCACGACGAACCTCTCCATTGCTCGACATGAATACCGCAAGGGGACAACAGCCGACGTGCTCATGCAAGAAATTCTATCGGGAGACAAGGCGAAAACACGGCTCGAATCCTTGGAAGCTTGCAAGCCATCATTGGTCCAGCAATTCGAGACTCGGCAGACTATGCTCATGGAGAAGGTCGAACGTCTGCGCAACGAATATATCGACTTGCACGAAAAATGGCTTGTTCATTGCGCGACGTTGGACGAACAAGCGAAACCTAGCGAAACCGAAGCGGTGCAGCCCTCTGGCAGGACCACGAGACGGACTGCTAATCTCACTGACACGGTGCGATCTGATCTCGAAATGGAGCAAATAATAGCTAGTTTGGGAAATGATGACGCTACCGATCCGAATCACTTGTCGCAACGGAACCTGGCGGTAATCCCAGATATGATCTCGGTCACGCGCGGGCAGGTCGATTATGCTTTCGACGATACGAACCATCTAGTCACCGATCCTCACGAGTACTACGCCCCTCGTACTGGCATCGACGACTGGACGGAGGAGGAGAAAACCATACTGTGTGACAAGTTCGCGGCGCATCCCAAACAATTCGGCATCATCGCAGACTATCTCCCAAACAAAACTCAGGCCCAATGCGTTTCTTACTACTACTTACACAAGAAGAAATTTATCAACTTCCGGAAGGTTGTCGCGCAGCGCGGTCCTGGCAAGCGCAAACGACGATCGGACAAACGGAAGGGCAACGCGTTGCTCACAGATATTCAAAGGCACGACGAGGAGCTTGAGGGCGACTCGATGTCTCCTGCTCCGACAAGCGCACCGACAACTACTAGTAGTGGAAGACCACGTCGTCGAGCTGCTGCACAGCAACCAGCCGAACCCGTGGCCTCCCGAAGGCCTCAGCCACGTAGGTCGAACGCTCATCAACTCGAGGCAACTCCGGCGTCGACCCCGACTCCAGAACCGGAAAGTAGAGTTAGACGACGGCGAAGTAATCAAGTTGTAGCACCGCCCACACCAGTCGAAGAGCCTGAAGAGGATCCTGCTACGGTAAGATCTTTCCGATTGTATAGAAAACGAACTAATTTTGTCCGTCTCAACAGGATCCTGAACAGAGGCCCGCAAAGAAGCCTAAGAGAGGTCGTAAAGTCGTCAAATCCGCCGCGATCATCCCTGACGATATTATCATGGATGACACTGCTTCTGAGCCCCCTAGTACCAGACCACAAAGTGCAACTCCGTTCCAGCTGCCGACGCTATCTGAAGAGCAGCAGTGTACGTCACTCCCTCATATATTCCTTTCAATTTATCGATTGCTAACGAGCACTTTTTAGTGGTCATGATAAACCTCATCAAGGATTACATGAACCCTCAGGTACCGTGAAACTTCTTGTACGAGACGCTCTTGGCTAACAATTACATTTCTTGCCCGTTTGTAGATGGCAGCTAACTCCAAACCGCCTACACCCGTCATAGGCTACCCTGGAACAGGAATCATGATCCCGAATCCTCCTACCGTTGGCGCTACTCGATACGCCGATATTCCAATATCGAGGTCTCCCGCCGGCCGCCCTTCTGAGCCTATGTACCCTGGTGCTGGCATCATGTCACCGATAATGGGCCACACTTCAATGGATCCGGCCTCACAACCAAACGCTCATTTTTCGGCTAACGGAGAACACATGAATGCTGGTTCGAGTAGAATTAGTTTCCATGCTAACCCATGGGTTCCTTCGAATTTTTCAGCAGGATCAAGTCGCGGCTCAACGCCTCAACCCATCGCCCCGCAACCCATGGTATCGTCGAATCCCTACGGCTCGGGCATGCCTGTGTTGCATACTGGGCGTCATCTTGACTCTACCTTTCCCTCCCATCCATCGAGCTACGGGCCGCCCATTCCAGGAGGCATTCCAATGGGGATGCCTATGCCAATGGGACCCTCCCCGCTTGGCCTGCCGTCTTATCCACCCACTCAGTTATCGATGACCTCTGCCGGACCACCAACTTCTCTGGAGCGGGCTGAAAGCAGGCTCTACCGCGCCTCTGGCACATTTGTACCTATGTCCATGGCCTCTCCAATTCCCTTGGATTCGGGTCCTGGGTCCAGAGGGCGGAATCCATACCCTGTGGTCCCTACTTCCTTCTCTTCATCTTACAATCTGCCTCGGTAGAATGTATTCTCGGAAACAGTAGATCTCTTTGTTGATATTGTAGCATAGTCGCATTGCAGTAATCATTCTGGCACGTCCTTGGAAAGCAAAGCATAGGGTATATATACGTCTGGTTGTTATTATTAATTAATGCATGTATCGTGGTAGCAGGGCGCGTTGTCTGCTTTGTTGGCTTTGTCTGGTCTGTCGACATTCATCAGCGCCGCCCCTCAACCATGATGATGTGGTAGCCAAAGTTAGTCTTCACAAGGGGTGATAGAATAGGCTTGTCGACCGTCGATGGTGTCAGAGCGAAGGCGGCATCCTGGAATGGTCCAACCATGCTACCGCGAGTCATCCAGCCAAGACTACCTCCCGCTGCAAAACAACGTGTGCGGTTCAAAGATCAATTACCCTTAGAACACTGAGGATGAGGAACACGCACCCTTCGCCTTGTCTTCCGAGTACTCTTGCGCGACTTTATTGAAGGCCTGTCCTTCCTATGAGGAATTGAGCTTAAGCGGTGGTAGTACCAGGTAGACAAGTTCAAGAACCTGGAGCTTCTCGAGAGCTTCCGTCGCTCTTGAGTGCTTCTCGCATAGGATATGGCGCACGTTCACAGCAGTTGCGGCTTTCAGACCGCCTTTCCCCTAGATCGTGGTCAATATGGTGGCACTTGATGCTAACCTGATCGGACTGCGCCGGGCGACCGACCTTGGACTTGTCCTGCGACTCAGATGAGTCCGAAGCTTTCCCCTTCTTGTCGCCAGCCTTCTTCTCTGCTGTTTTCTTATCGGCCGCGCCTTTCTTCGCCATGTCAATAGAAATCTCGAGTCGAATCACCTTACGCTGAACGTTGCGGTGTGGACTTGATTGACTAGTCAACGTTTCAACCGCGTGATCGTCCCCGGCAGCCGGGCGCTGGAGTTTTTGGGTCGCTTGTCCGGTTTGTACTATGTAGAGGCTACATTTTATCGCGATATCATGCTACAGGTACCGACTACGTATGCGTGCAGAAACTCGATCGCGAAACCAGCGTGTCTAGGGATACACCGTACACCGTACATTACGTCCAGATCTGACATTATCTATACACTTAAGATGCTAGATGCTTCAAGTTCCAGATACTTCATCTTGCAATCTTGGAATTAATCTTCGAGGAAGAAGTAGTTCCCGCTCGCTAGAACACAGAACACGCCGACACTAGTCAGCATCATGCACTCTACAAATCAACGGGAGGAAGCTAGAGGGTGCGCACCTTTCTGCTCCCTGTCCTTGACACTGTGTCGCTTGTTCACGCGTGGGCGGTAGTTAGTGGGATCGCGTCTGAACGTGATCTCGAGCGAGGCGAGGAATCTGTTCATTCCCGATAAGAGTGTTTGTGGCCTGGTCGCAACGGCAGTGTCAGCATTGACTAATATTGGGCTGCGAGAGGGAAGAGGGCGGAGAAGGGAAGGGACTTACGGGGTGGCGGTAGCCGAGACGGCTGGTTGACCCTCGAAGACAATGACACGATCGGCCAAGTATGTCGCCATGATAAAATCGTGCTCGATGACGAACGCGGTCTTCTTAGCGTGGAGGATGAACCTGATGAGTGACATACGATGAGCACCGTTCTTCCCAAAGGATGAAAGCGAGTGACCTTTTGATGACTTTGCTAGCAATAATACGTTGTTCGGAATCCAAGAAACTAGATATTATGAGGGTGAGCAACGTTGGGTTGAATGAGAGGTAAGAGGACGCGGCTATTCACCTGCTAGGTTCGTCAAGAAGATAGACAGACACGTTCGGCTTGCCTGAAGGAACAGTCAGCCGAAATACGAGTGAGTTATTCATCATCGCCAAAACATACCTAGGGCAAGCACGATGGCGACTCTCTGCAACTCTCCACCAGATAACGTCTTCACCTCCTGGTCCATGATATTCTCCAGATTCATCGGCTTGAGCACGTCCGTTTGGAACTGCGCGTGCATGAACGCCTGCCTGATCTGCTTCAGCAGCAGCATCCGCACGGTACCGGGGAACTTGGGCGATATCGTCTGCGGCTTGAGCGACACGGCCAGCGACAGCGTGTCCGCTTCATTATCCGGCTTGTCACCTGCAAGCAACCGCACGAACGTCGTCTTCCCTGTCCCGTTCTCGCCTAGCATGACGATGATTTCGGAATCGGTGAACGTGCCCGATTCGACCGTGAGTTTGAAGCCGCCTAGGGTCTTGGTCATGGATGGGTAGGAGTAGTGCCGTGTCTTGTCGACGACGAGCTCCTCCGCCGTCTCGACCATCTTGAACGATAACGACTCCTCTCTGAATCTCAGATTCTCGGTAGGGATGAAACCGTCGAGGAAGATGTTGATTCCTAGCTAGTTGGTCAGCGGGTGATCTGCGCCCCGTTATTAGCCAGACGTACCTTCTCGGACTGATGAAGGCATGGTGACGACACCATACATGGAGGGTTTGCCGTATAGACAGCAAATGAAATCGGAGAGGTAATCCAGAACAGACAGATCGTGCTCGACGGCCACGACGTAGCAGTCTGGGGTTAGCAGGCCACGAATAACTTCAGCCGCCTTCAACCGCTGCCTAATATCCAGATAACTCGACGGCTCGTCAAACATATACACATCCGCCCGTTGGATGCACGACATCGCGATTGCGAACCGTTGCAATTCTCCACCAGACAGCTGCCCAACCTCACGTTCGAGAACCTTGTTCAGCTCTAGCTCATCGCACATCTCCTGCTTGTTGTCCCGCTCCAGCTTCGAGTCCAGCATCTGCGACACCGTCATAGTCCCCTTGATCGCCCGCGGTATGTGGTCCACATATTGCGGCTTGATCAGTGCCTTCAGATTATCTTCGAGCACCTTTGTAAAGTAGTTCTGCAGCTCTGACCCGCGGAAGTATTTGAGGATTTCCTGCCAATCCGGCGGATCATCGTACCGCCCAAGGTTCGGCTTCACCTTCCCCGCCAGGATTTTCAGCGCAGTGCTCTTCCCTATACCGTTCGTGCCCACGAGACCCAGCACCTGCCCAGGCCGCGGTGTCGGCAGTCTGTGTAGTTTGAACGCGTTCGCTGTGTATCGATGTGTGACTTCAGACTCGAGGTTCGTTGGTAGATTGATGATCGCTATTGCCTCAAAGGGGCATCTGCCGAAAGGCCTCAGATAGCAGACAACGATCGAGGGCTGCAGCATACTTTTTGACGCAGATACCACAACCGATGCATAGGAATTCGGATATGAATGCAATCTTGTCGGTCGGCTTGACCTCTATACAGAGCTTGCCTACATCCCCCAAATCAGCACGAATCTATAAGACATCGAGGCACGCACCCATCTTCACCACTGGACATGACTGAATACCGGGTTATATAAGGTTCTATAAGACATGAAGAGGCGCACCTTTTTGCATTCTTGCGCGCATCGTTTTGGCTTGCATCGATTCGAATCTACAATAGCTATACGAGTGATTTTGTCGGCCATGCTGGCGAAGGGAAAGTTGTGATTGTGGTGACTGCAAGGTCGACTGTCAAAATTTGGCGTATGAGATTATCTAATCTTGATAAATCCAAGCACTCTGATTGGCTTAGTAACATTAGGTAATAAAAATCCGGCGCTTCTTCAGCGCTCCGATCCGTTAGCAAGCAAGTATTACTGCTACTGCTCCGTTCCGTTGATTTATACTCCCCTTGGTGTATCGTAGCGTATATGGATTGTCGACGTTAGAATATTGATTTTTGGTCCTTGAGCATTTGTGAACAGATATATATTTGACGAATGGTCGTGATTTGATGGAACAGCGAGATGTAGTTCCCAATCTCCTCCGAAGTTCATACTACGATGTACTAGCTTCCCTACCACCTCCCAACATCTACACCTCGTCATCTCTTTTGCTTTCTGGTGCTGCAAGGTAAGTACTCATAGAGGATTACAACCGAGAACGTTGATTGTGACGCCGGTAGGCCACCAACCCACAACGATGCCCCTGCGCGAGCCATCTACAATCTTCTTCCAATCCGACAATGTCAGACGGACAATCATCGCATCGTACTGGATTATTATCATTCTAGCACTACCTCTCTGGTGGAAAACGACAAGCATCGAACGACTGTCACTGCCTTCTTCCCGCGTAAGGAACCAAGCAAGCAAAGCACTGAGGCTACCAGTTCATATCCAACTACCGGGCTCGTATCTGGATACAACGAAGCGCTCGCAAGATCAGCTGGCCCAAACTTTGTCAAAGCAAGGAGTAGATGTTGTGTTCACGGGTGGACGTGAGTGCTTGCCAGTATTCCTCATGTTTCCGTAGCGCGGCGCGTCTGAGACGACGTAGATATTGAAGGCAGCAACCCGACGTATATCCTCAAGCACGCCACAAATGGCTTGGTTTTGAGTGACCGAGAACTAGAGTACGATTTCAGCGACGGTGCGTTACGTTGAGCCTAGTGGACTGCGAGTCTCGAAACTGACGAGTCAGTGCGCAGAGTCCAAACTGTCTACCATTTTATCGGAATTGCTTTGCCCCCCGCAACAGGGACACGTGGTTGCCCCGTATTCACCGCGTTTTCGACTATCTTTTACTCTCCTCAACGAGGACTCTACGTCAGGAAACTATGTCCGGAGTTGGGACGTCTCACGCGGGATTCGTCGTAAGAGTCCCTCATTCATTTTGGACCGCCAATTTTAACCTATGGGTTGTTATTGGGACGTTAGAATATATCACGCCGCTGCTTGACCAGTTGTCTCTGTTGCACAATTTCACAATAGAGAGTCAAGTCCAGTATCATGCTCCCCTCGCTTTCAAACCAAGACCGACACGTCTCTCGTCGGAAGACCTTTCTGTCTTCGTAAATTCGGCGGAATGGTCTCTGTGTGAGTCCACCCGATCGTGCCGCTGTCCAATGATACTAACCAAGGATATAACAGCATCTAGTGCATCCAACGATCCCGTATTGCATTTCGTTGCCTTCATCCCAAGCCAACCCCTAGAAATGCCAGAGTCGTTCTTGCTGCCTCAGTGGGGTGGCATCGTTGTCCATGATCCCCCTTCCCTGTCTGTAGACGACATTTTCCCGATCTTCGCGAGGCAGCTTCTTAGCTTGCTCGGAGTGTCCCCTCTCCCCGTGGGCGTTAAATACACTGGTGATGTTCCTATCAGTCGTTGGCAGCTGGAAGCGTTGTTGAGACGGCGCACGTTGGAAAACACGCACAGCAGTCAAGATACGCTGCGTAGTATCGTAACGCTGGTTGATCAGATTGAAGGTATGCCTGTAGGATGGAACGTTAAAGACGACATCCTTGATGCTTTGGACGCTCTTGACAAGGTATGATACCCATCCTAGATACCGATATTGCTTATTCACGGGGATTACGTTTATGTTCGTGCTATGCTTTCTAGGTCTACGCATCTTCGTCGGCATCACTGCGCGAAACGGTGAAACAATCGACGGATGCGATCGTGCTAGCATCGCGAGCATTCTTCAATCCCGACATGTTGGCGCTGCTTTACTTTCCCGCAGAGCACAAGTACGCAGTGTACGCCCCCCTTTTCGCCAGCGCTGTCATACCCGTGATCGCTGCGGCTGTTCGAGAACTGTTGGCATGGCGGAGGCAAAGGCGACAGCAAACATAGACGACGTCCCAGCGCGAACACCGTTAATACATACCTGTAGTTTGTTGGTTCATGGGGCGACTGAAACTTACTAAAACCCAACCTAATCAGTAGTGTTGAGGACGTTGGCGACGATCCTCCAAAACGGGTTGTATCGTAGCTGCTGGTAGCTTCACACTCTGTGCAAACTCTGTGCCATACCTCTACCCATCGCATTTATGCTTTGGCACTGCGCAGTAGGTGATTTGGTGAGGCTTGACGCCTTGCCATGGATTTTTCATACAAGAGGGTTATTAAGTTACAAGCTAACAGACTCGGCGTTCATTACCATTCGAATCGACCGGAATCCAACATATCACGATTCGCCGGGTTTACGAGCTCTCTTAAGTCCTTGATCATCTTACTCGGTGCTTCTCTCGAGGGTGAATAATAATAACATGGGCGAAATGGTATTCTGTGCCTTCATATCATCCATGCCATATGACGATGATTGACCGGGCCCTAATCGAGCGCTGAGCCGTAGATTATCCGACCGACCTTCTTTTTCCTGAGGGTGAATGCGAACCACATCACCACGTTATATAATGAACGCAGGGTTCTCTGGTCTGGCACATAACGGCATACGTCCTTGTGATCGATGGAAATGAGATGATTGGTGATGCAGTGATTCGTGAAGGTCTCTTGACCTGAAGCCTTGCCAGTGAGAGCCCCAACTTTGATCAAGGTGATGTTATCGAGTTTCTCCGTAGTCTCTGCGGGGTGCTCAGGTATGTTGTGGATCGTCGATTCGGAGCTGGAGTGAAGTTTCTTCCATGCAGAGGTCAAGAGGCCGTAACTGCCAAGAGGGTGGTTTCAGTTTAACGTTTGCATAAGGTTGAGAACATACATTACAAGACACGGAGAACCTCTAACGAGATGTTCAATGATGTTCATGAATTCCAAAATAAATGCTTCTATCGTTATACCACGTACTTGCTCACTGGTTCGTGGCATCATACAACTTAGTTGGCCTTGATTAACGCGGGGATAACGAACTTACATGGAAAAACTGATCACGATCTAAGGTCATCTATATGTTGAGATGAAAAGATCATCATGTGGTCACATATCGTGGCATAGAGTGGTCCGACAACAGCCGACCACGTTAGGCGGCCAGATGCGGGTCAACGGCACTGAACGGTTCGTGGGTACCGCCGGTCGAGATTCGAGAGTGTGCCACGAACCTGGAAGTCTTGTGTGTTTTATTCGTTGTATTTGTGTCCGATGCAAGCGAATAAAACGCAGGGCAACGAGGGTTGAAATCGGAAGCCGAGGTCACTTAGTAGACCCAAGACGCACGCACAAAGTTCAAACCTGTTCTAGATTGCGGAAGGCATCGTGTCTATATCAGAGCACCACACACATAATGAGTAGACAAAGGAAGATATAAAAAGCCCAGCAGAGTCTCAGAACCTCTTAAGCGATTAGATGGTCCTTCTGGGAAAATGGTATTCTTTCCGAACGTCTTCTTCCATTTCTATGTCTTGCTCGGATCGGCACTTATTGCTCGGGAGTTCTTTGTCCTGTCTTCGTCGGGAATGCCCAGAGATGTCTAGATGAACACGATGTAACAGGGATGTCGAGGACTGGACAGGTGTGGGTGTGGGAGGAACACTGTCCAGCCACCTAACGGTTGCAGCCTGCAGGCAAATTCCTTTAGCGGTGTCTGTGCTTCGTTGCGAGGCACGAAAATAAGCGGGAGTTCCAAGAGGTGACAGTAGGCCAGCAGTCGGGCCACGAGGGTAAATGCATCGCTCGAGAGCCCGATGAGTTGAGGTCATGGCGAAGTGAGGAGTATCAAGCAGCCTCACAAGTTCTATGTCACCCAAGTTTAGATACTAGTGTGCCCACTAGTGCATTATTGATTATCATTCCCCATGTTTTTGATACTGGCTAGAGCAATCAAGGAACAATGAGGATTTAGAAACGATACAAGCCAAGGAACCCCATGAAAACGTCAAACTCACGACTGATTTTCCGCAATATCACCGATTCACAGTGGCGGCACGCCTGGAAGCAAAAAGAACGGTTGATGTTGGATATAGAAATCATGTCTCCAGTAGGTTGGATTGTTTGCGTCCGAACGGTTTGTTTGGACGTTCAGTCCCCGCCTGGCTGGTGCGCCACAGCACAAACCAGTTCAAATGACTTCATTCATCTGGGAAGTAAACGAGGGTGACCTCAAGTCGTTCGATCCTCTCGATCCCGGACATTAAGGATAGAATATAGAATGCGGATCGACTGAGGAACAGTGTGTCAGCGCTGAGGCCTCCGAATTAGTCAAACTTCTGCGTACAGTGAGCGCCATCGGGCCCAGTACTATACTTACTGAATTACACAGTCTGATGAAACGGGTTATTTTCGTTCAGCACGATGTCGGCGGCCGTGGTCGAGAGCGATCTAGCTTCCCGGCTGGAATGAAAGGCCTTTTATTTGTGGAGAAAAACCAGCCACGGTGGAGATCGTGATAGTGACCTGCGAAGTTGGCCGCACGATCGATGGCTTCAATGTCCGGGTCGAGCAAGCGGTATGGGGAAGTACTACAGAAGAGATTGGGCGAGCTCCGATGCCTAGAGGCCACACGACCCCCAAACGCCAGCGTGGCCCAAGGAGGCCCGGGACCATCGCCTGTGAAACGGCTTCCCTGGTACCAGGGAGACGGTAAAGGGGTTGTCCGAGTCGGGTGTTTGGGGGATTCGACTCTGCGAGGGTACATAAGTGGACCGCTGCGTGCGTCCTCCCGGTGGGTGTTCCTGTGGCTGTTGTTATTATTATTTGTCGAAAGTTGGCAAAAAAGTTCGGGTGGCTTCAAGCTGGCTCGGATTAGGCTCGGAGAATGCAGTGACCAAATGGTGGCATAAGAGACGCAGAGGCGCCTTGATTACATAAGCAGCATCATGAATTATGGGCGCTTCTGCTAAGCAGCCGCGACTCACGCGCAACACCGACAGTGTCCACTTCCATCACCGTCGACTTATACAATTCCGCCGAAATACCATGAGCAACAAGATGAACGTTGAGGGAATGATGATGTTGGAGCAGCCTTTCCTTCGAGTCTGTTCCATCTTCGTCTCCTTGGTGACACGACTAATTTCTATTGAATTGTGCAGGTGCCTTACGAGAACTACAGGAAAGCTTTCCGGACGTCACAACGCAATGTCGAGAAAGACCTAGGTGCTGTCAATGCTATGGCCACTGACGTCTCCAAAAGGGTGACTATAGAAAATGCTGAGCCGGCTGACACGGTGAACGCAATCGACACCATGATAGCGCGTGTGGAGGCCTTGAAACGGAAGGTGCGTTTCCCTCTGGTTTATCCCCACTTTGCCCCCCGCTAATGTACACCCCTAGCTGTCTGACCTGCAAGAGACCACCGGGAAACCAGCGGTGAACGTCCTGCGAGAACGGGTTAACCATGTAGCCGCCATGGAGGGAATTCAAAGCTCCAATAGTCCGGAATTCGATCGTTGGACGGACACGAGATTTGACCGCTGGCTAGTGGATTGGTTCTTGCGAAATGGAAAGGAGAAGTCGGCTAGGCACCTCGCGCAAGAGAAACATATCGAGGTATGTGGATATCTATTACAGCGACGGACGGCTCACACGCACTCCTGGGTAGCCTTTAGTCGACATCGACTTGTTTATGGATATACGGCGCATTGAGGATGCCCTCTCGCACCAAAGCTGCACGGAGGCCTTGGCTTGGTGCAGCGAGAACAAGACGGCGCTGCGTAAGATCAAGGTATGTCCTCCGTCCGGACGCCCTCGATCATGCGAAGTTACGACGATCATTACAGAGCACCCTTGAATTCGAGCTTCGGCTGCAAGAGTACATTGAGCTAGCTCGCGCCCGTCGATCCATGGAGGCTATTGCGTACTCCAAGAAATACCTCGTGTCTTGGCACGAAACGCACCTTGACCAAATACACAAAGCTATAGCGCTCCTGGCGTTTCCTCCCACGACAACATGTGGGCCCTACAAGGCGAGCTGTTTTGCCCATGCTGTGATATGTGTAATTGACATTTCTCACCAGCGGTTGTACGACCCCTCCCGATGGTCAAACCTAATCCGGTCATTTCGGCTAGCCATCTACACCCTGAACACCTTACCCACCGAGCCCCTCTTGCATCTAGCCCTTTACGCCGGTCTGGCTTCATTGAAGCTCCCAGCATGCTTCGACCATGCTACAAAGAACACCGACTGCCCCGTGTGTGATGGAGGTTCTAGCGAAGGCCTCGGACTGGGCAAATTGGCCGCTGAGGTACCATTCAGCCACCATGTTAATTCGACAATCGTGTGCGCGATCACAGGGAGAATTATGGACGCGGACAACATGCCTATGGCGTTCCCAAATGGTTACGTCTATTCTCGCGAAGTGGGTCTTTGTCCTCCGCACCAGCGCATCTTTGCCTGACGTTCTGTCTAGGTTTTGGAAGATATGGCGGCGAAGAACCGTGGCATGGTCACTTGCCCGCGCACGGGCGAGACTTGCCAGTTTGCGGCCTTGAGAAAAGTATATATCTCATAGTGTTGTAGATGCTATGTAATTCTATGTTGCCATGTACGCTTTACGAATTGTCTGTACGAAAACGGGATGGAAACAAAAATTCCGCCTAGCCGATTTGAACGACTGACCTCTTCATAAGCTACTGATGTTACTAGTGAAGCGCTACTACCGCTGAGCTAAGGCGGATGTTGAATACTATGGCCATGCACTTGTGATATGATCGACATGGTGTCAACGTTACGGTACTTTCGTCTACTGAAAATATCAGATGCAAAGGCAATATAAAGGTTGATTGGTGTTGACACTAAGACGGAACGCCAGAGTAGGCGAGAGAGCGTCGGTGGACCGCCGCTGCGGCCAAACAGCACCAAGCACAGCGCTAGGGCGGCGCGATCAAATGAATACATCTTCCATCGCAACCCTTACCGGCCTTAGCTTTGAGCGCGCATTCATGGCCTCGCTCCGTCAGAGAGCTCCTCTCGCTTCCGGATCAACTGCCACCGTCACACATTTGCGAGACGTTGCAGCCGAGGTTCATAAACTCACTCTGGAATGGCTCGAAATTCCTGAATGGCAACGCGACAACGAGTACATTCTCACTGGATATCGCAGGTATCAATGATGAACTGTTTTACCAGAACCGAATTACAATTCATTCATAACTAGGGTACAGCACCACTGGCGTGGTTGCGTGCACTCGGTCTACGCGTGTAAGCAGACTACCTCTCCGCGACGAAACCGCAATCCTGAGTCCTGACTTGCAGATCTGCATAATGAAACCGGTGTGTCCTGGCGGCAACTGCTACTACGATGCCTCGCGGCTAATGCCAACCGTAGTGAATATCCACAGTCACCTCTGGGGAGCTGTCCTATTTGGATATCTCTTGCTGACGTTTTATCCAAATTATGTGGCCCACCAACACGGTGCCTCATGGATTGATGTAACAGTGTTCGCAATATTCCTGGTCTCGGCCGTCTTCTGCCTTCTAGCCAGCGCCACCCTCCATGCCTTTACATGCCATTCACCGAAGGTACGGCCTTGCCTGTCACCGAAGGTTGCTATTCGTCATACTTGCCTGTAGATAGCATTGCGATGTCATGTATTGGATTATTCCGGGATTGTCGGTAAGCCATTCCACGGTTAGATACGAACAACTGACTTGAACGAAACAATTTAGTCTTGATAGTTGGCTCCTTTTATCCGTGTATCTACTACGGTTTCTTCTGCCACCGCTTTTCCCAGGTCGTATATTTATCTGGTATCACGATCATCGGCATCGGTCAGTGACGGTATCCATTGAACCTATGGTGGCTTTGACATGTATTGAACCGGCGTGTTCCAGGTGCTGCATACATCGTCTTGAACCCAAAATATGCTCAACCCAGCCATAGGGGTGCCAGAACCGCGGTCTTCGTGGCTTTGGGTCTGTCCGCTGTCATTCCGGTGTCTCACGGCCTTCTTTCCCATGGAGTCAACAAGATGATGTCGGAAATGGGTTTTGGATGGCTTGTGCTCTCTGGGGCGCTGTATCTTGCTGGGGCGTTACTCTAGTAAGTTTCGTCGCTACGGGTTGGCAATTATACTGACAATATTGGTTGTCAGCGCCAATAGGATACCAGAACGTTTGAGCCCGGGAAAGTTTGATTACTTCTTCGCATCTCACCAAATATTCCATTGCTTCGTGGTCCTGGCTGCTTTGGCGCATTATCTATGCGTTCTAACGGCATTTGACCACTGGCATTCTCAGCAACTAGTCTGTTCGACGTAGCGTATCATTCCACGGGGTGCGTCATCCCCATCCCATGTGTGTGAGTTGCTGCATGCCGTTCTCAACTATGATTGATGTATACCCCATTAATAGCTACGCTGCATGCGCCAAGCAGCCGTCCAAACTCGTGGCGCCCAAAGGAGACATTCCGACAGATATTCTTGTTCTAACCATAGGCGGCATTTTATAGATCCCTGCTTGAGATATTGTAGTAAGAACCATGGAAAGAACTCGGTGCCGGTGATATTCGTCAGTCCGTCAGCCCGCCAAGCGATTGAGAGCTCTGTACCAATAAGGGTTTCGGCTTTCCTACAAAGTACTTGACGGCATTGCACAAGACATCGTGTCATCGACCCAAGTCACCGTGCATCGTAATTACCTGCGCGCAACACACGCACGCAACGAGATTGGCGGAGACGCAAGGAGTACATAAATGGAACAAACACTGGTGAATGTGAAACGTAAGTGGACTGCGACGAAGCAAACCGGTTCAAACTTCAGCGCGAACCGAGCCAGATTTGGCACGAGGACCTTGCAGAGTCGGTGCCGAATGCGAGAAGCAGCACTTAGGTGAGTTCCAAATTCCAACCATTCAAGTAACTAATGCAGATTCACAGGAGATCACAGAAGCCCATGAGACAGATTCCGGCTCCAACAACATGGCTACCAGATGCCCCCTTATGCCAATTCTACCGGGGCCGTGCTTGACCTTGATCGTGCGCTTTCTCCGATCCCTGTTCAACCATGCTCCTGCATGGCCGCACGTATAAAATGGCTGGGCAAATGGCTCAGACTTTCTGCACATCCCATCTGAATTATTACTATCGACCCCCTTCTCATCATGCCCTACGCCGTGGGTCTCCAAGCTGCTGCATCGGCATTGCTGCATGCTGGCTTCCCAACCCAATTCACCCTCGCTATCGTTATTTTCCTTCTCATTATGCATGTCATATCATGCTTCGAGCAAGAGCAACCCGACGCTCCTAAGACACTCCCTGGACACTCATTATCCGCCATCCATCCATTCTTCCGACGCCGGTTCGACTTCTTGAACTGGGGATTTCATGCGACAGGCCAAAGTGTCTTCCAATTTCACCTTCTTCGGGTGAGTGTGGTGTTTAATCACAATGTGGGCTTTCGCTTATAGCCGGTGTGTCATCAGAATCAGGTCATCGTCGTCTCCGGCGAGCGGGCTCGGGAGACGTTCTTTGCTGCTCGTGGCCTTGATCTCGAACAAGGGTTCAAAATATTGTCTGGAGCTGTGAGTATTGTCCGTTATCTTCTCACGACATACTCTGAACTGGCGTGGCCAGCTCCCCACTCTCAAAGGAGTAACATCCGACCTTCAGAACAAGGCTAGAAATATCATCTACAAGCGACTTGCAACCGTCCAGCGAAATACTTCTCTGAGCGACTGTGAGTAGCATGCCTTTCAATGATCGTCCTGCTGAGTTTTAGCGAAATAATCCAGTGATTCCCGCAATCTTGGAGGATTCTCGGCGAATCATGGAGGGTTGGGGATCAGGAGGATCCTTCGATCCCTTCGAGAAAGTTTACGAAGTTAGCCTTTTAACGCCTTGCTCTCACTGGGTTTTCATCTGACATATTCGCATCAATTGTGTCCAGCTCATCTTCCAGACCACCGTGCGAAGCCTTACATGTTCAGAAATCGCCGACGATCCTGCTATTGTCGCACGACTCAAGGTCCTTTACGATAAACTCGACCACGGCACGACGCCCGCCACCGTCCTCCTTCCATGGTTACCCACACCTGCCATGTTGAAGAAATTATGGGCCACCAAGCAAATCTACGACATCGTCGCCCACGCTATTGCCACTCGGGAACAAAGCGGTGTGCCTCAAAACGACACGCTACAGATGCTCCTCGACTCCAAAGACGACAAACTGATTATTGTCGGAGTAAGTGATAAAGCCCGTCCCTTGTTCCTTATAGAATACTGATCGTGACTGGTGATAGTTCATCATGGGGCTTTTGATTGCAGGCGCGCGCGCAACGGGCACAACTGGTATGTTGGCGTCGTCTAGGCAGAGAAAACGTTGCTAAAAGAGTGTTCTGTGACATTAGCATCGTGGCTCATTACTTTCTTGGGCGCCAACCCTGAATGGCGGGCGAAGGCACTACTCGAAGTCCAGACACTCCTTTCGAACTATCCACTTTCTCAGCCGACACCAAACGGCTCCACCTCTGCTCACCTAGCAACCATCCCTCTGGAAGCTTGGGAGGCAGAGATGCCTGTTCTCGACTCTCTGATCAGGGAAACCCTACGTATTGCGCAACCACATTCTGCGATGAGACGCAACCTCGGTCCCGATCTTTACATCGAAAACAAGCGCGTCCCAACGGGATCATATGTTATTTATCCGTTCAGTGACGTCCATCTCGACCCAGAACTCTATCCGGATCCATGGAAATTCGATCCCTCGAGGCCAGTCGACACCAAAACGCCCTTCGGTTATGTCGGCTGGGGTGGAGGTAAGTGTCACCTTCATGATGGGTCTCTCGGGTACTTACTCCGGCTGCAGGCAAAACAACTTGCCTCGGAACTCGCCTCGCAAAACTAGAACTGAAAATGGTTTCATCTTTATTCCTTCTCGGATTCCAACACCACATCGTCGACATAAATGGAAAGGTCGCTGATGTTGCTCCCAAGCCGGACTGGAACGATATACATATGTGTCGCCCTGCCAAAGGTTCATGCTACGTCAAATATGAAAAACTAGAAACCCAACTATAGACGTAGACCTGGTGTCTATGCTCTTAACGACTGTCATTCGCCAACGTTAACACTCTCGTTGCAATATGTATCGCATCGTTGTAAATTGTCGCTCCCTAGTCATTATTCTTGATTAATCTCGTATTTCCGTATTCGTAGATGGTCACATATATTATTTCTATCTACGTATGTAATCCTTAGAGTGTCCTAGAGAAATACCCATACCTGTATCCATATAATATTACTTATATAATATGATGGAATTATGTACCACATCTTGAACGTTTCGTTCGACACGGAATTTCTTAGAAACAAGATAGCCTAGTTGCAAGCGTTCAGGACGTTGAAAACGTGACACAGGACAGACCACTTGCCATACATTAGAGGGACACAATAAACAGGACACCTAATCGAACTCCAGCATGTCTTTGGCGTGAGCACCTATAACCCTCCTCCCTCTCTCCCGCCCAGAAACATATCCTTGCTTGAGAGACTGCAGCTCCAGTGACTGCGCGGCCTCTTTCTCCTTCCTCTCTCTGATGAACTGTTCCCTTATACCGCGTTCCCGCATAGCAAGCCTTGCGATTTTCTCTTTCGGAGGCTGCCATTTGCTCTTCAAAATCCTCCTCACAGCCTCCGAACTGATTTTGAACTTGTCTGCAAGCACAGACGTGGTGAAGGTCTCTGGACTGAATCGATGAAGGTCCCGCAGTCCTTCCATAGCCTCTCGGGAGAGTTTACGCGGCGGCTCCCAACCGTCTGGAAACTTTTCCTTCATGACTTCGCGATGAGCCTGGTATTGCGCAGGTGTCGGTTCCCGTGGGGGTTTCCGTCGATGAAGTGGTGGCTGATTGGGCCTTACTCCATTTACTGCATCGCTATCTTCGGTAAGGTCAACAGGAGTATCATCATCGTCGAGAATAGACCGCGGAGTGGGCATTCCAGCAATTCTCCATTTTTGCGTGGATGAAGGGAGAACGGACGATGAGTACAGCCGATGAATAGATGAACGCAGACAAGGAAAGGTCTGCGCAGAGAATAGGGGGCGAGTGAGGGAATGCTGCAAGCTTGTCGCCGCGCGATGCATCTTGAGCAGGAGAAGAGCCTGTCAGTGAGTTTGGAGTTGAGAGAATTTCTTTAGCGCCCAAACAGTTCGACTACCGCGTAGGCGCTAAATTGCGATTGCATTTATACCATTAACCACAACATATATACATCCCTTCTCATTGAATTTCAGTTCTTTTCTTTTCCATTCTTTACTAGCTTTTCTCCTTCTTGCTGCCATGGCCGACGTATCTGACCCCGCAATCAGTGAAGGTCAGATTAAGGCTCTTCTATTATCATCCAATATAACGTCGACCTAATCTATTTCCCATCTTGCAGCCTATCTGGACGTCCGGTCCGACAAATCGGAGACGAACTGGTTGCTCTTGGACTATGAGGTCGATGCGCTCGTTCTCATAACCTGAGCCCTGAACTGATCGCGGTCGTATCGCTCTCCACGTAGTCCGACCGCTCCGACAAGCTTTTGGTCACCCAAACGGGGAGTGGAGGGCTATCGGAATTGCGAGAAGTGCTGGATGATACCAAGGCTTCGTTCGCCTATGTACGGGTCAGGTACTCAAACGACAAGGAATCTACGCGCGAGAAGTTCATATTGGTGGTTAGTAGACCGCTATTTGATTCCCTCCGCTATTGATCCATGATCTCTTGGTGTTGAATCGCATCGTAGGTGTGGATCGGTCCTCAATGCAAAGTAATGCGGAAAGCCAAGGTCAGCGCCCAGAGCTTGTGCGTTTGATCAGGTGTTTGACGGCTTCACTATGTAGATTTCGGTGCATTCGGCTGACGTCAAGGGGGCACTGCGAGTCTACTCGATTGAAGTTCCCGCTCGGGAACGAGATGACTTAAATGAGGAGCCCATAGTCGTCAAACTCAGGAAGGTAAGTGTTCACTCCTAGCCAAACGCCAAACTTAAAGGACGGTATTCATTACGGCAATGTCTGCAGGCCGGGGGCGCAAGCTACGATGGCGTTTAATTTATCATACTCTCTAGTTATTGTTACAAAGTTCAGCTGTCTGTCATGTTTTCTCCGCTGGAATAAAGCTTTTGGTGGCCAATTGTCTGCTAAGCATAAGCTCTTCTGTACAACAACGCTTTTGGGTTACGCCGTGTGACTACTTGGTTACGAACTTGGAAAGGCCTTCAATTCCCTGCTCGTCGAGCCTCATGCCCAGCCACTCCGACATCGGCTTCGCACCTAGAGACTTCTCATAGAAGTCAATCGAAGGCTGGTTCCACTGTGGGTCGATGAAATGAAAAATAGCGGTTTCAGAAGAGTAGAGAGTAGCACCATCAGCGTTCAATGTTCATACTTTAGGGGTATTGCGCGATGGCATGCATACCTTAAGGACAGACCAATCCATTCGCGCACAGTCCTTGAAATCCCGAGGGTTCCATGACAAATTTAGTGACCGTTAAGCTCCAAGGTGCAGCTTCATTTACCTTCTCCCGAGCCACCTTGCTGAGCTCGCCAAAGAGGGCTTTGCCAATGCCTTGCCCTCTGAGCTCCGGTTTTACATATAAGTCTTCCAACTGTGAATCGCACGCCAGGTGTCAAACATAAAGGGGGTTAGAGTGTGTGTTAGCAGAATAATATAGTAATGCATTGGTCAAAGACAACGACGCACGTACAAACCTGGCCTTCCTGTCCAGGTGGAGAAGTTAAAGAAGTATAAGGCTAGGCCGATCGGAGGTCCGGGCGTGGCCTCTGTACCCGAGACTGCCAGAAGAGCATGCGCTACTGGCGTGTCGCCGAAGAGGTTTCGTTCTAACTAGCGGTGTATGTGGATTTGTGAGACGCCCCCTGATCCCCGCTGATCGCTCGGGGACGAGCCGACTCACCAGCTGAGGAGTTGCCTTGGCAGACTCCGGCTCTTTCTCGTAAGTTGCCTACGAGAATGCGCAAGCGAGTCGCATGCACGGCATTAGTATGCCACGATTTGTTGGCAGCCAGGGCAATGACATACAAGCTCATAGATCAGCTGTAGAATAGTCTCCTAAACACTTTGAGGTAAGTCGTTGAACACCGAGCGGGGACAAAACATAAAGTTCATACCACATCGGTTAATTTAGCAGCTCTGATATGGAATTTACTGAGAGTCGACATTGTGGAGGACTATGTTCGGATGGCGCTTACTTCCAGCTTCCTTGTTCAAGGTGGCTGACTAAATCGGTTCCCTGAATGACAATCCATCGATCGTTATTGACGGTTGTGTACTAAAGGCATTGAACCTTATTCTGTTTTTCATCCTCGTCGTCCACAACAGTCTTGGTACGCCTCACGGATCCAAGATCCAAAAATTACACCATGGACCCAGCGAAATTGGCTAAGCTTCAGGCGCAAGCTGCAGCCAACAGAATCGGTGAGGCTCTATTCTCCCAAATTTCCGCGTCTGGAGGCCGAATACTCACCATGTACCGTTCCGACATTGCGATCACGACCACACCGCACATGTTACCTGAAATCCTATATTTCGACGAATAGGTGGCAAGGGAACTGTGCGGCGAAAGATTGTGCGGAAGACCAAGCCTTCTGCCGCACAAGATGACAAGAAACTGCAAGGCGCTTTGAAAAAGTTGAACGTCCAACCCATTCCTGGTGTTGAGGAAGTCAACATGTTCAGGGAGGATGGAAACGTGTTGCACTTCACGGCTCCTAAAGGTGAGTGGCTGGATTTCATTCGGACGATGCGGTGTCGCGTCGTTTGGATTACGCGTACAAATGGATTTATGGCTAACGAGTAATAATAATATAGTCCACGCTGCCGTCTCTGCCAACACCTTCGCCGTCTACGGTACCGGTCACGTAAAAGAGCTCACTGAACTGGTCCCTGGTATTCTCAACCAGCTCGGACCCGACTCGCTGGCCTCATTGCGCAAGCTGGCCGAGTCATACCAAGCCATCCAACAAGGCCAGCAACGGCCAGCAGCTTCCGGTGCTGCTGAAGAGGATGATGATGACGTCCCCGACTTGGTGGAAAACTTCGATGTCGAGGCTGACGGCAAGGCCGCTCTCGATTAGTATGGTCATTTATTGATCGAGTTAGTTGGTGGGTTGCGGGAGAGTGGGGGGAACGTGAAATGGCAAGAAAATAATTGACACTACTGCAGTTGTTTGTATTCTCGCATCATATTCTCATCGTCTGTTTGCACACTTACTATTCCTCGACCTGTTGTGTCCATCAGCCAGGCTGCATCTGTCTTCAGATCTCTCCTTCATGGTGCCTATGTTCTGCTTTCGTCACTGTCGCGTATGCAATGCATTCTATTCTTCGCTATCAACCCTCGCGCTTTCGCTGCCGGTTCCGAGTGAGAAGTATTCGCCGTAATATCGCGCATACCGGATCCTCCAGATTGCTGCTGGGAATGTCGGGCGTTTGTTCAGGCGGATACCAGCACTTCGCTATTTTTATGACTGACCGGTCCTGGATTCGAGGTTAGACGCGCTGGAGTTCTACCGAGATGCGCCGCGTGATCCTGTGTCGACTCGCGACTAGCCTATCCTAGCCCATCCTGGTATAACGTCAACTGTGTCATACACTTCTGCCATGGGTGGGAGTCGGTAAGTTCCACTCGAATTTGATTCCGCGTGCTCGGTATTGTACTCAAACCAGAGTTGCAGATTGGCTACTGGATTGCTGGGAATGCCGGTGGCCCTCGTGTACCCCTTATGCATACGTCAGTACACAGATCACCACAGCGGGGAACAAGGGCATCTTCCAGTTTCAATGTTCCTCCGAGCTTTCGTCGTCGCTTGACGAACCATTTCGCCTCTAAATCTGACAGTGGTGTAACGGCCACAAATTTAGAACCGACCACCGCATCACGAAGACGCAGACTGTGAAGTGACTCCACGATATACGCATTCAAGGTTATCCCCCATGTGCACTCCCTCGTTTGTCTTGTGTCGAGATAGACACTCATCACGCTGAATACGGAATGTGGGTTACAAATCCAGCCATCCTCATGGTTGTTTTGCATTGCACCTTCCACATGAGAATTGCAAATATCATTGGCGTGGTTCGCCAGGGCAGAAGCCTTATGGAATGTGTACTACTGAAACGTATCACAGGCACTTACGCTCCCTTGTGGTCCGATACCAGCGCGTCGCCCAAATGCCTATTACCTTTCCACGGTAAACGACTATCCGTGTCCGAGTAACTATCGCCGGGTACACGTCTGAGAATGACTTCCTTGTATATTTATGTCCATGTTTACGAACGGGGGTGAATATCCTCACCGTCAGTCCACTTGTCCATTTATTTATCAAGAGTGAGAGAGTGTGTGGGCACTGATAAGGTTCTGTATCACCGCATATGCTCCCGTGTGGTGTGCCTCAATGGTTCGCAAATGTAGCTCGTTCGTCTCAGCTCTCTACTCGGCTCAAACGTTGACGAACCACTGACCAATCGTTTGGAGTTCATTCAGTAATATTTCGTGCAGAATTCCGCACATTATCCCAAAAAGGCAACCCAGATTACAATTTGGGCGGGCTTGTGGAGGTTTGTGGAAGGAGTCAATAAGACAGCTCTGAGTAAATCACCAAGCTCATTCCGAGTTAATTATAATCACCAAGTTTATTATTACGAGACAATTCGGCTGATTCCATGGCGAAAAGATGGTAACGCTCGGTGACAGGGGCACTGAATATTCTCCCCGAAAGACAAACGGACATCGGTAGCATGATATACACAATCATGGCAGAGAGTTTCTAAGTTTATATCAAAGCAAAACATGCACAGCAAGTAATAAGTTACACACACTGCCCGCACTACCCGTCTCTAGATCTCATTTCTCAAAATAATGCTAAAACAGCGCTCGCAGAAGGGGTTTTCTCCTCTCTGGAAGAACGAGGGGTCTTCGAACGGTCGTTCGCATCCCTGCGAAGCGGAGTACTTTTGAGCCAGCTGATCACGCGCGGAAAAAGACTCATGATGGACTTACGGCACATACGAAGCAGTCATAGCACCACTTCCCTCCAAGGGCTTCTACGGCCTGCATCCCGTCCCGAATGCTCCTCTTGCATTTCTTGCATTTGGGCATGCGCAACCTGACGTGGCACGCTTCGCAATACGGATACCCCTTGTAAACCGTAAACCCAACATCGTCGTCCAGCATAAATTCTCCATCGCCGGACAGGTTGGTCTCCATCTCACCACCTTTACTATTTCTCCTATTGGCCGCGGACGGCGCTAGGAAGGGGTCCCCACATTCTGCACAGAAGAAGTGCTGTTCGTGGTATGTCCGTTTTCCGAGGGCCGGGTCGTCCAAGCTGATGAACCGCTCTTCAATAATGGCTGTCTTGCAAGAATAGCACCGAGGCGCAAAGTTCTTCACGTACATATTAGCGATACATCCGTATATCCCAAGGGAGGTCGAGAATAACTCACCTCATGGTAGTCTAGATGACAATAAGGTCTCCCTTCGTGCTCAAAAGAGCTCACATGCTCCAAGAGTTCATCACATACAGTGCACTTGAAACATTGAGGATGCCATCGTAAACCCATCGCGCTAACAATGCGCCCAAAGATCGCAGCTCCGCACCCTGCACAGATCAACCCCCCTCCTCGGTGCAAGGGAGGTAATGGTCGCTTGAAGGCTTGTTTTGATGGAGAATTGTTGCCATCCGCCCCATGATTATGATTATGATTATCATCCTCCGGCCCAGCAACACTGATCATCGGACCTGTCGCACTGTTATCGTCGTCATCGCCAATTACATTGATAGATATTGTCGGCGCGGACGGCGATGACACCATTATTGATGGACCACCGCCACCCGAGTTGTTGTGATTATGGTTATGATTGTGATCACCATCACCTCCATTGTCTATCTCGATCTTCGGGAGGTCGCTACGTCCCCACCCACTAACAGGCGCAGGCGACTGAATCTCTATCAGTGGCATGTCTTTGTGCTGTGGCGTCGCCGTTCCCGGTGTATACGGCCTGGACGCAGGCAGCGGCTGATTATACGAAGCGGGCGTAGGCACCTCACGGTCAGAATGGAAGTCAGATCGTGCTTGAGATGGTCTCCGAACGACCGTCGGAGGGCGGCTGCGTTGAGACGGCTGGGGCAAAGGGCGAGAAGGAGAGGCTTGTCGCGGCGGTAAACGAGGAGACTGTTGTTCCGGCCTGGACGACGGACGGCTGCTTGAGTATTCGCTACCGTACGATGATTGTGTAGTAGATGCCCGAGAAGGAGACGTTTGTCGAGGCGGGAGCGGCGGCGGCTCTCTCGACATAGGACTTTGAGGGGGAAATCGGTTTGATGTATTAGACCGATGATTTCCTGCCTCATAATCTTCCATCCGGCGAACGGGCCCAGGCGACGGGGAGCGGCGAAGAGCAGACACGCCTTGCGGAGGCGCATCGTCCAAATCAAACAAATCCCTCTCTCTCCTCCTCGCCTGTTCCGCCAACCTCCTCGAATCGTTGCTCCTCCCGCCAGACGACGTCGAAGACGGTGCCCGGGGAAGCGGCGGCAAGTCCGCAGGCCATTCTCCCGCACTGTTGTTATTGTTGTGGCTGTTGTAATTGCTTATTCTGCTAGCACGTTGACTACTGACAGCGCTGATATTGGAAACCGCGCTCTGAGGTCGACTGCGCGCATCCGCCAGCTGACCTTGGCTGGTGCCTCGGCGGCTCATTACCGGAGGGCGGGGCAGCGCGCCAACGTCGCCGTTCGAGCTGCTGCTGTCACGGTGGCTCGAGCGCGAATTACCCATAAAGCTCGTTCGCGCTGGCAAATCGCGTATCCCATACCCCGGACTCGCCGGAGGCATACTCCTCGCGTCTTCTTCTTCTTCCTCGTAGTCATCGTCATGAAAACCGGCGTTCGATCCTCCGCGACTCTTTGGCAAATCCCGGATACCATATTGCGGGCTCCTAGCTGGCTGCTGCTGCTGCTGCTGCTGCCTCCCGTGTTTGCCTCCAAGACGATAGTCGTCGTACGCATAAGGATCCCCGAGACTACTATGTGTATCCCCCGTATCACCAGTGTCTCTGCTCATCATAGACGCGCCGTCGGTCTCTTCGTCGCCTGTCACAGCAGTTTCATTCATAGACGACGTATACCCCTCCTCCCCGTCGTAAATCCCGCTATACGCATCTCCCGAGTCGTATTCAAGCGAGGAGTCGCCCACATCATCATCATCCACGACCGGATACCGCCTATAATTCCACAACAGTTAGCACATGCAAAGAAAAACAAGCAGATAATACTCTAACCCATAATGAGATCCACGCGCATTGGATGGTGGGGCCCTCGACCGCGTCGGCGTGGCCATAGGACTTGAATCGTGGTATGACGACTTCTGCGGTTGGTGGATCTGGGACTGACCACCCCGCCCGGACATCACAGTGGGAGGAACCATCGAGCGCCATCCATCCGGCGCGCCAACACCCCTCTGCTGCGTAGCATTCTGCACAACGTGTTGTCCCCTCGCATTCACTTTCGCCGTCACACCCGGCTGTACGTTCGTCCTCCATCCTTCAGGCGCCCTATTCGTCATCATCGTCAGCGAAGAATCTTGTTTCGGCCTCTCTTTTTCTTTCTTCTGCCTAGGTTCTCCTCTGCTACTAGAATTCGTAGCAAAAGATGACGATGACGACGCTGAGGGCGGGCGCGACTGTGACTGCTGCGGGGGCTTAATGGTCGGGCGCCATCCCTCAGGTGGCTTATGCCTCGGTGGCAACACCTCGCCCGTACGAGGGTTCACATCAGGCGGCGGCGGGCGCGCCGCAAACGCAGTGCTCCTCCACCCATCAGGGGCCCTCCCATTCTTCGTCGGAGAATTCGCCCCCGATCCTGACATACCCTGCCCTCTAGACACCGGCGGCCCCATCGATCGCGATCTCCCATGCCCCGGGCCTACCGGCGGCGGACTCTCACTTAGCTGAAATTCAGGAACACTGACGGTCGTCCGCCAACCTGGGGGCGCGCCACGGAGGAGCGGCGCGTCTTGTGGTTTCTGGTGCGCGATTGGGGGGCCCTGTGATTTTGATCGTGCGTGGCGAACTCGATTCGGAGGAGGTGCGCGGGTGCGACGAGGATCTGACAAGGGCTGTGGCTGTGATAGCGGTTGGGTATAGCGCAACGGTTGGGACGGTTGGGACGAGCGAGCTGGATTGGAGTCTGGTTTGGTTCGCGGAGGTTGTTGTTGTTGTTGTTGTTGTTGTTGTTGTTGATGCTGTCGTTGATGTTGCTGCTGCTGCTGCTGGGGTATGGACGGCTGTTGGATTTGTGATCGTGATACCCGGGGATCAGATTGTTGGCTCGGAGGGGGTTGGGATTGAGGTCGCGACTGTGTCTGCGGCGGTTGACTTTGAAATGGACCTGGACCTGGACTATTCTGCGATTGTGGTTGACGAGACAATTGAAATTGAGTTTGTTGTTGTCGCTGCTGCTGCTGCTGCTGCTGTTGTTGCGATGGTGATATATACTGCTGCTGCGACTGAGGCGGCACAACTTTCGATGGTTGAGGCTCGCTTTCGCGCGACATCGCAACTCCGGGCTGCGGTAACGCACGGCTCTTCCGACCGTCCGGGGGCTTACTTTGATTTGAGTTATTCGGGTTGCTGTTAGCGTTGGAAGTAGAGGCGCTCGAGTTACTAGTAGGATTAGATGAGTTGCCGGTAGGATTAGATGGGATCGCAGCATTGTTGAACGTAAAAGTCTTCCCTCTCTTCCACAACGGCACGAACTTCGTACCATCTCCTTGCTGAGATGACAGAGGTACAGGCGGGAGAGCAGCATATGCGGCAGCCGTTGGATTAGTCGCGTTAGTGGTATCTTCATACGCTCATCAGCAGTAGGCAACGAATCCAAGCGTGCACACGTACTCGATGAAATCAATTTCACACTCGATTGTCCACCACTATTATCATTGCCGAAGAATTTCGGCGGACTCGTTCGTCTACCCCCGCCTGGCGCAGCAAACCCGCTTCTCCCTCTCGTTTCTCCATCACCATTCTCGCTGTCCTCGCTCCACCCCTTTCCGTGCAACCCCGCATTAGTTGGTTGAATACTACTACTACCGCTTCCACTACGCGCTTCAAAGATATCTCTGATCGCCTTAACGGGGCTCTGAGAACGCGGGGGAATACGATTCGTAGGGGGTCCTGATGTCGTAGGGGGCTTGTTGGGGCTCGGCGACCGTGTTTGTACGCGACCTCCGAAAACGTCGCCGTTCACGTTGTTAGGGATAGCATTGGGCTTGCCTTGCGGACCCGGAGTAGGCAGAGGTCTCCTGGTTGGACTAGGATTGGATGTTGATTGGCTGATCAAGGGAGGAGCAGGCGATGATGCCAGTGGTTGAGAGTATGTGCGAGCATTCATAGGAATGCCATTGGGTCGCATCGGGCTTGTTTGGGTAGGACTACCATTCATGGACATGCCTTGAGGGGGATAATACGAGGGTTGGCCCGTAAATTGCTGGGACTGAGGGAAGATAGACGACGTGCGTATATTTGGCAGTTGGGGTGGAGTACCGCCTATTGATGCGTATGCCGACTGTGGATGGGGTGGCGTATACGGTGGGTTCTGAGGGTAAGGTTGTTGGGATGGCCAGTACGGCTGCTGCGGTTGGGATTGGGGCTGTTGTTGCTGGTACTGAGGCTGCTGCTGCTGTCGCTGATATCCAGGACTCCAATTCGACGGATATGGTGACGGTAATGCGCCCGGGGAGCCATTCTGGACCAGATCGCCCACAGAATATGAATGGGAATGAGAACGTACGTTGGAAGCTACCGCATATCCACCTGTACTAGATCCAGGCGAACTAACAGAAAAAGTCGACGCGCTGGCTGAGAAGGACGCCGTAGCCGGTGCCGTGGGGGACGTCAAGCCTGGCGTCAGGCTGCGTGGTACTGGATCGGAACGTTGTGAGCTCGGGAGAGCGCGTCGAAAGGGTGATGGGGTGCGAGCGATGGGCGGGGGTTGTTGCTGGTACGGGAACGACTGAGTTGGAGGTGCCGTCGCTGTCGCGTGAGGTGGTTGAGGATGGTTGGGATTGAACTGGGAGTTGGGAAAGACACCCGGGACGGAATGTGAGTGCGAGTGCGAGGGTATTGGGCCAGCCGTGTAGGATCGCTGAGGCGGGACCTGATAATAGGACATGGCGGGCCCTTGCCGTGGATGTAGTAGCAGAGAGAGAAGCGTTCAGTCAACAACCATGACCTTTCCATATCGGGTAATCACGACCACTGACAACGTGACCCGTGACGTAATATCGCTTTTTAGTCCAACTTACATCCAGGTTCGGGTTAAGGGAGTTTGCTGCGAGCAAGCTAATTCACTGCTTTCAAATGGGGAGGTCAGCAGATAGGAGATCTCAGGTATCTTTGGCTGGAGGGTGGATGTAGATGATCTGAGCGACGGCTTGTGCGATGGATGAAGTTGGGGGGGGAAAGAATGATCATCTTGAAGAACACAGAAAGTGAGGTTTATATACCAAACGACAGAGCTCAGCACGATCGACTCCCGCTATGACGTTGGAATGTTCTGACCTTACTCAAAAGACTCGGGAAGGATCGGAATCCATAAGTAATAGTAAGTATATGCGGCGAACTGCGCTGAAGCATACATGTGCGTTTCCACCCTCCGAGCAAATATATGCACTTCCAAGTCATCTACTTAGTTTATCCATCTTTCTAAATCTTCAACCGAGTAAATACAGTGCGACGTCAATCAGACCAGCAACTATACGACCAAGCCTGCTGCGAGAGGTCTAATACCGGACTCGGTGGCCGGCGCGTTCTCTGACAAGCATCAATACACACTCCAATGCAGGGCTCTGGCCACTGCAGATGTCGAAAATATCAAAAGCAGAAGGTTTAGTCGCGGATGCGACTATTTCTGTCATCGAACTGAGGTAAGTTGTACGGCAGTGTCTACTCCCTTGGGCGATATACAAGGGACGGGACCGGTGGAGTGGGAGAGAGCGCGAATCACGACTCATATCCGAGTCCATTACGATGCCTGATCCCAACGTTGCCCTCTGAGGATGTAACAGAGGCTGGAAAGTGGCACTGACGAGATGTATTAATGTCATTCGGTGGTATAAACACCTTCAGCTTCGTCCATTGGGAAAGCCATGGCTCACATGAATAGAGTTCAGTTGTGGTGATGTTGATTTGCCAGATAGGCGCCAGGCGCCTGTTGCTTTATTTGTCCTGGTGCGGTGTAGGCAAACACGGAGGAACGCCAAACTTTTTTGGCAAGTCTCTCTACCCCGTAATGCACCGTCTCGCGAGGCAAGTCACCTCCTCGCGCCTCCCGTCACGCGCCGCCCGCGTCCCCCACCTCAGAAAACTCCTCCCATGCCGCGTATCCCGCCCCCACGGCCACGCCATCCACCGCTACTACTCCTCCTCGTCCCCGGGCTCGTCCTCTGCACACGATGAGTTCCACCGCCTGCTAGCGTCGATACGGCCGGGTGTCCCCGAGGAGGAGCTCGCGCACTCGATCGTGGCGTTGCTGGAGAAGACGAAGGATCAGGCGCGGTTGCAGCGTTTGGAGGCTTTGGTGTCGATATATTCGACAGGGCTTGACCCCCAAGTGCTCTCGCAGAGCACAGCGAAGTACATGTTAGAGCCGCCATCTCAATCCGGACCATCTACCACGAAGGTTGATGAGATACTCGGTGAAATCGACTCATTAACTACACAACCCGACGGGGCAAAAACGGAGCTCATAGTCAACTTGCTGGACGAAGCGGAGCGAGAGGTCGCCACCCGCCCGAAACTGACCGAAGACATACTCGCCCGCGCAATCGTTTCGTTCGTCAAACACACATCGCTGATGTCGGGGTACGGGAAGGAACAGGAAAAACAGCAGTGGGAGACGGAGCGCGTGCAGAGTTTGGTGAACCTCTTCGCCAAGGCTGCTGAAAACGCCGAGTTGGCTGGTGAGGGTCTCGCCACCCCACCGCTCTTCTCCAGCAAACCCGCGACTTCTGACGGCCCAATCCCCGTACCCGCGCTCGACGACCCCTTGTACGCGTCGGCAATCCAGGAAAAGATAGACAAGAAGCTCGACGCGTGGTTCGAGGACCCCAGCACGAGCAATCAGCGTATAAAGGACATCATCTCCGAGTTTACAAACAGCGAGGGGGAGCTTGACGCCGAGGTTGCTGATGCGCTGAAGGCATTCGGGTTCCGGAGACCTGTTTCGAAAGTCCTGAAAGCGGCGCCCAAAGCGTCGAGTGCCAAGTCCGACGCGTCTGAAGCTACTTTCTCTTTCGAGCAGGCTATGGCAGAAACCACCCGTCAGTGCCGCGTAGTTTACACCATCATAACTCATGCTAACTCGACCATTCCTTAGGTGAATCCAAAGAGGCAGATGACCTGGACACTGGTGCACGTAAGGCTTATTCCCCATCCACAACATCCCTCGCTAATTATTGGTGACTAGTCACGTCGGGCAAAGACAAAGACCAACCCAAAACATTCGAAACCTTCCCCAACCTCATGACCCCCGATCCACTAATGGACTCGCGCGACGTACGGGAGTTCCCCGCGGACCACGAGTCCCCCTACAACAACCGCGTCGTCGTGCGCAACCACGCCTCGATATTCCACGAGCAGATGGCGTCGGACGGGCTCGACCTGGAGAACGAGGACCTGGAGTGGAAGCCCGAGGAGACGGACGAGACGGAGGAGGAGCAGTCGTCGAACTTGAATCTGCCGCTGGGACCGAAAGGGCTGAACGAGCTGTACCGCTTCCCGATCTTCTCGCGGCGCGTGACGCAGCAGACGGGCAAGGGGAAGATCCATAGGATATACTCGATGGTGATCGTCGGGAACGGCGACGGGCTCGTGGGCTACGGTGAGGGGAAGGACGAGGACTCGAGCCGCGCTGAGGCCAAGGCGTTCTCTGAGGCCGTCAGGAATATGGACTGGGTCGAGCGGTTTGAGAAGCGCACCGTGTGGACGGAGATGGAGACGAAGCTCGGTGCGACACGGGTAATTCTGCGGCCAAGGCCCGTCGGGTTCGGGCTGAGGTGCAATCCGAATCTGCACCAGGTGCTGAAGGCGGCGGGGATCAAGGATGTGAGCGCGAAGGTGTGGGGGAGCAGGAATCCGGTGAATGTGATCAAGGCGGCGTTTAGGATGCTGCAGGCGGGGAATGCGCCGTTGGCTATGGGCGATGGGGTTGGAGGGAAGGGGCGGAAGCTGAATAAGGGAAGCGGGGCGAGGAGCAAGGACGAGGTGGAGAGGGAGAGAGGGAGACGTTTGGTTAGTTTGAGGAAGTAAGGAGATGCGCCTCCCATGGTCGTGTTATCCAATATAGTCATGCCCATTCTTGCACTTTCGAGATATATCATTCTGAACATGCTTAGGTTTGGTTTTTCACGAGTCCAACATTTTTGCAACATCCTGCAGCAGGGAGAAGGCCCAACTCGAACGTATTCACCAGGATATTATGGGGAAGGGGTATACAACAAAACCATGTTCAGTTAAGTTAGGGCGTACATAGGTAGGTACATTTCAACGTGTCGTCTACTGCATTTTCCTGGCCATAGCGGCCAAATGGACGGTTCCTTGCCACCAGACGACCATTAGCAAGCCCACGATTCCGTGGAGTGTGCCCCAGACGATCTCCGGCGTGACTTTGTATCTGTTGAGCGTATATCATAGCTATCATGAGCATTCCGTATACCAGAGTATGGAAGAGAAGGGGGGAATGGAAACGCACTGTTCGAAGATAGCGCCGAAAGTGTGGGGTATGAACCGCGGGCTTTGATAGAGAACCGTCGAGCAGATACTATGGTAGACGCAGAGGCCAATCGCCAGCGCGCGTTTGCCCGGCAAAAACTCTGCAAGGAACAGTTCAATGAGGTTTGTGATCGAAGGGGACAGCAAACGCACCAGGCAGTGAGAAGCAGAGGAACGCAGCGATGCATGAGCCCAGGATAAGCGAGGCGTAAAGCTATTTGTGGGCAGACATTCGCTTGTCAGAAGGCTGTAAAGTATAAGCGGTGCATTGCGAGGCGCACCTTCAAGAACACGATGGAGGTGTTGTTCAGCTGGAGGAACGGCAGCGATTCGGGCGAGTACACTCCTTGTATCGCAACCGGGATTTCCAGCGCAATGTGCAACAGGAATACAGCGGAGCTGACATGGATATGACACGTCAATTGATGGACTTCATGGGCGCGTCGTTGAACTCACAGAGGGCTACGGACTGCGACTTGCTGGGACATTTTTTCGTGATGGTGGTGGGGCAAGACAAGAAGAGTGAGAGAGTCGTGTGGATTGTGGGTCACTCGGCGTCGGTCAGCGTGCAGCTTATCAGCAAATTCCGCCCGTCAAGGCACAAAATCCCCAGAAGGAACCAAAATCACATTGGGTTTGAATCAAAAATACATGCATGCAGTTCTACGTAGTCGATGTTATTACCCTCCAGTCCGTTGCTACTGTAACAATGTGCAAATAACTTATCAGTACTGTTACACGCGCTGCTGAACGATACGTTAATAATTATACTCATGATATCCCCAATGTGTGCTATGTTTCTTCCATCTCTTCTTCCCCGTCTTCGTCAGTCAACAGCGATTTGCCTCTGCCGATCACCAGAGTTTCAGCAGCGTCGAGGTCCAACTCGAGGTCCAAATCCTCCTCGCCTTCCGCGATGGCTGCATCGCCCAGGTGCAATCTCAGCCTCTTCACTTCCCTACGAAGCTTCTCTATTTCATCATCGCGTCGTTCAACGCGCCCCTTAAGCTGGCGGATGTAATCATTACCACATATCAGAAGCTGCAACTTGCTGACGCCCTTGTTTGGACCATCGCTGCCGGCCTTGGGCGGTCCACGAGGGGGGAGGGCGCCAGGCAGGATGGGCTCGTCAGGGTATTTTTCGTCGTTGGGGAGGGGAATGGGTGGAAGTAGTCCTCGTAGCTCGTCGAACGTTGTTTTCAACGAATCGCGACGTTTCTGTTCAGCAGCTTTATGTGAGGTCTTTCTTACATGGATTACCGGTTGCTGGGGCTGTGAATGCGACGCTGCAGAAGATGTAGAACCAGCTGGAACGGGTTCACCTTCAGCTCTAGGCATTCGTTAGTTTCGAATAAGTACGCACCTGGAAGGATGGCCTTCAGACCAGGACTGGCTTGGACGGCTGACGAAGATTTCTTCTGTATTTTTGTCGCGCTAGGTTTTGGTGCCAAACTACTATCAACGCCGAGCCGGCCTAGCTTCATTATGCTTGCCGGGGTGACAGGCGTGAGCTGCGCGGATGTGATCGTTGATGGTGGGACATTATTTGATGAAGAGACCGTCGATGCTGGCGGAGGCATTGATAGGTCGACTGGTGATGGTGTATCCCCAACAAGGTCACCAGCCGTGCTTCCTTTCCTCGTCCTCGTCGAACGTAATAGGGGCGTCGAGTTAACAGACTTTGATCCTCCTCGGGAGGTATTCTGATTCTTCTTCGTATTGGGGACACCCGGATTAGTGGGCCGAATCGCGGGGGACTGCTTCTTACGAGCGAGATGGTCAGCGGAGTTGGGCGATGCTGTTCTTTTCTGGCTGGTGCTACCGGAAGCGACATGAGGGTCGACGATACTGCTCTGCTGATGCGCTCCCAGCCACGGGCTGGTGAGCGGCGAGATATCGAAGTCGAGCTCGGCCGGAGATGGCAGATACTCTGGACTTGAACGGAAGGCTACATGCGCAGGGGCAGAAGCAGTGCCACGAGGAGAGTACTTTGGCTGTGATCGCGAACCATTAATTAATGGGGTATTGGATTGCGAGGCCATGCCATGGTTTTCGAGGATTTGAGCGCGGTATTGGCTCTGATCTTGGGGTATATCCATGTTCATGTATTGTAAGCTCATAGGAGATACAAATTCAGAGGTGTGTTGGGGGCGTAGCTCCGTTGACGTTGCTGTCGACGGCGCGGTAAGAAGATTGTCGCGACTCGGATATGATGGACGCAGAGTAGCAGAAGGCTAACACACCTGGCGTCGGTAACCCATGGTAGCTCGCGCCACGCTCTAACTGGTTCTCCGGGATTGTGGGATTTTGACTGCTACCAATGATAGCCAACTGAGAGATTGGCCGACGAAAAGGCAGGAAGGGGCACTTTAAGGGACGAACATGGTAGCAGATACGCACCAGCTCACCTGCTGTTGAAAAATTTGTTGCTGGAGCTGCTGCAGCTGCCGAAGCTGATTGAACTTGAACTGCTGCTCAAGCAGTAATTGTGGATTCAGCGACGGGGGTTGCTGCTGCTGTTGCTGCTGTGACTGAGACTGCGATGGTAGAGCCAACGACGAGTCCATGGCCTGCATCGACGCCATGAGATTCAGCATCTCCATGTTCACTTGCTGCGAGCTCGCTAGCGACTGTTGCGATTGCTGATTCTGCTGCAAGAGCATCGGGTTTGAGCTGTACATAGAAGGCAGAACTTCCATGGGATTGCTATTGTTACGCTGCTGAGAATCATTGTCGATGGGAAAGTACGACGGCATGAAATCCTTCGACTGGTCCTGGTGCGGCTGTTCCATGCTGGCGCGCTGCTGGATGGTGGTGGCTTGGAGAAGATGGTGGTACAACTTTTCCAATGTCCAAAACAGGCACCATATCAGTTATCTCACACGCTACTACTTACTCTAACGGACCGACTTCGGACTTAGCGATTCAAATATTCAGGATTCAGGGAAACAATCTTGGCCCAAAAATTTCAAAACAGCATGGATGACAGACGTGCGTAGCATATGGTCTAATGATTAATCGGCACGCCTTTGTACAGATGGTACCAAGGCCCAGACGCCGACCATCGTACACATCATGGAGACCATTCTAATTCGGGGTCAGCATCGGGAACGGATGTTGGATATAAGAATATGACGAACAGAGGTTGAAGAGAGCCGATACCGTAGCGGGAGGCCAGGAGGCCGGTGATGAAGGGCAGAGCGGCGGACCCCGCCATGCCAATGCCAGTGATCCAGCCGACGCATGCTGTCAAAAGCCACCGAGGAAAGATGTGGCTGGCGTAATTGATAATGATGGGAAACATGGGTCCCAGGAGAACACCAATGAATGAAACCTAATCACATCGTGTCAGTGCCAGAGTCAGTGGAATCAGTTCTAGACATCGTCTGACCGCCACTGCATTCTGAATGATGGATGGGACCACCCAAATCGTGATCTCCAAACTAAGAACATTCAATCAGAGAGAGTTTACGTGACGTTGGAGCCCACGCACATTATGGCCAGGATGCCGTACACGAAGAGAACACGACGCTCCCCCACCTAGTCCAAGAATAAGACTGTGAGCAACTTGAACCCACTTCAGTAATTCCCACTCACCAGCTTATTAAACCACAAAAGGCCCACTCTTCCCAATGTCAACCCTGGAAAGGAAACAGTGAGTTTGAGCATATCAAATACAGCAGAACCTTGCCCACCTCCGAAGAAACCCGAAGAGATGTACCCAGCCGACGGCCCCCCATCACGCTCGTTGATGATGAACGTAACGATCCATCCTATGATCCTTTCAGCATCCGAAAGAGGTATGTATGATCATACTTCGTGCTAACCTCCTAATGTCACCTCTACACCGATGTAAATCAGTGCAAATATGGCAAGCAGATGGACGCTCTTTATCCCAAAGATCTGCTTGTACTTGTTTTCTTCATGAACGGTCACTTCTGCGGTCTCTTGACCTGCTTCTGCAAGAAGATCTGATATATCGTTAGTACGGGTCAATCATTCATCAGAAGGCAATAATACCATCCTGCCTCTTGAATCGGAAAGTAGCGATCAGAAGGAAGATATTCGACACGGCCATCCCGGCAGAAATGATATAGTGATACGACCAGTGACGCATTTCAGAAAACTGCGTCGAAACCAACGGTGCAGAAAATGCACCAAGACCTTAATAGGTGATGTAAACAACGGCGGAGCAGAGCCAACGAGCCGATTTACCGTAGGACGCGTGTAGCAGACCCAGCTTCAATGGAACATTCTCCTTTAACACGCCGACGAATCCGTTGGCTTGAGAATTCTAGTGTGGTTATACTTAAGCTCTCGATCGTAGCGCATGTCAGGGGTTTAGCCAACCTGCAAAGAGAGCCCGAAGCCTGCGAAGAAATTGGCCAGGACCATTATGGGGAACGGTGGTCGAGGAGCCTGGATCACGTATGTCGCTAGTTGGCACACTGCGCCTACCCAGGTCGTTAATAACGGAACCTCGATAGGCAGTTTGTGCAATACCAAATACAATGACCTAGATGTCGTATGGTCAGACATTGCCCTGAGTCAGAAAAGAAATATAACTTGATACCTTGCCGAAGCCGAATCTATCATCCAGCCACACATTCGCTGCGGCACCGCTGATGAAACCCTAGAAGATATAAGAGCCAGAAGGGTGTCAATTCAATCGCCAGAGACTTACAATGCAGTTTGAAACGAACAACATAGAGACAACAGCAAAGCCAACTCCAAAGTCTCTCTGAATTACTGGTAGCAACGGACCTAATTTGATATTTAGCATTGATAAGTTGTCAGGATGATGGGTAGCCAACCCGTTGTTCCGTCATTCCATCCTTCGAGGTACAAGCACCAGCAAAGTGTCGCAAATTGGATCATGCCCGTACGCCTGAATCTCGCTATCTGCTCTGCCGAGTTGATCAACGCAATGTCGTCCTGGGTCGCATTTACGGGCGTCGAGGACACTAATTCCGCTTTCGTTCCGACTCTAACGTTACTGGAAAACCGCCGCGTTCGCTCAGGCATGCTGTAAGCAAACGACGAGGGGATCGGGAGAGAATTATCATGGAGGTCCGTTTGCATCCATACTCGACTAGACGGGTTTGCTGATGCTTTTGGGGGGTAGGCGAACTCGGTTTCTACAGGTTCCTCAACAGACACAAGAACCTTGCCGGTTATAGAGTCCGCCACGACGCTTGTCACTGAATGGGAAGAGGACATTGTCGCGATAAGGGGGCTTTCGACTCTCAGACGGATCTTTATACATTTTTTGTCTGCAGGTCGGCACCCATGCTCCGAGCTGACTCAGAGACCCAGGCGACGTCGAATTTCACGACCCAATGAACAAGCGTGTGCGAGAAGCGGCCCCAGAGGTATGCCTTATTACGTTCGATCCTGGGGAATGTGGCTCTTCGCGATCTCCATTGAGACGCGTGTTTTCGTTCCGAACAGTCGAATGAGCTTATCGAGTTGGCGAGTTGGGTGTGTGACGGTTTACGGTTTACCACTCTACTTTGTAAACGCGACTAAGTACTTTAGGAAGTTGGGGTCCTAGTGTGATGCGTGACACTGCTTTTAGTGGTCAAACGCTGGCGAATAACGCCGACAATAAGATCTAGGTTTTGTTCAAGTTACTTGAGACCCTCCCTTACGCTACTAGGGTACACCACTAGGATGGGGAGGGTTGAACTACCTTCGCGGAGGACCTCGATGATTCCGTAATTCAAACTTGTCTTCATGGAACACACGAGCTCGGTTGCGTGACGAGTGATGTAGCTGATGTGGTTAGCGACTATGTACATGTACCATAGCTGTCAGTAAGCCAATTACGATCTCTGGGACTAGCCCTCGAGTTCGTAGTCAACTGAGGGCGCTGTGGTTAGTTAAATGGTTAGTTAAAGAGTGCAAACCCGAGGAAGTAAGCTAGTGCCTACCGCAACGCCAAAATCCAACGCGATATAGACTGTACGACTGGGTGCGCGAAGAGAAAAGGACGGTTGGATTGGCGGCGTGGAAGGCGATGGACTAGCGCGCACGGTCAAGTGTGTACCTTTTAACGTCAAATCAGGCACACTTGCAATATCCCACAGCGAGGTCGTAGGAATATCGGTGGTAGTTGCAAATCAAGAAGAGCCGTGGGCTGTTCAGCAGCGACCTCGATACGGCTCCCATCGTGGAAGACAACAGCAGTTTGCGGAGGGCTACCGAGAGTGTGACCGGCGGGCCCAGAGTATGCAGGCATTGCAGCTGTGCTGTCGCCTAAAACCGTACAGCCCATGGAGTATTCCCGTCGTGAGGACGAACAGGGTGAAAGAAGGAGATGTACATTTCTACGGTGTCCCTAGCGAATATAGTATTAGTTTGCACGACGCAGAATTCATCACGCTCTCACCTAAATATATTCAGGAATTGTATCTTGGGGTAGCAATGCTTCGCGATTGGGCTTTCGAATGATCCTAGTTTTTGCAGGGACCCGCGGCGCGAAGACGTTGAGATGCTAATCGTACGGTATCAGAATACGATGATATGCTGTACAATCTATGTGGGGTACTATTCGTTCGATGAACCGAGGCTTCTTGGAAAACCGGAAAGACCTCAACGGCGATGCAGAGGAGAGTGAATGAGAGAACTCCGATGATCAGATACCACCAATGGGGGACCCCTGGGTAAACTTGCATCAGGCGGGAGCGGACATTGCGCTCATGCTTGAGGCTGCTGCAATGTCGCGACGGAGCCAGAGGCTTTTGTGGGCGCAAATGGAGGCCGACGATGCGCAACACGTAGTGGATATGTAACGCGGGGGTTAGCTGAGGTACTTCTCTGCGTCGAACTCTCCGTTGGCGATGATGGACGTGGCGTAATGCAGCAAGCCAACGCAGTCAGAGAGAAGTTGAGGTAGAAGGTGTCATTGGCATCATTGGGCCTTGAGGTTAGTATTAGCTTCTCAATCGTAGTCATGTAGGGACTCGTCGCAGCGCAAAATCGTGCTGGTAGACTCGGCCGATACAGCACCAGTTGCCGCGGGCAAGCGTAATTCAGGGCGTACCGACGCTACTATGCAGCAGCGATATCTACTTGCATAGTCGCGAACGTAGGGATGTTACAAAAACAATCAGGATTCGTTTGTCACTTCTAACACTCGTACTCACCAGCAAACAGCCCCACCAGACGTAGCGTATTTTCTGGCACTAGCTGTTTGACCAAAAGGCCTCGACGTAGTATATCTCAGACCTGAAGTTATTATTGAGTCGATGTGATGGTGACGGTCAGAGGAGTGCCAGGACCCCTCAAGACCGCGATTGGAGCGTGTATGTTCTGCCGACAAATCTCCGTCCTTAAGCGCTCACTTCTGATTTACGTAAATGCCTCTTAGCGCCGAGGATGCTGTTTCCTCCATGACGATCACCTCTCCAGCAGCAATTCTCCAAATCTCCATGCAACGGGCTTGAATCTGACCTCGAAAAAAACAGGCAGCTCTTCCAAAAATGCGACCTCGCGCCCCAGAGCATCGAGCATGCTCCACGACGAAAAACTGGTCGGGTACTCCGTTGCTACCGCTATAGGAGACGGAGCGTCGAAAATAGACAATCTCGAAACTCTTCATCGAACGGGGACTTCCGTTGATTGCTGTGTTATGGGTCCATTCCTCTGACCGCGTCGGGCGTTGATTGTTGCAAGCCTGTCAGGTGTAATGTCGATTGACATATACACACCCTGGGACCCTCCTCAAGTTGACTTTGCTCTCTCTCTCTCTCAATCTTGCTGATATGTATCTGGCGCTATGATGGCGCTGCGAATGGATGTTGATCCCCTCTTTGGGCCCGAGATTTAACTTCGTGATACAACGCGTCATGCCTATCACTCTGGCCAGGCGTTTATAAACGGAACACATGCATGGTGGCTATGGGGAACGCCCTCTGTTCAAGATCAATGTTGCATTCAACCTGGCACTTGATACCATCTTGACAGGTCCGTGACATCAGCGCAACGGCATGCTGGCTATTCAATGTCAAAACGGCGTCGATATGGATGCGTAGGGTGGCTTCTACAACCTTTACTGAATGTTATCCGACGACGACACAGCGATGGCCCTCCCTTGCGGTAATCAATCTTACGGCCAACATTTTAGTTCTCGGCACATCCGCCCGCGCTCTCTCGGTGACATCGATATCTCTTCGTCCTATCAGGGGTCACTCTCGACTGGTATGAACCTTCACAGTCTATCCGCCGAGGTTCTTGCCGCCGTGCGCGTGGCCTCATAAACGACATCACTGGGGATCTATCCGCTTGCCAGGTCTTGTCCTTCTTCCCCCGCGACGAGCTTATCACAATGTGCAAGCCAATCTACTTGCGCTAGTCCACGGCTGCCTGTGGTGCTGGCGACCTCGAGGTCTTATTCGTTCATCCGGTCTCGCCGCTGTAGCCGTGATGATCGCCAAATATATGACCGTCCGATACCGTAACGTTAACCCCAACTCACGAGGTACACGCGCACATCACGGCCTTGGTATCATTCCGGACACGCGTCATTGGCTGCGTGTAACCTCTGGGAACATCCTCGTTGTCTGGGTAGGCCATAAACCTCGATATGGCCACCTGACCAATGGAGCCTCTTCCTTAGCCACCGAATCATGAGTAGACACGTTCTATTGCAATGAGGGATATACCGCCCCCTCAGTCACATCTATACCACAGGTCCTAGCTCAGAACCGCGGCTTGAATACGGCATCCCTGTTTACCATCCGCGTCGACAGACAACAATTGGCTCACCCATCCTAAACCTCGCCGGAAGTTTGATAATCTTACACGACTACCTGGGCCATGACTAACGGCCGCGGTTATAGCTACCTGAGAGCTGCTTACTCGGATATTGCCTTCTACGCCGGTGCTGATCTTAAAAACCAACCATTGGGCGACAATGTGCTCTTAGTGACTTCACGGCGCATCGTCCGGTTTCAACGGCGCCACTGGCGATCATCTGGAGAAGTGCTACGCTGGTCACCACCTTCCGCCGTACATCTGCTGCCAATATTGCTAACACGAGGCTACCCCTCACAAAGGGGCACCGGAAACTGTTTCTTTTGCGGCGATTAACTTCCATCGGTTCACTTCTGCTTCCCCGCTATATTTTTGAAGCTATTATCGAGACAGGACATTATAACAAGGCCTCCTGCCAAGTACGCACCCGCGTATCTCAACCTATCTACGTAACGGCGTCCTGGGAATTTTCCATGACGCCGCATCGCTTGTGGCTACCCTACCGACGTGGGCGCGATGCACCGCTTTGATTGGTACGTCGAAATATTTACTTTGCTCAGCACTTGAGTTGAAGGTTTTGTTGCGCTTCATTCGTTCAATAGCATCCGCTGGAAATGCCGCCCGACTTAGGCCGAACAAAAGAAGCGGCCCTGGCCCTTATGACAAGCATCATTCAAGGTCAGATGTATTTGCAAGTGGCGAGGGCAGGGTTACTTATCAGATCGTGTATATCTATAGGTATCTACGACGATAATCCCATCCTCGTACGTAGTGACATAGCCACCGTGTCACTGACTACTTATGACCCCATTGTTCAGCATGCGCACCTTGCATTGACGAGGGGTAAATGAATTACGCGAGCCAAGTTTCACCATATATCTCCATTTTGACTACTATCTGGCTAAATTTCGTCCATATTTGCCTTCCTATTCGGGATGACAGGGCCGAGAGATTGGCCCGAACAAAGCAGTCCTATATATATGGAGGTGGCCTCTATTGTTCAGCGCATAGGGACGAATACAATGGAGGATAAAGGCGATTAAGCCGACGTTGCAAGGGTATCGATATGATTCGATCAAATCACGCTTGTTGTCTCTAAGTCTCCCCTCCCAGCGGCCGTAACCTTGGCTGTGGTCCCTTGGCCATGAGCGGTTAGATTACGAGTGAATCGATGCTTGTTCCGGACCCGCATCTGAATGTTAGACGGTGTTCATCCAGGCATTCGAGCTCCGTGAACAGCCAGTACGCCTGCTGCTGACATATGTACACCATGACCCGGCTCCACTAACCTGTAGATCAGTCCGGGTGGTTGCAATACTTGAACGAAGTCTACCGCCTTGCAGGGACTGGTCCGGACTTGATCCACGTGTGTTGGATGTAGAATTAGACCATAGTAGCATTTACATGCCGTTGATCCACGGCCTAGCCCTTGTGTTTGTATCGGTCGCCTCGAAAGCCTCATGGTATTGATGGGCCATTATGTGGTCTCGCTCGGGGCGGGACGATGGGTGTGGGGTTGACCCGTTGAGCCTTCTCACTGCGCCAAGATAAAATTTGTCGTAGATCAATGATGCCCGCTCTTAGATATGTTGAGCTTCGACGAAAGGTCCCCGGGGAAGCTAGGAGCTGGGTTAATTAATCAGTGAAGACGAGGGTATCGGTCCGTTTAATGAAGTCACTGGACAGCTGCGTCCGGGCGTCTGTGAGCTGGCGTTGGTCGTAAAGGCAACAGCCGATGCATTCTAGCTCCAGAGTCGATACCGGCGGCGTTCCAGAAGACGAGAGGTAGGTGCTTCATCAGCTGGCGGCCGCACTTACACGATGGGCGTGGCTCTCGTATCGTGCATTACAGAGATAATTTCCAGATCCGTTCAAGACAGGCGGGTACCAGGCGTTCGTCGTACAGCAAGTCGTCTTAGAAGCTGAGCGGCCAAGGCTACATTGGCAAACGAATGCGCTATGTGTGTGCGGAGCGCCCAAGATTAATCAGTTACCCCGTTGATCCCTTTGGTATGTAACTTTCCGCCCGGGGAACCAGAGGAAGGGGATAACAATGTTCGGGAAAAGTCCGATAGGTGGGAGGCTCCAGACATGTCGAAGTGTGAAAGACCAAAGATACGGTGGAGGGTCCCACGTATCAGTGTATTTGATCCTCAGCAGATAGCCAAGAAGCAAATGGGCCCGTAGAACCTCCGCTGGTGCGTATATAGGTCAACGGCAGCAACTCGGATAGATTGTAACGCGAACAGCTCGCTCCCGCTGGAATGCTATGACTGCACAGTAGTACAGGGAATGTGTATAAAGCGCCCGGCGACGCCTCGGGAATCCTCTTGTTGTGAAGGGCGCTGCACGGTAGCTCATAAAACCTAGAACGGATGATGCGGGTGGATCGTGACTTCATAGAAGTCAATGAGCGTGAGCACAGGGTGGCCCTTCTATTCATTTTCAGCCGGACAGAAATAAAATAATTTGTCGATTACGTGTTGTCCTAGTCTCGGGGACAGAGCGGCGATTCTTCTTTGTGAAGTGGTTGTAATGCCAGCGAACAGGCCCGAGGCTGTAGCAACCAATCCGTGTGCATGGCAATATATAGAGTAGACCTCAGGCACCGACAGACTCGAGGTGTTCGTCAATACACAGAGGATGGGTTCGGTGAATGACCCACGCCCACCTCGCCGTTCCTGGTTTTGTAAAACAGGTTTAGAGGACCGGTAGGCCCTGGCTTGAATCCCAGGACGGAGCGCCAAGGGTCCGGTGAGCCTATTGATATCGATGATGGCGCTATGATGGGTAACATGTTGACGCTGGCTGTAGATAGCAGACCTAAGGAACTGCAGTTAGATATAATGAGATGGCGACATGAGACTTGGATGATCCTCAGAGGGACCGCAATTCTTACCGACTTCCACTGATACCTGGCGGTAATATGAATCGGCTAGATGCACGCCCTGTGAATTCCAAGGTGTGGCATCAGTAGATCATGGCCCCCAAATGATCATGGAGGTTCTGTGGGAACACCAAGTGTCACAATCAGGATTGCAGGGTTTGAGATGAAATACCCTTCCATAAACGCATCCAGGTATGATCTGGAGCATGTGGAGAGGACGAGTTTAGTTTATCAATCGATCTCTGGCCGACTGACAGGGGTTTCTGTGTTATGGAGGAAAAGGCTAGTGGGCCGCTGTGGGAACGGCGGCGAAGCCGAGAATATGGGCCTTCTCCCATTCTTCAGGTCAAAACAAGGAACCCCATTGGCCGATCAGAATTAACCTTGATTAGAAGTAAAAGGTGCGAGCTGAAGCATGAGGGCGCTCACAGCCAAATACGTCTGGTAGATACTAGAATTCTCTCGTCCACCAGGCTAGCCGGTACATGACTGGAAATCATTTTTTTAATGGACGGACGGCTGGATGACTGGTGTTCGCCTCGAGGGTGGGAGTGACTCAGACTGGCACTGAGTGGCTTCCTGGTCAAAAGAAAAAATTGGACCGGATTCGGAGGAAAAATACGAAGTAGATGCTGTACTTGATTGGAAGATCTAAGAAGGATCTTGAAACTGGAAAGTTCCTTCAGGGTGCACGTGCAACCCAACAGCCGTGTTTGTTGATGCTTCCTGCCGTAAAAGTACAACAAGCCACAATTGCTTCCAAACCACGACCTGCTCCACTGCGGGCTCCCCCCATTCACCTTTGAAAAACCCCACCCCTGGTCCATTCCTCATAATGGCCGTTTTGCTTCCCAAGTACCCATCACCCATGAATCCTGCAAAGTACTCTCGACGCACTGCGACCTCAGTCATGGCGGGCGCCTTCGATATACCACCACCGAGGGACGTGTTGACGAGCTTGTTAAATGGGGTTGGTCCGTATAAAGTCGTGGAGAAGGACGAGGAGCAGAGGCGCAACAGAAAGAGGGAGAAGAGGGAGCGCGAGCGGGAAAGGAAGAGGCAGAAAGCAGCGGGCAAACAACGCGAACCCTCATTCAGCGATCGTGGAATTAGTGCTCAGACCCCCGCGCAGGTGGCGAGCAGCAGCAGCAGCGTCGTTCCCGCCGTCCCCCAGCCGCCTACCGCCACCACATCGTCATTCTGGCGCGCACGACCTGCCATACACATTCCTTCTATGCCGAGGTCATTGTCTGTGACACCGCCACCGTCGTTTCCAATCCGCACGCCATCCACGCCAGCGTCGACGCCAGGGCCGGACGACTCATCCAGCACTTCGCGCACATCATCTAAGCGACCTAGGACACCCGATGATTTCGAGCCTATTGATACGGCACACGCGATGGGCTCCCCGCCGCCTTCTACTCCCAGACAACCTCGGAAGCGACGGGTGGCAGTGAAGAAAGGATGGAAGGGATGGGTCGAGGGCTCGCCACCCCCGTCGGAGAAGCTTATCAATCTCGATGCTGTGCCCGTACTGCAAGAACGCCGCACTCGCAGTGGCAAAAACTTCGACGCTATTGGTGTTGGCAAGGAAGGCTGGGTCTAGTGAGTCAATTCCCTAGGCTTCCAACGGCTCATTAATTATGGAACATTGCCGTTGTGTAGATCCTGCCCTCCATGAGTCAGTCGCCTAGATCTATCGATGTGTTCTCACCGCCATCATCCTATACCGCTAGCCGTCGTCGTCGGAGATGGTGATGCTCCCCCATCCTCTCACCAAAGACCTTCCATTTCTAACTCTTGTCACTGATATCCTGGCTGTGTATGTTTCATGGTGTTGTCAAATTCTTGCCCGTTTCTCCCGTTGCTTTGCCTTTGCCTCCGTCTGTATACGTGTCGCTCAATTTGGATAGTTTCTTGGTGCTTTTTATTCTTGCTTCATATATTCAAACAGCGGTTTCCTTCAGCAAACCCTGAGCAATAGGCAACCGCACACATGGCTTCCCTGTTCAAGTCTTTATTTCCTGTAGCTACAAGTAGAACTTTTTGGGATTTGAGAAATACAATGAATTTCAAAGTTGAACCACTAGCGAAGCGTCGGCAAAACCCTCACAGGTTGCCGTGCGTTGTCCTCTCCGTGGATTCTACCCAGGTGTACCGTCGTTCTCGGATGGGAGAAGCCAACTCAGCGAAGCGGAGGACGTCGGTTGAGCGGCAAGCGAATCAAACAACAGTAAATTGACAGTTTTGGGCCATGGGAACGTTTTCAACTTCGTTTCGAACGCCGAGAAAGCAACTTGAGCTGTTGGCGCACTAGAGCTAGGTAGGCCCCGTTGATCGTGTGCTCAGAGACTGTTCCATCAAGCGTTGCGCCGCGCCCCTACGTTGCCTCTTTAACGATGGCACTTGCTTGCGGACCCCTGCTTCCGCAGCCTCCATCATGGTTCCCCGGACACATGATGAAGTTCACGAGGATGCTTCCCGCCCTACTCACTCGGACTGATGTCGTTCTGGAAATCCGAGACTCGCGTCTCCCACTGACAAGTATTAATAGAACACTCGAGGGTATGCAACGAACATGGCGGCATTCATGGTTTCATGAGTATCACGTAATTAACTTAGATGTTTTAGGTGCGCTACGGAAGTGGCGGGCAGAGCGCGGCTGGAGCCCTCACGATCCCACTCTACGCGTGTCTGCGAACTCTCCATGTGAACGAATCATTGTTTTCAACAAAAGCGATCAAGTTCCTGAGTGGGGCATGGAGGTACAATTCATTATCACTTCTCAAGTTACTGAATTGAATTGACCCTTACGTTTGTTTAGCCGTTCCGACAGTCTATGTCAGCTAGATTCCCCGGGCAACAATTTATGTTTGCATCGCTTCATAAGCCACGCCATATACGACAACTCAACCAGAGTCTAGTAAGTATGTCAAAACCCAGCCTATTTATTGCGCTATCTCAGCGCCTACGATCTGGTATTCTAACCATCAAATTACTTCAGACATAGCAAAAGAGTATCCACATAACACCGAACTGAATGTCCTGGTCATTGGTATGCCCAATGTCGGGAAATCGACGCTGCTAAATGCCCTGCGGAATATGGGAATTCAAGGCCGTGTGTACCCCCGCAGATGATTTTTCACCGTCAACTGACGGTTCTCTTGCCCGTCTAGCCACACCAAAAGCATTTCAAACTTCAGCCCAACCAGGGCTGACCAGGGCGCTTTCTACGAGGCTGAAACTGTCTCTGGAACCTCCTGTCTATGCTTTTGATACCCCCGGCGTCATGCTGCCTTATCTTGGGCAAGGCCAAACGGGGGCAGAAAGAGGTGTTAAGCTAGCTCTAATCGGTGAGCGGCTCTCGTACGACCCCACAAGGCCCCGGATCTAGCCTCTAGCCCTCCACAAGTATAGCACGCTGACTGCGTAGATCATCAGCGGGCATCAAGGAAGGCATGTACGACATGGAAACATTGTCAGCATATTTGTTGTACCGGCTGAATGTTCTGAATCCCATTTGTGAGTTTCTCTACTTCTTTTTTGCTCTCCGCCGGGTTTTGACGCCTTCTCACTGAATATCTGGATCACTTACCGTTGTATCGGGTATTTCAGCTCCCGCGTACCTAACACTTCTTCCTCAAGGGAGTGCACCCACAGTGGATCTAGAGGAATTCTTGACACTGCTCGCAAAGCGTATGGGGATGGTGAGACGGGGAGAAGGCTTCGATCTCTCACGAGCAGCCGCCTACTTTGTGCGATGGTGGCGTGAAGACGGCGCCACCATCTATGCCCAATCAACTATCAGCTCACCGTCCCAGGAAGTCAAAGAAGGTCCCGATTTTCAAATTCATCACCCAGCCAATAGCTTATTTCCATTTGCTATCCGTCTAGGTATTTGCGGTTGGGGCTTTGATCTACAGTGGTCTATGAATCCAGGAGAGGTACTTACTACCGCGGTCGTCCAACAAAAGATGGATGCTTGCATAGGAGAATACCTCCAAAGGGTCGAGCGAGAAGAGAGTGACGAGGATGCTATCAGCCCTACTCAACGAAAGAAGAGGGCTATGATAGAAGAGAAGCGCCGACGAGCAGCAAAGTGGTCACATCTTAAGACTTAAATTAAGTAGCTTATCATCCATCATCTTACCCCTTCTACAGTTAGAGTCAGTATACCTAGTATGATGTTACCCACCGAACTTGTTTTCGCTTATTCGTTTCGGGGCATTCAAATATAATGGGACCAGGTAACATATACATCAGAAGTCAAGATAATCCTTGCCTTCCGACCAACCTCCTCCACCGCCGTAGGGGTCGTCGCCCCCTGCCGTGGGTCCCCCTGCAGCGTTCGACCCAGTAGCACCGTCCGCATCCTTGAAAGCAAACTCCCGTTTGAATTTCACTTCCAAGTCACCCACCATTTTTATGAGGTCATTACAAGCAGTTTCGAGGGCAAATTGTGGTGTGATTGTCCCATCCGTTTGGACCTTGATTATAAAATATGGTTGGAGAGGATGGGGAACTTTGTATCCGGCAAAGAGAACCGATGGCATGGAGAGCAATTGTCTTAGGATTGTGTCGGGCTTTTATCAATGATGAAGAGTAAAGTACAATTACTCACGCGCGAACCATGTTCCCTAGTGTATGATCCTGCTTGGCAATTCTTATTGTCGCAGCATTTGGGATCTTGGTGTCTTCTGTAACCTCTACTCTGTATTATTGGTTTATTGAATGATTTGAGACATAGTTCATCGCGTTCTACTAACGGATTTTCTCCTTCGTCGAGAACAAACAGCTCGTGTCGATTTATGGCGTTCATTAGGTCAGGTTAGAAACGAAGATAAATTGGTTGATAACTTGGGTGTGGCGTAGTGCAAGGGAGGAGTAACCCCGGAGTGTGACAACCTTTCGCTTGCGTGACGCATCTGACTAAGGCTTCCCACGCTTCACCACCCTCACAAGTCATCTAACGAGAGTGCGCACAAGGCTACCGTAAATCAACACTCCTCAAGGTCAGCATATTCTCCGTTATTTTGTCGCAGGCTTCACTCGCATCGGCTCATACGTGTATAACATGACTGCTGGAGTCATAATGGCCCTCGCAAAGTGTTTAATTTGGGTGGATGGACAAAATTTGGGTTGGATGACGCTTGGACGGAAATTCATCACTTCGCTTCCTGGAGGCCATAATCCGCAATTCATAGGCGATATGGTCAGAGGACCCGCGAGTGGAGGAGACGGCATTGCGATCAAGTTACTGACCTGTCCTTCTTACAATTCTACTAGACTATGCCTACCCATCTCTCCAAGACCCGCAAGCATCGTGGTCATGTCTCCGCCGGCCACGGTCGTGTAGGAAAGCACCGCAAGCATCCGGGTGGTCGTGGTCTCGCTGGTGGTCAGCATCATCACCGGTATGCACACAATACATCTCTCTAGGATACTCTAATTATTGGGCTCAAAATAGTACCAATTTCGATAAGTACCATCCTGGTTACTTCGGTAAAGTTGGTATGCGCCATTTCCATCTCACCCGCAACCAATTTTGGCGACCGATCATCAACATCGACAAGCTCTGGAGTTTGGTGCCCGCAGAGGAGAAGAAGGGCTTGACGGAGGCATCCGATGTCGTCCCAGTGATCGACACCCTGCTGCACGGCTATGGAAAAGTATTGGGCAATGGACAGTGCGTTCCGTTCCATTGTTGCTTCGACGGTGACCTCATTTACGCCCGACCTCGTTTCATAGACTACCCAAACTCCCATTCATCCTAAAAGCCCGTTCCGTATCGCAAATCGCCGAGTACGTTTCTGTGCCATCTAGTAATCGCACACGTCTAAATATTGTTCGTTTATTTTAGGCAAAAAATCAAGGAGGCTGGCGGCGTTGTCAAGTTGATTGCATGAGCTTCCTGTCTTCTTCTTTTCTGATTCTCATGTATTCATGCCCCATCAATATGCTCATTATGCAATTTTGGCACGGCGGGTTACTGTGGGCGAGACATGGTTTCTTTCGAGTGAGAACGCAAGAAACAACGTGGCTGACTCGAGACCTTTCTCCTTCCATCGAACCTTCCTTACAAGTAATATTGTTCCCATTGATTCATATCGCACGTTCATACTTCTCGAGGGTACATTCACATGATATAGAGAGTGCATGCAGCCTAGTTCTAGGATTCCCACCGAGTCTCCGTTGAGCATAGAATGTCGGGTATGTTCGCTCAATGTGCTCCTTCGGTGACAACGTCGACAACAAGAGTGAAAATAAGCAACTGATTATAAGAGTACAAACGTTCGCAGGCTGTTCATCTATGATCTGATAGAACTTCCCTCTAGGCTCTGAGCAAACGACTACGATATGCCAAGCTCACTTTACCAGTCTATTAACGGCGCGACAGTATCTTGGCGGGGCTTTCAAGATACCTCTTCTGTGAATGCATCACGGCATCACCTATCGTACCTTTCTCACGACCTCCATTACGTTCAAGATCCTTGTTCGGTTGGCTTTTTACCCCATAATGCAGACAGCCAGGAAATGAGGACGTCGTTATGATATAAGGGTTTGTTTAATATTGCTCGGTCCCCTCTACTACCATGACCCCACACCTGAGCGTATTTGCCATCGCGTCTGGCGTCTTTGTTTTTTGCTTATCGAGGATATGGCGCATCAGCAAGCGAGAGAAAGGTTTGCCGCCCGGGCCACCAACAAGATTTATCTTTGGAAACGTTACTGATTTCCCTAAGGCTTTTCAGTAAGTCTCCCATGGGAACTCCTTATTTGTGGCGTCCGCGAAGAATAGCTAACGTGCTTCTCTCAATACGTTCCTAGGCGTGACCAGTCTGCTCAGACATATGGCGATGTGTACTCGGTGAACGATAGATTGACATGAGGGACCTAGGAGCCGTAGACGGGGGCTAACGCATACATCCATAGCTTCAAGTCTTCAATTCCACCTTCGTAATTATGGCGAGCGCTGCCGCGGTCAAGGCTATCATGGACAAGCAGGGGCAATGCACGGGCAATCGCTTAAAGACTTTTATGGCAACAAGAATATTAGGACAGCACCTCATAACCGAGAATACGGGTCCGTTACCTTGATGAATCCAACGGATTTTCAGTGCGCGCCTGCAATTTACTTTCTTCCTCGCAGACTCCCGACTGTGGAAGACTGGCCGTAAAGCAGTCCGTATGTTCCTCGATTCGGACACCACTCTCGCTCGCTCCCCCGCTTATCAAGCTGAGTTCGCCCAGTTCCTAGTCGACATCCTCGACTCTCCTCAAGTAAGTTGAACTTGTTTTGTCATCAGAAACGCTGAATTTCAACGAATTATGCTGTTAGAACTTATTTTCCCATACCAAGCGTACATCAGTGTCGTTAACGACATCTTTTGTTTACGGGAAAAGGTTAACGGTGTACGAAGGCTCAGAAGCTGAGAAATTCTTTGAAGCAGTTCAGCTACTGAATGATACATTGAATCCCGCCAACCATCCACCGATCGACCTCCTCCCGGTGCTACAACATGTACCGGCGAGATGGACATCGTGGAAAGGGCGCTGCGAACGAGTCAAAGCAGAGCGCAATGATCTATACGGAGGATTGTTCCGAGGATGTACAGAATCCCTCACATCTGAGACCTCCTCTAGTTCGTTCGTTGGGTGCATGCTCAAGAATCTAGACAAGCTAAATATGACCGTGAACGACGCCAGGTATATGTCGGCATGCTCATTCTGTTCTACATATCCTCAAATTTCTCTCTATTCAGATCGATTGCCGATGCTTTCATGGATGCTGGTGGTGATACGTCCGCTGTGTTTATCCTGATATTCATACTGGCCGTAATGAACAATCCATCTTGTCAAGCGAGGGCGCAAGCTGAATTAGACCTACTCGTTGGTGGAGACAGGATGCCAACGTTGGATGATTTGCCTAGCCTACCCTATATCAACGCGGTTATCAAAGAGGTAGGCGTATTCAGTGCTAACGGAGGTGACAGTGGATCCTCATAAGGTGTGAAATTCGACAGGTCCATCGAATCTGCCCGGTCGTTCCGTTTGGATTACCACATCAGAGCGCTCACGACTTACAGGTGTGCTTATCCTCCATTTGCTCTGCTTTTATGCTAAACTTTCTCAGTATAAAGATTACATCATCCCTAACGGCACTGTATTAGTCGTTAACCTTTGTGAGTATATTTATACAACTGGAACGGCTCCATAATTTACGCATTACTCAGGGGAAATATATCATGACCCACGTATGTTTGGGCCCCATCAACGACTGTGATGATGTTTTTACTATTGGTTCGCAGGGCTATTCGAAGACCCGGAGTCGTTCAAACCGGAACGCTATTTAAACTCTCAATTCGGGTTCAGGGAAGATATCGAGATAGATATTGATACTGATGGTTTCCGTGATAACTTGTCCTTCGGTGCTGGAAGAGTGAGCTCTCCGTACTAAACTCATCAATTCTTCTCAATTTAATTCCCCCAAAGCGTATCTGTCCTGGTGAATCCATCGCGATGGCGACAATTGTGCGTACTCCACGACGAAGTCACAGGCTGGGCACTAAATAGTATGATAAATAGAGTGCCAACGTCATGAATCTACTATGGACCTTTACGTTTTCTAGGGATGAATCGGGCACAGGAAACATAGGTATTGACGCGTTTGAGCCCGTTCAGGTATCTCCACCTCCCAAAGTCCATTGAGAGAATGCTGATTGCTGATTAGATTGGTGTTTCATTCAAACCGAGACCATTTACCTGCAACGTAGTCGTCCGAGATGATAAGAGGCAGGCAATCATCAGAGATCTTCATGCCCATATGTGTGCATTTTCAGCGTAACCCTTTACGATGTACGTTGTAGTAAGGGCGGTAGGGTCTAGGGAGGTAAATGATATCACGGAGTTTGAACTGGGACGACCCGCTTATCTAAGTATCAGTCCGTCATTCCCACGACCCATAGGATAATCACAACAGTAAGCATCTATATTTAGCAAGGAATCCTTGTCCTCAACCACCACTTCCATTCGCCCGGCGCGGACAGAATCCAGCAATTCCAAGAGCTTGAGTGTCGAGGGAATATCAGGAAAGTAGGTATTGTACGCGACTACGGGATTTCATCCGTTATGGTGGTATCAGACTGAACGGATGTGCATATATAGGGACAAATCACCTGCTGCACAAGTACATCCACAACTGCGGACTCGACGGATATCAGTGCTTCCCGTAACCGCTCCAGGATATTTCAAGCTTGCGAGGGAGCGGTGCCACGGTGTCACTGTATAAGGTAAGTGTGGAAGAACCGCCTTACCGGAATCCTATCCCATTATACATCATTTTCCCAGACTGTCTCGTTCTTAAGTCCTACTTTCACTTTGGCTCCTCAACTGCAAAGCCATGTTCAGCACTTGGTGTGAGTCCGAGAGATCGTTCGAAGTCCGTGTCATTGATCTTCCACGTAGACCAAAGCCACATCCAACGAACTTTGGCCCGACAAGATCAGAATCCACCTCTGCGACCAGCACGGGGTCCATCTACGCAACCTACCATGGCAGGGACTCAAGGTATTCCCCTTTATCCTCCTCTACAAGCGGTGGCGTTGAATCGGACCTGCGCTAGGGAACAAAGATGGCGACATCAAGACCAAGTACGAGTCGGTATTTGGACCTAATATAGGATCAGTCAACAACGGTCCCGCTTGGACTCAAATCAAGGAGAAGAAAGTACTAGTAGACGAGCTGACAGCTGACGTGGTCCAAGGATGGATAGAGAAGAGTAAAGATGTGCGTATGTCATGACTCCCGCTGTGTAACATGTACTAACCGCTCCCAGACAACCCAACCGACTACCACCCTCCAAGCACTTGTCAATCTTAAGCGACCGACTCTTCGACTTTCCCCCTTAGCACCGTCGAACGAAGCTACTGACGACAGTGGGGACATTAATCATCACCACCACCATCATGGTCTTGAGTTTGAATTCGACTGCGATGCCCCAAAGTGTGGTATCTATGTGCATGTTCACCTCCTGCCCGAACATCCTGAGGCTACCGGTCCCTCTTCAACTCCGACCAAAATCCTTGTCTACGAAAGTATCGTAGAAGGCGGGTTTGGGAAGGCCCTCAAGATTTCTGATGGGGCCATTTTAGAACTCGGGAGGTACGATGTTGAGCAGGTTCAGGCTGAATCAAAGTTGGCAGAACAATCGGACACCGATGCCGCGGACAATACAATACCTGCAGAAGGCGCTGTAGCAGCTACTTCCGAAAGCAACGCAAACTCTCGCCATGCTCGCCGGCGTTTCACCAACTTTCACTTCCGCCGCCGCACCCATGTTCAGAATCGTAGTGTTGCGGGTCCGGCGCTCGCCGTATTGGATGCGGAACCTGCTGGTTCACCAGGGTCTAATACCGCTGCTGAGGACGGGGAGAAGGACAAGAAGGACAAGGAACAAGATAAGCAAGGTGCCCGTGTAACCATTAGATTGGCTGCGTTGGACGAACAAGGAGCCGAGCTTAGCTCTCCTAATGAACAAGTCACATACCTCCATATTTTTAGGTTCGGGGTCAATCCAGCCCTTGCTGACGGTGCGGATGCGGTAGAAGACACGCGGCCATGGGTCGTTAAGGTCGTTAAACGAGAAGCGACGGTGAGCGCGATGTCTGCACGCAGTACAGCGTGAGGTACTAATTGACATAGATTGGTCCTCATACATTTCAACTCCACGAAATATTCGGTCTATCGTCTTCGTCGAAGGCCTCTCACACCCCCGCTCCCACTGCCCCACTTCCAACTGCTTCTCCCGTATCCCACACGTACCCACCAACTACCACTCCCTCCGCCACCACTCCTCCCGTTGATGGGCACGATGAAGAGGATCCATCTTCCGAGTGTTTAGTCTGTCTGTCTTCTCCACGGGAAGTCGTTCTCCTTCCTTGTCGACACCTTGTCGCGTGTAAAGATTGTGCCGTAAACATGGTCGAGTTTGGTGCCGGTGGAAATATCACTCAGACGGAGGAACCGGCAGCTGCTACCAATGGAACAGAGGCAAATGATGACGGTAATAATCAAACCGGCGAGACGGCCGAAGTGGCTGGCGCCCATGTTCCTCCTACACTTATGACACCACCTCCGCCCGTCACTGCCCGTCGCAAGCGCAAGCCAAAAGGGTGGTTTTGTCCGGTGTGCCGACAACGTAAGTTTTGGTCGTATTCTTCCGTTGTTGCTGAACTCAAGTCCATCGTGACATAGCGTATACATCACTACTTAGGCTAACGACCTCTCCTTTGCCTCCTCGGCTTCCGAGCACCGAGGAAGGGGAGAATTCGACAAGCACTCAGCCGGCAACTGCCCCAGGAGAGACACCTCCTACTCGCCCTGGCTTCTCGTTCCGACCATCTTTCTTGAGGACCTTCCCAAGATCGCCACCGATGGGAGACGTAGAAAACCAGATTGGGCCTGTGCGAGCATGAGTGAGATCGTAGTGCCACTGCTGCATATGTTACGACATCGGGGGATGCTGGAGCTCTCGTATGGACATATTGGTCTGAGCCTCCGGTTTTTCTCCTTGGAATCGTGGATAGTATTTATTATAATTTGTTCGCTGATTCGCTGCCAGACGCGCGTACGTTTTGTGTATTTCCTATCTCCTTTCTGTAAAAATAGTTGGGTCTATCTCGTCGCTTTCTTGCTTTTACGACTCATTGTCATGTACTTCCCCGTTAATTCCTGTCCGAGCCTTGGTCAACGGCTAGGCCCCGACATCATCATGCCACACCTAACTAACTATCACCTACGTTTGTCGTCGTCGGGTTGTTCATATGGATATCACACAATTTTTTTTGCCCGTCTGCAACGCGTAGCACAAAGCCACAAACAACTGGTTGTAGTCCTAAACACAACTGCTGTTGAGAGTTTCGGTAGATAAATAGTACCAATAAATCTATGCGAACGACGACGACAGATACGACGACAGATTCCACAAGCCCAACATCCAACATCAAATGAAGTAGAATGAATTGCCGTACTACACAACCTGTACTAATATTAGTACGAAGAGGGATGTTTCAACAACGACTGTCAGTGGTATCTGTTAGACATTTTATCGCGCAAGTAGACAAGAAGCTGAACTCACGCCGCCGTCAATGAGCACTGTTTCTCCGTTGACATAATGATTGGCTACGAGGAACAAAACAAGCGTCCCCATATCCACTCTGGAACCTAGAGACCCGGCGGGTGTTTCAAGAGGCCATGGCGTATCGGGTGGGATGTGAGATATTCCCAGGTCGTCCGCCTTGTCCCGACTAACCATCTGGCGAGCCCCAGTGAGTAGGATCCAGTGTCAAAGAGAGGCTCGTCCTTACCTCAGTTGGGAAAAGACCTGCCAAGAATAGAGTCAGGCGTTCATGCACACCAGTTATTACATGGGCGTGGGGAGTTACATACCTGGCGCAATACCATTGACGCGTACCCCAAGAGGCAAAAGCTCGTGAGCCAGCGATGAAGTAAAGTGACCGATCGCACTCTTCGAAAAGAGGTACGGGAACGAGAAAGCAGCGGTGGCAGAATCCTGAAACAAAGCCACAATTTATATCAGTCGATCTGCAGTCCCTGTATGCCGTCAAAGCACCCAATTAATGAAGACCGTTTACCTTTGACCAACCGTTCATACTGCTAGTCATTACAATTTGAGGAACGAACTTTCTTGCAGCAGGGATATCCGCATGTTTCCACTTTTCTAGGAGAGGGAGGAAGGCCAGGCTCATCCAATAAGGGCCAACAGCGTTTGTGCGTAATGTGTTATCGAACGACTCGGGATCAACAGCGTCGAATAGGTTGGCGACAAAGGTGGAGGCGGTGGGCTCGGTGGGTCGCACGAAGCTCCCCTGGCCACCTACTCCTGCATTGTTGAATAGTATAGTCACGTATGGTTCTCGTTTACCAATTTCGAGGCTAAGGCGTGTGGCCTCAGACTGAACGTCAAAAGCACTTGATTAGTACTGATATTCCGAGGACCACGGACGCAGACAACCTTCAGTCGGATGTCACCTTGCAAGCCATACATCTTTCCTCTTCCAGGGTGGTTGTCGCACGCTGCATTGTAAATATCTGTTACTCTAATCAACAGGGTCAGCGTAACGCCCATCCAAAAACGGTACTTAGAACATACTTATCGAGATCATTTTGATTCGGACCAATAATATATACTGTCGCGCCGTTTGCAACCAAAGTGGAGCTGATCATCATTCCAATTCCCTACGCGACGTGTGAGCAAGAGTCCTAAAGCCAATAATCTAAATCAGAAACAGAAGCCTGATGAACCCACAGTTCCGCCGCCGGTCACCACGGCCACCACACCGCGCAGATCGAAGAGGCTCCTAGCATTTAGTTCGTGCAAGATGTTGTCGGCCATCGCGCTTGATGAAAATGGAAAGATGGAAACGATATAGATGGATGGTTCGGGAAATACATTTATATAGAGCAAGGCGAAACCTCGCGTGCACCCAGAGTCTTGTTTCATGACGATGATGGGGCGCCAGGATCAAAAGACGGATAAGTTCTTGGGGATTGGTGGTCGTAGTCAGCAAGGGACCATGGGGAAAGGTGTACTTCGGGGAGTAGGACCTGCCCGAGATCTGAAACGGAGCCCGCACCCAAGCCAACTCATGATTCAGCGACGAAGCAATTTTAGAGGAGTACATAAAGTACACTGTTTATCCTAGTATGAAGAAGAATGCTTGAGAAGGGTCTAGAGATGTCAGTCAGGTTGCAAATAAGAATGACAGGCCACAATGAACTTACTCCTCCATCAATGAGCACAGTCTCACCGTTGACAAAATGATTTGCCACCAAAAAGAGGGCGAGCGTGCCGATGTCTACCCTCGTACCACCCGTGGATCCAGCAGGTATCTCAAACCCCCACCGAGTGCCAGAAGGAATGTACGAAACTCCGCAGTCGTCTGACTTCTTCTTGATGGACATCTAATGGAGTTTGTTGAGTAAGCTAGGGCGGCTCCGCGTCGAAGAAGCAGATAACTTATACCTCGGACGGAAAGAGGCCTATAACGAGTATTGGGATTGCCATGAGATCCAGTTGATCTAGCATGTGCAGTATTGGCACATACCTGGAGCTATCCCATTAACTCGTATTCCGAGAGGGAGGAGTTCGTGCGCCAGAGTAGATGTGAAATGCCCAATAGCACTCTTGGAGAACAGATAAGGGTAAGAAACACCTGACGTCGCCGAGTCCTGTTGCAAGAAGTGAGTTCATGCACAAGAACTACCTCGAAACATGGAACACCTTTGTCCAACCATTCATACTGCTAGTCATAATGATCTGAGGCACAAACTTTCTCGCTACCGCGTCATCGGAGACCTTCCACTTCTCTAAGAGAGGCAGGAAAGCGAGACTCATCCAATATGCACCCACTGCGTTCACACGCAGTGTATCGTCGAAGATATCTTGGGTCACCGGATCGAAGAACTCAGCAACAAACGCTGCAGCCGTGGCTTCGGAAGGCCTCTTGAAATTGCCACCGCCTACACCGGCATTGTTGAAAAGCACGGTGACATACTCCTCACGCTTGGCAATTTCGTCTGCAAGACGCTTAGCTTCTGTCTACACGGTCGTCAGCTATGACTACCTGCCTGCCGACATAAAAGCGCAGCAGTGCACTTGCCTTCAGACGAACATCACCTTCGATTCCATGAATTTTCCCTCGCGTAGACGCCCGGTTGTACGTATTGGCAACCCTGTTTTTCGTTACAGCCATTGGCGCTTACATTCGGAGAATACGAGTACCTGTCAAGATCTTCTTGCTTTGGACCGATGATGTACACCGTTGCACCGTTCGCAACAAGTGTAGAACTGATCATCATCCCAATCCCCTGCAAGCATTCATTATCTGCCTACTTGATGAAGTTGCAAGTACTTACTGTACCGCCTCCCGTCACCACTGCCACTACCCCCTGAAGATCGAACAGCTTTGACGCATTGAGTTCCTTCAAGATGGTATCCGCCATGGTGATTTTGCCGACAGTGTGATATCAAAGATATTTAAAACCAAGGGTGATATGAGTAATCGATACGGAGGGAATGTGGGACCACCAGTACGGCGTGTTCCCAGCTGTGAGAGATGCCCTTGTTGGCGGATTAGCTAAGGCACAAAGAAGCTCGAAGCTCAGTAATTAAACCAGAGCCAGATTCAAGGTTGCGGGACCCGGGGCACGGGCTTCGTAAATTCAAAGATCCCCGCAAGATTATCTGGACGATCTCAAGCGCGGGCCTGGTGACTTGCATTCGGAAGGCCCGGCCCTGGCAAATGTTACTATGCATTAAGCGGGTGTCCATAGATCCAAAGACGATTATGCACTGACCCAATGTATATACACCCTGCCTTCAACAATGAATGGTGCTGCATTCCACCGTAAAGATTATGGGATTCAGCGCCCAACCAACTTCGCGCGAGGCTTTGCTGAAGTCACCACTGCTATGATAGAAGCGCATATATGCACGGCATAGTTCTCAGCGCCAAACCTCGCCTGAAGGGAAAGGAAGTATGTCTTCTGGACACCAATGCATCGCGCCCTTCGCCGTGACTAGCGTTGCACTACGGTGGTAGCGACACGATTGAGACAGTCACAGGTCGCTCTATACACGACACGACACGATTGCTGCCTCAAATGTGACAAACGCGTCGACGAGGGCCATATTTGTCGTTTGGATAGATCACTATCGAGTTCGTCGACACTGAGTCATTAGAGGCACACGTATGCCTCCCCAGATCGCATCCTCTGGATTGAAATCCACCAATCGTGCCAAACGGCATCTACGCCCTCTCATGAGAATACGATATAGGAAGAAACCCCAAGCGACTCACCAGGCTACGAGAGCAGTAACATCGTTGTCCTTGACACAGCCTAGGGTCGACTTCGAAGAGATGGCGCCGAATCCACGTTCTGTCCAGTAGTCTCCCCTGCGACACGCATCTGACTTGGTTTCGCAGGTCGGATGCAATTCAGACTCGCGGAGAAGAAAGAGCAAGTTTGCAGGAGAGTCACACCTTGTCACACACTATTAGAGTCGTCACATCAGTGCCGGGGTCCGACTACTTCAATCATGTCTTCATCGTCGCGAACTCTGCCCACCAACTGCCCACGATCCTACATGAAAAAGTAACCAATGTTTGGGCCACGCTTCATTTTGCGCACGACCTCTGTTCCCCGTACGGGAAGCATTGACTACATGTATGCCGGTTTAAAAGGCGCAGATGGTGAGTGGGGTAGGCTCGCTCGATATTCACAAATTGACAGCTTCCAGGCGCAAAGGACATCATCGCCGCTATCCTAGATCGTCGCAATAATGATATCTCTCAACTCATCCTAAGCCATAACAGCCTGGCAGATGATGGATGTACACTCTTGTTTGAATTCTTGGCCTCGGATGCTGGTCGTAAATACCGCATACAGAAGATCAGCCTGAATTCGAACGGGATTAGAGACCGCGGGCTCGCTTCAATTGTCACTTTCTTGAAAGGAGACACTAGCCTGAAGGAGTTGTTCGTGCAAAATGTGAGCGACCGACTGGCATATCAAGAATGTGACTAATTATCCTCTTATAGAACGAATTTGCTTGCACGGATCCGTCCCTCGCAAAGTCTTTCGCGGAGGCAACGAACCTTTCATGTCTAGAAGTCTTGACCCTTTCCACTAATCGCCATTTGGGCGACCAATTCATAACCGACTACGCTCCATTCCTGGATTCCCCTTCGTTGAGGGAGCTCCATTGCTCCGCTATGGGAATCACCCATCGATCTGTTCCCATTCTTGTAGAATATTTCTCTTCTCCCTGCTGCCGTCTCGAAACCGTCAAACTCAACGGTAATTCCCTCGGGTTTCGTGGTGTACGCTCGGTGATTCGAGCGATCGAGCAGCATAATTATACTCTCACATCGGTAGAGATGTGGTCGAATAATGGGCCTGGAAGCGAAGTGGATAATAATGTTACGCAAGATGAAGACGACGATTTCCCGACCCACGGTACTTGGCAAGAAAATAACGCGGCATTAATTCCGATTATGCAGCGCAATGATCATTTAGGGAAGGCAACGCGCAAGGAAGCACTGGAATTGCTACGCCTCGCACGAACCCTTCTTCTGCCTTCTCATCGCATCGATCCATCGCTCGCAGTATTTCCCTTCACACAGCTTCCCACGGAGCTGCAAATATATGTGCTCGCCTTCTTGTCGCCTACTCTGTCCTCCTCTCAGCGCCATCGGATCTGCGCGTATGCATCTTCCTTTGCGACATTACCCCGTCGTTATGAACTGCCTGGAAATCCGTCTACATCTTCGTCTCACACTAATGCAGCATCAACCGCCGCGAAGGGGAAGTTGAAATTATTAAACTCTCTGGGGTGTTACTTTTATGAGCGAGAAGTATCGTAAATGTCTCCGCCATGATGATCGCCGTGAAGTGTAGCTACGGATCCACGCACGTCACCCGTCTCCATGTATCATAGGTGAGACTTTCTGTCCTCATAATTCCAACTATAAGTCTTCGAACTGTAGCTGATCGACGTATTACTTCCCGGAATGGGAGTAGTAATCACCATGTGATGTAATACATCAATGACAGCTGGTCCTTTCACGTTATACCGTATGGACTAGGATCTGACATCCAGCAGGTCATGGACATGTGAGTCCCTCCACCGCTTAACCGACTCTTTTGATGTCGCTGGGAAATTAGCGCGGGCCGTACCTTCAACAAACATTCGCCGCTCTCCCCGCCGCTCCGACGGTTCTGACAGTGCTTCGCTTCCCGCCGGGTCTCATGAGCTGCACCGTCTGTTATTCTATTGAACCGGATACTCGGTTGTGCTTCGGCGTCGTTTTGCCTATCGAGTCATCCTTGCTTTCACCAGTGATCTGCATTCCAATGGTCGTGTCGGCTCCTAGTGCGATATCAGCTAGTTTTATCCCACAATGGATCGCCGAAGTCTTAAGTTATGGGAGCAAGGCGCCAACATTGAGTCCTAGCGGACCGTGTAACTATGCCTTGCACACCCCATACTTGTCCAATATATATCCGATGGAGCCCCGGGACGAGGGCATAAATACGGGCTGTGTAGTGCGTTTCCGGTTTCAATCCCCGTTCAATGTATTCACCATTGCGATTCGTCCTCTCCCTAGTTTCTCTAGCCTCGTTATGCGCGGCGCTGACGTGGCGTGGGGCGGACTTTTCTTCCTTGGCAAATCTGGAAGGAGGCGGTCTTCGCTACAAGGATGGGGGTAGCACCGTGCCCTTTGAAACTATCCTAAGGAACCACGGTGCCAACATTGCTCGCATCCGCATATGGACAAGCACCAGCAATTCCCAGTACAGCCTGAACTATGGACTGGCGCTTGCGAAGAGAGCCCAAGCTGCTGGGTTGTCTATTTATGTCGATCTACATTACAGCGATACCTGTGAGTTTCCCGTCCCGAATCATTCCAGGGGATAGGCCCTCGATTCAAGACTGAACTGACTTGCATTTCGTAGGGGCTGATCCCGGACATCAATCAATTCCGAGTTCATGGCCAAAGGTAAGAGTGTGCCAATGATAATCATAAACACAACTCAAATTCCACTGTTAGGACCTTGCGGGCCTCAATACTCAAATTTGGACGTACGTGCATACTCTGAACGCCCTGTCGCGTTATACTGAGATCGACTCCCAAGGTATACCCGAGATGTTGTGAATGCCTTCACCAACCAAGGGACCCCAATCACCATGATCCAGGTGAGCCCATACGTCCTCCCTGTCCCACGAACAACCGTAACGTCACCTCGATAGATCGGAAATGAGATCAACGACGGAATGCTATGGCCTGTGGGACGAATCTCGACCAGCGGCTTCTCCCCTCTCTCGCAGCTCCTCCATTCAGCAGCCAATGGTGTCCGAGCGGCTTCCAGTTCTGTGCGGATCATGGTACATCTCGCTGATGGGTGGGATACGGGCACGATAAACTGGTTCTACGGCGGGATCTTCCTCCAGGGTCAATTTGCGCGCGAAGATGTCGATATCTTGGGATTCTCCTTCTACCCGTTCTACAATACTAGGGCCACATACGCAAACCTTGCAAATGGGCTACAAGCTGCGGTGTCTTTAGTTGGGAAGGTGAGCTCCAATTGATTGAGCGTAGCGAAGGCCTCGCGCTCAATTTGCTGTAGGATGTCATGGTTGTGGAGACAGACTGGCCGGCGACTTCGACGTGCAGCGCTACGATGAGTGAATCCTCCATCGCCAGGAGTGTATCAGGCCAGCAGACATGGGTCAACGGCATCCGCAATGTTCTGCAAAACGTTCCCAGCGGTCGGGGCATCGGTATCGTCTACTGGGAGCCCGGTTGGGTTGGAAACGCCAACTTGGGCTCGGGTTGTGCGGTAAAGATGTTCCCGCTGTTCATAAACCACAGATTCTGACGCTTCGGTTGTTGATACAGGACAACCTACTTGTGGACGGGTCGGGTAACACCAGGAGCTCAATAGCCATGTTCTCTGCCAACATGTAGATTGTACCGTCGATAAACATTGGAATAATGGGTCTGCGTATTGACGTGTTATCGTCTTGAGTCGCAGACGACATCAGCGAGTCAGTGACCCTCTTTCTCCACACTGCCCGGCAAGGGTGTCGAAAAACTAAACGATAACAATCATGGCTGCGGTGGAGGTCGATGCTCTGGTTCATGAATGGCAAAAAGAAAACAAAGGTGACGTGTATTCAGTTAGTACCTTTGTTATTTACTTTCGGTGCTGGCTGAAACTGGATGTTGACGGCAACATCATGTCACCCTTCGTCTTGACAAGCGTATTTTGTCGAGGCGCTTGTTCTCAGGGTTATTCCCATCCATTGTACGCTGAAGTAAGTACTTTCGAAGCACTCTCCAACCCTGATGCAAGTCGTATCCAGAGCACAGGGACGCGAACGTTAGAAAGGGACTCGTTCATTCTCCCCAACGACGTACAATGTGTCACGACAAGCCACAACCACGTCTCTACGCTCGACTCATTCATCATTGAAATTAGAACTCACACAGACTATGAGGGGATCGTGTATCGCTCATCGTTTGGTTTGTTTCAATGGCTTTCAACCCCTTGTGTCAAGCTCCAAGAGCACCAATAATCGACGTCAGGGCTCCTGTCAGCCTCCTATCTTGCCAGACGATATACATTGGCCTTTCATTGCAGTTATCTCCCAATTTATTCCCCATTATCATGGCATCAGGAGCAGCACAATACAGCCGAAACTGGGTGGGTATTACCTCTCCCCCCCTCACCCTGCTCTGCGAGTTGGACTTCTCATTGATGATTGATCTTAGGCAATTGCTTGCGTTGGAGCAATAAGTCTCGCCGCTGGAGGCATGTACGCCGCCGGCAGGGACACGAGAGCGAAGGAGGGCAATCACAAGTATGGTGAGCATCGATGGCCATTACGCGAGCTTCTGGACTAATTGATTTTTAGCACGCCCTGGCGACACGCCATTGAATTCGTCGGAAGTAGCAGCAGCAGTCAAAATACCGCGGCCTGGAGACGATAGGTCAAATTGAATAAATACCGAAGACATGGAATATGTATTTGTAGCACCGCAATCACAACCATCCTGACTGAATATGTCTGGCCATGAGCTGTGGTGCTGAGGATATTTCTGCGCGATAGAGTTTACAGGAACATTGCAAGCCCGCTCCTAGAGATGTCTGGAAACACCTGTTCAAACATTCTAAATACGTCTGTCCAATACAAAGCGACTGAGACCGCAAAGAGGGATAGAGCGAAGATGATAGGGCCGTTTGATGGAGCAGTGGGGCCAAGCCACAACCACATACCACACACCGCCCTCACAACTCCCATGTCCTTAGATATAGTAGTCGTCGCCCGCTGTTTTGCCAGCTCGCGTAGGACCAACGTATACCACGCAATGCCTGCACCGGCACCCACTAGCTTGATTTGTCTGACCTGCTTCCACAGCCACGAAAAGGCAGGGTCCAGCGCTGTGGGGTCGGCGCTTTCAATGGACGGTCGACTACTGAATTGTGAGTTCGGCGAGTGCACGTTTCGGCGAAGGGTAAGCGGGAGGTCGGGACATATGATTGAGAATCTTCCGATCCCGAGGAGGTCAGCGTGCTTAGAGTCCAACGCCGTGCCGAGTTGCGCAGGGCTGGAGAAACCGCCAGTTAGGAGGATCAAGGGCGGGTTTGCGACGGTTGATGCGACGGCCAACAATGCTTCGCGCGAAAAGCGGGTGAATAGAGCCTGCCTTGGAGACGTGGAGGTGGAGGTAAATTCTACGGAATGATTTTAGTTGGCGATGCGAAGCAAGATGGTACAGAGCGGTTGACCTGGATTTTCGTAGTCACCTCCACTAATCTCTATGAAGTCAACTAGCCGCGAGGCAGCTAGCTCACGAACATGCTCAAGGGCACGATCTTCGCTTCCACTTGTCGCGTAATCGGCTGCATTGAGCTTTATGCCAACGATAAATCGAGGAGGAGCCTCTTCGCGTATCTTTGACAAAATGCGATGAACTATACGGAGCCCATTCTCAGCCGAATATTCATCGCTACGTAGATTCGTCTGCACGGTGATCAGTGTCGAGACATTCATCGTAAAGGGTGAGAACCACCTTCAGAGACAAGAACTGGGCGAGGAGATCTAAATGGTATGTCTATCAAGTACAAGCGAGATTTCTTCCTCACTCACATCCATGCGCTGCGTGTAACTCAATGCCATCGAACCCAGACTGCGCAGCTACGCGCGCACCACGGGAGAATGCCTCTACGACGTCGTCTATTTCCATCACAGACAAGGGATCCGGTATTTGGAAGCATAGCCAATGGAATACGTCCGCAAGGAATCCCGACGAAGACGCACTACCGACACGGACCGGACTCGGCGCACGCGGCGGAGCAAAAGGCCATCGGCCGCCAATTATGTTCGCTGACTGGCGCCCTGAGTGGGACAGTTGCATTATCGCCAGGCTTTGTTCCGACCCGTGCATGGCATCTGCGAGCTGAATGAAGGGCTTCAAAGTCGCGTCGGTGATCTCTCGCGGAATGACTACGTCTCGGCCAAGAGTCAAGTGCTCCCCCGAGACCTGGAAATTCCCCGTCATGACCATGCCCCAACCAGCGCGTGCCCACTGGCTATATAATGAGAAGTGATACGAGTTTGGCGGGCCACCCCATAGAGCAGCGAGGTGTTCATACATCGCGACCTGCGCACGAGAAGAAATCAGCAGCAACCCAAGCAGCTAATAACGGACCAGCACCTTGACCAACCGGTTGGGTACGGCTTTGCTACATGGCAACATTATGGGTGAGAATACTGAAGGTCTTCCATCGCAGGACATGCTCTAATGCTGGGAGGAAACGTCAAAACAAAAGCCTCATCGCCTACTCGTACTTCAAGTTTTCTTCAACTTGAGAATGCAGCTGCGAAGACCTCAGACTACCGTGTGAGAAATTTACGTAATAGTAAGGGGTGACTCCTATGGATTACAGGGTAAATACGGCCCAAAAGGGGGAGCAAGCTAGACATTGGAGGGAGGGTATTTACACTGGATGAACTCGCAAGCCATAGGATGAGTGGCTACGCGATAAGCATAGCAAGACAGGCACTAACGTAATGGTCAGCATGGGGAGAAGTGGTTAGCGTAGGGACATACAAGGTCAAGTCCGGGGACGTGTTGGCAGCCAATGCAATGCATCCATTGATCCTCGACAGAAATCCACCGACGGCACTGACTGCACATGGGGGTGTACGGCGTCAACTGGTGGGGTCCGTGACGAATGTAGATGTTGAATATTTGCTGTTTACTGAGTGGACCTTGCAAGCAATACTCGCACTGATGGCGTTGTATTGTGAGCGCGCTGAATATGGTAATCAATCGATGGTACTCACAATAATCAGAGGCTCGCCTCGGAAGATGCCTTCGATGACCTCGTTCCCTACTTCCTCCATACAGAACGCACATGTGAAGGATCCCTCTCCGCCTTCTGCCACAAAGGGGGGAGCATCGATAAAGGGAGGAACATCTGGTAAATTAGATTTGGGAGTTTGTTCAGCGCGAGGTGGCTGGGGCGGTTGCAAGAGTTCACAGCGTTGGATTGTATCAGAAAGCGAGAGTACATCAGCTTCTGTGCCCCCAACAGCAGGTTGTGGTATAGGCATAGAGGAGAATAACCCTTTGACAGTTGGAAGCGGCTCGTCTCCGGGCAGCGGCGGGGTAGGGGGCAACGCTTTAGCCACTTTGACCAGAGTTGGGCTGCATGCCTTGTAGATATTCAATGGCCAGTCACCGACCCTGGTCGTTCCATCTCCGACAGCCTGTTCCAGCTCTCTGCAACGCTCAAGGAGAAAGTTTGGGAGCTAAGGTAGAGTAAGGTAAAGCGGTGGATGAAAGAACTAAAAGGCTTACGTTGGGCGTGGACAACACGGTTTGGAGTGATATCAAAATATCATCTACTCGCACCAATATGCTCATAGCCTCCACCCAATAGATGAGAGTGGCCTGTGAGAACAGGCGGAGTCGCTCGAGCACCTCCTTGGTGATCCCACCGTTCGCCAGATGGTAGTGCCAAGAACGACAGGCATACTCCAGTCCGCCGTCGATATTCTGCGCCCTTTTCTTCGCGATCATCCGCTTGACATAGTTATTGAGATCGCCAGAAGGCGGGAGGTCACAGATATTGCGTCTGAGCCCAGCAATCATCGGATCCAAGCATTTGCATAGCAGATACGAGTGGTGGGCTTTGACGTTGATGGCGAAGCGGCCTGAGCGAGAGGGGGCGGTGATGTACTCTATAAAGGAGTTGTGGAGGGGCGTCACACAACCGGCCTTGTCGTTTGGGGAGCTCGGCACCTGGAAGATCGCACGCAAGTCTTGTAGGCATCGCCACGACTCGCCTGGTTTGATACTCAGTATGCGATCCAAGGTTGGAAGGGAAAGTGGGTACGACGCAAGGCATATAGTCCCGATGACTCTTCGGGTCAAGCCCTGATATGTCTCCTTCGGAATTGACGTCAAAATATGGCCATAAAGCGTGTACAAGCGACCATAAGCGCCGCCAGCTTGATTCTGTTGCGTCCCCAGCAAGGCTCGTAGCTGAGTTTGACAATCCTGCGATTTTGAGTTAGCGATGAACCCGACTGCCGTGGCAGCGTATAGGAATATCCCCCCTGCGAGGTCCACCATCCGCGCAAGGTCGTCCTCGCTGAACCACCGGTCCTTCAACCCCCGTGCCTCCCCAATCCTCAGAAAATTCGCTAGGTAGAAGAGCCGAATGTCATTCTTGGCGTCGTAAGCGAGCAGATCGACGGCGTTGACATGCGCGGCGTGCTTCTGCAGGAGGCTGACGATGGGAGGGGTCAATTTGCTGGTGACGAAGAAGCGAAGCGGGGAGCTCGTCGCGGCCTTGAACAGGAGAGGGACGAGTTCGAGGACATCGTCTTCGCTGCACTGATCGAGCGAGTCGAGAATGATGATCTTTCGGAAGTTCTTCACGTTCGCCAGAGTATCAGTAATCAGCTTTTGTACCTGGTCCGCCATCCTTGTAGGAAGTCAATACAACGGAGTATCGCCGGATTCAAAGATGAGATATACTAACGATTGACGCGCTACATCGGGTTGTTTGTCCAACGCACACCGCGTGCGGTAATCCTGGTCTTTTGACTGTAAACAAAGTTGATAGGCGAGGGTAGTGACCACTTTGCCAGCGTTGTTCCGTTCATTGTCGCTCCCAGAGAAAAAGAAGCTGGCTCCGAGGATCCTGCGCTTTGCGCATTCCAGGGCGACGGACTGGGCAACGGTTGTCTTCCCCGTGCCGGTGGCACCATGCAGCCAATACACCGACTTAAAGTCCTCTATCGATGAACTCTCTGTTATCCAAGTGGTGATCTCTTTCAGCAGATCCGTGCGGGTGTTTGGTGCGCAAGAGGGCCTCGCGTACGAGTTGTACGCTGCGCCGAGGGCAGTATCGGGTGCGAGCATGTCGGCGGCTGAGCGGACGATGACCATGAGAACTGGATAGATGTAAATATCGATAGTCAAAGGTTGATGACCCACCTGATTCAACATTGAAGAACATATTATATAGCTTGTCATATCGACTTCTGGGGATGGTCAGCATGATGAAAGGATATAAACCGTACGCGTGTTTAGGGCTTCGCTGAGCGCCTTTGTCAGTGCCCTTCTCCATGCTGGAAGAGTATATCGAGTAATGATCCTAAGGGCATTGATTATCTGCGCGATTGAAGTAGCTTAACACGCGTCGGAAGTGCTTTGTGAGTCGTGACGCATGAGGGAAGTCATACCCAAGACCCAAGACCCACTCTCGACACTTATCAACAACACGCAAACGTGCTGGAAGTGCGTGTTTTCCGTGCGGAAAGAAGGTTCAAATCAATCAATTGATCTACACACCTTGCCCCCTAGTAATAAACGCTCAACGGTGTACAAGCTGCGAACGCCGTACAATTAAGCAGAAGGCCCACCCACACGTGCCATCTTCTTATCATGGCCTCTCTTCCGGTTGTGGTTCGCCTGGCTGGCCTTGTTCTTGTCTTTCCAAGCTCGTTCGCCGGTGTTACCTCCGCTCTCACCACCCCTGCCCTTGCCACCCCTGCCACCCCCTCTACCCCCGCGTCCACCGCGTCCGTCACCACGTCCGCCTCTACCCCTGTTACCCCCAGCATCCTCGCCTTGATGGCTATGAGACGCAGACGCGTTCGCGGTAGGCTTGTTTCCCGCGAACTCGTGTTTCTGAAGTATCTGCGCTTTCTTGGGCTGTATTTGCCCTCGTGAGTACATTGACATTTACATGGAACAACAACGGGAAACGTAACGGACATTCCGATCCAACATAACCCTCCAGCCTTCGATTTGATTGTCATCCCAACCTGCCGCATCATCCCGTTAGCATTGAAGACCGGATAAATGAGCACATATATTCCTGAATCCTTACCGGTTTGAGCTTTGAGCGCGGCCCGTTCTTTACTTCTACGCGTGCCGGAGTCGCGGTCGAACACCTTCGGATTGTCGATATACGCTAGCTCGAGGATGGTCTCAGGCGCACGGGGGACTCCATCCCCTTCGTCACCGTCAGATTCTTCGTCGTCGTTTTCGTCGTCGGTATCTGACTCGGCTTCGCCGTCAACGACGCCGTGCACAGTTTCGTCCAGCTCGTCTTCATACGCCAACGTAACCGCACGCATGGACGTTGATTTGCCCTTCCCTTTTGCATTCGCATTCGCTGCCAGAATCTCTTCTTCTTCTTCTTCTTCTTCCTCATCCTGTAAGGCGATGGCCTCCGCAAGCCGCAGTATATCAGCTTTCATCTTCTCGTCAAACGTGCGGTCGCGGACAAGGATGTCTTCGTCACTGCGGAAGTGGCTAATGAGTTAAGAGCGAGTCGAACAACAAGCGAGGGGTCCACTTACACTGTAGCCTTGCCTTTTCTGACAAGATTCAGGTCCATCTCGTCCTCATCAAAAACATTCGCTCGACTTCCTACTATTACATCGTAAGATTTAGCGTCCTCGGCGCGCATGGTCTCCTCAACATGCGGAACGATGTCCTCTTCTGCAGGGGCAGACTCATTTAACAGCGCGTCGATAACGCGCTCAACGTTCCCGGAAAATGGATATGAATCCGGTGCGAGGAGTAGGGCGCGGATGTACGATTCGGAGATGTGGGGGAGCATGTCGTGGATCTGCGAGATCTGGGAGAGCAAGATGGGATCGTCGGCGACGTCCTCCTGGGGCTCGGGCGCGGAAGGGGCTTTGCCTTTGCCTTTGCTAGCATTGGAACTGGAAATGGTAGTACTGAGGTGTTGAGCGTGCGGGGCTTGGGAGTAATTGGTGTTTATTCCAGATGATCGAAGTAATAACTTCAAAGCACCCCTATTGTCGGCCCCGTCCCTGCTAACGCCCGTGAGAGAGGATTCCAAAAGATCTAGCCGAGCATCATCTTCGGAGGCCCGCTGCAGAGCCGACCGCAACGTCTTCGAAAGATCGTAAGTGCGACTGTAGTCGTCCAGCAACGAGCTATTGACGAAGGGTGTAGATGAAGATGAGGGGCTAGGAGTCGACATATCCATATCCTTCAAGGAAAACACGATGTCGAACACCCGCTCGGATTGTCCAGCGAGCGCTCGACCTTGAGCATTCGCGATGTCGTCTACTAGGGCTTTCATGATAATGTGGAATGTGTCGATCAAATCCACCTTGGTCTCGAGCCATAGGCGCTCCCAGTCATCCAGTGCGCGTGTCTGCGTTTGTCCCTCAGGTGGGGATAGCTGTGCAGTGATGATCTGCTCGCCACCATATGATCGCGCGATATCAGAGAGTCCTGAGCCGTACGCACGAGCGAGGGCCAGTATGAACGGTTTGTTGTGGGCAAAACACCCCACGGCTTCGGGAGTGCATGAAGCGATGAAGGATTTGACTACATGAGCGACCTTCCGAATGGCATAGATCCCTTGCGTAGAAAACAGCCGTGTAAACGCAGGAACAAGCTCGTCGTTGACTTCAGACAATATCGAAGCGCGTGTCTTTGAGAAAATAGACTTCACCCGTGAGGCATGGTTTCTTGCGTAGACCACCGACAGATCAACAAGTGTTTGGAGATCGATTTCGACCAGCTTTTCTGCGAGGAGGAGAATATTCCGGTGTATCGACTTTTCGACTGCTGATGTACTTGGGGGTTTCGGAGTGCCCCATACGAGATCGTGCAAAGCCTGCGTAGCCGCGTCCGATGCATAAGATTTGAGAAATGCGCGAGTCGCGGGTGTGTCCCTCGTCGCTGGAGGCAAGACGAGAGTCTGGCTGAGGGTGGAGGCGACGGCTCTGTTGAGCGCGCTGAGTTTAGACGCGGGCAAGGACTGCCTGGCGCGAGCAGACGGGTACGGTGAGAGCGGGAACACCGTTGGCACGGCCATGGTCGCAGTGGAGGAGGTGAATGAGCGCTTAGGTCGCCACAAACATGTACAACGCGAGACAATTAAACGCGTCGCGTCTCTGGACCACGCTTTCTCAGCCTCCTTCTCCTCTTCGACAATGTCCACAGATCACCATGCAATGCGCGTTAATTATCGGCATCTTGGCCAATATGTTGGAAAGAATGTCCGGGTATGGGGCAAACTTCTGAGGGTAAGGTTCTTCTAGATGGTCATGTATACCACTGATGCCATGCTCGCAGTTCGAGGGTAACGACTCTGCTATTGTCGAGGCAAGCGACGGTGGTAATATTACGGTGCAATGGGCTCCAGGAACTGTGAGTTCCCCCATGAGCTCCCCCGTGATTTTGTTGGGGCTGTAGACGATCAAAGAGCTGATCATGCCGCACCAGGCAACGACGATGACTGATACCTTCGTTGAAGTCATTGGGACCGTCAAAGATCACCAAACAATCAAACTCATGGCTTGCGTGAACATGGGATCCAAAGTTGGTGAGTGGTCGGACAAAAGGCTGGAACGGATATACTTATTCGTTATTCCGTAGACTTGAAGCTCGCCAACGACACAGTCGAATTAATGCATGATCCTCGGTTCTATCAAAGCATGTTTGCCCCTCTACCATAACCAATGTGATGACATTATCCATAACTTTGTATCTAGTATATCCTGTACCCACGCAACATCCTTACGAGAAAATAGCAGACAGCAAACCAGGAAACAGTCATATGCACAAATATGCTAACGAGTACACCGCGTGGATTCTGGACAAGGTTGTATTCGCTCACGAAATCTACCGTTTGCGACCGCGTCCCTTGCCAGCTTTCCCAGCCTTAGCCTTGGGAGCTGCAACCGGTGGTGGTGTTGGCGGTTTAACAGGCTCCTCGGTACCTGAATCCTCATTGTCGCGGTTCGGGAGTGCCCTCAGATATGCCCCGCCTCCTGGTGTTGCACCAAGAGGGGCGGGATAAGAGAATCCAGGCGGAGTGGGCGCGACGGCATAAGACTCAGCTCCGCCTGAGGAACCAGCACGTGTGTGTGAAGAACCAGCTTGTGGTTCGCTATCACCGGGGAAGTCTCCAGGAATAACTGGAATAACTGGAGCTTCCGTGGATAATGGGAGTACGGGTGCGTAAGGGCTTCGTGGTGTGGCTCGACCGTGACCCGAGGGACTTGAAGGCACCGGATGGAGAGGAGACGGTGCATTTGCTGGGGATGTGAACGCCATAGCCACAAATCCTGGAGGAAGACCATTAGCGGGTGCTGGTATGACGGGTGTTGATTGTGGATTCGGTTGGCTGGGTACCGTCGGTAAATTCGTATGGGCATGATTGGGGCTCAGCAAGCCGATGCCAGTGACAGAAGGAGGCCGACTCTGACCAGTGACAGAAGACGGGCGAGACTGGACAGAGAATCGATGAGACGAGGATAGACAGGAGTACAAGATGCTTACAGGAGGCTCAATGGTGATCCCTACTGTGCTTGAGCTCTCCGTAGAATAACGGCGACTGTCTACGGTGCTAGAAGAATTATGCGAAGGGAATCCGCTTCGTCGGGCGGATGAAGGACCTAAGAAATTGTCATGTTCAAGGTCAAAGGGGGGTGGTACGTGCCCGCTGGGATCGTTGTCGGGTATCACAACGATCTCAGGAGTCTAGATGATGTGAGTAAATAGATGCACAGCTAAAGGGATAGAGGTACTTACAGTCGGAGAGGCTGCGCGTGTGGTGAGCGTTGGGTTGGGTACAGGAAGAGCCCACTCAGGCGGGTCCCTGTCTGAATGGGGGAGCCAGTTCGATGAAATGGAAGACGGCGTCGGGACTGTTGGGATAGACGACCATGACTGCGCTGATTGCGCTGAAAAGGGTGGCGGGGGAAGGGAAGGGTCGAATGTCGAGTGAGGACTAGTGTTCACGTGGACATTGGGACTCTGGCTCGTTCGACTGCTTCCGGTGAGATGCTCTGGGATGGCGGTAAGCTCATTAACATAACGATCCCTATCCCTATCTCGCAAGCTGTCACGCCTATCACGCCGACTAATATTCGTATATTCCATAGCAGGGTTGGGGAAGTTCATTAATTCGAGCTGAGAGAATCCTGTAGCGGTTGAAGAAGGTGTTGGAGGCTCTGGTCGAGGCATCGATCCAGCGCTTGATAAACTAGTAGATCGAGTTCGCGGTGGCAAGTAATCTGTTGAACCAGTCGCAGGGCCGTATATCGCTGTTCGGTACAGGTTCGGTCTCGATTCACTGCGACTGGGTTGTCGGGGGGCGTAATCCGCTGGCATCATAGGTGCAGGCGGAGGCGCCACACCATACAAGTTTGGATGGGCAGAAGAACCTTGCCTAGAACTACTTCTGCTGGGTTGTCGGGCGACAGGGTCCGCCGGCATCATAGGCGGAGGTGGGGGTGCTACGCCGTACACACTTGGATGAGCAGGGCCTTGTCTAGAACTACTTCTACTAGGTTGTCGGGCGACGGGTTCCGATGGTGCCATGGGTGGAGGAGGCGGCGCTGTACCATACGTGCTCCCATAGATCCCTTGTACTGAACTGCTTCTGCCGTGGTATATAGGAGCGGCATGCATCGAGATCATGGGCGGTGGCACGGGTGCCGCTCCGTATGAATGATTCGAAGAGCTTGCCCTGGAACTGCTTCGGCTTGGTTGTCGAGGAACGGACTCTGAAGGAGCCATTGGCGGCGGAGGCGGCGCTGCGCCGAAAGAGGTGGAACGGACGGACGTTGGTCCAGATGATCCACTTCGAGTGCTAGATGATCGAATCAGAGAAGGCGGGGGTTCCGGCATGCGCAGGTAATGCGCTGGAGCAGCCGCCGTACTACTAGCCGCCGAACTTGGGCGTGTGCTGTGCTGGGCGTCAGATCGAACACGGGGACGTGAAGTCAGTGTAACAGTACTGGCCGCAGAGGCGGGTCGTGGTACAGGGGTATACGATGAGATAACACCTGGAGGGGGAGCGGGTGACATAGAACCTGCCGGGGGAGCGTGCTGGTCTGATATCATTCCTGGAGGTGGTACTGCACCAAAGGAAGATACGGAGCGAGGACGTTCTTGAGCAGCCGGTTGAGGCATGACGATGGCCTCTGGCATGTTCTCAAACGTCCCCGAAGGCGGTCTCGCGGCGGGCGTGGGCGTTACCTCAGGTCCAAGCTGAGAAGACGATACCGAGGGCTGAGTGGGGAATGAAGGCATCGCGTCCGGGTTCCCGCCAGGCGAATCGAGGAATACGTCTGAACTTCTTTCTTGCAGGGAGGAAAAGGCGGGTTGGCGGCGAAGGGATGAACGCGTACTTCGTGACGCGACGGACGACGGACGTTCTATCACAAACGAAGATCGCTCTGGCTGACGCATTACTTCGGGAACAGGCTGCGGCTCCGGAGTGGCGACCTCAGGAATGGGGGTCAATACCTCTGGTGTAGGCGAACGTGGGGGTGGCACGGGAATAGCTGTCTCGCTGGTTGGTGTTGTCTGAGGCTCGGGCTCGGGATCAACCCTTACATCTTCGATCATCCTTGAGCTTGTCCTTGACCGCCTGCGTCCCGACTCGATTCTCAACCTCTCTCTTTGTGCCCGAGCAACCTGACGCCCATGCTCGAACCCGTCATCAAAGCCGGACCGTCGCCCTTCCTCCCTAGCCATAAGAATTAGGTGTTCCTCGCGTATTTGTCTGGCCACGTCTCTTGCTTCAGCCGCCTGTCTCTCTGCCTCCTCCCGTTGCTGTTGCAAGAGTCGCATCGACTCATTTGCCCGCTGGATTTCCTTCGCTGCTTCCTCCAGCTGGAACTTGTAGGCATTTGCATTGCTTTGAGCGCGAGAGGCAACTTCCTGCGCGTCGTATACGCTTTGGACGACCTTGTTTGAGAACTCGGGTGAGATGTCGGACGCATATCTGGTTTGCGGACTCTCCGCCAGCCTACGAGTTGAGTCCTCGAGTTGGGCAAGAGTGAAGTCAAGCAGTTGATGTGTTTGCTTGGCAGCATACTCTTTGCTAATGAGGAGTGATAACAAGGCGGCCTTGGGTGTATTCGAATGTGCCCGCTCGCGTTCCTTTCGAAACCGTCGACTGGCCCTTTTCGGGTTCTCCAATACTGCATTGATGACTTTGTCCAATTTCAGGCTGAAATCGTGGGGTTTTCAGTTGTGCCGGGCGTAGTTCTATTGATACGCCTACTCACTTGTCTGCGTCCTCGATTATTGGGAATTGGTGGGACATTGAGGCATATTTCGGAGCTGTATTTGTTGTCGTCAGGGAATAAGTGCTAGACGCGACCAAGACAAATCCGGACAATGGTGGGACGCACGCACAACTTTCTTTCCTAAATGGCCACCTTGCCCCGCGCTAGTAAAATAACGTCTCCGGGTGGTAGTTTATTCGCTCGACGACAATCGGAATTTGATGCTGGCCTGAACACCTCAGCAGCTTGGACCGAACATCTCGAACGCGAGGGGTCGCTTTCCGACGAAGAGCTTGATTCAACGAATCAGGGAATAGGGGAGCTTCCTACTCGTCCGGCTCGAGCATTGTATGATTTTCTGGGGAAGCCAGAATTCAAGGAACTGACCGTCGACGCCGGCGATGAGATACATGTGCTTAAGGAAGATCTTCCCGATGGCTGGAGTCTGGTGAAAGCCGCAAACAGTGAGGTTGGCTTACTGCCGAGAGCTTATTACACAGTGCGTACATAAAATCGAGCAGGTGGTTACATGCAGTAGCTGGTTACCTTCAGTTCACAGCGGACTTTGTGCAAGAACCAGAAACCGCGCGCCGAGCAGCCTCGACCGACTCGACGGAGTCCACGACTCCCAGAGGGTCGCCAACATTGTCCAAGCTTGTTCCCCAGACCACTGGAGAATACTGGCGAAACGCATTCCCAAGCTTTCGGCAAAGTCTCCTCGGTGGCAAAAGTCTCAATAGATTCTCCAGCTTCGTGACCAGCGGTGCCGAGGAATGGGTACTGAAGGGCTCCGAGATCCCAGTGCTGCCGCCTACTCATTCGAAGGAAGATAGCACGGTCTCGCTAAGCGAGGATGATATGGACAACCGGCTCAGCCAGATAGGGAAAGGAGAAGCTGATCACCACTTCGTGGACGTTGGTCCTTCATGGAGAACTAAGCTGCCGCCATTCAAAGTACTCGTCCATTCACCTTCAAAGCGATCATCGACCTTGACAGGAGCATACACGATATATGGTGTTACGTCTCTATTCCAAGACTCCTCAGACGGTCCCACAATCCGGGTCACCGTTTATCGTCGATTCTCCCACTTCGTGATCCTGCATACTGCTCTCACGCGACGGCTGCCCGGAATAGCCCTGCCACCTCTCCCCGACAAGCAGTACACGGGTAGATTCAGCGATGAATTTGTCGAGGCTCGAAGAGGAGACTTGGAGCGATATATAGGTCGCGTAGTCCGCCACCCGATCGCCCGCTACGCTGAGATCGTGACTTTCTTCTTGGGATGCGAAAGTGATGCTGTAAGGATGCAGTGGGCTAGTGACTCGTCTCACTGATTGCTTTGGCTAGGAGTGGAAGCGGCTCATCCCCCAACATCTCTCTCTACCAGCTGCTGGTCCTTCATTTTACGCCCGTGTCTTCCATCCCGCTTTTAATCTCGATCTTGACGATGCAAACGACGTCGTAGAGCGCTTCGAGACCCATACAAAGGCTGTCGAGCAAGGTATCCAAACTCTGCGGAGCGTGTTTACTGGCGTTCGTGAAGCGCACGTAGGTATGTTATCGTCAAACTCGACCTAAGATAATGATTAATGAATGTAGAAATGTCGAAGTCGAATCGTCTTCTATCGTACTCACTCCTGTCTCTGATTACCTCGAAGCCCCTAGCAAGCCCCTCCACACCAGATATCTCTGAGTCAGATGGCACATCCGACCCTAAGACGAAAGGCCTGTCGAATGATGACGGCGCCTGGTGCTGGAGGGAAGAATGTGAAGGTAAATCTTCCTCTGTAGTTCCAGTATGTTTCCCGCTATACTTACCTGCCGGAAACGCAGAGTGCCTGAAATTGACGAAGGCCATGCAGAAAACGACGGACACGCTCCAGAACATAGCGGATCTGTACGACGACCATGTATTTCTTTTTCTTGCCCACCCTTTGATAGCGCTTCCTCAAAAGTCGCACCACAGGCTAGGCGAACGCAATTAGCAACCCACGAAGCCATGAAAGGCGTCGCCCATCCATCTTCTCTGTACGAGGTACGTAGGTCTTGCAGATCACTTCAACACGGCCCATTGGCATCACTTGTACTCAGAGCGTTATTACCACGCACCGCTCCACTCTTTCTCGTTTCAAGGACGCTACCCGCGACGGTTTGGTGTGTGATATCATCTTCTTTGTGTATTTATGTCTATTTAGTATGCGCAAACAGGAGGATGAGGACATGGCCTCTCGATGTGAAACCGTGCTGAATACGACGATGGCCGAAATGGACACGTATCACACCCAGAAAGTAGAGGACTTTAGTACGCTAACGAAGGAACATCTCGACGGGGAGATTGCCTTCCATGAACAGGTCAGTCGAGTAATTAAATCTACGTACTCTAGCTATAGTCGCTGATTCGCCACGAAGGTCCTCTCGCGCCTCAAGGCTGCACGTCAAGCGTTTGACGAACCCAATTACTCCCAGCTTGCAACATCGCCGAGAAACCCTTCCATATATGAACGTGATTTAGGGAATCCTCGCATACTTGTGGGAGCGAACTATAAGCCCCTTCCGCAGCCTTGCCCTCACGTCTTCGACTCGACGCCGATGCGTCCTGTCGGCGTGGCCATTCAAGAGGGCATGGGGATGTTGCTGGGTACAGGAACGTCTCCAGGGCAAGGGTCTCGGGGAAGTATATTCAGTAATTTATTCTGGTAAGGTGTTACGAACAGATATGATGTAATTATTTGAAGCGCACTTTGCTGATACTTCCTACAATTCCGTTGGTTCAACGGCGGCACCTGTTCCGTTGCGCAAACCTTCCACGCTCACCCCCTTTGTGTCCCAATGAGACAGTCTAAAGCATATGATAGCTTAAGGACAAACCAACCTATGCCCCGCATGTTCGTCCTGGTCCATAGCATGTCACGAGTGCAAATTCAGAGGAAAACCAAGGTCAACGCCCAAAGAGAGAGAGATCAGTTGGAGGGAGCGATTGGTACAGAGTTCGGACGACGCGCCATGCCTGCTGCCCTATAAATTTCGTCTACCCACTCCATCTGAATCGCCGGTTCGTCACTAGAAGGCCATGTTTGTGGTGAGCGACCTTGAACGCGATCAACGAAAGCTTCCAGCTGATAGCGATATCTAGGGGCTGTTCAGTATATGGCTACCCTCGACTAAGTCATGTTACGTTGTCCACCATTCCTCTCCACGGCCGTCTTTGAAGCGATATACACTCTCAGTTCGCTTCTTACCGATTTTGGGGCGGATAGTGATCGTATTGAAGATGTGTGGTAAGGGGAAGTTTGTCAATTCAACTGTCCCTTCCTCAAGTTCAACGACAACTGCTGTCTTTAGCGCCCTCGGAATCATGCCAAATGGACCCCAGCCAGGCATCGAGAAGTCGACGTAAAGGTCTCCACTGACCGAGGAAGGCAGGACGAGGTGCGCATTCATGGATTTGTCGATGTTCGGGGAATCGGCCGGATGTCCTACGGCGGTCGCCTCTCCACTGGATTATTGGAAGTGACGTAACGTATAGCAGAAAGAGAATACACTACTCTCGTTGCATCAGCATTGTCGTATGCTCAGCTGGGTAAATTCTCACCGCCCATATCCATCATTACCCCTCCTCCCAAGGAAAAGTCGAAGCGAACGTCGTCTTTGAGGAAGAATAAGCCAGATATGACACTTGGTACTGCGAATCCAGCTTTAACCCTCTTGATCGCCCCAAGCTCTCCGCCAGCAACGATTTCCTTGAAACGCTGCAAAGCGGGATGAAACCTAGAAGGGTGTAAACACTATCCTCTCGATAGAACACGCGAATTAACGCACGTATAATGGATGGCTTCAAGCAAGACCAGCCCCTTACTCTCTGCAAGAGAAATAAGCTCTCTACATTCTTCAGCAGTATTTGCCATGGGCTTTTCAACAAGGACATGTTTGCCGTGATTGAGCGCACGCAAAGCCCAGCTATGGTGTAGACCATTTGGTAACTTGAAACCGCATCCATCAATAGGACATTCAAGCTCAAGGACACTCAGGAATTAAGGATGATTCTTACCGCTATATATACGGCATCAACTTCAGAATCCTTGAGAAGGCCTTAGAATGGCGTGCACTTATCAGCAAGTGTGTATCAATCAATGAAATAAGTAAGGCTCACTTTCGTAGCGGTTTGTGCCATAAGTGCGAGCAATTCTGTGCTTCTTTGCATACGATTCAGCCTCTCTTATCAAAACATAGTATCTGGAGCTCGAGCACTCAAGGTCCGCGTTAGCCGTTTCCTGGCCGCATTGTCTTTCGTTGACTAGTCTGGTCGCAACCCCAATATGCGCCATATACAAATTATACCAGCCTATCGGAACTACTGGGCTTGCCGTTGCAGTGTTCACAAACGTATATGTATCGGGGGGGGGGGGGGTTGTGCTACTATCTGAGAGGGGAGAACCGGGTTCAAAAAGTGCGTTTGCTAAACACCTTGACCTTCCCCGGATGTGAATTGTTCCAGGTCGGACGATATCGTGACTAAACTTATAGCATTGATGATCACAACCGGTCTACTCTCAACGTCTGTTCCTTTATATCACAAGGTTTATGCAGACTGACGAGTTTATACCTCGGGACAGGTTGTTCGTGATCGCCAACCTTGTTGCGCTAGTTGTCGCTCCTGACAAGCTCTACGACCTATTTTTCAATTTCTTGCTCGGGAAATGTATGCAATACTTGATTTTGCTCCACCTTAGCCGACTCCGACTGACAATACCCCAGCGTACATCAACGCCCTCTTAACTACGTTAGTGTGATGATTGGTTGAGTTATCGTTATTGATAGTTCACTAGACTCAATGCACGCCAAGTGATTCAAAATAGTCAGACAACGACAAGCAACAATACTCTATCTACCTCGTTCCAAACCCTCAAGACTGGCAGATCTGCGAAAGTTGATGCGATAAACGTCGTTGTCGACGTCGAATCGTTCTCTAATATTAGTTCGGTAAGTTTCAACATTTATCCTGCAAACATCGGCTTTCATGAGGGTATTGCAGCCAAGCGAGCAGGGGAACGTAGGGATGCTGAAGCTGGGTGTCGCGAGGGAGGATAGCCGATGAACGTTACGCAGCAGAAGTCTCATAACTATCATGTGTCCATTTCTGGTACTTCTGTCAAGCAAGCGCTTATCGTAGGTCCTGTGTGTATAGTTCAATCTGAGTCTGAACTGTCTCTTCCAGGAAGTAAACACCCTGCCAGCAGTGATTCTGACATAAACGGGCCACTTGCCCTTAACCGCCCCCTAGCATAGGCTGAAGACAGTGATATACGCCTCCGCCTCCGCCTATTATTCCCAACCATGTGACAGAAAGTAGAATCGACCTCTAACGTCATCAATGGGAGGCGATCGACCACTATGCCGCTTGTTATATAAACCTCCTCTTCTGTCAACCACTGGAAAACCAAGCTCTCCCTCAAACTACATCCATCAAACAAACTATCACACAGACTATCCCATTTTTATCTCAACGATACTTAGCGAGATGCAGTTCAAAATCAACGCAGCTTCTCTGTCCGTTGCCCTGTGCTTGGCGGCTTCGCCCGTATACGCCCAAAGCTCAGTCTCAAGCTCAGTCGTAAGCTCGTAAGCGATTTCACCATTGCGATTGCCTTGCCTTTTGATTCACAAATCGCCTTTGCGGCAGTTCCGCGTCGTCGATTGTCTCTTCCGTCGCGTCCTCGCTGGCCTCCTCAGCTTCCTCCGTGGCTTCCTCCATTTCAGCGAGCGCGTCCGCCAGCGAATCCTCCGCCATATCATCATCCCTCCTTTCCGAGGCCTCGTCCTTGCGGTCTTCGCTGTCCTCGGAACTCAGCTCTATCACTGCTACGGCCACTCGCCCAGGAAGCAGCATCGTCGCGTCTGTTACGAGCGGTCTCCCGAGCTCGGTAGCCAGCTCGGTATCAAGCATTATCGCAAGCAACGCCCCCAACCATGCCCAACCTACCGGCGTAGCTTTAGGAGTAGAGGGCTTATTCGTGGGCGCCGCAGCGGCGGTCATTGGTTTGATGGTTTGATAGTTGAGACACTACATAGATGAGGCCTGTCCGCGTTTGATTGTCCTAGGATTGCTTTCGCCCGAATTCCATATATCGTCGAGGAATATCAAGAGCAATACAGCGTTTAACCAAGGACAATGCGCACCGTTATTGGCGCCTGATGGGCATGGCAATCCCACTGTGAAGTTGCTGAGGATGCCCACAGTGGTACCGATACCAATGTTATGGTGGTCTCAGACATCATAGAGCGTGGACATTGGGGGTTGTTGATTAGTAGGATTAGGAATCACCGAGTTTCCGCAGCGGTAAAGGGAATAGTCATTCAAAAGCAGTAGATAGGAACAGAAAATTACAACTCTTCCCTGCTCCCTACACTGTCCAAGCCAACTAATTCAACATCGAAGACGAGAACTGCGTTGGGGGGAATGACACCACCAGCTCCACGAGAACCTGTTATTCACGCGTATATATCAACCATACAATTAGTTGAAGCCACGGGAAATCGTACCGTATGCCTTGTTGGCGGGGATCGTCAACGTACGCTTCTCGTTAACACACATGCCTTGAAGACCCTCGTCCCAACCTTTGATAACCTGGCCCACACCCACTGTCGTCGATGATAAGACTTAGAATAGTATTCGTTCAAAGAAGCAACCACGTACGTGTCAATGGTAGGGGTTGTCCGCGGTCGAGACTAGACACAGTTCTGATAGTACCGGTAGCAAGTGCGTGACTCTCTCGTTCTTACCTGGAGTCGAATTTGTCACCCGTAGCAAACAGGGTGCCCGTCTAGAAGGCATCAGAATTCCAGGTGTCAAGTAGTAGCAGTAGTCACATACATAGTGCACTTGTACTTTGTCTCCCGTCTTGGCCTTCACCGAACAGTCCTCTGGTAGGAAAGTTGTGTCGATTTGCAACTCAGTGGGAGGCTCCTTGGCCGCGAGCGCAGCAATGGCAAGTGCCAGGCATGCAAATACGCTGAAAAACTGCATTTTGGGTGTGAAGGTGGTGACGGTGAAAAGTAACGGTGAATCGTGGCACCAACTTGAAAAGGGCCTGGGACCCTGATCGGACCCCTGACGGTCACTGGACGCGCCCAAGCCACGTGAGGGCTTCCAAAAGCACCAGATGCAAATACTGGTAAACTGATTATCAAAACCAAACCTTATTTAGAGCACTGTACACAGAAAGTCATCAGTCGACAGCCAACGCCCAACCGACCGCCCACGACCAAGCACGATGGCAAGCATCCTCAATCGTCCGTGTCGAGGGCGAGTGCTGACGAACTCACTCATATAGCCTTCCCAAAAGTCTTTCCGCACCAAGCGCATTCTCGCGAAAGCTGGCCGCCAGAACAGGTGTGTATAGCGATCCTCGTGCAGGACATGCGAACTGATTCATCATTAGGCCTATCCCACAATGGTTCCGTCTTAAGACGGACTCAAAGATCCAGGTTTGCTCTTCTTGCGGGAGCTCACACTGATTAGGATGCTCATCGGTAATTACAGTACAACGCCAAGCGGAGACACTGGAGGCGCACAAAGCTCAACATCTAATTACCCGATGCACGACGGACCCAGCGTTATCGCAGCCAGCTCATATGGTCAGACTCACCATTCACCGTGGCTGCTGGTGAATACGTAGCTATTCGTACTCGGATGAAAATGACCACCAGTCTCACCGTTGTTATTTTGTACTTGACATTTATCTTCATCCCTTTTGCAAGCCAAAGCGAGTTGACGGTTTCGCGGGAGGATATGTATGTCCAATCGAAGACGGCGGATGATGCGGACATTGATAACTGGCGAAACGCACAAGTGGAGACTGCTGCCATCTCTCGGATATATCGTTTTATCAGCACGTAACGACGATGAGTCCGGTACTTTGTTTGCAAGGTCGTTCACCAAGACACTCGAACCTTGCGGCATACATTTACTGACCGGTGCGTCTCATTTGGTGGCGGGTCCTTGCGACGTCGACAGATGGCGCATCCTTGGCGGATCCGACCCCAAGACCCAAGGGCGGCCAGAGTTTGCTAGACTCGCAGGGGAAATTCCAAAAAAAAATCCCCATGGTTTAAATCAGCATATTTATACGGTACATTCTGATGCGTCTGCGTAATAAGTCTGGTGGATTCGCTTGGAACCCCAAGCTGTAGAACATATGAAGCGGTTTACATGAGGACCGCCCCCTCCCATGTACTTCTGATCAAGCTTCGACGTTTCCCATCAACTCTATGCAAACTGAATTGGTACGAATGCAGGAGTGCCGCTATTACATAGCAGTTAGCAACCAACAAGGCCCTGCACTTGACATTTGGAGGGTCTCTTTCGCCGCACCAATGGTATTCTTCTCGGCTTACAATGAGAACGCCCAAGGGGCAGGAGATGCTCGGGGAGTCCCTGCCCACTGAGCCAGGGAGGAACAGGATGTTCGGTCAACCTATGTATCATGATTCATGACATTGATTCTTCAAATTTGTAGATTCGAACTCTGTAATACAATGCGGACTAGAATATCTGGGGTTGTCCATTAAGTATGTACTGCAGGGGAACCACAAGGAGACTAACTATCTACCTGCAGCGTTGCAGTAGGATGCGACCAACCGCGTTTCGTGGTTCTTCGCATATAACACGCATCTCGGCTAGCGTCCGACCTGCGTCAAACGCAAGTTACTAGCGTCGTGGACGAGTGTATTATTTGCCTCTATATACATGCGCGCTCGCTTCCAAACAGCTCGCGCGTCGTTGGTCAAACAGCCGACGGCGTTGGCTTGATGTCTGAGAAAACATCTCGCTCCTCCCGGTCAACGTACATATGGTCGTCCTTATTATCGTCTCGTTGGTCTGCGGTGCCAGGATTGGTGACAACTATGCCTGTAGTACTTTGATGAATCGACTTGTTGAAGCTGATTCTGCTTAGACCTCGATTGCCCGTACTTCGGCCCCAGATGGAGCTGTTCGGGTCCTAAGAAAGCGCAGACACACATGAGTACATCATCCGGAATTCGAGCCCTGTTATTCAGTATACGCACCATGCCAGAGCCATCCTCAGATCGGGCCAGTACTTCTCGGAGGCCTTCGCGCATGAGCAATGTGTCCATTAATGTCTAGTTGGAGGTTCATTGAGTTCACGCGCACCAGACAAGTGGAGTATACTTACATTCGTGTAAATGCGGCCCAAAGGGATCGCAAACATGCCGTATATGTTGGTATGTGGGAGCGCCAAAAAAGCCACCAAGTCACCCAGCGAAAAGATGGACGCGAATACGCCGGTTTGGATGGCGCCGCGCATGAGGCGGTTGATGACGGTATCGGTTGCGCGGAATTTTGTTTTTGCTTGACTTAGAATCCAGCAGAGAGCGACTACGCCAGATTTTAGCAAGGTAGCGTGGCAGCGTGTTCGTGAAGGAGAAGTACGCACTTGTGATGTACAGGTCGATACCCATCTGCATGGCTAGCCAAGCCGTTACAAGGCCGTCGAGGACAGGGAGTTTAGCTAATCTGTTGTTCAGCGACCGTCGTTAGCTGCGTGCTCGATGACCCAGGAAGAGAGGCTTTACTCTTCAATTATCCACGCCTTGATGCCGCAGGTCATGCCAAGTGCGAAAGAAGCAATGGCAAACATCAAGAGTATGATGAACAAGTATAATTGGCCAGTCAATCGATACATCCTACACCGATTCGATCAGCAGGTTGCTCCAAGCAGGCAAAAGGGATACGGGCGTACCGATAGCCAAGGAAGATCTGCGTGAGCAAGGCTGCGAGGGCCGTACCGATTGGTGTAAACGTATACGGCCATAATGCCACTATATCAGGGAGAGAGGACGCCGATTAGTGCACGGAATGACGCCGAGCAGAGTCAGTTTCATTGACCTGTTAAGATGGCCGGGTTATCGAAGTTCGTTACGCTTCATACAAAGAAAAAAAATTAAACAGAGTCCCGCGAGCATCACGAGGAACTCACCAGTACTCCCATGCCATATATATCGTGCTATATTGATGATTTCTGTTTTTAGTTGCCAAGGTAAATCCCGAGAAAGAGACATACGCAGCCGTGTGGAATGTGTCTAGGACAACGAGAATGCCCACAAAGGCACTGAGACACTCCAAAATTAGCATGTCGATGATGCCTATGTTGATCTACGCACCGTATCCAAGTTGGATCCTTGAAAGCTAGAAACGCCGTTAGAGCATGCAGCTATGACGTTAGTGATGGAAACGTCGCGTACGAGAGTTGTAGTACACCGCAAATTGATATGTAACAAGGCCATAAAGGTAAGTATTGACTAGTGAGTAGGCATGGGGTATCAGAATAGCCCAAGTAGATGAGTTCCGTCCGTACTCACAAAATATGCCGACTAAAAGAGTGCCTGCAGTAGATGCCAGAATGTCAACGGCCAAAACCCAATGGATTGTGGCAAACCTACCAATAACTTCCTCGGATACGCCCATGCTAGCCAGGGATCATGGGGAGAGAAGGAAGAATTGTGAATGCCGCAAACAAGTCTCAGCCGTGACTTATTGTATGGCATTGAAAGGACCCTGCCAATGTATAACCATGTCGGTGGGGCTGAGGAATATTCTTTTAGAAAACAGGGCCGACGGAAGCAAAAGGTAAGGCAACAGGCTTGGCGCTACCAATAAAGCTAAACCAAATGCTCTGCAACATGGAAGATTTCGCAATCTGACTTCAATCGTCTTCGCCTGGTCTTTGCCGAATAAAGTGGAAGTAGTGGCATTTCATGGATTTGGGGGTATAGGAAGTTTCAACTTCCTTGCAATATCCAGCCGGGATTCTAAACGCGTGAACATAGCAGGAGGATGTCCACATCTTGTCGAGGTAGCCTTCCCTTTGAAATCAGCAAGGTTCTTCGTCGAGGGATTGCGGTAGCCTTGCCCCACGAGCTGCAACATCTGTAAGATTGGCAACGTCTCAAAAACGTGATTGAATTTGTTGCTGGCACTCATCCTCACACCATTGAGGGAGCCACCCCGTCAGCGTCGCGTCAAATGATTTGGATTACGCGAAGAACTTGAAGTCCCTTTGTAATTCGCTACTTTGGAAGCCGGGCTGAAGATGATCGTACACACCTTTAAGGAGCAAGTCGTCTATCTGCGCTGCGTATATTACGCGCCACATCCATCGGCGGACGACTTCTGTCCTATGCCTTGATTACACCATTCCCCCTGGCATCAGATGCAACGCATGGAAAGTGTCGCCAGAGCTACTCCAAGTCTTGAAGTTGCTCCTTCAGAAGCTTCAATATTCAAGTATTCAAGGTTCAGTATCAGTTCATTTGGCTTCAGCTGCGCGGTCCGTGTCTGCGTCAATAGTAACGACATATTTCAAGCTCAGGCCTCACCAAGTCTCGTCTCTTGAGTTCCCCCCGCGGAAAGGGAAATGAACAAGAAGCAAAACGCAAGGTGAGCACTATCCATGTGGCTGTGCCAAGACGATAAGATAAGATAAGTAAACGTCGCTGCAAACAACTTGGTCTTGTCGTCGGCGACCGGGGACGACGACGATGGCCAACGCGAACCATTGCTCCTTCATTCTCCTTGCCGAATTTGACATCGATCAAGGCTCTCAATTGACATATCAGTTCCCTCAACCACTTGGTACAGATGAGAGGTACGCCTCGTCGTCTCGCGCCATGGCTCAACCTCATCTTCTTGCAGTCTTTTGGCCACCTCCATGCTCCCGGACGGTGCTGAGAAGCAGCTAGAAGACTGGACGATATTTTTTCTGAACCAGACTCCTTTCAACACCATCTCGCCCGTCCTCGCGTTGGAAACCCCGGAAGTCAATGAGCCCAGCCTCGAGAGCGAGGGCAGCGAGCGGCCAGATCTATTATACGTTTTGAACCTGGTCAGGACTAGGCATGATAAAGCGAAGAGAAGGTGATTGTGGCGGTCATGTCATGCAGCGAACTGACAGCAAGTGTAGAGGAGCCGAAGTCAAGGCCATGGCCATATGCACGAGATACCCGTATATCCAAATATTCAAGGTGAGTCGCCTACCATCGCACGGGAGCGCGTCTCATTCTCTGCAGCCTATACTACTCTTAGCACTAGATGACTACTTCGCAAATCCCTCGCAAGACCATCTCGCTCGCTTGTTCGACGCCATCAACTCGATGGATCTGTCTGGCATGCCGTATCTCACGCGATATGAAAAGATGATCATGCGGTCCTCCGAGCGGAAGGACATCTTCGCCGAAAAGTTCACTAACACGATACGCGAGCCCACGCCTGGACCCTACAAGACGCAGCACCGACCGACGAACTCAGGGGAGTCTGTGAGTAGTTTCGAAGAAGGCATCTTGCTGAGGGGGAAGGAACAAGAAGCGCCAAGTAGACGCGACCGAGCGGGGACAACGAGCAGCAGTGCCAGCAGCAATCAGCATGGTGTTCCCCAGGAGTCGCCCTCCGACTCGTCGTTCTCCTTGGGTGGGAGTCTTGTCTGGGTGGGCGAGGACAGTGTAGGATCGGAAACAGCGGTGGGTTCTGTTGAAACGGGAAGCACTGTATCGCTATCCACCAATAGTTCTACCCTTGTTTCTGGTCGCGGAAGGAGATCGACAGACGCCTCTGCGTCGTCTTCGTCTTCAAGCGGCCCCAGCAGCAAACTAACGATAAGCGCACCCAGCCCACTGACCAAGGACACACATTTCTTCAACACCACACTCGCGTACAAAGGCTATAAACTGCCTATTAAGCTCCCCCTCGCAACTTTCGCTGAAGAAGTCGGAGACGTACGTTCCGGTCTGCGATTCCAATAGTAATCGCTAATGCCTTCATAGTATTCGTTAATACCTCTGATCAAGATGTTTTCATCTCATCAGCTGGTATCAGGGCCCATCCATCCGCATTTGCACTCTAGTGGACCACAGACTCATCCTATCATTCTTCTATTTAATGCGCTTGTCACGGGGAAGCGAATTATCTTCATGGGGCATGGGCGGCCTGCAGGACAGGTTTCCAGTCTTGTGCTGTCAGCGTGTGCCATCGGTTCAGGCTGTGGCGTCGTCTTGAGAGGCTTTATCGAACGTGCGTTCCCATATGCGAGTTTGAAGAACAAGGATGAATGGGAGTCGATGTGCGTCCAGCACTAGTCCGTCTGTTTATTGGAGCGAATGCTAACGCCCTGCTCGTCAGCCCTGCGTATATCGCTGGTGTCACTAACCTCATCTTCAAGACATCTGGCACATGGGATATATTATTTGATGTGGCCACGGGACAGGTTTTAGTACACAAAGACATTCATGCTCGGTGGCCAGCCTCTGCCGCCCCCGCCATCGGTGCCACCCCGCTTGTCGCCCGTAGCGGAACCATCAAAGTTGAAGTAGCCTTGCCTCCCGACGAAGACGCCACACGATCGTCTGCAGCCAAAGACAGCAAAGATGCTTCTTCCAAGGCCGACTTCGCCCCAAAAATCGATAACGCAGACAACCTTTTCATCGAAGACGTGCGTCAGCGATCTGACTTCACGTTTATTAATCCACGCGTAGCTAACGGCCTTCGATCAGATTCGTTCTGCCATAGAATATCACTTCGGAGAAGGTATGGTTCGGATGCGATTTACGGAGTACGTGACACGTTTTGTTCGGCTTGCATCTCGGTACGAAGAGGAGACGCTGGGGAAGACGAAGATCGGGTATCCCACCGCGTCGTTTACCGACGTGCCGCGCCCGCGACTGGGCAGTGGGATGGTGTTTACCGACGACGCCTCGGCCATGAGAGAGTTGACTGCAAATGCCTATCGTATGGAAGCCTGGCGGAACACCAATACGTATGCTAACTACGTTGTCGTGCGTATTATATTGCGGTGCATATCCTTGATTTGTTCCTATGGCTCAGCTATCTTCATTAGGATTTTGCGAAAGCACAGGCGTCAAGCTCTATCAAGAGTTTCGATGTTCTTCACCAGCTCTTCAGACTGCGACAAGCCAAGAACATGTCCGATACGGAAGCAGAACTGATCGTGCGCACGATTGCCAACAATGTTCGTACATACGAACAAGTAGTAGAGGTCAGTTCGGATTTCGTCGTCATGTTACGCATCATGTTCATCAGATTCGTACAGCTCCTAGCATACTTGGCTCCCCATGGCGGTGGTTTGCTCTACTTGAGTTTCGGATTGTTCCACCAACAAGAGGTTGTCCGGGACCTGACCGTTGACATATTCAACGAGCTACGATCTTATGCTGTGCGTCCTTGTCTCAGTTTATCCAAACGAAGGGGACCATGATACTCATCTACCGGCACAGGTTGGCGTTACATTCCTCCAGGCATTGAATCACTTCCAGCGCTATTCATATGTTCGGCAAGCGCACGCCAGAGAAAGCCGTGTTGCCAGGGAGCAGCAACAGCAGCTTCATCCCCCACCTGTTTCATATACCTCAAGCTCAAGGACACCATCTAACCGGAGCGACGCGAGTCTTGTATAGTTTACCGTTGTATCTCCTTACAACTTCGATACCCATCCGGAGTTTTTTCATGTCATGTTTTATCAATTTTCAGTATGTACACTATATAGTAAGGATTTTACACTTCGCATTTCTCGGTGGTATATGCGAACTGCCTGGGCGCGACCATTCTGTGGGCGCACCAAGCAAAGAGGGCGATGAAGAGGGCGATGCCAGCGGCTACGCCAGGGTGTAGGCGGAGGGCGACAAGTGTCAGCCCGTGTGCGAGGAACAGGGCTGCGCCGTAGGTGTTGAGTACGGCGGGGAGCGCAAATAACATCCCGGTGATTTTGAAGCCATATTTCTGCGATCGAATAGCCAAGAGGTGGTCCGCCGCGTGAAGTGCGGTTGTGTCGAGTAGATGCCTGTGTTGAATGAGGAGGAGAGATGCTGATAATACACTCGTGAAGAGAATGATAGCGGATGCCAAGCCTAGCGATGGGACACCTGGTATGATACAGTGGACGATGTGTGCGAATAATAATAGAGTGGACTGGAAAATCATCGTCAGACAAGGGAAATTTGAGTGGAAAATGAACACCGCGTACAATTTGCAAAGATGCCTTCCAGTCTTTGGTATTTGACTGCATGAGTTCATGCCATTGTTCAGTGTAAACAAGGTCATCGACGAAGACGTCGTCGAGCTTGCTGGTATACACATCCGATAGTCCCAAGGTCAAGCGGGTTATCGCTCGGGAGACGAAGTTGGGGGTATATATCTTGGGTGCCAATATGCTTTGGGTTCTGGAAAGACGACTGGACTCTTGTCCGTGGTGCGTGGTAAATCGGTGGTTCATTATCAACACCCACAGGCGCGCGATCACGCAGACGTTATACATGTCCTGGGTATCCTCTGGGATTGAAGGCTACGTAAGCCACTTGCTAGAATAAACAATGCTGCGGCACTGACCTCGAGCATTTTTGAGCAAGTCTATGTATTTTCTACAATCCTTGGGGGTATATGGGAATGTTGATACAGCGGAAGTCATGCGGTCTAGGGACATGAGATGAGCGGGGACTTGATTTCAGCGGCAGAGAGGACACGAACCTAGGGTTGCATGCGAGAAAATAGAAATCAACTCGTTGACTGTGAATTCTTCCAGACCACCGAAGTGCGCCGGGAAGTATTCTACATGGGACCAGTAGTGCTCATTCAAGGCCAATTCTATGGAACACGTCAGTTGAGGTGCTTCAATAATGAAGGTAGCTCAACTCACTCAGATGCTCTTCGGAAGCCACCTGGGGCAAGCCCATATCATCGGTGTCAAATTGGTCTAGCCAGAACTCCGTCCTGGAGAGGTGGTCGACAAAATAGTAGGCGCATCCGGACTCCTCGAGTTGAATGAATAGCTCGACGCCCGGGTGGATCGCGATCTGGCGCTCCTCGCAAAGCACCTCGATCCATTTCAACCAGAAAGACATCTTTTGCATGTTCTCGGAATTGTAGAGGTAAGCCTCGGTCACAATGACCGGGGTGCTGTGCCGGCAGAAGTAAAGTTGACCCTCGGGGTGAACATAAGAAGCCCAGCTCTCGGGGAGGTAAGTTGGGCTGCGGAACTTCATGTTAGCGCCTGCGCCAAAGTTTATTCAAGGAAGGATGAATCAACATACGTAGATTGACGATCGAATCGTCCGAGGCCAGCCGGGATGATTAAGTTGGATAATTCTACACTAGAATATTTGTTGTACCGTTCAGTGGTAACGGAGGTGATGGGGCGGAGTGTCCCATGGCTGGTCGAGGCCTCGCAGGTCGTGTTTCCTGAGGTTTGTTTCTGTTCCTGGGGGTAGACCATTGGGATGAGGTGACAACTGGCAGTGGAGATGAGCTTCGGAATCGAGGTCTCCTGGATTATATAGAGGATATATGGCACAGGTATTCACCGGGGTCCTTGGGTGTTACCAGGCTGTGCCACATCATTGTGCCACACATGTCCGCGAGTGCCGTTCGGATAATGATAATAGCGGAGCGGCCAACATTCGCGACCGTTAGACAAACGATGCGCCCTTTTGTTCGCCCACAAGTACTGTTATGACCTACACCAATTGTAAGTAAGTAGAGTGGAATGTTTGAGAGGCCTTCTGTAGGCGCCGTCACAATGGCCCTTCCGCAGGCGTCTAATCAGCTGCCTTCTCGATCCTGAACGGGCGGTGCTTCTGCGTACTCTCCATGGACATGCACTGCCGTCATGTGGACAATGCAGTATTCCCGTTAATAGCCATCGATTAATCTGGATCATCAAGCTCTAGAGCTGTGGTGAGCCGTGGCATCGTGGCCAGCGCTCCCTCGATCCCAATAAGCCTCTTCTATTCATCAGCGCCAATACAGCCGGAAGTATGACTGCACTGGACACGGAGGCCGTCGCGGTGGATCAATTCCAGTAGGTTGATATGAATCATCCCTAATGTCTCATCTGCATGCACATTCTGCTTGCGCAAGGATCGCATCTGCATTCTCCGTTGCGGCAGGCAAGGACGTTGCTGAACGCTCGCCTAATCCCGGCACAAACCGGTAAGTATGTCATTCACATCGAACTAGAATCATATTGATCCCTTGTTGCTCGTTGCAGAAATGATGGTTCAACTGCTGCCGTCGGTTTAAATACTCCAGGGCAAGAAGAGGAAGAGGAGGAGGAGGAGGAGGAAGACACGAAGGACACTGCCGGGGAAGTCGACGATGACGGCAATGGGTGAGACCTTCCCTGCCCCTTGTGTGATGTGTACCGCATATTTACTCGTTCTCAGTCGTGGAAAGCACGTCTACCAGGTTAAAGGCAACGAAAGACCCAAACCCAAGCCCAAGCCGCATTAAATCTTACAGCCCCTTCTCAAATTACATCTACAAACCATGTACCAGTCTACCATCTTGATGATGCAATTACGCCATAAATAAGCTTCAAGATCAAGGCGCCTAATTCGTAGATGTGGGTCCCTCCTGGTCCTTCGAAGTCGACAATTCGTCAACATCAAGATGAGCATTTGAGCACCCTACTTGGCCAGAGTTTCCCAAGGTAGTGTGAGGTTTCTACTGCACGTCGATTCTTCGCTTCATGTCCGTGCTCTTCGTGGTTCTTCGGCGCCTGATAAGATGATAACAGTGGCTAACGCGTCTATCGATGAGGGAATGCCGTGATCAGCAAATGTCATTGGACATGTATATAAGGTTGGGACGCGCAAGATAGAGCTCAGGAACGCTATGACTTCAAGAGAGACCCAACTCACTACAACAGCCACAGATCCAAGGTAGCGACGTTCCTTGTAGTGGTCTTCTATATGTTTTCTGTCATAGGAACTGATGATCAGGGTTTCCATTCCTAGCCACGAGCATGCCGACGATCCCATTCCGAAGGAAATGCTCCGCGAAGGGGGCGACGTCGAGGACCCACAGACAGGGAAGCCACAAACTGTGACAGACGCGAAGGCCACACAGACTCAGTCAGTCATGTAGATCCTGCACCTGCTTTCATCCATCATGCTGAACACTCCGCCGGCAGACCTGCACATATAGACGCTGGCTCAGAACAGGCCGAGCACCTGGACGGTGCCGACAATGACGACGAAGAAGAGAAAGAAGAACCCGAGGAGGAGCCAGAAGAGGATGGGTGAGTGCTTCTTTGACGAACTACTTCAGCTCGTTCACGCCAGGACTTCGGGGGCAGACCTCCAAGACGGAAGTACGTAGCATCGGCGTTAGCGCTAGATCATCTCGTCTAACATCACCCAGGTGGCGAACCCGAGGGCCCCCCACCTTTGGGAATAGCAGGGGAGGGAATCCGCATTCGGTCCGCGGAAAACCCAAGTGACTCGACTATTCCCCCTGCACTTTGTATCCAAGCAATGGAGCTCTTCAATCAGTCTTGGACAAAAATGTATATATGGACTCGATCAACATATGAAAACGACTGTACCCGACAAATGCGCAACATTTCTGCTACCCATGGTGTTTATTTAGGATGAAACTGGTATTGGTATATAGTCAATGTTTTTAGGACAGTATTCAATGGTATCTTAACGATACACAAGGGACTATTGTCAGCCCTTGTTCAACGTTCAACCCTCCACTAGTAACAGCCCGTAATGCACGCTTATGCATACTATGCTGACGGTAACCAAGCACAATTAAGTGCTGATAATCGTTTCCCGTTTCTTTTGCAACGTTTTGTCGGGGTAGCATACTTAGTTCGTAGGAAGACAGGTCAATAATGACTTGCAACTTAGGGCTCTTGATTACTGAATCATATATGTGTTGATCGGTTTTGAGCTGTGCTACGCTCAGATACCATACAATACTACATTTATCATTCGCTCCTGGTGGCCGTTGGCAGTATAGAAGCGGTCAACAGACCGACTGAATACTGATTGAGGAGGTATCGCCCCTGTGCTCGCCCCTTTCCTGCTGACTAATATTCTTTAGCATCTGTCGAGTTCCTCTCACTCTCGGAGGTCAGCGCTTCAGCTTGAGGTTTAGTAAATCATCATGTCCTTCCTTCGACGCCTGTGGAATATGGTTGGTATAAATAAACCCGTGAGTAGCTGCCATGGTCCTTCCGCCTGTGGATCATTCTCAGGTTCCAATAGACGCGATTCGTTGGTGGCGATTTGGAAGGTGAATGGTGCCCAAGATACATGCGTCCTGTTGACCTATAAATCTAGGCAATAGATATTACGAGTGGGCCAATCCAAACAACGGTGAGAGAGAAAGAGTCTCACATGTTCGCGCTGAACATGACGCGTGAATTGACAGCTTCGAGGACGCGGCGAAGCGTAAAATACTACAAGGAAGACGACATGTGGCTATATGTTGGTGGTCAGAAGAGATTGGCTGGTGCGTGGCAGTCCCGCTAATCTGCTCTCGTTGCTGATCGTTGCTGTAGTTCAGTGGTCGTCTTGGCTCAGCCATACGCGAGCGCATCCGCCAACTATCGAGGTTCGTTGGGTACAATTCGGTTCAAATCGCGCCCACTTACTGTGTCGACAGGAGCTACAAGCTGACGTTCTGCGCCAGCAGAAGGTGCAACATAATGCGGCATTAATTGAGGCTAAGGAACAGCACGAGCGTCAGGAGGCGTTACGGATAGGCGGCGGTGTACCGCCTGCAATCAGCGACAGCGACCACAGGGCTGAACCTTACGCAAGCCACGAAGCGTTCAATCCGCAGCGCCTCACAGCTAATGAGTCGAACCGCACAACGTCCAACACGCCCCTTGGCCGTGGAAATGATCTTTCCCCACCTGACCCTAGGCCCAACGATGCTCGACACGTAGACGATACAATTCCATGGACGCCTCAGTCTAAAAGATCCAGAATTTAAAAGTGGGGCTACCTGTAGATAAAAGTAATGCTCATTCTGATGTTAGTGTCTAATCAATTATATCCCTTCCATAAGTGCCTTTACGCCCGATAAGACGGAGGTATCTTGCATCTCGACTCCAAACTTGACTTGCACTTTTTGACTCGAGCCATTCAGAGCATAAGCGCCCATAACTGCTACACCGCATCAACCCGTGAGGCAGGCAAGGTATCATTAAGTTATAACATTAGCTCTCCTCGAGGCCATGTTTGCTCTCTGCCACTCATGATATATCACTACTATCGTCGTCTATCGGCATTGCTTCGACTCTTACAGCAAGTAACGCGCTTCTTACAGAAAACACAGCGCAAATTTCGGCCGCTGCTCGCATTTGTATCTTTTCTGCGGCGGACGATACCCTTCTTGCGCAAGCGCTGCAATTTGTCCGAAGGACAGTCTCAGGGATGTGGAAACGGAGAGGCGGCGGTCAAGTGGAAAGCTTGCGATGAACCCTGCACGGTCCTCGCCGCTAGTCGAACCCCGGGAGTGGCTGCGCTACCGCAGGACGGCCATACAGACTCGGAGACGGTTCTACGCTCAAACGATACCCCCCTGGCTTCGATCGCACACCCTACCGACCCGTTAACGACGACTCTCCAATTGTACCAGAATGTAGCTTCTCCTACGACCGAGCAGAAAGGTGCGATTTCTCCTCAAGCGCCATGTTCCTTCCAATGTTGAGCATCGTGGAAGATAACGGTCCCCCCATGTTGTGCCGCGAGAATCCGGATTTCTGGGCGATTTCGCCTACCTATTTTAAACGATATGAGCGACCCAGAAAGATGTAGGTGAGGATTCGTTGTGTATTCGAGATCACCTCTTGAGCAGTGTTCAAGCTCTCGCGTATGGGAGGATACCAAGATACCACCGTTATCCCGGAGGATGGCAGAGTGGGTTTTCATTTTATTCCAGATTGATGACACATTGTTGAACAACCGCTATAGCGCTGCTCTGACTGATTGGACTGCGTATGAACATCCTGAAGGGGCGTTGTATTTTCATCATGAATCCAAGGTGACAATACATGTGAATCTTTGAATATCTATCTGACCTATTCAATTTATTCATCCTCAGAATATCTTCACCGATGCTAGCCTTCGAACGCCGGCCGTGCTCGAGACCATCTCGGGCTTGGTAAACTCCTTCACATATTTCGTCGAAGCTAACGGCATCGACCTCGATCCATCAACCGAACTTGTCCTTGATTTGGAAGAGGCTGGAGAGGATAAAGGTCGTTGTGGTTATTATCTCGTCGACCACGAGAATCGAAGCATTTTCTGGCTAGACGAGTTCGAAAAAGCTGATCTTCCCGATTGGAATGAAGTCCCTGGTGTAACTGCGGATGCACATATACGTGCGTCAGAAGCTCCCATCATTGATTAGCCTGTTGCCTAACCCGTCTGCTAGGACATGAACTTGAGGCTCAGTATTGGTTAGGGCCTTTATAACTTGGTGAGTTCGCGGTGCTGGGTTCACAGTCGATGTCCTAATTGTTGCACTAGGTTACTCCCCCGACCTCATCATCTGAGTTAGGCTTCATTGCGAGTTTTTCCCTCACACTAGAAAAATAACGCAGGATTTGGTTGACGAGCTCAGAGATATGCTCACCCACGCTCTTGGAGGTAAGTCGTCTAAAGTAAAGTGAACAGGGGTAGAACACCGTCCATATATAGATGTTTCCACCTCCCCACTATCCACCATTGAGTCTACCGAAGACGAACTGAAAACCATGCTTCAGGCTGTCACGGCCGCAGAAAGTAAATATTCCCTTCACCTTCTAGTCGCTCTCCCACCAATAATCACCTTCATCATAGAACAAGTCGGCAAACTAGCCCCAGGCTCGATGTGTCTTCTAAGTGAGTTTTGAATGTAGACTTTCCCCTCCGATATCTAATCACTTGTATTCGTGCTCACTAGGTAGATTCATGCACATCAGAGGTTGTTTTACACACCGATCAGGTAATGCCTTTGTGCTAATTTGTATCATCCACAGCCCGTCATCGGTTCATCAATTTTCATGGCCAGCCTGCTGCTCGGCTGGGTCGAAATCAGGCCATATACGACGAATCGGATGGCCGATCTTATCTCATTACATTACTATCACCAATGCTCTTCAGCGCGCCTGAAGTCCATCTCCGCATGCTTCGTGATATATACGTCGATCAAATCGTGTACGCCATGCACATCAACAAGGTCATCTCTAGGTTAAACAACGAATGGCAGGAATTTATCCTCTATGTGAGTGTCTTAGATGATATGTACGAAGTGCTTCTTAAATGCGATCATGTGCGCATAGGCCACCGTGTTGCTGAATGCGAACGTTGCGGTCCTGGCTATCCAGAGCGTTGATGATGGCGGCGCAGATGGTACCCGAACTCCGGTACAGATCTCCAGCTATCTGTCCATAGCCATGAGTATCGGCAGTATCATTCTCGGCCTGTTGCTTGTCAGACAAAATAGGACCAAGGGCAAAGAGAGTGCTCCTGAGGCTGTGAGTAGCGCCCATTTTATTAAATCCTACCGCTGCTCACGCGCTCTACCTGTCAATTCGCCTTCGCAGATGAGATTCATGAGCAGGCATTCTTTGGAAATACTGGCCATCCTTTACAGCCTTCCATACGCACTGCTCATGTGGGCGTAAGTCCGAGGCCTCTCCATCAAAGGGCGATACTGATTATTATATACTTAGGATGCTAGCATTCGTGGGTTCTTTCAGTTTCTTGTGTTTCGATTCGACGAGTCTCGTCACTCGTCTGCTGGTGGGAGCTGTGTGCGTCGTCATTACGGCCCTTATCGTTTGGTGTATTTGGTATGCTTGGGAAAGCAGTGGCCACGAGTCATGGTGGAAATCTGCTTTCGAGAAGCTAGTAGCATCAGTGCCTCAAGAACAAATCATGAGCACAAGTGAACACGCCGAGCACGGAGACGAGCGGCGTGCTGTAGATGGCGAGGGATCTAAAGGAGGGTCTTGGAGATTGTTTGCGATGTTTAGGGCGAAGAGGGATTCCATGGATTCCGAAAGGACGACCGTTTGATGTGGAGACGTGGTGGATACGTAGTTTATTTAATATCATTATATGTACCGCCTCCTGCTTCAGAATACTGCTGTGTCGCGGCTCTCGTCAATTTGCTACTAACTTTGTCGCCGCAGGAACGTCCTGACTAAATGAATCCCGACCCTTTCCTCTCGAAATACGCCCGTTTTGTTTCAATATCATCGATTCGTCCATCACCTCTTGTGGGCCTTTGGTCTAAACAAATGTTTCCGGTAACCCTTCGCTAAGAAGAAACGACCGGAATTGCTACTTCCATGCTTGCGCCCACTCAAACTTGATCGTCGTATTCAAAAGATGAAAGGGCATAGCGAGACTACCTGACTTGTCTCTATTACGGCTGCCTCCCCCTTCCTCGACGCTTGGCTAAACAGCCCGGCGATGTACGCTTTTACACCCGGACGTGCTGTAGTAGTAAATGTACGCGTAGACTAGTAGTATAGTCTAATAAAATGCGAGGGTCCGCCTCCGGCAGGACAAGTCCGTGCAACACCTGAGTGAACTAAGTGTGATAAACGATGAGTCCGAGAGTAAGAAAGAACGTATAAGGAACTTCGGATGCTCCGGATGGCTTCGGATGGCTTCGGACGTGCTCAGACGCGGACAGACAACTTGGCGTGGGATAGTACGACGAGGACAGCAGGAGAATGATAAGGACGGCAGGAGAAAGTAGCTTCGGATCGGACTCGGACTCGGACAACGGCGAACTCTGACAGCGAAGAGGAGAAAACATCGGATGACTTAGGTTCTGACTCGATGTGGGGGGGAAACAGATCTTATTCCTCTAACTACGAGTATAGACGGTTTTTGTAGCTAAGAAAATATCGGAAATGTCCGAAAAGAAAAGGAACCAGGAACAAATGATGGTGCTAGTATAGTCCAAATATTAGAGTCCGAAAACAAGGAGAGACGAAACATTGATCCAAGCTGTCTGATCCGTTATCACGTGTGTCCGGTACGGGTTCGTGACGTCCGAGTCCTGGGTGAGCGCGTCCGAAGAGTCGGAGAGGGGTCGATAGGGGATAGGGGAAGCCGGACTGCACGGAACGAAAGGGTTCAACCCTTACAGTGCACACCACCAGATACGCCAGTCGCCGTGTTGGTCTTCGCCCACGGCGCAGCGGAGCACTGTGGTCGCTATACCCATTTTCATACTTCCTGGAGCGCAGACCATGGTATCGCAGTCTTCGCTTATGATCAGCGTGGTTTCGGGAGAACTGCCCTCGACGCTCAGAACCGCACTCCTGGGTCAATGTATGGGAAGCCAACTAACTTGAGGACCTTGAATGGGCAATAAACACCGTACAGGGCGCATTCCTCGGTGTGTCCGTATTCCTCATGGGATGCTCCATGGTACGTAGTCTTCAATGATCCCGATGTATTCAATGAGCATGTCTTAGGGCGGAGACATAGTTCTGGGGTACATGGCTCGCCAAAATCGCCCTTCAGAAACTGATACTCTGATCCCTGGTGTTATCGCGGGAAGCCCGTGTGTTAAGCTGACCAGAGAACCACCGAAGGCGCTTCTGTGGGTGGCTCATCAGATTTCGCGCATTCATCCGTACATACCGTACCCTCTTCGAAATAAGCCTGAGGTAAACTTGCTCAAAGTCCCCACAGGTCCTCCTTCCTCACTATTCCATACATATCTACATTGTACAGGACCAGGACACCGTTTGACAGCGACTCTGATAGGGAGGCCGTCTCTTGACTGACAACCATGTGCATTGGCGTGAGGATGTCGCGGTATGGTTGAATCTGTTTCCCTTCGCTAACACTCAGACGCCTCATCTTCGTACTTCAGGTGCTTTTCTTCCATGGAACGGCTGACCCACAATGCTCTGCTATGAAAGGGGCAAACTTTCTCTTTTTCAGGTCACTTCCAGTGGCCGCGCAGCAGTTGTACGATAAATTACCCGCTAAGCGCAAGAAGATGGTCACATATCCTGTGCGTGTCTACTTTCGTGAAAACATTAACATACTTATCCCATCTCGCTTATTTGGTAGGGCGCTCGTCACGAGCTACACAATGTACCAGACGGAGTGAAGGAAGAATCACTCCTGGCAATTATTAACTTCATTAGGACCATCTGTGGGTTTCATGAGAACTAGATAGCCGAATACAAAACTGTTCAGCGGGTGGGTCGGTGACGCCGAACCTGGCTCTTGGTTTCAAGAATGTAACACTTGACTGCGCCGCTAACTTTGCTGTGTCTATGGAGGGTATATCCCATCCTCCTCGGTGGCCCACCTGAGGTGGCCAGTGTTGCTGGCAGCGCTGAAACATCTGAATCAGGATCCCTGCCCCCCTGCCCCCCTGCCAGAGTTTATAGCTCGGTGACCGTCAAACAGCCATTGGGTCAGAAATTCATCATCATCCAGGCCAATTGGTCGTAGAATACCCCAGTCAAGCATTCAATCAGAAACCGATTGAGAGTATTGGGTGGATCGAACAACCGGGTCTATTTACACAACGTGAATGCATCCTAGAAATCGCCTCCCATGTCGTCATCATCGATGTCCCCGTCCTCAATCCCCTTTGCGATGTGTTTTTCCCGTTCTCTGACAACCTCTGCCGCCGCGAGCTCTTTGCGATGTGCGTTGAGCGGGTATCGCATAGCCTACGTATACTCAGAATGTATACCAAAGGGAGAATGATTAGACCAACCTTGACGCTCTCGTTATGTAACTCCAAGCAGTACCCAATGCGCCTAGAAAACGCATCGCTCACTTCAGGACCATACCCGCTCTTCTGGTTACCGCATTCCATCCAGCCTTTCTCGTGAATGATCCGCCCTTCAATAACCCCGTCTCTGATGGCTTTTCCAACGATATACTCGGCATCTTCTTCCGAGTCAAGGTGAAGTTTGACGCAGATATCGCGTAGGGATATCCGCGAATACGACAACGATAGCCTACGGATACCAGTCTTGATTACGTTTTGTCGCAAACGGACAATTAAGGTATATGTTTTGTCGGCTTCGAATTGTGCCGCGTGCTTGGAAAGGGTACTCTGGAACTGAGAAAGGGACCCAGTGCGTACAGCTATCGATAGGGTCAACACAAAGATTACTCGGCCGTGAAAGGGGATCCGACCTTTTACAAGTTCGAAGTAAGCATTCAATGCCTTCTGTAGTACTACATGTCTGAAAAGACCCCGCTCCGGGATGTCACCCATTAGGAGCTCCACAATAACAAACAGCTTGTGGACAGCCTGGTAGAAGCCAGGGGCGGTCTTTGGGGGTGGTGCTCTTCTGATTGCCTGCTGCAGATTGATGTGTGCCTCGCTGTAATTCAATTGAACAGCCTTTATTCGCCCGAGGAAGTAGTGGTAGCGGGCATGTTGGGAGTTAGCAGCAGATACAGGGAAGGTGGTTTTGGAGATGAGTTTGTCGGCTTGATCGTACAAGCTGTAGTGGAGGTAACTTCGGAGGAGTCGGTTAATCAGAGATGCTTGAGTTTCGTCATCATGCCGAAGTGAAGCAGTGCGCTGCGCAGCCAAGAATAACCTAAGGCATAGTTATCGAAATGAATCAACGGTTCAGAGCCTTTAGATGACAATTCATACGGTCTAGCATCGGCCAATTCTCCTCCAAGTTCATATGCCCTTTCCACGGCGAACCAGATCTTCGACGCAATGGGGTCCATGCTGCGGCGGTTCAAAGCTTGCATTTTCTCCACTGTTTGCTGCGCCAACTCCACCGCTTTGGCATATGTTGACGGTGATGATAATAGATGGTGAAGAATTAGCAAACGGAAGTAGATATCGGCTTCTGGAACAGGTTCGGGGGTACCCGTCTTCGAGTTCGTCGTGGGTTCAACGTCCATGGCATCGTCAGACGGCGCCGCCGCAGGGACCCAACTAAGCAGTGATTTCTTTGCCGCAGAGTCTGTATCCACCGATCAAGCACTGTACACCGTGTCACATATAATTGAAGCCAACCTTTGGGATATGCGGCTTCAATTGCATCTCTGAGCACTTTATTGTCGATCTTCTTCCGCAGGCTTGTCAGGGAGCGAAGGACGCGATGCGTGAAACGCGGTTCAAGGGTGGACACCGCGCGTTCGATGAGAACAATATTAGTCTTGATTTCTTGGACCGGGGTTGGGGGCTCTGGTTTGGGCTCCTCTTTCTTTGCCTCATCCTTCTTGTCTTTGGATTCATCTGCAGGCTTCATATCTATGTCGGCCATGGTGAAGAAGGAAGAGGATGAGAGCCTAAGCGCCCAAGCATGACGCGTACTGACCAGGCGCTAAAATACGACCGACCATATTCCTCGCGTGAAAGGGCGACGAAGGATCGAGCGATATTGGCGTTATAGTCAGAGCCATGCCAGGTAGAGCGACAGTCAATCATTGAATGTATTCAAAGGTAATCAGTACTAATTGACTCAAGCAGGAGTCTTCGAAGTCATAACGAAGCAAGAATTTGGAGAGGAGAAAAACGAAATTATTTGTATCAGGATGTGGGACTTCACGCTGCCAAATCCTCAGGTCGCTTCACGTCTTCAGAAGCACCAACATCAGGAGACTTCCTGTCCCCTTCACTGATAGCAACTCCAGAGCCCGTAGATCCCGCGTCATTGAAATCGTCCGGGATGAATATCCCTGCTCTAGTCGCAGCGTCAGCGAATCGGGCCCTATCGACTTCTCTCCTCTCGAATACTCGGAAAGGTTCTCCGGTCCTTTTGGAACGGATCATGTAGTATGCGCAACGAAGGCCGAACGCCCCTGCTGTCCAAAGCATGCTGCCAACGGGTCTGGAATAAGACAAGTCCAATCAGTTTACACTGCTTAGTGTTTGGGAGAAGCAAAACCTACGCGGCGACGAAAGCTCCAAAGGCGGACCAGTCATTGGCGTAGAGGCCCTTCTCCAAGATAAGGAGTCCTCCAGCAGCTGCCGCGTTTCCGTCGTAATAAATAAGACCAAAGAAGAACACCGTCAAGAAGCCTAGAATTGATATGTGAGTTCATAAATTATTGATGAAGTCCCTCTAAGGTACCCACCGCCCAAGCCACCCACAACTACATCAAAGCCATTCAAGAAATACAAGCTCGGTATCAACCCCAACAAAATGGGGGGTAATAGAGCCGCCGATACCAAATCAGCAATCAAGAACAGCACCAAGATGTTTAGGCCTTTTGTAGCCACCACAACAGCAGGGATGTTGACGACGAGGATGATCCTCACCCACCACATGTTGATTTTGTTGCGGAAGACATCGTTGCTGAGAGTGGCAACGATGGCGACCTGGAGTGTATCGTAGGCTGCGCAAGACATCGTCAAGGCGAAAACGATGCAGAAGCCGACAACCCAAGTAGGGAGCGTTGAGAGCAGGATGAAGAAGGATGCGCTGCCCGCGCCTTCGACCTCTGGGTCGATGAGGCCTGCCCACTGTACGATACGTGTCAAAAGTTGTGCGGCAGCAGAAGGTGGAAGGACTCACGTTGGCAAGAATGCCGGAGAATCCGACAAGGGTGAGGATGACAAAAATGAAAATAGTGGCACCGAAGCAACCCCAGAATAAATCTAGACACGTCGTCAGCCACGCGTATACAACAAGAGTAAGTAGCTCACCCTTGTCTGTCTTAGAGGAAAAGGCGCGTTGCCAATAGCCAGATAGGAAGTAATTGTTGAATACAATCTGGAAATTTGCCTCAATATCATGGCAGCGAATACACCAACAGCAGGCTTACGGCGACAGGGAGAACTAGTATGGATCATCAGAATAACAATAGTTTATGATTGAGCGTCGGTTACTTACTATACAGGAGCTGCCAACCGAGCTTGGTAGCGTGGGTCAACCCAGAGTCAGGAATAGCACCCTTATCCTACGATGAACGTTAGTATGGACAAGAAAGGGATACATCTAGCTCAACGTACGATATGCACGTTCACGCCCACTGCAATGGTACATATAATCATCAAGAATATGATCATAACGCCTTGGATGTTATCGGTAATCAGGGATGTGCGTAATCCCCCGACAGCTGCGGCCCAACCTCGTCAGTAAACACAAAGACAATCTTCGTTTGAAGAGCCTACCAGTATACAAAATCGTCACGACTACCTCCACGATTGTTGCAGGAAGACCATTTAATCCTGTCAACGAGTTGATGACGAGGGAAACGGATGTGAGCTCAGAGCACATATACAAGAACTGCAAATGGTGTTAGCTTGCGTGGTATTAGAGTGATATTGGAAAAATATACACACCATCGTCAAGACTGAGAATATGCTGAGGAACAGCGAAGCGACGATGCCAAAGCGTTCGCGGACGTATTCAGTGAGGACGAATCCATGAGGGCAGGCCTTGCGGATGCGAGAAGCGAGGAAGGGGAAGGTCATGATCGGCAACGACGATGCGATCTTTGACATGGAGTTAGTTGAATGTTCAGCAGTGAATAAAGAAAGGATGAGAACGTACTGCATATGTCAAGACGCCTTGCACTCCAGCAATATTGCCAATTTCAGGATACTATCGACAGTGAGACCGCGAGATAGGTCATAAGCAGAGAAGTGGTTACCGTGAATAGAATCCCAGAGCCCAAGCCTACAACAAATGTAAGTATGAACAAACTCGGAGAGAAGGAAAATACTGGAAAAGGCATGTTCCATACGCAGCAATTATGCTGTTCAAGTTCAAACGGTTGTCCGAAGGACTCTCAGCCTTGCCTGCTTCGACAGTCCCCCAAATGGGTGATTGCTCCACAGGCTGCAGCACCCGCAATGCCTTTTACAAACGTACGGTTGGATTGTCCTTTCCATGTCTTTTCCAGTATCTACTGACCAGAGGTAGCGAAGTTCAGTGCGAGAGGTAAAGCTATATTTTACGTCAATTTTTGGGATCCAAGATAAGATAACTCGGAATGCGCACCGGACTGCGTTCGAAGCGAAGCCAGAAAGTCGCTTTTTGACCTGGCGAACTTTATGCCTACGGCTAAACCAAATAGCAGGAAGACGCAGTAGGTGGTGTAGATGATAGCATTTGACGCATGCTCGGAGGGGACTCCCATTGTCGCAGAGGTTGACTAGTTGGGCCGTAGAAAGCTAGGCTGAGGGTCGAAACGATGCATTTATACGTCGACAACACGACCTGTGATAAATGGCGAGAAAAATACCTGCAAGAATGAACGATCCCTGAAGCCAAAATACAACCTCGTTGGGCTGTAGATAACGTTCAGAATCAACCTGCTGAAGGACTGCACCCTGTGAAAATTGCGGGACCTATATCAGGTGATGGGAGATCATAGGAACCCCTGATCCCTCCTATCGTTCTTCTATCTTGGAGCTTGCCAAAAAACGGCAGACGACGACGAACGGATAGGACAGATTGCCTGATGGTGTCCTTCAAATATGTGGCCAACAATGTTGTTCGTATTTTGGACATACAAGAATAAATATCTATTTTTGACGGAGTCTCTGCTGGCCAATGCTGACCAAAGCCTGCTTTCCCGCGAAGACGGTGGGGATAGCCAGTATAGCACCGTACAACAGCACCTGGCCGAGCTTGAGCTCAATCCAGTACCAAAACAGCAACACTTCAAAGGCAGTGAGGGTAGCAACGAAAGGTACGATGCTGGGGGAAAAGAGACGCGGTACACGCGGAGATATTTTGGCCCACTGCTCACGCAACAGTCAGTGACACGTTGGAAATACAAGCATTGGGACGCACCAAGCCAAGTAGGACGACCCAGGGAGCTAGTACCAAAGCGGAGAAAGCCGCAGAAATAGTTGTCGGGGGCAGTTTCTGATCGGGACGGAAAGTGTGCTGGATGACTGGAAGCGGATGGAAGGAGGCCTCGTCTGGGTGCTGAGGTGGTGGGTGCGAAGCGGGGACATAGAGGTCGAACAGCTCAATCTTGAGGGGTGAGTGCACGTGCGAACCAATGATGAGGGTGACTTTCAAGGGATCTTTCGATGTCGGAGGCAAAGACAACGGAGGTTTTGCCATATTCTGAAACCCTTGAATGATATGAGACACAAAGTGGCGGTGGGGCCGACTTACCAGTTCGAATTTGGCCTTCCCCGCGCTGTTAACTCGTAGCGGCTGAATCCCCTCCTCCTGCGAAACCTCGTCGTAGAAGCGGAGAAAGGTCTGGTGCGGTTGAACACCATTTCCAGAGTCCTTCTCGATCACTTGGAAGGTGATTTTGAGGGTATCGGTGGGCCCTAGGCTAAGGGGAGGTGAAGCCTTTTTCACCAGAGATATCCTGCGTGGTGTCCTTCAGTAGCCTCGCACGCGCTGGCTGAGAAAGGACATTGCTTACGGTTCCGCTCGTGCTTGAGATGCATTTGTGGAAGTAATCGTAAATCTCGGCGACTGGAGTGTCAGAACCGACGCCTGCACGAGCGGTACGAGGAGGATGAGTGCACCCAAGAGCATCATGGAAGTAAATGGTTATGAACTGGAATTGAGGAGACGTGTAACGAGGGAAGATCACGTGTGGTTGCTGGATAGGAGATATGGGGGGAAAGGAATCATCGGAGAACATCGTTTAAAGGATAACCTGCTCTAGAATATCCCCCAAGGCGAGCAAATATTATCTATGAAAATTTCAGATGTCACTTGATGTCTTTTGAGGATCCTACTCGTGCTGTCGTTTGACTTTGCCCATGCACTCACACATCGGACGACATGCGTGTGTCCGTATAACTGGGAGAGAGTAGACACTAAATTTACTCATTGAAAACTTATAATGGACTATCCATTTTCTATCACTAATACCTCAATTGAGGACTGTTATCGCACGTCAAACCCAGCGATCCAATCGCAAAACTGTAGATATGATGGAGCACGATGATCCAAATAGCCCGATTTCTTCTTGGAAAGGTATAGGTAAAAAACTTGTGAATCAAATTTGAGCCCACAGCACTTTACTAGACCTTACTCCAGTGGACTATAGAAGCTCCTATTTCGAGCTCTGAGCACGTGTCGTCTTCGCGATCGAAGGGATGGAAGTCAGTCCTCAGACAGTCGCCACTCAGAAACATGTCAGCGAAGCCCTCCAAGCGACAGCGACGCCGCAAGGCGACGGATGAAACCAAAATTACACCCTGTTACCCCCACACCATCCCGGTCGAAGTTCTTGCAGAGATCTTGACTCTTTGTACTTCTCCTAAAGATCTGCTCGCAATTGCACGATGCAGCAAATATCTCTGTTCTACATTAGTCGATGTCCGCAACTCTTTCATATGGCGACGTGTGAGGGAGACCATGACCCCTGAGGCTCTGCCAGACCCATTGCCGATGTTTCCTGAACCAGCATACGCAGCATTTGTATTTGACGGTGGCCATTGCGCGGTGCGTATGATTCAGTATCATTACTATGATGTCTAGCATACTCATGCGAGTGGAACAGGTCTGCCAGAAGTATGTAACGAGAAGCTATGCGTCCTTCGCGTTGAGGATTCGCCTTTGCTTTTCGGTGAGTGATGTGATACACTCATTTGGCGTAAGACACTATGTTCGCGGTATTTAGCCTCAATGCTGCAAAACTATCGTGTAATATTGCTCGCTACGTTCAATCCTAATCTCCGACCTGATCATACCAATTTCAGATCTCAAATGCACCCGATGAGTATGCGGGGTCCGGACATTCACTTACGAAGATGGTACCTTGTGGCCGAAAATGATGTCTGCTTCGGTTCGTCATACATTTATCTATCTGACTATCTGAGATTCCTCGCCAACTATGTCAATAGAAGGCAGCATAGAGCTGCTTCATTCTTGGCCAACTGGGCAAAAATTGTACATGCGGAGAGAAGATCGGGACGCCGCAGCCGCTCAGTTCCTGCTCACAGAAATCTCTCCAGAGGCGAGGACTGCTTACATCCAGGAACGTGATACTAACCGTGCTTGGGTTCAAGTGCATATGGAGGTCAGTGTTTTCATTGCATGTTGTTCATTCAGGCATGATTGTGCGTAGTTCTATGCTAGACTGTTCGCATGGTACCGCAGGTATCGTGCCCATCGAAAGACTTGCAAAGTCCTGAATGACCAGATGTGTGTATAGTCAACTATCGTTGGTCGTGGCCATCGCTAACACCATGACAGAGCTAAAACTATTTGCGCACGGTGGGGCTGGAATTTTTGGGACCTCAAGACTACGAAGGCCTTCAGTACTCTATATGCACTTCGGAGTGGTGATGGTCAAGAAATATCGAATCAAGGTACGTTGATCGTCTGTACCCCGTGCTGTGTAGTCCCTCACTCCCACAAGATCTCGAGGTTATTTCCAAGACAGTCTCAGATGAGATGATTGTCAAAATCGAGAAGAATCACAACCGGAAGGAGCTATTGGCGCAAAGGGAACGGATCCGCATCATTGAAAACCACTATAATCGTCTTCGATCCTCAGAAGGAAACGCGAGGATGATTCTGCCAAATCTAGCCACATTCAAAACATTCCCCATCATCTCTTCGTTGCAAACCGCGTCGGCCGACGTCGATACGGACATGGACGCACAGTTGAAGTCGAATGGGCTAGTATTGAAAGTATTGAACGACGAGATCAAGCAATGGGTGAATGATGCTAAGGCGAGGATGTGCTGCATATTGGGGTCTCCGGGATGGAAGACCTCAGACCTGAAGGGTCTCCATCTTGTTCAGAGGGTTGATGCTCGGTTTGTGTGCATGAGGTGCGAGGGGACCAGGAAAGATGATTTCATCGGCAAGAAGCGCAGTCTAGAATTCAAGGATGCCTGCGGACACAGTTGTCCATCTTTGGGCGCGGAGAACGCTAAATGGAACGCAGATTGGTTCAGAGCAGATGAGAAGGTATGATTTCTTTAGCATTGCCTCTAACACAAACTCCGTATGCATTGTCAACGACGCTTATGTGCAGGCTATAAACGTGATCACGAAGGTTCTGGTGGCCACCTCCGTTGATCCTAGTTTCCCTGAGTCTTTATCGGAACTGAAAGGTATGGGGTCTGTCTTTGCATGCTCCTCATGCGAAGCGGCCATTGTAATGGGTTTTGAGGCCATCGTATGTGGCCCTTAGCTCCAAAGACTGTCCCCCTGACTAATTTCAATTCAATATCAGGCCGAACACGCTCATCGACACGATAATATGGAGGTCGCCGTGCTGAAGCAATACGAAGCGAATCTTATCTTAACGCACCCAATCGCACACGGGCTTACGAAGAAGATTCTTGTTGGCTCAGAGAAATCTCTGCAACCAATGAAAAGATTTGGTTGTAGACATTGCTTGCAATCGAGAACAGGCAAACATATAGCTGGTACGGTTGGTACGAACACCAGCAAAGCAACTGATGCTGCCGCCCCACCCACGAAAAAGGCGGAAGAAGGGAAAGAGAAGTTGGGTTTGTTCACCTTTAACGGGCTACGATCGCACGTTAAAGCGAAGTGCGTAGTATATTCCCCGTCATAACTTTAGACATTGGTATTTTTGTGCTGACTATTCTCGACGTCTTGATCAGGCACGGCGTCCTTGCGGTTCGAGATGAAGATTACTTCTACAATGACCCCCACTCCGCCACTTCGCTGCCACCGAAGTCTCTAAGTGACTACTTATTCGAAGCGCTGTGGCGTCAGTGATCTATTCTGGGCGTATCTAAATTTGCAGTGAATTGAGCTTGCCTTATCTGCTGGACCAGTCCTAGAAGTACACGTGAGGTCGCCATCAAAAACCATCAGACGAGACGGAGAACAAGTATGCGCTTACCTAGGTGAGATGAGATACCATCGCCTCGTCTCACGCCGTGGTCACTTTTCATCATCATCCTTCCAAAGTTTCCACATCTGACTCTAAGCGACACGGCGGGGCTGCTTGTTCTCTACCACCCACACGTCACTTTGATCACACCGTCCCGACTTACGACACATCGGTCACACAGTCGGTCTTCTCGAGATGGTATACCCGCGTGTGCTTGTATGTGGTCCTCGTGGCAAGTTCGGGTCATGTTGGGCTTCTTTTTTGCCTGAAATGGTTCAAGCACGAAGGCACGACTATACGAACGCGGTTGTCTTGCCTCTGCTATTCTGTTTCTCCTTAAATGCGTGAGTGCGGGAGGGCCACGTCAGACAGGGCACATTGCCCAACTTTAGCCCTGCCCAACTGTATGATGTTCCGTCCCTCGTCGGGGAGGGAGAAGTCGCTGGGCGTGTTGGAATGCGCACGCGCCAGGATGTTGTGCATCCATTTCCCGGTGGCTTCGATAATGATAAGCTTCTATAAAGGCTCGAGAAAAGCCCATAAATTCCCATCACCCCACCTCACCCACAAAACAATAGGGAGTCGACATGAGGGTTGCTTCACAATACGCGATTGCTCTAGCTTTGGTCTCATATTCTCTTGCTGGTACTGTCCAGAAGCCCAACCTCGTTCTGCCCAAGGGCTCGAAGCAACATCGCGATGCGGTGACGAAGATTTTCGTAGACAGTTATGAAGCGTATAGGTGAGCAAAGTAGCCTTGACATCTACACGACCTAATGATCACTTTGGTGAAGGACATTTGCGTTTGGACATGATGATCTCTCCCCAGAGAGTCAGTCATTCAGTGACGGTCGCAACGGTTGGGGAGCAACAATCGTGGACGCACTACCCACGATGGCCATCATGGGGCTTGAGGTTCGTTATTCGCATCATGCATCACTCATCCCTCGGGAATCTCACCGGCAATACTCTAGGATTTCTTTACCGAAGGGCTAAAATTCTCAAGTAACATCGACTTCAGCAAGTCTCAGACACCTGATACCGTCAGGTCTGTGTTTGTGTTGCCTTGATTCTTGTGTTACATATCTTTAACTTGGTGTGTAGTGTGTTCGAAACCACCATTAGGTACTTGGGGGGGCTGTTAAGCGCGTATGAGCTTAGCGGACAGAAATTCCCAGTTCTGGTGGAGAAGGCGAAGGAGGTCGCTGACAAGATGGCATTCGCTTGGGTCGGAGTGAGTAGAAGCTTCTTTTCTCCAGAATGCGTAATATTGATGTCGGTGTTATTGAGGATAATAAAGTACCATTTGGCTTCGTTGATTTCTCGACAAACACTCCGACCAAAGCTACTGTAAGTATTTTGCGTCTAAGGCTACAGACCAAATGTCTCATCTTTATCTGGATAGTCTAATATTGCCGAAGCTGGAACGGTATGTCAAAGTTGGGAGTTGTACATCTCGATGCCAATTGGGTCAATGTCTAGCTCGCACTGGAATGGTCCACACTGAGCAAGTACACTGGCAATGATACGTACAGACGACTTGCAGAGGGTTCCCTGAGACAGATAGCTAGTTTGGTAAGTATCTATCTGACTATTCAGCTGACTGTGAACGCTCATGTCCTTGTGTCTGGCAGCCTGATCCTCTCCCTGGTGGGACCTCCTGTTACCTCAAGGGAAGAGTAATGCTAACTATAATGACTATTCAGGACTTGCGGCTCAAGGAATCAATCCCGCTACTGGGCAATCAGTCGGGGCCTTTGTTGTAAGAACCCTTCGGGCGCCTATAGAAAAGAGAACTCAAAGCGCTTTAGACTTGGGGAGGTGGCTCGGATAGCTACTTCGAATATCTCATCAAATACGCACGGCTCAGCAACACAGACGACCCCGTTTTCGCTGATACTTGGGCTACAGCGGTCGACTCCTCCATCAAGACGTTGTTGAGAGTCAGTGTCATATCGTTGGAATGCTGACACTTACAATAACTAATGAGAGTAGACTTCTACGGTGGGGAACTTCACATATCTGGCCGACTTCGACAACAACAGGCAGATTCGTCACGTTGGTTCGCACCTCGCATGCTTCCACGGCGGCAACTGGATATTGGGTGGTAAACTCCTCAACAACCAAACACTCGTTGACATCGGGTTGAAGTTAGTAGATGCGTGCATAAACACATATACCGGCACTGCGTAGGTCACTTTTCTCTATTGTGTTTCAAGTTCGTCTTCACTTACTGCGCTAAATAGCACGGGGATTGGCCCAGAGTCCTTCGCCTACATATCCGCAGACGGTAGCTTTACTGGTTCCAGTGGCCGTCCTACTGCAGACCAGCTTGCATTCAACGACAAGCACGGTTTCTACATCACAGGCTCAGACTATATCCTCCGCCCCGAAGTCCTGGAATCTAACTTCTACGCGTGGCGAGTGACTGGGGACACGAAGTACCTCGACAACGCCGCCGCCGCAATCGATAGCTTCAACAAGTTCCTACCCGCCACCGTTGGGTTCGCTGGCATAGATGACGTCAATGACCCGAATTCGGAGAAGATTGACGATACGGAGAGTTTCTGGTTTGCAGAAGTTCTAAAATATCTGTACGTTATGTCCTTCATTACCGACATTAAACCGCAGACTCAAACATCATGCTACATCAGATACCTAACCTTCGATGATCCCGAGCATATAAGCCTCGACGATTGTGAGTCGTCAAATGATTTCAGACGTGGCCACACATTGACAACAACGTCACAGTTGTGTTCAACACCGAGGCCCAGCCATTCATCGCACCGAAGGCAAAAGGGACGTACGGTAGTGGCGCTATTCGAGGACCTAGACCTTTCAAAGCGCAAAGCGGCCCATTGCCCGAAATTAGCCCTAATCCATTCCTCCCTCAACCCCTCAAGAAGATCACCAATCCTCAGTCTTAGGGATTTTGTACCCGTATTTAATTTTTGCGAGCTAGTGTACACTTCCTATAGGAGATTTGGCGTCCATCCATTTCTCATATTCGGTCCTGTATAAATCAATACAGCGTAAATGACATAGAAGACACTCGTCGTCCTCAAGATACAGGCAACATGTATTCAGGGGCTCGTCATAGGAGTCTTCAGGACCGATTGCTCCAGCCTTGGCCTCTAGTATCCGAAGAAGTTAAGTACCGGTTATGCACAGTTGCAATACTAATTTCCGTATCAAGCCCTAACAAATTTTACCCCCTGCGAGTAGAGATACATGTTTGGGCAGATGGTCCATCATGTTCGCTCATGTTCGCCGCCGTTATTGTCATATCGCCCGGCTAAGGGTGACGTGACAATCGCTATCCAGAATATGCGATGCCGACGGAACATTCTCGAATATATTCGCCGACGAGGTCGCGGGCGGCGCTGCTGCAGTGATTGATAGGTGGCGCTTGGGTGAGCGCCGCATTTGCGCAAAGGCGCCGACACGCATCGTAGCTATTACAGATGAGGATTTGTGCTGTATTGGTGCCGCAAGATGAATGCCATAAGGCTGATCTCTGGGACCAACATAGATCGATGGGAAAGCAGACCACCGGTTTTAAATCCGGATACCCCTAGCGAGCCGATTATGTTTGCAGTATATCGGTCACGTGGCTAGTAGCTCTTACAGCAAGGATCATCTAGCAAATTCCTTAGAACTCTTGCTGACCGAATAAACTGAATCTTTCTTTGAAGCCCCCGCCATCTTCCCCCCGTTCGCACACTCCAACAAACTACTCCTTGATTCTCGCGAAATGGCGGATGTCAGTCGAGGCTTGCCATTACTCAGCGGAGTGCCGCCATCACCCAACGAACCCGAAAGCTCGTGTCGGAAATGCAGCAAAGAGTTCAACATTATATTCGCAAGGTCCAGAAGATGCAATCATTGCGGTATGATTCTACTGCTCCCTTTCACCGCGAGTTCGACGGCTTAGTCTACCAGGATATTCGTATTGTCACAGCTGTTCAGATTACCTAGCGTTGATGCCTCGCTCCGGAAATGAGGCGGGGTACGACGCTCAGAGTGTCTGCGCTTATTGCATTGAATACCTCAACAGTGAGTTCTAGTCGCACTTACGCCCCCTGGAGCATCTACCAACGCTGGCGCCGCAGTCACCGCCGCTGGACGGGGGCAGCTAAGATCTATGCCGTTGGGGAAACTTCGAAAGTACGTTACAGCGTATAACATCAGAGTCGGACGTGTTGTCGAGAAGGATGATCTGATTGACAAGATCATGTCGGTGAGGGTGAGTGCATTCGTTCGCTAGACCCCCGTGTCCCCTCAATGCGCAGCGTTCAAGGGACCTAATGGCTGCCTGCCTCCTGAGTGTGAAGTAGGACTTATTTATACGGTTCACAACCTTCGATTTCTCACCTAGTGCCCTCTAGGCCTTCTACCGACGGTGCTCTGTACCAGCGCGACCAGGTGTCCGCCCCCGAGGATTCTTCTCCTCCCGTAGTCCAGATGATCTCCCTCCCCCGACAACACAAATGCCCCAGCGGCAGCCTACGCAAGAGTTCGCCAGGCCTGACCTTGCTGCAGATGATCCCCCACCTGTTCCTCCAAGATACCCTCCGCCTCCAGGTCCCCCTCCGAGACCCCCGCCACAGACGCCTCCGCGCCCACAATACCACTATACGCCGCCTCCGCCTCCGCCTCGCCCACAGCCCCAGGCGCCACCGCCGAATAACGCGTCACGCCCATGGGGTGCTTATCCGGGGCAAAGCCCCTACACCAATCAGTCCGCATCGCGTTCCTCTCAGAATTTCTCCGGTCAATCCTACAACACAACGCCCCCTCGCCAGCGGGCCGCTTCATCATCGCCTCCCAGTCGTACCGCGCAACCGCCTCCACCCACGCTGGACGAGCTTCTGGCTATGTCCGAGGCGTCGATGGCTTCGCTTTCCATCGGAAATCTGAAGTCAATATTGTTTAGCAATCACGTCAATGCCGGTCTTATCTTGGAGAAAGCAGAGCTTGTGAAGAAGGTGCATGATTTGGTTGAGGATGAACGGCGTGAGAGAGAACGGATGGAGAGGCAGCATCAGCTGGAGGAGGAGGAGGAAAGAGAGCGAATTAGAGTGCAGAGGGAGGAGGCGGAGCAGGAGGAGAGGCGGAGAAGAGAAAAGGCGGCGCAAGAGGCCGAAGCAGCATCAAATACAAACACCAATCAAGACGAACCCTCTGCATCGACCTCATCGCCCGCCGTGCCAACTGACATAAATATGGAACGCGAGACATCGAACCCACAACCCAAGTCTGAACCCATAGCGGCCCCAACTTTTCCAAAGTCTAATATTTCTGCCTTTGAAAGAAATGGCTTATGTGTGATTTGCCAGGACGAAGAAGCCAATATCGCCATCGTCGATTGCGGGTGTGTCTCACACTGTCTTCTATTCATGCTATTTATACTGACCTGTGTCCTACTATTAGACATCTCGCTATGTGCAGGGGCTGTTCAGACCTTATAATGGCCAGTTCGCGCGAATGCCCGCTATGCCGTACGCGAATAGTGACAGAGGCGAGATTGCTGCGTATCTTTAAGACTTGAAGGAATGGACCTTGTACCCGTACCCGTGTCGTATGACTCTTATCTACGTTTATTGTATAGTAGAGCCGAATTTATATCAATGGAACCAGTAATACAGCTTGCCGGGCACGAGTCATTCATATACATAGCTGTACAGCTTCTCTACATAAACACGCATACGGCGTTACTTTGTCTTCATAAACGACAACTATGATAGTCGTTACTTTTGTGAGTGATTTTTCCCCCAGTTGCGGGACCCTTGATATGACAGGTTTTCTACCAGATTCGACATGGACAGTCACTAGACAATACTGTGAGTTCATTCCAGAAGCAAAGAATGTCAGAACCGGGCTGATGGGCACCAGAAACACATCTGGGCAGGCTGGAAAGATGTTCCACTATCTGATCTTGGTGCGTGCGTAGGCCTTCATTTAGAACCACTCATTAATTCTCCTGACAGGGCTCCAAGTACGTCTACGAAAGCCCGCCTTCTCGATGGTGCGCCTTATTTGGTAACCTCCCATAGCAAGCAAAAGCACTAGCCGAGGCCCTTCAGAGCACCCGGTTCGGTGCCATATATGCCTCGGATCTTCTTCGTGCACACCAAACAGCCAAGTCTCTGCACGAGGGCCAAGTAGAGCCTCCCTCGGACGTCGTCGTCAACCCCAAGCTTCGCGAGCAGAATTTCGGCATCGCGGAGGGAAATCCATGGGCATTCCGAAGCGATTTTGAGAAGTCGCTCCAAGACCATTACGACGAGGGCATATTCCCTGTGCTGTTTGAGAGGCACGAGAAGTTTCCTGGTGGAGAGAGCAGGGACGACGTTGCTCGGCGGTGCGAGGAGGCGATTAGGGAGACTGTGCTCTCGCATTTGCCAGAGCACGGAGGAGAGGAGGGGGTGTTCCACGTCGCGGTCGCCAGCCATGGGGTGTGCATTGGCGAGCTCATCGGAGCGTTGAAGCGCCTTGATCCGAGCCAAATAGAAGATCAGGCCGCCGACTCGTACGCAGGACTGAGAAACACGGCGTGGACCAGAGTCCACATTACGGCCAAGGTGAGCACAGCGCTTTCGGCTTCATCCGCAAGCTCAGGACGCACGTACAGGGAGAAGTGGGGGCCATCGACGCTGGAAGCCTGCCCCAGCTAACCGTTCGCGTCGTGGAGGTCAACAATAGAGACCACTTGAAAGCCCTGGTGCGTGTACTTGATTTACTTGGATAGCGTTTGAGACCGAATGAACATCCTTTTCGAAAAAGTACGGACACGCCGAGGAACCTCCCAGCAAGCTCGACGAGCAGTGGCGCGCGCATAAGGCTGCGTCCAAGCTTGCCGCCAACACCATCCAGAACCCCGAGGCTTGAGCGCTGGGCTTTAAGCCCCAATTTTGCGGGAGTCTTCTGCTAGTACATATAAACTTCTAATTGATGAATACTTCTCCAAATCATTGAAGTCGGAGCAGGGAATGGGACTTGCCAAGACCAGACAGATTTACGCTGATCCTGATTCAATACCATTTCTCAGGCTGCCGTATGCTTGCGAATCCGATTCGGGATATGCTGCACCATAGTTGGGTGATGCTGAGCACTGTTATTCCACACGCTGCGCCAACAATCATTTCCGAGTCGCATCAATTGCTCATCCGACGGTCATGCCAACGGCCTCTACTCATGTCATGAATAACTTATAGGAGACTGGTGACGGTCTCAAGAAGTGCAACTACGACAACCACCACTTCAAGGCGACTCGACTCACTCGAGCCCGAGCTCGAAGATGCAAGCCAATACCACCAACCTCATAATCGCCGCATCATCCATATTTGTGATATCCAGGGTGGTCAAATTCATTAATGGGCTCAAGGTACGTCTATGAAGCTCGCGTCGGCGCTGGATGAGGCTGGAACGTCGAACGTGCAATGGGGCCTTGATGCTGACGAAAATACAGGCGGTGAACTACCTTCCAGGGTACAGGATACCCTTTTGGCCCCTCTGCCTGCCCGGGGCCGTGCTACCGACAACATGGTGGAACGTGGGCATGGCGTTTCCGTGGCGGCGACGGTTCGACGGTACGTCTTTATATTTATCTTCAAGGTCGTCTCTGCCCGCCGTGTGTACTAACGCGCCCTGGAACAGCGTATCGGCAGTTCAACAATGAAAGTTTCTCCATTGTCCCCTGGCTTGTCGGACCTGCTGGAATCTACACCTCGAACATTGACGTTGGCCGGCAAGTGATAGCAGGAGGCCACAAGACGTCTTTCATCAAACCTGAGGAGGCCAGCCAGTCGCTTTTGTACGGCATTCGTCTTCTAAACACGGCAGCATTTCTAACGCATAGGGGTACGCAGATTATGGGGCATGAACCTAGTAGCTGCCGAAGGTGATACCTGGAGGAAGCACCGACGAGTAATGGGCCCAGCATTCAACAATAGTTTGTAGGTACTCACTTCCTCGTTGTGACGACGCCACCCATGTCACTACTGTCCTAGATACAACCTTGTCTGGGAGCGGACGCTCCAGACCTACCATGAGATGGTGCGCGCAGAAGGCTGGGCTGATAAAGACATCGCGGAGGTGCCCGCTGTCCAGAAACTGACCTTTAAGGTACTCTAGGCTATTTAACGTCGTTTGCTTGGGGTCTGAATTTCGAATTTCGTAGCTCGCTCTTCTTATCATCGGCCACTGTGCGTTTGGATTCCCCTTCGACTGGTCCACACCTGCAAACCTCTCCGATGGTTTGATGTCCGTCCAGGAGGCTCTCCGGATCGTCGCTGACACGCATATGTTCTCCGTCATTGCACCGAAATGGGTATACAAGCTCCCTATAAAATGGTTAGTGGACCATTACCCTCGCAAGCCTATGTTCATGGCTATTGCAATCAGGATCCAGGAAAGTCGCATCGCCCATGAACAACTGGCGAAATTCATGCGTGACCAAGTGGCTGACCGTAAGCAGGCCTTGCATGCAGCGCAGAGCGACAAGGGAGCTCTTGGAAGGGATGCGTTTTCGATGCTGGTTGCAGCGAATGAGTCTGAGAACGAGAAGCTTAAGCTGAGTGATCAGGAACTCATCGGGAACGTTTTTATTATGTTGTTTGCTGGTCATGGTGCGCATATATGCACATTTTTTATGTTGCTGGTCTCGATGGTAACCTCGGTGCTCACAGAAACAACTGCGCACACTCTTGCGGCAACTCTGGGATTCATGGGCTTATATGAAGATATCCAGGAAGATGTTTTCCGGCAAATAGTAGATATTGTTGGTCTCGATCGTGATCCTGTGTGTTACCATCGCCCCACATTCCCTAGTCTATTCGACCCTTCTAATCTCCTCCCCCGCAACCCCGCAGACAATGGAAGACTACCCCAAGCTGACAAAAGTGACTGCGGCGTTCTACGAGTCGCTCCGAATGTTCCGTGAGTGCGATGTGTCGTACCAAAGCAAGTTATATTTATCTGACATATTCACGCCGTCGCGCTCGTGCGGATGTCCGTGGTGACTACAGCGGCTGGCCACTTGATGATCCGCGAGGCCTGTGAGGATACGACGCTATCCATCCCTAATCCCGTCGGTCAGGAGGGCAGTGAGACCATCCCTGTCCCCAAGGGGACGCAGGTCAGATGTTTTCTTTTTTGTATGTCATGCGAGTGCTCATGACATCTTCAGGTGGTGGTCGACATGGTTGGCGTCCGTAAGTGCATCATCTACAGCTTCGCTTCTCCATATTGACGTAGCCACCCCGCACTCGTGCTTCTTTTCAGAATACAACCCTCGATACTTCAAGGAACCTGAGAAATTCAAGCCCTCGCGGTGGGAAGGCGTATCCAACGAATCGGAGAGTTTCACGGCGTTCAGCGTTGGTGAGCACGATTCATGCCTTTTTGCTTCCGTACACCCGTACTTATGGAATTATCGCGATCAGGCCCGCGGATGTGCATTGGCCGTAAATTCGCGATCACCGAATCCGTGTGCTGGTTGACGATGCTTCTCCGCGAATGGCGCGTCGAACCGATTTTGCAGCCTGGTGAGACGAAGGAGCAGTGGCAACGTCGGGTGATGGATGCCAAGCTTGTCCTGACGCTGGGCGTCGCCGACGTGCCAGTCAGATTCGTGAGGAGGACGAGGGCGTAGTATGATTTCACCGGTAACTTCCACTATATCCGACCAATTTAGATCGGCTTCGGGCCTTCGCTGAGGTCATTATTCTGAGGTCAGTCAAGCTCAAGATCAAGGGGGATGTATCTGCTTCTTCAGGGCGTTCATGGGAGTGGAAATTGCTCGGCTTGCTGCTGTGATGCATGTGGCGATAGTCCCATAGTCGCCGTTCGATGTGTTCCAGAATTCCAGCCTGGGCCTTCCGGACGGATAACCGACAATGTGAGATACGCGGTCCTCCGAATCTGCGTCTTCATGGTACTGCCTCCGCTGAGTCCCTTCGAGCTGACCGAGGCTTGGAGTCTGGCTGCTGATGCTGCGTCGCAAGGCGCGGACGGAGCGATTGGGGCCCAGACTCATTTGTGAGCCTCAGGATAGCTCAGGATGCATCGATGAAACCCCGCATGCAATACTCAGGGGCTTGCGCGATAATGAACTGGATAAATAGCGGCAGCTCCACTCCTCATCCCATCCAACCTCTTATCCATCGTCTCACTTACACTCCAGAGAAACTGCAATGCCTCCTCAATACATCATCCCCAAGACCCAGAAGGCCGCCGTCGTCGCCTCTGCTGGCGCGACCGTCGAAATCAAAGAAGTCCCCGTCAAGACAGAAGCTGAGCTCGCCCCTGGCGAGTGCCTGGTCAAGCTTCACTGCACCGGTGTCTGCCACACAGATCTCCACGCCGCGTTGGGCGATTGGCCATTGAAGGCGAATACGCCTTTGATTGGCGGCCACGAAGGTGTAGGAGAAATCGTCGCCATTGGCCCGAACACCGCGTCTTCCCCTGTCAAGATTGGAGATCGTGTCGGTATCAAGTGGTTAGCCGACTCGTAAGTCTTCTCTTTGCGAGGTGTAGGCGCAATTATTGATTAGGTTTTGATGATCAGTTGCCTCGATTGTGAACATTGCCGAAAAGGGCGCGAGCAAAGTGTGTATATATATGCGTCAAACTTTAACGGGAAGCTGACAATGAATCGATTGTGATAGACTGCCTCAAGGCCAAGCTCAGCGGCTTCAATGTTGACGGAACTTTTGCCGAATACGTCGTCTCATATGTTCACCACGTTACGCCGATACCAGAGGGTATCGACAGCAACTCTGCTGCCTCGATTCTTTGCGCTGTGAGTATTTCCTGACCTCCGGAAAGATCGCATTGATTTATGAGTTTTTGAATAGGGTGTAACTGTTTATCGTGCTATTAAATACAGCCAGACCGAGGCCGGTGACTGGATCGTCCTTCCTGGTGCTGGAGGAGGCCTTGGTCATCTCGGTCAGTCTACTTCTCCATTTGGACATAACCATATGTACTCACATTCTCTTTGCAGCCATTCAATACGCACGCGTTCGCGGTCTCCGTGTCATCGCCATCGACAGCGGCGAGGAGAAGAAGAAGCTCTGTCTCGAACTCGGCGCCGAAGTGTGGATCGACTTTAAGGAGTCCAAAGACATCGTCGCTGACGTCAAGGCCGCCACCGGGGGCGAGGGCGCACACTCCGCCGTCGTCACCACCGCTTCGCCTTCTGGCTACAAGCAGGCAGTCGACTATCTCCGTTGTGGAGGAACTCTTATGGCTGTCGGCCTGCCCGGACAGGCGGGGTTGGAAGCGTCGATCTTCTTCACGGTGTTCAAGAGCATCAGCATCCTTGGATCTTACGTTGGAAACCGACAGGATGCTCGCGAGGCTGTTGACATTGCTGCTCGTGGCCAAGTCAGATGTGTTTACGCGAAGAAGGCCCTGCCCGATCTCAAAGAGTACGCACCATTCTACTATATAATAGTACCCCAACTAACCTGATTGTTCGACAGTGTCTACGAAGGCATCACCAACGGTTCCGTCGCCGGCCGTGTCGTCCTCGATATGACAGAACAGTAAACGCACATTAAAAGTCTCATGTTCACGGACATGCCACACGAACTTGTGAACTGCGCAGTGTACAAATTGTTGTTTATCATTTCACTTTATAAGTTGCACGATTGACGCGGATGTTGTAGATTACCATAAGCTGTGGGGTGTTTAGTAGCAGACATAAAATGTATACCTAGGATTGTCGTTCTCCGAAATACTTCCACTTTCTGCGCTTGTTTTTGAATCTGAGATCATGACTGAAGCTTGTAGACTTGGCACGACGTATTTCTCCCTTTGGTCAACCAAATTGGCAATAGGGTGCTCAGGGGTTAGTTTTCTCACGCTTCGCGTCACGCTTGACGCGTTACCTGTGCTTCCAAGTCTTGCGAAGTTCCCTTCATGATCTATGTACTGAATGATGACTAGCCTGCCACCAGGCAGTTCCAACCATACATTTGCTCTCGAAATAGGTCGGATGAATGCATTTACAAAATATATATCCACGTCGCGCAAGGACCCTCTTTCTTCAACGCTGTTATTTAATATATCATCAGGCTTATGGGTCGTTCTTGACTTCTAGGGCATCCATGGCCGCTAGAAACCTGCTTCGGATCTATGTTGCCCCACTTCAAATTTTTCGTGGACTGGAAGGCATACGAACCCATTGGGATAGACCTCCATAGGCACTACTAACTGCCCTTGGCACCAGGCATGACTTCATTCGCTATGATGCACCGCAAGATCATTGTTCTGGAGGCCGATGCGTGTCATCTCGGTCGCGTTGCCGTTCATATTTACGACATACCTGGTGGTCTGCTGGTACGATGTATATCGGGCGGGGATGCCGGTATGGAACTCTCATCAAGCAGGAACGGCTGCTGACGCTGCGCCAGTAGTCTTGTTTGAGGTACCGCCCTCACCACTTTGATGATGGGAAGTCAGGGGACTGACTGGCTACTAGCGGGAAACGATAAATAGCCAAAAATAGACGCCACGGCGCAGCTGGCCAAGAATCGCGCGCGCACCGAGTTTACAACGGTGCTGTGAGGCTTCAAATTACTCCTATGGCTGTTCGAAAGCCCAGCGCATCTCAATTTGATCAGCCGTCACTGATTTATTTCTCGGTGCGCAGGCGGTCCGGAATCGAGCTTCGCCGTACACGCTACTCCAAGGTTTGTTCCGTGCCCTTCGAACTTGGGGTAAGGCCGCCAACACGAAGCATCGAACGAACACCTCTCCATCGGCACGCGGCTTACAGCCATCATACTGCTCCAACGTTCCACTTCTGGACTCCGCGAGCGCAGATTTAGGGTCTATGGAAGCTCCTTCCTCGTTAAGAATCCAAAGCACAGGATTATATTGGCGAAAGGTATAAAAGCAAGCCGCATATCGGGGAGGATATTCGACAACTCAGTCACACAACAGTCTTCAGCAACATAGTCAACATGAAGTACATTCAAGCTACCAGTCTCCTTCTCGCCAGCGCCTTGGGTGCGCAAGCTCGCACGTTCACCGTGACGAACAACTGCCCCTTCACAATCTGGTATGTGCCATCCCAAGCAACGGTCAATAATCCCTTTGCTGACCTTTTACGCTCTCTAGGCCTGCTGTGAGTGCACCAGCGATAGTGATTAGTGTGCACTGACAAATTCAAACAGCTCTTCACCGACTTGAACGTCGGTGCAAGCGTACCCGACCAAGCTACGGGGTACGCTGGTTATACACTCCAAAGGAAATTCACCCGCTAATCCGCAATGTCCTTCTAGCTGGGAAGCCCCTGCTGGGTCGACGGTCTCCTTCAACGTTCCGAACGACTGGAGGGCAGGAAGAATCTGGGTACGTATCGTTTTCGTAAACACCATGCATACTTGATATTCAAACGGCGTAAAATAGGGCCGCCGAAACTGCGACTTCAGCACGAACCCCGGTCCCACCTCCTGCCTTTCTGGCGGTTGCAACGGTGGATTGCTGTGCGACGCCCGCACTGGGACGGTATGCATCATCATATCCCCCACCGCTTCTTCTCTGACGGCGCTTTGTTATTAGGGTGTCCCACCAGTTTCAGTCGCCGAGTGGACCTTACAAGGCGACGAGAACAGAGATTTCTATGATGGTATGATTTCATCATCGTTTGACGTATTTGTAGTTCACTGAATTTGCAATTCTGCAGTGTCGCTCGTTGACGGTTTCAACCTCCCCATGTCGATTACCAACAACCGAGGCTGTCCCACGGCTTCATGCCCAGTTGACCTCGACGCTAGCTGTATGTGATCATCGTTGTGGATTCTGATACTTTGTCCGGTGCTAAGATTGGATCATAGGCCCCGCCGAATTGGGCGGTCCAACCGACGCCAATGGCGCCCGTCTTGGATGTAACAGTGCATGCACCGCCAATTTGGATGGCAACCCCGGTGTGTATAGTAATAACCCTTCGCGCATCTTTGATCTCACACGCACGTCTGATAGCTGACTCGGCGAACTGCTGCTCCGGAAGTCACAACACTCTGGAGACTTGCCCCAGCTCAGGTAGGTCGATTCAGAATTTAGAGCCGCCGCTCTGACTGACATCGCAATTCAAAGGCGTCCAAGACTACAACTTCTTCAGTGAGTTTCATGAATTTGATAGTCAATACAGAGCTGATACATAGGAATTCACAGAGAGCAACTGCCCGAACTCTTATGCCTATGCCTTCGACGAACCGAGTGGCACCGCACTTTTCACTTGCGACTCCGGGGCATTGGCAGACTACACCCTCACATTCTGCCCTTGAAGTAGTTGTGCAGTAAGATACAGTGTAGTGTAACATAGTGTAGCGATGAGAGTAGGTATCTGCGAACTCGAACATGATGATGATGATGTATCCTCCTCCGAAAGCCGCCTTATCCGCGTGCAGTTGGTCAAAGAGGCACCATGAAACCAAGGTGTTATGTACAATGTGCATGTACCGCTTCCCACACATTGGGAGGGCGCTATGCCGAGCGCAGCATGCCCTCTTGTGTCGGCTTCGAGAGCGTTTGCTGTGCTAGCGGCTCCGTGTGCGGACAATGAGCTTCGCGGTCGAAGCGAACGAGTTTACTGAGTCGAGGCTTGGATGGAGCCGGCTAGACGAATATTTAGTTCATATGCAACGTACTACTCAATGAGCACTTACGCATGATCTTCAAATGGAATAGATCGTCGCGAACGCCAGGCTGCGAGTAGACATGAATTAACTCAGTGGCCTCAAGGAGTTCAATTGAGGTTACTCACATTGGCTCGTTGAATCTCTGCATGGGCTTGAAGTTCTTCGTAAGTAGACAGTGCTGCTTGTAACTGGTCATCCATGACATCCTCTTCCGAGAGCTTTGAATGAATTCGCTCCACAAGACGCGAGGCGCCATCAAGGGATTTTGAGTCCACAAATCCGCGCAACATGCTTGTCAACAAGACTATATTCGGAGCAGGGAAGTCTATTGACGACTGCGCCGGTGCCGGTGCATTCTCAGTTGCTTCCGAGTCGTCTTGTGCGTCGGCACTGGCAAGAGCGCTTTTCATCTCGTCGGGTGTCGAAGCGGGTTTCATCATATTCGCCGCCTCCAGCCTGTCCAGGATTAGGAACGCCCTGGTGACATCGCCCAACTTTGCATATCGTCCCGCGAGCTCGGTAAATACGTAGATGGTAGGCGGTATCCCAAGCTTCATCATATCACTCAGAACCTTTGCACCGCGAGTAGGTCCAAAGCGGACATTTAAGGCACGTATAAAAGGGACGAATGATGAGTCGTCTACTCTGTGTTTCCAAGAAGGCGGAGGCGGTAGGGGTGGTTCAGTCACGCCGAGGCTCTCTAATTGTGCGGGATCCTCGGCAGAATGGCCCTCCGCGTACTGACAGAATTTGACGTAGAGTGCCTCCAGCCCTTCGCGTGTCTCGTTAAGACCCACCAGGGCATGCCACACCAAGGAGCAATGATACGGCGTGGGCCACAGCTTTCCATGTTTGGCGTACTTGTCATCCCATTGCTCCTTAATGCCTTCGCCCCCATCGAGTACGTTCCAAGCCCGTAGGCGCACAAGAATCTCATCTCGAGGCACGCCAGTTAGGTAGAAGTGTTGATAGAAAGTGACAATGACCAGTTCGAAGAGGCGCTGTGACCGGTAGTACATCATTTCGGCGAAGATGAATTCCAAGGCGATGGATGGATTACTTCGCAATGCTTTGATACGGAGGAGAGTGATGGCCTTTGTTCTACCAGTCGAAAGATAGAGCGACATCGTGCGGACCACATATTTTGTCCTCAATTGCTCTCCCGTTGCGATGGTGTTTTTCAGGAACAATAAGCGTTCGACAATACTCTCAGAGTCTTCGTCACCTCGCGGGCTTGGAACCGCTGGGATGCCTGCATATTCGTACTGGGAGTAGTCGGCGTCCAGGACGCTCTTGAACGATTGATTTACTCTGTCCAAGAGGGCCCGTTTGATCGTTACATCCATCGAAGGCAGCTGGCGTATTCTTGACACAAGAAGGGTGAATACCTCGACAGGAAGCGGTAAGGCATCGCCTGATGCGATGGCTTCTTCAGTAGGGAGAAGCTGCACGGCGAATACCTCCCGGCCAGAAGCGGCCAATCCTTTGATAGCCACAGTCCGGAATGACCTTCTGGCCCTGCGCATTTCAGCAACTGCGTCAGAGGGCGAGTCCCTGACGAGATATGTTTGGTGTGCGTCCTCGAAGTCCTTGAGAAACTGAGCACTGACTTGTTCGTCCGCATACCGCATGAGGGGCGCGAACACAAACCAGTACACGTCGTGTGCGAAGCCCTTGCTCGCACATATTACCCCGAAGCGAGCAATTAGGGATAGGTTCGTCACGCGGGAGAGGAAGAAGAACCGCCGCATAGAGTAGAACTTGCGTCGGCCCGCCATGCGTGCATCGGGGATCATCGAGAACCATTTGGTGAATTGATCGAGACGTTCCTCAGAAGTCTGCGGGCTACGAAGGGCCGCTTCGGCAGCCTTCTCATAGACAAATGAGGGTGGAATTGAAATGCCGAATGCAGTCATCTCCGCGAGGAGGTGATCTGCTTCCTCATACTTCTGGGACTGTACCAAGTCTACGAGGGCTTGACAGATATCCGTCGGTGTGCTCTCTGTGAGAACGTCACCATGGTTATCTGCGGAATATTCAAACGTAAGGTCTTCGAAGATACTGTGAGATTCCTGGGTTGAGGGCGGGTTGAGGGAGGGGGTAAGGGAGGGGGCAATGGCAGTGTGCATTGACACTGACGCGTCCAAGTTCTCTACGTTATTCAAATCAGCCAGTGGCCCTTGGTTGGCGCAACCGAGTGATTGAGCACCAACTAGAGTAATGCCGTTTGAACCGAAAGCGTTCAACGAGAACTAAAGAGTACTTACCGTGGATCAAGTCCCTTTTAACCTTCTTTCCAAGAGTCACAGTCTCTTTCAAGAACTTTCGGTATTCACCGGGCGTCGCAAGAGACTTGACCGTAGGAACGACCGATGTCCGGACCAGTCCTTCATAACCTTTGGAATAGCATGCGCGAGCAAATGCGACAATTAAGGGCAGCTGGTGGGGGGCAGGTGAGTTCAAGAGGCTGTGCTCAAGGTCTGGAAATCCGTGTGTTGTTGAAGCATCGGCGGTTGGAAGTAAGGCTAACCAGCTGGAAAAAGCCTCGACATGGTTCGCGGGATTCGGCCAACCTAGGACTTCGGTTGCAGCTTTTTCGTAGATGGGATCCAAGGGTATTTCGACTCCCATCTGCACCAGCTCGCTGCGTATACGCTCGGCAGTATCGAACTCGCCTTGTCGTACGCACTGTATGAGGACTTCAACAGTCGAGGACGGCGGCTCGACTGTCTTCGATGCCTTTCCCAGCTTAGTATATTCCGACAGTTTCGCTTCAAAGACAGCCGAGTCTGCCTTCTTGCTAGGATATTTGTGCTGCTTGATCCCGTCCCATCCGGGTGCATTGGTATGAACATAGAAGCTAGGGTATTGGCGTAGAGCACCCGTTATATGGTCCAGTCGTAGGCGAGCACGGCCAATAGATGCCCAGGGTGCCCATATGGACATCTACAGCTGGAAGTGTCGAGGCCGATGGGTGGTAGAAAATATACAGAACATTTACGACGATGGGTCAGGGATGATTGAGCATTACTGACTGTGAGAACTTCTTGCTGACTGTGGGATATTGAAGTGGTAAACAAACATTTGCATACAGCACAGTGAAATTCTGTTTACTGTACAAGTCCACCGCTGTGATAATGAGTTCCCCCAAGCGTTCAGGATCACCCTCGTCAACTTCGGACTCAAAACGGATACGCTTGTCTGTTCAGCCTCAGACGCAGGGTGCCACCCCCGTCGACCCCGACAATGCGCCTGGCAAGCGGAGCGAACTCGAGCCAGTTCAAGGTGGTGATGTTGGAAATCTGCCTCCCAGCGATGACATGGTGGTCGGACCAGCCGAAGAAGGGTTGAAAGTGAAGCTACTAAAAGCCGAGGGGGACGACGAAGATGGTGGCGATATCTCTATGGGTGACGGAGCTGAGGAAGAGGGCGACTCGGGCGACGAGAACGACGACGAGGATCCAGCCCAGGCAGAAGCTGCACGCCTCAAGCTCGAAGAGCAGGCGCGAAAGTACCTTGCTGCCCAAACCCACGAAATCATAATACCCTCCTACTCTGCTTGGTTCGACATGTCCAAAATTCACCCAGTCGAGAAACGCGCTCTACCAGAGTTCTTCAACTCGCGGAACCGGTCAAAGACCCCAACGATATACAAAGATTACCGCGACTTCATGATCAATACATACCGGCTTCGTCCTACTGAGTACTTGACTGTCACTGCTTGTCGAAGGAATTTGGCTGGGGATGTCTGTGCAATAATGCGTGTTCACGCTTTCTTAGAGCAGTGGGGTCTCATTAACTACCAGGTAAGAGAAATTAATATACTCCTTATACTTTAACTTCACAAACGGCCAACAGATTGATCCGGACGGTCGACCAGCATCATTGGCGCCTCCGTTCACTGACCACTTCCGCGTCATTCTTGATACCCCACGCGGGCTGCAATCTCTGCATCCAGGGACTCGTATGGCAAGTCGCGGTGCAAACAATTCTAATGCCGCGACCACAAACGGTGGAGCCAAGTCCTCCGCTACCCCTGCTTCCCTTGAACTTCGGTCCAATATATACCAAACCACGTCTAAAGCATCTCGCCAAATATCTCCAACCGAAGCTGCTGCACTCACTAACGGAGCTTCGACGCGTCCTGGCCTCAGTGGACAGTACTCCTGTGACACCTGCGGTTCTGATTGTTCGTCCGTTCGCTACCACTCCTTGAAGGAAAAGAAATTCTGCGTCTGCCCCCCATGCTATCTCGGCGGACGATTTCCGTCGACAATGTTCAGCGGCGACTTTGTCAAACTTACGACCGCCCCACCAGGCGTCTCGCAAAGCAACTCTGCGAATGACGGCTGGTCCGACCAGGAAATCCTACTGCTGCTGGAGGGTGTAGAGATGTACGATGACGACTGGTCGCGTGTTGAAGAACACGTTGGGACGCGCACGGCTCAGCAATGTATCCGCAAATTCTTGGAGCTTCCGATTGAAGATCCCTACCTTGACACGGAAGCATCGATGGGACCATTGCGCTTTGGCCGTATACCGTTCGAGCAGGCCGATAACCCAGTTATGAGTGTGGTTGCTTTCCTAGCGGGCGTCGTCGGCCCCGGGGTGGCCGCGGAAGCAGCCAAATCAGCCCTCCACGAGATCACGGATGCAGATAAAAAAGAGGACATCGTTGCCGCTGCAGACGGCGAAACCACTGGCGACGGCCAGGATGCCACGAAAGACACTGACCACAAGATGGAAGAAGACCCGGCGGAAGAAGTTTCTGGCAACGTCGCAGAGAGCCACACCACATCGCCAGCACCGGAAGGCATGTCCGTCGACTCTCCGCCTAAAAAGCCCACTCCTACCCTCCCGCATTCTAAAGTTGTTCGCGCCGCCCGACTAGCACTCAAATCCTCCGCTAGGGCAGCCCAGACTCTCGCTGATGCGGAGGACGCACAAATTCGCAGCTCCCTAGCTTCCTTGATCAAACTCACACTCACGAAATTGGAACTCAAAATGGCACAGTTCGATGAGCTAGAGGAGATTTTGGAAGAGGAGCGAAAGGCCCTGGAGAGTTCTCGGATGGCCCTCATTTCTGAACGTTTGGGTCTCAAGAAGATGCTCGACACTGTTAAGGCTGAGATAGCCAGAAGCGGTGGCATTGCTCCTGGCTCGAATGTCGCAAACTTGGTCGCAAATGCAAACATCGTAGGGCAGGGTTCTCAAGCAACAGAGGTGCCAGTCACAACTCCCCTCAATGGCAATGCGGGACCAGTGCAGGATGGCAACAAGCTCCAGCTGAGCTAAACACTTTTCCAATTATAGTATAGTTATTGACGTTCCTCGTACATTTTTACCGTTGTCGCCATTGTCATTCCGGTGTACCCTGTCTATTGTATATCCATTGAATTGTAATTGCCGTCTAAAAGAGCCATATACCACTGGAGGGCAGCGCCCCATAGAAAAGATAGTCTGTCTATGTAGTACATTCTGTGTGTTTCCCCACCATAAATCCCAAAATCGAAAAAAATACGGAAAGTAGAATGTATTTTAGAACCTGACGCACTCAGAGTTGTCGACGGCCGTCGCGTAATGTCCCGGTCCAACAGTCCTCGATGTCTTCATTTGGGGCGGGTACCTTTCCCTCAGAAGTCGCCAGATAGCGCTGAACGACGATCCAGATCCTTTCTCCTGGATGAGCACCATAACAGTAAGATGGGTCGATGCGCTTGTAGATTCTGATAGGAAATCAGACCCCGATTGGCTCGACATCCTAGCCTTCGGAGTCCCCAGCAAATCCGGGGAGAGAAGGAGAGAGGAGCGGCGCTCCTCAGTGATAGGCCGATTTCCTCTAAGCGAGCTAAATTCCACTCGGAAACGAACAGGCTTCAACCCCAAGGCCTTGCTCCTGGCCGAGCCTTCTTCCACTTTGCAACGAAGGACCCTCCAGCTGTCCGGATCTGCGCTTGATTGAACCCTCGCAGGACCTTGGCTGGAGATGCCTCCAGCCTTGTTACTCATACCGTCCACATAAACACCTAGCTCGTCCTCCAGATATCTTTCCAGCTCGACTCTTGTTGGAACGACGTCCAGCGGAGAAAACAAAGCCTCTGCGCCACCGTTTGCATTGCCGAAATAATCCAACGACCTGGCATGTGGATGTCCCGTCTTCCAGTTAAAGAGGTTGGAGAACCAACCCTTGAACTCTCCTACGACAGGCGAAGTAACCGTCATCAGTCGAGCCGAGGGGCCGTGGGCTGACATGCGGGTTGCTCGCGCATCCTTAGAAGTGCGGCGATCGTTGAGATGAATTTCATCGCTGCTATTTTGAAGAGGGGCTGATAGGATGATGGGTGATTCGAGGCAAGTGTCCACCGTTTTCTTCTGCGCCGAGAAGTCCAACGCTGGGGCTAAGTATTATTGATTACTGAGAAGGCCGGACGTGAGAACCATAAAACCACATACGTCTTGTCTTCGAGGCCTTTCCCTTAGTCTCCTCTACGCCGGAATAAATGATATTTCCTATTTCTTTTCCACCAAGGCCAAGACCTTTTCCTCTACCACCCTGCACTTCGGCTTTACGAGTGTCGTTTTCCTTGTCCTGACGGTTCGTGGTGGTGGTCGCTTCGCGTCGGCGCGGATTGGCCTGAGCGTTTTCAATGCCTTGTTGACAGTCTTGCGCGAAATTATTGAGTTGTTGAGAGATTTCATCCATAACACTTTGAAGGTGAGCATTCGACGATCGTGGTGGTACTATACGTTGCAGTTCCGCTGTGGGAGATGCCATAGTGACGTCTGTGGTCGGGTGCGGAGCAGTAGTATGAGAACGAGACCTAATGCGCACTGGATCCTTGGTGGTATGGGAGGGTTGCTCGAGTACGAATCCAGCAGAGGTTTCAGGCCGAGGGTGGTAAGAGTAGGTGTTTCCCCTGCGAGGCCCCGAAGGACGAGAGGAGGGCCTAACGATGTGGGCGCCGACCGAGCTCGTGTATGCAGCGGCCGCGCTTCCAGAATTAGGCTGGCTCGAAACAGGCCGTCCGGGTTGGCGAGGGCCAATGGGGGAAGGGGGCCTGTCTCTGGACGATGATCTTGAGGACGCAGTAGCCCGAGTCATTTGAGGCGGGATAAGAAGGATATGGCCACCGTTCGCGGCACGCACAGGTGTCGGTGAACTGACGCGATTGTGGAAGGCGGGCCGTGGCTGCAGTTGGTCAGAGTAAGCATGTTCACGACCTGTTCGCATCGTCGATGCCCTTTTGATGTACGGCCTTATCGCCGGACCCTCGCCGCGGCTTGCAGGCCCAAATGCACTCTCGCATTCTTGGCGAAACTTCTGCATATCGCCTTCTGCACGTCGCTGTTCAGCTAGGACGCCATCGCGGTACTTTCCCAACAAAAAATAAAAGGCTTTAGCCAAGGTTCCTTCGCCTGCGGGGCTGCAAAGATCGTGGATGATGCATTCTCCGGACTCGCCAGCGTGTCGGCCCCAGATGACGAGCAGCGATGCCAGGAGCTCGGGATCGACATGGCCTGGCGATGAAAGGGGTGTCGCCAACGTCGATGGAGAGGGAGGTAGTGGCGGATTTTTTAGAATGACCGCCTGGGAAAGAGACGAAGATGGTGAGGTACTCGCGGAAAGTAGCCATGGATGCTTGAGGATTTCCGGAATCTGCGTCTACGTTAGACGTAGCAAGCGAAGGAAGTACAGAGGATTACTGACGGTGATGCGAGTGTTCACGTCCACCACAAGCATTCTTGATATTAAGTCCCTCGCAAGGGGATCAATCCATGCAGGCATTTCGTACTTCCCCATCCGGACCTTATTCAATAGGTGGCGGACATTCTTGTCATCGAAGGGCAGCCTTCCAGTGAGTAATGCAAAGAGGATGACACCACAGCTCCAGATATCGGTAGCGGTTCCTTCGTACTTCTCGCCATTTACAATCTCCGGGCTCGCATAATGGGGACTTCCGCAAGACGTTTCCAGTTGAAGGGAAGGAGGAGCGAAGGCGGCCATTCCCCAGTCAGCGATCTTGACGAGAGGTGGGTTTAGAGTGTGGATCAGGATATTTTCAGGCTTGAGGTCCCGATGGATGATAGAAAATGTATGCGCATAGTTGAGCCCATAGATAATTTGTTTGAAGTAGACCAGGGCCTCCACAGGGGGGAGACGACCACGATTAACCAAGAAGTCAAACAGCTCACCGCCTTCGACATATTCCAGGACAAGATAAAGCTCCTTCTCGCCTTCGTAAACGTCGTATATGCGCATGATGTTCGGGTGGTTCATGAGCTTCATCATCGTGATTTCCCTGTCGATTCCAAGGCGTTGCTTGTCGTGCTTAGCTTGTGCCGTAGTCAAGGACGTCCGCGAGTTGAGCAAAGGCGCTACAGGGAGAATTTTGACGGCCGCGAGCTCGCCCGTAACGTAATGCTTGGCAAGTTTAACCCGCCCGGACGCGCCTTTTCCAATGCACTCGCCTAGGATCCATGGGCCAATACGAGACGGGTCTGTAGGGAGGTCGAAGGCGTGGCTTCCGCCTGCTTGGGCCTTTTCCTTCGCCCAGCGAGTTCCCATCGGCGTGGCGTATTTCGCAGCGGCGGCGCGAGGAGGACTTGCAGAGATTGCAGATGAAGGCATAGTTTAGGAATTTTGTTAAGGTAGTAGTTATAAAGCTTTAGATATATATGCGAGCGATGCGCGAACCAGCGGGCGAGGATGTGGTAGATGAGGAACAAGTTACTACCTAGATGGATCAGCCCAACTCGACCCTTTTCTAGTCGCCGAAGTCGGCGCCCCGAGAACCCCAGATCACATGATCGATTATAGCTCAACGTGATCGGCAACAGTTGCCTCCGGAAGACTCGACGACGAGGTCAATTGGCTATTAGTATCTGCCAAAGTCGACGAAAGGGAAGCCGCTAACGAGGGCGTGACCGCAGAGATTAGCGACGAGACTGCCGCTGTTGCCAGACTTGTCGCAACGCTGATCGAGCTGACAGGGACATGGAGTCCTTTCTCTGCTTCTCCGAGTACGTCTTCTGGAACACGCTGAACCCCGCCAGGCAGAAATCTTGTCCACCAGAAAGCGACCCTCAATCCGCGATCTACAATTCTTTGCTTCAGGATAAACAAGACCACCAGAACGAAGAAAGACAGTGCAGCCAAAATGAGGAGCCGGTCCAGCCAGTCTGCCTTCTCTAGCGCTGTTATTAGATGCTTGGAGGTGCCCATCAAGTTCGTCAGAGTGTCATGAGTCGTAGACGTTGACCGCAAGGAAGCAGTAGATGTCTCTACAAGCACGCAGTGCAATATATATTGAGTGCATAATTCAAGGTCCCCCCAAGGACTATCACGCACCTAGCATTTGTGTTGTGAGAACAGACCGCTCAAGCTCGCCCTGCATAAGATTCATGGTCCGTCGTAATGCGTCCGTTACGTCGTTATTGGCCTTGATCAACTTGTCCTCGCTAATAGGAATACGTTTCCCGTGTTATGCTAGTAAATACACTTTCAAATGGACCACTCACGTTATAGTTTCATTCACATCCTTCTTCTCTGACACAACATTGGAGCGCAGCAGTTCCTCTCGATTTGACTTGCTTTGGTTATCCAGAAGACGCTTGGAGGTCAACAGGGCTCCTCTTGAATCCCGTCTTAATCTATCCTACAACGGTGAGTTACTGACTCTGACGGATTTCTGCAATAATGACCTCGCAAGTATTTCCTGGTAGTCGGACACGGTGGCTTGTAGTTCCCTACGAGCCTTCTCGCTTCGTTGGTCAGCGACAAGCAACTCTAGGCTCTACCATTGAGAAAGATATGAGCAATACAATCAAAGGAGTAGGGGAATTGAACACACTTGGAGTTCCCGTGCGTACAGGTCAATATCCTCCCGCAGCTCCACAAAGAGGCGTTGTTGTAGCGCCAAAGGTCCATTGCACGTCCTCAATCGTGGTATTTGGAAGTCGGCAATATCCTTCTGGCGTCGTTGAGTGGATTCTATGAGCTGAGTAACCTCTTCATCGTACACAGCGGGTATGGGTGGCATATTCGTAGCTAGTGGAACAATTGGGTATACGGGAGTGACTGACTTTCACCAATGACATGCGCCAGCGGCAGCACTGACGCGCCGTGTGAATATACTTCTAAATGAGATTCAATCCCAAAAAGGAATATCTCATCGATCATTCGACGCGATTTGAGTCACCCTGATTGGGAAAGAGCATAGATTTAGCACTGCCAGCGAGCTGTTCGACGTTATCGACAACCATGACACTAGATATCCTGCAATTCGTGGATAACAAGGGCGGAAATGCTGAAGAAATCAGGGAATCCCAGCGCAAGCGGGGACACTCCGTTGAACTCGTAGACGAAATTATCCAGATGTACACCGACTGGGTGAAGAGTGCGTTTATGTTCTGTCCGTGTCGCGAAGAAGCGGTGCTGATGAAGGTTTAGTGGACTTTGAGCTGAACGGGATCAGCAAGAAGGTGAATGCGGTACAGAAAGAGATCGCCGCGAAGAAGAAGGTGAATACCCATTCGATCAATTGCACATATCTGTGTCACTTAGCGGATATGACAGGCGAAAGAGTCTGCAGACGATCTAGTTGCGCAGAAGAAAGAACTGGACGCCCAGGTGATAGCCAAACGACAAGAAACGAAGGAGTTCGAGCAGAAGATGCGCCAAAAAGCCGGCACGGTGGGCAATCTAGTTGGCAAGGGTGCGCCAGTTAGCTTGACTGAAGTACGTTATTTCACTTAAATCAAAGCAACACTCTAATCTGACGCCGACATTTTACTCAAGGACGACAATGTGACCCTCCGTACATGGTTTCCTGCCGGAGAGGAGGCCGAGCCTCCCGTGCGTACCGACATAATGCCACACCACGAAGTCCTGCTCCGTCTGGATGCTATGGACCTGGATCGGGGTCAGTGCCGACATACCCAATGATGCTCTCTCGTTGACTCGTTGATACCTCGTACAGGGGCGAAGGTCGCTGGCCACAGGGGGTACTACCTCACTAACGATGGAATCGACCTCAACCAAGCGCTGATTTCCTACGGCTTGGACTTTCTGCGATCCAAGCAGTACAAGAAAATACAGCCCCCATTCATGATGAACAAGGAAGTCATGGCGAAGACGGCGCAGCTGGATCAGTTCGATGAAGAGTTATATAAGGTTCGTCCTGCGTGCAATGCCGTCGATTCATTACGAACGAGACATTACCCTGTAGGTGATCGGATCTGAAGACGAGAAATACCTGATCGCAACCTCCGAACAACCCATCTCCGCATTCCACTCTGATGAATGGTTCGAGCAACCAGCCCAGCAGCTCCCCATCCGTTACGCCGGCTACTCCACGTGTTTCCGCAAAGAAGCTGGCTCCGCCGGCCGCGACATGTGGGGCATATTCCGCGTGCATCAATTCGAGAAGGTCGAGCAGTTTGTTATAACGGAGCCGGAGAAGAGCTGGGAGATGTTTGATACGATGATCGCCAATAGCGAGGAGTTCTATCAGAGCCTTGGGCTGAGATACCGGGTGGTCGCGATCGTGTCTGGCGCGCTGAATTTGGCGGCGAGTCAGAAGTACGATTTGGAAGCGTGGTTCCCGTTCCAAAAAGGATACAAGGAGCTGGTTTCATGCTCTAACTGCACAGATTATCGTGAGCTTCACCCTAAAATTACCCCTGACTCCAACTCACACCTTCATAGAGAGCCGTCGTCTTGAAGTCCGTTGTGGAATCAAGACCAAGGATCAGGCAAGGAAAGTCTACGTCCACATGTTGAACGGTACGCTGTGCGCAACAGAACGCGCCCTATGCTGCCTTGTCGAAAACCATCAGACTCCCGATGTGAGATTGTCTTCGTCTCCTTGACCTCACAACACAACTACTAACTCATTCAATAAATCAGGGACTTGTCATTCCCGAAGTCCTTCGACCGTATATGCAAGGACGTGACTTCCTGCCTTGGGTCAAACCACTTCCCAAGGGTCTGCAGCGAAAACAACAATGATTGACGACTCATATCCTTCAACCATTTTGTATTCGTTAGAATTTCTTAACATGTAATTTTGGTCCTTTGATCATGGACACACCTTCGGTGCAGCTTTAAGCTCCAAGCTCCGCCGACCGATGTTCGCTTAGGATGTTCATGTAGGGACGGAAGCAAAAAAGCAGGAGTTCGGTGAATGTGCGAGTGTCAATAGTGCGTCAATAGTATCTAATGAATTTACAGCGAAACGTACAACTATGCATTATGGACGACGACCGAAATTAGTAACGTAAAACAAAAATAGCAGTCAGTGAAGCGAAAAGCAATCCGGGAATACAGCAAACAGACAAGCAGGCAACTGAACATAAGCATAGGGAGCATGGCGGTTATCCGAGCGATGTATAATGCAGCGTCCGCGTCAGGTCTTCAGGCCTTACCACCACCCAACCTTCACAGCCTCCTTCAACAAAATAGGTTCCTTCACAGACAAATCAAACTCCACGCCTTTCTCCTTCTTCGCCGCCTGGTAGAAGCGCTTGATCAGGAGCTCGGGGTCGGATATCGCGTCGTCGGTTTCCCAAGTGCTTTTGGTTACTGGGTATCTATTAGAGTAAGGATGGTAAGTATGAGTGAACCATGCTAACCACAAACCCATAAAACGGAAGCAGACGGACACAACGGAAAGGGACTCAGAAACGTTTCCACGTACCCCGACCACTTGATCAACCACCGGTACGCGGTGCCACTCGCGTCCGCGTTGATATTGCGCCTCCCAATGATCCGCGAGACGTGGTATTCAGACTCGGTTTGCTGTCTATTGCAGTCGTGTCTTGCGCATATACTCGAGTCTTTGCCTTTCTTCGGGCGACGCTCTGCAAAACCAATGTACCAAGGAGAGGTTGGGTTAAGTGGGAGAAAGTGGGTGCGTGGGTGGGTGAACGAGTTCACACATGCAGAGGGGCAACGTACTCAGAGGATTCTTCCTACTTTTTATTCGACGCGGTTTAGCGAATTTTAGACAATTCCATGAGATAAATGAGACGAAAGATTCAACGTGAGGGGGAGAGGAGAACGTACGGATGCACTTCACAAACTGGACACACAAACACCGCGCGGGCCCTCAGCCGTCCATCATCTTTACGCGTGATACCGACGCAGCCGTAGTGGTACCAATGCTTACACCTAGTGGAGAATAGAGTCGTGTAAGCCCAAAGCTGAACACACCAAGTCTGTGTTTCGCAGAAAGCAGAAAGAAAGTGAACATACGTGTCGCATTGAATCACCTATGCACATCGCAGACCCACGATGAGACATTGGTGAACACTTAGTATAAACAGACCTACCTTGCGCAAAAATCCATTATCCGCTTCACTCTTCTCTGGCCAGGATATCGTTTGTATAGCTGATCGGGCGGACTCGTCCAGCTCTCCCACCCCGCTCCCGCTTGATTTAAATCGTTTCGTGGGGGGCTCGGTCCCCGTCTCAGACGTACTGGTGCTAGCAACGCCTTCATTCTCTCCCTCTTTGGGCTGATGCTTGCGCTTCCTAATACGCGTAGCGGCCGCGCTCTTCCTCCTGTTCGAGACATTTGCATTCAGTTTAGAGATGAGCTTCGGCTGTGTGCTCTGAATCGGCGCAGAGACATGGGTTGATGTTGATGTAAGCATGCGTGGTTCGGGAGACGGGGATAAAGAAGAAAGGGAAGAGAGGGGAGAAAGCGTGCTTGTATGCGTAGGGTCGACAGTGCCCATCATAGACATACAGTTTTGTATCTCTGCCTTCATTGACATAAGACCAATGCAGGGTTGTTGAGCACCGTTAGTGCGTAGATGCTCATGATGCTCATGCTTGTCGTCGTGGTAAATCGGCGGGCTCTGAGCATCAAGATCAGGATGTGAATGTTCGCGTGCGAAGAGGAGAGATTCCGCAGCGAGGGCATCGTACTCGCTCGACCCAACAGATCCGTCACGAGCAGCAGGCTCAGGCTGGGGGACAACCATCATACTAGTAGTATGAGTACCTTCCAGGAAGGTTGATGGTCCGGCTCCTGGAGTGGTTGAATTTGATAGGTCTTCTTGGGCAGACGCCGTGCACATCATGGCTTCATTATTCAGGAAACGCGAAAACATGCGGTCCTCATCCCCCGTGTTCGGGGAGCTCGATGTGGGGTGATTGCTAGCTGGTGGGGTAACTGGCTGGACAGCCAAAGGAGTACGTGCATGCGGGAGACGCAGAGTGTTAGTGGGAGGATCAGAAATGGCAGCCGCGATGTTTTCCGTCGCCGAAGTAGGTGTAGATAATTGTTGCTCTTCTTCAGAGGCGACTTGGATGGCCTGCGGTTCGCTACAGGGCATAGAAGAACCATTGGCATCAGGCGCCGATCTGGAGAAGTCCGTAGGCGACTCGTTCCCGCGTGTTCTACCGATGGAAGGGCTCGGGGACGATGGTGTGAGCAAGGGAAAACGATGAGGCAACTCAACAGACTCTTTCAGCTCGCGGATCGGGGCGTTCGCATGCACCGCACCATCACATAGAGCCTTGGATGTGCAGGGCCCCTCTCCCTGTTCCCCACCGTTCGAAGCTACGGTGCTGGCAGAGGCAGAGCGAGGATTCGCATTAGGCAGTGGATTAACTAAGTAGCAGATGTCAGAACGGGGAACAATTGTGTGGTCGATTGACCTACTCGTCTCCACCCGATTGACAGGGTCCAAGGGTGCATAATCATTAGGCGGTTGTTGGTCTTCCTCAGAGATAATTGGCTGCGGTGTTGTGCTGGAGCTATCGGGCGGTGATCTGAGGAACCCTGGAGGTGACTGGTGCTCGAGTTCGCGTGTCCTGCTGATTAAAGGGCTCGACGACGATGGAGTGGGTAAGGGAAAGTGATGAAGTGGTCTATTAGGTGATTCCGGAGACATTTTCAGCGCATAGGAAGAATCTGGCATTGCATTATGCAAAGGCTTAGGTGCGCGGAGCTCCTCTTCATGTTCATGAGCATCCGAATCTGCGGTGCTGACAGAGTTGTAGCGAGGGCTCGCATGGGGCAGCATATTAGCTGGCATATGTCAGAACGGGGGAACAGGATGTACGATTGACCGACATACTCGTGTTCGCCCAATTGACAGGGCCCAACGATGCTTTGACATACTCGTCACAGGGGATATCATTATGAACAGGCGGTTTCGGGTATCCCTGGCCTCGAGTAGCTGTAAGCAGTAGATAAGTACAAGGCCTTTTATGTTTAGGGATGGAAGATGGATCGCACCTTCTGGATCGCCGTCCCATTCAACCCTATATTCGTCAAAGAAGATCTGTGCATTCAAGGTCACGTTTGCACACACCAATTCCATGGAACTTGTACTTACCTTGAATCCTGTTCTCAAGTCCTCCAAGTCCATAGACACCTCTTGCACCGATTGCTCTACTTGATCCAGGCGCGACAATACGACCTCCTGGTGCGCCAATAGGAGGGGCTTCAACAGGCATAACATTTGCTCGGCTAGACCCGCCGTACTGCTGCACTCATGCTCGAGTTTAGTGTTACTGGGATAACGTCGTTCTGAGGTATGCTCCATGTCCAGAATTCGAAGAAGATAGTTATATGCGGATAATTTAGAGTCTTTAGGAGAGTGCAGGGGTCAAAAAACAGGGCATCCGATTTGGATTCGCGAGCGAACAGCGTGAAGAGGATGTTCGACGCGTCTAACGCGTGAAAACGTCGCGATAGTGCGTGGTCGTGGACAAATGGAAACAAGAAAAGTGAATTAGTCGCGACTTTCGGCAGGGCTAATTGCTGATGTAAGCACATATTTCCATCCTGGTATGGATTTTGACTTCATTTCCTGACTACCATCATACACTCTACCTCAAGACCCACAACGTACAAGAATCTATTCAACATGGGAACCGAAAACGCTATTAGAACCTCTGCTGGCTGGCCCAGGCGAGACGAACGCAAATTCAAAGTTCTCAGAATCCATACGCTATCTGCTATCATTCTAGCTACCGCCATCACGCAGGGCGTGCCGAGTTGTACCGCCGCGCCCGCCTTTCCTCGCAATCACTCCCCGAACCATGAAAAGGCCTCCAATCAAGCTCAGTCGCCAGCGCATGAAGCATCGGAGCCAGGTTTAGAACTTTGCCCGCGCGCTTGCGAAGGCGATGACGATTTCGATTGCTACGATGAGGATGACGGCGGCGACGACGACGACGACGACGACGGGGGAGACGACAATACCAGCTACCTTGAAACTCGCGAAACGACCAGCGATGACAGGCTACCGACTGTGAAACTGGCGTCTTCGTCTCTGCCAGATCCCCTCATGCAAGCTCTACAACCTGAGCTTGAGCAAGCACTTGCTTCCGGTCTGGAGCAGGCTGACAGAAGCTCTACCGAAAGCGGGGAAACATCAGCAACCGCTACCGCCTCCAATGCCACCACACAACCGCAGTCCACTCCTGCGTCGTCTGGATCCTTTGCTTCGTCCGAAACTCCCGCGCTGCCAAGTTCTAGTGTCCTTGATGTATCTGGAACCCCGTCGACTTCAGTAAATGCACCCACGTCTCTGGCAACTACATTTGCAATCGCTTCTCCGCTAAGTTCAGGCGCATCTTTGCCGGCGCCAACCTTCAGTACTGGAGATATTCCTACTTCCACCAACTCAGACAGCGCTATTGAAACTGAAACCACGACCATCGGGTCAACGACTATCACAACAACGACGGTCTCACATTCATCTAGTTCACACACCTCGCACACTTCCCACACGTCTGCGACCTTTCCTTCCCACAAACTGAACCAAGGCCCAGGATTAGCCGTTCGCCCGACCCCTGGAGTCGATCTCATGGGAGGCCTCAACCACGACTTCGACTCTACACGAGGATCTCACCATAGACGGGCAACCATGGTCATCGGCCTCATAGCCGTGATATTGACAGTTTCGACAGCCCTCATTTTCATGTTCCACTTGTTCTTGAAAACCAGGAAGAAGCGTGCAGAGCGACTGGGCTCCAGAGCTAGCATCCGTGGATTTGGAGCCGTCGAATGGATTGATTCTCGCAAGAAGGACAACTGGCATCCTGCTCTAGGCGACACCGGGAAACTGGCAGGATCGATGGAAAGATCGCCGCCAGGGTCTCGCAGGGATTCTTTGTTGTCTCACTGGCTCAGACTTAACCCTAATTCTGTCAAGGATGGACGCAACTCTCGGTCTAGATTATCTTTGCTCCCTCGACTCGGTGCTCTGCTTGGGCGTTCTCGTTCTACTTCTGGCCCGGCTCCTAAACGCTCTTCAGCAAAGAAAGAGAAGATACTCGATATCAGGCCCTATGACTTGGGCAGTCGTTTCTCCGTCTCCTCTTCTGACGTCCCTCTGGATGAATCTTTCGGAACTCTGGCCTCCTTGCAGTCCCTGGAGGTCATCGATCTGGATGCTGACGACGATCGTGAACGGCTTACCCCCAATCCTAACCGCCAAAACCTCTCGTCGCTGTCTACTCCCACCTCACCCAATGTAGGCGAGGATCCTGTTCTTGCTGACCTGATGGGCGAGCAACAAACACTCTTACGCGCATCTTCGGTTCCCGTCAGGCGCGCCAAACCGAACATCCCGGCGCATGCACGAACGCGCAGTGCGCCCGAAGGTCCCGCCGATCCCCACTCTCCCGCGCCTGAGCCACTCACCCCCACCATTGGCAAGCACAAAAGCCAATCCCAGTCGATGTCCGCTGTGACTATCAGCTCCAAGTACTCTTCGATGCCGCCCTGCGACTCGGATTGGGATATCTCGGACGCATATAGGCACTCCACGCGCGGGACATTGCAATCCAGAAAGTCTGAGAGAAAGAGCGGCGCTTCGAACAGACTTACGGCGCAGAGCACTGGTGGCAACGGCTGGACTAGTGCGAGAAACAGCGATTACACCATGTATCGCAGAAGTGATTGGTGATTGGAAAACCAAGCTACGTCTCACCGACACCATTATATATATCCCTGTACTTGTATTTCCTCTCGTCGAGGGTAATTGTATTACTATACTATATTTCATTTATGGGAATAACTATTAGACACAATAGATCGTGAGAGTGAAGCTGAAGTCGTAACGAATCCAGGGTATAGAGTACACTTTTATGGAAGACGAAGATGGAAGAAAGGAGAAAGAATCCATCATTATCGAACCGAAATGTCTGTCATGCATGTCATGATCATGATCTGCCTATTCCCGTCTATTCCTCCTTGATCTGATCAGGCGGCGATCCACTGATATCCACCTTGCCCTTCTCGTTCATCTGCGCGTCTGTGCAATCGGCGTCGACACCGGCGTCCCTGCAGCCCGCAACCTCCTCTTCGCCCAGACCAAGTGTATCTTGCGGAATCCAGATGGTCCTCTGCGGTCTGGTGGCGGCGGGATGCGAGAATCCGTAGTCCTCCTCCGTCAGGCCACGAGAGTCCGATTTCTCCATGCCGCGCTCCTTCTTGGATATGTCCGCCTTGATATCCTCATCGCGAACATCCTCTGTGGTTATGGCGTTTTGCTTCTCGGTCCCCGTGACGGGGGCAGTCGAGCCTGCATCGCTCTCGTCATTAAGACTGGCGGTGGCGTTGTATGTCTTGTCTGCGAGGGTGAGAGGAAGGTGGTGGAGCAACGGTCCGTAGGATTGGTTGATCATGATGTTGAAGAGTGCCTGAAGACAGCGGGTTCAACATTTGAAGGCATGAGCGATAAGTCGGAGCTTACGGTGAAGATGATCAAGACGACCATGAGCGCGCCTTGAGGGACCGCGCTTGCAGAACCGGTATCATCGCGGGCAAGGAAGAACAACGCGCACAGGCAGAGCTACGATCGTTTATTCAGCCGCCTATAAATCACGTTAAAGGAAGCAGAACCCACCTGCTGGATGTACAAGCCGACAAAGACGTGCTGGATCGCCTTGGGGAAGAACAGACCGCCAGTATCCGTCTTCAAGTCTTGCTGATACTGCCACAAGAACAAAAACTTATACGTAATATAGAACCCAAAGAACGTCGCGCACGCCAATCCGTTGATGATCGGGGCGAGTATGGAATATCCCAACGCTACACAAAAAGAATAGCAGTATTTGTAATGAGCTTCTATTCGCATCGCAAATCGGTAGAGAGGGAGAGTCAACTCACTAATTACCACTAGAAGCGTGGTGGTGGGGAAGAGCGTTCCCCATTGGACATTGCGGCAGGTGTACTTGATTGTGTATACTGCACGAGGAGTGCTGCCGAGGATGAACAGCTTCACATAGTAAATCGCGAGCGGCACAATTTGGAGGAAGCCGGCTGCGACACCAGGAAGACCTTGCAGAACAATGTATCTACACGTCGAAGACGATTAGCACCGCGTCAGCCATAAAACCACCTGCCCACACTCACGTCAAGAAGAAAATCGATGCTTGCGGGAGCTTCTGCGCTAGAATCGTAGGGATCGAAGTAGGGTTATTCGCCAAATCTTGCACGGCGCTGATAAGCCCGGAGGAGATGGTGATGATAAGGAACGAGTGTATGACTTGGAAAATAAAGAAGCGTGTCATCAACGAGAGCTCGATGCCAGACCGCGTCGGGATGCCCTCTGCTCTAGCAAAGATGCGGAGGACGATGGGGAGGAGCATCATGAGGACGGCGAGTAAGACGGGTGGCAGGATACCCGCGATGATACCATAAACAGGCTTGGGGAGCTTGCACAGCCAGGCCAGCCAGGCGAATTCGATACACAGTTGGCCAATATTCGAGATAACACCGACGAAGGCAACTAGAAGAAAATCGATTAGTCCTGCGACATAAGAGCGAAGGTGTAAACTGTACCAGGTATAGACCATAGGAGAATCAAACCAGCGGTAGCTGCATAGGAGAGCAGAATTCGGACCTAAACGTGCATTAGGGTTTGCAGGCAGCTGGACACTGATGAGACACACTTTTTGTTCGTATGGATTCAAGGATAGGTTACCCCAGACAACATCATCGGGCGCAACCTCCAGATGCTTCGAGCCCATCCGGTACGGCGCGTGATGAGTGAGTACCTGCGCAGCCATATGTGCAGCGATCTGCCTGTTGAACGTAATGAAGGCGCTGCTGAGTGCGGGGTAATCCGAGGTCACAACGGGGAACGGATCGCCCCCAACAGAGTTCTGCTTCTGCTCGCCCTCCGGCTTCGGGCCCATCCCAGGAATCTTCGACTTAACCTGCCCAACGACATGCGACACCTTCCCGCCTTCTGCTGCCCCTTCTGCCGAGCCTGCACCGCCGCTATCCGCACTGCTGAGCGGTCTTGGGCCAGAGATCCCCGCGCGGCCGCCAGACTTGTCTCCACCAATAGCACCACGTCCGCGCCCGAGGAGCTCATTGCAAATTCGAATTTCCTCCCGTGCCCACTCGATCGTGTCGATCTTCGGGCCCTTGAAGGGTATCCAGCCAAGCCGATGGCGGGGACGTTGGTCACGGGGAACGATCGAAGTATCCGCGCGCTCGACGTCACCGCTCGCCACAACGTCATGGTCTGGAGAGAGACATCAGCGCTACCATTCCCGACGCGAAATGCAAGCAGACCGAGTGGAATCGTAGATGCTTACCTTTAGAACCCTTCTTGCCCTTCTGTGACTTCTTCAGACCCTCTAGACGTAACTTTGCGGCGGTCTTGAGCAAGGCGGTCTCCGCGGATTCGAGTTTATTGCATGCGCTCGCACGCCTATCGTATATCTCAGGAAGCTCCTTGAGGTCTCTGAATCATAGGCTCGATGAACACGCGGTCGAATGCACAAAGGCTACGCGTACCTGTTGATCCAGACTTTCTTCACACCACCGGGTAAATGGCTGAACAGGCTGATCAGAGCTTGCTCGCTGAGGTATTTCGATGGTATGCCCGTCACGAGTACAGTGTTGGCTTGAACAGAGGCAGAGTGGACAGGATCGATGAGATGGCGTTGTCGAGTCAACACGAAGTGTCGCATCTCGTGCTTGATCACGTAGAATATCCATCCTGACGACAAAGTGAGCCATGCCCGCCACTGCAGTCGATCATTGGGACGCACCAGTAAACAGGAACACCATGATGATATGCGCGGCATATCTCTTCTGTTGGTTGGTCGCGACATTCCCGAAAATAAATTTGTTGAGCCCCTCGTTCCCCTCGACATTTGTGTTCACACTCGTCACCGGGAGGAGCACGGCCCAACTCAGAAGCCATATCGGGAGCAAGATCTTGACCATCATGCGCAGAAATCGCACGTAAAAATACGCATCGAGCCCATTGGCCGCCGCTATATCCTTGTAATCTGCCCGCCACAGCGCAATGGGCCAGGTGAAACTTGACAAGGCTGACTTGGTTTTTGAGCCTTTATCGGGTACAAGGGGTTTGACTCGCTTAGAGGGGGGAGGTACATATGTTCGAGGCTCGTAGATCGCTTTGAAGTAAGGTCGTAGAAGAGTGAACAGGGCGATTTGGATGGCAAAGACGGCGACGTTGAAGACGAGGGCCGTCACAAAGGTGGACGTCGACGCCGCGTTTGCCTTCTCGGCTAGCTCCGTCTCAGACCTGGGGCGCCGTGGTCAGCATCGTCGCGCACAACGGGCGGGGGACTTACATGGTGACGGGAAAGATTGGGAGTGGAGGCTGTCATGGCGCGTTTTTGAGGCGAGTAGAGGCCCTCGTCAGGGGAGGGCTATTCTTGGACTAGACCATTCCAAAATTCGCTTGGTGGACAGGACATGACATCAACATTGTCCTATTATGGCCGAGATTATACTAAAACGACAGCCACTAGGAGAATTACCAGGATTATGATCAAAATGACAACACAGTATCCACTTTTTGAGTCTTCGGTGTCTCTGATAAACTTTTGCATCCGGCGCATCGACGTCTTCAGCTTGGAGTCGCTCCGATCCACGCCCTCTTCCAGGTCGGACAACATCCTGCGCAGGGCACACAGTCAGCTCAGCTCACCACCCACGCCCACCGGACCTGTCACAGTGCCCTTGACACATTTGACACAATCCTGCCCAGCCACCAGCCACGACCCGAACAGAACCACAACGGAGACATGATCGAGACTTACTCAACGTGTTCATTGATTTCTCTGCCCATCAGTCCGGCCTGCTGCGCCAGTGTGCTCAGCGTCCCAGCAATCGAATCCATCGTCCGGTCCTGCTGCTCGATCAGCATTTGTTGCTCGACACGCGACCATTCCGCTTGATCGTCTTCAGGCCGCGGCGACGCAGCCCTGCTTCCGCCCAAGCTTGCATTCAGACTGCCTGCTCGAGAATGGACACGCGAAGTGGACGCCAGGGGATGCGGTGCAGTGTTCGACGGCCGGGACTTCGGACTCGGCGACAGGGGGTGTTGATCAACGGACGTGGTGAGACGTGAACGCATCAACTATAGGCAATTCACAAGATGAATAAGTCCGGAATGGAATGGACCGTGTAGCGACGCACCTCGATTTCCTTCTTGACTTTCCGCACGTACTGCCTTCGTTCTTGTACCTCTGCTTCGGACAGACCAAACGAGCGTGCACCTTCAGCGGTCTCGACTATTCTATCCCCGTTCCTTATTACTGAGGATCTAATTCAACAGCAACTAGAAGCGCACCTCACACTCTCGTCCAAATCATCCAGGTCGACTTCAAGCAAGTCCAACGAAGTCTGCAGCTATTCGCCGCGATGAACATGAACAACGTGCGCAGAAGTCAGCCAGCACATTGCACACTCTAGCTCAAGCCTCACCTCTTCCCGGGCTTCCTTCTCTTCCTCTGTACCCGCATAACCGCGGATTCGTACGTACGACGAGCATAGCGTTCGCGCGGCCTGCAGGGAGTTTTCTATCTCTTCCTGGACGGCGTTATACGGGTCTTCTGAAGTGTAGGCCATGCATGTAAGGTGAGGTTCTCGTCGAGGCCAGCTCTGCGGTGATGATTAGCGGCTGGAAAGCAATATGCAAGCAGGCGCCTGCGGAAGCCGGCGCGTCGCAACGTCAGATGGTGATGTAAGCCCCCTGAGTGCAGCACACAAGAGGTCAGTCTGAGCGTCCATGTACATTCATTGTCTATTGCAAGGTGTAACATACGGAGGTGCAATAATGATTAGAGTATCAAGTATTTTGAGGGTCCGGTGTCATGTAAGTGCGTCATAAACGAAGTCATAATCAGGCAAAAGTGTGAAAGGTAAAGTCAAAGTCAATAGATATCATGAGGAACGGCGTGGTTGTAATGAGAAGAGCATGTAGGAGGGGTGAATGGACGGGGCGCAAACGGCAGAGAGAAGTGGACGAATAAAAAGATGCGCAAGAAAGAGACTGTCCATTAGAGCAAGCAATGTTAATGTCTGAAAAAGCAAGAGAAAAGCACCCAAAGTCTGAGGCCGAGACGTGATGCTGTGAGAACTGACATACGTATGTCGCCGATAAGCGGTGAAATCATGAATCATACCACTCCACCAGTGCCCACGCACGGGGGATTGTTCAGAATCAGGAATCAAAATCAACATCGGTGCTCCACAAACGGCGGGGACACTTCCACGGGTGCTGCGGTGCTGCGGGCGGGTGATGGTCTTCCCAAGGGGCTGGAGGCTGCCGGACTTCAGGAGGAATTGAGGGTGCAGGTGAAACGAATTATGTTGGTAAGATAGGCTACCTCAGCAGACTGCATGTACAGTACTGTGGGGATATACGTCGAGGGCTCGAGCTCTGATTCCGTGTCCATTTCCATTTGCCTCTACCACCGCCTAGTAACCATCCATACGCCAATCATAGAACGCACCCACGCGACAGCAAGAAATAACGCGAACGACCAAACACTGAGATGCAATCAAAAAAATGCAATGCAATAGAACGAATAAGCCGGTGGATATTTGATAGATATGTGTTGTGTTGTGATTTATGCAGGTCGTGTGGGCGTTTCGGAGCGGATGTTCGTGTACGCAGGGGGGAGCTCGATTGTTTCGGGTTCGTCTTCGTCGGCTTTCGGGGCATCGCTGGGACCCGCGTCTTCGTGCTGGATGATGTTGACCGCGCGGAGGGGGCGGGGCATGCCTGACTTTCGGCCACTTGAGCTGCCGCTCGTCGAGGTTGCGGCAGTTCCAGCAGCACCGAAACCAAGGAGGTCGGGTGTGCCACTTCGGCTGGTGCTCGTAACGCCGCTAAGCGGGCGTCCCCTGTCATCTGTTTGGGCAGCAATGCTGCCAGCATCAGTGGACACACGAGCAGATGGCTCAGGCATCATGAACGGCTCGGGTTGATAATACTGAGGGAGTTCGCCGCGATGTCCTGTATCGTCGTCATCTTGGAGGAGATCGACTGGGCGTTCCTTGGTTGATTGCTTGTTCTGCGAACGCCGTCGGAAGAAGAACAAGGCTAGGATGAGGGCGGCTAGAGCAACAACTCCACCGATGACACCACCAACTATGGCGCCTGTATTCGAGGAGCCACTGATTGTGCGGACGTCAATGTCAGTATGCAAGTTGGCAAGAGGAAGTCACACAAAAATAACGCACCCTCCTCCGCCTCCCACTTGCGCTCCACTTGTATTTGTAGGATAGCTACCACCTGCCGGACTGCCCGGCGTACTACTCGGACTGTTGTCATTGAGACAGTCATTGTTCGGGTTGATACCCGCTGAAACGGTGTTTAGCGACGATCCTGCGGAGCCTGCGCCACGATTGTCCCCGCCAGCGATGATGAGGGTCGTGCCAGCACGGACAGAGGGCGTCCACGAGAACCCAGTTCCTTGTGAGGGCACGTTGCTGAGGGAGCCTTGGGGGACAGAGAAGGATTGGCCACCGGGGATGATGCCCAGGAAGGAAGGAACGCTGGTCGTGGTGTTAGTCAGGTCTAAACATAACGTACTTGGAGAAGAGTGACGGCGTACCCCTGAACTGTCGAGTTGTCCCACCATATTCGAGTAGCGGCGCACTGTACGATTTGATTCGGGGGTTCGATGGAGAAAACGAAGTCGGGAGATACGTTGGTCGATGCGTCGAAACACGACCCGGCTCCGTCAGCCGCTAGCACAGTCGCCGCGACGCTAGTGCCTCCTGTTCCAAAACCAGAGGCATCACTGACCTGTAAATAGTCGAATAGAAGTTATGGAACTATGAACCACAAAGACGGGGATTCGAGACGCACCACAGCGACAAACTGGGAATTCTCCGGATATCTCAACTGAAAAGATAACGTCGTCTGACCAGCTCCAAATGCAACGTCTTGTATGCGCCGAACTTCAGTATTATTTGGTAGCGGCGAGGGACCAAAGGGTATGATAAGGAGTCTGTAAGGAGCTTGTCCACCATCGCCGGTAATTGTGACAGTCAAGTTCTGACATTGGCGGGGGGTGGATTGTATGTTGAATGAGTATGCCTTCACCAGCGGGAGCAGCGTCGAGGAGAGGGCGAGGATGGGGACAACGCCAATAACGGCCATGACCATGGTGGTCAGGAGAGAGTTGTGGGTATCAGGTTCTGGAGGGTTCTGAATCTCCCGACGGTTGGCGTTGCTCCATCGAATAACATGGCTGTGAGATCACTCTGATCGCAAACCCCTCTCCTGTTTCAATTCACTTCTCAGCTCAGTGCCAGCCCATCAGCGCACGGCCTTTACTCGATTCTCAGATTCTCAGAGCTTCGAGTCTCGCACACGATAAACTTCGGTGCAGTACAAGCACCGTCAGCACCCTTTCACGTGGACCTGGATCCTGCTGATAAAGGCCATCTTGGGCCGCCGTGCAAGGCTTTATTTCACCGTCTCCAAGCCCAACTTTATACCTTCCGTAAATGTGCCACGAAGGCGGCGTGAACTTGTGAGCGAGATTTCGTACATAACTAACGGGAGAGCAAGTCACACTATAAACAGGCTTGAGAACGGTTCCACGTCGAGCAAGTAGAGCAACTCGACGCGCTTTTGTTTCTGCTTGGTGTATAATAGACGAACCACTGGGCTCACGCTAGGACAAATGGGGTCAGTCTGCCCAGCGCTTGATACTTCCGCGTCACCGTCCTTTGGCCGTCGCGGGGACCACTGTGAAGATGTATAGTATTCAATCTCACAGATCTGTGTTTGAGAAGAAGGTAAGTCGCGTATCGTGTAGCTGCGGAAGACTGACTACTTACGGTTCAAGCACCAGGCGTAACGCCGCGTAGCAAGTTCTACAGTTACGAACGTCTAACACATCAATGTCTTCGGCCAAGACGGCGTCTACAACGTCACCAGTCAACGATGACCATACAATTTCAAGCGTACGAGGGACAACCGTTTCTGCAACGATGAATGCGCCTTCGGCGGCAGGCTTTGACGAATGAGGGACAATGTATCGTAGGGCGCCGTACACAGAACGCACGAACGGCTGCCGAGTCCTGGAGATATCCGACATTCGGGTCCGTCGATAAAAGGTAAAAAATATCGCTGATAACAACCCCGGCTTGAGTCAGTGCTTCAGACGGAGGGAATTGCTCCAACTCTGGGTAGAAATTAGCTTCCTTGAACCGAAGCTTCAGAAGTGACGGATCATCGACCACCAGGCTCACGACGCTTGTCAACTCGTCGGTCGAAAGTCGACGTGAACAGTGTGATGCTGCGTAAGTAATGCCAATGTTGACCGGTTATTGGGGAGCTTCATCTATATCCTTGGGCAGAGCAGGGCAGAGCAGAAAAAACTATGCCGTTGCCGCGGCATATTCTGAGCCGAGACGCGAACGTCGGTGCGTGGATGGCCAACCCTGTATCGAAGTCGAAGCCTCCGTCCGGAAATCTAGGTTCGATAGAAACGAAGGTGAGGTGACCACGGCGAACACAACCACCGCCGCGCGACGCGAAGAAACCGAAAATGACGGAGCCAGACGGAAACATTGGCGAATCACAACAACGCACCGTTACAAGTGCTGTCTACCGACTCCTACTCATGCACTGCCGGTACTCGTAGGCGGGCCTGCTGGGCTACCAGGCGTAGAACTGGGACTGTCATCGTCGAGACAATCCTCATTTGGCCTGACTCCCGCCGAAACGATAGTCACCAACGATCCGCCCGACCCAACGCCTCGATCGTCGCCGCCGACTATAACGAGGGTCGTGCCAGCGCGTACGGACGGCGTCCACGAGAATCCCGTTCCTTGCGAGGGAACATCCGTGATGGGTCCTTCCGGAACAACGAAGGACCTGCCGCCTGGAATCACACCCAGGAAGGAAGGAATACTGCAGTTGTCTCGGGTAAGTGGATTCGAATTTATTTTGAGGGGATCGCTGGATGTTGCCAAGAGACGAATGGATGTACGTACCCCTGGACGGTCGTGTTGTCCCACCATAGCCTGGTAGGGGTGCACTGCACGATTTGGTTTGGTGGGTTGAGGGAGAATGCGAATGAGGGAGAGACGTTGGTTGAAGGGTCGAAGCACACGCCGGCTCCATCATCGTTGGGCAGTACAGCCGTCACCACGCTCGTTCCTCCCGTTCCGAAGCCGGCACCATCGCTAACCTTCAAGGAAACCGTCCGTAAACGCAAAGGATGGGGGCGGGCGTTCGAATAGGACGTACTACCACAACAAACTGCGAACGGTCCGGATATCTCAACGGGAAAGACAACACTGTCTCCCCAGCGCCGAACGGAATATCTTCTATCTGCCGAACTTCGACATTATCAGGAAGGGGCGACGGGCCGAAGGGGAGGAGAAGGAGGCGGTAAGGAGGTTCTCCGTCTTCTCCAGTAACCGAAACAGTGAGATTCTGGCACTGCCGCGGGGTCGATATGGTGAATGAGTAGGCCGACACCAAAGAGAGGAATGTCGAGGAGAGTAAGAATGCGGGGATAATGCTGATGACCATAGCTGTGAAGATGGGTTATGTTAGTGTGTTCCAATGATTCATCGACGGACAGTTAAACCAGTCGCTTTATATACGAAGAGGTTTAGAATAGACGACGAGTCCGATGACCTTCATCGAACAGCATACTGCGTAGACATCCTAGGATCCTGTGTTTGATCAACGCCGAGACCCACGCAGAGTCTGCCGACACCACTGGCTTGCCGCATGAGGCGGCGCTCATTAATTCAAATTGTGTTCTCCAGGGGGGTCGATACGCCCGCGCGACGAGCGAGCGAGCGAAAATAGTTTCTCATCCAGGCCGCTCGGTTGAAACTAGATTCGTGGGGTTGATGTCAGCGATATGGAGAGGCGTGTTTCTGGAAGTAGCCCTTGGCTTTATGTTTCGGTATGTGAAAAAGACAATAGGCCACGAAGCGGGAAATGCATCGTTCGACGTTCGACGACGTTGCGCGGTGTGGCGGGCGTTGGCCTCTCGATAATCTAGACTTCCTGGTCGCTGGCTGGCCTTGATCCCAGAAGCCAGATGCTGAAGGTAAAGGACTATAGCGTCAGTCGCGTCAGCAGTTCAACATCGAACTCTGCACCATGTCGCAGGCGCATGTGAGTCAAATATGGTTGTACAAGAAGTTGGCGTACTCACTGGGTGCACGCTCCTACATAAATTACTTATGAAACACACGAACAGAGAATGTATCAGTAGAGTTTACCGACACTGACTGCTTTGCCCAAGAGAAGAAGCATGTCTTCTTTCGTCAGCTGCCCAACACATCCGTCCCCATGTTCCACCTTTACCCAATCACCAACCGCTTTACTAGTCCCATAGTCGAGAATCGTGCACTGTCGCATCCCATATGAATCAGTGCGATGCTTGATGGTCGACATCAGCTCGTATGGCAGCACATCGGTTGGGGAGGTGCATGTGTGCCAGCTCAAAATGGGTCTATCCTCGCGAAATCTTGCACAACTTCGTTACAATGTTAGTTAGATAGCATTTGCACAAACCAGGATTTGCAGAAATTCTTATGAACAGCCATAGCAGACCTACATATACGGAAGTTAGCAATAGGAGTGTACTTATCGCACGCAATCTGCTGGGGTTTCAGATTTGCAGTAAGAGTCACAGAAGGCAAGCTATACTCTGCTTCCTTCGCAGAATAGTTGTCTGATCCCGAATAGGGGAATATAGGGGCAAGACAGGCATTTACACTCATTGTCCGGGGTCCTCAATTCGCCCCAACGGACTCGAGGGTCGAACGTCGAGGATGCATTGCGACCGTCAATTGACGCTAGGTGAATAGAATGGTGAGCCACGATTCACTCATCGCCGCAGACAGAATGAAGCGCAAAACATACTCAACGTCGACTCGTCGTCGAGCCTGGCAGCCTTCGGAAGCGCCGAAGCACTGCCAAGTTCTCCACAACGCAAGGATCAAGCTAGCTTGGCGTCCCTGAGCACATACGCATCCAAGAACTTGGCAGTCGATGCAAATGCCTAGAACGCACGGAACCGCATTCCCAACAAGATTCGCACCCTTGCATGTCTTTCTCGACGGTTGCACCTGGTGGGGACCAGACGTCCTCAGGAGGGCACCGACCCGGAGACGTAAATGAAAACGATAATGATATTTCATTATTTGACTCCTCAGCATCATCGCAGGCAACCAGTGGTCTTGGAAAGCCGAATAATGATCGCCAAGGCCAGCATTTTTCCCGTATATGAGCCCGGCCTCCAGCATCTGTTGCCTCCCCAAGGTGTTCAGAACGTCCTTTATTTCTTCTTCCCCTTCCTCCTTGCCTTCCCCCTCCCCACTTCCCCGCACCTCCCCCACTCCTAATTACCAAGATCCGCAACATGTTCCCCACCGTTTCTCTAATTTCGGTTTCTGTCGCTTTGGCGAGCGTTGTTTGGGCACAGACTTTCCCGGCTACCCCTCTCGCCTCCAAGTCTTTCCCGTGGCCCACTGGTGTTGTGAGTAACCGCAAAGAAAGCTACTGAAAGGTTGAAGGACTAACCGCGCCCTCGATTTCTTAGCCTTACCAAGCAGATACAGAAAACTTGGTTCGAGGAAGGCAAACTGGTTACAATATCTGTAACAGTACCACCCAGAACCAAGATTCACTCTGCCAGACTTCATTCATCAACTCCATTGATGGTGCGCCTTCTCACCTTCCATTCTTTTCCATTTCTTCATCGATAACCTTCTGTTAGACTTCTGTATTTGGGGACCTAAGGACCCCAACTCTGTTGTTGGGGACACTGAAGGCGAGGCCGTCGCATGGTGTTCAAAGCCAGGACACGGCGGTCGCCTTATCCCTGAGGGCACACTGAAAGGGTTGCAATGGACACGCACACCCGATTACGTCCAAATCGTTGGACACATTGACCAGACGAGGATCAACATGGCCGCTGGGGATTTCGGTGGAGAGATGGATCCTCACGGTGCTGACTTGGTGCGCTGGATTTGTACTCCCCAATCGTACACGTTTGACTGACTCTTTCGTTATAGCGCGGAAACCCTATCGGCGGCCTTGTGTACTCCAATGGGTGGTCGGGAAACAACGATAGCTACACCCAAGTTATCGAATGGCACAAGTAAGAAATCTCGCCCCTAGCTCTCTTTACGATAAGATCGCTTATCGTTTTTGCACAGCTTCGTCGGCAACAACTTCTTCTGCTTCAAGGCCTGCGATCCGTCAAAGACCAACGCCGCCGCGTTCTGCGAACACACCCTTGACCGTATCGGCTGCGCGTACAACGCCCCCAACAATGCTCAAGAGGGCGTCTTCGAAGCGTGCCAGGGCGAGAACCAGGACTTCCCTGGCGTGTACACCGTCAACGGCGTCGCCACCACCTACAGACAGCCCCCTGAGTCGCTTGGTGCTATCACCACCATGCCCTACACCGCACGCGTCCCCGCCAGCAGCAACTGCGTGACGTACAGCAGCGCCGAGATATTTGCTGCCCTCGCCTCTGTCAGCCCTGACGCCAGCGTTACCCCCTCGTCTTCGAGCGGCACCGCTAGCACCAGCCAGCCGACATCGTCTGCGCCCTCCTCGCGGGCCGGCACCTCGTCCGGCACTGCTGCAGGCGCCATCGAGACAGGCAACGGTGCCGACATCGTTGTCATGTCAGGCATCGTCACCACCCTCGGTGTTGTATTCTCTGCCCTCTTCCTTTCATGATCGATGACTACGGACAGCCTCATCTCACATTGACACTGCCTCCACACCAGACAATTCGTTCCGCTACACTTGTACACATTGACGGGATACGTAGCTTTTGTTGTTGGCATTACTAGTAATTTCTGTTGCACTACTCTCGTTCGCGACCTGTTTTGTTGTTCTATGCATAGGAACATTTTTGGATGTTTGTTCTATGTTTTATGGTCGCTTCTTCATCACAAAGTACACTACGTATCTATACCCACAAGTACATACTCGGCCGCACGCCAATTCCATTCGTTTCAAGCATGTTTCTTACATCATAGTTCGCCAGTGCAGCCACCGCCTCGTTTACCGAGATTGTGCGGCGAGGGTATAGGCAGTCTCTTCCACTCGTTAACCCACATATAGCGAGAAAAGTGGACATAGAGCCAACGGAACCAGACAAGTTGACTTTCGTGCGCCTGCATTGCAGCGAGAGCCTGTCGGTATTGCTTCACGCTGGAGGTGAACACCAGCGGGTCCTTCGAACGCGTGCTATCCATTCCCTGATTAGACACTCTCGCTGAGTCTGAGAACCATACTCACAGCGGGACGAGAACAGCACCCAGGGGTCCTGTGTATTTCTTGAAGAGCGGTTCGGAGACGAGAGTAAATACGCGCGGGTAGGTGGAAGATGGGTCAGAAGCGAGCGGTGCCTCCATTTCTGCCGCGAGTGCTGCGATGGCCTGCGGTATGGACTTGTGGTTCGGGTGCCCTGATACACCTCCACTATCGAACGTCAATATCTGCGAGAGAAGAGAAGTTCAGCGACGAAGTCAACGATTGGTATACGATGGGAATACGAACTGCTTCGATGTTATGCTCGGTGATGTACTGCCAGACAAAGTCGCCGATGACAGCCGCGTCCCACTCCGTTGTGATATTATCCCTTAGCGCACTGTATCCAATGAACGGCAAGCTCAAGCGCAGGGCGGGAGGCCAGAAAGTACGTCGCTCACGGGTGATTCACGATCTTCCTGTTCCCCTTCACCACTCCCAGCACGTCGAGACTCCTCTCCAGCTCCAGCACGCGCGTGTCTCCCAGGCCGTCCGCATCCCCGGTCGACAGGCACAGCGAGTGGACGTGCGGGGCGTAGCGCGGGTCCTGGAGGAGCGCCAGGAGCGTGGGGGCGAAGAACATGCATTCGTCGTCGGGGTGGGCTGTGACTAGGAGAATGCCGCCTGGTTTGCTGCCGGGCGACGCATCTGCGACGAATGAGGGGGCGTGGTGACTCTGAGCGGGCCAAAACAGCAGAAGAACGGAGAGGAGCAGGAAGCCGCAGATGAGACGAGATGAACGACGCATGAATCACGAGCCGTCGGTGCCCAAAGCTTCAAAGCTTTAAGCTCAAGCTCAAGGTGGGTCTGGGTATGTCGCTCCCGTACATTCATATACATAAATGTCTTGGAGACGGGGGGCGATGTGGAAAACAACATAAATAAGCGAGATACTGCGGCCACGTTTGGCCAGACGTGGAAGTCACTACTCAAGTATGAGGGCCCTTCGAATGTTCACGTTCAATGATGATAATCGATAATCAATCACAATATATTGAGTGAATGCCGATGTAGACAAGATCATTATATAGATCGCAGCCAGAGATCACGGCGCAATAACAAGGTAACAGACAACACGTTACACGGCCTTTCTGCCTGAATTCTTCTGGGCCTGCCGGAGCGTGCCAGCAATAAACCCGTACGAATCGACCATGAGCAACAACGGGATGAAGACCCATCTGAGAAAGACAAATTAGCCAATGCCAGAGTAAAACATGCGAACGTACAAGAGATTCATGAACTAGTAGAACATGTGGTGAGCGTGCTAGTACGACGATGCGGACAGGTGGACTTACGGCGAGATATACCCAGAGATACAGAGGGTTCGACGTATTGAGGTTGGGGCTCCCGATAAGCCATTCGGGGCAGAATGTCATCCATCTGCACACCCAACGTGTCGCGGACGTTGTCAACATTCTAATTTGTGAACAACTGGGCACTTGCACTTACCCGCCGTAAAGCTCTGCCGTGCAAAGCACCACAATCCAGTAGTGCCTAGCAGGATCATTGGCGGCCAGCTGTTTCAAGATGTAGCAGCAAAGGGGACCAGCGACGAGAACCGTGAGGAGTTCCAGCGACACTACGTCTGGGTCAGCGAACCCCCATCGGAAGTCTGCTTTAGCGTATTCCCTCCCTATTGAGAGTGATATTTAGCAATTATTGGACTGTAAGGAAGTAAGCAGATGAGAAAAACGCGTGGAAACACGTACACATCTCTGCAAATGGTCCGACGCTCGTGTTGACTTGTCTCCCAAAGAGAGAGAGCCACAAAAACGAGCCCTCAAAAGAGAAATGTATCATAGCATCAAATGCCTGTGAGATATGTGGTCAGTATATCCGTCAACATTATAATCACAGCACGGTGTTACATACAAGCCAAATAAAAATATACCGGTCTTGCCATCGCGCGTGCTTTGGTAGAAGAGCATTGGCACTGATGTAGGCGACCGTTCCGACAGCAAGTACAGCAAGTAAGCTGTAAGCCGAAGTTGCAGTGAAGATGGTAGGAGGAGTACTTGCAAGGACCATCACAAGCAAGTGCTCAGGCTGCTATGTGAGAGTGTGTAAGATTCATTCATATAACCTTCAATGGAAAAGTTTAATTCGAAGCACGTGACTGACAGCAACTCCGGCGCCGGCGCCGCCATCAACTTAACTATTACCCTTCTCTTCCTCGACCGCTCAGGTTACCGTGAATTTCGCTTATCATCCGCGAATTTCTCATCTCTGCCTAAGAGTGAATGGATCGTTATGCCTGCCGTTGCGCGAACTAGGTGAGTTCCTCCGGAGGTCTTAGTAGCATCCCACTCTACTTACCGAACCGTACTTTAAGTGCTTGTACATTGAACGAACGGGCGTGATAGGAAAGCAAGGGGAAGGAAGCCCCTTTTGACTCTGATTTAAGCAAGCTACTGACTTAGCCCGCGAACCGAATGCCCTCCGAATTGCGGCTGGAAGCACACTATCAGTGAGTACTTCTCTTAGAGGATGAGTTTGGACATGGTCCTTCCTACTGATATTCCTTCTCATAGTGTGATTGTCAGGCATTCATGTAACCTTGAAGTCTTCGCGGTCTAGAAAGCCGCGATTAACGGCACTTGGATGTTCACCTGACGCTCAAATAGTTAATACTGCCTTGAATGTCGGCATTTGCACATCTTGATGTGACTGGGATCGGGTAGATGCTGACCTTGCGCGTGCGCCTCCTCCAAGGGTGCCCTCCTATTCTCGTCCTCTATAGTGTATTCGCCCATGAAAGACACGTACGCGGTGGATTCGGTAGGTGAGATACCGTCTGGCAGAAGGAGATAATCACTTAGTAATGTAACGTAGAGCTAAACTCTGAGGAACTAAGTCGACTGTCTTGAACACATCACCGGCACCACCTCTCACACATTCACACACCCTCCATTATTCGGCCTGAATATCCGTGCTCCTCAGCTCCGCATTCCTCCACCCCACGTTATACCCTCTGATCTTCCTTTCGCTGCGATGCTGCCCGATGTCTGAACGACGCCGAAATGGCCGTTTGCAATTTTTGACCAATTTGAACCCCAACTGGCCAACCACCGAGACCCAGACAGTTACGACTACGAGGGAAAGAGTGGGGCGAGATGCGAGGAAGGGTGAACATCGGATCGGGACATGCTAGTGCCCACTCGAACGTGTGAGCACTTTCCCTATGATAAGAAGGAGAGATGAAACCTCGCTCACTTACGGCAGACATGGGATCCCTAGATCAGCCACTTGACGCTTGATTGAATATCATGCCCGCCGAAAGTTGTCTACATATGAAGATAAAGTGTCATGTTTTGCGCCAGGAACCTGAATTCCTAAAGTACCTTACGCCACCCGACGAAAGAAGGTCTGGCCCCAGTGGTAACACTCATATCGACACTCGAACAAATTCAGGACCCATCATCTTGGTATGTGAACGTAATTTGCATGCCCAACAGCAACTAGTAATCAACGCACTTGTCACAATCAATCTGATGGGCCATTGAAATTGCTAAAGAAATAGTACTTCCTCTCGATTCGATGCAGTATCGCAATGTCCCGAGGTCAGCAGCCATGCCTTGTATCTCTAGTCCGATGCGGCCATCTCGCAACATATCAAACTGTCTGCTTCATAGCCTCACTCAAATGTTGGCACCAGGGCCCCTCGATCTATCGCCGTTTTGATAGCAAAAATTGCCCTGGCAGGAATGGTGCGACCAATCATGCTCCAGGTGAGCCTCAATCGAAATCGCCCACGCCATTAAGTCAGCTGAAGAACCCATACTTGAGCATACTTGATGGAGCTACATAGTGGCTTCCCATTCTCCGTTTACTTTGGCGCCCATTGCCACATCGTGCCGGTGAACGCTCAGTAGATCACCGAGATGGGGCTCGGGATCCTCATTCAAGCTTGTCTCGCTGTGGAATGAAGCCATCCTATTGTATTTGTATGTCCTACTTTTCACTATCCGGGATTGCGCCCTGAACAATATCCGGGAATCCCGCTAACCTGATGGAAATACCGCACCTACAGCTAGCAGAAACCACATCTATCCGGACGGAGGCTTTGATCCTCCAAATGAGGCATACACCAGATGTTTTAAAAGGACCCTTGCACCGAGCGTTTACCCCCCAGGTTTACCATGTACTCGATATTAATGCGCTTTCTCCTGCTCGGACTTTGGCCGTTCTCTGCCATGCTTGAGTCTCAGTCGACCGCCAAAATCATCGCATCGAGGGACGGTACCAGTATTTACGCCGACGCAACTGGGAACCCTGCGAAACAAAGCATCGTCTTTGTTCACGGACTAGCCCTCAGTGGCGCTGTTTTCGACAACTTCTTCGCCAATAATCGCCTCCGAAAGAACTATTATCTGGTACGTTATTTGTGAGCTCGTTTCTTCCGAGTTTCATGCTGATCCATGTACTAGGTTCGATACGATGCTCGTGGTCATGGACGGAGCGGCAAGCCTTCGGACGCAGAGGCCTATGCATCCGTGCACTACGCTGAGGATTTCTTGGCCGTGGCACACGCCTTTCAACTCAACGAACCTGTATTCGTAGGCTGGTCAGTCCTTCCGCTGACTACGCATTCTGTATTAATCGACGCTGATTTGGCTTCATAGGAGTCTCGGCTGTGCGCACTTATCTATCCTCCTGCATTCTCTGCCTTGTGTGCTCATCTCATTTTTTCACAGCGGCTATAATTTCCGACATTGTCGAACATATCAATCCACTTCCAATTCTAGGCGCGGTTGCATTTGCTGGGAGTCCTGTATTGGGCCCAGAAATCCTACCCAAGCTCATCTCGCCCTCGATCAACGGCGTTCTCTCTGCGATGTTTCAAGACGCGAACGTTACGGCCAGTATGGAGGGACGCATGCAATTCATCGACGCGTGTTTCCGAGACGCCACGCGGGTACCCTTCGACCTGAAAGCGACATATCTCGGGCAAACAGTCGTTCAGCCGCCGACCGTCGCCTTGCTGGCCATACAGCGAACCCAAGACCCTACCAGGTTATTCGCCGCAGGACAAGCGGGGACCCTGCGTCTACAGCAGATTCTTGGTGATACCGACAGAATTGCCAACAACAGTGCCGCCGTCGAGTTCGTGAAGCCGCACTTCAAATTTTTGACGGTCGACACGATACCGGCGGGGCATGCTATGTTCGAAGATAACCCAGAGCGAACCGTAGATGCCCTCACAAGGTTCATCCGAAGTCTACCGAGGAAGCGATGATGGTGTCCATCATACATGCTCACCGAAGGAAGACATTGTATTGGCATTTCATACAGCTATGTGTTGAAATTAAAGACGGCATTTTCAATGGACGATCATCGCCTCTTAGACGTTTCCTGAGAATCCATTTTAACGTCCCCACCACACCATCCGATCATACTCATAACAATGATTATGTACTGAACTGTCTTGAGCGTCATAGGTCTGCCCAAAATCCGCCGAAAGTCACCGTGATTGCATCACGGCGTTGTAGGCGTGTACTTCGCTGTACGATTCGTCATAGTCACTGACATACTAAATAGGGACAGTGATTGACATGATCACTCAGGCGAACATCTCGGGCTATCGAACACATCCTCACCCCATCCGAACAGCCCTACGTTCGGCCGCCCAAGAAGACCTACTTGGATGCAATTGCTTGCTTCAACATACAGCATTTTACTAGAAGCTCAGGCTGGCCCTCAAATTGCTGGTCGATTGCTTCTTCCTGACCTTCTACCGCTTTGACATGGGACCGACTGATCCTGCGAGAACAGATTATGTTCAACGAAGTCCGAGAGGCACGCACGCTGGTGCCCCGCGTCAAAACTAGCTACAGACTAGCCCGCTGAAGCTTGAGCGTAAACTGCAGAATGTTACTCGTTGGCGAAGCCGCGTTATCAGGACACCTTAGGTTTCGCGGGAAGCGGTGACCACCTCATGATCGTGAAGCTTACTTCAGGCTTCCCAACGAGACGAAAAGCATTAGGTACAGTCGAGTGTTTACGAAGAAGTCCCTGGCATTGGATCTGTATAGGTCGTTCACAGCTTCGGGAAAGCGCCCCACTGATTATCGTTGATGATCGCTATAATAGGTGTACGTTCCCCTCAAACGCCACCTGGAATGTTCTATACCAGGTATGTCCACATGCTGTCTGATCATCTGGGAGGTCATAGGCACCGGTACCCAGCGATGGCAAGATGCGGGCACCACACATAGGTGCCTGGGTCCACCCAATGCCACCGTGATTGCTCGATGACGTTTGCATATCTCAGCGCGCACACGGGCCACTTACAGCCACCCTCCAGGCTACATATATGGGCTGCCCAGTTAATCGTGAAAACGATAGATCAACATGGTTAACCTTCAACCTGGCGCGAAGTACAAGTTCGTCAATGCTAAAGCCAACAATGTAGCCGATCTCTCTGGCGGCGACAACAAGTCCAGTGAGCCTTCCGCTGGCATTACTGAAAATTCTGAACCTTGGCATTGACGCACAACAGTTATCGGGTATAGCGATCACAACGGGGCCAACCAAACGGTTTGCGTCTCTTTTGATCTATAGGAAATCACCGTGTCGACGTATTCGACTTAGTGGGAGGCCTTGCCTGGAGGAAACGGCTGGATATTCAAAAACGTGGCGACTGGCCAATATCTTGGTATCAACGGCCTTGCCAGAGATGGCACTCCTGTTGAGGGTATCCACCCGCCGTTCGAATGGCATGTTAAGAACGATGAGGGCCATCCGGACACCGTCAGGTAGGGTGCTTTGTCCGCAGCAGCATCTTGGGATAATAAGACGGTGCTCGCAGACTGTTCGTCCCCAACACCCTCTTCAACATGGACCTATCTGACAACGGCAACGCAACTGCTGGAACGAAGATCCAAGTTTGGAATAAGTGGACACCTGGCGTCAATCAGTGCTGGCGCCTTGTGCAAGGTACGTGGGCTCTGGCTTTCTGTGTCTGAGAACTTGACTGGTGCTGACGTGGTTGATCAGTTGGCTGAAGATGATGGCGATCAGTGGATGATTGAGAGAGAGAGAAGGAACTTTTCCATGTGTATAACCTCGATATCGATTTTCGTGGACTCGCGGTCATCGATACTGACCGCGCACATATGATCAGTGACACAATTGAGACTGATGAAGTAATTTTCTCCGGAGTCCGATGAGAGTTAGATGAGAGTATACCACTGCGAAGCTACGTGTGCGGTGTTTCTTCAACTGCCAATGTCTTGATTGCATTGTACAGCACTTCTGTGTTGCTCCCATGTCTATGTATACACGGCTTGATTGATCTGCGTGCGTGATCTGCATCAAGCAACGGTGGGACCATCTGACGGAGCACATGGGCGCTCGAATATTTCGAAGTGTGCTTACTACAGTCCAGTACCACTAACAACCTTCGAGACCCCACTTAGAACCGAGCTTAGAGATTCTACTACAAACCTAGACTGCGCCTTAAATGCTTGGGGCGAGTACTTCATCTATCACTGTGTATCCTCGAGATGATGGACCTACTGAGGTAACAGGTTGCTTCGCGTCTTCCGTTGGCTACTACAACCATCATTCGCTACACGTTGGTTGCATAGGAAAACCTTCTAAGTCTGGCATGCTTGGCAATGACACACACTGTTCATCGAGTGAGACCGTGGCTTTTATGACACGACCATAGTATTCGCCATAGCTTTATTAAAGCTCATGAGTGTACACCCACCCTTGGACTGGTTCCTTCTTCCCGCCTGTTCTCAAAATTCAGTGTTTTAGCGAGTCTGGGTTTCCGCTCATTTAAACAATGTCTGTCCCTATTTTGAACGTTAAAGGTGTGTACTACTTCTGGGAAGTTTGTCGGGCCCGACGCTGACATACAAGCAGTCATTGCACTTTTCCTTCCTATTCTAGCAATACTTTTGACGGCATGTCGAATGCTCCTACGGCTGCGTAGTAGGACGTTCAGGATGGACGATGGCTGGGCCACATTCTCATCTGTCGGTCTTTTCATCTTCAGTGTCTGCACGTTTGTATCTCTTGGCCATGGTGAGTCCGATGAGCCGAAGATTTGAATTGATTGTTGAGCACGTCCTTAGTCGAAGGAGTAACTGCCATCGCGTTGGATTATCTGGTGTCTGAGCTTTTCTATACTGTAATATGGTACGTCTACTCTCGCGGGCACTTATGCCCTTACTTATGAGACCCTCTTTGCCCAGACGTTCTGGGTGTGTGAGACAGCGTCAGAGTGGAAAGTGGGTGACGTTGGCCGATGATATGATCTAATCTCAATAGTCATACAGCATTCGGCGCCGCAAAGATGTCCAAAGAGCACGGGCATAGCCATCGCCCAACTGACAAGTACGTCTTCTATCATTTATTCGTGCGATGGTTCTCAACACGCATATCAGCCGGCGTGGCCGCAAACGCCGCCCTTCTCGTCCTCCCAGCGACGTTCCTGTTTGATGCTTCGCTCACTAACAAACAGCGTGTCCATATGATTTGCACCATCGCTGCGGTCGCGTTTGCTGCGGTTGCAAGTCTTGTACATGGCTACTTCACTTTGCGTGTCGGCGGATTGCCTGAATTGGTACTAGCCATCATCGAGGTACGATTCACATCTTGGCACCCCCACCACTGTCACTAACCACTGATCGATAGGCCTCCGCTACCCTCATGGCCTGCAGTGCTGCAATCATTGCCACTGCCGTCTTAGATCTCATCAAGAAGCCTTCTCCATCGGATCGTTGGATAATGACTTCATCATTCAACGCGCTCTCTCCTACATTCTCCACCGATACTGTCAAAACCGTGCATCTCTCGCCGCGCTCGGGAACATCAGTTTCGTACGAAGGCAATACACCCTTCAGAAAGTCACCTTCACTGTGGGGTCCAAATGGGGCTGGAGTACACATTACCGAGGAGAAGGTTTCTGTGCTGCATTTCCCAACACCTGCTGTTCTCAAGCGCTCCGCGTAAGCAAGTGTCATACCATGACTCCCTGTGATGTTTATTTGTGGACTGTATACCAACGACAGCTACTTATTCTACGCTCATGATCACCAGTTAATAATGAACAATGGACAATGGATGTAATACTACTTAGTGATGACTTGGACGTTCTACGATGTACCAGACTCGAAGCCGTCTCTGAGGCCAATTTATATGTACATACATGAAACAGAGTCTATATCAGGTCGACATATCCGATGCAGGGTAAATATAATAAATATATAACAAGATACAGTATCAAGATGAAGAGTCTGTAATAAATAGGTAGCAAGATACAGATACATGATCAAAATACATCCTACGTATGAGAAATTGATACAATAGTCTATGGATATGCGTGTTCTCTGTGATGGGTCGTCTAGTTGCTATGCGTGGAAGATGTTCATCCATAATAAATCAAGGGAGTCCGTTGAACATTATCAATCGATGTTTCGTCCGCACTGGAGGAGAAATGTTGCCACGATCGAAACATCATGCAAATCTGACTGAACAGCATGTGACGACAGTTCTAGGATGATCGATTCGCGACCCCTGGATATTCTTCCTACAAAGCTTTGCGAGCCATGAGGGGTAGGGGTAGATAGCTGCACTCGTTGAGCGTTTGGAATAACTCGGAGATAACAAGGGACCTACATTGATAGTTTCTCCGTAAGGGCTCCAGCTGTAACTTGTGCCACTAACTCGCATTCTCCTTGACCTGACAAAGGGATATAATCGTTAGTGAATGGAGGCGTAGGGGAATGTACGCGACTTTACTTTCTATCGGAAGAAAGAGAGAGCCATTGTCGTATTTCCTGCTTAACGAGTTTGCCACGAACTTCAACCAAGGGATGCTGCTGCCACTCGATCAATGCAATATTCTGGTTGTTGGCGTTCTTGAAGAGAGTATATGTTGGCATAGCGGGGTCGGTAACGATATACATGTGCGGTGTCGAGTCGGGTCCCATAATCGTGCAATTCATGATGTTCGGATTGAACGCAGTGAACGTGAAGGATGAAAGAGTGGAGGACGACGCGTTCGGTGAACCACCAGGGTATGGAAGGGCGCCGTAAATTGAAGGTGTTTGCTGACGATCGGACTTCCAGCCGTCGAAAGGGTTGTTGAATCTATACATGTCGAAGAAACGCAGTGAAGGATGCAGAAAAGGCAGGGGGGTTGAGTGAGTGTCCTCGCGTGGCGCCGTGGACCATTTATTGCGAAACTAGTCCTCAGTGATCACACTGGTTTCGCTTTGGTAAATCAACATTGTAAGAAGCCGCCATCAGTGAAGTAATCGCGTGCGCCTTGTTCGAACCCTCTCCTGGTGTCGATACGGAAAGTCTTCCCAGACAATTGTTGATCAGGAGTAAGACATGGCGTTCTCGGATGTCTTCATCGACAAACCTTCCTCCCAAGAAGACCGCAACTGCACAGCGACGACTAATTATCAGTCAAGCAGTACACAGCCCTGGAGCGTGTTGAACCGCGTTTCAGGCCCGTAGTGTTCCACGCAGTCAACCTCCCAGCGAGATAAACCACAAGGTATGGGCGTCTCCAAGCTGTGTCGTTCAAGCCGACGATATCAGGTACGGGCAAGTTCAACAAGCTTGACTTCCTTTCTGGGGGGTACGCTTGGGCTGTGTCCTGTTTCAAGAGCGGGCCAGCCGTGATTTAAGAGCAATGCCTTCTCGCTGCGGTCGAAGATTATTACCATTCAGGATGTAATGATCGCCACTTGGAAACTTGAAGCTCTCCCAATCGTGACCATCACCAATCATTAATCAGTCCGGGGACGGTGAGCGCGGGAAAAGTGAAGGTTTGCCGACAACAAAGGAACGGCTGCTGCCGAGCAGACAGAGTCTATTCTTACGGAATCAGTGTCACGTGCACCTTGACTACAGCTTCACCAAAGCGGACCTCGCAGCTTGATCCTACACCATCACCTCCCCATCCGAATTACCTCGTAGCCTCGAACTGTGAGTCCTGAACACCGACTGTCCATATTGTACTTGCTGAACATGAATCTATCTATGATTCGAATTGCCTACCCAACGATCGCGCTTCAATTTGCCACAACCGTCGTCGATCTGCTGCGATATCGTTGGATTTCTCTAGTAGTCACCTCTTGCGTCCTCAAGGCTTTTGTCATGGCTCTCAAGCGCATTAACAAGGTAAATTGCTGCTCTCTTGCCTCTAGGTGGAAGCACAGGCAGTGGCGATTAGACGCTCTTTCAACTGTTCCTAACGCTTCCATGACCTAGGAATTGATTGATCTCGGGCGTGATCCCCCCTCATCGTGCAGTGCTGGTCCTACGGGCGACAATATGTTCCAATGGCAGGCAACGATTATGGGTCCAGTGAGCTTCGAACCGTTCATATCCCTGCGCCACTCGGCTTACCTTATCATAGGGTGACTCACCTTATGCGGGCGGTGTCTTCTTTCTTTCAATCAGCTTCCCGACCGATTACCCCTTCAAGCCTCCCAAGGTCAGCTTTACGACCAAGATCTACCATCCCAACATCAACGCCAACGGATCCATATGTCTTGACATCCTGAGGGACCAATGGTCGCCGGCGTTGACCATCTCTAAAGGTAACGCCACTATTCGCTTGTTTTATCACGTATTTGACTCTAGGTGTTCCTAGTGTTATTGTCGATCTGCTCGATGTTGACTGATCCCAATCCCGATGACCCACTTGTCCCCGACATTGCTCATCTGTACAAGACCGATCGAGCAAGGTACGAGGCGACTGCTAGGGAATGGACGAGGAAGTGAGTTTCATCCATACTTTCCTGCTTAATAGATTCTCAAGTTGTCACCAGATATGCTATGTAATCTCCGACGATTCAGCATAGATGTTTTCGCCTCGTTCGTGGTCTCGTTGACTGGGTGTACACATACTCTCATCTTTCTCCCGAATTCTTGTACTTCCTTTCAATCATATACTGTATCATCCTCATGAATAACAATGGCATGAGTGTTCGCTTGATATCCAATGGTCGACTGTTGAACGTTGAAGCTGAAGTGACAAAGTTTGGCACGCGACACGTACTATTCATGCAATTAACCAGCGATCAACAGATGATACCAGTCTCGTTGCATTCTATGAAGTATTGAGTGCGTATCGATTGCATGTAGTGATAGATTCTGGCACAACCAAGTGGCTGCCGCGAGTTACCCGTATCTGGCAATCGTCGGGGGGCGCGTGAATTGGTCTGGAGTTGTTCTTCTCACGGTCACATTCAGAAATATTGTTGCGCAGAAACCCAACTACGTCTCGGACAGCATTCATAGGACATCGCCACAGGTATCACCACTCGAGCCTGGCCACGACACGCAGCCACAAGACTTCTGAACCGCCGTAGGACCACCGTTTCCGTTCTCGCACCATGGCGCGCTTTCGAGCATTCACCAGCGATAGCAGTGAGGATGAGTCGGACCACGGGGTAGAGGAGAAGAAAGCTGCAGACCCACCACGGGAGGAAAGCGAAGACGAGTCGAACAGTGGGTCGGACTCATTCATGGAGGAAGACGAACTCGCCAAATCACCACCGCCACAAAAGCGTTTCACCCGTAGCGCTTTGGTGCAGAATAAAGCCGGAGACTATCGATACGCCCACGAATCCGAAGATGAGTCTGAAGATGAGGCCTCGTCCTCGTCAGACTCACCTCCGCCAACGCGAGCACGCGTGGGCGACCCGTCGCTAATCCCCTGGGCTCAACAAGTTGGCGTGGACGCGCAGAAAATGCTTGTAATGCAGACGTCCCTATTTCGTATGCCAGAAGAAGCTGCCGCACTCAAAGAGATTGAGAAACCATCGCGCCACTGGGGCCTGCGTGTTTCGCCACAAGGATTGAATCGGAAACACAGTCGCGACTCTGAAGGTGATGGTTTACGTGTTGAATCTAGGGAGGTGGGTAAACTCTGTTGTACTACTGCGCACATCATTGAAACTGGCCCGTAGCGAGCGTCATTCGCGGATGACATTGACCCTGTCCCGCACCGCCCTTCTCGAAAATATGCAAGGGTGGATATCACGTCGTCGGTGTCTGCGGGCGCAGAAGGCGCAGTAATTGATGCTGGATTGGCACTCGGCCGCTCATGGCGGGTAGGATGGGGACCTGGGGGGACACTGGTTCACCTCGGCAAGCTCTGCGGACCTACAGCTTCTTCGTGAGTGGCTATGCGTCATTTCGTGATTAAAGGGTCGACCGCTTTCCAGAGACGTCTCTACCAACTCCTCGATCATTCACAAAACATCACTGCCGCTGGTAGACGAAACAAATCTATCTTCAAAATTACTCCAACATCATCTTTCTAATTCCCCAATAGAGGCGGACGAAAATGGTATTCCCTTCGCAAACCCTTCTTTCGACTTATGCTTCGCATCGTTCACTGGTCTCTTCACCTCTACCGACGAATCGTATATTGCTTCGCTATTCCGGCTAGGCCATGCCCTGTTCGATCCTCTGAACCTCCGTCTAGGCGAATCAACCCCACCAGACGCCCGAAACCGTATTATCTGTCTTCGCAGAAAAGCTGCTTTATCATCGTGGCTAGAACGAGCAGTCTCTCACCAAATCGAGGCTACGCTCAAATCACCTTTTACACTCAACCCCCCGTACACCGCGTTCATACTTCTGACGGGGAACCAAGTTGAGAAAGCCTGCGAGGTAGCTATGGATGGCGGCTACTATAAATTAGCTACCCTGATCTCACAAGCGGGAGGCGACGCCGAGTTCCAGGAGGACCTACGAGAACAGCTGCAAATATGGCGAGAACAGCGGATAGATGTCCATCTTGATGAGGGCATTCGGAAAGTGTACGCCCTTCTTGCTGGAATAGTAGACGACGTGGTTCCCGGCTCGAAAGGGACTGGTTTGGCTTGCTCGGACATCGACATAATTCAAGGCCTGGACTGGAAGCGAGTGTTGGGTCTCCATCTCTGGTTCTCTGAACCACTAGACACGACGATATCGGATGTCTACGAAGCCTATGTCGAACTGTCAAAACAGTCGCTTCCTACACGAAAGATCGCGCAACCGGTACCGTGGTACAGCACGAACACGAACTTGGCATCGCAGTTGTGGAAGCTTCCTGACGAACTTCCACCAGACGGATTGTTCGCCCTCATTCGTCTTCACGCGGAGCCATCGTGCTCGCTCTCCCAAGTGCTACTCCCGCTATCTTTCGGACCGTCCCCGTTGGATTTCACCCTGCCTTGGCATTTGTATGTTCTCCTCTCCCGATGCATGCGTGCGAGGGATTTCGATGATAGAGGTGATCCTGTGGCGCCTGACGAAGATGATGGCGACGAGGAGAACGCGGTGGAGGGGCACAGCCCAAGTGCCGATCTCCTCACAAGTAGTTATGCCCTTCAATTGGAGAGATTGGGCATGATCCAGGAGGCATTATTTGTCTTGTTGCATATCGAGGGTTCTCACGGGTGAGTTGAGTGCGACTTATCGCGGGTGCTGGAAGTAACATGGAGTTATTGACAGGCGGGAGAAAGTCGTCAAGGACCTCTTGGCGCGGTCAGCAAGCAAGCTTGACGAGTGGATGATACGGGGCATCATAGGCAGTCTCAAAATCCCTATGACGTGGGTAAACGAAGCGAAGGTAGGAGGCACTGCATTCGTCAACGGTGAATACGAAATTGAGCGCTTGACGACCCAACAGGCTATACACGCCTATGACAACGGGCGTCTGTACGACGCGTACGAACTGTATTACTCGGCGGCGGCGTACAACGCAGCGCATGACATAGCGGTCGTTGATCTTGCACCGGACGCTATTATCCGCAAGGACCTGGAGCTTCTGAGAGATCTGTTCGTACGGTTCGAAGGCAAGCCTGTCAGTGGATGGCACGTACGCGGAAAGCTATTCCTCGACTACGTGCGAGTCGTGAGGCGTCTTGCCGACATTCACGAACAGGAACCCGACACAGCGGAAGATGATATAGAGGAGTTATCGAGAACGGCATCCAAGTTGATTGGTCTATTGCCTGATGTCTTGTGTAATCGGAAGGACGTGAGGCATGTTGCTGCTCTGGCCGAGATGGTCGCAACGCTTGTGAGCTCGGTGGAGAAGCTGAGGCCCTTGGCTCTGGTGAGTCATCCAATGCGAATTGGTTGAGATAAGATGACGTTAATTGCGACGAATATAGTCCCAGGTCCGGCTGACGCACGCGAGCATCGCTACCAAACAGAAACACTTGCGCTCCATTACACACGAGAGGTTCTTGCGGTCGATAGCTGCTTAATGTTGTACCTTTTCCTCCGTAAGTCCATATGCGAGTTGGTGTATGTTATTCCTGGATTTCGCCCGTGTAATCTATCTTATGCTTGCCGCTTGCCGACAAGAGGGTCCACACCGTGTTACCCCAGCGTCCCCCATGAACTGAACTGAACTGAACCTCCAGTGTTCCGCCCTGACACGCAAGCAAGATTTAGCAAGTGACCTTAAAATTTAGTATGGCAGCAGGTGCATCGAGCTCTCGGCAGTCGACCACATTCACTGCTGGCGATATTCAAAGAACATCTCACATCGTTTCTCTCCATCGTTCCAGAGAGACAGTGATGCAGGATGCATATTAGCAACACCCATGGCAAGTTGTTTGCGCGATCGCGCAGAAAGATGTCATGTCTTCTGACATCTACCGATCAAGACAATGATTGCTCAAGAATTTCTCTACCATTCTTGGATAGGAACTATTGGACATAGCGGAGCATAGCCGTCACAAGGTATCGTACCTTTAGGACAACCTTCTCGGGAACCGCGATAGAGGGATCCCGGGTCAGGGCTTGTACTAAAGAATACGGTCCACGAGATATCAGGCTGCTTCCTTCCGAACGACGCCATCGGGTGTGGGCGCACGCACTGGAGACGGGCACCATCCTAATAGCCAGTGCACCCACGCGCCGAATCGCAACGTAAGTGATAAAACTATATTGAACCTCGCTTTCTGCGTGATCGATCCATAGGACATCAATAGACGACAATGATCGACACATTCGGAGACGCTGCTTGGTTAAGATTAAGTCAAAACCGATATGTTCCAGACCTCTTGTAGCCATGGTATAGACCCCGACGTCGTAGCCGACGACAAACGTATGTAGGTGATAAGCACCTCGGTGTATGTGACGACACTCTTGCATAGCAAGTTGCATTGCATGCAGGAACACCTTATTTGCACTTGTTAGAATCTAAAGCCCATCGACCCTGATGCACTGCCTCCACATTGCTGGCCTCGCCGCTACGACGACGACAATTCGTCAATTTAATTCATTGTATCGCCCATATCTTTTCAAATCACTGCATTCTACGGAGGGTCTACGTCGATAGCAATCTCTATTGCCCTAAGCCGGGAGAGCCATCGGTAAAGAGACCTGAGTTTGAGGCTATCCATGAGTTGGGGCCATCTGCATCAATGGTGATCGATTGATCTTCCGACTTGTTTTGTGTTTCCAATATGATGATGAAGACGTCGGGGTAGCCGCCGGCGCCTTCGACGGGATTGGGCAATTGCAACGCAGCGGTGTTTTTGCCTCCCCCAGGTTGCTGGCTTCTCTGCCTTGATGCCCTTGCCCTTCGCGGCTCGCTTTCCTAAGTGGGATTCCCGCCTGTCCCGATCCGGATTTATTGCCGTGACCTATGCTCAAAGGGAAAGTAAGCTGTACGCCTGTAAATCCTGCCATAGGCTATAAAACTGAGGCGTCGAAGGTGAGTCGCCCCGAATTCTACTCATGTCTCACATCGTACTCAACCCGCTTCTCCAGTACTCGCAGCACGACTTGCCAGGTGGCAACCGTTGCAGGATCAAATGGGACTTGCGGCAACCCCCTTGTTCTTCAGCTCAACTCATTGAATCAGACCAAACCCTTTCCGATACCGAGCTTGCGCAACACGCCACCCATCCCCCGTTGAACACTCTGCAGATAATTTGTGGCGTTTTACCATTCGAGTGGCCAATCATCGCACAAAACCCTACCGGTGTTACAATCGCGGACGTGCTACAGGCCATTCATCAGACCGTAATGGTTCAAATCAAACAGAATGAATACGACGCGTTGTCGCTCAAACAGCGGAACCGCATTGCCCAAATCTTCGACACGAGGTGGCGAGCCTCGCTCGAGCCGCGCACTATATGGTCTTTCGGAGTATTGCGGGTCGACTGCCTGCTCAACCACACCATTTTCGCTGGGTTGACAATGACGATTGAGGGGACAGATGCCTGCATCGTTTCCCTCCGTCGTGTGAACTAGCAACTTAACTCGCAATATGACCGAAGCCAGACTACCAACCATCAAACTACGATATCACACTACTCGCTCGCTCGCCGGCTCGTCAGCTCAGAGCTATAATCAAATCTATCATACATTTGTGACACTCATGGCTGCGAGTCGGCGATTGGAGGGTCATTGGTTAACGATCAACCACGTTAATATACAGAGTCGCACGTAAGTCCCCTCAATCTTCCTTGCTCTACCTGTACTAACCCAATTGCATACGACAGTTCATTGTCAACTCGGCCAGGGTTTCCCAGCGGTTCGGGGTCCCTTCGTGCGTTCAAGGTACGGGGCGAAGGCATCGCAACCACTACCGCCACCCGAAGCTGCGCGTTATCGGATTCGATGGCACTCAATTTACCACCAGCTCCTGCACCCTTCTCATTATCATTTTCCGACATCACACTCGAGGTCCCGGATATTCGAGGCTCTTGCCCATCACCTGGATACATCCGATGAATTATACGCGATATCCCCAGCCTTGCCTCTGTAGGAGTTTCAGCCTTGTTGATGGGCAACAGAGATTGACTTTGTTCGTCCCAACAGATTGTGGCAGATAAAGGCTGTCAAACGATTGGTGCCAAGCAAAAATGCGTGCACACTCGCACTATGAAACATACGCACAGTAATATCTTTCCATCGCATACCCTTCTGCACCTCGCCTTCACTCCGATTTCCATGCAAGCCACTATCATCCTCATTATCCGCGGGATGTGTGTCCGGCTCCGGATAGGCTATCCGCACGTCCCATAGCTGAGGTTTCTCACCCAGTCGCTCCCCTTTGAAGTTACCCCTCCCCCCTGCACGAGTTGTTGCAGGTGTCGGCAAAATCCACCCACTGGCCACACGTACTCTTTGCCACCCACAGACTAGAAGCATCGCGATGCTGAATAGCCCGATTGCCAAAAAGGCAATGATCAATGGGGGCGAGCCGCGTGGGGAGAACATCTCGGGGCGCTGGTCGTCATTTGCGAAAGATGGATATGTGGGTGTAGGTAGAGGAGCGAGACTGTTCTCTGCGCTTGTTTGTGAGCCCATGTTGTGGCTCACATCTAAGACTGGACATGGGTGTATGTCAACTTGCGCTATGTTAGTGCCGGAAGCAATATACCAAAAGGCAAAAATTTCTCATGATAGTGTACCTCTTCTCTAATACTGGCTCCTGGTACGCTATTTATTGCTATGTATGCTTTATATATCTTCTTTCGGGTTCCATATAGAACGAGTGATTGCGACATATGGGAATGATACAAGATCAAAGGGAAATAATGTTATAAGTACACGAATTGCGTTTTGCATACAAAGGCATCAACTGTGGTTCGACGCCGTCGGGGAAAGGGTATATCGTTGAAGCTTAGGCGTAGAAGTCATCTATAACGTGTCTCGGCGTTTGACGCCCACTCTGCATTCGACAGGCTTCCTGAGGAAACCTTCTCGTGTGTCAAGCTGTGTTGGATCAATCAGCATGGAAGGATACAATTTTAAGGCGAAGAACTTACGATCTGGTCAGGGTTTTCAAGCACGAAGTGGTATCGGCGCAAGATGGAGGAAACGATGATCTGTAATTCCAACATCGCAAGGTTGCGGCCGACACAAGCCCTATTGATACAGATAAATCCATTAGCACGTACGTATAGCGGGGATACGGCCATAAAACTTGCCTCGGGCCGTAAGAGAAAGGATTGAAAGCTTTCTGCATCGCCGCATTGTCGCCCTCGAACCATCGTTCAGGCCTGAAAGTTTCCACATCTTCTCCCCATACACGTGGATTGCGGTGGATCGTGTAGCTCGGGACGCTGAGAACTGTACCCTCAGGGAAGAACTGGCCCAAGACAGTCAAACCGCCTTCAGGAACAACGCGAGGAAGGCCGAGAGCAGAGGTTGAATGGATGCGCAGAGCCTCATTGATGACCGCGTCGAGATAGGGGAGCCGCTTCACCTGGTCAGCGTTAGATACCAGTTCGTCCTCGGTGCCAAGTTGCTCGTCAAGTTCTTTGTGGAGCTTGTCTTGAACGTGAGGATTGGCGGCAAGATGATAGATGATAGCGCAGGTAGAGCTAAAGGCGCGGAACATCGAAGAAATAGACAGGGGGAATAAGGGGCCGACGGGGATGGACGGGGTAAGTTCCGCGGGAGATAATCGAGACACAGGTAGAAGAACAATGAAACAAAGAATCAGCAATCATATCTCGTCAACATCCGGCGCAGCCTCGTCAAGTTACGCCGGTGATGGACAGATGTTCACGTACTTTGATGTTGTATCACTGCCAGCTATCAAGAGCGTCAATGCCTCGGCGGTCAACTCTGCTCTTCCCATAGGGTTTCCATCTTCGTCTTTGCCGGCCTGAAGCTTGCTGAGCAAATCGTTTCTGTCGGTCGGGGTTGCAAGGCGTTTGGCCACGGCCATGATAGCGATTCCAGCCAAAGTCTGGACGTCTTTCTGACCCTTGCTGTACCACGGAAGCTTGCGAGCGAGGGGTCGCCAGTACCATGGTAAGACGCCCATTGACATTGAATACTCGCCGCGTCCGTTCAGGATTTTGACAGCAGGGATGTACTGAACATCAGCATTGTTGGTGGCATCCTTTCCGTAAGAGTCCATCACGGCTTTTTGCGACTTGGGCACTGGAGCGGAATCCTTGCCAGCCAAAAGCATGCCAAATGGAGCACCGAAAGCCAGATCACCTGGGGGTTCATGTTAATTATGGTCAAACTCCCATATGATGCTAACAGGCCGGAAAATCAAACCGCACTCACCCTACGAGATAACACACAAGGCAACCAAGGAGCGATTAGAAGAAGAAGATAACATAAGATGGACCGAGAACGTACAACAATGTCGAAAGCAAGATAATTGGCCCCTGTGCAAGAATAGTCTATCAGAACGCGATCTCGAACACGTCATATATAGGGCTTCGACTTACATGGCAAGCAATCAAGCCAGAGTCTGTCATTTCCTCCGTGCCAACCACTTTCACCTTCTGGACCAGAAGCTCCTTTGAGGGCGCTGTCGTGCATTTGATCCCATTGATTCAGAAGGATAGACACGTAGTGACGAATGTGAGGTTCAAATTCGCTAACGGACTTCTGCGAGAAAACATGCGAAACGATCTTGCGCTTGCGCGCATGGTCGACGCGATCGCGAGTGTTGAAGACGCCTCGTTCGATGGACACGAAGGCATCATAGAATTCAGACTTGAGCGCTCCGTTGCCATGGGCATAAACGATCGGGAGTGCATCAGGCTCCGCGATGGAGACATGGTTGGGGGCCAACCGAACGAAGGGACCTAGATGGAGTAAGTAATTGGGTATGGTATGATCCGGCTATAGTGGTCTTACCATATGTCTTGTGCATGTCGTGGACCACTTCCGAGCGATGACCATGGGCACTAACCCAGCCCAACCATAGGTCGGAGAATTTGGCGAGGAAGGGACCTGGATATAAGCGAAGACCATGACTATCCCATAGCCATGGGAGGAGATGAGCTGCGACGACGGCCGCGACAAGCGTGAAGCCGATCGTGTTGAAGTCGGTGTTGGTGGTAAGGGTGTCGAGTATCATGGTGGTAGGGGAAACTGAGGTATCCGAAGCCTTTAGGAGGCGATATTTAAGTGGTTTGGGAGAGGTAGAGGATCAGGTGCTTGCCGCTTTCGATCATCTAAAAGGTACGAGGAAATGGGACACCACGCTAACGTAACCCCTAACCTGTATTTTGAGAAGATCCGTCCCAAAATCTCAATCACTACAACCAGAATCTCATTAAGTAAAGCGTGCCATGCTGGATAGATCCACATACTGAGGGTTATAGAGTACACCCAATCAGATCCTTCATGTTGTGACACATGTCCAGCCACAAAGCCAAGTCGAGCCAGAGGGAGCACCAGTTCACATGCGAACCAGACTGGGGATGTGAACCAATCAAGGGAAAGCTCTCTTGAGAACTCAGGCATGAATATCGAGAGAAAGGGAAGAAGCGGGGGCGACGGCAGCGGACGTGACCAAATTTACACGCTTTCTCTTGGGTCTTCGATCGTGGCGTATGCATCCCAGTAAAGTGCGTCGGCGTCGTTATTAGCCCCCCTGCTGGACATGTTGGAGAATACTGGAATACGAAGGCTACAGGTGGAGTCATTGGTTGCCTCATCGTAGGCATATGGATGATCCACCCACTGGGCCGTTCTCTGCGGGCGCACGATGCAAGCAGAAATGAATATTGAGGGTCTCCGCGATCTCGAAGTTGTATGCCACGATTACAATGACAAGCCTAGTCCAAGCGGCACTTATCCCCTGTATGTGCTTCTCATCGTTGCCTGTGGAATCGCGCGAGAAGTTATCCCTTCCAGCGAGGTACATCGGGGAGCTTCTAAGGATTTCTTGGAATTCTGGCTTCTGATGTAATCCGCTTCATCCACGCGCATCGTCAACGCTAGGACGCGTCAACAGTTGTGGTGGGAACTGAGATATGTGATATCCGACTGACAAGATCCATACCATGTACGCGAGCGACGAAGATGGGCGGGCATTGGGATGAGCCCGTCTTAAATATTTTGTAGCTACCTGCACGAAGACGGTTCAGCAGGACTGATCCACGGCAGGCAGAGAACAAATCGTCCCTCCCCAGCGTATGGCATTTCCGACAGGGTAATTTTTTCGTCTGTCAACTAAGAAGCATCTTTCAGCCCGTATTGCTTGAATGCCTGAGATAATATATTCTACCGGCAGGTCTCCCCGGTGGACCGCGTCTCTGAGACTTATGCCACGGTATCAACAAGCACATGGTGCAAGAAGGCAAGGATATACGGCCAGAGTTCGAAGCAAAAGGTTACTATCGTAGGAGAACAGTGAGCGCGACTCGGAGTATTAGACCACATGGCATTCACGTGACCCCTTATCGTGGTCGCTTCTAACCCGACACGGACGCTACACACTGCTGAGCGCTGTGTTAGCTTTTCAAGAGAGCGGTCTCACCGCCGAATGATTTCACAGCCTTTAGACGGAACGCCCCCGACTCGGATGAGAGCCAGCGGACGCTTCACGCCTTTCGTCAGGAGCATACGGAGAATCTGTCATCTAGGGCTAAAAATAGCCCGTGATGGAAAAACTAGGCACCTCCTCTGCTAGCCAATGTCGGTGATTCGTCTCCTGTTGCCGCTGAGCAGCTGTAACAGCGGCGAGGGGTCACCGCAGAATAGTCCTTTATCAACTCGACGTCCTTGAGACGCCGGGATCACCCCCCCTCTCCTTCGCTCCCCTACATACCCCTCCCCCGGCGAGTTCGAAGTGAGTCTCTTACGTTGGCAGACTAATTTTTGCTTGTATACTTCCCAAAAGTGAGTAAATAACCCCCTGGCGATGGTAGATCTTTTACTCAAGATCCCCTTCTAATCAAGCTCGCCAACATGTTCAAGTTACAGCAAATTCTATTGACTGTAGCCTTTAGTTTTGTTGTCAATGGTCAATATAGCGCCACTTATCTGCCGTCGAACGTACCAAAGACGACGGAACAAGGCCAAGCTGGCACGAACCAATGTGGAACTAGTAACAGCCAGACGTCGATGTGTCAGAACGCTTATCGTAAGTAGCCTGAAGCTTCATGCCTTCGTCGACTGATCGGGAATTTACCTTAACTCTTAGTTAATAGCGTTGACGACTTTTGCCTGTGGGGGCCCCCTGAGCCTAACTCTGTAATCGGGAACTCGGAGGTAAAGCTTCTTTTCTTGCACCCTTAATATTTACCCAGCCCTCTTCCTTAGCGAGAAGTCGTTTCTTGGTGCCTGAAGGTGAGTTCATTGTGCCAAGTGCCGACTAGCTCAAGTTTGCTAACGCTGGGTTGGTGCTGTTTTTGTAGCCTGGGACAGGTAGTCGTTTGATACCAGCCGGTTCAATAAAGGGTGCACATTTCGTGCAGACTCCCGATTTTATCCAAGTCACTGGTTAGTCCCGTAGTTCATTTCCCGATCCATTGCTAACATTTACATTTTCACTCTTTTCTCCTCCTGGCGAATTATCTGCGTTCGAAAAATCACTCTTGTTATCTACTGTCACCCATTCACGGCACGCGCCAAAACATACCTCTCCCCTTCTACGCGCCTCGTTGATAACCCTCGACACGTTGAAATTTCATTTCTACCTGGGAACTTATAGGGACTGGCGATCTCACCTCCCTGAATATTCAACGCGGCGATGCCGGTGGAGAGCTTGATCCTCATGGTGCAGACGGTAACGGTGAGTGTTCACGTTAGCCGATATCTTCGTATTGCGACATTGCTCTGGGGGATGTGCGCGACATCGTAGTGCTTCAGAACTTGCGCTTGGCAAGTCACCTCCTCGGCTACGTTGCTAGTAAAAGCACCGAGATCCTTCATTGCAGCCTGCGTGGTCGTCTATCTATGTTCTACTTAATTATATGGAGGGCATACGCCTCCAAGGCACTTGGTGTCGCCAGCCACTGTCCCTCCGATCGCACTTGTGCAACCGACGTCAAATTCCCCACTCTTTATCTCCCCGTTCCTTCTGGGGATGACCGACTCTGATATGAATTCTACCTGACATAGGAAATCCTATTGGTGGCCTCGTTTTTTCGACGGCATTCGGACAACTCCAGCAAGTACATGAGTGGACTGTACGTACTCCGTTCCATCAGATTCAACCTCTTCGAATTTGTGTTGGTTCCACGCTCCATTGCTGTTCGACGATTCGGTCTGGCCCATGGCAGACCGCTTACGTCCCTTTGCCGCTCGTTTCTGTGTCCCTCTTTGTGAAGTCTATCTCACGTTTTCAATGCTTCATATTCCCTTTAGCAATTCATCAGCTCTACGGACTTCTGTTTCCGCGCCTGCACCGGAAAGAGCGCAACCAAATATTGCGAGCATATCTACGATGTAATGGGATGCAACTGGAACATGCCTGCGGATTACAGTGCAGGGAAGTTTGAAAACTGCAAAGGTGACTCTGGGGAGGTGAGAGCTATTATTGCCACTGTCGAACTGAGTGCTGACGATCTAACCTTGTTGCTCTGCATTTTGTGGATGGCTTATGATTGGGCGATTGTGATCAGCCAATGGGAATTTATGGTGCCTCTACATTCCACCAAGGCGAGCCTGCTACTCCAGCTGCACACCCCCGTCCGAAGACATCTGGTTGTGTCCCTATTGCAACCATAGGCGGCGATGCTGCTCCTCCGGCTTCCTCCAGTGTTATTCCCTCTTCCTCTTCCGCGCCCACATCCACAGTAGGTTCACCCTCCTCTGCTACACCCCTATCCTCTCCCCTATCCTCCGCGCCCTCCTCCGCGTCGACGGGGACGGCTCAACCGACTGGCAGCTCATCTTCACCCTTGCCTGCCCTACAGGGTTCCTCGACGAGTGGAAGCGCAGGCAGTAGTGCTCCCGCCGGCCCAGTCGAAACAGGAAATGCCGCAGCGTCCCTGTCAAGTTCTCACCAGCTTGCAGCCACGATCGGGTCGATGCTCGCTGTGTCCGTCCTTGTCTCGGCAATCCGTCTTATGTGATTCATGTGCTGATCCTTCGCGAACTTTCATGCCTTTAACGCAAACATTTGGGACTATTTTGCCTTGCCACTGCTATTCGTATTCGTAATCCATTATACCATTCAATTCGTTTCTACTGCAATCTACTACACTTAATGTATGACATTGACGCCATGCCATAATGTCTTTGACCTGGGACTCCATATTCTGTTTTCTTGCACGGTCTTTATGTATCTGTGTGTTTCCGCACTCCTCCCTCGTTTGTTCAGTACCGGCGGTTACCATACACCAGGATAGCCTCGGAGATCATACTTCGCATGGTCTTTTATTCCCAATCTAGTCCAGTGTGTGCATGCGATCTGTCAATCGTCGAGCCTACCTGGAAAAACCCTCCTTCCCTCGCGCTCCCCACTAAAAGCCAACCCTTACAATTGATGCAGATGCATACCAGAAGCTTCTGCTTCCCGTCGATGTTCTGAGAATTGCACCCCGAGACCGAGCCGATGTGCTGTGCTGAGTGAGACAGTTTCCCAAGGTGCTCAGGTCCATGTCTTCTCACCGCCGTTCGTCCAACAGCGAACTGATCGCTCACCACCCCCTCCCTAGACTTCCTTGCCGCATATACCTACGGCTTCACAGCCGGCTTCACATAGGACGCCTGAGGCTGGATCCGTTTTGCTCAGACGTAGCTTTCCCTGCGCGTTTTTTTTGCCTGTTGGACTGCTGAAGGCTGCAGTATAACGGCATGATCAGCTTGTATCCTTTACATCCGATTCTTCTCCCTTCTTCTGGAGCCGATAGGAAGGTCGGTTCTTAGTCACTTTATTACCTCTCATTGGCCTCTTGTCTCCGTACTCTCCACCAAGGAAAGATATTATTGGCCTTGATTGCCAGCCATGGCCTGCTCTTTGCCGGAATCTAACTGTAATCGGCATCTAATCAAATACTTCTCAGTTCGGGGCGCCGTTGGGTAGGGTCTCCCTCCACACTAATGAAATGAAATCAACGATAGCAAGGCATCGATCAACAACGCTCTAGGGCACATACACGAGCAAACACACGGGCGCACATTCATTACAGCCATTCAATTTTCCAATTCCACTGCAATCGAACCGTAATACATACACCAGGAATAAAGTACAAAGAACAAAGTTTCCGTTTACGTCCGTTTGATACCCTTGATACCCTACTCACAAGGGTTCGATATCGGGGAAAGGCCCGACAGGGACTATTCTTGTTGGATTAATCTACACAGAGACGTTAGTCGCCGAAAGGTAGAAGTGGGAATAAGATGGGAATGAAGGTGCACGGTAGGCCGATACACCCGAGCGGTGTCGGGAGACAGAAAGCAAGCTCACCGTCGTATGAGACCAGTAGTAATGGGTCTTAATATGGTTAAAATTGGTCGAAACTTTGAACGCCTCGTTGTTCCAGTAAAGCTTCTTCAACCAGCTATCACCCATGAGCCAACCGCACCAAGACATAGCACATCCCCAAATGTTTGCGATGTAGATCATCCGCGGGGGTATCATGGAAAGGTTGACGTATGAATCAGCAACGACCGAGTGACTAAATGGACAACAAACGGAACATACGTGTTGATATTAGGATAGCCCCCGCGAATGGTTCGGATGTTGCACTTGAAGTGTCCAACATAAACCGGGTCGAAGCGTATCTATTACGGCAAGACGTTCCATCATCGAAAATTCAGGCCTGCATGATAACACCATGCTTACGATCGTCACCCAGAGCCTGATATCTGCTTCTGTCAGCCTGTTGCCGACCAGGTAATCCTTCCCATCAAGAATGGTCTCGAGCTTGTCGAGAGCTTCGAAAACTTCCTTAACGGCCTTAGAGTACGATTCCTGTGTAGTGGCAAAGCCCGAGCGATATACTCCGTCTGATAAAGAAAGTGTTAGCAACAGCATGGCATTAATGTGAATGGCAGCATTCTCAGCCTAAACGATGAGTGACAAGTGGTACTCACTATCACATTAGGATAAATCCAACTGTTCAACTCGTCGATTTCATTCTTAAGCTCGGTTGGATAGTAGTCTATCTCGGCTTTATCTTTTGGAATAAATTCATCGAAAGCATGATTGAATATCCGGATGATTTCTGAGGATTCGTTGTTGACAATGGTGTGGTTTTTCTTGTCCCAAAGAACGGGAACGGTAAAACTAAATGATAAACAATATAAAAAAAGAGAAATCCACAGCCGATTGGCGTACTCACCGACCGCCGTAGTCTGGATCCGCCTTCAAATATAGGTCTTTAACGTGCTCGGATTTATATAGCGGGTCTTCGTCCGATGCCTCGAAGTTATCTATGTTAGCAAATGGCCATCCCTGGGATCCCATTCGGGGGGAAACAACCGTAACGGCTAATTCGATTGCAAGGGATCGTCGGTACAGCACGCAATATGAATGACGAAAACTTACGAATTAAATCCTCCAGTCCTTTGAGCTTCCTGACAATTAGCGTCCTCGTGGCCCAGGCTACAGTGCTAAGGATTAATCACCGCTTCATTAAACGGTGATGCTGATACGCACGACATGCATACGAGACGTAGAGATGGTAACGGTCTATATTTGTGGTCAGGCCAGCCTCAAGCGTAAGGTTATCTGATATCTGAGCACACCTTTCTCGGGTTCGAATCGCCCACCCTTCTCGATAACGTTTCGGAACGATGCGTCAGCTCGCTTGAATGAACCATCAGCCTCGGGTTTCATCTTGGAGATATCTGTTTGGCTGGAAACGTCTCTACTAGACATCTTGTATCCTGAACCACGGGAGGAACGGGCGATATGCTGACGACTGGAAAGAGAACTTTTCAGGATGGACACCACACAAATAGGAGACGACCACGAACTGTAGGAGCGTCGAGGACCTCAAGAACTTGGAGTGAACTGGTGCACTATTTGAGTGATATGCGCGCACGACAACACGTGAACAAGTGATGTCAAGGCGTGGTAAGCAAGCCCGGCTTGGTAAGGGGAGGGTGAGTTCAGTAACTACGTATTAGGTGGACTGGGGTGAGGCACATGTAAGCGTGGCAGCACATTGATTACTTTCGCAGGTTTGACTTGGTGAAACGAGTGCATGAGGTGGTAGCCGATGTCAGAGACCTCACAAGTCGGCGCTTACGCACGTGAAGACTTCAAAAAAGTGGCATAAAATGGCGTTGCTAATACAGGACTGTCGTAATAACACACAAATGATACAAGAGCTGGGTGTGGTTGAGCTAATCTACGAGTCATTAGTATCAAAAAGAAACTGAACCTTAAAGGTCCATTAACCGCAGAATTGGAAGCCGGGGCAGCCAATCGCAGTGCCGAATTCTGCAGACAAGAGGTCAGTTTCTGACAGCAACGAATCAGACGGTTTACTGACCACCGCCATCAACTCCCGCTACGGCAAGCAAAGCTTGGAAGACACCACCAAGACCCTCCCCGGCAAGAAGCCCCGCCTACAACCAACAGATCTTAGCGAACTTCAGGAAAGAGAGAAAGAAGACTTACAGCAATGGCGAACATATACATATCATAACCCGTTGGGTTGTTCTTGAGCCAGAAGTAGTTGACGGTCGAGCCGACAGCCCTGTAGGACGTCAGTCAGCTGAGGCATTCAAAGCACCCTGGATTTCAGAACTCACATAGCGATCGAGTAGAACACTTGTGGGACGACAAAGGCGAGTCCGATGGCGTTCCAGTTGGGAATGTAACCCCAGTACTTCTTCGGGATGAGGTAGTATTTGGCGAGTACAGTAAGAACGGCGGCGATAGCCAAACCAATAGCGGTGTATCCCGATGATGGGGGTATAGCTAGAGTCCATCAATGTCAGTGGGGCTCTGATAGCAGCGGTCAGATGACTCACGTAGACGAGGCGCAGAGACTGCAATTGCTACAGCAGACCAGGCAGATACAGACGGCGCTCCATAAGTACACTCTCCGGTGGCGGGAGGATCACTGAATTATCGTCAGCACTTGCAAGGCGTTGCAGAACATAATCTACTCACATGATACAAGGCGTAGCCGTGGTGAAAAGGATGAACAAGCCGGTGGTCAAGAAGACGGCCACGACAGATCCGACGAGCTGGGCAACGAACTGGTTGCGGGGCTTCGCTCTGAGCAGGTAGCCCGTCTTCAGATCACCGGTCATGTCGGAGGCCTGGGCGGCGGAGCCAGCAGCGATAACACCAGCCGTAAGATTGAACATCTGACCGGTAGTTGGGTCCATGCCCGAGCCTTTGCCGATGCCACCAAAGATGAGTTGGGAGGCCTTGGCAACGGTACTAACGGGGTTGACGTCCGTTTGACCGGAACTCTGCACACCGATGAAGGAGAAGAGGAAGCCGAGCAAGAGCGCCAAGATGGCTTCGCCGACATTCATATGGAATTGAGTGGCGAGGATGGCGCAGCACATGACAGTGCTGAGGAACAAGCCGGTCGACCACCACGAGAACGGAATTCTGTCTTCCATAGGTGTCTGATCTTCATCTTCGGGGTCGAGCTCACGGGTGCCGACCCAAGTCCTGGGGTCAAGTCCACTCCACGCGCTTGAGGCGAATAATGCTGAAAGGAACAAATACGATGAGCAACTGCACAATACGGTGGGGATGGGGACATACTCTTGAAGAAAGGTGTGAGACTGAGCAAGATGTCGGCGAACGAGTAGAGCAACATGACGAGAACCCCAGGCCAAAGCAGCCAGTATCGAGGTGATGGGGCGTCAACATATTGATCGGGGTCTCTGAAAGAAAGCGCCTGGTAGGAGATACGTTCTGGGAATACTTCGTCGGCCGGCACACCGACTGCCAAACCATTCTTGACGAGCGAAGGCGCGACTGAAAACTGGGATGAGCACACATGTTCATCAAGGGCTAGCTAAAAGGTTTCTCACTTATTCCCCATGCAAGAACCGATCCACCGACTGCGAGAATCATTCAGCAAGTCAAAATATGGAAGCGGGGACAAAACGCACAGAAGCTCCAACTAGCGTTAAGACCGGAAAGCATGCCAGCGCCATCTAATATCATTATTCCATTGAGCGAAACAAATATAGAGCGCAGAATAGAAACTCACAGAAAGCAGGCGTAACTGGAAGGAAGGTCAGCAATGCGATCACATAAGAGCGGCTAACACGTACACTCAATCCACCACCCATAGTTATCCAGGGAAATGATGCTGGTGAAGCCGAGCCTGAACAGCGTCCAACCAATGTGCCAATCGTATAGCTGAAATTTCACATTAGCTGCCGGTTCTGGAATAAGGATGCAGTCGCACGCACGATTCCAGGAGCATAGCCAGTCATAACCTTGAAGACGAAGGTCGTCACGAAAGTATACAGGAGCGCCAAGGATTTCTTCTTCGCCGCAACAGCACCAGTACGGCCATTGTGCAGCGAGCGGATGGTATAGGCAGTAGCGGCGGGTGTGGGGAAGGTCAGCTTCTGCTTGACGATGTAATACCTTCGCAGGGGAATAACGAAGAACACGCCGAAGAATCCGGCACAGGTGGTTAGCGCTATCAGTTTTCCGACATCTTGCTGTGGGAGTTCCGAGAGAAGGTTGAGCCTGTACATTGCCGGTATGGCAGAGACGAAAAGGATCCCAAGACCGCCAGACGCTGTTGAGGGTGAGCAGATTGCATGAAGTAATGAACTTGATAAAGCGTACCCGTTGCAGCACTAGACGGGTTCAATCAGTTCCGTTCCACCTTGCGGCACGTGTCGATGAATTGGACTTACCTCTGGACAGTGCAGTTTTCCTTCGGCCCAAACGGACCACCAAGAAGTTTGCCCAAGATGCCAGACTCTGGCATGGCCTTTGCGAAGGGCTTGAGAATGGCGAAACCAAAGATGGCTGCGAGATAACGCGTGAGTTGAGCCAAGCATTGAAGTGTGTAATATTTCACACACCTCCGAACAATTGGGGACCGAAAGTGAATCCCTAGAAGTTTGTCAGCATGGTAGCATTCACACATTCATGAGGGATGTCTACCGTCTTGAGACCGAGGTAGATATTGGAGGCGCCGACTGCAAGAAGACGTAAGTTCATTGTGAGATACAGCCCAACATTTTAACTCACCTACTGCTCCAAGAACGGAGCCAACCAGGAGGGCCCTTCATACAAGGAATATGAGCATGGGGTATGAGTGGTTGAGATACTAGGCCGCCTTCTGACCTGAATGTTAGCTGATGGGTTTCTTCAGGCTCGGTGGGGTCGATGGGGAAAGGCTTGGTGCTAAACTGGATGTTAGCCAAGGTCAGACAGAACTGCAGGTAACGTACACGTCGTGGTCGTCAAACGTCTCCAACCGCTCCTCACCCAACTCCGAGTCCCTCGACTTCTCATTGGGATAATCCAGGCTGGACGAGTGGGTCCGCTGCACCTCCGGCAGCACAACGTCGTCGTCTCTCCTCTTTTCGAAGTCCGCCATGGTCGAGTATTGCAGTTGCACTTGAGCAGCAACGCAGGTCGCAGGTCGCAGAAGCGGAGCGGGTGAGAAGAAGGAGGGCTTCTTGCATCAAGCGGCTTTAGACGTTGCTATTTGAGGGTTCCCATGAGAAGCCCCCGCCTGTGGCAAATGGCATTGCGGCAGGTGTGAATGGGGTTCTCGTGTCGTCGTGCATGTGGTTAGGAACTATCAATTCTGCAGACGATATGGACACAAGCGTGAGTAGAGGCTCCACGACGCCTTGTTGGGAGTATCAGGATGGGCGCCATCGTCGCGGGGTTCGAAAGCTGCACTGTGAACCATGCGGTTTTGTCTAGGCGCCGATGCTGAATCCATGAGCGTAGACAGGCCGAGAGAAAGTTCAGCCCCATGTATTCAGATGGGCCTAGCTCCTGTGGTGTTTTATGGAGAAGGCCAGAGGGGTCGTCGACTCATAACTAGGACGTACCTATCGACAATGATTGGGCGGCGCGATTAGACTTAGACTCGGTGTCCGGTAAGACTGGCGACGGTTCACGCCATCAGCGTGAGCTTTCTCCGAATCACTGATCTCGCTTTAATTATAGCTAGAATGAATCATGAATCATGAACAGTAGCGCGCACACGAGCTTGAATAGGTGGCGTGCCTTCAATCGCCGAGCACGAATGTCCAAGGAACACACTAGAATACGATCCGGGTGGGCGAATTAGACAAGACCGCACATGTGAACTTGACATGTGAACACACACATACGTTTCAGAATATCATATATTCACGGAAATCGCTGCATATGGGGGCGGAGCACTCTGACAATCCGCTCGAACCTTCAATTGAAGGGAAAACATACCGCACTTTGCATCACATCACATCAATTATGGTGCTGTCCCACACTATATCGCGACCTGCGGCTGCATAATCCCATTAGGTCTTCTTGGTCATTGCGCAACTAAAGTCTCCGCCAGTGATGCCCGTATCAGCAGCAGCAAGAAGCTCCGGAGAGTGGAGACTAAGATGGTCTGCGTTCAAAGCAAGGACGTCAATGGGTACGATATATTGAAGTATACATACCGCGCAAAAGATACAACGGCTACAGCGACGAAAAATTGCATCATACGCTTTTGTCCCACACGGCATTGCGACCTGAAGAATGGATGTTTTAAGTTTCCCTGATTGATCATTGCGCAGCTAAACTCAAGGGTGGTATCGCAAACATCAATAACAGTAACCTACTATAGTTGGGGAGATAATGGGGTGGCGTTGGTCTTTTACTCCCGCCTGGAACAGCAGCAATAGACTCCGGGGCATGGTGGGATCTACCGCACCTGCCCGCAACTCGAAAGTCAGCTAAGAACAGTACACTCAACCCAAGATAGCCCACCTTCGTGGCTAAGCACGTATGTTTTGAGCCAGGCCTCCGTCTCCCGGATTGCGCACTTCGCAACGATGTAGAAGCCCGCGGCGGCGATGTACCCGGAACAGCAACCAGTAGCAAACAGCAGCAACTTACTCCGGGCGGTGGGAGGGTACCCACCTGCAAGTGGTGTTAAAAAGGGCAACGAACCGTAGATAACAAGGTGACTTACCTCCCTAGAAAGACCTCCGTCTGGGTCGAATTAACCGAGATGGTCTGTCAAAACTTCAGAGTAGGTTTAGAGCATGTCGAGAATATGGCACTCTTATAAGAGATCCCCTGTATCGCACACCATCCATACCGGCGGGAGCCGCGACTCAGCACTTGGCACTTAAGCTGAAGGCCAGAGACGATGCTAGGCTATTGCACCCACCTATCCACCTATAATGAGTGATGTCGTTCGATAAGCAGGGCAACTTACTCACCTATTTAGAACCAACCTATATAAAAAGCCCTCCGTCCGGATCGGACGGGCATAGATGACCTATCCTCATTTCAAACTATAGCTTGTCCGTTGTCCAAGACGAAATGTCCAAGATAAGCATGTCGATGTTCAACAATGGAGACGCTCTCAGAGTAGATCCCGCGTCGCACAGCGGCCATGAAGCCCCAGTCACGGACTCGGAAATACCGGCTTGATGGCTTCGCTTGAGAAAATGTGTCAAGATGACGGCGCTTTGTAGCGCTTGTCTCCGCATCCATGGTTCATATGGCCCATCCTACATGTCTGTCGACAGACGCGATCATTGCAACATGGCGGCTGAAGGATTATGTCGGAGCCAGCCTCCTCAAACTCAAACAAAGATGTCTGTCTCGCTCTTCTACGAAGAGGCTGTCGTCGGCGTTCGCGAGGAGAGAGGCAAGGACGAGGGGTTGCTCGTGGTAGGCAGTGGATAATTGGCCCAGACATCAAACATTGTGATAGCAGACTCGGTGGTTCCAATGGGATGACCAGATACTTGTCTACGTGGGCGGCAGAGTCCTCAAATGACTTGGCAGCCGCGCTGTTCAGAAGCGAGACGGCAGGTCAGTCCAGCTGGCGGACGATAGAGACATCTACTCCAAATGTTGGGAATATGTTGGAGAGTACTCTCCACCGAAGTATTGGTAAGGTTAATCGATTCTGAATAAAACGAATAAATGGGGCCAGAACCCTTGTCAAGCAAAGGGATTCTAGCAACGAGGGCGTTGAATAGGCTCTAGAGGATAGTGATAGTGATGGGACAATTACAGACATGTGCGTGCGATCATACGCTTTACGTAGATCATGCGTAGTCGAAGTCGGGAGCTTAATGCTTTGCGTCCCCGTCCTTGTCCCGCTGGATAAGGCCCACACCGACGATCGTGCCTGACGCGACGGCATCCGCGACCTTGTGCTCCTCCTTCACCTTGTGCTCCACCTGGCGCACGAACTCGTCTTGCACGGCTTTTGCGCGGGCAATCTACGAGTTTCGACAGGCAACGAGCGAATTCAAGTGTAGGGTATTGGAATGGGATCGGTTCGAGGCGCGGGGTTGCGAGATTCATGAGATGAGAAGTAAGGCCAATGACAATGAGAAAACGGGGAGGTGATAGAGGTAGAAAAAAGTAATGCGCACCTCTTTCGGATGGTGGAGGCATTCTATGTAGTCCTCGGATTGGGGGCGGCATTCCTGCGGGTTGCTAGTCTGCGCATAGCACTGTTTGCAGCTATCGCTTGAGCACTCATAGTACCCTCTGCAACATGGAGCCACGTAGCCACGCACCTTGGAGAATTCCTGCCAGTACGTGAAGCATCGTGAGCGGCCTAACATTCAGATGTTCAGCGTCAACTTTCTCCTGCAATCCCGAGTTGCGCTGTGGAGCCATGCTCACCCCCGGAGTAACCAAAACCTGACTTTCATGCAAAGTCAGTAATTGGGCCCTCCTAAGAGATTGTTTGAGAACATACAGCCATGACGAGATTTGTGGAATGGTGTAATTACGGTAAGAAGGAATTGTTCACGACGAGTGTGCCCGATGACCGTGAGAAACAATACACAGACCGTGGGAGCCAGAATAGGAGGTCACTGGCAGTATGTCCTTCATGAACTTACATCCTTTCTCCTGCTCCTCTCGAACCTGGACCCTGGCTGTTAACGTTTAATCGCTCGCACTTCCCTGGATCGCTGCACAGATGGCTGATCAAGCTGAAGTCGCCTTTGCGACTACCTTCCTGAACACGCTATCTACACAGCCAGTCACGTATGCCGACGATTATCAGCAACCACCCGAGAACTCGCTGCGAAGGGTACCGGTACTAGGCGTATGTGGATTTCCGTATATCCTGTATTTTACTCGCAGGAGATCCCCATCACTGATTTCGCACTTTCTTATCTCAAAAATCCAGATCGACCTTCCCCCTCCTCCAGAACGCAAGCATGAGGTCATATCGGACGCAGGTCAGGATATATGTGTCAAAATACGAATATCAATTCCGCTCATACAGCTAATCCGCAACGCACCTTCCGCGTGTTGTGTGAATGTGAAACAGAAGGCATATCAGTCACCATAAAGTCCCTGAAACCTGCTGCGTCGTTCAGCCTCACAATCGACCCCACGGACACCATCTCGGATTTAAAGTCGAAGCTCGCTGCCCAACCCAACGCCCCGCCCGCAGACGTTCAAAGGCTGCTTTTGAAAGGCAAAGCCCTAGTTGACACCAAGCTCGTTAAGGAGTATAACGTGAAAAACGGCGATACGTTTACACTAATGTTCAAGCCCGGCGTAGAGTGGGATCCCTCGAAGCCGACGGAATCACCATCTTCCACCCCGTCCATCATGCTCATCGATTCGTCGAAGACACCTCCGCCGACAGGAGCGCGAAAACACCAGCGCATCCCCTCTGTCGTCCTGTCTCCCTCGCCGTCAAGCGGGTCGCCGACGTTCGAGAAGACGATCGACATTCCGTTGACGCTAGACGCATCTACGTCGCTCCCAGAACCGATGTCCACGTATCACACAACCGTTGCGAAGCCAGAATTCTGGGAGCGGTTACGCGCGTTCTTGAGGTACGATATATATACCCTTTCTCTACTTCAAATTTCTACCTTTCAGGACGTTGCTCTAACTTGTACATTGTAAATTGTGTGTTACAGCGCCGAATTTCCGGATGAATCAGACGCCGTGCTCGCATTCGAAGAGTTCCTCCGTGCGAGCAAGGGAACGTTAACAGCAAGTGAGATCGCCAAGATACGCGATGAGGTTGGCGTCATTGGCATGGCGGGTACATAATACGTGAGGGTCTTCAACCGCTTCTACCAAGCGCTTGAGCGCACTTGGGTTAGTCTTTTGTGGGCATGTGGGCATGTGATGGTATGTGGTGGTGGCACTGGCCGGAACTCTAGAACTCTTGGTATTTTGCGTAGTGTGCGATTAGACATGATTCTATTATTAGCCAAGGTTATCATGTATGCAGGTCACCGTGTTCTCGAAGAGACGCGTTGCTCGCGCAGCGAATAAAAGTCGGATCGTACCCAGGTAAAGAACCTTTGACACTTGTCGATAGTCCTCGACCCAGACGTCCAGACGGACGGTTCATAACAAATTTTTAATGATGCGTGTCTCCACCAAGTTGTACTCACAGGTCATGAATATCCAACAACAAATAGGCTAAACTCATTGTAGCAGCGTTAAAAAGGTGTCTCCAGTGATCAATCCGTCAACAGTGTCTTTATTGAGGACCTCAGAAGAGTCCCATACCAGCTTGGCATGTACAGAGTTAAACATCTTGGAACAAGACGTTAACCACTCCTTCAAACCCTTGTATTGGGGTTGCAACGGAGTCGTCGTAATGCCGCCGCTGAGGAACGATTTTTTGTAGTGATATAGCAGGGTGTGATCATATCCCGACCACCGCAAGATATTGTACTCGTCAGACTTGTCTGGATCGACTGCTAAGGTGAGCAGAACCCAAAAGAAGGATTCCAGATCGTATCGGTACAGATGTCGAGGAGGCTGGAGCCAAGTGGAGGGAGCAAGAAGTTCGATCGCCAAGTACGGCCATGTTCCCGTCCTTTGTTTCGATGTCGGCCCCTTGTCGAGCTTTGCTCCCGGTGTCGCCAGGTCAAAGTCGTTCAGAACCCCCACAATGGTGTCGTTCTTTTGCCGGAACATCAGGTTTCTCACGCTGATGTCACGGTGCAATATCCCCGCCCTCTCGTAGACCCAATGATGACCTGGTAGAGGCCTCGTGAGGCTACGCTGAAAGCTTGATGAGCTGACTTACATCGAACGATTTGCTCATACGCTGTCTTAAGCGAGTCGCAGTCTTTGATTGCGTCGATACATCCTAGCTCTTCCATGACCAGTAGATAAAGTCTCCTCTCCTCGTAATCGTCTTTAAAGTGTCGGACAAGAGAAGCGACGATGCCGTCAGGTGCATCGCAGACCTGCGAATACAGGACGTTGGGAAGATGATCCGAAACCCATGCAGCTGAAGGGTCGCGAACGATGGCTTTCTGAATCTCCTTCAATATGTCGTGTTCTGGTTCCCGCGAGCTCGGTAGCCAGCTGAGCTTGGCGACAACCCGTTCAGGCCACTCCTTAGGAACATTGCTGCCCGCTTCCACTTTCACGACCAAAGTCCCTCGCCCAATTAGCCCATGAGGCTGGTAGGCGATGTGTCCCAGCGTAAGCACGAGCCCGTTGTTGAGCGTCAGATTAAGGCCCTCGAAGGTGTTCGCAATCGTTTGTCTATCCTTGTTCCTCATGTTGTACAAGCGACCAGACATGCAGTCCGGGGTTGCCAGAATCACATTGGAGCAGAAGCCATAACGGTCGAGAGGCATGCGACCCAAATGCGAGATGATTTGGTGAAACTGGTCGAGATTGTCGACAAAACTGAACGGCGAGGAACGCAAGACCACAGAGTGATCGTAATACAGGAACTCTATCTGGCCATCGGTAGCGAGGAAGCCGATTACGTGTCGACGGAATCCCTTGGAGAGCATCTCCAATGCGTAGCTTGCGCATTGAATCAGGGGATGATGTACGAGGGCAGTACTCGACGCCTCCTCCTCTACAGGTACTTCTAGGCCTCGTCCTGCAGCTACATCGCTTCCTTTTGTGCGTGCCACACTGGTCGAAGAGGAACTGGGACGGGGGCTTTTACGAACGCGGCCCTCTGTCGCATGCTCCGACGTGCTCGCTTTTCGCTTCTGAGCGGAAGGTCCGAAGGTTTCCTTGACCGCTGTAAACGCTGCGTCACTGCTAGAAAGCCTGATATATCCTTCGCAACTCACATGGTGTAGGCCGAGGCGGGATTGGTACTCTCAAATCCTTCTGAACGAGTTTGAACTCATGGAAGGAGATGATGTCGCACGGATGAAACGCCACCTCGGGTCCTTGGACGATAGGTTCTCGTAGAAGCGACGCAGACTTGTGGACGAGCAAGATGTCGGGCTTGCGGCCGGGGTCAATACCCCAGAGGTACTTGGGATCGTTTCGGACAAATACGTATTCCGAACCGCATTCGAGCAGAATTTCATTAGCGAGCAGAATGAATGGCTCGTATCTGCTGGTCTCTTCTGTGACGGGAAGGCGATAGCGATCAAGAAGAGAGCGGAGTTTCTTCGTTATTGGTTTCTTTGGCTGGTCAAAGTCGAAGTCGAAGATGGTCTTGCAGAAATCTTCAAAGGCCATAATCTTCTCGTTGCTGAGGTCTTGGTACAGATACGGTGAATAGTGTAGGCGCGTAGATTGGGTGTCATAGGTGAGATTTGAGCCGGACCCTGCGGACTGCGGTGTGCTGTGGACGCCATCCAAGGGAGGACGCTGTGAATTGACTGGAGTTTGCGCTCTGGACATGGTGGTTCAGCAACAACCGCTGTGGCGCAGCGGTGCGGTCACGTGGAGATTTCACGCGATCATTCAATACGCCTAGTGTAATTTCAAGGCTAAGGCTATAGACGTCGACTATCGTACAGTGCCAGTCACATCTTCTCATCAAGTGACTTGGCAGGAGGCGCCTAAATATATATACCCTTTCACTTTGATAATTTTCAACTGCATCGTAACGTTGCAGAAACCATCGGAAATCAATGAGAAGTGATCACATACTTCGTAGTAACATTAATGTAGATAATTTAACTCCCGTGATATGGCCCCTTCACCCTGATGCATTCAGTGTATTAAGCCCTAGACAAAACATAGCCAGAGAGGTGTTCTGTCAACCTGCGTAGTAACCAAGCAAGAGTTCAAGAACAAGTCGCGCTTATTGTGATCGTCAAGCGCCCCTGAATATACCCTAAGTCTAATTATGGATCGACGGACCGTTGTTGAGGTTCCTTCCCCGCACTTTGTAATCGACGATGGTTGGCTTGTACAACTAGTCCAGCTACCCCCTCAAAGACCACCCGCCCGTCCATCATGTCAACCACTACCGTATTCTCAGCCGCGACATCCGTAACACCCTTCCTTGAAACAGTCTCACCGACGCCTGCCGTAACTACGACCCCCAATCCAGGCGGCGTCAACAATGGAGGCATGCAGAAAGGAGCTAACTATTTCTTCGGCTTCCTCATCGCATTCATCGCGCTCCTCCTCGTATTCGTGGGCTGCGGGGTCGGCACCCGTCGTCGATTTATGATGCGAAGGGGTGTGATGGGTGATTGGGCTGGGCCAGCCTCGCCATACAATGAATCGGCGCCGCAGAAGGAACCGCTGTTCGTTGAGTCGTGGCTGGAAAAGGGGGGAGATAGATGGAAGAATATGACAGTGAGTTGTAGTCTTTGCAGTGGCCGACTATTCGCTGACGGAATGCAGCCGCTATCGACGACAGCCATCCGACCCCGGCCCAAAACACCTGAACCTTCGATAACTCCATTGCCAGTGACCACCTTGTCGAGCTTCCGACAGCTAATCCCGCACCCCCACTTCCCTTTCCGAAGACATCTTCCCCCGTCGACAGTAGTCAAACAAGAAAACTCGGAGACTACTCCTTCCCCTGAATCACTTGCCGTAACGGTCATGATAGCGATGCCAACTCAAAAATCGGATGTTGAACACCAACATCAGGAAGACGAACCCTTACCGGAGTACAGCTTTGGTGTCGCGCAGGTCGATTGGCGGGGCAAGCATTGGATATCTTCATGATTAACGTTTGAACTCTGGACTCGCTTCGTGCTTCATTGTACAAGATACTGTGTTTTCCTACATTTCGATGTAATTGCGACCCTTCGACTAATTGACATACATACGTCTTTGGAAATGTGAAACTTCCGACATACTTCGTCCCGTCAGCCGCCTATTCCGTTGAACCCAAACTCGAACAGTTCCGAGCATTGCCAAAAATAAATATTGAGACAAGGAAAACGACACGTCTCGTAGAAGAAGTTGAATCATGTTGTCGCTACGAGTGGGTGCAGTGTTCAGGATGGAGGCGAAGTCCTCGCAATGCCAAAAATACGCCAAAAATAAATATTGAGACCCGTAGGTCTACCACTCCGGGAAAGCGTGTCATCCTTGTGCAGGGGCCATGCTAATCTTCTCTGTATCGTTCCAATTTTTTCGTATGTCACCCCGAAGGGGACAGTAGTTGGTGCTCGTGTTGACTGGATACAACCTGACTTATGTGTTTTGTTCAGCGCGCGGGCTTCCAGGGGGCACCCGCTAACTGAAAGGGGCTCGTTGCGATTACCGCCTGCAGCTACTGTTCATCCTTGCGTAGGAGCATGGTCGACTTGATTTATTCCGTGAGGAAACTTATGAGTGCAATTCGACAAAGAATGGCACGTATATCACGGAAGTTTGATTGTGTCGGAAAGAGCATGGAAGTTTGGGGCCGTGGAATATTTGATAAGTCTCGAAGGCGTGAATACTTTATGCGTACCTATGTAAGGTTGGCTGCAATATCCAGAATGAAGGTAAATTAACTTGGGTACCATCCGAAAGGCGACATTGCAAACAATGTTAGCAATGACCTTGATTCAACAGGACTACGCGGCACAACAAGACTATCGCCATTCACCATTCTCTAACAAACCCGTCTTCGCCTCTCCAGACTGGATTCTTCCAAGGCGTATGCTTGGAAGTATAGTTGGCGGAGGTCTCGCGGACGAGCTGTTCGTTGATTTCTATACCGATTCCAGGACCTGCGAAACAAGGCATCAGATACAAAGTCCTAGACAACGAAGATACAGTCAACTTGCCATGGAGCAACCCAAGATAGCCTTCCTTGATCTCAAACACCGATGGGTGCGAAAGGTAGGTGTATAGGTCAGCCTCTTGATTACTTTCAGGAAATACATTGTAGTGTATCTATGCAATTACGATGTTACCGTGTTAAGTAACGGGAGCGTGTGATAACGTACCTTCCAGCTCATTTCCTGGATGACGACTAGGATGTAGTCAATACCGAATGAAATACAAACGAAGATATGGACCAGGAGCGTACAGTTAGGAGCAGAGATTGCCACCTGCATGCACGCTGCGAGCGCAATAGGGCCAAGCGGGCAGTGCGGCGCCAGACCGACGTCGTAAGTTTCCGTGAGCGACGCGATACGATGAAGCTCGCTGATCCCACCGCAATGCGAGACCTATGAACATGAAGGTGAGGTTCAGTACCCGTCCAGAAGGAGGTATACTACACAGTGTACTACGGCTTACATCTGGTTGAGCGATATCAATGGCCCTCTTTTCCAGGTAAGGTCTGAAATCGCTGCGCGTATAGAGACGTTCTCCAAGCGCGATGGGTGTCGATACCAAACGGGAAAGGTCGGCGATTTCCTCAGGTTGGGTAGGGAGCAGGGGTTCTGTAATATTTCAGTATTTGATGTAGATCCCTGAGTAAGGGGGATTGCGTCTGACCTTCGATAAAGAGGGGCATATGCGGTTCAAGCAGTTTGGCTAATTGCTTCGCCATGCCTTTGTGTAGCCGCCCGTGGAAGTCGAGTCCGACATCCAAGCCCGTGCGTTTGACCTCTTCAATACGGGCGACTGCATCGGTGAGGACTGAGGGAGAATCAAGCCAGCCAATTGAATCTGCAATTATATTCACATATGAGGCTATCGTATGCTTTGTGGGAATGGGAAGTACAAACCGGTAGCGTTCATTTTGACGGCCGTAAATCCTTGCGACTTGCGCTCCACCGCAGCGTTGTAAACATCACTTGGGCTATCCCCTCCGATCCATCCGTACACCTTGACTCGATCTCGTACCTTCCCTCCAAGAAGCTGCCATACGGGTACACCCAGTTTCTTGCCTTTGATATCCCATAACGCGATATCGAGCCCAGACAATGCAGACTACCAGATGAAGAGTCAGGACCCTGCCTTACGTATTGAGACTGCTGTTTACCATGAGAACTGGTCCACCCCGGTAGAAACGAGCTCTGTAGGCGGTCTGCCAGATGTCTTGTATGTTGTCTGCATCCCAGCCAACGAAGCGGTGGGTCAGATCTCCGAGTGCACCCTCAACTGCTTGAGTATGTCCTTCTAGGGTCGCCTCGCCCCAGCCGACCACGCCAGACATGGTCTCAACCCGCACAAAGAGCCATCGAGGTGGTACACGGAAAGCCTGCCATCCGGCACTAGTCAATGGGCCGAAAATTTATGAGACGATTGGAAACATGAGCGCACTTCTACTTTTGCGATTGTGCTAGGCATTCAATGCAACTGAGGTCAAGAATCCTTTGGGAAAGGTTCGAATGATTAAAATAACTTAGGCGCAGGATTCTTATGCCGGGCCGTGCGCAGTGGTCCAATTCGTCCGTAGTTCGCATGCGATACTGGACATATATGTCTGCATGGTGATCAGTAATGTGCCACTGCAACGTGCTACTAGTGGTGCTTTGCCAACCCAGTGGTGACCGTGTGAACCTCTTCGTGTAAGTGGCTGTGGCGTACCACAGGGTTGATGCTGGTACTGAGCGCTGAACCACCATGTCCAGAGCGCAAACTCCAGTCAATTCGCAGCGTCCTCCCTTGGATGGCGTCCACAGCACACCGCAGTCCGCAGGATCCGGCTCAAATCTCACCTATGACACCCAATCTACGCGCCTACACTACTCACCGTATCTGTACCAAGACCTCAGCAACGAGAAGATTATGGCCTTTGAAGATTTCTGCAAGACCATCTTCGACTTCGACTTTGACCAGCCAAAGAAACCAATAACGAAGAAACTCCGCTCTCTTCTTGATCGCTATCGCCTTCCCGTCACAGAAGAGACCGGCAGATACGAGCCATTCATTCTGCTCGCTAATGAAATTCTGCTCGAATGCGGTTCGGAATACGTATTTGTCCGAAATGATCCCAAGTACCTCTGGGGTATTGACCCCGGCCGCAAGCCCGACATCTTGCTCGTCCACAAGTCTGCGTCGCTTCTACGAGAACCTATCGTCCAAGGACCCGAGGTGGCGTTTCATCCGTGCGACATCATCTCCTTCCACGAGTTCAAACTCGTTCAGAAGGATTTGAGAGTACCAATCCCGCCTCGGCCTACACCATGTGAGTTGCGAAGGATATATCAGGCTTTCTAGCAGTGACGCAGCGTTTACAGCGGTCAAGGAAACCTTTGGACCTTCCGCTCAGAAGCGAAAAGCGAGCACGTCGGAGCATGCGACAGAGGGCCGCGTTCGTAAAAGCCCCCGTCCCAGTTCCTCTTCGACCAGTGTGGCACGCACAAAAGGAAGCGATGTAGATGCTGGACGAGGCCTAGAAGTACCTGTAGAGGAGGAGGCGTCGAGTACTGCCCTCGTACATCATCCCCTGATTCAATGCGCAAGCTACGCATTGGAGATGCTCTCCAAAGGATTCCGTCGACACGTAATCGGCTTCCTCGCTACCGATGGCCAGATAGAGTTCCTGTATTACGATCACTCTGTGGTCTTGCGTTCCTCGCCGTTCAGTTTTGTCGACAATCTCGACCAGTTTCACCAAATCATCTCGCATTTGGGTCGCATGCCTCTCGACCGTTATGGCTTCTGCTCCAATGTGATTCTGGCAACCCCGGATTGCATGGCTGATCGCTTGTACAACATGAGGAACAAGGATAGACAAACGATTGCGAACACCTTCGAGGGCCTTAATCTGACGCTCAACAACGGGCTCGTGCTTACGCTGGGACACATCGCCTACCAGCCTCATGGGTTAATTGGCCGAGGGACTTTGGTCGTGAAAGTGCAAGCGGGGAGTAATGTTCCTAAGGAGTGGCCTGAACGGGTTGTCGCCAAGCTCAGCTGGCTACCGAGCTCGCGGGAACCAGAACACGACATATTGAAGGAGATTCAGAAAGCCATCGTTCGCGACCCTTCAGCTGCATGGGTTTCGGATCATCTTCCCAACGTCCTGTATTCGCAGGTCTGCGATGCACCTGACGGCATCGTCGCTTCTCTTGTCCGACACTTTAAAGACGATTACGAGGAGAGGAGACTTTATCTACTGGTCATGGAAGAGCTAGGCTGTATCGACGCAATCAAAGACTGCGACTCGCTTAAGACAGCGTATGAGCAAATCGTTCGATGTAAGTCAGCTCATCAAGCTTTCAGCGTAGCCTCACGAGGCCTCTACCAGGTCATCATTGGGTCTACGAGAGGGCGGGGATATTGCACCGTGACATCAGCGTGAAGAACCTGATGTTCCGGCAAAAGAACGACACCATTGTGGGGGTTCTGAACGACTTTGACCTGGCGACACCGGCCACGAAGCTCGACACATCGAAACAAAGGACGGGAACATGGCCGTACTTGGCGATCGAACTTCTTGATCCGTCGACTTGGCTCCAACCTCCTCGACATCTGTATCGACACGATCTGGAGTCCTTCTTTTGGGTTCTGCTCACCTTAGCAGTCGATCCAGACAAGTTTGACATGTACAATATCCTGCGGTGGTCGGAATATCATCGCACCCTGTTATATCACTACAAAAATTCTTTCCTCAACAACGGCATTACGACGACTTCGTTGGATCCCCAATACGAGCACTTGAGGGACTGGCTAACTCATTTGGCGTATCTCTTCGATGACGCAAATAGGGCACGAGCACGTTCTTCGTCGGGCGCCATTGTTGAAATGGTTACCGCGGAGACCTTTTTAAAGATTCTTAGGTCTTAAACCTTCGTCGGATGTCTTGACGTCCAAACATGCCATGGCTAGCTATCATAACTTTTCTCGCGCCCTATGGTTAAAAACATCAGAGGTCCAGAACACAGAGATCCTGGTAGCAATATGCAGAGATCCCAAACCCGCGTTGTATGAGTTCGAAAGTGCCTGCTGTGAGCAGCTAGTCGGATCTTCAAGTGCGCCTTCAACTGCTTGAGTACGACCTTCTGGAGTCGCTTCACCCCATCCTACAAGCATTTGTCATTGGGTATACAGTCGCGGACAATCAAACACAGCAACTTTTCGTCATCAGTTCCATGTGCTGCCAAATGCATCCATATCCCCCATAGAGTGTAAAGACATCATATTATGGACCAAATGAATAGATTTGTACGATAGGATTTTCCGTTTTCAAGGTTTTGAGAATCAAACTCGGAAAATTTTGGCGGATCCCCAAAAAAGGCCACTAAAATCCCGAAAAAATCAGAAATCAACTCCTTTTCATTGGTGGATACCGCAGCCGAAAGGGCGCATCAATTGGTACGTTGGTTGGCGCTAAAAAAAATTATTACTTTTCGTCGAAGATGGCAGGTAAACGTCGCCGCAAAGCAGTAAATCGGAACATAAGTGGCCTCCGCGGCCAAAGAGGAGAGACAGTATCAAACGATGCGCAACCAGCTACTCAAGAACCCTTCACCCCAGCCATCACCAGTGATCCGGAGCCCGACAACGTGCCAATAGAAGCCGAAAGGGTGAATGACAGCGAAAGTGAAGGCGACTATGGTTCCGAACAGGACGACGTGACATCTAATGGCTCTGACGAGAGCGAGATTGATGCCGACGAGGAGGGATTTGATTCTGAGTGGGAGGAAGATATGGATGACGAAGAATTTTGCAGTCGGTTGATTGCATTGGCGGCCGAGTGTGGAGACGACCCAAGGGATGAAGATTGGGTGCCAGAACGAATGCGGCATCTTAAGAAGAAGAGGCAGGAGATGAAAAGACGTGAGTAGTGATGCTTCAACTCAATGAGCGCAGTAACTCACCTTTAAGAGTCTAGCACGTCCCAAGCATTACATATAAGAATGGCCCAGATGTTGCAAGCAAGTCTGAGCGGACCCGGTCACGGTATCGGAAGCACATACAGAGACAAAAAAGCCTCGATGTATATGGCTTCACGCAGACAGTGCACCATGCCTGTCGCCCAGACCCAGTATCCGAGCCAACAACAGTGTCATCCACCCCCGAACCAGGTGACATCCATTGTGAACTGCAAGGTCCATACAGTGATGGTGATTCAGACAACGTTGAAGAGCAACACGAACCTACCAACGAACCAGCACCCGAGCCGTCCAACTCTCCTGACACCTGCTGCGCTGATGATGCCAGCTCCGCTGGCGAATGGAACATTGACGAGGAGCTGGAAGAGACTATGTGGCGCAGTCCAGCATGTTATGACCATTGTCCTGGGTAGAAGGAACTGCAAGAGAGCATCAACAAGGATCTGAAGCGAAAAGACTTACTGTTGTCCAAAATCAACCAGTTGATTGCGCTCCGTTGCTTCAGCAATCTCCGACTGAAGGGCATGGGGTGGGTGGAGGCAAGCAAACATGTGGCCGGTGCATGGCATGAGGGCAAAGGACACTGGTTTGCAAGACAGCTCTGTGTGCTGGCAAGGCATTATCAGCGGTTGGGATGGCTTCCAGAGGAGAAGAGGGGGGGAGAAAGAAAGGCTTGCACCATTCTGCTCGATGAGGGTGTCAAGACGGCGGCACGTGATTGGCTTGCGTCCCAGAAGGTGGGATCCATCACTCCTCGCCTGTTCCAAGAAGCATTGAATAAGGAAATTCTTCCTGCCCTGCATGTCACGACAAAGAAGCCCCTGTGTGAGAGAACAGCTCGACGATGGCTTGTTAAACTGGGTTATCAACGGATGACAGTTCGGAAAGGTGTTTATATGGATGGCCATGAACGTGACGATGTCAAGGAGTATCAAGACAAAGTCTTCCTTCCGGCCATGGCTAAATTCGAGGCTCGCATGACAAAATATAAACTCAAGAATGGACAGTTAATTGCTGTCCCACCAGTTCTTGCACCTGGTGAGAAGGAACTGATTGCGTTGTTTCAAGACGAGTCAACGTTTCACGCTAATGAGTATGCACCCTCATTATGGTAAGTATATTGAACGACAAAAGTGTAAGAGACTTACAAATTGTCTGCAGGCTTTGGGAAGGTAAGAATGTGTTGCGCAAGAAGGGGTGTGGCCGGCTCATTCATGTATCTGACTTCGTTACAGAAGTATCCGGCCGTCTAGTTCTATTCAATGCCAATGGTGAGATCATTGAGGATGCACGTCAAATTATATATCCCGGTACAAACGGCGACACTTGGTGGGACCATGAGCAGCTCCTTGCTCAAGTCAAACAAGCAATTCAGATCTTCGAGATGGCACACCCTGGTTGCCAGGCTCTATTTATCTTCGATCAGTCATCTGCGCATGCATCACTCGGGCCAGATGTAAGGGGACACTCCTATTTTCTCCTATTCCCCTGTCCCCCTCCCTTCCT